TCAACGTGGTCGGTCTGATCCTCACTTGGCAACCCACATTACCAGGTTTGATCGTAAGAGCAGGTTTGCAAGGGAATAAAACAACTGAGGATGGATCATGCAGTAGATAATCAATTTCCGCATGGCTTTGTATTCTGACTTATCATATGCTGCAATAACCAAGTGTTTGTAGATCGGCGATTGCCTTATTCCGACGAAGCAAAGGAGGTTCAGGCATTTGCACCGTTAGTAATGCACGAACCAAACTACCTGGAAGCCTCCTTTGCAGCAAATGATTCAGGAACCCGTCCGCCATTGGTATCCCAAACCCTGGGCCATGACCCTTACAGCGAAGAGTGATGGTTGGACGTAATCCCATGCTGTCGACATCACGCGCGCAGTCTAAGCGTACCAAATCTTGGGTCCGGTAGATGGCGCAGCTGTCCGGAAGCTGGCCCGGTGCTCCGAATGCAGGTCAGCAGTTAAGGACCTTGGCTAATCATCACCTGGTGGTATTTTGGCCGAACTAGGAAGTATCTAGGTAGCACATAGAGTTCTGGACAACCCGCATAATAATGTATATAGCATCAGTGACATGAGAGCCATCGGTGGCAGCGAGAAAGACCGATCGCAGTACTGCGACGGCGCTTGTGTGATTTATTTCGTACTGGGTATCGCCGAGTATATCCGCTTATCCTCCGTCGAATGTTGAGCGCTATAGTGCGACGCCTTGAAGCGGACGTGGCCGACATTGCGTTTGGCAAAGAGTACAGTAACAGTAGTAGCTCAGTGTGTCAAGAGCCTTGACTGAGGAAAATTGCGGTCGGGGCAATAATAGTAGGATGGCGGCGTAGTTGCCTGCCTAGTAGTCACACGCATCCGGCTGGGTGGTCAGCCTTCTTCGCTTTTTCCCTCAACACACTTCTTATTGCAGTCTATCGCACCCTCTTTGACAGTCCTCTTTCTCACGGAAACCTTTTCTCAGTAATCCTGCCATTGTGTCAGTTCATTTCTATCGTCGTTTTCATTTTTTCAAGCACAGAAACAGCGAGCCGAAACCGAGCGCCCGACAGCCCCTTGAATGGACATCATCCATCATCGCTTTTCTTCAAAGCCACCTACCCCCATGAGTTGCACTCGATCCTAGTGACCAAACGAAGATCCGCCTATTATTTAAATTCATCCGATCTCAAAAGTTCCCCATGGAATTTATCACATTGTTTGATGCCCTTCGAAACATCCCTGGACGTGACGCCAGCGACGCGCCAGAGATCAGGTAGCAAAGTCTCACCCCGAGCTTGAATCTTGCTATGCAATTTTATACCCCGAGTTTATTGATTGTCGCGACAAGTGCACTGTATCGCGTTTTTATTTCCTGGTGATGTATGCAAGTTCCTCTCGATTGATAATGGATACCAGTTGGAAGATAGCCAGATAGGAACCATCTCACACCAGGATACCCTTCCATGAACCGTGTGCTGGATAGAAAATTATCCTTTTGGTATTATTATATGCTGTTTCGCATTGGCTATTGGTACGTTGCCATTCTCGTTGTCGTGCTTTGCAGGGTGAAAAATGTCATATATACTAATATATCCCTCAATTATAGGCGAAAGCAAGCTCTTTCAGGTGTGACCCGCGTGCCTTTTGGGGGTACAAGGAGGCTCACTGGTCTAATCAGCATCAAGCTGCCCCCGACTTCTGAATCGCGATATGGGACGAAGTTGAAATAAGAATTAACATGTTGCGCCGCCATCCTTGGTGGTTCGCGCCCTGGGCTTAGCAACTCGTGCATGACGTGGAAAGCTCAAAGAGGTCAGAATACGGCAGTTCAATGGAGTCTGGACTCTGGACCCGGGGACTTCTTCCCGAGTGGTCTCTTAGCTAGTGCCCTGGGCGGATCCTGGTCATACGCGTCAAGCTGTAGTCCTCAAGCTGTATTGCTTTTGGAAGCTTTCTAGTTGGATACGTCTTGCTTTGTTTGATCAAAGTGATTCGTCACAATGGAGTCTACCGATCCTCGACCTATGTTCCGCCTACTCTTTGTTGCCATAGTCTTTTGTAACACTATGGTAGATGAGTACGAATGTTGGCCGCGGTTTCCATTGGCGAGAACGGAATCGAATTGGAACTGCGCAGGCAGTGAAATACCCGTCCAACCATGAACAGGGAAAATGACTCTGCTGGGTCCACCACGACACTCAAGGGTCGAAACGGCTCGTGCTGGAGCGATTGTCTGCATAGCGCTTTGCCAGCGGGCGAGTGTGGTTTTGATCATCGGACCAGTCACAAATACGGATGGTGCACCCATCGGTTGGCCACGAACCGACCTGGAGCTCAAGGTGTCGCTCTTGAGCAAATATCAAATTTCATCGAATATCCACTCTGTCGATGCAACCAAAGGCGGTTCGTTTTTGGTGGTTGATGTATACCGCCTTGTTTCATCTCTAGAAAGATAGCGGTCGCGAACGATGGCTGAGAGCATCGATTCTTGTCCAATTCTACGACGGCCATGCTAAGAGACCATCTGCAAGACCGAGAACAACGGACTCTCTTATGAGGAATTCTAAGACGCGACGAAGAAATGATGGGAAGTTATTATTCAGTGGTGGGTCAGGAGGATTTAACCGACTCCTGACTCCTAAATTACCCGGGGCTACATATAGAGGTAGCGCAAACATGCCAGTATGATATGTAGGCTCGGACTTCTACTTCGATTAGCTGCTTGAGACACCCGCAGGTTGCTTTGTTTGGCTATTAACTGCTGCTAGGCTTTTGGTGGGAAACCAATGAACGAAGCCTAACGAAGTCGTCGTTTCTTTTTCAATTGGCGCTGACTGAGGGCAATCCATGCCTGACTTGGGAAGTAATAGCCGGTAGTTATGGGGTTAGTGGATGCTGCAGCCAACATCAGCGTCAGGAGGCCGCTAATAGTTGCTCGCCCATATTGGGAGGCACAAGTGACCTTGAACACTATGGATTATACGGTTATCACTGTTGATGGGCAGGTGTCCTGCAGCGTCAAATCACACTAGGTAAAATTTACCACCTCATTGATATTTCAGGCACTACGATGTATGAAACCCATTCCGGCAACCCAACAATGCTGACTTGGGCGGGCCGAGTCGCCCGTGCTCCCGAAAGCTACCGAAAGCTACCAGAAAGTTAAAAGCTCGACCATGGAAGAGAACAATAGTTGGAGATTGGGAAGCTAACGTCGAGTGTATGGATGTAACAGCAATAATATGCCATTGAATAATGGGTATGAATGCCTCACTCTCTTTTCGGCCTATTTCGCCTTCCATCGGATCCTTACTCCAACCATACTGATCGTCTGTCGGTATACATGCATGCCCTTTCTCGGTCACAAGTCGCGGAAATCAATGTTTTGATAAATTATTTCTAAAACAAATTTGCTGAATATCAACATGAGGGTAAGAAGGCTTGAAGGTCCGTTGAATAGAACCCAGACTTGTTATACGGTGGTGGGTCTTATGAGGATTCCGTTTCCGAATAAGCATATGAGCCCAATGACACCTTGTTATTATCGACTGGTCAGTTCGGGGGTTTAGGGGCCTGGCCACTTATTCAGATCAATCAAAAGGTCTTGGTACGATACCCGAGGATCCGTTCCGGAGAGCACCCATAAGAGCCTACCGATGCGGATCACGCTGATGGATTATGCAATATATATTCTTTCTATGTCGGCCTTGCAATCTCAGGTGGAAAAAAACATAAGTGTTTGGACTCTTCCATTATGGGCGATTCCTTGTATCTATCTGTTCTATTGAGCTGCCTCGTTAGATTGGTTCGTTTTACTCACGCATACCCACTAATGTATTCGCCTATCTTGATGAGGCACCCTCTTCGTTCCCTCAATGAATATTTTAAGATCGTTCTCCATCCCCCACCCCCTCCTCTCTCTACGCATATAAGATTAATGCTATATTCAGCTTTACAATTTTGGCCTCAAACTTTAACCAAAGCAGTAGGAAACAACGGCCGAAAATTTCTACAATGACCGTCATTACGATTTCAAGTGAAGAATTCTTGATCGACACTAAAGCGATTGACGTTTTAAACTGGCCTTTCTCAGACGCTTGCGTGAGGAATATTTATTAACGGCTGCAGACTCCTTGCTTATTTACTCGGAAAAGACATATGCGATGCGGGATGAATATGGCTGCCCAAGTATGGAGTCCAGCACTGGCCAATGAGCTTGGTGAGGATTACCAGAGAGCAGAAACAACGCTGATTTGTACGTTGGGATGGAGTGCGCCTTTTTCCTATGAAATCATTGATGCCAGGTTTTTTCTTTCACTCCGAATCTAATTGATTCATCGCAACCCCCATCTTCTTTCTTTCTATATATTCAGCATCGCAGTATACTATCTTTAAAAGCGGAAATAGGTATTCCTCGCAAATACAGTCTAAACGATGACAATTCACTACGTACATTATAAAGGATCGCAATAATGGAATTGAGAAATACAACAACTGACGACGGCGGAAAATACGAGTTGTTGATAGTGTCCACTGGTATTACGACAATTTTAGTGGTGTGAGTAATGTTTTCAAGTCCACGATTTTGTCTTGATTTATTCTCAGTGTTTAATTTTAAAAAATAGTTACTATTATTCATATGAGGTTCTGGTCTAAGTGTACATTGTGGGTGAGATTATCGTCTATGTCGAGGGTGTCTTTCCTCTCGAGAGGAAACACTGTCGATTTCGATTCCATCTCGATCCAATTATAGCAAGGCCTAATGGAGACTATGTAGTGTAGTTAATGCGGTTACTATATTATACCTAATACAGTTAATACCGCTTTCTAGCGGGATAATGGAAAACGAGCAGGCCTTCAGAGGAAACGTGCCGTAGCGACGGCCCTAATTGGATAGCCTTGGCAGATCTGTCGCTCAACACCACGTTTATTCGGAGATGGCCAACGTCGTACGTTAAAAGCGAGCGCTCAGCCAGCTAAGCAAGTCAACCTCGCCTTCGGTTGCAACGTTACCCATCATGTATTGTCGTTGCTCTCTTCTTCTCGCTGTTCTGAGTAGCTGCATTAGTCAGCTTGCTTCTGCAAGATCCTCCGGTTCCCAGGTGCTCGCATATACCGTACCTGCTGACTTCCCAACAAGCCTCTTTCCGTCCTACTATGTTCCGCCTTCGCCTACTCAACAAGTAAGTCTGGCCCAGGCTAGACGGCCGCGGTGGACAAGTTGTCTGAATAGAATCTAGCCACAACCAATCATTCACGACACGGCATTGAATTATACCTACCCTCTTGCCTTGACAGATCCGTACAACATTCCCCAAGAAGATGACGATCGAATTTACTATCCCGCCCCGCTGTATAATGTGTCAAACGGGAGTGCTATTGCTGCACACGCCATCAAGCAAGTGCAATCAATCATCGCTGGAAGCGGGTCGAACTGTACGAAATGCATTTCAGCGTTGAAAGTGGGCCAATATGTAGCCCAACGAGTGCCATCGGTGCTTCCGGACTTGCTGGTCAGGCTTTGCCAGAGTACTAACTTCAGTTCCAATACAACCTGCCAACAAAACTATGAAGCAACGACATTCGGTGCTGTCTGGACTCAGGTCCTCGCGCTGGCCGATGTTGCCCGGTTAGATGGCCAGTATATCTGTAACTCGATCTCGAGCTCTTTCTGTCCAATGCCCTCAACTCTCCCGTCGAACACCACGGGTTACTTTGGACCAAAACCAGCACATGTAAAAGTAACCAAACCAAGCGGCAAGCGTGTGAAGGTTTTGCATATGAGTGATCTGCACATTGGCCCTCGATATGCTGTCGGGGCTGAGGCCAGTTGTTCCAGAGGACCTTGCTGTCGTGCCAATGTAGGAAGCACTTCTGGAAAGATTGCACTCCCCGCAGCGCTTTATGGGTCATTCAAGTGCGACAGCCCTTACTTCCTTTTGACTTCCGCTTTGGAGTCCCTCGCCCCATTGACCGGAACTAGCCACAAAAACCACTCCCATGGCGAGCAGTTCGCGTGGACTATCTATACCGGTGATGTAGTGTCTCATGACAGCCAAAACCAATTGTCCCGGAATTACACCATGTATTCCGAGTGGTCCATCTATCATATGCTCAAGGCCTATATTCCCAGTGGGCCAATCTTCCCAGTGCTGGGAAATCATGACAGCAATCCCGGTAGGGCTTGATTGGAAACAGCAATTGCATTCCTGCTAATCAAAGCACAGAGGCCATTGATGCACCACACTCGCTGCCAGGAAACCTTGGTCAACAACAGTAGGTTTCCTGATGCGTTTCTCGGGGTTTCTCTAACGTGACCAGGTCCTGGAATTACGACCATGTTGCCTCGCTCTGGCAACAAAATAACTGGATCACTCCTGCGGCAGCCAATGAAGCTCGCATGCATTATGCTGCTTACAGCATCAATCATCCTGCATATCCCAAGCTGAGAATCATTACCCTCAATACTGATTTCTTCTACAAGTCAAACTTCTTCAACTACATGTAAGCGATCGGCCTAGTCGGTGAATCCTATCTCACAGTATTACAGCAATACTACGAATCCGGATAACAGCGGAAATCTCAAATTCCTCGCCGACGAGCTTCAAGATGCAGAGAATAAGGGAGAACGAGCTTGGGTCCTAGGACACGTCCTGACAGGATGGGATGGTTCAAACCCTCTGCCCAACCCGACTGGTGAGGGAGCTTCTAGGGATCAAAGATGTCGACGGCATGAAACTGATGACTCTCTCAGATCTTTTCTACCAAATTATCGACCGCTACTCTCCACACGTCATTGCCGGTGTCTTCTTCGGTCACACCCACGAGGATCAATTCATGATCTACTATGCCAACAACGGCACAGTCCAAGATGCCGCTCATGCTCTGAACGTGGGCTGGATTGGTCCTAGTGTGGTACCACTCACCAACCTCAACAGCGGCTACCGCGTGTATGAAGTTGACACTGGTGATTTCAGCGTCTACGACGCCTACACATATTACACTAATGTCAGTGCCTTCGGGAGCCTCAATACTAGCGAAACTGGCCCAGTCTGGAAATTCGAGTACTCCACCCGCGATGCTTATCCGATCGGATGGCCAAAAACTGCCCCGTTGAATGCCACTTACTGGCACAAGATCACCGAGGCTATGTCGGCCAATCATAGCCTTGTCAGCCAGTTCAACACCTTACAAGGCAAGATGAGTGTCCAGACTCCTAATTGTACCAACACGGCCTGTGCTCTAGCCAAGATCTGTTACATGCGTAGCGGAAGCGTGGCTCTCGGGAAGCAATGTCCTCAAGGGTAAGTCGCGTTACCAAGGAGAAAGGGGCTTTTTTGCTAACATTGTTATTCTAGATTCAACTCAGTCCAGGGTCCTTTCACCGGCAAGAACTTCTAGTTGGCTGAAGGAACTAGCATATATGCGCTAGCGTTGTTAGATAATAAATTATAACATGCCGAGTCGGCCAATTGACCAACCAATACATGTTTTTGAACGAGGGATTCTTCAATATAGCGGACAAAGGCTTTTATAGTCAATCAGATACCCTGATTTTATGTGGCAGGCTAAAATGTAATCACCGACTCGAGGCGGTTTAGGTATCAAGTAAAGGACCTTAATAGTCAACGTTCAGGCTTATTTAGGGGGATCATGGTGGTCTAGATTCAAGGGATACTTTATCCTGTTATGTCCTGTATTTCAGCATAGAGAGAATTGGGCAGGGTAACGTAACTGCTCTGCATCTGAATGCAGCTATGTCCTAACATTACGCCCTTCTTCTCTCCAAATTGAGCAGTGTCTAGCTGGCCGGGGTGGTCGGGGTGGCTGGACCTTTTCCCTCTTTAGCTTCCTTTGTTTTTTTTTGACAATTGAAGCACTTGTACTTTGTCTTCATGAAATCGTTTTTTCTTGGCGTAGTACATGTATTGATTGTGTGTCCACTGCTTTTACAATAGCCATTCCAGGGTAGGCCCTTAAACTCGCATGGAAAATGGGAAGTATGCTGTACTCTGTCTGATGCCCTTTCTCCCAAATGGCCGCTAGCCAGTGGGCATACAGTGCTTCGGTAAAGACCATCGTCGTCTTTCAGTAGATATACTCATCTGAGCCACGGGGAGGATGATGCTTTGCCTTACAAAACATCACAAATGTATCTCTTCTAAGGGCTGAGACTTGGTTAAGGAGTTCATGATGAAAAGAGCCCTTTGAACTATAAAGACCAAATCAGTTAGTGATCATTGTTGCTGACAGACTCATCGTATTCTTATATCAATATAAAATATAGTTGAGCATATATGTCAGGTGACTCGTACCGGCAATTCGTTTATATTGGCCGATAATTTTATAGTTTCTTAGTAAGCGAAATTGAAAAGGCAGTGCCCAATAGTTAAGATACGTGTAACTACTCAACCTAGGACAACTTCCTCAAACGATCTGTTAGTACATTTAGGTAGAGTATTATCACTGCGTTTTCGGCTCCTAGTGTTTGTTGAGGGAAGTAGAGAAATTCCTGGCGTTATATACTGGACTTGTATGCTAGAAAGTTTAGGGTGTGCAAGGAGATCCGTGTGGCTCTTGGAAAAAATGTTTTTTTGAAACTCACTTATCATTCATCTCTTTAAACAATTTATTCGGCCGAGAGGAAGGAAAGACAAAGCCCATCGTTAGGAGACCGTCTCCCAAAGCATATTGGAATGTGCCCATCATTGCTTCCTACGAGTGTACTAGGCAATGACCCTGCATTTATGGTCTAAAACTTAGGGGACATGACTAGCCTCATCATTAGCGTAATCTTTTCTTCTCTATTAATCACTCTTACGAAGTAGACAACCATTTTTTTTATAGGATAATTAGGTGATGGTATAGAGGTCCTAGTCTGGAAGTCCTTCAAGCGCACAATGTTCTGTGAGTAAATCATAAATAGTTGCGGTGGTATAATTAGTGTGTTGTATAGGTATTCTACCGTTCCTTCCATATAATAACCGATACATTTCATTACTCGAGTGTTCTCCCCTAATTTCGTGGGGAATAAAATCGAAAACGGATTTCTACGATACAATTCCGCTTCGAGGACCCTAGATGTTAACTTTACCATGGAAATGTTAGCCATTTGCATTTTCATGTGATACCCACAGACATTTGGCCGGCAAATCCCGGAATACGGGCATCGTAGAGATTAGTCTTGTGAAAACGTCGGTATGGACTATGATGGAGGCTTCCAAGGGCGCACATCTTCCGGTGAACCCATTGCATATGAATAGATAGAGCGTCGCTGCCTCCCACATCATAGTGCATATTGTTACTTCAATGGATAACTTGATACAGTAATAATTCACCAACAAGTACCGACGTTCTGGGGCGTCAGCCGTGTTGGGTTGCACAGAATGCATACCCCGAGATATCCCCGAACATTGAAGGCTATCGGGACACTGGCCAATGCAGAGGCGACACTCTTGTAGCCCTTTCCCCACCCGTTGACTGACCGCTCGGCGCTTTCTCGGCATCCCTCCTCAAGTGCACCAGTCCCGAAATCCACGTCCACCATTCAGAAAGGCTGCTCGCCTGGTCCTGCGCCATTTTTGGTACTTCCAGTGTCCCTATGACACCCGGCCGTGTCAGAACTGACCTAAATTGGTCTAGAAAATACTGATTGGGTACTATCGGTTTTGTATAGAAGGGGCTAGCACCCCAGATCTCAAATGCCGTGCAGACCAGTGCATATCGCCACAAGTGCTCTAATTGCAATGTACGACACGCAAAACTGTTTCGTTATGTGAACAACAGTTTTCTGGAGATATTAGATGATGCCGATATCCCCAGGGTTAAATACGATTAGCACCCCTAAATCCGGCCACCGGGCCACCCCGGTACGGAAATCGCGAGCGCCAAAATCGTGCTATCCATGTTACAAAAGGAAGGTAAAATGCGATCGCAAGTCTCCGTGCTCATTATGTGTGAAGCGAGGCTACGCTCATCTATGTACATTCGTCCATCCGTCGCGAGATGAAAAGACATCGCAGTCACCGACCGATCGGATAAGTGAGAGCAGCCAGAACCAAGGTTGTTGTGAGAATGGGGTTCAGACAAATACTCGCCAGGTTACTATTATGAGAGATTCGCAGACCGTGTCGGTTGACACCCAAGAATGGCGAACTATCAATGATAGGCTGGTAGAGTTGAGCCATAGTATAGCGTCGTTGCGGTCCCAACTCGAAACATCGTCCAGTACTCCGACAACATCACCGTCCTCTTCGGAGGATGACCATTCACCAAAGACAGTTAGCAATAACGAAGAGATAACAGGAGGGGTACGAATGAGGAATGCCTTCGGCGGCTCCCCAATTCATTGCGGGTCTGACTCGGTTTTGGCTTTTCTTCTGGAAAAGCCTCAAAGATCAATTTTCAAAGAAGAAAATGTCTTATCCCAGCTTGGATTAGAAAACTCTTCGGCAACATATCCATTTCTTGATCTGTGGTCATCCGACATCTCCTCCTACAGCAATGGGTCTGTATGTGCCGCTCTTCCGGAGGATAGAATTTGCCGGGGGTAAGGACTGGATTAGTTTGTTATGAAAGTTACTCTAGCTCACAATAGGTGATAGACTCTTGCGTTCCTATCGCGACGTCCGGATGACACTATACCCCGTCATAGCAGACTTCGACCGTTTTGAGCAGGACGTTCAAGCTCTGCTGAAGAATAGAGCTCTGGAAGGTCTTTCGACAAGCCATGCAATGGCTTCCATAGAGCAGTTTGGCTTCAGCATAGCATTTGTGGGGATACTTTTCGCAGTCCTTGCATCTGGGTGTCAGGTCTCAGAATTTTCAAAGAATAAGATGGCGTCTTCGCGCCAAACATACGGTATTAAAGTTCTTTGAATTAACCTGCCATAAGCTGACAGGTCTAGTCTCATGTGCATACCAGTGTCTTCGAAACTCCAACTTTCTATCCCGTCCGACTATGGAAGCTGTTCAAACTCTTCTTATACTCGGAGATGTTCTATCGTACGATATGAACCCTGGTATTGCTTATACAACATTCGGTGAGTGGGCTTCTGGTTTTCTCAACCTTCGTGCTGATAATTGTAGGTGTTGCCCAGCGAATGGCCTTGACCCTTGGCCTTCATGCCGAATCAGCCGTATTCAAAGACCCGGGAGCATATAGACGACAACAACTTTGGTAAGAATCATTTCTCGTATTAAACGTTGTCAACTAACCTTTTAAACTTGTAACAGGTGGTCCATGGCCTGGCAAGATAGCCATTTTGGACTCTCATATGACCGTCCTGTCGAAACACTGTCTGCGTACCCTCAAATCCCCCGTCTACAAGGGTCACGTCCAGGAATGCGTGGATACTTTGAAACGATGTGTTCTGTCATTTCGCTCATTTTGCAACTCCTTCGTGACGAAGTCTTACTAGGAAGCGATATCACCGATCGAACTATACCAACATACAAAATCGAGCTCAATAAGATATTAGCAGACGCAGAGCCATATCTTCAAAGCGAAGATCACTGTTTCACGCTCAAAGACCACATTGAGCGACTCGCTTTGAAGCTAAGGTCGTCTTATCTCGTGTCGGAAATATGCCGAAGGTCTTTAAAACAGCCCTCCTCAACGGGCGACAAAACGCCACGTCTGTGCAACGAGTGCATTGAAAGCCTTGTAGACACGATAGAGGCGTATATTGAACTACACGCAATAATTCCCCATGGTTCCCGCTCGTGGATTCATCTTCATAGTGCCATCAGTTCGGCCTTCCTCCTCTCCGTGGACGAGACCGCACAATCAAAGCCAAGCACATGGTCTATTCTCGAGCGACTGGAGAAAGTTCTCTGTGATCTGACCACATCGGCCGAAAGTGCTGATCACCAGGCCCATAGCCCAACGTCAAAGAATAGCATGTCTCCTGATACCGCGCTGGACTTCTCTACTGGCGACTACTTCTCATCTGTGCCACGCGAAACGAACGATTTCTCTTCATCTCTCGGACAAACTTTTATGCTTTCTAACTTTCCTCTGTGTCCGGAATCTCCGACAACCATATCCCCAAAGCTAGATAATACTTCTAATGGGGCTGTCGATTTCCTATCCGGGACTCTGAGCAGTTTGCGGAAGATAATTGCGGGATTTGAAACGCGCAGAGCCAAGATAGGTGATGTAGAGACTAGTGAAAAGACCCCGTCATGCTGTGCGTCGCGATGCAGCCGTTAGTTTCAAAAATAGATACATCGTATCAGTTTATTTTGCGCAACCTTGGTGTTTTGAAATATGAAATGAATAACATAACATTTCTATCCAGTCATCTATAAAGAGAAAGTCGTCCATGAATTAAAACCTAACTGCAATCCCCATTATCAATTTCTTAATCACACTTTCCAGACCCGCCATATTATCTCTTTTCTTTCCAAATTTCCTCGCAACTTTTCATTGTCTGCTTTCAATTTTTCTATCTCTGCAATATACCGCTCACGATGACGCAGTGCCGATTCAAACAATGCGTCTACAACACCGCTTGTCTCTTTAGTGGTACCATCTGTTGTTCGCTGATGCATCTCCGAAAAGTCGGTATTGTTTTCGGTCTTGACAGTACCACTATTGCCGGCCTGCAGCAAAGCGGAATGTGCACAATCGAGCTGGGCCCGGAGATCAGAATTCGCAGATTCCAGTTCCAGAACACGCTGTTCCATCGCTGCTGTCTTGGCTGCTTGCCATAAATCGGCGCTATTCGGTTGAGGAAGCGACTGTCGCTTACTTGTCATGGGCGATGTCCGTTGTTTTTCCAGCGTTTGATTTGACGACGATGATTGTTGCGCCCAAGTTGCTCGTGCCAGTTTCTCGCGCAGTTCGAAGACATTTTTCAGATCATCATCGCGGAGTCTGCGGATCGCTTCATGTTCTCGGCGTTCGTCGGCAAGTAAAACCCTCGTTTTTATTGTGCTGGCAAGATCTTCATCTCGCAGTGCGTAGAGTGCTTCGTGCCTGGATTGGAGTGAGGCATTTCTTGCCTCTACCTCGGACAGACGGGTTTGAAGGTCTACATAGTCTGAGGCCATGACAGTGGGTTGGCTAGATTCTAAAGCCGCGACTTTGGATAATAGGTCGAGTAATTGTGTTTCTAAAGGCCCTGGTATCTGGGTTACTGGCTGTGCAGCAGGTACTTCATCATCGTCTATAGCTGTCGTCATCACAGATATTGGTCTCGACAATCCGTGCTCTTCTTCTGACGGCTCTGGAGAATTAGAAGAGTCTGAGAATGGCTCAAGGTTGGCAGCATTCTGAGACACTTTTGGGGTCTTGGGCTCGTGCTCTACCAAGATCGGAATGCTTTCACTTTCGGCATGAACCAGACCTGCTTTTGTCCCAACCCCATAAAAGACAGACTCCATGTGCGGCGCGTCGATATTTCGGATATATAGACCCGCGTCTTGCAACTGCAGTGTTTCCAAGTCTGTAGATGTTGTTGACGGGGGCATGGGCCATATGGATGAACGTGTGTGTTGGTGATTAGGGTCCTCATCTGCCAAACCAGCGGCAGTTGAAGAAGATTGCCCGGAGAGTGACGGAACGGAAGAGTGAACAGAAGGTGATCGCGAGCGATGAAAATTGGTCATCCACATTTCAGAGTCCCGTGGAAAGGCCTTTGGTTCGAAGAGCTGTTCATCGACTGCAGCGCGCAGGTCGACATTTTTCGCGCTTGAGCGCGAGGAAGATGGACTGTGAACTGCCCACATTATAGAACGAAGTATATACAAACGAATATAATTTAATGCTGGGTGGAAATGAGCTGTATCAAAGAGCAAAGATGGTGTTCAGAAATTTCTACTCCAAAAATTAGAACTAAAAGCTATCTTATATTTCAGCGCTAGTGTCAATTGATCCCTCTTATTTTGCGACAGTCAGGGGGGCCAATCCGCTGAGACATACTGCAACTACAGCAAGCACCCAGGAAAATTCACGTCCTAGTATCATATAAGAAGCAAACAGAGAACTGTAGCCCCAAAGTCCAGCTCTCCGCGTCCTTTTCCAGGAGTTGCGACAATGGTGCGGAGACCGGCTGTGGTCGCCTGTTACTGACCTGAAACGCTCCATGTCGGAAAGCCGCAGCTCTCTGGGGCCGTTCCCTTTCGCAGCTAGGGCTTTTGGTGCCTTCGGCGGATATTTGGTGGCCTCGGGGGGTTCTCCTGGACCCTTACCTACATAAATACAATGTGCAGCGGCCGCTTTACGCTGAACCTGTTCAGCCGCGTGCTCAGCGCCTGTAGGTGCCACTCGGTAGGTTATCAATAAGCAGGTCGAGCCCGGGAGAGGCACGCTCACTGAGCGCCCCGAGACCTACATTTATTTCATCACGCTCAGTTTCACTACATGTACTTCTTCCACAGCCAAACGCCATAAAGACATAATTTAATCAATATGTATCTAAATTATCCCAGGATATATACTCAAAAATATTCCATTCACTCTTATTCACTCAAAAAGATATATAGTTTATTTAAAGATACCATGACAATAGAATACTTAACAAAATACAATAAACATTCGAGGAATTCTTTTCATTAAAGTACAGTAATCATTGTATTCTATTATTATCCCCAAGTCTATGAAATAAGAGAATAAACTAGGCCATTTTTGCGTACTTCATAACCCCTCCCGTTCAAATGTTGTTCGCCGCCATAGTTTACGTAAAGATTAATTTAGATGATATAGCAAATAGAGATAGAAGTCTCAATAAGTAGATTAATGGTACGAAGCTAGGTATAAAGGCTGAAAGCCTTTGTATAAATCTTCGGATCGTATCACGTGACTTATGTAGTTGTAGTGCTTACTATATACTCCAAGATCTATATTTGTAAAATAGTATTGCGTGATACGACGCAATCCCGAGAGAAGTCGCATCATCGTCATTTACACTAGAATATAAAGAATGAAAGGTTCAAAGTTGTATGTTTTGTTGAGAATTTGAAAAAAAAACCTGAAAGTTTTCTGAAGTCCGGGGAAAAAAGTGCATAAAGAAAGAAATAAAAAAGTAGAAACGAAAAAAAAATGCCTCAGCCAGAATTCATTAGTCTCACCTTTCCGAACGCATCGACCGAGATCAATCCGATTCCGAATGCTGGAATTGACCCAAATTATCTCGTTCGATATGCTAGGACGTTGGATGATTATGGCTTTAACTACACCTTAGTGCCTTACGATTCATCATACTTTGATCCCTTCACGGTTGGAGCGACCATCGCCTCTGTGACCAAAAACATCAAGGTGATAATAGCACTTCGACCGAATACGCTCTATCCAACTGTTGCCGCCAAAGCTCTGGCAACCCTCGACCAGCTTAGTACCGGTCGTGTCGTTGTCCACCTCATCGCTGGCGGCAGCGACGCAGAACAAGCAAAGGAAGGTGACTTCCTGACCAAGGATCAGCGCTACGGACGCCTGGAGGAATACATCCGTATTCTGCGTCGCGCGTGGGAGTCTGCAGATCCATTTGACTGGGAAGGACAGTATTTCCAATTTAAGCAGTTTAGCAATAAGGTGCGTCCAACCAATGGAACTATTCCAGTGTCTGTCGGCGGTTCTTCCGACGAGGCGTATCGTATTGGCGGTTCCCTTGGCGATATCTTTGGGCTATGGGGTGAACCCCTCAAGGAGACCAAAGAGCAGATTGACCGAATCTATGCCGAGGCAGAAAAGGCAGGTCGCACTGATCGACCTCGGATTTGGGTCACGTTTCGGCCTATTGTTGCTGAAACCGAGGATCTTGCCTGGGAGAAAGCACACCGGATACTTGACGTGCTCAATACAAACCGAGCCAAAGGGCAAGGGAAGGCTCCAGTGAACGCCCCTCCTCCGCAGAATGTGGGTTCTCAACGCCTGCTTGAAATAGCTGCTCGTGGAGAGGTTCAAGACCGCGCCCTTTGGTATCCTACTGTGACTGCAACTAATGCACGTGGAGCATCAACAGCCTTGGTCGGATCACCGCAAACTATTGCCGACTCGATTTTGGATTATATTGACCTCGGCGCTGATCTAATCTCTATTCGTGGATATGACAATCTCAATGATGCTATTGATTATGGGCGCTATATACTGCCTAGAGTTCGGGAACGGCTAAAGCAGGAAAGTGAGTCTTAGAAGACTTTTGAAGGTATTGCCTCATCATGACTGTTATATATGTATGCATGTGAGGAAAATAGAAGTTATAGTTCTATTTAGATAGCCTGCTTATGAACCAGGATATTAAGAAAAGGCCTAGTTATATTCTATTGCTATGGAGTCTTTGCAAGTGAGTACTTAAGGAGCTGGATACCGAGGATTCGAAACATCTCGATCGTTATTTTAGGATGGACGAAAGAATTAAGGTCCAGGCTGCTTTTAGTCTTGTAGGGATACAAATATAGCACCTCAGGCATATTGCTAGAAAGCGAAATGGATATGGTTTTGTGGCGCATCAGACTGCTTTTCACAGCATTCTTAGTTACCATCGGTATATTGATAGCTACACCTGCCCTATAGGTATACAGCATCCTTTGCCAAATTACTGTGATTTTCATAGTTTTGAAGGGTATTGATGACTTTAGTGTTAGAGGCGAATATTAACCGAGTGCAGGAGCAAGGTTAGCAAAGTCTAGAAAGCTGTAAAGGGTGACCAAAAAGTAGACAATGCTTTAAACACGTTTTATGTCTAACCACAAAATATGAAGTAATAATAACAAACTGGTGATGAGCAACTATAAGATGGAACATGCCCTAGTTAAAGCATTCAAGCTTTGCTGACCCAAAGTAAAATGTCAGAAGATTCGATAAATCACAGCCAACCGATAAGTACGTGGACGCTACTTAGAATATCAGTTTTTAAGGACAGAAACAGGCTGCAGGTTACTGCTATGAGAATAGCTGATGGTGTCAGCACAAGGGATCGCTTAATAGCAATATCTATTAATAGGAATGCTTTAGGGCTTCTGACAAGATGTGATGTCAGCAAGGCACATAGCAAGCGCTACGATATAGCAAAGCAGGCAATACGACATATCGAGTCTAGCAATTCAATATAGAAAATATATAAGGACACTCATTTACCAACATGTATCTAGTCTATAGTGTTTTATTCTCTCAAGGAATAGCATACTACTATTTACTCTTCAACATACTTTAGCCTATCACTGCGATAGTACCGACTTCCCTCATACGTTTACTACTTGCCTTCAGAAAATAGAATACAGTACCCACCGCAGTCCACACCTTAGTAACGAGTTGTTGAACCGTTTCGACATAAACATGGTCAGGGGTATCGATCATGATAGTGACGTAAAAAGATAATTATTATAGTAAAATAAAATATACTTTAAAGCATCCAAATATTGCTGAATCAGATAGGAAGATGATAAGGATCAATCAAGGTGAGTGTTTAAAGCCGGTGCGATGAGCCGTAAAAAAAAAGGACATGAGCTTGAAAACTTTTTAAGTGACAGAATCGGTCTCAATTTACAATTTACGATTTTATTTAAAGAGACGCCATAGTCGTGTAAATAATACCGTAGAAAAGCCTACAAGTCTCTGATAAGATAATATATTGGCCTGTCGAATCTGAATTTAAACAATGAATCTAAGTAATATTTCAGTCTCAAGTCATTGAATATATGTCACAATAGCATTTCTGATCCTTGTTCGAGTTACGTGGTTTTGAGATGAATTCCCCACAAGCGATCAACCAGCCAACGGACAGGATATTTCAGAGGCGAGATATATTCTGGCAAATAAAGATACCAGTCATCATCATCAACTAGGCTCAGGGTACGTGTCAATACAGTAGACTCATGGTAGGCAGGATAGAAGCCACTGTCCCCCCAATCGATAATTCCGGTAACAACATAGCCGTCAATACTAGGATCCTTCTTCACTATAATGTTTTCAGTCCTCACATCGCCATGGGTGAACACTAATCCGTGCGTCAAAGTGGAATAGTCATTCTCTAGAAAGGAACGAAGAAGCTTCACGTAAGTAGCGCTGCCATGGTGAACAGCCGAAAATTGCAGTTCGTTGAACTGTGTGGCTGTGGTGATGTCTTTGAACAAGGCGCATTCATTGACCCGAAGTTCTTTAACCCCTTCACCACATACCCCCCCAAGCATATTACTGTCTTCGTGTTGGATGGTTCTTAGTCGGCAGAAAATATTATCCAGTTGGCGTTGTATAGATAGCTTCTCCTTACATGACAGGTTAGGCCATACTTGAGCCAGTGTTATATCTGGAATGTACGACATAAATATCACGCGAAAAGAGCCTAACGCGATTAGACCATGCGGTCTCGGAGCGGGAATATCAGGCGCCTCTCTTGCAAGGTATTCCATGCTCGTATATTCCGTGTAGTCCTTGTTTCCTGTGATTACCTTGGCAACAATATCATTGTTACATTTAACCACAACGCCTCTCACAGGACTTTCTCACAGTTTTGGCGAATCCCAAAGGACTTTTTTTAAGGATAAGATGAGCGGGTTCTCTAAGTCATTCGACCCATCCGACCGGTCTCCAGAATGTCGCGCAAGCAAGCTGTTGACCTCTTCTGATAATGGATATACAATCGTAGCAGTCTCAGCGAGCTCAAGGCGAGTTCGGAACTCGGGCTGACTATCCTCAGAAGATTCTTTTTCTGCAGACGGCATAAGCTTAGGTCCAGTCGCCATAGTAATCCTTCGAGTGTAATTTTTCGGAAATACAGATAGCAAGTTGACTTCCGGCTCATTTCTGAGGGTACCATTAAGCTCGTCTAATGTTCGGCGATTAATTTGCGCAGCGTAAGATAGATGGCGATACTCGGCGTTTCGATGCTCGCGACGATAGAAATCGTGGAACATAGACATGAGATCCACCAACGGATTGTTCTCCAGGGCAGCCTGGAATTCTCGCATCAGATTTCTGTTCCATTGCACAGCGTCAGGACTAAGAAGTGAAAGAGCCGACGTAGTTCCGTCCATAATACGCAAGCATTTGAGCGGGATGGAATAGAATGTTTTCAGGACGAGTTGTCTGGAGACGGGGCGGGAGGAGTTTGTTTATATTTGAGGGAACGGGGACACTACCGGCGGCTAAACCCAACTTTTTCTATCCCATGAAGCCTCCCACACAAAAATAACTTTCGTTTTTGCAGGGCTTTTTCCTTTTTAGAGCCCTGATCAATGAAATCATTTGGCGTTTTTTTATCAGGGATAGGATAAAACGAATACTACCTCTATTAGCTTTGTAATATATTGATTCAAGTACAATACCAGCTGTGATACACAAGAGTACCAAATGCCGCTGCTATCGGCACAGAATGTCCTCATCCGGCCAGTATCTCGAAGCCTGATGCCGAGAAAGATGTCGGCATTACTAAGATGACTTATTTCATATGCCTTTCTAATAAGGGTTTGACTACGTCGGTCTCGGCGTTGCCTCCTTTGCTTTTTCTCGTTTTTCAAAGTTTTGGAGGCAGACGCCTTCTCATCCACACCAGATCTAGGTAGTTTCGCTTTATCTTTGATCTATTCGCGTTTCATATTGTCAAAGGTCGGTGAGATTTCAAGAAGCAATCATGGTTATAAGCAAAATAAATACTACCAGTTCTGTCATGGTTCACAAAACCATCGCTTCGACTCTATGAATAGAAGCTACGACAATTTCCATGATAAACCGTGGCATCCTGTGTAAGTCAGCGATAAAATGCCATAATTTCATGGAGTGAGCTGTCTATCACGGTAGTGGAGCTCCTGATAAAGCACGTTATTGGTGTTTCAGGAGCGACTAATAAACTCAAGAATTAAATTTAGCCCGGCACTAATGTGTTAACCTATATAAGTATAGTATGGGGGCTTCGCTATTGATCCTTATCTCTTTGTATATTAAGCAGAAAATTGCCAAAGCTCTAATTCCAACATGTAGGCTCTCAATATTGGGCCAGTCTCAATATCGTACTCGCTTTGATATTGTAAGCTCTCAATGTCGGGTCAGTCTCAGTATCGTACCCGTTTCAACATCGTACCCGAACCCTTTGCAGCTACCGGCTTGTCCCATACCCTGTGGTCTGCTGCCCCGCGTGAGAAGATATGCCATATGGGCTGCCACGACTTTCTATCCTATGTAGTCTATTAACCCCCTGTGGGATGACATCCCCTATATGGCAGCCATGATTTATCCATCCCTTGCGGGCTGCTGACCCCTGTGGGATGACATCCCATAGGGATGCCACAGTTTGTCCATCCCCTGCTGCTGCTGTATGATCAGTCTTATCAGCCATCGTGCTTCCTCTGGGATTGTTTGGGAGAGTCTGATCGTAACGATTCTGCGGGAGTGTCGGTTGCAGCTTGTACTAAAGCAGTCTGGTATCAGATTTATCAAAAACTGGAACAACACAGTGAAAGTAGTTCTCCAACTGTTACTGACGGTGGAGAGTACTGTTATTCCCTACGCCAGCGGGAAATGACATTAGTCTTAGTCCTCGTCGGAATACTCATCCCACTGTCCTCTTAAGGATTGGATTAACCGCGCCGTACTCCATCCCGTGATTCTTTCGACAGTAATGAGCAGATCCTCCGCGGCTGCTTGGTCCAGCCGATGGCGGAGAACACCACCCCAGGCGGACAAGCAGTGCCTTGCAGTGAAGAGGGCATTCTCTGCCTTGGCATTGGACTGAGCGAGGCCGAGCACGACCAAGAGGTGGTGACAAACACATCTCTGCGAATATACAGGTCAGTCAACCATCACACTATTTACCAGGTCCCTCATTCTTCGATGTCTTACCTCGATGGAACGTCCTCGCCGCAAGCTCTCGTATGCGTTAGAAAGGGTTGGCTGTGTCGACACTGCCAGTAGAATCTTGGCGATGTGGTAGTATTGCAGACCCACGACTACGAGAAGGTCATCAAATAGTCAGCTCAGAAGTTGGCGACGTGGCATGTCTTACTGACCATGAACCGGGGACAACATCCAAATCTCTGGAATCCGGCGCTCCTTCTCACGACTGCGGGGCACGAAACGAATGGGATCAAAGGTGTTCGGCCGGCTCATGCGCCAATCTTCCACCTCGTTGTCGAGCTGGCACAAGATCTTTATCGTCGTCACGGAGGGCCCGCCGCGAAACGCACAGCTCAGGGCCTTTGCCAACAAATAAACTATCCTATTGGCCCAGGCAAAGTCGTCGTCATCTTCGAAGACACGAGAGTGGGAAAACTTCTCGAGGTTTGTTCGCAGCGGTTGTTGGGAAACTAGTGATATGTAAATATCCTGCCGGAGGCACAGCCACGCTGTCGCCTCCCGAAGACCCCCCGAGAATCCAAATTCCGGGGTTGAGTTCAACATGCGCGTCGTTCCAGACAGATGAAATTGAAAGTCTTCGGCTGTTTTGCAGGTCATATCAGAAATCAGTGCCTGTAGCTTAGTAAAGTTTCAAAAGGCTCACCATCCATTTCTTCGAACTGACGAAGTATCGCCGCAGACGCCAGGATTTCGTCACTGCCTTCGTCTTCTTCTGAAGCATCAAGAGCAGCTATGAGAAGCTGAAGACACTGAGAGTGGTAGTGTAATGCCTCTGTTTCGTCACCTCGCGGCCCGCGATTGAGATGGCGTGATGAGAAGGCAAAAATTGCATAGCGCAGGACGGGTTGGTATAATGCTCGGCGTGGCACTTCGATTTCAAAATGTCGCTTTGGATCCGTCACATCGGCCTAGGCACGACGCTTCAATACAAGAACAACAAGTTATAACGAGGATTCTCGTTACTCACCCACAATGCCATCTTCTCGATAAAGTTACGCATGAGCACTGCCTCACGATCGCTGAGAGAGGGATTCATACAGAGAGAAGTCGAGAAAAGATCACCAACTCGAGGGGACGTCATGTCCAGTGAGTTGTGCACGACCGTCGGGCTTTGGGAGTGGCTGTCTGGGCTGCCAAATGGACTGTAGTCTACAGTCAAATTAGCTGAAGGCTCCAGGAACAGGCCCAAGGTACTAGAGTAAGTGGATTGGATCTATATTACGGTTTGGCTGTGGGCTTATATGTAATGGAGGGCGGGGAGGCTTGGGGTGACCCCAAGTAGCCTCTGGTTCCACTCCATGCTGTTGGACGAGACCCGAATCATTGTTGGCATCGAGTTCTGGAATCGAACGCGATGATAATGAAGGCAGCGCGAAAGAAGATGAATCAGAGTCGTACTCTCTTGCCACCGCTGACGTCTCGTCGCAAAATCGAACTATAGCGATCCGTCGTTGATACTTGCACAGCTTTTGCTTCAGACATGGTGATTCAACTTACGAGAACCTTGTGGGCGCAGCCAGAGCTTTCTTTCAGGGAATGCCGCCTCCCAGTCTTCTGAAACCGCGATGACATGTCGAAATCGAATCTTGATGTCGCGATTGCAGGGGATGCCGATCTGTTCGCAGTTCCAACAAGGAGTGTCGGTATCACCTTCAAGAACGATGAGAAATCAGGTCCCTAGCCTATTTGAAAGTCTGAAATTCAGAAGAGAAGACATACATTTTAGGTGTCCAACTATTCCCTGTCAATGCCACCTTCTGCAACGATAGCAGCTATGCCAGTATTAGGCATATAAACTCGAAGAGAAAACTTACGCCGACAGGCCTCACTAGATCACCAGGTTAGCCAGTCAGGTAACATTTAATTGATCCGCAATCCAAAATACCATCCAGCAATCAATCTGGTTCTTTTCCTTGGTCGTTTATCGATCTCTGCGTCCCCATGCATGATTTTCCCCTTACCCATACAAGATTTCATGGATGGTAGTTGTGAGAGTTAATTTTGGTTACTTGCTTGATGACAGACGGGGGGGAACTCTAGACTTTAACCCCGCCTTTAACGTCCGAGACCGAGCCAAGTCGTAGCACGGAAGACTACACATACAACCTTGCTTTCCAGTTACGTAGTTTATAATCTTAATTACCCATGGATTCTCTGCCAGCAGAAAAATTGGTGCTCGGGCCAAGATTGAAAAGTTGTCACCTCTCTATAGCCCGCCGTATTTAAGTATTTTATAGATATTTTCAAGATACACTTATAGTAACAAATGCCCTCAGAAGTATCTTAGTAAGGATAGGCCTCTTATATAATAAATGTATGGCTAATAAAATAAAAAGGTTAATGCTATTAGCCTAAGATATGAAAATTAAAAAATAAGTCATAAAATAGGATTTTGGCAAAGTTATACATATTATCCGCAGCTATTTTCAGAATTTACCATTTCAGGGCTAGATTAAGACTACATGTTTAATTCAAGAGAAGACAGCCATCTGAAATATATAGCCATATAATGAAAGATTGTTTAGAAAATCAACCATCAATAATGGTAGAAGTCGTTAATTGAATTATTCAAAGTTCCAATCTGAATAAAACTAGCCTGTAAGAGGATCCCCCAGTAGTGCAATCTACAACAGTGCATCCTCTAGACAGAGTCAGACACCAGCATCAATCGCTGCTCGTCGCGATTCCAACCGCGCTTGCTTTCTCCAGTCCTCGGCATATTTCACACCAAACCCGTGTGCGAACACATTTCGAATCTCCTCCAGAGTCATATTGGCTGCTTCGGGGAAACAGAAATAGACAAAGACAAGGCCGAGGAATGACAAGCCAGCATAGAATCCAAAGGTGCCAGATGGCGACATGCCCTTCATCATGGACAGGAAGGTGGAGGAGACAACTATGTTGGGCCCCCAGTTGCAAATATTGATCATCATCGTGCCCATCGCGCGGATCTCCATGGGCAGGAACTCATTCGCTTGCCAGGGAACGCAGCCCAGCCCGGCAGCGTAGAACGCTACGAAGAGGATCATGGCTACCAATACGACGATCGCTGGCCATCCGATGTGACTGTTAGTGAGCTCAAGGGTTTGCCGATCAATGGGCACCTTGGTAAAGGCTCCCGCGGCGATGATGAGACAGACGGGCATACCCCAAATGGTCCACAACAGGATGCGGCGACGACCTATGCGGTCGATGAAGATGATTGAGAGAACTGTGAAGATCCAATTCGTCACCGCGACGACGGTCCCGACCGCGATAGGGTTGGAGAAGCCGACAATTTGGAACAACGTTGCCGAGTAGTACATGAGGGTGTTGAAGCCACAAAACTGCTGGAACGCCATCAACCCGCAGGCCGCAGTTAGGGCTCGAAGGTTGGCGGGAATCATGAATAGGTGCTTGAGGGCCGTCCGAACGGAGAATTCCTCATTCATAGCCTTGGCTTGGGTGACGCCGTATTTAATGGATAGAATCTTCTGGCTAATCTGCTCCTCTGACGCATTCGGGTAGATCCGACGAACGACTTGTATGCACTCCTCAAGCCGGTTGTGGAAAAGAAGCTGTCGCGGAGACTCTGGACACCAAAATAGGAAGATCCCGAGGACTGTGGATGGAATTGCGCCGAGGCCGACCATATATCTCCATCCGTGGGGAACGTGGTAGAATGCGGCGTCGAAAGCGTACGCCAGAACAGACCCAGTTCCCAGGAAGATCATATCAATTGAGATCATTCTTCCACGGAAACGCGCGGGCGAAATTTCCGCAATGTACAATGGAACAATCTAGTTCGTTGTCAGAAACGACCAATTTGATCACTTCAACCACATCTCTGTATGTAATGCGTGATGAACAACACTTACGGTCGAAGCAGAACCCACTCCCAGCCCGATCAAGATGCGGCCTACGGACATCTGGATGATTGTATATGCGGACGCCTGAATGATGGCACCGATGGTGAATAGCACTGAGGCGAACCAGATGGCAGGCTTCCGGCCGAACCTATCAGCCGTGACACCGGCAACAATCGAGCCGCAGAAGGCACCTGCGGCGCATAGAGCTGTGATCAATTCTTTCTCTGAGCTCGACAGAACTCTGTTGTTGAGGTCCGCTCCAAGAACCACCAAGACACCGGAGATGACACCGGTGTCATAGCCGAAGAGCATGCCTCCAATTGCTGTGGCTGCCGCGCAGAGCCACACAAAAGCTCCGGGCATAGTATCTTCGATACCGTCCAGATTCTGAACCTCCTTCGTATCGACGACATGACCGAGGTCAGTGGATTCGAGATGCTCGGTGGCCACTGATTTGATACCGTGAGATGCGACGTTGGCAGCGTCCATGACTGGGGCACAGAAATGGGTAAACAGAATATGAGCAACAACAGAAAGTATGTAACAAAGGTAGATAACTATCAAGTCTGAATCCTGCGACCTTCGTCCGATGATGGACACTTTATAGTAATAGATAGGCAGCGTGCGATCCAATGACGATACCTACATAGGTCTATTGACCCTGACTAAGGCTGTTTAGAGCCAGCCTATGGTCATTATCTAACTTTTTCCTGAAGATTAGGAAGACATTCTTCTTCATAAGCTCTGATAGCGTGGGGTACAAAATCTGGGGTATCTGAGATTCGAAGTACGATATTTTCTGTCGCAGTTGGAATATTGAGAATAATCCTAACCAATCACCTAGGATTTTACACAAGCCCATGGCTGAAGTGCTGGCCAATTCTGACATAAACTGGGTCTTTGCCATCATAGCAAGAAACTAAGCAAGTCTTTCCGGACGTACGGCAGTTATTTACGGCGAGGTAGTAGTTCCACCTGAACCTTTTTATCCTCTTTCCCCGCTTGAATTGGTAGCCAATCTTGCCCGCTCGTAAGGCAAATGTTTCCGGACCCGCAGCAAGTCTTTCCGGAAATTTGTTGGAGTGCTAGTAACTCATTCGCCAATTGCATCCCAATTGTGTTTATGCTCATCTCCACATGTTCAAAAGTTCTCCATATTAGAGACAAAAAAGACGACCGAGCGGGGAAGCATCCTCTTCGATTCGTAAATGTAAGATATGAATAAATTCACCCTCTAGACAGATATAAATAAATAAATATATATATATATTGGAGTATCATCCTCCTCATGCTGCATACGATGATTCCAGCTGTTCATATCTGTATTGACTCTCTGATACCATGGCCCCTCAAAAGCTCAAAATCGGTGCGGCCGGGCTTGGCCGTATGGGCAAAAGACATGCGTTGAACTTCCTGAATCGCACCCCTCGAGCGGAGCTCGTTGCGGCCTTCTCCCCCGACCCTGCAGAGATAGCATGGGCGCGACAGCACTTGGAGCCCCATGGCGTTACGTTGTATGACAACTACCAGAAGATGATTGAACACCCCGGTATCATGGCAGTGGTTATAGGCACAGCCACCTCCGTCCATGCGGAAGAGGCGATCCAGGCTATGGAGAAGAACCTGCACGTTCTCTGCGAGAAGCCCTTGTCGACTAGCATTGAAGTGGTAATATAAACCCGCACATTCAATCGTAGGAACACCACATACATATGCTGACACTGTTTTCTTTCTTGGCTACAGTGCCGTAATGTAGTTTCCGAGTCGAAGAAACGACTACACTTGAAAGTGATGTGTGGTTTCTCACGCCGCTTCGACGAATCCTACCGGGATGCGTTTCAGAAGATGGAGCAAGGCCTCATCGGACGTCCGTCCATCCTGCGTAGCCAGACCTGCGACAAACATGATCCGTCAGGCTTCTACGTCGCGTACGCGGCCTGGTCCGGCGGTGTGTTCGTCGATATGGCTGTACACGACATTGACCTGACGCTCTGGTTCTTTGGCGACGACATAATTCCCAAAAGCGTTTCGGCACACGGGATCCGCGCTGTGCAGCCCGAGTTGAAACAGTACAACGACTATGACAACGCGGTTGGCATTGTCGAGTTTCACAATGGCAAGATTGCCTACTACTACTGCTCGCGCATGATGGCTCACGGCCAAGAAGACACTACGGAGATCATCGGCACCGAGGGAAAGCTGACCGTCAATAGCAACCCGCAGCAGAATTTCGTGAATCACTACCACTCTGGTGGCATCACGCGGGAGGTGCCACCACACTACTGGGGTAGGTTCGAGATGGCCTTCGTGAAGGAGGCACAGGAATTCGCGGATGCATGTCTCGATGGCACACCCTTGCCTATGAAGCTGAGCAATGCAGCCAAGGCGGTTGAGATTGGATCTGCTTTGCAGGAGGCACTTGTCACAGGAAAACAGATTCATTTCGATGAAATTGGACGAAGGGTTGAGAAACCATCATTGTGAATTAACTGTTCGTGGGGACCTAGATGATTTAAGACCGCGTGGTTGCATTTGGTTATGCAAATTCTTTTGAATAATATAAATGCATTATTTTTGATTTCTTTTTCTGTTGAGTTCTTCGATGTAAATATTATTAGGAGTAGTGTACCTGGAATGATATTGAGTAGGTACTCTATTTAATGTGGAATGTTAAGAATATAACATAGAACATGTGATAAAGCTTTTTAATATTAAGCAATCTTCTATAGCAGAAATTCTAGAATATAAATTGGCCTTCTATATATGTTATGGGTGGTGTTTTGTTATTGTGCGCAAACGCTCAAATCGCATGACCTCGCTAGCTGCTAGCTGGCGAGAGCGTCAGACCCGACATCAACCCAGACCTAGTACTCCTTCATATAATCAAGAAGATGCACTCTAATTGTTGTTATATGAATATTTAATCTTTCCTTACTCCTCATAAATTTAAATAGTAAATTTTTTGAAATTAAAAAAAACTGCGCCAACTGGGACTTGAACCCAGGACAAATGCTAAGCATAGGCGGTAGTAATAATACAATCCACTTATAAGAGCTTTTCTCCGTTAGTCTTACATCATAGCTTGATGGCTTCAAACATACCACAATGCTAACCAACTACATCATTGGCGCTACTAGTTGTTTTCCTCGTTTAATTAATTTAATCAACTCAGTTAATAACAACTACGGTTGTTGACATATCAGGTCTCAAGGAATCCAATTCTTGAAACAGTTCTCAGCAGTCTCAGACTGCTCCACACCAAAGCAGCAGAAAACTACTGCCACATCTCTCTCCTCTCTTTCGGCTGCTTAGGTATTCTTGTGGAGCAGTCTGAGGACCAAGTGGCTCTGTCCAATTTTTAACAGCTTCATATTTTTTATACGTAATAACTCAACCATTGCGAATTTTTAGGGAGCGCGCTACCACAAGTTACTAATAATCAATTCTGATTCTTTTGAACTAATTTTTGTCTTAATCTGATCGCTAATTAATATGTATTTCCAAGGTTTCTAAAAGTTACATCCTTTTTTTTGAGTACCTATTCTACAATCAATACATCTCGGGAGGTTCCGAAGTTGTGCGAACCTGCAGTTTGGCAGGTTTCCCCGCCATCCTCACCAAAGTAGAGATATCGAACAGTTCAAGTTCACGCTGGATCTTATGATCCATAACGTAGAATCGTGGGCTGCTAAGTATCGCAAAGCACGTCTGTTCGAAGCTATCGGATCACTATGCTATTCTTTGGGAGTCGAAGGCACGTGCCACGCTAACCTGAGCCCTTGCTGGCCGTTACATTACTCCCCGAAAGAGACATGACTGCCCTCAGTCGGTCCGGTCTTAATATCCAACATGCACTAGATCGTCGTCAGGATGATCCTCAAGGAATTTTTCGTTCGCGGCCGCCGTCAGCCATGCCTGCAGACGCTTTAAGAGTCTTAGTTTGTCAGGATATATATCGTGAAACTGTTGCATTAAATCTGGTGTGTTTTTGAAATCCGATGCTGGATATTATGCTGGATTTTCATCCCTATAGTCTCCCTATTTGGCACGATGCTGCAGGCATTGATGAAGTAATCGCGAGTTAATAATTGCTTCTATCTTGCACTCAGTCTTACCATTTACCTCGATAGGTGGGGGTGGGTCTAGATGCTGGTTAAATACATGTTCAGAAAAGTGACCGATTCATCATCCGATTTGTGATCGATTTCGAATACCTCGGACCACCCTAACAGATCACTTGGACCTGTGGTCATTGGAGATCCACTCGTAGCCCAAAAGTGCAGAGTCTTTTTGTTGTTGAAGGCCTTGTGCTGAACGTTGTGATTCTCGTTAATGTAATTAAGGAAGGCATTCATCGTGGAATACGATGCTGTTACTATGCAGACGATAGTACCAGTGGAACAGTTGTACTTAGCCAAAACAGATGTTGCGTCAAGTCTTGGTGGCTCTGGAGTTGTTCATGGCCCTCTGACGTTTGATTTTTCCAGCTCAGTTGACCGCTATAAAGTTGTAAATTACTACCTTTTTCCCCCATGAGGTCGGAAGCTTCAGATGGTCAGTCGGAGACCCCCTGCTGGCGATGAGAAGGTTAGGGTCATTTTTGAAGTGAATTACGATTGGCAGGTGGCAGGAAAAGCGTGTAGTCTCGCCTAGGCCTGGGCAAATCAACATATTGGACCCACTCCATGTCTTGAGTGATTTGTTGAAACAGATCCTGATGACGATCGATATAAACGAGTGGAAAAGATAACGCTTCATTCAGTAGTAATGAGGATCGGAAGTTTGAGAACCCAAACGCCATCTCACAAAGAGCCGAGTCACGAGTTGGAGCACTACGGCTAATTTGATGTTTGTATAGAGAGTAGTGGAGCGTTCGTAGGTTGCGTCTAGTCGATGTGGTGGGTGAGATGCATGGACTAAGTAGCGCAAAGGAAAATGGTCTGCTAGATCCCGACGGGAACTGTGGCTCGACCACTAGACACGCTAGACATTTATTATTTGCGGCATAATGTAGTATTTGTCTTGATGATACGTTGCGTTCGCTCGTCGTCATAAAGTCGTTGCCCGCCGCGTGATACGTGATATCTCGAGTAGGGCGTAATTTCGGGACTGGATTACCAACAAGATGTTTACGCCTCACTACCGCGTACACCTCGACAGCGAATTATTCCCAATGAAGGACGTAGTGCTTGGTAAATACAACTTTGAATCGCTGAATTCTATCATTTAGAAGCCACATTGGGCGTTGATATCGGCTGTCGTCATCTACCCTTCATTTCGAGAAAAATGAATGTGATGGTCATATTTGTATACTCATTCGTTTCTGTAGGGCCGTAGCCACTGCGACAGACATTGGTTGGCTTTCTCTGTATGGCTATCGGTTTGGGAGTGATATGCCGTTTCCCGGACCGGTAGGCGTTTTTTTGTGTTGGAAGGGATTTGGTGAGCTTCGAGGTTTGGTTATTGCTTTGGTTGCTGTACCAAATGCACCCTCTTGAAGTTTTCTTTCACCAGCACTCGCTGACAAGTGTAGGAAATTCTCCGTGACAGTGGGAAGATGAAAAGGAAGGAAACATTAAACTGTGAGTAGCCAATGGCTGCAATAATATCTGATCACGATGAATCGCTGATCTTGTAGATCAATGCGAGAGCGTGGTAGATGGACGGCACCAATTTATATTTGTATTGATCAATATTTGGCGTAAATGAATCGAGTATGGGTCTCACGCGATGCGCACGGAGTGTGGATCGTCATTCACGAGTCCGTCGGTGTTTTGCTCGCCGACCACCTTCTGCACCCAGTCGTCTTGTGCTATTCCCGCGGCAGCATCCTGTTGTTTGTCGGACCGGATGCGCTCCACCTCAGGGACTGGTGCGGCCTCCAACTCCTGGTCAAACTGGTCTTCGGGAATGGCTTTCGGGAGGGTGTTGAAATAGTCGAGATATTTCTGCCGGAACATATCGATGACCGAGGGTGCGTCGATGGCCGTTCGTTGGATGGTGTGATTCAGATCTCCGTGAACTAAAACCACAGAGCAATCTCAGCACACCCACAAGTATACGATATGATTTTGGGCAGGTGCTATGCGACGCAAGCATCTCAAGCGCTCCCCCCTCCTTGTAGACTCTCTTCCAAAGCCCCGACAGCCATTTCTCATCCCTGCCATTAATGATGATATGTCAGGGTCAAACCCCGTCTCGATGATTGCGACCTGGCATCCTCAGGTCTTGGTAAGTCTTTTCTGGTTACCACGTTGATGTAAGCCTCCTTCGTCTCATGAGAATGCATGCGGAGGTATTCGGCGGCACGGCACTGGCAGGGGTTGAAGCGGGTTGAAGCGAGATCTCACCCATTTACCGGGAAAGGTGATGGAGTCTGGAACCGTAGCACAGTGGTTGAAGAAAGCATCCTTTCCAAGTCTTCTCCCTAAGTTAATGACCAGATGGTATCGTGGGGCCTTGTAATGGTCGGGTTACGTCCTCAAAGCGTCTGTAATATTGAGATCTGTATAGATCCCACAATGCACACATTCGGGGTGCGAAGCACCCACGCGTGCTACTTTGCTAAATAGCAATACCAGAATGGTTTCTAGTACTGAAACACCGGTTGGGACGTTCTGCACTTCCTCGGTCAGGCTAGAGGATCTGCCCAGGCTCAACTGATAGCTTTTCGCTATTTTCGTGATGCAGAAGCGTCATTGATCTGCACATATCTCATTCATTCAACGTGGCACCTCTCGGGGTGCATACAGACAGGTGAAATCAAGAGATGCGGACGAGGCCATTCTGTTGAACCAGTCCCATAATCAAACAGGTCGCAATTGTGACAGGCCCACTGCATATTGGCCCTGCGCTATTGATGTAGTAGGAGCAAACCAGAACGTGGGGTTCACTACCCTCGACTTTGGCGTTCTCAAAAAGTTTCGTGTGGATTGTTGTATGCCATTGGAAGTCGGCTATATCCCTTTACACTAACATCGGTTTCGATTGTCTAACGTGAAGGTTAGATCGATGAGTTGTACGAGGAATATAGGTTAAACAAAATGAGGCTTGTTCATACTGTCGTCCTGGCATTCGGAGGTTTGGACTGTAGAAGGAAATTTTTGGAACAGTTTTGTATCTCTCTTACAACCGTTCTCGGTCATGGCATGGGTGAATTGCCAAACTGTCCTTCTTGTGCCTCCCATAACTCGCTGCTATTAGTTCTGTTTGATAATGACGTTGTGTATCAGGTTTCAAAGACAGTGAATGGATTATGGCATGGTTCATTTGCTGTGTGGTAGACAATGCAGGCGGGCGTGCTACAAAGACACTCCCAACACACAAGACGGTTAGTGAAGGTCACGATGCGATGACACATCGGTCATTGTACCTTCTAGGTTGGCAGCTTGGTCGTCACTTTGGGGAGCAGGAGGAGAGACAGTTGTCAGTCTTTCCGCTACCTTTTTCCTCAACCGCCTTGGAGATGAACTGATCCCCGTAGACTTTGACACATAGATACTGATTTTATGCTATGATAATTACTTTGTTGAAAGTGCAGTGTAGACGGCATTAGTCTATGCTCTGGTCTTGAATCTCTATGGTCAGAAAGGTATGCGTAGAAGGTTGATGGAGGGATGATTTTTTACCTGTTCAGCCAAATACTTATCATATTAGCAGAGTCTTGCGCCAATATTCCCTTGCTCAGTCGTGAGGGTAGAAAATAGACAGAAAGAAGAAGAACAAAACGGCGTTTGAAAAGTTTTATGTCCTACCTACTACCCAGTCAAAAAAACATATCCTAAACCTGAGTCTCATGGTGAGGGGTTTGAATTTCTTCTTTTGTTCTAAACTTCTTTGTACTGCATAGTTAAGCTACGTAATATGCAACCACCTCTGCAGCGGGTCCTGTTGCCCGACTGGGCGGTATACCTATTAGCCCTAATAATGTAGGACAATCAGGTTGCATGTCAAAGAAAATGTCCAGGTGTCGGTGAGAAAATGTTCATGTTAGTGGGTAGGGATGTTTTACACCGCTTCTGTGCTAGTTCTCCGCACTGGATTCATTGATCTGTGGTTTTGTTCTTCTTATATCATATGCTAATTGTTACAGAAGATTGCGTCTCAACACAAAGCTATGACTTTTTCAAGCAAATGGATCGTCATCCCAGCTCCCACTCCGCACATATTCCAGCCTATCAGCCAAGGTCGTGGCCAGCTCCTCGTCGTATATATGTCCAATAAAAGCAAGCATCATATCAATTCCCGCACTGATCCCGGACGACGTCCATATATTCCCATCATCCACCCACCGCGCTTTCCGAATCCAATTTACCTGCTCACGCCACGTAATTACATCGTCCCACGCACGTTTGTTCGTTGTAGCGCGTCTTCCATCCAGCAAGCCCGACCGCGCCACAAGTCCTGATCCGGTGCATATGGTGAGGAGATATCGGAGCGACGGGAATGTCTTTTTAATAAACTCGACAACCGGTTCGTAAGCCTGGGGGCTGCGGGTCCCTGCTCCACCAGGAACAAGCAAAACCTCGAGATTATCAGGCGGCGAGTCAAATGTATGTGTCGGCAGGATGCTTTGTCCACAATTCGACCCATGCGGATTCCACTTGGCCTCCTGTCCGGGGAAGAGCGGGGCGTGGTTGGTGGAAACCGGGTCTAGGGTAGCGGCGATGATGGAGAATTCGATCTTTTTGTATCGCGCGAGCGTGTTGATGGCGTCGATGGGCCCGAATACGTCGAGGGCTTGGAAGCCTGGAAATAATACGACACCATAGTGGATTGGGAGGTCTAAGCCAGCATCATCAACAACGAATGATCACTTTCTTTCACTTTTGTCATCACTACGGGGGATAGGCGCGTCACGTACCCTCGCTCGACATTTCGAGGTCTTTACCGGTAGAGCGCTACAATGTAAGGTCGATAACTGTGCTTTGGCTTTTCTTTTATCTTGTCAACTGAGACCAACAGAAGGGAAGAAGATGACTCAATTAAGAACTCCCCGCAAAGGAGACCCACAATCGCACAGCGAGATGGGATCTCCGCAAGAACAACCAATCAACATTGAGAATTGTTAGTACCAGAGGCATCATCTATTCTCACTCGGAGATACTCAAAACAGCAACTCCAACCAAGTCATAAATCGTATACCAACTTGTATTCTGATTGACTACAAGCGGTGTTTACATTCAGTGCCTTCGTGAATTATTATGCCGTAGGTCTTCCTCAGGTACTTTTTGATTCAGCATCATGTATCAGGAAGATACATATTTGGCATCGATTGATCATTTGACAACTGCCGAACACTTAAACCTCAACTGTCGTTTTGTATTTCTATAAAGGAGCCAGGTTTTGGAAAAGAATATTCCTAGACATCTTTGGATGGATAAGACGTGGCAACTAGTGCTGGAGTTTCAGGTGGCACGATGTTATGAGAGACGAATAGTCCGGCTATTTTAACTGACACCGGAATTGCAGTTTCGAAATTCCTTTTCCTCGTTAGTTGCTCTCATGCCTAAAAAGTTCCAGCTAGGTCTCATAAATTTCGTTGGGATAATATCTAAATGTGGACACGCGGATTATTAATGATCAAGTCGGAATAGTACATATCCGTTAGGGTGGTTATCACTTCGACACTAACGGGTTTAACGACCTCATCTATTTAAGTTCCATAACGTAACTCTTGAGGACCTGATTGATTGATATTGGTATGCATAAATATTAAAGCTGAGAAAATAACTCGCGTTTAAAAATTCACTCACATATATCCAAAATATTCCCCAACGACTTCCTCAATCCACGTGTGGACATACACTTATCCGGTCAAAATTCATCAATTTCAAATTATACCCACTATGCCTAACTCAGAAACCTGGTTAGAAGAATTCTATGCCGCTGGTGATGCTCTCGATGCAAAATCCTGGATCCCTCAATACTGGGCAGAAGATGCCGAACTGCAATTCGCCGGGGTCCCCGTTGCCAAAGGACACGCTGAAATCGAGGCATTCTTTTCAGCGCGATTCGATGAGTTGAAAAGCATGAAACATACTATCACAAATGTAGACGTCTTGCCGGATAAGATCTACCATTCTGCGACTGTCTCGTACGTGGTCAAGAACGACCCTGAAGACCGGCTGATACAGGTGCGGGCATTGACGGTTTTTGGGAAGACTCCCGGTGAAAATAAAATCAGATATAGTCACTCGTACATGGACCCAACACCGCTGATTGAGTGGAAAAAGGCGGTTGATGAGCAGAGCAGGCAATAATGTGTGTTTCAGTGATGGTGTATAGATAACCTTGAAGGGGGGCCCAAGGGACATATTCGATTTCACAAATATCGACTACATGTATGTATCAGGACATCAGATAACTATAAAACTGCAAATTTCCTCCTCCTCTTACGTCGCTTGATAAATTTAACTACTACACTACACAAGCACTGTTGCCACCCGTCACCGTGATATCACCAGAGGCAATGTGCAGCCAGTACTAATATCCGACTCGCGGAAAGAAAGCAGAAAGCTAAACCTTACCTTCAATTTTGTATCTTAAATTCAGAGACAGCTAAAACATTATAAAATGGCAGCATCATCATCTCGTTTTCTTAACCCAGGTCCCATCCACCCTGCACGCGTCGCAAAACGTGCAATTAAATCGAGCATCGCGCGATCCATTAGAATCACAGTTAACGACCCACTCGACCACGAAGCACCAGCTATTTTGCACGAGCCCAAATGCTACACCGCCGAGGCTGCAAAATTGTCTGCTGTAATATTGATCAGTGGTGCAGGCGGGGGTGTAAGCGGACCGGCTGGAATCTATCCATCGCTCGCGGAGAAACTTGTTCTGTTATTATCGATCCCGTGTATAAGACTTGACTACCGTGAGCCTGCGAAGACAAGCTACTGCTCTGCAGACGTCATTGCGGCAATGGATCATCTCGCGGTTGAGTTTTCATCGGAACATTTTGTTCTTGTTGGTTGGTCGTTTGGTGGAAGTCCCTGCTTTACGGTTGCTGCAAAAGAGCCTCGTCGTGTGGCAGGCGTGGCGACGGTGGCATCGCAAACGGCGCAGACAGAGGGAGTCACAATGCTGTGTCCGCGGCCGATGCTGGTTATGCACGGGACGGGCGATACGTGTCTCTCGCCCAGCTGTTCGGAAAGTCTGTATCGTTCATATGGGCCGGGAGGCAAGCGGGTGCTGAAATTGTTTGATGGTGATGATCATGGGTTGAGTAGGAATGCAGTGGCGGTTGAGAAAATGATATTTGAGTTTGCGGCACGGATTTTGGGGTTTGAGGAGATTCTTGAAGACCCATCTGCTAATATACAGGTCGGTCAGGATCTGGCTGGGAGTAGAGGGGAGAGATTGAGAGAGATGGCGGAGGGACATGATCTCGAGGGTGGTGAGAGACTGTGAGGCTGCAAGGTTAGTATTGGATATAGGACTGTAGAATTAAATTCAAGATATACTTTCATTCTATTATCTGATGAGACTGTAAAAACAAAAAATCCATTAATAGTTACTAATAATACGAAATTTATTAAGGGTTATTTATTATGATGCGTTATTCCTTTGTACATGGCTAGAATACATTATTGAAAAGTATCTAAACTAGGCATATCTTGCATATATTGCATATTGTCAAATATGTCGAACAAATCCGGCCATTGGACCTGCAAATTAATATCACTTTGCATGAACGAACACTCATCATATTGGGAAAGAACAGCACGCACTACACCGCTGGTCTCTGGTTTTACAAATGGGAAATAGTTGATCCACTGGATACCCTGAGTCTGTTCTGCATTCACTTCCGGCGGCACGTTGCGGTGCGAATCGGCAATCGGCGCCAGCGATTCTTCCCACAAACCGCCATTGGCCATACTGCTTGACCATAACCGTTCAAGCCCCTTCAAGTACATATTTGCACTGGGCCACATGATCTTCAACTCACCCAAGGCGGCTTTGAGAATGTCAAGATCTTCATCGACGCTTGCCGTAAGGTGATCAATTCTCCGAACATGGAGAAGCCCTAGAGCAGCCACGCCACAGTACCAGCAGGTAATGGCGGTTAGGAATCTGATACCGCCTCGAACTAGATAGTCCTTCATGATCCTTGCAATGCAGGAAGCAGCAATAGCTGCAGCAGAGTATGATTCAGGTCGCGGTTGTGAAGAGAGGTCCAAATGCAACAGGATAATGACAGTCAGATACGGCAAATACAACTGATGGACGTCGCGGTGGAATGCTACCGTGCGGTCCCCACTTATAGGGAGCATCAAATGATTTGGGAGTGATTGGACCCAGTCAACTAACTGTTGAGCTAGATCGGATGGGAAAATAACAGATGGCGACGCTGTTGGGCGCAACAGGTACTTTCCTACACGCCCGATAATGGCACATAGGCTGACCCAATGGATGAAAATCTCGGCTTCGCGACTGGGACATGGAAAATCGTCGAGTGTTAGCTCTGAAACATCACAGTCGTCGGGGTCAATCATTAGAGGACGCCCTTGAGTAATGGCCGTTAACCGCTCCCTAGCCTTCGTTGATCGTCAGAGAGGCAAGGTGTAAAAGGAGGAGATACTGACAAATAAAGTCCACCAGATACGACGGCATAGTCCACGATCAGCACCAAACGGTCGTCGGCACGATTGCTGCTCCCGGTGTAGTCCCATCTGCTGAGCCTGGCGTATTGCAATTCCAGTCCACCACCAGGTTGAGTCTCGATGGACCGTCGTAGGGGCCCGAGGGCTCCACCAGTAGAAAAGGATAATTGTTTGAAGACAGGTTATAAGATTAGGTTCAGTGTTTTCGTAGAACAATGCTTGAGCTCGATTGTAGTATGTTACAGGGTCGGTGTGCTGTAGCACAGATGCTGGTGGCTGAATGCGACTAGCAGCAAGAGCAAGAGCATTTGCGAGAAGTGGTGAGCGCGCCAGGTTGTCTTCAATGTCGTTTCGGTCCAGAACTGGACACCATGTATGGCAATATTGATAGTAAGTCTCGATAAAACCTTGCTGTAGTTCTGGAGAGGGTATATCTGGGGTCGCATGAACACCTAAAAGAGGCTGGATTGGTGGGTTTGCGCTAGGAATATGAGCCTCTGGATTGTAAACAAACATGAAGCCCGATCGACCAATATAGCCATGTTGATCGGGTGTATTCTCAGTCTCTTCACCCTGTGGGGAAGTATCAGATTGTCCTGCCGAAAGAGACGGTGGCGAGGCCAAGTTCTGCGGTCTTGACTGTATAGCATTCGGCTCTATAGTACCAGTACTGCAAATATCATCCTCGGGGAGCTGTCGACGCCTGTCTCGTTTTGGTAATCTCTGCCTGTAATATTCCAAAGGCTATCACTCCCTGCTCTCTATTTTTGGATTTCCAGGTACTGCTTACCGGCAATGAGAGCCAGCCGCGGTGCAATATGAACAATTTCCATAACCTCGGGCGCGCCGGTCTTGCAGGTCGCATTTTATCTTTTGGAGAAGTGATGTTAGTAAATGGCTTGATTCCTGGCTTTTGTGAATCGACTTGCCTTCTTTTCGTGGCAAATTATGCAAACCAGCTTTGCACGCTTTCTCTTCAACGGCGGTTGTCGGATTTGCCGGTAATCAACCATATCGGCAAAACAGTTCGACGGCCCGCTTTATGTGTATATAATATGGGGAGGATGTGAGGATGTTTCAATTAATTCAAAGTTCATTACAAAAAAAATTGATTTGAGCCAACGTTCCAACAGTCCGCCGTAGTCAATTTTCCTTGAAGGAGCTACGTAGATGCAAAGACTCCGCATATTTATGTGCGGGGAAACGATTTTGTTTTAATCCCTGTTACTCCACATTTCGCCGAGTTTACGGGCCAGTCTTGGTATATAACCAGCCACATTATATATATGTCTCAATGGATTAATTGATATAGATGGAATTATTCTGACTAGGAATTTCCTTTGTTAAGCAGCTACGTATCTATTATCAGTCAGGCTACTTGAATTCCGGTTCTTAATAATCTCCACTTGTAGCATGCTTCACTAGTTACGCGTTCGCGCCTGGAATCGGCTCTGAAGGTAGGACGAAGCATATCATGCGAGCTATCTCAGTATCGCTGCGATTCTTCCACCCATGCTTCGTTCCGCGGTGCAACATGACATCACCTTGCTTCAAGATGCGCGACTCGCCACTGTCCAATACCAGCTCAACTATTGCGGAAGTCGTTAGCAAGGTGATATACATATAATACAACATGCAAAATAATAGCGAATGAAGACACGATAGATTTTGATCATACTCTCTCCTGCAGTCATCACGCCAACGTCAACACTTAACGTCCTGTGCATTGGAGACTCGGCGCCTGGGGGCCATTCGGCGATCAGAACAACACTGCCTTCGGTGGGGATTGGTTTATTGTGTCGCGCCTCATGCGCAAACAGGTCATTATCACCGGCTAATATAACGGGCTGGTTTGCAGCAGTGCTATAAAGCATGCCAACGCGCGGGGTGATGGCCTTGAACGATGGGCTATCGCGGAAGACAGACAGGCCGTTCGTGTCGTGCGTTGTGGTTATCAGTGCAGGTTGGGACATGGTTCTTTTTCCTCCTAATGGCTAGCGGCGCTAAATAGGAAGGAGATACACTCGTATGTAGGGCCGCAGGATAGGAAGGAAAAAAAGAGAAGAACAACATGTCAATATTTACTTCTTTATAGTACCTGGATGAGCCGGAGTTTGTGGAGTTTACGCGGGGATAGGATTGGGTGGTATATTTCTACCATGTCAATAATAGGTGTATTATTTATTTATTTTATCAGGTTTAACAACCGTCTCCAATCTCTGAGCTATCGCAGTCTCTATTCTAGCCCGTATATCCCCCTCCCCCTGCCCCTTCCTAGTACCTAAACATTAGTGTGCTCTTACAAATTCCTCGCCCCAAATCGCTTATATGCATGCGCAAGGCGATTCGGGAGCCTTACTGCCGCCCCCACTGCCTCACTGAAATAATAGGGTGTCTCACGGTCTCTATCCCTCCAAACAACCCCCTCCAAAAAGGCCCCTCTTCTGTGGGGGTCGCGTCTGCCGGTTTTGTGCAGGTATGCCGCTATGTCTTAAACTGATAGAGGTGCCGCGTGAGGCGCTTAGGGGTCTAGAGGCCCTTATCAAGTGCCCACTAATTCAGCATCAAACACCTCTCTACCACGCCCTATTTGCACCTGCTGTGTCTCCTAGGGCATATAAGGGGACTTACAAGCTGTCCGCTCATTTTCCAGCCTGGAGCCGTCTGACCAGAGCCCAGTTCCAGGATGGCTGCCTAGAGCCTCCTGTAGCGCCTCCTCGGTGCCCAACACCCTAATACATAGGGGTTAGGGATCATAAATGGTGGCTCCGTGGTCTTCCAGCTCTCCGAAGCCGAGAGGGATAGTAAAATACTTATATTTAAAGTTTTATAATACTTCAAAAGATCTCTTCTACTTAAGTTATATTCTCTATTAGTCTATTACCTTTTAGCTATTTTAGTATGTTCTTACTAGCTACTCTTAAGGAATCTTTGTGTCGTTTAATCCATGTATCGATTCTTAATACAGCCAGTGACAACCATAAGTAATCCAGGTCCGTGACAGGTGGTAAGTGGAATTGACGCTCAAAATGCCTTAAGTAGTCGTCATTTTCAGTGTTAAATCCACAGGAACCCACATTCTATGTGTAATATAATTACATGTGTACCTTGAATGGTTCGTAGTTACTCTGTGAAAGAGACATCTGCTTCACCTTTTGCGAATAAACAGTAGCCTTCACTCAACATCCGCTATGTATTTGTACACCACCCGGCAGTCCTTGCCTCTGCATCTATCATCCTTGCTGGCCGCGTCAATTGTATCGAGCAGAGCTTGACAGAGAGGCATGTTTGCCTCGAGCTCGCTACCTAGCTGTGCAACCATCTCAAGCACGCCTTTGCAAAGCTCAATCGTGAACCCCGGTGCAAAATCGCGATTCGCGCTAGAGTTGCTGCTCACTCCCTTGACCGGATTCTGCTCCTTACTGTTGTATGACATACCCGTACTTGTGTTGATAACGCCAGCCAGGACATGAGGATCCAATCCGTACTTCATGCCCAAGTTCATCGCCTCTGCTGTACTCACCATGCAGATTCCGGAGAGGTAGTTGTTGATCTGCTTGGTGGCCAGGCCAGCCCCGGGTTTCCCACAACGATAAAACGTTCGACCCATCGTCATCGCTATTGGCTGAATTGCATCACAGATCTGTTCATCTCCGCCAGCCATAAAAGTCAACGTTGCTGCCCGGGCACCAGTCGGACCACCAGAAACTGGAACGTCGGCAAACCGTCCTAGACCCGAGAGAGCAACTGCCTTTCCAACGTCCAAAGATGTGGGTACATCTATGGTACTACATTCAATGAAGAGCTTGGGTGACTGCCCAGCTGGGATCGAGAGTAAACCGGTAGTAGAATTCGTATAGACTTCTTTAACGTGTCTTCCCACCGGGAGTATGGTAATAATGATATCCTGTACTAAGTAAGCGACAAAGACATCATGGCTATGCCCTTGAAACTTACGCATTTCTGGGCAACTTCCTTTGGTGTTTTAGCAACCTCGATCTTGCCTGGGGTCTCCGCCACGAACTTCTTGGTGATCGACTCGACCACATCGCAAATGACAAGAGTCAACCCGTCCGCAAGGTGCCTGCGCAGATGCTGGGCCATTGGAAACCCCATATTTCCAATGCCTGGGAATGATTTAGGCATTGACAACATCAATATCTACCTTGCGCGGGAAATTCTCACCAATGAATCCATATGTTACTTGCGGGATCTCTACCGAACCCATGGCTGGTGCTTATTTAAGATATCAGTGATAGCTCAATCAAGATTTGAAAAGAGAAATGTGGCGTTGAGGGATATGATATTGAAGAACGAGAGATTCGGAATATAGTTCACAATGTTCTTAAAACAACATCATTAAATAATGGTGCAGTTTACTAATGTATCTCATACTTATTATTCCTTCGGGTACAGCGGCACCACCTCAAGTAGCTATCCATGCCTGCAGCTTGCAATTGTCAATGACCTCTAGTCCACGTTTATTTGAGGGTATAGGATTGTAAATTACAGTAAATTACACCTACCGTGACATCTGCCGTGCCGGGTTGCTAAGCATCCCGAGCACCGATACGTGTACCGCAAAAAATACAGTACAACCATGGTAAAATAACCATATCAAATGTCGTAGAAAGCACAGTTGCCTGGCCCAATATTAAATAGAGGAGGAGGTTGGGCTTTACAATGTCTTTTTTTTCTCCCAAGCTCAATTGTTTCCAGTACGATAAAAATGTCGCAAAACGGAACCAGTCCTCTCGCAGTGGGATTCCTCGGAATCGGCAACATGGGCTGGGGAATGGCAACGAATGTTGCTTCCAAAATTCCCAAGGCCTCTAAGCTGATTGTTTATGACGTAGATAATATTCGACTGGGCGAGTTTGTTGACCAGGTCGAAAATACTCAAGCTGCGGAATCTCCGAAGGATGTTGCAGAGAAATCTGTGAGTTTTCGTTTAGTACTGTGGCAGAGGATATGAAATTTCTAAGAAGTTAGGATGTTATTATCACCTCATTACCCACAGGCGAAGTGGTAAAGAATGTCTTTAGTAACCCGTCGACTGGACTACTGAGTGCCTCAAATGGCAATCGGCCAAAGTTATTTCTCGAATGCTCGACTATCAGTGCATCTACATCTCTACTGGTTGCGAAACTCGTCCAGGATTCCGGATTGGGAGACTTTCTCGATACACCTGTCTCCGGAGGCCCTGCAGCGGCAAGATCGGGCACACTGACGTTCATGGTTGGTGGAGACAAAAAACTTGTGGATAAAGCGATTCCATTCCTACAGTGGATGGGACTCATCGAGAATATATTTCACTGCGGTCCACTAGGCGCAGGGCTTGTCACGAAGCAACTTAACAATTATGCTGCTAATGTTAGCTTTGTAGGTCTTTGCGAAGGTAAGGATTCCTCCTGAATCTCTTGAGAAGCTGCGAATATTTACAACAGAAAAATTAGTGATGAATGCTGGAGTGCGTTACGGACTTGATCCAAAAGTTCTCGCAGGAGTAATCAATGTGAGCAGTGGAATGAGTTGGAATTCGCTTCATCAGAACCCAGTCAAGGGAGTTGATCCTAAGTCGTCCGCTGCTCGCGATTTCAAAGAGGGTTTCAAAACCGAACTGGCTAAGGGCGTGATTGACTTGGCAGTAGAGCTGGCAGATGAAATAGGAGCCCCTCTCGTAATGGGTCAACCCTTACAAAGTGTCTATGAAAGGGCACTGAAGAACGATAAATGCCGTGGCCAGGAATGCCGCAGCATATACAGGCTGTTTTCAGAGGACGAGGGCAAAGATCTGTTAGAATAATTTATCTTGAGCGGTCGATGATATAGGGTCATTGATAGCTTGGTAGACCAATTGGAGAGCATTATATGTATGGAATGTTGCTTATTGGACCAGTCTTAACTTTCAAATGAAATTGATATTCATCTGTAGAATGAATTAGAACCCGCGATCTCCTGTCAAATTGTCTAGTCACCTTTATTATTTCTATTAAATTAGGTTTCCGCGTAGTAGTCCACAACTCAGATCCTGTGGTTGACAAATGGTGCTGCCAGAGATATAGAAGTGTATCAACGGGATTTTTATTCCAGGTACTAATGCAGTATCCGATAAAGGATGACATTGTTATTCAGGTAGAATAGTGATTACACTATTCGAACTTTTCATCCCCTCCTTATCCACTGTTTGATTTATTGAATTCGCTCTCTGTCACCTCCTCAAACCATTCCGTCTTCCCGTATGACACCGCCATATGTACCATATAACTTCCATCGTCTGCACCATGCCAGTGTACTGTTCCAGGGGGACACCAAACCACGTCCCCGACGCTGATCCGTTGCCTCTCTCCGCCCTTATCGCAGATAAATCCCGAGCCTGCGACAACACGTAGTAATTGCCCTTTCTCATGTCGATGCCAGAACGTTCGCGAGCATGGGGTAAAGTTAACGTTGTATATGCCAACACTTTCGTCTGTATGGATACGATCGAGGTAGACTGAGCCAGTAAAGGTGCCTTTTGATGCTCCCGTAGTAGTGGTTTTTCCTTCGCCGTGAGAGTTGCGAACAATAGTCATATGAACCATGGCTGCTATTGTTATGAAAATTTGGGGCGGGGAATGTTCTTTAAGGGTATATTTTCAAATGATTGATAGATGAATAATTTGGTGTTGTCCCGTTTCTGAAATTTGAGCTATTATATCAGGATTGCATGTGATCAATTGATGTCAATACATTACACACTACTGAATATATAAGCAACATTCTAGCATTGAGTATTTATAAAAAATGATTGTCCATACCGAGGCAATATGTACAAACTAAATACGTATCAAGTGTCCTCAACGTAATTTGAGAAACGGGTATCTATACTGGGACTCATTCTAACCGTAATTGAAAAGGTGCCCCGATCAACGAGAGTACGCACTAAGGATCAGGAATTTCCGGGCGCCGATGATTACAAATTTAACGGTAGACTTAGTTACATCGGTCGAGGTTGTCATATTGTCCGATTTCCAGAGTCATAGTATTTTACCCTGATAAGGTATACACTTGTATCGTATGATACGGCACTATGGATAGAAATTCCAGACCTCACGACCAATTTCATATAGGCTAAATAATATCGTATACATACGCTCTCAGATGGAATGTTTACTAACCAGTCTTGGGGTATTATCGTCAATCCCATTTTACTATTCTGTGCAAAAACGGCTTTGGCATGGAAATTGAGCTTTGTTTCAGTCATTCACCATATCGCTGATGTATTACCTCATCTTTGGTTGGTTCGGCAGTGATAATAGCTCGCGAGTGGCAAATCGTTATTTACCGATACCTTGCCGTGACCTGTAATAAAAATATTAGTACCAGTACCTTCATATCTGACATGCTTCAGCAGTCAGTTTACTTGGTGTAGAAATGCTCTGGAGTTTATAAATTACGTCTTTTCGTAGTTTTCCTGGCATTAGGCTATATCAATATTAGTTTGTCTCATAGGGAATTTACGAATGCTGATCTTTTGTTATTACAGTAGTTTGTCGTTCAGTATACAATATGAGGCAGGAACACCCGTTGAACTTTTCTGACACCCAGTTAGTCTAAATTTTAGTGTATGCCCAAGTATAATCGCAAGTCCGAACTCGGAAAACCGAACAATTTAATCAAATTAGTGGGCCAAAATAATTACAATGCAAAGGATTCACTATCGATGTTAATGCTACTTCAGAATTTGGATCACTGAGCCTATAGGTAAGTTGACATTCAGCGGTGGGATTTATTAATTGCTTGGTCCATATCTATTGATAGTCTGATACTACCAATTATTATGAATAAGATGGATATCAAAACCAGCCCAGTGTGGATATTGGAGCCTAAAGAGGGATTCGAGGGACTGAAATTACATCCCTCTCAACCTCTCCCAGAACTAAATGATCATTCTTGTTTGATCCAAATTGACGCCGTTTCGCTCAACTATCGAGATGTGGCTATTCCCAAGGGACAATATCCTATGGCCTTTAGAGGCCGGATAATTCCCTGTTCTGATGGGGCAGCTACGGTTATCAAAACCGGTCCGGCAGTTACTCGCTTCGCGATCGGCGACCGGGTTTGTACCCTATTCAATCCCTCGCATCAGTCGGGATATTTTACTCCAGACACGCGAAAATATTCGTTGGGTAGTTCTGCCGATGGTACCTTGAGGAAGTACGCGGTCTTTCACGAGACTGCTCTGGTTTCTCAACCAAAAAATATCACATCGCTACAGGCAGCCACCCTTCCCTGTGCCGGTGTAACCGCTTGGAACGCATTCTACGGAATTGCGGACCGGAAACTGCAACCAGGAAGTTATGTCCTGACTCAGGGTACAGGAGGGGTAAGTTTGATTGCTATCCAGATTGCGTTGGCAGTTGGTGCAACCGTCATTGCCACAACCTCGTCACCAGAGAAAGCGAATCGGCTAAAAGAGATGGGTGTACAACATGTGATTAATTATAGAGAAACTCCAAACTGGGGAGAGGTGGCGCGTCAATTGACACCTGAGAACCGTGGAGTAGACCATATTCTTGAGGTCGGAGGCGAGGCCACCATCCGTCAATCGCTGAAGGCAATCAAAATGGAAGGTGTGATATCGATCATTGGGTTTTTAGGTGGTGCAAATAATGCTCCCCAGTGCTCCTTTCAGGAGTGCCTCTCTACATTAGCGATAGTACGAGGTACCAGCGTGGGGTCGAAGGAGCAATTCAAGGAACTCAACGCATTTATCCAGAGCCACAATATCCAGCCAATCGTGGATTCAAATGTTTTTGACTTCCAAGATGCCCCGCGAGCATTTCAGTATCTCTGGGACCAAAAACAATGGGGAAAAGTGGTGATCCATATTAAATGATGACAGTGTAACTTTCTTGCAGCATCAGGTGAGACAGGAGGCATGCCTGGTATACAGCATTAACACCTACATTTATTTATTAATAGTTCTGTTGATTAAGCAAATTTAAAGCAAGCGTGCCTGGCAGATAATACTCTCAAATGGGCTCTAATTATCAGATTGTAGACATAAAAGTGCTTGTATCACCACTATCCGTAATCTTAATGGTTTATTTTCATCATCATCATCGTCGTCGTTCAACCGTGTTTTGCATTTTAGTCTGTCGTTGTGAATGTACACTATGTCGCCCAAATAGCCGATTGAAAAAGCCGACTTAGTATTTAAATAAAGATTGCCCTTTCCTCTCGCAGAATTAGCCGTGAAAAATCCAAACATTCAGAAAACTAATCATCACATCCTTGCATAACAGTAACCATTAAATTGGAATCTATCATTCATTACTGTTCTACTGCGTAATAATGCCTACTATCAGTCTGTCCGATCTCAAAAGGAAGGATCTTTTCCAGCAAAAGGGATATATTGCCGACTCATGGGTCGACTCTGTCAGCGGCGAGGTATTCGAGGTTCGCAACCCAGCCACCCTCGATATCATCGCCACCCTTCCAGAAATGGGAGCAGCTGATACCGAGCATGCAGTGGCTGCAGCGTTCGAGGCTTTCAAAACATACAAGAAGACCTCAGCAAGGCAGCGTGCCCGCTGGTTACGTCGCTGGAATGATCTTTGCCATGAGCACCTTGACGACCTGGCTTTGATTATCACGCTAGAAAATGGCAAACCACTGTCCGAGGCTAAAGCAGAGGCTGTGTATGCTGCCTCATTTCTTGAGTGGTTTGCTGGAGAAGCAGAGCGTGTGCATGGAGAAGTTGTTCCACCAGCAAACCTCAACCATCGTATCCTAACCATCAAGGAGCCCCTAGGGGTAGCAGCCTGCCTCGCGCCATGGAACTTCCCTATTGCTATGATTACTCGCAAGGTTGGCGCCGCACTAGCAGCGGGTTGCACTACAGTCTGGAAACCAGCCGGAGAGACCCCTCTCAGCACCTTGGCTCTGGCAACGCTCGCCCACGAGGCTGGTTTTCCCAAGGGGTCCATTAATGTCATTACCACCCTAAATCGCATAGCCGAGGTTGGCGAGGCCCTTTGCTTGTCAAAAGCGGTTCGCAAACTCAGCTTCACAGGCTCGACGCGGATTGGTAAGCTCCTCGTCAAACAATGTGCCAGCAATCTGAAAAAGCTTTCTCTTGAGTTGGGAGGAAACAGTCCTTTCATCGTGTTCGACGATGCCAACCTAGAAACAGCCACAAATGCCTGCCTGCTTGCCAAGTTTCGCAACTCCGGCCAAACCTGCGTGAGTGCAAATCGCATATTCGTTCAGCGTGGCATTTACGATCGTTTTGCCGATGCGTTGGTTGAAAAGATTAAAGCCATGAAGGTTGGAAATGGGACTGATGGAAGCGTCTCAATTGGTCCTTTAACTCACGAGCGTGCTGTTGAGAAAGCTTTGAGCCATATAGACGGTATGCCATGCGAGCATCTTTTGTCTTGCCCTTTTCCTCTTTGAGCTATCCATATAAAAAGTTCGAGGTTGCAATTGCTTACATGATGCGAGTGTAGATGCGAAAAGTCAAGGGGCGTCTGTGTTACTAGGCGGAGCAGCTTGCTCACCAGACGATCTTCCTGGATATTTTATTCAACCAACTGTTCTAAGCGGTATGCCCATGGAGTCTATCATTACAGTTGAGGAAAGCTTCGCCCCTATTGTCGCTCTATATCGCTTTGAAACCGAAGAAGAAGTACTCGAGAAAGCCAATGACTGCGATGTCGGGTTAGGTAGTTTCATCATGACAGAGTCACTAAGTCGCAGCTTCAGGGTGGCAGAAAGCCTTGAGGTTGGCATGGTTGGCGTGAATGTAGGGATTCTGAGTGCCTGCGAGAGTCCATTTGGAGGTAAGCACCTAATTTGCTTGGTTGTATATCTGTACTTTTGAAGATCGCTGACTTTTACTTAGGCGTGAAGGAGTCTGGCTATGGACGTGAAGGGGGACGACATGGTATCGATGAGTACCTTACAGTTAAAAGTATTTTGATTAATGTGGTATCTTAACTTGAGGTATGAGCTTACTGTGCTGTGCTGTGGACCTCGAGTACGGTAAGTAAGAATAACTAGAGATTAGTTTGGCGTAATCACAATGAACTATTCCAGACGCCTTGAATGTGAATAATAGCAATCAATCACATAGGCAGTATTGATTGCAAGGATGGTTTTTACGGTATTAATTTATATGGTAGCCTACTGGTTGGGTTATTAATAGTACGGGAGGGGCTCGCCTGCTTATATTGATAGATTCCCATCCCTTCGTACACAATCAACTACATAAATTTATTTCAATTTATCTTCAGAAAAAATAGCACGTTATTCTACTGAAGTCTTGGAAGAGATGGCTTCGAATTCTCAACTTCCCGACAACCAGGAGGAAATACAAAGAGAGCTAAGTCAATTACTCAGAGGCATTCAGCACGACATCACTTTAGAGGGAGTCTTGTCCATTGGCAGGGATGGAGTTTTGCGCTCCCTAACTGCAGACCGGGAGGTTGTTGATGCCGTTGGGCTACGTCCAGAGCTAATCAAAGCCATGCTCGATCGTATGCCATTTAACCCGCAAAACGAGATTGACTATCGCGGTGTTGATGGGACCAGTGTCCCGCGTGATCAGTGGTTTCATCCCGATAGGAAATTACTACCACTGCCCTTAAGTGAGGAGAACAGAAAAGGGCCTTTTTCGGCAGAGCAGTTGGAGAGAAATCGCGAGTTTCTCCAGCAGAGGGCCGCAAGGAAGAGCTGTCCCATTCGTATTCGCTCTGACAACGACTTGGGTTTGAGGAAGTCAACATCGAACTCCTAAGTTCTAAAAAAAATCTGAGATTTCTTTATCTTTGAAAGTCAGTGCTCGGCGCAGTTGGACTAAACCTGCTAATATTATTCTATAGCGACCGGCTTCCGTACTCCTTGTGAACGCCTGAGTCTGATACCTTATGTGAACCATCAATCGGATTGGTGTCGGCATTCGGTTCTATCATTATTCATTATCGGAACGGACAACGGCTGGAAGCGCTGATCTAGTGTCGTGGAGACTTCATCAGAAAACCCTGATATTTCGGCTGAAGTACTGCTAGTTTCTTTTGAATAGTTTCCTAGTTAGGGTTCTGCGTTCTGATTGTAGGAAAGAAAAATACTCCCAATGTTATTTCAAACTCCTCTGAATACTATGCAAACCTTTCGCAACTACAAAACTAAGGGTTTTGGTATGCTTTGTTGCAAAATATTCATGGCTGGTAATCAGCTCAAACTACATTTTCATCGTGTATATTTCTTCTAATATAATCCTTATCTTGCCTACAGAGAGCATCGAGCCACTAATATCAAAAGAATTTTTATTTCAAGCTTGTTATCCTCTGCTTCCTAGGACCAAAACGAATTTTAGGCTCCATCCAGCCCAGTGATATTATGAACCATCAAGAAGCCCATCATGACGGCCATTTTTTTCCTGATCTTGTCTGCATTTGAAACTTGACCCTGTAACCTATAAAACACTGGGTAAAAGAAATATATTGCTGATACTTTCAATTTAACTTCTTTTCTAGGTGATGGCATCTCCATCTCAGGTTTCTAATTCATCTAATTGGGTACTAAGAGTAACACCAAATCTGTTCAATAGAAACATACACTACAATGTGTACCTGAATCCAGGCTGGTTCTCAATAATTCTCTCTCCTCTGTCGGCTTGCCTATTAGCTCTGGAAAAAACAAAAAAGTTCTTGGTCACAATAAGTGCAGCCGTTGCCTAGCAGAAATTAGTCTTGACATTTCAAACGCTGTGGGCTTTTTACATGACTTACCTGAAATGCTATGCAGATGCTTAGACCTGTTGTGTATCGTGGCGCCTCCTTGCTCTGAAAAATATTTCCGGAAATAACTCCTCCGAGAGCTCCACCAATAGTCAGCATGCCAGCACAAAGAGCAAGTTTGGATTTTCCAACTGTTTGGTTTGATCAATATTCTGACTGAATATACGCTCAGGATGATGGAGAGCATACCTGTGTTGTTGTGTTGGTACCCGAAATTAGCAGGCACATTGCCACAGATGCCAACGACACCTATGAACACGCCGCCATAGCGTGTAGAAGGGTCGTGACAGAATCCCATCCTAGCTCTAATTTAGATTAAGTACTAACCACATATATAGGCTGACATACATAGAAGCCCCGATTATGTAGAGAAGACTGTTGAATACCATTGCCGGACCTCGGGTCTTGAATCTGTCGGAAAGCCAAGCCACGAGAAGAATCCACTTAGTATGTTAAATGAGTTAGCTGCTCCTGTGATTGAATTAAAAGAGACGTACTGGTACTGCTACAGCGTATGGCCAAAACGTCATCAACTGAGACTTTGATACACTGTACCCGAGACCTTCCTCAAGAATCGTTGGGAGAAAGTAGGCAAACGCGTATAGACAAGTATTCTTCGACCTCATGAATAAAGTTTTCGTAGTTTAGATAACAATAAGGGACACCTACGTTTAGAAGCAGTAGCGCTGAGAATTCCCAAATTTTCACATCTCTGAGGTGAGCGAGCATTTCAGTTGTTGAGAATTTCTCAGAACCCATCGACCCTCTATCCGCATGGACATGATTGACCAAGATAGCTACATCCTGCTCGCTAAGCCATGCAGGAAATCCAAATATATTAGGCCGGGTGGCTGTGTAGAATATTAGTTTCCTTTCAACATACAGGAGTGCCGCAACCGCATTACCTTTTTCTGGGAGATCCACGAGAATGAAGAAGGAGGCAATTGCGACAACACAACTCATTATGCCTTCCTATTCTCCGTCAGACATGCCGTTAAAACTTAAACCCAAAGGGTGGAGGAACGCACGATTATAAATATCCAACGCCATCCTTCCAGTCCAGCATCCCCATTCATCCGCTCTATCCCTAAGGCAAGTAGACCCGATAGCCCACTTGATGCGATACCCTGCATGTAAATATGTATAAGTACGGAAAACCAATGGAAAATTAGAAGATAAATGTGGTAAACGTTACTAATAGGTAAAACCCTGCAAATCTACCCCATCTTTTTAGAATATCTGCCCATCTAAATGGATACCAGGAACTTACCTTAATTGTATCTCAAACCGTGAGTACCAGACACTCAACACTGTTCCATCACAATCAGAATATGTAGTAACCCCGTATTGTCATAGTAGAAAGGCTTACAGTAGATGGCCGCAGGAACCAAGCCACCCTCGCAGAAACCAAGGAGAAATCGGCACGCTAATATTGACAACTTAGCAAGACAGAGAGAATTTCTTTACTTTTGGAGTATACCTGCTAGCTGGCCCCATGTTTTGACAAATCCTTGGCCAATAGTAAGAACCCTATCATACATAATCAGCCGGGACGTGCCAGACTTGAATAAGGGACAGAATTGCGGACCCCCATGCTCTATATTCTCCTTGTTAGTATGATGACAAGCTATTTAGTGAAAATGGAACTTACACAGCGATTGACGGGATCCACACGGTAGCTCCAAGTTTCCTAACGAGCCAAGTTGCTGGCAGGTCGATGATAATATAACTGATGAAGAACTGAGCGTATACTTGTGTAAGTTCTCCCTTCCATCCAAATGGTGGAATTCAGTTGCACTGCTTACTATCATAGCAATAATAGAGTAGCGGCTTCCCACGTTGAGATGAAGCTGTGTGCTCAGCCCTGCCACTGCTACCTGTGCTTATAGTTAATACATACCAGTACGCGACAATCAATTGATAGTGCTCACGTTTCCAAGATTCGAGCGATCGAGAAAGGCCATGGTATACAGGAGTCCAAGGGGCAGAACGAGGCGCATATCAACCTTACGCTGAATACGTCGAACTTGTTCCCTGTCGCTATCAACCATCGTTTCTAGGCGTTCCGCGTCTCCAGACCAGTCTGACACCTCAATGCAGACTGCCTCTGGTGTTTCCTCTGTCCGTGGGGCCATATTGAATTTCTGTTCCTTTGAAACTTGCATGGTTTGATAGAAATGAGGAGTTTCCTACATTTATCTGGATACGCATAGCTATAGACTTCAGGCATTATCAAGTAGCCGACTAAATAACATTTAAACATTTGTTTGAACTTTAATTGGGGCGGCGCAACCTTGCATGTGGTACATATGCAAATTTTACGCTTCTTTTTTCTTGTATTCTTTACAAAGCGTTCCGTATGTAACTTTCACACTGCCGAAACATCTACCAGTACATGTAATGCCGGTTGTTCCCTGAACAACTAATTCGTGCACATGACGGGCATCCAGGTTGTAGAAAATACACCCGAAACATTAAACTTTCAAAGAAGGAATTTATCGAAAAGTCGTAAATATGAATGTGGAACGGTCACTGTAACTCTCAAAAACGAAACTTTAACTATTCATACTACAATCCAAGACCGACAGCTCCCATGAATGGTGTGGCTGTTATCTGCTAGCAAAATCTGTTTAATCTTGAACTGATATTTAAATAAAGGAACACGAATGCCTCAAGTGATAACTTTAATAATTTACTCACGATCAAAAATCTCACAGCGCAATAGTCATAAGTGTAGTGAAAATTTAACAACTCCCAATATTGTTTCGTAATATATACTCATAAACGGACTACTTATCCTTCTATACTTCTGTCGCAATTTGCCGAGTTTATCAAGAATATCTGTATTATTATGGGCGTAAAACATGAACAGAAATTATATCTCTTTCTTACTTATTTTAAGCTATTGCTTTGGAGCCAAAAACCGATGCTGGTTTTGTGTTGCCCAGTTCAAATCATGCGCGACAATCCATTCGACTGAATCCCCGAATGTATCTAAAAACGCCTTGATCCTTGCGAGCGTTGTCTTGGCCGACTCGAGGTCCGAGTGGACACTGCGCTTTCCTCCATGACCATCGTCGTACAAGGCAATATCCCTTTCTCCTGTAAGGATTCGAGTATCATGGCAACAGTCTCCTCCCAAGTATATCCATTTATCCTTCTCAACACGAAGCAAAAGATTCAAATGGCCTGGTAAGTGACCCGGTGTATCGATGATATAAACACTGCCATCGCAAAAAAAATCAATAGCGTTGGGGAAATTAGCCAGCGGTTGCCACTTGTGCTCTGTTTGACGCGCTGAAAATGTATTTTGGCTGTATGATTCACTTGTTGGTGGAAGTTCACGAGTTCGTTCTAATGGAAGAGGCTCTTTCTCAAACATTTCTGATGGATAGTACGGTGCTCCATGCTTGTACATATGCAAAGTGCCTGATCCGACTATGAATTGAGAGTTGGGATAGTCAGACGGTGTCCCGACGTGATCCCAGTGCGAGTGGCTGAGGATTACATAGTCGATATCTTTCTCCGGATCGAGCCCTGCATCTGTGAGACTTGCTCTGGTGTCTGGGTGGGTGATGATTGGCTGTCGTGCAGGAATGTGGTGCCGCATTCCATCGGCGTATTGAGTGAGGTTGCGCTTGATTCCGAGATCAAAAACAATCCTTTCAGTTCGGGTGTCCGCAGTTTTGTGTTCGACGAGGAAACATAGAGATGGCACCGTCACTGCCTTTGTTGGGTCTGCGTCAGTAACGAATAAGCGCTCAGGAAGAGTGAGGAATCCTCCATTGAGCGCAAAGACCTTCGCCAGTGCTTGGTTTTCGGCTGGGGGAGGCAGTTGAATTGCCTTTGTTTGCGGCATTGACATCGTATGATCGTATAAGGATATGAGGGGTATGGTTGTAATAGGTTTGAATACAAATAGGAGTGTACGGACTAATCCAGCCTTAAGTTCTCGTGAAATGTATATGACTTGGCATATTATAGCAGCTCGGTCTTAAAATGCCGTCAACTATTCCTGATTCAAGATGCTGTAATTAATCCCGATACGTTTCGGTAACGAGTGAATCGGTACTGACAGTATCGGTTCTCATCTAGTACAGGTAACGCCGGAACTCACGGCAGAGAAAAGCATCAACATTGGAAATGCGGAGTAAATTGAACCTTATTTTATTCCAGCCTCGTTACCCCATAGTTATGACTGATTGATTGAAAAATATCCATTCATTTGCTCATATTATCATAGTGCATCTGACATGCACGGTTAGTTGCCTGTATAAAATAGGTGGTTCGACTGTTTGAATGATCCATGCAGGGTTAGTCTATTGGTCCATATATATTTATTGAAGGAGCTTGGGTTAGGTTCCATCCTGCTAGAAAACAAGATGAAGATTAAAATTTCAGACGCCGAGGAACTTGCAAAGTCCGCCCTGCAGAGATTAGGGTACAATGCCTCCAATGCAGCAATCATTGCGCACCATGTCATTGATAGTGAGTTGAGAGGATATTCGTCTGCGGGACTAGCTCGGATACTAAGCATCCGTGATCGACTTTCTGAAAAGGAGCTGAGACAGGAGGTCGTGGTAACTCGCGAAAGCCCTGCCACAATGCAGCTCGATGGACAAGATTCGGTGGGTTATCTCGTTGCTCGGCGAGCAACTGACGAAGTGATTCGAAAAGCACGGACTGTCGGTATTGGAATTGTCGGTGCAAACAACACGTGGTACACTGGGATGCTAGCATATTACGCCGAAATGGCTGCCAAAAGCGATCTGGTGACAATTATCGCATCGAATACCAGTCCCTGGGTGGCTGCCAGTGGCGGATACAGACCAATATTTGGCACAAATCCATTTGCAATTGGATTCCCGTCAAGCAAGACGCCGGTCATCTACGATATTGGAACATCTAAAATATTGCACGCAGACGTACTTCTGGCCCAGCGACTGGGCACAGAGCTTCCAGCAGAGTCTGCATATAATGCCAAGGGGGAGTTTACGAAGAACCCAGTCGAGGCTTTGGAAGGGGCTATCGCGGTCTGGGGAGGGCATCGGGGCTCAGGACTAGCCCTAGCCGTGCAACTGCTTGGGGTGCTTGCTGGGTCTCCAGCTTTGCCTGCCAATCTCGAAGACTTTGGGTTTCTGATTATTGCTGTCAACCCAGCCAACTTCCAGCCTATTGAGAGGTTCAAAGAGGAAATTGACCATTTTGCGAAAAGTATGAAGGAAAGTCCGCCGTTGAATAGCGACAGTCCTCTGAGAGTGCCATTCGAGCGCTCCACGGCGTTACGTGCCAGGAACGTCAGTCTTGGGGAATTTGAAGTAGAAGACCGCGTTGTCGAAATGCTCCGGGGTTAAATATTATTTAGATTGTCTGATTCAGACCATGTTTTGTAAAGTCAGTTTAAATAATATCAAGCCATTAATTGATTAATCGCCATTGATAAGTAATCAGCCAATGCAAACAATGCAAAGTCACAGCGATCAACGACATTTGTCACCTGTTCAGGTTCCAGTTGACGGCCAGCCAATCAGCGGGCGGTCGGCGGTCAGATCCTGCAGGGGGCACCCCACCAAGTGGTAACGGCGTGGCGCTGATTGGCCCGCACCGCGGAGTATTCAGACCGACCGCCACCGAGGCCAGATTGCAATTGCATGTTGCGAGCTCCTACAATGAATCAATAATAAGACAATAACTGCAAAAGAGTCAGCAACCGCATCGCATGTTGTTTCTTTGTTTTTGACATACTAGAATGGCAGTTCTTGTTTGATATTTGTACGCCTCTAGATCGAGCGATCATTTCTTTTAAAACGTTATCCCGTTATCCGCACCGGCGCGATCTCGCCATCGTGACCTCAAATTGATAAAAGTGCTGACTTTTGCAACCAATATGCCGTCTGCCGCGAGGACTTTCTATCTCGCCATTTTCGCACTGTTTATCCCAGCCCATGCTACCCTGGACAGTGCAAAGACAAGCTCGCCGTACTCTTCCGATACCTGCGCTGTAAGGAATACCGTTCGCTCCTGCTGACCAAGCTAACTGCTCTTAATAGATTGAGCCTCACGCTACCGTTTCCGATACTTGTGCCTCGTATGCTACGCTTGATGCGCTGAATGACGAGGTTCGTCCGATCCTCACCTCTATCACCCAAGACACCGACTTCTTCTCATACTACCGTCTCAACCTCTTCAACAAGATATGTCCGTTTTGGCAAGACGAGACCAGCCTGTGTGGGAACATCGCCTGTGCGGTGAATACAATCGATTCTCAAGAAGACTTACCACCAATCTGGCGTATCGAAGAGCTCGGTAAACTGGAAGGGCCGCACGCAGGACATCCTGGTAGACGGCAGCAGCAGGAGCGTCCTAAGCAGAAACCGTTACAAGGAGGACTGGGAGAAGATGTCGGGGAAAGCTGTGTCGTCGAGTATGACGATGAATGCGACGAACGAGATTACTGTGTTCCTGAAGACGAGGGGGCTGCCGCCAAGGGGGATTATGTGAGCTTAGTGGACAACCCAGAGCGATTCACCGGGTACGCCGGCTTGGGTGCGCATCAGGTGTGGGATGCTATATACCGCGAGAATTGCTTTGTCAAGCCGTCGTCTTCTCCTTCCTCTCAACTCGCCCCCCTGCAAGGTCTGCAGGTACAAGCCGCAAACAATTTCCGTAGTGTGTTGCACAAGGAGCTGCCGCAGCTAGATGATGAATGTCTAGAGAAGCGAGTCTTTCACCGGATTATTAGCGGCATGCATGCGTCCATATCTACACATCTGTGCTGGGAATATCTGAACCAGACTACTGACGAATGGGGCCCGAATGTGCAGTGCTACAAGGACAGACTTCACAAACACCCAGAGCGGATTTCCAACCTCTATTTCAACTATGCGCTAGTGGCACGCGCTGTTGCCAAATTACAGAAGCATCTACAACATTACAATTTCTGTTCTTTCGACCCGGATCAGGATTTGGAAACCAAGAATAAGGTTCTCGCGCTGACGGAGCAATTACACAATCGTCCACAAATCTTCGACGAAGCAGTCATGTTCCAAGATGAGCATTCGATCGAACTGAAAGAAGACTTTCGCAACCGGTTCCGTAACGTAAGCCGTCTGATGGACTGTGTTGGGTGCGACAAGTGCCGTTTATGGGGCAAGCTTCAAGTGAACGGCTATGGGACAGCGTTGAAGGTATTGTTCGAATACGACGAGACGAAGAACGGCGAAAACCCTCTTCTACGCCGGACCGAGCTGGTCGCGTTGGTCAACACTCTTGCGCGTATCTCAAAGAGTATTGCTGCAGTTCGCAGGTTCCGCGAGGCGGTGCAAGCAGGAAATGACCAAATTTTGGTTTCAGACTCGAAGTCGGAGGCGGTGGTCGAGGACGAAGGGGTTCGATACTACAGACACTCGGATTCGAATTTATACCCAGACAACTACGAGCCCGAATACGAATATCCAGACAACGGTCGACCGTGGGAACAACGCGAGAAGACCGAGACGCTAGCCGAGGAGTTTTGGCAGGAGTGGCGCATTTTCTGGAACACGCTTGCTTGGGTTTTGAAGAGCTGGATGGCAGTTCCCGGAACCGTGTAAGTTTTCATCTCTATTGGCCTTCGTTATACTACCGTTCGAGCGCTGACTGGTGTAGCTGGGATATTCTTGTCCTGGAATTCAACCGACTGTGGCATTTCTGGCTCGGACTGCCGGTACCGCTGCGGACGTGGAAGATCCAGTTTCCAGAGCCGCGTGAGGAGCTGTGATTGTTATATCACTGTAGCATAGATTAGAGGCGTTTGGTTTGTTGTTATCCATTGCATAGCGCTGTCTTTATAATATGTATTATAGTATCGACGACTCGACTCAGTATACAGCTCGATCATAGATTTCCATTTACCTTCAACAGCATATACTTTTTCTTTAAGACTATTCTCATAGGCAATTCTTGTAGACGATTCTCATATTATTCTCATATATTATTCTCGGGATAATAGAATATTAGTCAGCTCGGTAATAAACTTACTCGACCTCGGCATCTCCGCGCACGGGCGGCTTGTCCAACCACTCACGTGTCCGGGGGTCCCCGCCAAGCCGCATTCTCCTCTCTTCTTGTCTGTCAGCGGACAACTTCAAGCATCAACACCTACTCCCCAGAAATTGAAGTCATCGTCAACGGGCTGAGACCGCTCTCCTCGAGTCGCGCACACTGTATCGTCTTCTAGATAGATAGATACACAGGCTCGCCTCCCGTCGATGTTCAGCCGCTTTTAGAGAGCCGGCAACTGTCATGGCGTCCGTATCGCCACCCAAGCCCTGGGAGAGGGCTGCCGCTGGGGCAGCTGCTGGTAAGATGCGATGTGCCCACTGCGCAGTACTGCATTGAGATTGCTAACATGGCGATAGCCTCGTCAATTGTGTCTCCCCCGGGTGCGTCACCGAGCGCTGCTCCAGTAACGTCTACGCCAACTGCCACCACTACCTCGGCATCAACTACCCCCGACCTCCCATCACGACCCAACGGTTTGAATGCCGTCGTCAATAGGACGGCGACGAATTACTCTGCCTACGGCGCGAATCGGCTTGGAACAAGTCCTTATAGTACATATGGTGGGTACGGGGGCTATTCTTCGCCGTATTCGCGGCTGGGCGGCGGGATGTATGGGGGTTATGGCGGGTATGGAGGGATGTATGGTGGCATGGGCGGTATGGGTGGCATGGGCGGCATGTATCCTGGCATGCCAGGTGATCCGAACGATCCAAATAGCTTGACGAACTCGTTTAGTCAAGGAACTGCCGCCACATTTCAGATGATTGAGAGCATTGTCGGTGCTTTTGGAGGCTTTGCACAGATGCTTGAGAGTACATATATGGCGACACATAGCTCTTTTTTTGGTGAGTTGTCTTGTTATGGTTTTTCTGCAATTTTTTGATAAGTACTAACTGTCATAGCCATGGTCTCCGTTGCGGAGCAATTCGGCAACTTACGAAATACACTGGGCTCGGTTTTGGGCATCTACACATTAATTCGATGGTTCAAGACATTAATTGCAAAACTCACTGGCCGCCCACTTCCAGCTGATGCCACTTCATTGACCCCGTCGGCCTTTTCGGCTTTCTTGCATGGCCGCTCTGCACCAGCGACGCTTCCTGATGGCAGCCCGGCTCCTCCTCGCCCGTCCAAAAAACCATTCATCATGTTCATCCTCGCCGTATTTGGCCTGCCCTATTTGATGAGCAAATTAATACGTACTCTAGCTCGATCTCAAGAAGAGGAAGCCCGTCGACACCAACAGTTAGTTGGCCCTAATGGGGAGCTTCAGGCCGCTCTTGATCCATCCAAGCTGGATTTCTGCCGCGTCCTTTATGACTATACTCCCGATGCTCAGACCACAGCCGGGGTCGACCTTGCTGTGAAGAAGGGCGATATCGTCGCAGTCCTCGGTAAATCAGACCCTATGGGCAACCCGTCCGAATGGTGGCGATGCCGTGCTCGTGATGGCGGTGTTGGCTATCTCCCTAGCCCGTACCTAGAAACCATTCAACGACGACCAGCACAGGCTGCTATCACCGCTGGACCAAGCACAAGCAGCGCGCCTGGCAGCCGGACAGCCACGATGACCAAGCTAGACGACGGCCAGCGTTCGCAAAGCATGTCATCTGTCAGCAAGCCGGCTCTGAGTGGGAAGATGGGGGATATCACGCCTCAAAGTTTCCAGAAAAGCGCATTTCAATCATGAATGATTTTTCATCTGTATAATGGGTTCTTCCTGCCTTTGTTTTTTCGTTTCCGGTTGGTTTCCGGTTGGTTTCCAGGTTTGAGCGTTAGATTTCGTCAGGCTGCGAATGTTATCAATACCTTTGTACTTATCTATATTTTATTTATTATCCTCTACTCTCATGGCAGGGAATGAACGCATAATTCTTCATCACGCCCACCAAGTAGAAATAGCCCCAGAAACAAGTATTAACAGGGTATTAATACCGTGTTTATTATCCCGATCTTATCTACTCCGGTGTATCCTCACTAATATTCTTCACACGGGCTGTTCCACGGCTCGGTATCCGTAGTTTTAACACCGATATGACACCTTGACGGTCCTGGTTTTGCCGCATTCGGAAAAAGCGTCACCTACTATCTCGGGCGAATGAGCAACCCCACTTGGCACCAGTTTGCAAAGCCAACAACCAACGTCGCTGATGCAACGCTAACGCTAATGCTCGCTTACTCTGTCTCTCACTGGATTGCTTCCCGTTCTTTCTTTTTTCTTTCGCTGGATTTTTTCCGAGGGGTTTGGTTTGGTTTGGTTTGGCTTTGGTGTTTCGAGATGGAGTTGTATACAGAAGACAAGACATAGCAATTGATACCATTCATACATTTTGAATCAACTCTATTATTTCAATGCTTTATTGAGAACGACCTGACATCATTGTTGCAGAAAAACTCGGTGTCGCGAATTTTAACCCGTTTTATCGCCGAATTTGCCCTAAATGTGCATTTGCATTTGCATCTAGAATCGAAATCTGTTCAGTCTTTGATTCTGATTCTGATTCTCCAATGGGCCAGTCTAGTAACAGCAATCAAGATGCTGCCATGGCCAGTGAGCAGAATACAAAGACATCATCATCATCTACGTCGCCGGCCCCAGCTGAGGCCGTGCCTGTCGAAATGAGCGATGATAAGCAACAGTCAAGTGGAATTCTTCGTCGTACATGGGATACTATCAACTGGGTGCCACCGTTGTGTCGCTACGACCCTAAGAATCCGCCGAAACTGACAATGGCGTTGAACATCTTGTTCGGAATTGCATGCACTTTTACTGTAACCACTCCCTCTATACTTCAAAAACTAAATGTTATGGGAAGTTGCTAATATTAATGTCATAGGTCGCTAATCTGTACTACTCTCATCCCCTGCTCGAGATCCTCGCCGTTTCGTTTAATATCAGCCAGGAGCGCGCAAGTCTCATCCCAACCGTCGCCCAGGCTGGATATGCTACGGGCTTGTTGTTTCTGTGTCCACTGGGCGATATCGTCCGACGACGACCCTTTGTCCTGCTACTTATGGCGTTTACAGCCACAATCTCCCTCGGCCTCTGCTTGACCAAGAGCTTCGAGGCTTTTGTCGCCTTGAACTTTATCATGAGCGTCACAACCGTCACTCCAGTTCGCCCAACCCCAAAAACCATTTACCCCCCTATTGGATCTAACTAACCTCTACCAGCAAATCATGCTCCCACTCGTCGGCCAGCTCGCCGCACCTAACCGCCGCGCCACAGCCATCGCCATTGTCGTCTCGGGCCTCCTGCTCGGCATCCTGATCGCGCGGCTGCTCTCCGGCATCATCGCCAACTACTCGTCCTGGCGCAACGTCTACTGGATGTCATTTGCGCTGCAATACCTCATCCTCATCCTGCTCTGGTTCCTGATGCCTGATTACCCACAATCAAACACAGGCCTGAACTACTTCCGCATGCTCTTCAGCATTCTCGAGATTATCGTAAAATACCCGCTCCTCGTGCAGTCCTGCCTAATCGGCTTCTTCGTCTCCTCCACCTTCACCTCCTTCTGGACCACCCTCACCTTCCTCCTCTCCGATGACCCTTACAACTACTCCACCATCGTCATCGGCCTCTTCGCCCTCGCCGGCATCGTGCCCATGTTCTTCGGCCCGTTCTTCGCGCGCCACGTGACCGACAAGTTTGACACCCACGTATCCGTGCTCATGGGGCAAGGCTTCTGCTTAATTGGGATTATCATCGGCACTTTCACGGGGAAGATATCTGTTGCTGGGCCAATCGTGCAGGCCATTATCTTTGATTTCGGCCAGCAGATTTCGCAAGTGGCTAATCGTACCGCCGTGTATTCGGTTGAGCCAAAGGCCGCGAGTAGGGTGAATACGGCGTATATGCTTTGTGTGTTTTGTGGGCAGTTGATGGGGACGGCGGCGGGGAATCATTTGTATGCGAGCGGGGGCTGGGTGTTGTCTGGCGGTGCGAATATTGGGTTTATGGGTGCGGCCATGGTAATTTTGTTGCTTAGGGGCCCGAAGGAGACGGGCTGGGTGGGCTGGAGGGGGGGGATTGATTTAAGGAGGAATAAGAGGGAGGATAAAAAGGATGGAAAGGAGGAGACGGGAGAGGGAGGAGGAGTGCGAGAAGAGCAAGATCACGATCCAGAGAAGGGAAAGTGCGTGAGCCCTGAACAAGATGCGCAGTCTGAGGCGGAGAAGAAGGGGGCTGGGAATGATATCGATTGATCTCGAACTTCTCAATTCTCAACGTATAAGAAAGATATACGATCAGTGCGTAATGTTCAGTAACATTTGAACTGGGGGAGATAGATATATATAACTCAATTGATCTCAATTGATACTACGAGGTAAAAGACTAGCTAGATTCAACCAATCAAATATGTGAATTTGTTGGCATTACAACACTTGAATCTTGTCTAGACGATATCTCTAATTACTAGCATTGACCTAACTAATCCCTGCTCTAGTCTTGCCATATGCTTCCAAGACAACCCTAAAGGCTCGCGAACACCCTATATAAATCATACGCTAGCGACACAATCATGCACCTCCGCCCTTACTCCAAGACAGTGAAATAACATCGCTTTTTACTTTGCCATTAAAGGATTTAGATTTAGTTAACTCTTTCCAGAATCCTCCTTCAGACCCACAATGCGATTAAGAACAATCTTGTCTTCAGTGCTATCCGAGTCAAGAGCCTGCCACCAGAAAAGATTATCAGCATGAACAGACATGATTAGAAGAAAGTGACTTACAAAATAAGCAACTCGAATGCCCTGGAACCGGACACTCTCCGGTCCAACTTCACCTGCCTTTTCACCCTCTGCTTCAGGCCATGGCGCGCGTCGTTTCACCTCGTAGAAGCCCGTTTCGATCATCGCATTAGGCCAGATGGTCTCGCTGTCGGGGTTGATGTCGTTCATAAACCCGCCAGGCACGGATGCAGGCTGGTCTGATTTGAAAAGGCGCGCGTGGATACGTACTTCGGCGGTGGGTGAGCCTTCGGGGACCCACTGGATGTACGTCTTGGGCCTTTTGCCTTCTTTGTCAAAGACTGCTCTGATTTCCTGCACGGCTCCTGTGGTCTCGTCTTTGGTGAAAGATACGGCTTTGATGGGGTATGGCATTTGTAACAGGCCGACGGTCTTGCCTGGCGCGAGACGGAAGTAGTCTTTGCTGTCTACCTCGCGGAAGTCAGAGCGATCAATGTATACTGTCTTGGTTAGGCGGAGCTTGTGAGAGCCCATGCTAGGGTCTTTGGGTGAAAAGGGAACGTCGACGTCTTGCTCTTCGGCGTCTTCGATTACGACCGGGACGGGGTCAAGAACGACCATAAGCCGGGGAACAGTCCTTTCAAGATATCGTCGAATCGACTGCTCAAAGCGTTTTATATCGATCACGCTTGTAGATGTGGTAACACCAAGCTCGGAGATAAAGGAAAGAAGTGCGCCTGGAGGTATGCCTCGTCGGCGGATTGCTTTAAGAGTATAGAGTCGAGGGTCATCCCACCCGCGGACGATTTTATTTTCAATCAAGCTTCTTAGCCCTCTCTTGCTCATGATTGTGCCGCTGAGGTTCAAGCGGCCATACTCGCGCTGCATTGGTTGGAATTCTACCAGGAGCCTGTACCGTGTTAGTTCAAATCTTATACACACTTTATTTTAGAAGTTCTTGTTGGTAAACGCATAGGGAACATACTCATTTAGCCATTCATAGCTTTCGCGTGACATGATGAATTCAGTAGTGCACAAACTATGTGTGATTCCTTCGAAGCTATCGCACAAGCAGTGCGCAAAGTCATATGTCGGATATACCCGCCACTTGGTGCCCGTCCTGAAGTGCGGCTCTTGGTCTTTGGGAATGCGGTAGGCGGCAATATCCCACATTTGAGGATTGGGGTTGTTTATGATGTCCTGTTTCATGCGCAGCCAAGCGGTTTGCGGTGCATATTCGCCGTCCCGCATGCCACGGAACTTTTTGAGGTTGGTCTCGACATCCTGATTCGCATGCTCGCATCGGTACCGTGGAGAGGATCCCTCCTCGCCGCCGCGCTGGAGTTTGGTTTCCGCTTCATTGCAGTGGCAGACATACGCTTTCTCCATCTTGATCATCTTCTCCGCGAGATCGTACATGCGCTGATAATTGTCCGACGCGTAGGTGATTTTAGAAGGGGTGAACCCTAGCCATCGGATAGTCTCCTCAATAGCGATAAAGTATTCCTCCTTTTCGGCGTCGGGGTTCGTGTCGTCAAACCTGGGTTGGTAGTGTCAGCAGGGATGATTCGTCTCGAGATAGCGCAAAAGTTACCTAAGAATCTACGAGAACGTTAGCTGTGTTCACCCTAATATACTGACAGGAAACTCACAGTTTTTCCTCCATGATACCTAGCAAATCCAAAGTTGATAGCGATTGCCTTCGAGTGTCCAAGCTAACCCTTATATTAGCTTGCTTCCCTTTCACTGGCTCAAATCAAAGGAGGGTTACATGAAGATATCCGTTTGGCTCGGGTGGGAATCGCGTCACCACGTCTTTAGATGGACGCAGCTTGTACACGTCGGCAAGGAATCCCAGCTTGAACATGGCATCGGGGTCGAGGGTAGGCTCTTCAACCTTGGCGGGCTTGCTGGCGGGCTTGTTGGCTTTCTCCTGCTGTACGGATGACGCAGCAGCAGCAGTTTTAGCAGCCTTCTTGGCACGTTTCTGCATTCGCTTCTTGAGCTCGCTCTTGGATACCATCTCGCCCGTCTCCTCGTCAAGCTGCAGCTTGGCCACACTTTCGGCGACCGCGTCCGCCATGGTGGTCACCACTGAGCTGGGTTGACTGTAGAATGAAATCGGGGCGACAATTAATTGACGTAGAATGCCTAGTCGAGCTTAATTCGGTCGCTTGGGTTATTTTCTGCTCTTCAATGTTGTTATCTCGCCTGGTGAGAGAACGAGGGTTGCTTTTTTGTATGAGTCAAAAATGCCCCACCTACCCGCCCCCGCTGGTGCCTCGGAGCCTGAGGCAGAACTTTCTAGGCACGTGACCTCATATGTACTGGGATTTACTATTCACCTTGTTAGATTGAATCGATGGAAATGCATGACAAATTGGTTAAATTCTAGTGAATACAATATAATATACTGATTCTTGCATTATTTTGTCAACATTCACACTTGGCGCGGAGCCAGCATCACATGTGCTAAGAACTATATCCATACCAATTCCTACCTATTCAGCTTCGAGAATTGTGTACAAATTTTCTATAAACATAAATGAAATAAATGTAAAGTCGGCTACAACTTCCCATTCTTCTTGGCCGTCCAAGTAGCAATTGCATCCATCAAAGCCGGACTCAACGAGTCGTACGTTGCCAACCCAACGCTCTGGAACTTATTACGAACCTCATCGATTCCCTCCGGATTGAACCCTTGCTCAATAATACTAGACACAAAGGCTGCAAACTGTGGTTCCTGCCACCCCTTTGTATCCGAAAGTTCAACATGCACAAAGTCTAGACCCTTGAACGGATGATCGACGTGGATACGCCCATACAAATGAACACCACACTGCGAGCATGCGTTTCGCTGGATGACAGCCGACGAGTCAACGACGTGCAACTTGTCGCCGTTGGCGGTAACCTGTACTTTGTCGACGGGGATGACACCAATCACGGAGAAAAGCGTACCGGCTGGTTTCCAGCATTTGGAGCAGCCGCAGGCGTGGTTGTGGAGGACGTTGGAGCCTAATGTTACTTCGACTTTGTTGCTGGGGCAGTGGCAATGGAGTTTGCCGCCTGTGAAGTTTGGTTGGCCTTTGGTTAGACCGTTGTCGATGAGAGGATGCAGGGAGGGTGCCATTTTGATGTCTGGTAGTCCTGATTGGTCGAGGATGTGTAATGGAATACGTAGTAAACAATGTCGATGATGGAAATGAGGACCTTTGGGGATATTATCGTGCTTAAATACTGAGACAATCCTATAAACATGCAAATATCCGGTGATTGAATGCCAATCCTATTCAGGGTTGAATGACTGTCGCTTTCCAAATTTGGAAACTAATCAGGGTTTCGACAGCCCCACTCGCTCCGACAACTTCGGCGTCATCATCGTCTTTCCATGAATGCTCGAGAGGTGGAGAATATTGTACAATTCAAGCTATACAACGAATATACCTACCTTAACAGTCTAGCAATTGATTTCTGCGACGGGTTCGTACGGATGATTGAGGTGGGCCGAATGCACCACCAACACCAACCAATATTAATGGCGTTATTGCGCATCCCCACAGACCCCGTCGAATAAGTAGCGGCCGAGCTATTACAATCCGATGGTAAAGAACGTCCCCAGTTCTGTCGTCTCTATTGCCCTCCATCGGCCTCCGGTGGGGAGACTTTCTCTCCCATTCAATGGCTTCACGGCCGTGCGGGGCTGTCTGACTGGATCTTACATATGTAAAATTCCATGATAATATGTTGAGAGCTGGTTAGTTTGCATCAACACAACATTATATCTTGCACGTTTGGTTTATTGGTCGATGTTAGACATACAAAATTTTTGAACTCATCTGAAGACTGTTCTTGTAGTCGACTGGCACGTCACTAGAGCAAATTTAATTGGCTTACCGTACACAAGGTTTACCATTTCGACTTTAATGTAGGAAATAAAGAGTTAGATGAACTAATAGAGGTAAAATATCAAACGGCTCATTCCTAGGAACTAAGATTATCCCGAAATTACCCAGTAAGTCCTGCCCCTCACGGTTGATAGAATCCCACGACATCATATGGCTCTTTGCGATCGGTCGATTCAGAAGCAGTCTCCGTTCCAGCCACTTCAGTAGCGGTACCTTCGTATGTTGGCATATCGCCGTGTATGGCTTCCTTCACCAAAGTTTCCTTGGCCGGGAAGAAATGACTCAGAACACAATAAAGGAAGAAAGCGCTGCTGAACCCCCAGAGGTAGTTCATCTCCCAGATATGCCGAATTCCGGCGCTTAGTTGGATCGAGGGATTGACTGCATTCGCTAGACCTGGCATATTTGGAGTTACTGATACGAGAAAGGACACGGCGGCTCGCCAGTTGATGCCTGCAATATAACGATATCGGCCGTAGCGACGGTACAAGGCAGGCACGTCAAAGCGTCGTCTTTTTACGATCCAGTAGTCTGCTGCCAGGATGGCTGCAATTGGGGCAAGGAATGTTGATAGCCCTGACATGAATGTCAGCAATGAGCTGGCTGAGGCTACAATTTTCCAAGGCACCATGATCCATCCTGCCGTTACGGTCGTTATTATTACTCCTCGGCGGATGTTAATGTACTTTGGGCAGAGGTTTGTCATGTCGTTGGAGCATGATATGACATTGGCGGACAGGTTGGTTCCGATTTGCCCAACAACCCAAGCAAATCCGACCCAGAAAGCGCCACATCGGCCCCATGGACCATTCCACTCCGCGGCAAGGTCGAGTGGACTCCAGAGGTATTCGCCGTACAAAATCTTTGAGCAGCTAGTGGCGATCATGCCGAATGTTGCCATCAAGACGTTGATCATAGGCAGCCACAATGCCTGCCAATATATTCCACGAGGCCGCTTCATGTATCGAGTGAAATCCGGAATATTAGTAGCCATTGTTGCCCTGTTTCATAGAATCCGGAATTAGTAACTAGGGTAAATGTGGGCAAGGGCAGACCTACCAGCTACCACACATGCTCGAAAAGCTGTTCATAATAAGCCATGATCTTGTCGAGCCACTCGATTGGTAAGGTTGGTTCCAAATATCGCCTACTCCACCGGCTTGCTTTGTCGTGGCAATCACCACAGCCACACTTACCGTGAGGACGATAAATATCTTGAATACAAAAAACCATTTAAGTTTGTGTGGTGCAATGAGCAATATCGGGAATTGCACAGACCAGAACACAAAATGGGCAACCATCTGGTTTGTCGTAATGCCTGCGCTTTCTGGCAAGTGGTTTGGCATATCCAGGAATGACGGCCATATGGAACGAATGATTTGAAACATGGCGGTACTTCCTGTCCATGTCTGGATTGCTAAGTGGACAGATGAGTGTCAGCCATCTTCTGTCCTTGCATTATAGCGGAATTTCAGAGCTTACCGTGCCAGAAGAGAGCAGTTATCAGTCGAGTGACTACCGCAAAGCGAGAGAAGTAAAATCCGAAGGAGGATCGTATAGCAACCGGGAAGGGAATGTGAAACGTCGCACCAATATGACCGTTGAGTATTAATGGAATTGTATCAACCATTGCCCCAGTCAGAGCTATAAAAATATTAGCCAATATATGACATTGTGTCAACCATTAACTCTTTTACTTAGATAAATGCTCTCTCTCCACGTCAAACCAGCCTGGATTATAGAACTAGCACCTTCCCAAGCTTGAGCATTCAAGGCATCGCTGCCCCAAAATCCTAAGATGGTGAACGACGTCCATGTTCGTCTCTCCAGTGGCGTAACATCAGAATCGATGTTAGACCAGGTACCGTCATCTGCAAAGCTCGTTTGTTGGCGCTCGAGGACCCAGCCGTCCAATGTGGTGTATTTTTGGATCTTCTCTCGTATATGTTGCTGTTTGGCAGAGGCAAAGCGCCTCCTAACTACATTCGCCTCCATGTTCATTTATTGGGTCGATTGGATATGCCAGGAAATGGCCCACACCCAACAGTTCGCAGCATCCTATATATGTAACATAGGCCAGTATTAGTGACCTGTAATGTCGGCCAGCATTAGCGCGGCCGATATTTGTATATCTGCAAGACCGAGGGACGGTCTGATAACAGATAAGGCGATAACATTACGCTATGATAGGCTACGCAGACCCCGTAGCTGATACTGTATCTCCCCCACAGTGGCACACCAATAGGCTTATCACTGATCTGAGGGCTCTTTACTGCCTCTACCAGAGTCTCTGGAGAGAATTGCCAAGATTCTTCCATTTCTCAATATTTCACCCTTGTAAGACGAATTTTAATACCGAGTCCTCTTTGAAAAAAAGCAATAAAAGAAAAAATTATCATATTTTAATGGACAACACTCTAGTCATTTTTAATTAATATTAGTTAGATACTGGGGTAAATTCTCACGCGGAGTAGATTTTAGTTACCGAAGAACCCCCTTTCGCCCCTACACAATATATAGATCATGCTTTTATACCATAAAAATGATGTACAGGACTTAGAATGACTCAAACATGCTGAGCCTATGTGTCGTCATCTTTTTCCCTTTCTTTCCATCATAAAGCACTTTGCAATGCGCTGGGCCCTGCATTTCCTTCCTTGATTTTGGAAAGTGGTTGATAATCAGGCTGGTATTCACCGCGATAGGACAACATAAAAGTCCCCTTTATGTCAGACTACCCAACCAATCGCACCCCCGAGCCTTGCTTTCTGTAGAGAGGGGTTCTTGCACTGCAATGTCGTTGGGGGAATGGTCTGCGAGATCATGACCTTCCGCCGCCCGTTCTGATAGAAGAGAATGATGTACCAAAGCACCGGACTTTCAATGTTACTATAACCTCTTGCTTATACATGGCCATTCTACTAAAATAGGTTAGATACACTGCAGAGCGCAAGACATAACGCCCGGGGGTTTCCTGTCAATCGCCAGGTGACATTCCAACGCTGGCTTCTCTCTTCTAGGTGCACTGGCAGCCCGTACGATTTAGTCATCTATGCATCAATACTGCAGCCTCTGAAAATGCAAGATACAACCGCACAGATACCAGAGGTACGCAGGGGAATCATTCCCGTCCAATTCAACGATTGGGAAAATGTATTTGTTGCCGATATGTCTCCGGTGTCCTTGTGATACAACTCAAGCATTAGCTGCTAGCTTATCTTATAGTACTGCTGGCCTCTATAATACCCCTAACGACCTTACAATCTACCTTATATTCATACTTTATCCAGCCACATTACTCCCAGAGGGCCCTCTGAACTTGTGGATGAAGCTTGCCGTATGGACCAACTCTGGTTCTGCAACGGCCTATGGACTTGCTTAGGAGATCTACCGCACAACGGCTCTTACGCAAGACAACCAACCCGTGGACTTCATCGCCAAAGCGGGAATGCTAATGGATATTACTCAACGATCATCCTGATACCGGAATTCCAGCTCGGAGTAGTGCTTCTCATTACTGGCGATGCGGAATTGCTGAATCATCTGAGAGAGAGTATAACGTCTACATTTGCCCCCCTTGCAAATGAGTTACTTCGCACTGCCGCATCTTCGAGGTACGTGGGCTGTTATAAATTGTCTACCGGCACGGATGGCATCTCCGTGTCCAACGGTAGGATCGAGCTCGCAGAAGACAACCAAAGGCCAGGGATTCACCGGAAAAGTTGGACTTCTCTCGGCGTAGATTTTGTGGCCACATATGCTGAGCTATCGGGTGTGAGTTGAATTCAGGAAACTGATAACTAAGAGCACTACCTGGCGATCTCGTCACGGCAGCTTTCATGGCTGAAATTTGGCGGCTTGTTATTATACCAGAAATGCGACCAAGATCAGGGCCAGAAGCGATTGTGGGACGACTTCTGTGCTGCGGATATTGACGATCTCTCTTATGCCGGGAAACAATGGGAGAGTTCCACGTGGGTTTTAATGCAAAGGGACAGGCGATGACAATAAATGGGATAGGATTACGCACTATTCTGCATCCGACTACTTGCGAGGATGTGGAGATTGGTGAAGTAGATAATAGGGTAAAGATATTTGTCGAGAAATCGGAATTATGAAAAGCTGTCTATATCTCATATTCGATTGCTTTTTCCGTAAATCATCGAAATTCTCTACAAGTAAACTGCCGCAAATGAATAGTTCGTTAAGAAGCCAAAGCATAATACTGAGGAGTGGAGGATACTTATTCTATCTAGGGCAGGGAGCTTTTCGTATCTATATTCTAATTTCTACATCCTCTGAATTGGAATTTCGGAGTATAATAGGCAGTTCCAGGATTGAACATTAACATTGAAGGTTCATGAGTAGATATCGATTGATCGATTTACTGGTGTCTGTATTATCCTCTAATACATGTACAGCCCCTATCACGGCCCTTCCAGAGTGGCCAGCAGATAATTAGAGGCGCTGTGAGTGACCTATATATTATCTAATTCACGCACATTGATATTGATATTTTGACGACGTCCAATATGATAATCAGGATTCAGTAAATCAATACCAATTACTCTATCTTTGAAGCTTGACACGAGAATACCAAGACAGTGAGAGAATGAATACTAGCAAGCAGTTGCGTGTGAGTCGTGTAGATATATTAGCAAGGCCACGTTGAAGGCGCCAAACCATACACCAGGCATCTATTGACGACCGTCACAGGTATGTGAAATGGAGTCGAAATATTTAGTATATTGTGAATAATTTATCACACAAAGAGTGGGAATAGGATATGATATATTAATTAATAAGAAGTAGCGGAACCCCCGTCCCAAAAAAGAATCACCAGCAAGAGAAAGGACGCTTAACCTTCAGGATGCGGAAATTAATAGGCTCTGGAATCTGACGCGACTACCGTTCCTTGAGGGACCCATGTCATGAATGGATATCAATTGATATTTAATCTGAAGATAAAGTATACCATCGTATTCAAATCAAGTAAATATAAAAGCATCAATGAAACCCTAAGACAAAAACGTACTAGACTGTTTTATTTCGGAGCTCCATTTAATACGAGTCTAAGATGGGAGTTTTTCTCCGAGAATTGAGGCTCGAGATAAGCAAGAATCCCGCGGGCCCCGCGCAGCCCGCGGGATTGTGCATGTTATCTATCGGACTACCGACCGTCAATATTGCATCGAAGCGGTGGGGTAGTCATGAGATTGACTAAACGCCATCTTATCTTTTATTTTGGTTTGTATCTATATTAATTAATGCTTATAAGCTGCGTTCTATAAATATGTGTTAACCGAGAGGATGGTGGCACTAGCTTCGCTGGCAGAAGCTATAATATGACGTTGTCTTAGATAAAGTCAAGCAATCGCATAATTTCGATGAAATCCATGATTGATGTCACGCAGCTACAAGCACAAGTTGTTGAAAGTCTGCGAGATGCGTGCAACTGAGTCGGATTCTTATATATCGAAAACCAGGGCATTCCGCAATCCATAATCGATCAAATATTTTCTACAACGGAACAATTTATCAGTCTGGGCGCGGATATATATATATAACAACATGCGTATTTCAAAATTGGGACAGTGTTGTGTGAATATAAGGAAGAATGTCTATACGATTGAGATAAAAAAAGCCAGATTGAATGAAGCCTTCAGTTTGGAGTGGATCCATTGAACAACAATCCCTCTGATTTCTGCAGCAGAAGTGAGGTCTACAATAAAGTGATAACGCCCTCACAAGTGGGCAAAATCTCTGGCCGAAGCAAAACCGAAAATGTGTCGTGATATTAGTCTAATGATACATGTACTTTTCGCAGTACAATCCATCGCGTTTTAAATGTCACGAAGCGAGAACGTTATTCGATACCGGTGTTTATCGGGCCAAGCTATAACACCATAATTAAGCCCCTGGCGACCTGTCTAGCTGAGGGCGCAAAATATGATCCCATTTCGGCTGTCCTTTAAGTTTGGAAAAGGCTCGCTATTAGGAGACTCGAAAAGGACGAGTGTGAGAGGCAACCTGTGAAGATGGAAAGCCACCTAAAAACCCTGATCGATGTAACCAATGTTGACTATATATCGTCAAGACCTAATGAATAGTTTCATCGGCACTGCTGAGCTAAATATTGTATATAGAATCTTTGAAAGATCATTACATGGCTAGATAGCTTACACCTGCATCTTTGAAAACTGAGGTTTGGAACATATGAGATAGGTTGAGAGCCACCTCTTCGTTTATGGAGGCATTAAATCATAGCTGGGACCGGTGGAATTTGAAAACGTCCATGACATGATGTTATCCAGGTCAATGGACGTCGCGGAAAACTGCTGGATTGACAATGGCGAGAAGGCGACGTTTTCGTTTATTTCAACAGACGGATCAATATTTGCTGTGTTTGTGAGATTTACTCTTTCCGAATGCAGCTCTGGAAATGAAATCTTGGAGTTCTTCCAATCATCCCACCCCAGCACTCGAAGTCTAGTATGAGTATAAGATACCCAGTCGCTCATTTTCGCTTTCATACGAAGCTGCCACTCAAACTCTTTCATCAGATTTTGCAGATCCTCCGATTCTTCCATGCTGACGCTTGTAGTGCGAAGAAGGCCTAGAAATCCGCCGAGAATTGTTGCACATCCACCTGCGGCAAAGAACCAGAATGATTCCATATGCTCGGGACGCAGATGCGAAATAAATTGAACTAGGGTACGTGCTCGTGTTCGAAGCATTCCGCGGATGAATTGAACAAATTGCGGATCAACTTTAGACTTTGATTGCTGTATCGACCACAGCAAACGTCGATGTAGTGCTGCGGTTGTCGCATGCAGCGCGAGGTGAAGAAATCCATTCATGCATAGCTTCCCGGGTTGTATATTTTCTAGACCCAATTCTTCCGGGAGATTTCGCAATAGTTGCGCGAGGTCAGTCCCCAATGACTTGGCAATAGTAAGTACTTCTTGGGGCTCAAGCACTTCTGCTAGAGATTTCACAGAATAGAGCTCCCGCAGCATGCGGGAAGCAATACGACTCAAGTTCACGAGCTCCATGAACAACAATTTTCCGTTCTCAATGCTTACACTGCCAACCTCCTCACCCGACTCCTCGTCCCCAGCACCTTCGGAGAAATCGGTAGTCTCAAGTGGTTTCACAATCCAATCGGAGGTTTCTGAAATCATGCATGGTCGCCCGAGAACCAATGCCGAGAATGTATCCTGAATAAATAAAGCCCAGGCCAGTCGTTTCCGCAGACCTTTCTCCCACTCTGGGATATCCCAGTGTGAGCAATCTAAATGGAGCCCAAGATGTTGACCCAGTCCCATGAGTGAAGAGGTGAAAGACCACATCCATGAGTTATCTGTAAACAGTGGATTGCGATGGCGTTGCAAGAGCAGAAGACCAGCTTGTATGGTATTAAGGCGAGGCCGATGCATAGCATCCTGCACAGCATGATGGGCAATCCTGACCAATGCAGCTTCATTGATCTTTTCCTGGAGTAGAAGTTCTGGATCGTACGACCACCAGCAAACAGCCAGCGCATAAACGGCGGCAAGAAGATGCGCAGTAATCTCACGATATGTCCGATTGTACTTTTCTAGGAAAACGTTTTTATGAATAATAGGAAATGAGGGGTGCACAATGCGAAAGTATAGCTTGATTAATATTGCTCCATGTGGACGTACAAGCGACTCGACGTCTTCCACGTTGACTTCGCCCCAAGTATCATCTTTCCGGATACTCTGATAGACTTCAACATCTGGGGTCATTTGGAAGAAAACATTATCCTGTACCTTGCGCAATGTCGACGGGCTGAATATGCTATTGGATGATGCCGTATTGTCTCCATCCCGCAATGGCCGCATTGAGTCGTGGCTATATGTAGTTTTTAATAGCTGGCTGTCATACTCGCCGCCTGGTCCAATGAGCTCTGAGAAGCGGCTTTTTTCAAGACCCAGCGTTTTGGTCAGGATGGATTCCTTGGGATAGTCAAGCTCTTGGTCTAACGCTGAATCCACAGGTGAGTCTGGTAATGGCTCCTCAGAGGGTCTTGGCCGCGGGACTTTCTAGGAGCGAATTCTCTGACATTCCCCGCAGTGGCACGGCGTTTTGGCGGGGAGGCTGTAAGAAGGTGCAGGAAGACAGACCAGCAGCTTGGCAGGTCAAGCAGCTAGGCGATCCGTACAGGGTGACGCATCTTTGTTTCTTCTTCCGGCAAACATCACATGCTCTCATTATGGGAAATGGGTCCTGATACTGGATGGATCCAGAATTCCCAGGGATTTTGCAGGTATACGGAGTCGGAAGGAGTGCGCCGATAAAGGAGATGCTGGGATGACTGGAAGATAAGCAGGCAGATAAGAGCAACGCCGCGATAAGATATGGATAAGATAAGAACGGCGCTCTTCCCGACATCTGGAGCCGCGGGCTGTCTCAACGGCAAGCAATATCGTGGCTTAAAGCCTGGCTTGTCTGGCGCAATGTTCCCCAATCATGTTTACCACAAACCCTGTCGTCCATGCCAATTAGACCTTAAATTATCATTCACAAGATGGTTGCTGCCCAGTCAATGAACCGGATCGCCGGGTCGGCCGAAGGCAATAGGGATGTGTCTGTATCATTTGAAGCGCAACCATACGCATTCCGCTTCAATCCCTCGACAACTGCCCTTGTCATTATTGACATGCAGCGTGACTTCCTGCTCAAAGACGGCTTTGGATATATTCAAGCAGGGGATGCGGGAGTTGAGAAGGTGCAAGCCACCATCCAGCCGACGCTGGCGGTATTGCGCATGTTCCGCGAACGCAGAATGCATGTCATTCATACACGCGAAGGCCACAGACCAGACCTTCGTGATCTACCGACACCCAAATTGTTGAGGCAAGCACGTGCTCCAACCACACGGCACTCCATGGTTATTGGAGATGTCGGTCCAATGGGACGACTTCTGACAAGAGGAGAATATGGCCATGATATTATCGATGAGCTACAGCCAGTTGTTGGGGAGTATGTGGTTGATAAGCCTGGAAAGGGAAGCTTTTTCTCTACTTCCTTACATGAGCACCTAGTCGATAGGGGAATCACTCATATGATTGTTGTTGGGGTCACTGTGGAATGCTGTGTCACAACCACCGTTCGGGAAGCCAATGACCGAGGATTCGACGCTTGTATTCTCAGCGACTGCACAGGTGGCTTTGTGTCAGATTTCAAGTCGGCCTCGCTCGACATGATACATTTCTCGGAAGGACTTTTTGGATTTGTTAGCCATTCACGACCACTCCTCGCCGCCTTGTCTTCACTTCCAGCCCATCCTCTAGAGAATGGAGCTGACTGGGACGGTTCGTTGGATATAGAAACCCTGAAGACTGCATACTCGGCAGGTCTCTCCCCAGTCACAGTTATCAATCATGTTCTTGATAAGATCAATTCCGACAAAATACAGCACCCGTCGATTTGGATTAATCAAACTCCAGCTGAGGACCTCTTATGCAGAGCAAAAAAACTAGAGCAATCTGCTGATCGAAACCTCCCCCTGTTTGGAATTCCTTTTGCTGTTAAAGATAACATTGATGTTTCCGGACTCCCTACAACGGCGGCATGCCCATCATTCGAATACGTCCCTAAGATATCAGCCCATGTTGTCCAAAGACTGGAAGATGCGGGTGCAATTGTCATCGGAAAGACGAACCTCGATCAGTTTGCCACAGGGCTTGTAGGGACCAGGTCCCCATTCGGTGCCTGCCATTGTGCTTCTGACCCGGCACGTATTTCAGGGGGTTCAAGCTCCGGCTCCGCCGTAGCTGTCGCTCTTGGCCAAGTCTCGTTTGCTCTAGGAACAGATACGGCAGGGTCAGGTCGTGTACCAGCTGCTTTTAATAACATCGTCGGATTAAAGCCAACCAAGGGCACTGTCTCCACTGCAGGCGTGATACCTGCGTGTAAGACCCTCGATTGTGTTTCTTTCTTCGCAAACACAATCTCTGACGCAAGAACCGTATGGCTTGTATCCAAGGGACGCGACTCTGAAGATCTATATTCACGAAGCTCCCCATCATTGGCATCCCTGACGAGCAGATCCTTACTGCACGAAGAGTCACCCTATACTGTCTCATTTCCGCCTGAAAGCATATTAAAGGAAACATTATCTTCCGGGTATCACGAAAAATTCGCAAAAGTCATTTCGCTGGTTCGTAACTTGGCTCATATCGAGGAAGTCAGCTTCGACTGGTCATCATATCTATCTGCATCAGATCTACTGTACAAAGGCGCATTTATTGCCGAAAGAACCACCTTTCTACAGGAAGTGTTAAAAAACAAAGAAAACACTTTAACTCTACATCCTGTAACACAAGATGTCTTGGATTCAGCTAATTCCATGTCTGCAACCGACGTATTCCGTGATATTTACGAAGCTCAGCGACTGTCAAAACTCATAGAAGCCGAATTTGACAAGTGCGATATTCTTGTTGTACCTACCGCTCCAAATCATCCGACAATCCAAGAAGTAGAGAAAGATCCGATTGGGCCTAATTTGAAGCTGGGTGTTTTTGCGAGCGCTGTCAATATCCTCGATTTATCCGCAATTGCCATACCAGCAGGTCATATTCAGGGATTGCCCTTCGGTATATCTATTATCGCTCCCGCTTTTAGGGAGGGGTTTATTCTAAATGTGGCTCAGAGGATCCAGGCGCGTTTAGGCCATTTTGCATTATGATGTGATGTTGCTGTTGTCGAATCAATAAACTAGTTTCATGTGACACCTTAGTGTGCTTTGTAGATTCAGGCAATCTTTCGTTAGTTGTATCTCCTTCTCCCTCATAGGTTTCAGGTGGCCGATACCGCTAACGCGATCCCAGAGGGATGTAATCAAACCTATCTTGTATTAAATTCGACGGACAAACAGGGCCGATTAATCGAGATGGGCAGATTTGCAGGGGGGAATACAAAAGTTTATGGTGGGCTGTACCTAACAAAGAAAAATCGGCTGAGGAAATCGGCTAAATACCAAGGCTCTGTCTGGCTTACTGTTAAAGGCCGTACATATTTTGTATATATAGCATATATTGTAACGTGAATTAAATATTGAAATACCATATACTATCAAAATCGTACACGAAACATAGCTCACACCTCAAATTCTTACAATAACTTATATCAAGTTCAGCCCCCATTCTTTGACGCACCGCTATTAAAAATAAGATCAATTCTCTTCTCGCGGTCCCATACCCGCTCACCATCACTCCTCCTCTTAAAGTACAAAACGCGATGCATGGGGATAAACTCATCGTCCGTCTGCTCAGACTTCCACCGGTCAATGGGTACTTCCTTTTCGCCGATGAAGCGATCGACATACCCAACCACATAGTCCGCCGAGTCGAAGGAAGTGTCCCATCGAAGCCGGCTGAGAATCTCGTCTGCGGGACGGAGCTTGGGTCCGCCGGTTACTTGCGTCGATGGGGCAGGTCGTGCGTTCCGTAGAGGTAGGTTTCGTTGCCCGTCATCAATATCGTCAGTCTCCGGTGAGTTGCTGAGGTCCTGGCCAAAATCGTCATCAGAGTCGAAATCATCGTCTTGGGTAGTCGCACCATCCGCCCATGTCATATCGTCAAGGCGTAGGCCTTCCAACTCAGATTGCTTCAATAGCGAAACATCTACCCAAGAAAAAGATGTATCAAAGTAGTTCTCGTCGGAACGGATCTGTTCACCGAAGTTGTTGAGCAAGGTAACGAGGGAAATGTGTGCAGACCGGCGATCTGAGTCTGTCATTGGCCCTGTGGTGTTGCTCTTTTCGTTCTTTGCTAGACCAATCAGGAAGCAACCCTGGTACTCTCGACGGCTTTCTGTATTCTCCTCTTCCATCTTTGTAAATCGAGCTGGCCAGACTCGTGCATGAATGTCAGGAAACTTCCGATTGATGTCAACCAACAGAGATACACAGCGGAATTCCAGCCACCCGATTAACATCCGTCCCTTCGTGGCTGCTCCTCCCCAGAACTGCACATCCACTTGGACATAATTCGAATAGGCTTTTAGGAAGTCGGCCGCACCGGTCTTTCTAGATCCTGTGCCTGCAATATCGACCCAGCTGACGGTTTGTCCAGAAAGGAGTTGGTCTGCTCGTTTGAATTCCTGTTCCAGTGTCTTGACAGACGGCGCCGTTGCAGCGCGAGCAACATTCACCTTTGGAGGATGAATACTTAAAATCACCATAGGTTCTCTAGATGAGCGATGATACTTCATTTTCCCTTTGTAATAGGTAGGGTCATATATCATGTCATTCTTCCAGTCAAAATTCGCGTAGTGTTTGAAGAAGGTGCAGATTATATCCGAAGCAGAAACCGCACCAGCCTCACGGAATGACAGCTTGCAGACGCGACCGAGAAGCAAAGTGATGTGAATCCCGCCGAGAAAGCCAAGTTTGGAAGAATAGATGCCTCTATTCTTAGCCCACGTTTTGATAAAGCGATATGCTAGACGGAAAGCCGTCATGTCGGGAATAGTTCGCTGCAAATAGTCGAGGTCTCGAATAGAATTGAGCTTCAATAGAGACTGCATTGGGAGATCGAAAATGTAATCTGTAGATGGAAGCTCTAGTGCTTGAGGCCAACTATTCAATTCAATTAGTATTTGGTGCATATGATAGAATATGTAAGACATACCTCTCAGTCACGTTAGTTGCGGCACAGTATTGCAAATCGAATCGAACACCTCCGGCTTCAAGTTCTAACATAGTGCCAGATACTGCTTTAACCTTTCTCAGAACACGAATCTGCTGCCACTCTTGTCGTCGTAGCTTTTGAATCATAAGGGCAAAGAATGTTGTAGGACTGATTGTGCCAATGACGAGACAGTCCACATCGGATGAAGAGTCCCATACACCTAATTTGTATGATCCAACAGGTACAACGACGAATGCAATATTCAATCGTGTCTCAACAGCAGTATTAACTTCTTTTTGATGAACTGCACGTTTGATCAATTCGAACATCTGTTGACGATGAAAAACCTCATCTTCAGATGGAAACATCTCATGGTCGTCTAATATAGCTTTCAGCTGCGTGCCGGTGCCGAGACTTCGTGGTGCTTTTTCGACAGTAATACCCAAATCGTCTTTTGCAGGGTTTTCCGTGTCAGAAGTAGCACCCAAGTCTAATTTCGCCCGTATACCCCAGTGATCACTTCCCAAGCGACCTTCTGTATTTGGATCAGGTAGCCCGAACAAATTGAAACTCGTAACCTTGAATCCGTCCCCCTTTACAAAAATGCGGTCATATCTTTGCGGGCGACTGTGAAAGCTTCTACCAGAAATATCCGCAGCTAAAGTGTTCTCCACCGGATCGAATGTAGCACCTTCTTCACCATCATACAAAGTCCCAAACTCCTGCTTATACGTTGAAAACTCAGAAGCTGTAGAAGAACCAGTGATCCGGTTTGCAAAATAGCAATCCACAAGTCCTGAGTCTGTGAAAAGAACTTCAAGAGATGATAGAATCGATGCACCTTGTGCTGTGATCGAGTTTCGCTTTAGCGCCGCATCAACTGTGTAGGAGGAAGTTGTAATGTTGAAATCACCGGCAATAATCCAGTTATTGTCACGATAGTGAGTTTTCAAATGCCGAATAATAGTTCTAACTTGTGAATACTTAGCAGCAATAGAGCCATCGGTAAGTCCACAGGTCAAGTGGACGCCAGTGACTATCAAAGGCAGAAACTCATCGCCGTGAAAAGTCCCAATATCTTGCAGCTGAAGCACTACTGACCCCTTGTGTCGCTTCTCAGAAGGAAGCCACTGCCATTGAAACCTCCAGCGACTCAAAACCACGATGTTGCGCAGACTCGGGAGAGGTCCAATCTCTGGCTGTTCTGGGGACCCATGGCTTGTGAACGGATACCGTGAACGTATGTGTTCGTCTTTAAGCAGGAAAGATAAGAAGTCGTCTGAGACCTCTTGTAGAACCAGAATATCAGCGGCACTTGAATTTCCCAATAAATTCTCTAGAATGATAGGATATCGCTCCGTTGGTGGCGGGTAGACCGTATCAATCAATACATTGTATGATGAAACACTGATAGAAGCTGGAGTATGTTTGGCTGCCTCCGATACGATCGATGGGTCAACGTTTTTCCATTGCTGTTTTGCTTGATTAGAATTCATGGGGTGGAATTCATACGTAGTTCCCGGCTGAACAGCCTGATTATCCGTATGCGCATCGTCCGTGGCTGGCGCAATGTCGGATAACGTCAATGGAAACCCTTCTGACAGTTTGATAGTTCCCCAAACTCGCATCCGACCAACCGTCGAGCCAAACACCTGTGACTGATCTCGGATAAGCACGACAAGTTCTGAAACCTGCCATTCTACTGGCGGAAGCAAGTCGACTTTGGAGACGAGGTAATCTCGAACTGAGTTGTTATCCGCGTCGCTTTGGCCGATTGTCAAATGGGGTTGATGATTAAGGTCTGACTGTCCTAGGGCAAATATAATATGCCTTCGCATTTTTTGTAGTTCTTGACAGCCGTTTCCGCTGTCAGTGGTGTATACTGTAGTGTGACGTTTGTGTGTAAAGAAGCCAGCCGTGTCTAGACGAACTTGAAACTCCTCCGTGCTGTTATCAACCAGGGTTGCTCGCACTAGCTCGACGGCATGGGGTAGGCTTTCTGGAGCCACGAATGGGTAGATCATGTTAACATGTGGAGGCCATTTCTCATATGCCTTATCGTATAGGGCTCGCAGCCGATTGATATCTTGAGTCAGATGTGTTGGTGGAACAATACATAATGCTGTGTCGTGCGAATTCAACGACAAAACCCGGGAATCTTCCAAATTCGAAGCCATAACTATGACTTTATCAAATAACACCTTTAAATGAATAAAATAATGGGGAGAAAATAAATCGACCGCTAAAAAGCAGGGGTATCTCAACAACGACAAATGTAATTGAAGTAGCACAAATGCGATGATAGAATTGATTGTCAAGATGATTTTTTCAACCCATTGGAGTACTTATGTGGTTATTTAACTTCACGCAAATGCATCGCGAATCTGAAGGATTACGAGCATTGCTATGTAAGAAGGCGCAGCAAGATGGGTCAGGATGAGTCGACGTGAGTATTTATGCGTTAGCCAATTAGAGCCCAACTGTCGGGAGCTCCCACGTGAGATGTGGAGAAGCCCCTTCGGCCAATCCTGTGACTCTCGCCCATTGTCGGACTGTTTACGTGTTACAACAAATTTAGTTTACTGGCAAATTTAATTAGAAGTAGCCCAGTATGGAAATGAAGAAAATATGAGACTGATCAGTCAATTAACCTCAGCATCTAGGCGTGACTCATGAGTACATTCTCTCGCCGAGTTCTTAACAAATATTAGCAATATTATGGTCTACGACTTATCTTGACAGTTGCTCTTGATCGTCTACTGGGTGATCCCCTGCCAAATGTTGAAAGCGTCGCCATATTTTGCCCAGCCATCAGGACATCTTCGCCATTTTCAAGCATTCCTTTAAGGTTACGCAAGGCAATGAAGGTCTCTGGGTGATCGAGACCAAGCTTCCCAATGGTCCTTTCCAGTGCCTGCCGAAACATCTCTCTGGCCTCTTCGTTCTTGTCCTGTATACTAAGTACCAAACCAAGATTGTTCATGATTTGGAGCGTATAAGCATGGTCAAGGCCGAACACTTCCTCGCTTAGCTTTAGCGTTCGCTGATATGACTCCTCGGCATCCTTAAACTTGCGCTGAATTCTAAGCACATTGGCCAAGTTACCCGTGCTTAGGACAGTGAACCGATGCCCCGGGCCTAATACCCTCATATTGAGCCCTATTTCCTGCCGGTCGACCTGCTCGGCTACCTCGTACTTTTTCTCAAGCATAAGTTTTTCACCAATATTAGGACTGCCAGGGTTAGGGCCAAGCGCCTTCTCTGTTAGTGCTAGAACCTGCCGGTATAAGTCGTCGGCTTCTTTATACTTGCACTGATTGTCAAACACCAGCACAAGGCGATACATGCTGGAGAGGGTGTCTAGATGCTCGGGGCCTTGCTCTTTGCTCCTCCATTGCACTATCTGCCGGCGCATATCCTCGGCCGCCGTATACTCACCGCGACTCTCCATTTCCAGTGCTACTTCCTCCATCTTATGGATGTTGGAGTCTGCATGCAACTCTGCCGGTTCTTGAAATGCATTGCTAGACAGTGCAGCATTTGCCGTCCCTTCATTGGATACTGAACGTGGTGGTGCATCGATGGCTGTATTTGTGACAGCTGGCATTTCCAGCACATTTGGCGGGTCTAGTGACAGCGTATGGGATCCACTCAGGTCATCGCCAATCTCAGGCGAAGTAGTGACCAAAGAACCTTGCCTTGTAGTTTGAGATGTGAGATTGCTGTCGTTACCATAGTCTAACCTTAAGTAGCTTCTGCCTGTGTCATGACGCAGTGCAATAGGTGCATGTATTTCGGATGTGGTCAGCATGCGCTGCTTACCACAATGTTTGCAGAATCGAGTCCTGCTTTCTTTACCACAGTAACCGCAAAACCTAGCACCATCCAACTCCGGGATTGTTGATGTGAGAGAAGCCATCTGTTGTATCCGTGTATGACGGACATAATCTTCAGACAGATTAGGAGTAGAAATACGGTCATGCACCTGTTGGACTTCGGAGCCTAGCTCAGTGGCTGTGTCGGGGACTCCCGGTACATCATATACCTGCACAGGTCCAGTTGCTAATTCGGGCTTGCCAATGTATTCTAGTGGCGGTGGTTCAGGTACGCTGATTTCTGGATTTTGGCGACGACGGCGCTTCACGTAAAAATAGACGGCGGCAATCAGGGTCAAGAGGAGGATGAAGCCGAACACAGTACATAGTGAGATGATTAGTTTGGTACTGCTGGATAACCCGGTGTTCGATGAATTGGTGCCGCTGAACGAACTAGATGTTGAGGTGGCCGAACTAGATGTTGAGGTGGCCAAGCTAGATGTTGAGGTGGCCGAGCTAGATGTTGAGGTGGCCGAGCTAGATGTTGAGGTGGCCGAGCTAGATATTGAGGTGGACGAACTAGTTGTCGAGGTTGACGAACAGCCAGCGGATTGAGGGATTGTCACTCCACTAGAGCTACATACTGTTTTTGCCAATGATATGATTGCTGAAAGAAGTAGCAGGTAAGCTAATGATGATCTAAAAGTAAATAGTTTGAATCAACTTACTTGCTTGGTCCGAAGAATCACAAGACCCAGAGATACAACAACTGATATATGAGATAGAAGATTGAGAGTCGCAGATGCAGGATGGATCGGTGCAGGAGGATGGTAATACGGCCGCGATACACCCTTGCTATAGTTTGCATAACGGATATTAACATTTATCTCATCTTTATGCCTTTCTTTAGTTTTTTTTCTCCAGACCTCATTGACAATCGATCGGGCAGATAGAGTAGATAGACAAACGTACAGCACAGGTCGGAAAGTTATCAAGAATAGACTGGGAAGAAGCGCAAACGATCAGAAGAGTCAAACTCAAGAGCAGACTATGTGTTTGTTTCATCCTAAAAAGGATTAGCAGGTTCTTGTATTTCAATCAAAGGTGCTCGTACTTATTCAAACAACTCTAAAGTGGTAAGAGTCTGAGTGAACCAAAGAAAATCGTACACCTCAAAAAACAGCAAGAGATGTTCAGATGGGGACATGCTGAGAGCGTCATTGTTTGTTATGGGGAGATATGGTGGGCTTTAATAATTAATATTAATGATATTTCCTGCAAGAGCAGCGAATCGACATGTCGACTCAGTTAAGGCTGAGTTGAATTGTTCGTATTCTGCCGCGTCGTGGTATAGCGCTTAACTGGATGGAGTTGGAGAGTAGCACCTTATTCCGAAATAAGCAAGTTCGCGTGCAAGATGACACCCCTGCTACTAGTGGTGTCTCCGAGAGCTTTTCGAATGGCGAAATGTTGTCTTGAGCCAGTCTTCGCAGTTGACTTTTGGATAATCAATCATATGGGTGTTGAATTCAGGTTTGATCACGCTATTTCCACCAGTGTGATATGCGAAATTGGAGAATACTGACTAGGAAACCAAGATCGCAATGTGTAGCTTTCTAAACAAAGGCGGGTGCAGTACCCGCTTTTAAAGACAACTAATTATTTAGTTATGCAGCGTCCATAATCTTACCAGGACAGCTTTGTCCTGTTAGCCTGGTGTTTGGCATTCCAACAATCTATTTAATGGGGTAGAAATTTGAGTTACTGCATTGAGGTAGGGTAACACCAATACTTCGCTCTGTCACTACGTATAGATGAAGGACCGATGAAAACGCAGACCAGCGATAAGATCATATTGCTTAAAGAAAACTTCTTCCCACGAACAAAGGAAGCAATCTGTCAGATTTGTAAGATTACAACTACCCCGACCCGGTGGAGCGGTCACCATTCACACAGAGGAAAGATATTCATATGTAGTTTATGCAGAGCCCTTCCAATCCACACAATTACAGTCCTTTATCTGTATTTATTCTGAACAATCCCATTGGATGCGATGCATATTCTCCTTCACAGGTGATCATAACTTACTGCTATTAATTGCTACATGCCTTTCTCGATTGCATTTTCACTGGACTGTAGTGCTTTCTACTGTGCCCTCTCCATTTCAGGGCTGAAGCGTGCGCAAGCGCGCGTTACCGGTTCCATTCCGCGGGAAATGCTGGGGACCCTGAAATTGCCCTGAAACAACCAATGCGAGTGAAAGGGGGTAGAACCCTGCGCGCGATCCCCGCCCTGGGAAATCGCGCCAGGCCTCGCGCTGGTTGGTCCTTCGTCGTGTCCCTGTAATCCACGTGATTCATTTTTGGTTCGCGGTTCGCGAGCCCTCTCCTTCCTTTACGACCAATACATCCATCCTTTTCGCTTCCAGAAGCTTGAAGATAGAAGCTTAACTTCTGCGCCCTTGTTCGTTCCGACGCGCTGCTGATTCTGTCCAAATGGGAGCTCCACTTCTGATATTTACAACGTCTGTGATAGGTGCCGCCAAAGAGCCGTTGACTATCGAAGTAGACGAGGACTGATTCCACCTGCAAAGCGAGATCTGCCGTTTTTCTGCGCTTTCAGATACTCTCACAGAGTGCATCCTATGCTCATACTGTGCTGTCCGAATCAGTTTCGCAACACTTGCAGGTGACTAGGAATGACGATATTTTCATTCTCAACCCTCAACTCCTTCATAATGGCGCAACGTAGTGCATTATTCTGTATCTCCGAGCCGTTCGGTCCCTTGTTGACCTGCAGAGCTTGTGCTAGCTGCGGACGCGATCCCAGGTCCCATTTCAGACCGAGTACCTTTGAAAGATCTATAATCGACTCCCTCCAGTTGTAGGCCCTAATGATACGGGCCTTTTGTTCAAGCAAATCCTCGACGGTGTGGTTTCTAGTCTGAGTAGTGGCCATGGACTCGCCAGACTTCTCATCAGAACAAAACCTGGAACCGGCAACAGGAGACGAGAGGTACTGGAGCAGCTCCTTCGCATAGGCAGCGGCTGCAACTGCCGCATATTTCTGCCAGTGGTCGTTCTTATGTGAGTCTGCATAATCACCAATACCTCTGATGACGAGAGATGGCAAGGTGCCCATAATGCCCGCTGCTTCCATGTCAATGCAACACACGTTATATAGATCCCGCAAGGAATCCCTCTTTTCTGCACTCCTGACTAGTAGACTACCGGATGCAATTACCCCATAGTGAATTCGAGGGGCTAGGTTATCACGGGCACTGCGCTGTACCAGTCTCTTCTTGTCGCATTCATCGCAATCAGATCTTTCTCCAACATGTTCGTAGTCAGCTTGAAAGAGACAGTCCGACCGATTATCGGGTCGGTTGAAGTTAGGGAGCTTGCCCACCACGCTGGAGATGATGTTAGGTATTTTACTTCTTCCAACCAACTCCCTTGTTTGCATCTGGCCGACAGCACCTTGAAGCGCGCGAGGGGGAGGTACCGGGAAGTTCAGATGCTTGAAACGATCTGATAGCTGCTTTCCCTGATCGTGATGAGTGATACCACTGGTTAGGTATCCTGGGGTTGCCACAACAATGTCGCCGAGGCGAACATCGTAAGCACGGCTGGGAACTCCGCCACCGATACCGACAAGAAGAGCATATTTAATGCCTTCAAAACTCCGTAACAGGTCGGCAGCTGTCGCCGCTATGTTATCAGGGCCTGGACGGGATGCACAACACAACACAACATTGTGGCCTGCAATTTCGCCAAAATCGTACTGATTGGGATCCCGCGGATCGATTCCAAGCGGACGGCTGTGTCGTTCGTCACACATTTCTCTGAAGGCCGCAAATTCTTCTGGAATTACCGTAAAACAGGCGACATAGTAGTCCTCGGATTTGCGAGTCTCGGCACGCGCAGCCATGGTTGACATCTGCGTACAAACGTAGTCGGGGATCTTAGAAGCGAATTCTTTTTCAGGGAAACTCTAGAAAGCTATGCTTTACGAAATCAATCCCTCTTTTTCTGCGGTCCCAAGGGTACTGCCGATTGCATAAGATTTAGAAATTCGCTGGGAATAGGACGAGATGGAGGGTTGCGAAAGGCTGAGGCTTGCAAGCCTTGTGCGAGGGGTTGTCGTGTGACGCGGGGCTGACGAATGTTCCTATGCAGCGGTTATCTTAATGAACCAGCCTTGGTGGGTGATTTTACAAGGTCAACTGGTCTGTGATAATAATAGAGCGGTCCGATACAAATTTAAATTGCTGGGATAATTAATCGAAATCACAGTCTCGAATGGCAATGCCAGGGAGGCAGAATTCTCAAACAGGGCGAGTAGCAAATAACGCCGGACTCATAGAACGATGTATGTCAGTTACTCCAACATACTGTAAAATATAATAAGCGAATCGAATAAACTAACAGCTGCCTTGCGTGACATGGGCATAGTTCAATTGGGATCCCCTCCAACCTTGTCCAAATTGAATGGCTCACAACGCTCGTCCATAGCCGCCGGCATTATCTGTTGCATAACGAACTTTGAGGGTGTGGTTACCAGTCAATGGTACAGCCTCGCCATAGCCTGGAGGCCCAAGGCTGTCGGTCAGGGTGAAGTTGAAACTGACATTTATCTTCTCTTGTTTAAATGGCCTGATGTGCACAACACAATATAATTATATCACAGAATCTTCACTTTGTTTATATTCGAAGACCAATACCCTATTCATGATCGCAAGCTATTTTCTTAAACGACTCTGATTTAGTGCTGTACGTAGATCGGAATGATTTTTTCTACCCCAAAACACAGCCCTTCCGGTGAACCAACTGAAGAGCATTCAACCAAGGAAGATGTCTTTTCAGGTGATGAACAGAATGAAAACATTCCACCCGAGAACGGTGCTATAATTTCAAGGACTGGCACCTCCACCTGGCCCTTCAGAACACTCTTGAATCTTGTAAAGATAGCCAAGGGGAGAGTCAACCAAAGCATGCTCAACTTCATCAAGCAATAGTAAGTCGTGCCTTTGATCTTATTCATGGAGTGCTACGTCCGTTTCTCTCATTCTGATGCTAATGTATCTCCAGTCTCAATGGCACGAGGCTCATATTCGTGGTGGGCCAGACCGGGTCTGGTAAGACTACCCTGCTAGGAGAGATAACAGGCCAAGATCTCAAGATTGGACATTCAGCCAATTCAGGTATTATTTCATGCCTTCTAATAAGAACCCGAAGCGGATTTCGCTAAAATTTTCAACATAGGGACCCTAGGCTACCAGGTACTTCCAGCAATTGTCCATGGCAAACAATATCTCTTCGTCGATACACCAGGGTTCGGAGCTGAAGATCTGAAAGATAGGGAGGTGTACGAAGATATAATGAGCTGTGTGTGTACCCTGGGACAGTGGGTAACTATTGCTGGAATCATGTTTGTTCACGATGCCAGGCAGCAAAGACTGACCCAAAGTGAAATGACAACGATTCGGTGGCTAGAATGTTTTTGCGGTCCTCAGTTCTTTCAGAATGTCACAATTGTTCAAACCCAGTGGGACAGGATTACTGAGGATGACGTGGATCAAGCTCGCGCTATTGCTGAAGAGCTACAAACATCGGCGTTTAAGGATATTCTCTTCCCGAAACACGTCGAAAGTGGCCGTGTTTACAACCACGGAGTGCGCGTGGGAAATGGTAACGATTGGGATACTTTATCCAGAAAAAAAAAACCGGAAGAACGATTCCAAATGGCTGCGGATTTTGTACAGAACCGGTACGAACGTTGCGATGGAGTTGCGAGAATCCAGGTCCTGGAAGAGCTAGCTCAAGGCTGGGGACTCTATGAAACTGAGGCAGCAAAGACTCTGTTTAATCCTTTTAGTGCTCCAATAATATGCGTACTACGGTACAAAGCCATTATTGTGGATCTCGACGAGGAAGTTATCCCCAAAGTGAAAGAGGAAGAGGAGGCTACTGCAGCAGAGACATCACCGAAGGAGCAAGCAGCTGAAAGTTCGACATGGAAATGGTGGGAAATTGCAAAAGAGGTGGCGTGGACTTTCTGGGGCTTTGAAAGAACTGGAAAGACCAAGTTTACGGAATATATGGAGTCGGTGACTGCGGATGTGTGGGAAAGATTGAAAGGCTGGTGGTCTGGAAAGACGCCACCTCAGTAGATCACGAACACACTCTCTGGTTTCTCAATTATTATACTGTGACAGTGCTCTACTTGTGTTACAGTATCCTGTGCCATGCTATGTGTAGTATATACTGTGATTTCCAAGCGCGTACACCGTTTTAACCCACATTCATAGCCATATAATGAGCAAGACCGACGCCAAACCCTCATCCCGGCAACGAAATCTGTTTTCCGCTCGAACACTAGTATTTAGAGAGAACTTTTCTTATATAGATGGAATAAAAACGTTCGTAACATCCCCCGCCTAAATGGCTGATTATATATAGATAGTACTAATGCCTACGTTCAAGACATGTCTTCATATGCATTATTGAAGCACGTATTTGATAGACAGTCACCATATTCCTGTTCCGCTGCTAAGTCGCTCGAAAAATAGAGATATTTAGTTAGCACACGTAAATGATGCACTAGTGGGAAGGCCTATATGCCAACTATATATGCTACTTCGATCTCAAATGTAGGGTATTATTATAACTAATTTTAATCTGATTTGTGGTCAACTTTTCTGTTTCCTTAAAATGCTCTGCCTCTATTCTGCTTGACAACGAATTATCACATCCCGTATAACTGATTGTTGTAGTATTAGATTGTGACCAAAGCCAAATATTGTGGACCATTTTCAAACAACCTGATTTTGTGCTCTTGAGAATACGAGGATTACCGGAACAACCACGCCGGATGTAGAGACTTTCATAGCATTATATTTATCGAATGCGAGCTAAATACAAGAAATATACCATACGATAATTGATGGGCTGTTACCATCATGAAATATTAGACCTATTACAATGAATACAATGAATCCTACTGTGCTCATCGTTTCAGGTCTCGGTGCGCGCAGAGCGCGTCTGCTTAGAGCCGTGCCCACAAGCCTTACCCACCGGCCTTAACCACTGGCCTTACCCACTGGAACCTGCTGCGATCCTCACCTGGGAAATCGCGCTAAGCCTCGCGCTAAGCCTCGCGCTGATTGGTACTTCATCGAGACTCTATAATTTATGTGATTCATTTTTTTCTCTGTATACCCTTTCTTGCCTTTATCGCCAATACTGTACTTTCTGCTTTTCCCTATCATTTCAGAGCCAAAGCGTGCGCCAGCGCGCGTTACCACTTAAGTGACCCATGACTTATATTTAGGTTATAAGATATCAGTGAGCCAACTGTTTAATCTCACTAAACATGCCTTTTGTAGATTTAGCAGGTTCCTATCTGGGTCAGATTGTGGGACTCGACGTTTTAATTTTGTCAATATGAAGTTATTTGCAGGAATTTCAAGTTAATTCTTAAGTATTTGTACATCCGTTTGCAGGATTACAGAAGTTCTTGAGATTGTATATCGTCGAGAGAGCTTCATACCTTCGCCCAGCGCTCTTTTAGACCAACAGGAAGCGCCTCCATGTTGCAGTCACACACTCGCCTGACTTCCAAGGGTCCAGATCCCTCTCGACAGATTTCGAGCCTTGTTCTGGACGTCAAGGCACTTTCGACAAGCTCGTGAAGCAGAGATGCCAGCTTTCGAAGAGAATTCTCATTTTCTTTCTCCCATTGTGAGATCATATTCTTCATAGGTTTAATATCAATATCTTCAAAATGCCCGAATTTATGATAGCCTACGATAACTGTAGGAATCTGTGATATCCACAGCCGCGGTGTGATATCTGTCCAGTCGATCTCTTTGATGGTCGGCGGGTTGGTGTTGGTGTATCGTGCTCGAGTCTTGATGTCGACGATGTCTTTCATCATGATACGTCGTCCTCCTTTCTCGACAGTTAGGTCATCTGTTTTCCTTGCTGAGGTCTCGACTTTCATCAGGTCGATAAGGTCCTTGACGTCACTATTTCCATCTCGCTCTTCAATATCCGTATCCTTCTTTACAATATAGCCATCTGCCTCAAATCGTATTACAAAGTGAAAACCTCCAAACTCATAGCGGATGACTCTTTGATGTGACTCTGAGCCGCGAACTCCACGGTCCCAAGAGGTATATTCATCCAAGAAATTGTGCCCGTAGCCCCGCACATCTGGAATTAACTCTGTTGGAGAATTCTCTCTGCGGAGGAAGAAAATCGTGCTTCCAACTTTGTCCATAATAAACCTGAAGTCCTTATGTACGCCACGGACAAACCGTGAAATGTTACCTAGGGTGCTTGAACATGTCACGATGTTGATCTTCTGCCCATTGAAACCTGGATTCTCATGCAGGATGGCTTGGATGGCGGGCTCCATCGGATATGTAGGGTATTTGGCAGCATTAGGGTCACGCAGATAATCGCCTCTGTCACCTTTAAGCTGTCTGCTTCCTGCAGGAGGGTTCCAGACCGGGGGTTCGCCTGTAGACAGGATCTTTGTTAGCGAAAACTGCATATCACCTCAAAATAGGGCGTTTTCAAACCGGGAACAATGATCGTCGGGTTGGCTTTGTTCAACCATGTATAAGACGCTAAATCTGTGCACGCCGTAATGCGAGGATCACCGTCACAATCCACAGAACCAGGCAATTTCAGCTCGCTGCGGTCAATTTCAAAGAGTAACTGACCCTTTGAAGGTGCAGGTGTCTCTGGCCTCTTTTTTGTGGCTTCAATCTTCTGCCACCGGGGAGGGAAGGGGCGACGTGAGGATAGCTTTGCTTGGGTACTATTTATCCGTGGATCCATGACAACCATTGAACGTCAAAATAGAAATTAATTTGGACAACTGCAGATAAAAGTCATTAGACATGTAAATAAAGAGATTGATAGTGTGGTGCAAACAGGGTAGGAGGATACTTGCAACAAACATGGTGCGGGGTTCTTGTTCCTACTCTTCCAGCCTGATTGCCTCGCAGCCTGATTACCTCGCAGCCTCATGTATGACAAACATATGATCCCTCCTTCACGGGCTGTTTTGTGCGAGAATCGAGCACACATCTCATATCTATCTCTGGAGACCCTCTACGACAAATTTCATTGCCCTCTTCATTACAGTAATCATGTCTGACCGTTCTGCAAGACTCTCCAAATATCTTTTCTCTATTGAGAAAGGAAACAAAAAAATTCAAAAAGCGTCTGATGCGAAGTTATTCTTAGAAGCCCTCTGTGACCAGGACAAAAACCCTGTGCGATGCATCGAGAGAATTCTATCTTCCGAATTGAATACTACTGCATTGAATACAAGCTTTCGCGTCGACCTGTCAGTCGACTTTCTTAGGGGTGCAGCCAGCGATTTCTTACGGTATCTTCAGCACCCTGGTATCGAAAACTTGTGCAATGGACAGTTTCTGCGAAGGATACTATCTGGCATTGTCGATCCTCCAACATACTGGAACGCACTTGTGGAAGCTCACAGGAAACATGATTTATCAGAACTCAGTGAACAGGGCTTTGCCTGGCTCCTTTTAAATCTGCTAAATATGCCAGTACAAAAGGATTCTGTTCATCAAATTGCCCAGGAAACAGTACAGCGTCGAGACTTTTTGGACTCTCCTTCCACGGCCATAAGAGGAATCGGCTACAAAATCGATAATATTCTCAAAACGACATCGACAGCACTGGCCGGTTCACAGGTAGGAGGAAGACATGACAATGACTTTCAAAACTTTCGTGAAATCTCCATTCTTCCCACTGCGGACGAAATCGCCTGCCCAGACACGCCATTCTACCGCCGAGCAGACGAGATTTATCAAATCAACCTAGACAATCGTCCAGCAGCTCATCATGACAATCACTTCCGCCTCCTGCGAGAGGATCTACTAGCAGAGCTTCGTGAAGGATTGCAGGCTGCACTTGGACACAAAAAAGGTCGGCGACCAGCATATCGGGTTGATGGGCTGACTTGGAAAGGTGTAGAGACTGGACCAGCAGGAAGTCGACGACGGTGTTGTGTCACGTTTTCTTGCAACAAAGGCCTTCCTCAGCTGTCCCATCTATCTAAAGGCGACCGCCACAAAGTTCTGGATAGGAACCGAAATCTGATCAAAAATCAGGGATTTGGATGTCTACTGTATGAGAAAGATGTGATCGCGTTTGGAACAATTGACCGCACTGCCTCGTCGCTTCTGGACGACGTTCCTACCCTAGCAATTGAAATCACCGGTCGAAATGCATTGAGACGAATACTACAGTGTTCAGTTGGTGAAGAAGAATTGATATTTATTGTAGTCAACACTCCTGTGTTCGCATATGAGCCGATTTTACAAAGACTCCAAGAGAAGCTGGAGTTTCCTTTGTCTGATACACTCCTTTCTTCCGAGCCCTCCTCCCAGGATGCTGATCTGAACGAAGACGTATCGCGCATTATTAAGCAAATCAAAGACGCAAACGGATTGAACATCCGGAATATTCTCGGTACAAAAGTCAAGATCTCATTGGATCAGTCGCAGTTGGAGGCTTTGATCGCTGGTTTGGGACAGTGCGCAAGCATAATCCAAGGTCCGCCAGGTAAGTGCAGAAGTACTCCCAGACAATGGCTGTCTAATGTAACATCATATGAGGTACCGGTAAATCATTTATTGGTGCTCTGATTGCAAAGGTTATACATGACCATACAGATGACACCATACTGGTTCTCTGCTACACGAACCATGCACTGGACCAATTTCTCGAATGTCTCATGGATATCGGTATTCCTAGAGAATCCATGGTTAGACTTGGGTCAAAATCCACTTCCAGGACTAAGATGCTCGGTCTATTTGAGCAGTCAACCCAAAATTCGCAAATATCCGGTCTTTATGTCTCTGAGCGAAGGCAAAAGTTAGATGAGATGTCAACGATCTTACAAGAAACGTCGAAAAGCTTCCTAAACAAGCACGTCATTAAAAGGGATATTCTTGAATACATTGAATTTTCTAATGACTCGGACTTTTATGATGCTTTCACGTTACCAGATAATGAATCTGACTTCACACCTGTAGGATCGGATGGCAAAGCCATTGATAAGTACTACTTGTTAGACCAATGGTTAAACGGGCATGATGCTGGCATTTTCAATAAACACGTCCTACCAGAGCATGTCGGGATCTGGGCAATGTCTTTCTCCGATAGAAAACGACGCTTTGAAAAATGGACACAAGAGCTATTTGAGGATTGGATAGCTTCGTTCATCACGTTGTTTGAAGACTACGCCAGAGTTGAAAAGGAGCTTGACGATTACTTTTATGACAAAAAGTACGCAGAGACCTTACGTCAAAAAAGGATCATTGCATGCACAACAACCGCTGCCGCCAAATATACTCGTGCCTTACAAGCAGCTAAGTCTGGCGTTATCATTGTCGAAGAGGCAGGAGAGATACTTGAAAGCCACGTATTAACGGCCATGACTGGTGATACGAAACAGTTAGTCTTAATTGGAGATCACAAGCAACTGCGGCCGAAAATAAACAATTATGCACTATCTGTAGAGAAGGGTGACGGATATGACCTCAACAGGTCTCTTTTTGAGCGCCTTGTACTTCGAGGGTTCCCTCATACTGCTTTATCTAAGCAACACCGCATGCGACCTGAGATTTCTCGACTGATTCGTGACCTAACTTATCCCGATCTCTCCGACGCCAGTAAAACGCTGAACCGACCGCATTTGAGAGGATTTCAGAACGATGTCATTTTTGTCAACCATGACGAATTTGAAACTGACCTGCTGAACTATACGGAGAAGAGGGACCCATCCGTCAATTCCAGCAAGCAGAATCCCTTTGAGGTTCAGATGGCTCTGATGGCCGTCCGCTATCTAGGGCAGCAGGGTTATAACACCGAGGAAATCATAATTCTAACGCCGTACCTGGGACAACTTTCACTTTTGCGTACGGAGCTAAGCAAAACAAATGACCCGATTTTGAATGACCTTGACTCGAGCGACCTGATTGAAGCAGGTTTGATGAACTCAGGAACAGCAAAGCTGACTAGGCAGCCGATTCGTATCTCCACGATAGGTACACCACCCGGTGTATTAAAGTGCTCTCTAACTAATCGAAATTTTTTTGACAGATAATTATCAAGGCGAGGAAAGGGATATCGTTGTGGTAACATTGACCCGCAGCAACAAGGTAGGAGACATAGGATTTCTTGCAGCCCCGGAACGAGTCAATGTCCTTTTGTCTCGAGCGCGGACTGCTCTCGTCATTATCGGCAACAGCGACACATTTCTCAACAGTAAAAAAGGAATATCAACCTGGAAACCGCTATTTGAGCTGCTTGTTCGGTATGGACATGTATATGATGGATTTCCAGTCAAATGCGAACGACACCCAGATCGCACGTTAACGATTCGGCAGCCAGGAGAGTTTTTGGATGAATGTCCTGATGGCGGATGTTTGGAGCCATGGTTAGTATAACCAACTAGAGTTTGTGACATGAAATAACCCTAGTTGCAGTACAGCGAAACTCTCATGTAAAGTTCACACGTGCCCACAACGTTGCCATCGCCTCGACGATCATTCCAAAGTGAAGTGCTTGGAGATTAACGAGTCGAGGTGTCCAAAGAAACACACCTATCGCTGGGTCTGCTATAAACGCACTCCGGGTGTCTGTCCTGTGTGCCTGAAGGAGGAACAGGAGGAGGTAGAAAGAAAGATGAGGGATCACACACTAGAGCAGAAGCGGCTTGCCATTCAAAAGGAGCATGCTAAAAATCTAGAGGCTATCGAGCAGAGCATCAAAGCACAGCAGGAGCTTCTAAAGGATATCCATGATGAAAAAGCACGTCGAGCTGCTTTGGCTCAACGGACTGAGGATTTGGAAAACCTGAAAAATGCCTTAAGCCTTGCAAGACAAGAAGTCGATAGCCTCGATGTGTCGACTATTGCTGATAAGAAGTCTGTATTACCTGACATAGTTCCAACCCCCCAAATAAAGAAGAGAACGAACCGTGACTCGAGAACGAACAACAAGGTAATGTCGGAGAGCAGTGGTGCGTCTCAGCCAAAGAGTTCGGATGGCACAGTACCCGGAGAACGGCCATCAGGATCACCTGATACTTCTATAAGTCAAACCCAAGCCAGGTCTGATTTTAGCAATTCCCAACGTGATGTTTCCCCCGCGACCTACTCCCCAGCCAAGGACGAATGGGAGCGACAAAAAGAACTAGAGGGACAGTCCAGTCGAGCCATTGATGAGTTGATGAATATGATTGGTCTAGAGGAGGTGAAAGATAAATTCCTGTCCATCAAAACGAAGGTCGACACGGTCGTGAGACAGGGCAGCAGTCTGAACGACGAGCGATTCAACTCTGCTCTTCTTGGCAATCCAGGGACAGGTAAGCATCTATCATTAGTCGTAGACATATTAACAGTAGTTTTTCCCCAGGTAAAACGACAGTAGCACGACTCTATGCAAAGTTCCTTAAGTCTGTGGGCGTTATTCCTGGAAGTCACTTTGTCGAGACTTCGGGAGCAAAACTTGCGAACGAAGGTGTTTCCGGATGCAGGAAGATATTGGAAGAAATTCTCTCAAACGATGGTGGAGCTTTGTTCATAGACGAAGCCTATCAACTAACAGCAGCACACAACTCAGGAGGCCGGTCTGTGCTTGATTTTCTATTACCGGAAATTGAAAATCTCACGGGGAAGGTTGTTTTCATTATAGCTGGTTACAAGAAGAATATGGAAACCTTTTTCGGACATAACCCTGGTATTCCTAGCCGCTTCCCAATACAGCTGAATTTTGAAGACTATAGCGATCAACAACTACAACTGATCCTCAACTACAAAATGACAGAGAAGTATCGCGGGAAGATGAAAGTCGAGGGCGGCCACCATGGGTTGTATGTCCGCATAGTAGCTCGACGAATTGGACATAGTCGAGGACGTGAGGGCTTCGGTAATGCTCGTGCGGTTCATAACGAATTTGGAAGAATCAGCGACCGTCAAGCGCGACGCTTGGCACAAGAAAGACGTGCTGGGAAGAAAAGAAACGACCTATTCCTCACTAAAGAGGATCTGCTTGGCCCAGAACCTAAGTCCGCGCTCGAAGGGAATGCAGCTTGGAAGAAACTCCAAACATTGGTAGGATTGGATAGTGTCAAACAGTCGGTGCAGGCATTGCTTGATACACTTCAAACTAATTACCAGCGAGAGCTAAGAGAAAAGCCCCCCATTACATATTCACTTAACAATATGTTCATCGGCAATCCGGGCACCGGCAAGACGACGGTGGCTAAACTATACGGACAAATTCTTGCTGATCTCGGATTTCTCTCAAATGGTGAAGGTGTGTATTCCTGGTTCCATTTTGCAAGCTAAGTTCCTGAATGAATACGATATATAGTCGTTGTTAAGAACCCGTCGGATTTCATTAGCCAGCATATCGGCGGGTCAGAGAAAGCGACTAAAGACATTCTCGCCGCGACTGTGGGGAAGGTTCTCGTTATTGACGAAGCGTACATGCTGGCTGGAAGTGTTTCAAGCGATAACTCTCACGGTTCACGTACGGACATGTTCAGAGCAGCTGTCATCGATACGCTCGTTGCTGAAGTTCAAAGTGTACCCGGAGATGACCGATGCGTCCTATTACTAGGGTATAAAGAACCCATGGAAAAGATGTTCCAAAACACAAATCCCGGTCTTGCGCGCAGGTTCCCAATGGCATCCGCATTTAAGTTTGAGGACTACACTGACGATGAGTTGCAAATCATTCTTGATCTGAAGCTGCATCAATCCGGGTTTGATGCAACAAAGAAGGCTCGGGAAGTAGTGCGCGAATGCCTTACTCGCGCGAGAAATCGCCCAAATTTTGGAAATGCTGGAGAAATTGACATCCTCATGGACCAGGCTAAGCTAAATCACCAGAAACGACTCAAATCACGGGAAACGAGAATTATCGATATATTGGAGCCTGTTGATTTTGATCCAGATTTTGATAGGGCGGACAGAGCTTCTTCGACTTGTCGCAAGCTGTTTGAAGGTGTAATCGGCTGCGAAGAGCTCATCGATCAACTGGAGAACTACCAGCGCAGGGTGAGAAATATGAAAAAACTCAACAAGGATCCTCGTGAACAGATTCCTTTCAACTTCCTTTTCCGTGGACCTGCTGGTATGTTTCACTACACTATCTTTGAAGAATAAGATTACATTAACTTTTAAAGGGACGGGGAAAACTTCCACTGCACGTCGCATGGGACAGGTATATTACGATATGGGTTTCTTGGCTGCCCCGGAGGTAGTTGAAGCGTCTACCTCAGATCTAGTGGGACAGTATATTGGACATACCGGCCCGAAGACAGAAAAGCTGCTCGAAAAAGCGTTGGGCAAAGTTCTTTTCATCGATGAGGCCTACCGACTGAACGATAGCCGATTTGGGAAAGAAGCAATGGATCAACTTGTTGATTCTATCACTAAGCACAAGTATTACCAAAAACTCATTATAATTCTGGCAGGATATGATACGGAAATTGATCAGCTCATGTCGTCGAATCCCGGGTTGTCTAGTCGTTTCCCTGAAATCGTTAATTTCAAGTCTCTGAACCCAGATCAATGTTGGGAATTGTTTCAAAACCGATTGAAGGAGAACGAATATATCGATAGTGATATCATCCAAAATGCTCGTCCAACATTTCGTGAACTTGTAATCGAATTTTTCGATGCCTTGTCAGCACTTCCTGGCTGGGGAAACGCTCGTGATGTTGAAACTGTAGTCAAAAGCATTATTGGCAAAATCCTTGCTACAATTGACGATAATACTACTTACGTGGTTACGCATCAGATAGTATTTGACGTCCTACGATCGACGTTTAACGAACGCAGAAAACGCGCAGCTGCTTCACCCGGGACATATGGCAGTGCGATGGCTCCCCCTTCGATATATCCGACCATAGATCCTTCTGTCCCATCGCCTGCTGCCATGAGTCCCCCACTTGGAATGAGTGACCCTAGTGGTAAGGTACAAAGCAGGTCGCCGTCACCTTGTTCGCTTAGCCGATCGCCCACTCCAGTATCAATATCCAGTGATAGCAATGACGGTCGTGATGCAGGTATTTCCGACGAGACCTGGGGGCAATTACAGCTGGATAAAAAGGCAGCAGAGAAGCGCGAGGAAACACTTCGCCAAGTTGTGCAGCAAGCAGACGACGCCAAAAGCAAAGTTGAGAAATTGAATCCCGACGATAATGACGAGGAGTTAAGGAAATACGAAGAAATGATTAGCAACCTTGTCAAGGAACAAATGGCCTTGGAGGAAATGAAACGCCAGGAAGAGGCCGCCAAGAAGAAGTTGAGGGAGCTGGGTCTCTGTCCGCAGGGCTATCAGTGGATCAAGCAAGACAGTGGGTACCGTTGTGGTGGAGGCAGCCATTATATGTCGAATGAGGCCCTCAACAGCGATGCCATTTAAAATGCTTTCTGACGATATCATGAAATCGTTATTGAAGCTTTCAAGTCTCGGTCAACTCTGCCCGGCTGGGGGAACGTTAGTGGTGTAAAGATCCTACTAAACCTTCATCCAGTGACTTCCAACATAGAATATTTCTAGTCATCATCTATAATAAAAGCAGGTTCACTAGGGTCACTTCTGTTATACTAGCTAACGCTCATTGTATTACAGTATGTATAAGCTATCAGATATACTTACGATAGATCTATAATATCATGCTGCGTTGCATTTCTATAGGGACTCTCATTTTACCATTGTATTTCTGCCTTAGGCACTATCGCGACTTTATTTGCTTTTGCAGCCTTGAATATCAATTTCCAGCCTTCTGTAGTCTAAGTTCGAAGAATGCAGATCGAAGCCTCATTGTTGTTGCGTCATTTTTCCTTTCTACAGAACGAACCTAAAATTAGCCCGCCAATGGATGCATATCTTAATATGAGTCATCGTCACGTGTCGGGTTTCCTTCTTCATCTCTTGTCTCTGAACTTGACGTAATTAACATTCCTGAGATATCAAATTCAATATCAACGGAAAAGAAAATCTTTTATTTTAAACGTACACAATTATAACCCCATGTGTTGCGCCCGTGCCTGTACCCCGCTGTCATTATGAATGAACTACAAGAGCTGCAACCGCGTAATGAAAGCTCCAACGAAACATGGCAATCTCCCCATGAAATTGAGCAGCCTGATTTACCACCTGCAGACCATGGAAAAGACGCCTGGCTAGCCCTCGTAGCCTGTGTTTTGGTTCAAGTTCCTATCTGGGGTAACCAGTGATATGTCCTTACTGATACATTACGTTTTCTAACGACACCAGGATTGTCACTTGTATGGGGTGTTTTCCAAGAATATCTCTCTGATACGAACATTGGAGGAAACAAAGGCAGTATTGCGGTCATTGGGACAACATCTAGTGTAAGTTCCTGTTTTTTCTGCTTGTTTCTTTCCCACTGTATACGTGTCCTTGGTCACATTTTTTTTTTGAAAAATGATACTGACCAATCATAGGGCATCTTGTATATGCTTTCCCCCATCACATTCGCTCTGTTGACCAAGTATCCGCGTCTTCGTAGATACTGTGGCTGGGCTGGTGTTATCCTTTCCATCGTCGGTTTCATTATAGCATCCTTTGCTACTAAAGTATGGCAACTTGTTGTCTCGCTGGGAGTACTCTCCGCGATTGGAAGTGGCTTGTTATTTACCCCTACTACATTATATCTGGATGAATGGTTCATCTATCGAAAAGGCTTGGCACTTGGTACCATGTGGGCTGGAAAGAGTGTCGCGGGTGTCGTTTTGCCATTCATAGCCCAGGCTTCTTTGTCTCGCTTTGGAATGAGTAATACACTGCGTGCATGGACTGTTTTGACTGTATGGGGAGACTTGTTATTATCTATCCCCGGTAAACTCTGCTGATTTGAGACATAAACAGGTCCTCATGACAGTCCCACTCCTTCGATTCATCCGCCCTAGACTTCCATTGCCGCCATCCCACACGCCCCGTCGTCTAGACATCAGCTTTCTCCGACTTAGCAGCTTCTGGATCCTCGAAACAAGTAATATTATTCAAGGCTTTGGTTATTTCCTCCCCTCCGCGTATTTATCCTCGTTCACGACAACCCTTGGGTTTTCAGACACTTTGGGCACTCTGATGCTTTCTCTCTTCAACGGGACATCTATATTCGGCGGCATCGCTATGGGAATGCTTTGTGATCGGTTCAACGTCTCTAATATCATCCTTCTTTCCAGCGCCATGTCTGCCGTGTCTGTGTTGTTGTTCTGGGGTCTTTGCCAGAGTAGCCGTGGAGTTGTTCTCCTGACGCTGTTTTCGCTGACTTACGGTTTCTTCGCTGGCGGATTTAGTTCCACATGGTCTGGGATATTGCATGAGCTGAAACGTGAAAATCCGGCACTTGACACTGGGTTGATTTTTGGCTTGTTGGCTGGCGGGAGGGGTATTGGGAATGTAATCAGTGGACCGATTAGTAGTTTGTTAATGGATAATAAGGTCGGCGATTCCTCGGCGGGTTATTCCACAGACTATGGAGCAGTGATTTTGTTCACCGGTCTCACCGCAGGACTTGCTGGTTATAACGGAGCCTGGCGAATGTTCAAGCGTTTGGTTTGTTGAGGAGTTTAGCTACCGGTGGTGGCTGGGGAATTGCACGTCAAGATATGTAAATGGTCATGTTTCTGCCTGCAGGTTCGAAGGGTCTTTTCCAACGCGGAAAGAAAGCAGGTGATCTAGGTTTCAATTGAGAAATAATTATGAGCAACCCAACTGACCTTTCAAGTCGGAATTGATACACCCTCCACATGTATCATTCTTGCTGCTGCAAACGCTCTCAGAGATGAAAAAGGGCATCAGGAGAAATTTAAAGGGCTATACTTTGCGCTAAATTGTATGGTACATAACCAATGGAAGGAGGCCGCCTCAATCTAAGAAGCATGCAATATCAAATAAATTGTCGTGATGAAAGCCCAGGTTTCTTTCCATCGAACGACAATTGTCTGTTGACGGCGAAAAAGTCTATGGAGAATATCGAATTATCTCCTAGGGCTCTGAGCTGGAACGCCCTCGTGCTGAGCCGGGTTTGCACTTGCATTAGTAGCGGCGACGCTCGCTACATCACTCGCAATCGCTAGGAGATATTTGCAGCACGTAAGAGTGTATTTGCAAGCACGTGTCCACTGTTCATCATTTTGGTTGAATCCGAGTTTAATGCTTGCGTCGCCAATTTTATCCCGTCTAATTTCATAAGGCAACTTTCGGCCCCCTGTGTGTCCGCGTCGAGATGACAAGGGTATAGGTGCGTTTTCAACATACTCACCCAGCTGTCGGAGGCATTCAAGAAATGATACCATGGCGGCATCAAAGCGCCGGTGAACCCAGGGAAGACTTAGAGGCATGTCACCCGACGAAAACAGGTCCAAAGACGTTACTTTACGAGGCACAGGCGTTCCGTCAGCACGACGTGCCATTGCTTGTGGCTGATTTGTCGATTGCGTCGGAGATGATGTTTGATCCTCAAGCTTCTCAATCTTGGAATTGGAGCCCATTGGTTTGAGACGGTATCCCTGAAAGTGAAAGCCCAGCTTTTCGGCAATCGTAGCTAGTAAAAGACATGTCTGCCCCCAGGCTGCGTTAATCTCGGCCCAATCAACAGATGGATTAGTGAGTCGGCCCAGCCGTAATCCATTGATCGTTCCAAAGAATCCATCATGACCAATACAAAATGTATCATTGTACACATTCGTTCGTTGCAGTCGTTCCAGTTGTCTAGAATCGTGATCGTATCGCATGTTAAGAGCATCGCGCTCATCCTGAAACTCTGCCAGTGTTAATGCGAAAGCATTTCGGTCCCGCCAGAATTTCTCTTCCTCCAAATCAAGCTGCCGTGACTCTTCTTCTAGCATAACAATTTCTCGATCGATATCGGCCTTTTCCTTTTCCAGGGCCAACAGCTCCTGGTACGCGGCTTCCTCTTCTGCCTGGGATTCTTTAAGCGCTTTCTCAGCAGCCTCAACATCCTCTTCTGAAGGTACCGACGCATTTATATTCTTCAAAAACGATATGTATGCATCTCTCTCTTTTGTTGCAGTATTCAGCTTTTTCTGCAGCCCCTCAACTAGCAGATCGGTACACTCGGTACAGATCGGATGGTCAATGTCCGAACGCGCAGAGAGTATATCAAATAATCGATGAGCTCTTTCAGCATCATCGGAGAATGAATGGTCTTTCGACGCTTCTTGTCCAGGTGCTTTTGCTGCCCCGTTTCCATTTCCCGAACCGTGCTTGTCGCCACCATTCGCTTCACTGGATGCCTGTGGAGGCACGAGTTGCGATTCCGTCAGCATCACAAATGACATTCCCCCACTGCTCTCTCCTCGGCCAAGCTTGGGGACAGGTGCTGGGACAGATCTCTTGTATGCGGGCGAGCTAGATTGCCGTGACGCGCGGTCGTACATTTCCCGACGCTCGGGCGGATAGGGATATCGATGTGACGAAGCATGATTAGGATGTTCTGGAAGTGACTTTCCCATGGATCCTACATCAGTTTCCGGTATTAGCATGCACAAAAAAGAAGCGCAATGATTTTAAAGCATACCGGTAAGGAGATCAAAAGCAGCGGGGTTGAGCGCCTCCACGGAGCCGTCAAGCTTCAGCGGCATACGACACTTCTGGCAATACATCTTGTAGTGTCTGTATTCCTGTTTATGTTGAAACCATACTGTAGACACCGAGTAGATGTTTTTCTGGGAAATGAGATAACAAAACAAGATAAGAGGAAGCTGCTGACCTGGGGCTTCACGTCATGCATGCTAAAATGACGCTAGACTCCGTATGGACTAGCATTATCCACCGTCCCGCGCGTGCAGCTGCCTCAGTCCACGCGCCTCGCGTTACTGTCCGCATTAATTAGTCGCAGCGCATTCCGTGGCCATAAAGTGACTACTTATACAAACATCAGCTGTTTATGTCTTAATCTATTCTCAGTCGAAATTCGGTTACTGCATCTACCTGCGCGGTCGCCCGTTGTTCTTGTTCCATATCAATCGCGCGTATTTCTCCCTTGCGACAACGCCGTTCGCGAAAAATGAATCGACGAAACTCCGAACTACATTGATTGAGCTTCAACAATGGAGCCGCCCACCAAACGACGACGTCTTTCCCCATCCCCCGGCTCCGGTGATATCGATGATGATTCCAGCTTGCAAATCGCGCGCGCACGAAATGACAAGAAACTGAAATCGGTCTTTGAAGGCATCTTTGAGAAGTACGGAAAGGATTTCAGCGATGTAGGTGATGAAATTGACCTGCGGACTGGTGAAATCATTGTGAATAAAGGCCATGTATCACGCATGGAACACGAAGATGACACCGGACAAGTTGCCCAAATATCGTCGCAAAGGAATCAAAGCCCGCGGGGTCGGTCAATGGATGATACGACGAATGCATTCACCGACAGTGACGATGAACTTATACCTGAGAGTGCAGTCATTCTCGGGTCCTTGATTACGGGCAGATCGGAAAATGGGGCCGAATCTGGGGCCGAATCACCAGACATAGACGATCATGAGATTGAGGCTTCCTCTCGGGCGGGTGAGGTCATATTTCCAGATGCAGACAACGTAACTGTAGAAGGTAATGAAACTGCATTTTCTACTTTGAATTTTCCTCGCAGACAAGATGCGGTATACGAGGTGATCGTCGACCCCGCTTGGCAAGTCCCAGAGATTGATGCCAAATTCTGGACGCCGCCAAAAAAACAAACGCCTCCCAAGCGAAAATTGAACATTACAGATACGCGCGCGCCATCCCCCCCATCTGCAGGGTCTATTTGGGCAATCCGCACGCCAGGTAGACCGCGAGGCGCAAGCTCTAAGGCACAGAAGGGTTTGATCAAGTCTTCCCCAATCCTTCCTTCAAAGCGAAGACGAAGAAAGCCGGCAGTACTCGATTGGAGTTTTGCTGAGGTCAGGAGTGATGAAAGTGATTCCGACGATCCATTACAGGAAGAGGCACCTTCGTCTACCAATCGCTCGATCAAGATTCGTGCCCCCAGTAGTGTGTCTATCACGCCAACACCGAGCAAATCGGTACTGGTCGACATGATCAAAACTGGTTCAAAAAAATCGCAGCATTTACCCACGACTAATCAAGTTGCATCCAAGAATATTGAAGAAATTGAGTCTATACCCGGCACTCCTGAAGTAGCCTCTTCAAGTCCACAAACCTTCGAACCTACACCAACACAAAAAAAATACGATAAGCAACTCAGCTCGCCTACAAAGGTCAGACCGACAGAATTTATTCTCACACCAGACGAGGTTAAGTTAATTGCACAAATGAAGCCTGAATCTGGTGACCATAATTGGGGTGATATCATTGAACATCTCCCTGGAAGAACATTAGATGATCTTGAGGAATGGGAACGGCGCCATCCAAATCTATTCGACGGCAATTATTTCACAAATGACGGTTGGTCACTGGAAGAGTTAGAATTGTTAGACAAATATGCAGATCAATCAGGCATTTGGTGGAAAGATATCCAGGCAGCGTTGCCAAATCGATCCAGACAAGAATTAGAAAACCAGATGATCCGAATATGGGTTGAGAGGGAAGCCTGCCAGAAGGAAAACGAACAATTTAGTTCCTCCGGGCGATCGATTGAAAGCCGAATTGGATATTCCAGGCCATCTCAGAGCATATACTCCGACGAAGATGATCCCGCATTGAGGACTGGCGATGTCATGACCACCAAGGATCTTGAAGATCTTCTAGAAGAGGAAGATTTCGGAGAAGAATGGCCAGAAATCTCGGCGATAGAGGTAGAGCCACGGTCAGCTGAGAACGTTGCCGGGTCTCAACGCGGCTCACCTCGAAAGGGCTCGACATCACCACGTAAACTATTTTGATTATGGCAGCGTTCATCCATACTCTAATGATTAATTTATGTTTCCATCCATCTTTGTCATGTGATGACACTGGGTTGCTCATATATCATGCTGCATTGAGAACATCCTCCAGTTTAGTATCAACTGTACCACCCACATTTCCAGCCTGGGCCCAGAACTTTGACAAATGCCTTGTACCCGAATCCGTGAGGATTGTAACGATCCGATGTCCCGGCCCCAATTTCAAAGCAGTCTTCACTGCAGCAAAGCCTAATTCTTATTAGCATTACATATTCTGTAACGAAGATGATGACTTACAGTTCACTGCACTGCTGCTTCCAATAAAAATACCATCCTTCTCTACAAGCCACCGCGCCATAGCTAGCGCCTGCGCGTCCGTAACCCTTATAGCATCATCAATAAGCTCCCTCCCAGCATCAAAGTTGGCCGTAAGCCTGTTAATCCCAATCCCTTCAACAATAGAATCAACCTGCGGTCTCCGACGTGTTCCTTCGCGCTCTTTAACATCAAACATAACCCCGTAGCGGACCTTGTTATACAATCCACTCCCTTGTGGATCAGCAAGAACAATAGAGATATTAGGAAGTCGAGGCTTCAGGAAAAGCGCAACGCCGGATATAGTTCCACCCGTGCCGGCACCGGAAATAAACGCATCCAGTTTTCCGCCACATTGAGCATATATTTCCGGCCCAGTGCCGTTGAAGTGTGCAGCGTAATTTGCGGCGTTTTCAAATTGATCTGTGAATAACCCCCTTCCTGTCGCAGCACCTGGCTCTGATGTCGGGGTTGTGTTTGTCAGTTGACTGGCATCTGCAACAGAGCCTTTATCAGCAGATTCCGCACTGGATGCAGTCCGAGCTTGAGCTAGAGCCCTTGCGCGATTCACAAAGTTGCCTGGCTCAACGATCGGAGCTGGTGGCACACGATCTACCACCGCTCCGAGTTTGAGGAGTAGATCTGACTTTTCCATGGCTTGGTCGGACGGCATACATCTAGACGGTGTTAGTCATTGAAACTGGCATAAGGCTTGGATTCCTACATATGCGCGAGATAACCCCGAGCGCGAGCAAGTGTTGCCAACGAAATGCCAGTAGATCCAGAGGTGCCTTCGTAAATGACATCTCCAGAATGAGGCTTTAAAGAACCGTCTGCTTCTGCCTGATGAAGTGTCAGACTATGTTTGTATGCGTGTATATCGAGATGGAAGTCCTACCGTCTGGATCATACTCAATGCTACCCGGTCCTTTGGACTCCCACCTGCTCCATTAAGATACTATGCTCAGTCAGATTTGCTTTTTATCGATACTGCAACTATTTTTTTTATTGTTCACCTCTGCCTTTGCCAAAATTTCACAGCCGGTCTCATCGGACAGCGACTTGATACGGAAAAGTGGCGTGTTCCCAATGCATCCCTCCACGCCTTCCACAATCGCAGGGGGGCCCTGCCTAACCGACTTCAGAAGCCCTTTATCGCTATGAAAGATGTCGGCGGTCTTGCCTCCAACTTTCGTTGGCTTTACATGTTGTCGGGAGCGGTCGTAGACTTCTTTCAGTACAATAGTCGCCAGTACCCCAGCAACAAAAGCAGCGCTGACATAGCCGCGATTAAGATCACTCATATTTGAAAATAGAACGGCGTATCCATGTAATCACATTAGAGCCACATTTGAAACACGGATGTGTCGATCGAGTTTCTGCGAAATTGATGTTGAAAATAACATCGCCAAGAAATATTTATCTCATCTCCCTTTTCTCCCGTTGGCCGTCCAAGGCCCCACTGTGACGCCAGAGTAAAAAAGCGCTGAGTCAGCGGAGAATTGGATGATGTTTCTAAGAACTCGGAGCTGGCAAGAGAATCATGTCTAGGTAAATTAAGGCCTGGTGCCCGCACCATCCGCCTTTGTTAACAATGGTGGAATTGAAAGCTTGCCTTTCCAGGGGACCAATGTGGAAATCGAGGTTCTTGTTTATCTCAAGTAAGATACAACTGGCAGCTCTGAATTTTTTTTTTTTTTTTTTTTGTGGCAATTTGCTCGTACAATTCGTTGTGAATCAATCAAAGTACTATTCAAATTGAAGTACAATGCATATTTAAGTAACCTGAAATACCTGAAAAATTAAGAACCAATACATTTTCTCATCATCACTGAAGACAAGAGAAGAATGATGAAAAAAATGTAGAGTTACAAGAGTCACAAGTGTATACAAATAGGATCGTTACACTATCATGGAAGATGACTTTACCTAGTTGAGGAGATTTTTCGTATATAGACAGCAAGTCACTAACAATAGATACCCCGATGAGCTTGTCCTAACGACTCAATAATGCTCATCTAATTGAAAAAGCTTTTTATTAGCAATTATCTGCTTAGGCAGTGCTTTATTACAAAGCTCAGTATGATCTTCGGCGAAGGTGGAGAAAGGATGTTCTAGACAGATTTTAAGATAGATTGCTCACTCAATGACCATATGTAAAGCCCAGACCCCCATCGCTTTCTCATAGTTCAAACAGCTTGCGAACTCGATCTCTTTTCCACTATGTGTTTTCGGGGATTTGACTGCCACTCCCGTCCCAGGCCCTCTCAAATGGCCCATACAACAGTTTTCATCTCGCGCACAATTTAAATGCTATGTCCATCATACTCTCATCGCGTTTTCATCGAGTGGGAAAAATGGAAGATCTTGAAGAGGAAATTAGGAATGCACAATGAGCCGTTGATATCACACCTAGAGATTATCCTGATCATGTACACAGGTTGATGACCTAGCCGACTCAGAATGAAGGCTTCAGTGGGAGCGAATTCTGCCATACCCTCTCAGCCGACATATCCGAATTCCGATGAATGTAGAGAAATTGTTCCAGAAACGATTTTATGTCACTCCAAGCATTCAAACCGAGGGTTGGTGAGACTCTAGCAAGACCAGTGCAATACCACAGAATGGTGGGCTTATTCTTGCAATCCGTGCTCTCATTTCCTTTCTTTTCACTTTTTTATTTTTGTTTTAGTATGTGTAGTCTAGAAACGGATCTCCCAAGCTATGATAGTTTAAGTTTTAGAGGAAGCTGCACTGCTCATGGCGATAGCGGGCTCTCCCTCTCCGTGTTGTCCTGAAAAGTTCATGGGAAATCTGTGGCTAGAAGAGTTAATACCCTCTATCGCTGTCGCTCATCGACGCCGACAATGCATAAGATTAGAAAAGATGCGTAGCCTGTGCCACTTTATTTGAGTATAGGGAGGGCAATAAAAGAGTTTATCTATCCCAGCATTTGGTTTCTAGGGCCTAGAAAGGTATTATTAATCTAGAGGGATTTAGAGATCATAAAGAACATTGAAGCCCTTGAGTCCTAGATGCTGTCCAATACTTTTAGATTTCAAAATTTCATTTTCTATTATACCAATAAAAGGTTCTATATAAATTTTTTAATATTGAGTTTATTAGTATTATATCTGATCTAATTATAATATTGTATTGTATCGATTTTATAAGTTATTATTATCTATTATCTTCTTTACTATTCCTATTTAGGCTAGTTTTCATGTTTGTAACTAAATATGTTCGTACGCGTAATAGTTGTTCAATAACTTTCAATCTTTCCACGTGTGATAACTCAACAACCATTAATAATTCTTAGGGTACACACAACCTTAAATTAGTAAGTAATAATTTTAAATCTTTAAATATACTTTTAAACTCAATGCCAAGTAATCCAACATCGCAGATCGACCATGTCTTTAACCTCACCAGACCAAAATCCTTTCAACTATATTCTCGTGTCTCCTGCCGAGCTTCATACCGCTTTGTCTGGGCCTCCTTCGTCTCGCCGCATCGTGCCTGTTGCGGCTGGTCGGTTGAATGCTCTAACTTCATACCGTGACAGTCACATCCCAAGCTCTGTGTATAACCCCCTTCCTCTATTTCTTGCAAAGAAATTGACTTGATGAAGTAACTGACAATTCTTGATTAGTTTCTTTAATATGGACAAAGTCAGGGACACCACTTCGCCTTACCCTCAAATGCTACCGACACCGAACCATTTCGCCAGTTGCATGTCCTTGCTTGGTATTCAACCAGATGATATTGTGGTTATATACGATACACCAGATATCGGCCTTTACTTTTCTCCTCGGGTAGCATGGATGTTCAATTACTTCGGCCACACAGACGTGCATGTCCTGAATAACTTTCCTCGTTACATTGACCAAGGATTTCCAGTCTCAAAAGGAGACTTATCAACGATTTCCAATTCGCCGAACCCTTCTTCAATCGGTAATACTAATTACAGTACTGCAAGCACCATCAATTTCGAAGAATTACGCGATTCACTAGCCACCAATAAGGACCAGCAGAAATTCCAGATTCTTGATGCTCGTATTCCTAGACTGTTTTTCGGCACTGGGATAGATTCCAACACTTCAAGGCCATTGGGTCATATGCCGGGGGCTATTAATATCCCACTTGCTTCAATACTGACCTCGGATAAGGCCATTCTTCCTACCGTACAGCTGAATCAAGTTTTTGAAGAGGCTGGTGTGAAAGAAGACTTGCCGGTTGTCTTGACATGTAACTCGGGCGTTACCGCTGCTGCGCTGGGATTGGCGCTGCAGATTTGTGGATATAATATGGATAAAAGGCTGTATGATGGAAGCTGGTCGGAATGGGCAGATCGAGCAACAACGGACGGGTTGATTGTTCACGGTTCATAGTAGAAGAGAGTTGATCATAGACTTATTTCCCATAAATTAGAATACCGATGAAAAGGGTTGGCAGAAGATTGAGGATATCCATCCATTATTAGTAACGTAGCCATTTATATAATTTTCCTTGATAGTTCAATGCTCTACTTCTTCACGTACCCGGTCACGGCACAGACAACAGTGGCTATCAGATAGGGAGCAAGTGACTCGCCCCGATACAGCTGCACCGGTTTCATACTGCACATATGTTTCAAACAGACGTAGGGAAAATACGCTCCTGATGTCAATGACTCAACGGCCATAAATAGTCATGCTATTCCTGGTTTCATGCTAAAACCAAGAAGATCAAAAGAAACTCTTTATATTACTCATATGAATTGGTGCTCTTCTTCGACTAATTGTCAAAGGAATGACTCAGGTTTTATGAACGCCTTGTACACCTCCTTTTCCATATGACAACTACATTCGTGACTCATTGCTGTCATTAAATAGTTATTTCTCAATTTTTATAATATAAACCCGTCTCTATTTGGAGGCATCAAACTTGTATTTTCAATGACTCGCATAAATAAACCACGGCCGACTCAAAAGACAAAGCATTCCGTGAAAAGGTCTCAAATATCATTAAGCGTCAGAGCTACAGTTCTGGAAAAGGATCAATAAATCTTAATATTCTTCCTCGGGAGCTGCTCCAAGAAATCTGCCAATTACTCGTTAAGCACAATCGTGTCGTCAGAATCGAAAACCTTCTCATCAAATTTGTGAAACATACGAAAGCTCCTGGTCTCGAGTGTGAATCTGAGAAATCTAAAGTAGATGTGTTTGTCATCTCACAAAAAATCAATGAAATATGTTCAGACATTCTCTACGAGCAGAATACATTCCAGTTCGTTTTTCGGAAAAGGTCACAAGAAAGTTTTCGGTCTATTTCCGAGGGCAATAGACACAAAATCCGCAAGCTGAGACTCATCGCCTATACCGATGGCTTTTATACAGACCAGGCAGTTGGACCAGATACTGCTCTCTGGGCTTCGGTGTTGCGGGGACTGACGTTGCTGCAGATAGTTGACAAAGTGTCTGCAGCAACCAAAGATCCTGTATTCCAAATAAAAGACTATTTCGATAGAGAAAAGAAATTTTGGCTTTCCAACTTGGAATTATATGTGAAGTGTATCGGAGAACATCTTTCGAATGAAACTAGGGTCGAGGTCGATGATGGCCGCGGGTTGAACAGCACTAACTGGATATTTGGAAAGTATCTACCGCACGGCTTTCATAAGGTGGAGCTCTCTCTTCATGATGTCTATCCCGCGGAGATCGACTATGAAATAGAGGATTTGACAATTTCTTTTTAAAGCTGAAGGTAGTAATAACACATGTGCAGTGATGATACATTAAGTCTCTTCATCAATCATTACTGAATACATAAATTATCTTTACTTCAATTCTTTCCAAATAAGTTTCTTTACAGATGATGTTTTTCAATATCTTGTGTGAAAGGACTTTGTACTGAGAGAGAGTATTCTTTGACAGTCTGTATAATACCCAGCAAATCCCTAAAATCTAGACCATGTTAATGTTTTAATATGACTATACTTGGTATTGACGTGACGAACATTGGCAATGAATCATAGGTAAGATTTGCTGAAGACGGTGAAATCCCTGACAATATGTGCTTTTATGCAAGAAATCTGTCTGTGCGACTGAAACAATCACTAAAAAATTGAGAAACAATGTCAGCAGGACTGAACCACTGAAATAGGATGCGCTAGCTTCGTACCTACCAGGATCAATTTAGGTGATCAACTGGGATTAATAATACCCTTGTTGCTTTGTAGTTTCAATGGGAGGCTGAAAATCAGTGCAGTAGTATTACTCCTGATATGTCAAACATGAAAAGACACAAAACGATACATGTATGAAAGCTGATGCTCACTGAATTGACGGACCACGAACCCCAAAACAGTTCTCTAATAGAGCACATCTGTTAAAAATATTGTTGCCCAGAAGCAATAGTGTTCCTCTCTAGAGCTTATCCAGTTAGGAAGAAAATCATCAAATACAGTCTTCATAATTATAGAGGATGTCAATGCTCGTTGGTTCAAAGTAAAAATAAAGAAATGCGCTAACTTGAAAGGGAGTTTCGAATATTTGCACTGCAAAAACTTTGTGCAAAACTTTAGCGGCGGAAGCTTGGACCACCCGCTTTGATTCGGCCAAAATATCGAAACGTCCTTCAACACCTCATTCTTTCCATTGCCCTCTGTTTCCACGAATAACCCACCATTGTCAATCGATGGACTCGCCTGTCGTAACACAGCTGTTCAGACAGCTTTTTAGACACCCCGCCTGCCAGTCCACGCGGTTTGCAACGCTACGACGACCGGTTATAACAGGACACAATCGCTCGGCATTGGAACGCCAACAACGCCGGCCATTTCTTACCAAAAAGGACAATAACCATAACAATGCTAAGAAAAGCAATACTGAAAATGAACCGATGTGGACAAAAAGGGGTGACTACCCCCGAGACATCGACCAGCAATTGCGCACGTTTCCCCTGGTCACGGCAAAAGAGCTGCGCAGTCGTCGCGAGCGACCGAGACAGGTGAAAATGCTGACGCGAGAGTTCATCGACGGTAATAATCTTTACTTACTAGTATCATACAGTACTGACATCCAGTAGACAGTTTATACAACCCGCATTACGGATACTTCTCCAAACACGCGACCATTTTCCACCCCGGTGAACCATTCGACTTCAATCGCATCGAAGATGGGCCTCACTTTCACCGACTACTAGGAGAGCGCTACACCGAGTTTGAAGACAAACTAGACGAACGTAATCCCGATATTGCTCGACAATTATGGCATACCCCTACCGAGCTCTTCCGTCCATACTACGGTGAAGCCATCGCTCGTTATCTCGTCACCAACTACAAACTCACCCTATACCCGTACCACGACCTGATCATCTACGAAATGGGCGCTGGAAACGGAACTCTAATGCTGAATATCCTCGACTTCATCCGTGACACCGACCCGGAGGTCTACCAACGCACAAAATTCCGCATCATTGAAATCTCCTCGTCCCTCGCGGAGGTGCAGATGAAGAACCTGATCGACAAAGGCGGGCATACCGGGCACGTTGAGATCATCAACAAATCCATCTTCGACTGGAACGAATACGTGCACTCGCCATGCTTCTTCCTCGCGCTGGAAGTCTTCGACAACTTCGCCCACGACGCGATCCGCTATGACTACGAGACCGAAATGCCGCAGCAAGGCGGCGTGCTGATCGACACGGACGGCGAGTTCTGCGAGTACTTCAACACCACGCTTGACCCCCTCGCAGCCCGCTTCCTGCGCACCCGCCAAGCAGCCGCCCGTCGCCCGTTTCCACTCGCGCTGCCATCAAAGCTCAGCCGCGGATTGCGCAGTTCGCTGCCGCTCGGAAGACGCGATTTCACGCTCCCGGAGTACATCCCGACGCGGCTGATGCAGTTCTTCGACATCCTGCGAGATTATTTCCCGGCGCATCGCCTGCTAGCCAGTGACTTTAGCACGCTCCCGGACGCTGTGCCGGGTCTGAATGCACCAGTCGTGCAGACGCGGTATCAACGACGCACAGTGCCAGTCTCAACACCATTCGTACGTCCCACATTTTCTAGAAGTTGAAGTAATAAATAACTAACTGTAGTGTTAGGTCCTCCAAGGCTACTTCGACATTTTCTTCCCCACCGACTTCGAGGTGATCGAAGACGTCTACCGGGCTGTCACTGGTAAATTAACGTTTGTCACGAATCATCAGGATTTCATGGAACGATGGGCGTATATCGAGGATACAGAGACAAAGAGCGGCGAGAACCCGTTGTTGACGTGGTATATGAATGCTAAGGTGTTGGCGACTGTGTGAGCAGGGGTTGGAAAGGATTGGTTGGATTGATGTACATAATTCGCAATTCACTGGTAAAGCCTATTGAGAAAATGTAATTCTAGTATTTCCACATAGTAAAAACTAATATATGGTAGAATGATGCGCAGTGGCGAGCCTTGTAAAAATACTGTGTGGCGGCCTGCCTTATACATGGTCGGCTGGCACAACGGTGAGTGGTATGGTTGTTGACACAAAACACATTAAACAACTTTAATGACTCTCCTAAAGCGTCAGATTCCAGACCTATTAAATATTGGGCGTATCCTGAAGGTAAGATAGCACCCTCCACTACGGCCAATACTACGTGTCAGCGTTAGTGTGTAGCTGGCCTTTCCCAGGTTAGGAGTTCAGATCTCTTGCTGGTCATCTTTTTTCAGCTGCCAATAAGTGATTGCGGAATGCATTAACAGAGCGCATCGCCGTGGCATGGCCGGATGTGTATTGTCCAAAGACTGGTTTTGCCAGATCCCCCCGCATATAGAGATGAACTGCGCAGTTCTGCCATACACACCATATTAATTTTTGATATGTGGAAATATGCCCATGTTTATCTCACACTATTAAATCAAAATTTATCTTTAAGCAGCGTATCGGCTGCTGCAACCCCACTGTAGATAGTGGCATGGAGTAAATCCAGATTGATGCAAGAAATATTTCCCAGATTGATTGTTTCTCGTATGATATAAACGTGTCTAACTCGCCACGGTCAAGGAATCCGCCCATATGCAAATGTATAACGCGAGAGCCTATAAAAGTATTATTTTGATGATTACACCAATAAAAAGAAATCATATTCAATGAATCGACACCAACGCTTGGAGAGCAGAAATAACCGATCAAAACAATATGTATGCACTGGAATGCTCGACGAGGCGATGAAACTACAAAACCACGGCGAATCCACCGATAAGTCCCGCGACAACAATAAATAGACCGTAGACTTGCCCCATCTCAAGCATCATCTGACGGGTAGCGATGCCGGTGCTGCTGCCGGACGAGCCAGTAGCGGCGACGGCTCCGGCAGTGCCCCAACCGGTATAAATAACATTCCCGGGATCAGCGCTGGTAGATGTTGCGGTGGCGGAGGCCGTGGTGGTGGCATTGTAGCGTGTCGGTTCCTGGGCACCGCACGCGTGTTGCTGCACGCATTTGGCTTGACAGGTTGAATCGCCGTTACAATTAGTTTGGCATTGCGAGTTGTAGGCGGTGCAGACAAAGTATGGGATTGTTTGAGAGTATTCAGAAGAGTTGGGGGAGAGGCCGTTGCTGCAGACGCACGAGTAGTCGAGTGTTTGCTGTAGCAAATTAGCGGAGTACTCTATAGTCGGTTATTTCGGTAGGACTTACGGCGTCACATTTGTTGCTTTCTGTGTCAGAAGTACCGTTGGGAAGCTGGAGACAGATCAGAGGGCAGGATGTCTTTTGTTGCTCACACCACTGGGCTATACGACGTTAGAACGCGGTTGTTACTGCGTGTTGACAACTCACCTCGTGTAGCGAGAGGAATTGTGCCAGGGTCGATGGTCTGGGTGACTGCCAGGCTGGCTATCGAGGCCATGGTCAACAGGATATGAGACAACATCGTGGATGTTTAACGAGGGAAGAAAAGTAGAGGCTCGATCCTGAACATGAATATATCAGCTTTTATCTATAAAAGAAAAAGATGAGAGCAGCAAGATCGGAATGGCGATCAACAGAGCAGGGAGATTTTCAGGAATGCTGTTGACAGCTTCAACTCACGTTCGTTGTGAATTAGCTCAGGCAAGGAATGTGCTGTGGCTGGCAAGGGATGGCCAGACAAAGAGCAGGCCAGAAGAGAAGACTCAACGAGTGGCAATAGTGTTTCAAAAAAACGAATGACTGGAATGAGAAGAAGAAAGAAGAGCACCAACAAGAGAAAACAAGAGCAAGCGAGGAGAAAAGATGCGAGGCTAAAGGAGGGTGGAGGAAGGAAGGCGGGCATTGTGGCAGGCGGGTGCCGGCATAATATTTAATGCGCACATGATTACTTTTTCTTAGTTCTTGCTTCCATATTGACAGCAGAATATTCTCCGCCGTGTGACAGTAGCTCGATTAATAGCTAGCTCCAGGTCACGGACTCCGAGCTGGATTCTCACGCATTGATCCATCATTCCATGTTGGAGCTGCTGAGCTATGCACTGGCGAAACCAGTGGTTCTTCCCGGTGAGTGCTGGATCCGTCGTGGACGAAGGTCGAATATTACCGTCGAATTGGGCTAGCGAGGATAATTGCCCCTGAGTGTTGAATAGTCAAATAGTTAAACTGTCCTTTGATTGAAATCACCTCCTTAACGCTTGTGGAATATGGATGTTTCTGATAAAGCCGAACCGCTAACCATACTAGACTAGCGCTAGATCGTCCGGTAAAAAGCCCAGCCAACCAGACGCAGCAGTTGCTGCTAGCTTCCTGCTAGTCTTCCATCCTTATTATCCTCATATCATGTGCTGTGAAGCTATCCCTTGCTGTTCCTTACACGAACCGTACCTATTCACAGTAGTTGCTAAAGTAGATAGCTAAAACTCATCCTCAATGTATAGAAGATGACAATAACCACAAAGCTGCAAGCATGAGCATCATGAAGGCTGTTCGGATTAAGGCCGGCCTAATATCGAGCGGCCGCTACTAGCCGGCTCCACACCCCGTCGACCGTCTCTCCTTCATCCTCTGCGCAATCCGCAGAATTATTCCTGAAACGTGCGAACACCGCCTGTCCAACTCTTATCCACGATCTCCTTCTGATGGAATTGGATGGAGCATGCAAGCGATGAGGAGAGGGGTTCTACTAATCCCTCGGCGGTAGCTCTGCCAGCCGAGTCGGCCTCCCTCCCGAGCAGCTACACAGACGACGAAAGCCAGCAACGCCTCGATCCAACCACCACTCTAATCGCCGAGTCTCTTTCCACGGGCGTCAGCGTATCCAACGGCACAGTCTTCCCTCCCGCCGCCGCAACGCTCGAACAAGCACTCTCACGCAAACCAGACCGGCCGATCTCCGGCGTCGTCCCGCCATATTGGCGACACCAGCGAAATTTCTCGCGCGCATCGCTTGCATCCGCAGACACAGCGCGCAGCTCGAAACCCGCGATTACGCTTGAGGACCATACTGACGACCCGGACTCGGCGACGACGCGGGGGCTGTGGGCGAAAAGCGTACGGATTGATGAGCATGTCGTGGTGTCGGGGCGGACTGGGGTGGGGGCTTATGTTGTGTGGATGTGTAATGTGCAGACCTTGGACGTGCGTCTCTTTTTTCTTTTTTCTGGGGTGAATATATGTCTAACAACTTATAGGGCGGCCCCATGATGATTCGGTTGCGATACTCGCAATTCGACGAACTCCGTGATCTGCTGAGTCGCGCATTTCCGCATGCGAAGCACGCATTACCCCCGCTGCCGCCGAAGAGCGCGCTGTTCAAGTTCAGGCCCAAATTCCTCGAGGCCAGGAGGCTTGGTTTGCAGTACTTTCTCAACTGTGTGCTGTTGAATCCAGAGTTTTCGGGGTCGCCAGTGCTGAAAGATTATTTGTTTTCGCATATTAATTAAGTTGTCAGATTGATTATCAGACCGGATGGGTCTATATTTTTGTAATATATAATAGGACTTGCGATATCTGGACGATTTACAAAACTATCAATGATTGGTGTTATTATGCTAGCGCTAATAGCAAATTGATTATTAGTATATATTCAACCATCATGCAACATATTGAACATGAGACTCCGATAGCGCCACTGCTGGAATAACTGAATGTGTATCAACAAAAATGAAGAAAGGAACATATTAGCGAGGGATATCATTATGCAATCTATAACCAAACCAGACCGATCCATGCTATATTTCCGCCGCCACCGCAGGATTCGCAGGCGGATTCGGAGGAGTCTCCTCTGAGCTCCTCAGATTCGCCGACGACTTTTTCGGGAACAATCTATTTTTTAGGTCTGATAGAATCACCTTCCGAATCGAGATATTCGCCATGTGCGCCATCGCCGCCATATCCTTGGGCCCGGGGCTTCCAGATGGGAAAATCAGGTGCAGACCGGAGCCTTGGTTCTCGTCTGGTCGGAATTTGTCGTGGTAGGCTTTCTTGCCTGTGATTGGGAGACGAGGGAATGTGTGTCGGTAGATTTTGCGTGTAATGCCCTCGATCGGCTTCGACAAGCCCGAGATCTTGCCGAGTTCTTCGCATGGCTCAAAGCCAAAGGAGAGATAGTCGATGCCGACTTGGTTGAGGAGGGCCATGGAGGAGAATATGAGTAGGTCGGAGATTCCTTTCGGTGCGTTCGGCGTGGCAATGCACGGGTCAATGTGGTAGCCGTGGTTGGCGCCGATTTTGCGAAGTGCGGCGAACCCGTTGGCGGCACCGTCGGGCCCGCGTGTGTAGATGTATGTCATGAGTTGGGGTAGGGAGAAGGGGTCGTAGACGGTGATGAAGGCTTGGGTTTCGCCGGAGTTGTTGCGTTCCGAGCGCCATGCATCGTAGATGCCGACGAGTTCGCGCTGGAGTACTGGGTCTTCGCCTTGAGAGGGGATGTAGATGCCGAGCGTGTTGCCGCCTTTAGTCGGGTGGAGGAGTTGTTTGTTCTGGACAATGATTCGCTTGCCGGTCTGCTCGTGGAGCACCGGGTTGGTTAGGGGGTTGAGAACTCGCTCAGTGCCGAATTGGATGGTTGCCCATTCTTTCTCCCGCGCGTAGGCGGCGAATGTGTCGCTGGCGCCCATGAACGAGATTCCCCAGCCAAATGCCTTTCTGTATTTGCGGAACTCGGCCAGCAGGCTCGAGTAATGCTGTGGTGGGCAGAGTGGGTCACCAGCGACAATGGCGATTTTATTGCGCACTTTGAAATATAACGCTGCTGTATGGGCTTTGTTGATGAAGAAGCTGTAGCTCTTGTCGAGGATACCCATGTGCGAGACACGACCATACCGGACGAAGAGGACTTCCAGTGCCTTCATGGCTGCAAAGTCTTCTAGCGTGAAAATCAACCCAGTGGTCCGATACTTCTTATCCATCATTCGGTTCACTTCAGACTCGGTTGATGCGTTGGACGATGCTGATTCGTCAGAGGCCTCTGACAGATTCGACTGGCTGGTCGACGTACGAGGTACGGGCTTCCGTTTGACTGAAAAGTCTGAATAGTCCGGGGACTTCAGGTGCTGCTGCTGCTGCTCGTTAACGAGGGTCGAGGCATTGCTACTCGCATCGGAGGTGGCGGCTTTTCCGGTAGTTGTCTTAGTCTTGGAAGCTGCAGTTGGCAGCTTCTCACCAGGGGTAACGCCATCAGCAGCCTTGGACATCAGGCGTAACCTGTCCATCAAATCGAGGCTGTCTACGGCAACCGACATTCTCGTCGGGGCGCGTAGTTGCTCGGTCATCGACTCGCCGATCTCCTGGAATAGGTTTATTGGTTTCTTAGCTTCTTGGGCAGCTGCAGCTGCCTCAGGGTCATTTTTGCGGAGTTCTTTTTGTTCCTTCTTTTCAGCCAACTTGCGCTCCTTCTTGGCCTTCTTCCTGGCTGCCTTTTCTTCGGCAGAGAGCTTCTGGTTATCCGCATTGGTCGCCATGTTGATGGTCCGTATGGATGAGAGATGGTAATGAAGAAAGAAAAAGTCGATCGGGCGGGAGGCGGGTGGAAGAAAAGGAAGTCAGAGACAAACGAGTCCCAAAGTAGTCCGAGTCACAATTACTCAAGAGTTAATCATAGATCTGTACCGCGTATTTGATAAGCGACACCGTCAATCAGTCAGCCTTGCCATCAGTCGACGCTGCCTGACTCATGCGATCACCAAAAGCAAGCACTGATCCTGGTCAAAAGGTGAGGAAATCGACTCGGGTCTCACACGACAAGACGATCTGGTTTTAAAGCGCGTTCAGGCGGCGAGATTCCTGATGCCTGGGGCGCTCCACTTCTTGCCCGAGGCCGATTTGGGAAATCAATTAGTATTGGCCCTCCCCTACTTCCCTGTTCTGGCCATCAACCATGTGTTTCCCCACTCCAGTCGCGCATCAGGGTTGCCCGCGAATCACGCCTTTCAGCGTTGCGGTTTTCGCTGCTGTGATTGGGTGTTTCGAAATTCACGCCGGGATAGGCAGCGACGTTTCCTGTCCAATTGTTTTCCCCACCCGACCAATTTAAACTAATCAGCTACGTTTTTTGACTTTAGCGCGCTCCTCGTATTCTCAATTAAGCCTTTCCATTTCGCGCTGAGTGGCACTACCGTCTATTAGAATTCGGCCATGTGGGGGAATGGAAAGCTTGGCCTCTCCTTCAGCCTCTCCTATTAATAGCCTCTCAAATGAGTCTCAATAATAGAAACATCTGCTACTATCAACTGTGGTTGCAGCGCATGTTGGATGCTGTTAATACGGAATGCGAGAACCGAGGGAACGGCTGGCCTTCTTCCGGGGCCGATCATTGACCGCCATAGGCCGACCTATCCAAATGCTCCTTTGTCAGAAGAAGTCTCCTCCTGTCATTGGCTGCTCATGACACAGGGGCTGAAAGCGAATTAGTCAGAGTATTATTTTTCGTTTTTTTTCTCACTGCCAGTCAGCAACCCCACGCCGGCTATAATTGCTCAATTGATCGCATTGACTGGCAATAAAGGAATTGATCACGCGCGTGAGTAAAAGTATGGACATGTATACATCATATTGGGATCGTCCTTAGGGTCCGACCGCTTGGCTGTGGCCTCTAGTGTGATGTCACTAGCCCACTACTACCCATTCTCTATGATAGCGGAGACATTCCTTTCCTTTTCCTTTTCCTTTTCCCTCGTATAGCTAAAAGTGGATATATTTCCTGGTGACATCCCTGACGAGGATAATAACAATAATTATGGGTTAATAGATTCCATCCCTTGTATGCCAATTAAAGCTGTCAACATAATCAATCCAACAGTTTAGAGTCTTAGTCTGGAACCAATATCAAAGAAGTGACAAGACTCACATTTCAAGTGTGCAAATGTTGTAAAGGATTATGCAGAAACTGTCACTGCTCAGCTGACTCGTATAACAGACAGGAAGTTTACTAAATATGTTCGTCGATCGGAGATATACATGTCAACTGGTGATGCGGGAAAATATCCCTCATTAAGCGGGTCCATGTGCATGAGCGGCACTGGGGTGCCTCAGGATTCAAGAATGTTATTGCATTACATACCAACCTGCCGTAGCCTTCATAAATGGAGCATTTCCATTCGCTAATATATATATCTCTGCCCATAGAAAGCAGTGAGATGCCGATTTACGAGAATATAACTTAACATTGTGCAAGAACGTGTCAAACGGATGGAATTTCGTATTGTTGGTTCTCCCTATCATGTAGATGGTATTGATTGGCCATTTCTATTACCAGATATCTATCAACTTGAATGGAATTGATGGAATTGATAGTCAATCTTGCAAGGCCGATTCGTTCCAGCTATGATTGGTATTGTTGTTACCTTGATGGATCGTTTTATAGTATGCAATTCCTGGAGGAAAGTTCTGCTTAGCCCTACATTAAGTCCCAGAGTGAGGCTCAGAATAAGCATTCGAGCTCAATGAGGCTTAGACCAATATCAATGGCTGAAACTGCTAAAGAAGACCCCTGGAGCGCCTTCCCATAAGCACCTAATGCACACGTACAGTTCTAAATTCTGGGGTCAGGGTATTTGTTAAAAAAACTAGATGATGAAGCCTTGAAAATTGGAGACGAATGGTTTAGTACCCATGGAGCTTTCATCGAGATAAAGAATCTATGGAATTATATACAAATAATCACACAAAATTGCAATCTCTAAAGGGACTCCACTTAACATTACCACCCCCTGTTCTTCACCTTGGCTTGAAACCTCAGCCTTAACACTCCACAAGGCTCAAGAACCTCTTTCAGAACAGGCCTCCACCATTTCTCATGTCCATCGCAAATTTCCATTGCGGCCGCATATTCCACATATTTGGGGAAAAACCCACTATGCTCCCAATCCAAAATCCCCGTGATTCTGCCATCCTCAACCATAATATTCCGCGCCGAAAGATCGCCGTGGGTTAAGACAAACTCGGTCTCGGACGATCCACGCATTTTCGTGATGAGTCGTGTCCACAGTGCCCGACTAAATGATGATCGCACACGCTGAAGACACCAATTATCAAACTCCTCCTCGGAATCAAATGGACCCATGAACTCAAATCCAGTACCGAGTCTCTCGTAAAAATTCGACGCCTCGTGGTTGCCAATGCGTCCGATATAAGGCTGAGTGCAACGTCTAAAAAGTTGCACTTGCTCTTTCAGTTGTTCTTTGACGGAGTCTTGTTGTGTTTTATTCATCGCATGCCACACTTTGTCGAGAGACGTGCCCCGAACAAGATCAGTGACGATCACGATGTCGTACTTTCCAACTCGATAGCAGCCGCGATATCGGGGGACTAGAAGACCGGGCTGCTCAGAAGCATATTTCAGCATCAGAGCTTCTAATCGAATTGCCTTCTTGATTTCCTTTGGCTTGACTTTGACGGCGACTAGATTGCCTTCGGATGTTATTGATTCTACAACTCGATTTCCGAAATAGTTGTAAATTTCTCGGCCATGAATCGGGTCCCCTTGTTCACTAGACATGGTTGATCAACGCTGTACAGTAGTCGAATTTTTGATTTAGTCGTCAGTTATTTGTTGAGTTGACTATATTTCAAGAGTAAGCTAGTAAACTAGGATGTTGTTTTCGGAGACACTGTTGACGCGGTGTCTCAATGGAGGTAGTAGTACCGCGTCAACTAATTATTTGCGCCTCGGCGCTAACAGTCCACCAGTCTCACCAAAAGCAAAACACAAACATATAGAAATGTCATTCCGTATAATCATCCTCATAGCTATCTCAGTATCCTCGTACTGAGGAAAATCCAATCATCATGCACCTGTCAATCTATCTCATCCCAGTCCTTCAGCATCGACACGTAGTTAACCTCTTGGAGCCTGCATCAACAATCTCAGGACAGTATGGTTTATGTGTTCTTCATAAGCTTCCCCAAAGTCAGGTAATTACAGCTCCGTTGAATTTTTATGGTGTTCTCGGGCGGTTGAGATTTCGGTACATTACCGTCTAATTAGTATATAGCACTAAAGTAAATCATTATAATATCTAACGTTATCGTAAATACATCACACATACGGTATCATAATGCAATGCTGAAGAAAACATAAAAAGAAGAAGTAATCCATTACATTAGCGACGTCCTTCAGGAGCAGGAACACCTTCCTCAGGCGCGGTGCCTGGGATGCCTCGTCCGCGTATCTCAATCGTCTTGCTTTCCTGATCTGTATCCTTTCTGGTAATAGTCTTCACAAGACCGGATAGAAACCCAGATTTCTTGCTTTCCGTGCTTCCAGCTGAAGGATCGCCATTGGTAGTATCTTCATTTTTCTGCGTTGACCGCCGACTCGGAGCCTCTATATTTCCGCTATTTTGATCGTCCTTATCCTGGGCTGACTTGTTTAAGGCCTTTGATTTCTCTTCCTCAATTTTATCTTTAACGATTTTCTTCTTTTGCTTGAATTTCATGTATCCTTCTATTCCTACAAGGACAGCGTACGATCGACTGATCGATACACCAGACATATCAACCCCTTGTTGTTGAAGAGCATGCACGAATGCACGGAAATTGGCTGCCGGCGGACGATAGTGACCACTAAGGGGGGAAAGGCTGCGGAGTTGGCCGTCTTTGATCTTGATCAATCCTGCTGCTGAAATACGTGCGCCCCGAAGAAATGACGAATGCTGAAAGGCTCCTGATTCCTTGATGCCGACATATAGCCGATAAGACGTGTCTATACTGTTTATTAGCGAACAATCCTTTTAAGATTTTGAAAAGTTTATTTACCCGCTACCTGCAAGAAGCTACGTTAGTACAGAAGAATCAGAATGGGGAACAAATACACTTACGAATATCCACTTATCTTTCTTCCGGAGTGACTTTTGCATCAAATGGTTGAATATAACCGCAGGGCTCACATATTGAATCTTCTTTACCCCCTTTGCATCGTCGTAGTCAGGATTCACATAGCGTTTAACTTCCTCGTCAGAGCTCTCTACATTAGTATCGTTCGAAGAGTCGTTACTGGCATTGGAAATGACTTCATCCCCATCTGCCGTATACTCACGAAAAGTTGGCGTTTTGTCCTCCACCGAGACCACTCCTTTAATACTATCCCTGTAATGCTCACTATCTGTCCATACCCGCTCGCCATTCTTTGCCCATCGAAACCGCCCCTCGTCGTCAAGTACCAGCAGATAGTGCTGCCTTTCCTCGCGGCTGAGATATCGAACCTGCTCCCGCTCCAACCGATCGCGAGGCACTCGTTCTATCTCTACATCTTTTCCATCTCCATAATCCAACCAATAGAAGAAGTTCTGCTTTGACGGTCCGTTTTTCCACACACTATGATAGGCACGTAGATTGCTTCCATATCGATGCTTAGTATCAACCATCTCCAAAAAATACTGCAAATCCATCATCTTAGCCGTCTTCTCAACATCCACTGCCGATTGCCGTTTACGAGAGCTATACTGTAAATTATGCAAACTTGTCGTCGTGTTACCAGCACCCGACGAAGATCTCATGTCAGAGATATGCGTTTCTGATGAAGACGCGATGCTCTCCTCGGCAACCTTGTCCTGAACATTATCATCCCCCCCTGCCCGCAATGCTACCTGGCCAGCTAGTTTCCATTTCTTGCGTACTTCAGGCGAAAGCGCGATTTCGCTGTCGTGACCTCGTTGTTGTGACTGTCGCGAGACGACTTGTTGCCCTTCTTCAGTTCGACGTTCAATAACATTATTTTCTTCGCCGTCGTTGCCGCTCGGGCGTTGGACTTGCATCGATTGATGCCACTGTGCCTCTTTGATAGCCTCTAGCCACCGTGTGGACGAATTAAGGGACCATCCTTGGAGCTCTCGTCGCGTCCGATAGCCACGATAGTATCTCTAGGCATTCCACCATTAGCGCCATCATAATATTTTTCGTGATCTACTTGTGATATATGCCATACCTGAATCGCCCTCGCAGCCTGTTCCTCTTTATTGCCTAGTCCCTGCGTGCTCATTTTTGAGCTGAGAAGCTCGTGTTTTTGTGTAGTGACGTCATTCGGCGATGTGGCGGGGTAGTCAATAATAGAATTCGAGTCGCCAGCTACTGCCATGGCCACGGCAGGAATCTTGGTATAGATTTATTAAATTAATCTCATGGGACGGAAGTTAATAAGGGCTTAGTTTAAAATATTTTCGTTAACAAGAATGGGATAAAGAGAAGAAAAATTAGAAATCAAACCAACATTCCAGCCGTAGTCTGCTGCTTCGAGGCGCCGCCAATGACGCCTAGGCTAAACTCGGTGGAGTGGCTTGTGCTACCTTATCACGTGGATTGTCATGACCTAAATAACCCTGCATGGAGCAGCATGAATTTGGTTCGTCTATCGATATAATCAGTATTGCTTTATTCTTTGCTCAATACGCTAGATAAAGAGCAACAATCTAGTTGCATCATTTGACGTTAAATTCATTAGTCCAATTCAATGTTATCACATGTCATATATACTTCTTTACCGCTCAAATAATCCAATTCCTAGGGAAATATTTAATAAATATACACAAATTCGTCATTATCCCTATCCGTCATATCCAAGAACGCTTGCTCGCCAATTCTCTCCTGCGGCTTTGCCGTGGCTGTATCATGCTCCGCAGCGCCCATTTCGATGATAGCATCGCTATTATTCTCTTCAAAATCATGGTATTGGTCTTGCATAGAGTGATCAATCATCTTCGCTGGCTTCCCATTCCTGACACGCTTCTTTTCTTGGAGCTTGTTTAGGAATACTAGGTTGGCCCACTGCAGAAGAATGACCGCTACCAGAGCGATGAAAATCCCGAGGCAGGCCCGAAGACCGGGATGATAAGCCGGGGAGTCTTTCTTATTGAATAAAAGAGGCCCGACAATATTTCCAGCACTGCTGGCTGCGTTGTATGCGCTCACGACGAATGATTTCTTCGTGGTACCGGCGGTGTTACCCACGATCCAGGTCACAATCAGCGGGTTACCTCCGAAGAGGAATGCTAACAGGTAGTATCCCACAAGCAAAGGTCCTTGATTACCCGTACGAGGAACGGCATAGAGGACAGCTAAGCCGGCAACAACCGGGAGCATGAGCAGAGCAAGAACAGCGCCTTTGAGACGTGCCTTTTGAGCGAGAAACGAGGCTAGCAGAATGACCAAAAGCTGCATTACGCCAAAGGGCATGTTCAATAAGCTAGTGGTGTACGCGTCAAACCCCAGTCCAGACAGAATCAATGGACCAAAGGTATTGGAGACACTGGCGCCGACGTTGAGCAGCATGCTCATGCCGATCCACAACCAGGTCTTGGGCTCGATGAAAGCTTCGAGAACGTGCTTAACTTTGAATTCTCGCGATCCAGTACCGGTTTGATTCGCACGCAGACGTTCGACTGCCATAGGCTTTTCTTCTTCGGTCAAAAACCGGGCAGATGGGATGTCGTTGTCAAGTTTCCAGTAGATAAATGGGACGGATACAATGGTGAGTAATCCGACAAAGAGGAAAATACTATCGAGTCCAAATTAGTATAAAATTCCGATCCAGAAATTGAGGGTAGGAAGGTTAGTACATTTGCCAAGGTTTGAGAACATCTGACTTGATATGCGCAAGCCCATCACTCAATCCAGCAGCGACAATGGTCGCCAAACCATTCGTCCCATACCACGCGGCGACTCTAACAGGCTGCTCAGCTCTTCGATACCACTGCGAAGTAATAACACTAAAAAGCGGCAGGCAACCGGCCTCAAACAACCCGAGGAAAAAACGCGCTGCCATTAACGAGCTGAAATTATGGCACGCCGCCATCGACGCCTGCGCAATGCCCCATCCCAAACAAAGCACCGGCATCAGAATCCGGTGTGGCACACGCACAATCAGATACGACGAGAATGGTTGCCAGGCCAATTGTGCAATCGGCGCAATTGAGCCGATTAATGAATACTGATTTCCCGTGAGTCCAGTGTCTTTCTGCAAGCCGAAGGTGGCGCCATATCCGAGAACGGATTTGTCTAGAATCTGCAAAAAATACACCCAAATAAGGATGACGAGAATGGATTTATCTGTCTTGCGACGAATACGCTTGGAGTCTGCTTCAGTGACGATAGGCCGTTCGCCACTGGTCACTAGGTCGGCAGCGCGGTCGGCATGTTTTGCAGAATGAGAAGATTCGCCGGGTTTGCGGGCATGAGGGCTGGTTTCAACATGGAGGATGTCATCCTTTTGGTTCTTGGAGTCTGACATTTTTCAAAAATATAATTATATATAGAAGGCACTTGTTTTCACCGGCCCACGGGAGGTGAAAAGTTTTGAGGGTGAGGTCTGTCGGGGAGGCTTTATATCAAATCGTCCGTGTCCCCCGCATACTCCACGCGGAGAGAGCTTCAAAAGCCGACATCATGCATCATATACCACGAGGTCCCAGCTGGGCCGGTCCAATATTAACCCTCGAACCTGCTGGGAACGCCATTTCGCACACTAATCAGCAATGCGAAAGCCAATGAGATTTGCGGGTATGTTCCCAATCCGGTATAATTTCTATGCCACCCCACAAAATATACCCCCACGTCCCACTTTCTCTCCATACTGTCATTTGCCTACGGAGGGAGACGGCCAATCACTGGCGGTTTTGGCTAGCCTTCCAGGTACCCCCACGATCCCGTGATTCAAAACAGTTCAATAGCCGACAGCCCGCTTCACAGTGGCGAGACAACATCAGTTGATAGTTCGATACTAAAGGTATGGGATCTGTTGTTAAAGATGCAGTAATGGTGTTTGTTTTGTTTGTGTGGCAAGATACAGCTCAATAGCCGACAGCCGTCATTGCTCAATGGCGAGATAATTGATAGTAAAGATATGAGATCTGTTTCCAGAGATACGGTACATATGTAATGGTTTTTGTTTTGTTTTGTATAGTCAGCTATCTGTCAACTGCATGTGGTGGTGTTCTAATACTGTTTTTTTTCAAGTTACATTGATGTACGTATATATCTAACAATTATATATATCGGTTGATTTTGCAAACACACCACCGCCTATAGAGCAGAAAAACATAAGCCAAGATATCTCCAATATTAAACTAACCAAAATCCCTTCATGGTGTTCAAATCTTTACGAATCAAACGATTAGATATATGTCGCTGTTGATCAAGGAGCCGGCCGGGTTGATTAGATCGGATGTGATTGATAGACCCCCATGGTAGGTTGCCGATCAGATCATATTAGACGAAATGTACATGTAATTCGAGGGTTCTTCCGCCTCAATCTATGCAGCCAATCGGGAAGACTTCATAGCCGAGGGGTATAACGTCCCAAGGCTTTTCATGATTGATATTTGTTTATTCATTACATTTATGGTTTGGGTCGCAGCATCCTTCTGCAGATCCAGTGAAGCGGGGCGGGCTGTGGCCATAAATCGAAGAGGCAACTGAAGAAGCGGCCAAAGAATTCGGATTGCGTATCTGGCCACCCAAAAATGCGGTTCAATTTTTTGTAATCATTTGATTTTTTTCAGATGTTTAAACGGTGCACGAGTATCTATGCCGAGGGGTTGAGTGAGGAGGAGTCGGAATTTATCCGCAACGGCTTGAAGTTCGTCAACGCAGCGTTGGTGGACGCTGTTGAAGATAAGACGTTGGTGAGAGATATAATTGGGTGATTTTGAAGTAAGGAATAGAAATTCTATGAAGAGGTATGATAGTCGTAACCGGAAGTCGCATTGAAAACCATATGTTCCCAGGAAGCGAAGGTCGATATTCTCAGGATCGCCATATGGTGCCGTTGGAGCCTCAGTCGCAATGTCGGCAATGGCTTTTGAATAGTCTAACGGGTATGATGCTTTCTCCACCTTATCGATATCCTACATAATTGATGGATAGCTTGATAAACATTCGGTAGCATTGCCTACATCAATCAACACCCGGATACGGCTGTATATTCGGATGCAGTGGGCATTCCACATGCTAAATATAATGATAGAGTCATTCTTACCCGGCGCGGCTACAAGGAGCTTTATATGGCATAAGCAAGCATTCAGTAAGCGAATGGTTAATCTTAGGGGCTGGAAACTTTCCCTCGTATAGACTCAATAACCAGACACCTAACAGAGTATCATCGTTTTTGCACCGTACAGGGTTACGCAAAGCCGAATTGATTGCTATTAGGGCATTTCCATAGGCTTATTCTCGACTTTTCCCTGAATGAATGATTCAGCTCTGTATATCATACCTGCATAAAAATTGTAGTGGTTTTAAGTCGGTTTTCCAAATCCTGCCCAACCCCGTTTTTGCAAGTCATCGTTCTCACGAAGATTTTACTGAAGCAAACAATATAAATTATGTTTAAAATTTTGCATCAAGACTAAGACGTTGCCTCCATCATATTCTATCATTATTAAATTAAGTATCTGAAAATATGCTATGCCAACCAGTCTTGCTAATCATGGTATCATGGTATCGTACACATTGACGCTATTACCCGTTTCTAAAAAGTGACGGATAATGTAGTAAAAGCTGAGGCGAAACAGGCGAAGAGTATTATGGATGGAGGCTTTTTTTTTAATTTTCTTTTTCCCCCAGTTTTTAAGTAATGATTTTGCAAGTGAAGATTAAAGACCACACAAGCAAAAGTGCTAGTAATCGACCTTCAGGCAGTAAACCATGGAAGCCAATGTTGCACTCTCTTAAACCATGATCCCCAAGAAAAGAGCAATCAGAAGACTCGTCCCGGAAGTTGACATGGTAGATCCGGCACCAGTGTAGGCAGGGACACTAGGGCCTGCAGGGTAGGTACTAGTATGATGAGGAATCGTGCCATTGCCAGTGTGAGTAGACTGGCTGCCAGTAGACAGTGGAATGGGGACGCGGGAAGTTGTCGCGGTAGTCTTCGGAGAAGATGGAGGGGTTACAGCGGAAACAGGCGGCACAGTCTTCGAGGTTGGAACAGGCGCAGTTGGTGTACCAACAGTTGGAGGTGGCTGGACTGGAGGCACAGTAGGAGCAGTTGTCGCGGAGGTAATGGATGGAAGAGTCGGATAAACTCCATCGCCAGCTTTGTGGCCAGCGCACTCGCTGAAGAGAGGGCAACAGCCCGGTGACCCATCTGGGTTTACCCAGCAGTTCTCGACACCTCTGCAGCCGATGATTTCACCATTTGGAGCAGCAGGGCAGCAGATGTTGATGGGAGAAATACATGTTTTTCCACATAGTGTTAGAGGAGATTCACAAACATCCCGTTTCCCTAGAGGAGAAACAACGCTTGCCAGAACGGCAGGAGCCAACAGAGCGAGGTATCCAAATTTGAACATTTTTGTGGCTTAATCGGCCGAGCTGATATAGTAATAGAAACAAATAAAGATAGTAATAAGTTTAAAAGAGTGTAGTGTAGTTTGAACAACTATAATTTGAGATAAAGAGTGACTGGTGAGTTCGTCGAAACAGCAATATAATTCTAGGATAGAAACCTGTACAAGAAGCTCATCTCAGTCTTATAGCTCGCTACCACCCCGTCGGTGTGCCCAAGCATTTTCACTGCGCCTTCCGAAGGGGTTGTGGAAATGACAAAAAGGTCACCTCGTGTTCGGGAAAATATGGTTGGTTCTTCCACACGGTCCAGCTGGTGTCGGCTCGTATTCCGTTCGTATCCATCTGCAGGAACCAAAAGTCAACGAACTCGAAATTAACTTTTCGAATATCGATGATAGAGATTTAAAGCACGATTTACCGTTAATTTGTAAAGGGTATGCAACCAAATTTGTCTATTAGCGAGTTGAGGCTACATTGAAAGACTAACGTTTTCAAATATTGATTTTTACCGGTGCTGGCCCGAAAGTGTGAATGGCCAGGCTCGTATTCTCGATTTTGTTAGGTGAGGCTGAAAGGGATTTGTGTCCAATTGATCGGCGAGACATGAAATCTGCATGACATGCAAGAGTCTAGACACAGAATTAGTATTTGCTCTTTACCGGAGGTAGGATAGTGTGAACTCAATTTTTGGCTCTTGGCTGGCATTTTTCAAAAAAAGAAATTCAATGGTTGGTTGTGATCCTATGGGATTAAGTTCTATTATTGTCGACATAGCAAATCCACGGTGGTAAGATACGGAAGTTCTGGTACGCTGACGTGAACTTTTAAATGAGGAGAACACGAGGCGTGGGAGGTTTCAATTTCAGTTGGGTAGACTCCTAAGTATTTTCCTTCAAATAAGGAGTCTCTGTCTCTGTGTAAATGGCGTACTTAATATAATTCATTCTATACGCGTTTATTTTCCTGAAGTGTCCACTGTCTGGTGCCGCTTGTAAGTACGGACTGTAGACCCTGCCATAATCTTGTATCTACACATCATTAACCTTCAGGTATTGGACCGGTAGGAGTTTTTGACAAGGTTTTTGAATAGCTAGAGACTACGAGAAGGCACCGACCAGGTATTTCAAGCCAAGACAAATTAATTTTCCAATATACCTATGAACACAGCGTTAGAGATTTTATCATTTGCATAGACACGTTAAATTCATTCTGTAGAAGCCGAGTCTTTATCATCACGAAAAAGGAATTTTTCTTCATCTCAACAGTTGCCGCTGGAGTGAAACAATATAGACCTCAATCTCGAACACGTTTTACAAACAAAACCCATTCAACATTATTCTAGTCTTGATTGGTTTGTTTTTGTGCCCTGTATGTCTTACATTAACCGAACCGATTCTAATGATGCCTCAAAGCCTGATATCCCTAACCACAGAGTTATTTTTCCTAATACGAAGGAAGCCTATTCAGGGGCAACGCCGAATTTTCATTTACTCGGCTCAAGCTTTCCGTCGGGGAAATATACTTCCAGTGAACCGGGCGGATTCGCCGGTTCTATGTAAATCTTTTCCCATTTTCATGTTTCTTTGCTACGGGTTATATTCCAGGACGGCATAGAGTAATACGATAGTAAATGAGGCTGGTTGGGCGGATAGGGCAAGACACTGAGCGATTTATCGCCGAGCATACTTTTGGTATAGCTTGGGTGAGAACCGAGACGGATTGTCTGAGTGGATAAGACCAACTGATTCTAATGTGCGAAGATGGTACATTTCTGTGTTTAACTTGTGAGAGTCTTGGCATAGCAGTGGGTGAAAGGATGCTGCTAAAACCGGACTATAAATACTTGAATGCGACAACAACAACAACAAAGCGTATCTATAGTATTCCACAATTTGAGTATGTAGTCTCATTCATCATGCTAATCTCGTGGCTGGGTTTCTGTCGGCCGATCTACCCTATATATCACCTTCGCCGTATTGAAATAAGCTTCATATTCAATTGCTTCATTAGTATCGTCTACATCGTAATGATAGTGACCTCCGGAATTCTGCCCCAATGGAGAAAAGCAGTGAGTGTGCTCTAGTCGCAACCCCATGGTTTTACCTGGGTCCCCCGAGTGCAAAACAGACAGACAAACGATTGGGCTTTCAAAGTCGTGGAAGGTGAGCCAGTCGTTAAGCTGTTTGGAGTTCTTGAAAGGTAGCTTGTGCTCTGGTGGAAAATCGGGCATAACATGGTAGCGAGCTGTGCCTGACTTAACGAGGAACGTGCCCCCGAGGCTGACAGTTTGGGCGTCACCGTAAGCCTTCTTAAGCGCTCTTTGAATACACTCAGTGAAGCTCTTCTCAGACCCTTTTCGTCCACGCGCAGTGATCTTGATAACTGGGCCCGGTTCTCCCAATGAACCGTAGAGGTTGGCCATCAAAGCAAACTCTAGACTTGTGCTTCTGTCTACATCCACCGCACCTGAATCCGGGACGATCCTCGCATATCGCGTCTGATTGTCAAAATTTACGAGCCCCGCTTCCCAGCTGAGATTGGGGACAAGCTCGCAATTGCAACCCACCACATGAAATGGTCCGGCTCCCGCACCGATTAGACTTCCCTTGGCTGAATCCATCTCCATGGCTTTGGCAATTTCAATGAAGGAGAATTTGCAGTCCAAGCGAGGCCGCGGGAAAAGATTCGGCTGGCCACCGATATCTGCAATTTTCTCATTTCCAGATAGACCCTCAGTGGCGAGATTGAAAGGTGGCTTGCGGAGATCTGGGCATGGGACTACATTGATTGTCGTATGCTCGTAGTTCGCGGCAAGAGGGGCCATCAGCTGTTCAGCTAGTTCCTCGAGACTAGGTGGGGAGAGAGGGAACTTTTCGACATGCATTTTGTTGCTTAGTACGTTAGGAACTGTCGGAATCCCCATCAAGCAGATAAACAATCCATAAAATTGCAGTAATTAACTCCCGATTTTTACTATTGTGGCTGACGTTATTTTTGCGTGATCACCTCCACTTCCGCAGGTACAGAACCAGTTTGGATTGTGGGGTCACTCCGATAAACTCACAGTAAGTAGGATTAATTTTGTTTTTGGATTATCATATAGAACATAACAGTAGTAGTATTGCGAGATTAAATCGTAATTATAATCGCGAAACTTGCGGTAAGAAAAGGCTAATTATACAAAACGTAAGAGAAAAAGGAAAAAGGAAAAAGGACAGGAGAACGCTAGTCACAAGCTCACCGCTAAACATTCTGGTCAACAAGTTGCAACACATTATACTAATATTAAACCAGATAATTCATATCGCAAAAAAAGGGAAGAGAACAAACATTTGAAATATAGTAACCAAAACGAGGCTTTTGGTAGGAAGGACATAGGAAAGGTCAAGGAGTGATTTTTCGACGGTAGTACCGAGAAATTTAGGCCAGAGGAAAAGTAGAAAAGAGTTAATGAAAGAAAAAGACTTATTTCTTTTTGCCAAAGCCAAGAGACTCGGTAATCGTACCGAGACCAAGGCCTTCAAGCAGCTTGTCAACACCAAGACCGCCGAGAAGACCGCGAACGAGTCCGCCAAGGCCAAGACCGTCAAGGAGGCGACTGACAAGACCCAGCACACCACTGAGGAGTAGCCCGACTGCGGCGATGATTTGGAAAAGAGGCTCGGCCAGCAATGACCAAAGTGGGTTGAGCTTCTTCTTAGCATGTGGCATGTCTTGGATGCGCTTGCGACCATTGTCAATGGTCTTTACGACGGTTTGGGTAAGTTCCTTGAGCAAGTCCGCCAAATGATACTCCTCGGGAGTAGCTTCGTGGGCGGCGGCACGGGCCTTGGCTGTAGCAGCGATACGTCCATCAGGGTCAAGTGCGCGAATGGAGCCATTGCATTCTTGTAGAATGCGGCCACCTTCTTCTAGAAGAGGCTTCACATCATTGACAAGTTTCTCCTCGTCAAGCTCATCCTTCGGTGTGCGGTCCGCTTTGTCAATCAACTAGTTATATTGTTAGCATTAAGAGTCTCTTAGTGAAGAGGAATCGATAAAACGTACATCGGTGATTTGCTTGCAAACGGGCTCGATTTTTCCGAGTGTGTCTTGTAAAATTGCACACATTCGCTCGGCTAGTTTCTTGTCCTCATCGGCTTGTTTCTGTTTCTCCAACTCCTCTGCAGAGATCTCTGGTTCTTGATCTTGAGGCTCTTCCTCAGGAATGTTCTCGAGGAGAGTTGCCTCTCCAACCTTGTTACCATCATTGTCGACAATATATCCATTATCATCAATTGATTTACCAATGAGATTTTTCAGGTTGCCTTCGGTTACCTTGCCAATGAGGTCGCCATTCTCATCACGAACCTCACCTTGCTTGTTCACTTTCCGGCCAGACATTGGGTTGACATTTCTCTTCTTCTCTTCGGGTTCCCACCGTTCGGCTTTGCCAATGGTATTGCCAGACTTGTCGAGGATATCACCGTCCTCATCGACAGTGCGGCCTTGAAGACGCTTGGCATCACCTTCAACGAGTCTTCCAATGACTTTCCCAGTACCATCAACAACGAAGCCGTCCTTTCCGACTTTAGCGCCATCATAGCCGTAGAAAATTCCTTCAGGCTTTTCTTGCTCGGCACCAGGAATAAGCTCGGCATGGCCAATAACTTTGCCGTTATCACCCCACACCTGGCCTTTACCATCGACCTTTCTTCCGGCCATTTTCTTGGCATCACCATCGACAATGCGACCAAAAACAGCGCCATGTTCATCGACAACTTTGCCGGCCTTGTTTACTTTCTTTCCTTCAAGAGAGGATAGATCTTCTTCTTCTACCTCTTCTTCAGGAACCTCGTAGGGTTCGGCACGACCTTTGACGTTGCCATACTTATCAACGATGTCGCCGTCCTCGTCAACTGCACGGCCTCGGAGTTTCTTAGCGTCACCCTCGACAATCTTGCCAACAACATGGCCCTCTTCATCCTCGACCAGGCCTTCTTTGTTGACAAACAGACCTTCAAGTCCGCCAAAAATGCCTTCCGGCTTGGTCTCGCGTTCATCTTCTGGAATAAGCTCAACACGTCCAACGATCTTTCCAGCATCGTTCCAGATCTGGCCGTCGGTGCCAATCTTTCGACCAGCCACTTCCTTGAGGTTTCCGTCCACGACACGACCGATTGGTACGCCGTCGGGACCGATGACATTGCCAGCCTTGTTTGGAGTTAATCCAATAAGGCTAGACAAATCAGCCTTTTCAGGCTCTGGGGCATCAGGCTGTTCGTAGCGCTCTGCACGACCAACAACATTACCGGCCTTATCCAGGATATCTCCGTCTTCATCAACAGCACGACCGACGAGTTTCTTGGCGTCTCCTTCGACGAGCTTGCCAACAGTGTTTTCATTCTCGTCTTCAACCCAGCCGTCTTTGACAACAACAAGACCCTCGAGACCGGCGAACGGCCCTTCCGATTCAGTTTCTTCAATAGGGATGGTCTTGGCCTTGCCAATGACATTTCCGCGGTTGTCCCAGAACTGGCCATTGGCATCTAAACTAGCACCGAACTTTGACAGCTTCTTGGGATCGCCTTCAATGAGCTCGCCGACAGGAGTTCCATTTTCGTCGACGATTTTGCCGAACTTGTTAACTTTGAGGCCTTCAAGAGATGAAAGTGGAGGAAGTTCAGGCACATTATCTTCGACCTGTTCTACGCCGTCTTCAGCTTCTTTAGCAGCATCATCGACGGCGTTCTCATCATCTTCTCCAACGAGAGCAACACGTCCGAGAATGTTTCCCTCGTCATCAATAACAAGACCGTTTTCATTCACGGTATTGCCAGCGATGTCCTCCAAGTTTCCGCTTTGAAGTTTGGCAAGCAAATTTCCATCTGAGTCAAGGACATCTCCGGCCTCGTTCACTTTTAGTCCCTCAAGAGAGGTTAGGTCTTTGGCGACAGGTGCAGAATCCGCCCCATCTAGTGTCTTGGGGACGTCGTCAGTAATTCCCTCAACGGCCTGCCCGGCTTCTTCAGCTTCTTCCTGCAAGGACTTCAGAGCAGCATCGGCCGCTTCGCCAGGAACGACTTCGACTTTGCCAATAACATTTCCGGACTTATCTAGAATCTCACCCTTTTCATTGGGCTTCTTTCCAGCGAGCTCCTTGGGGTCGAAGCCTTCGGCAACTTGTCCAATAACATCGCCCTCCTCGTCCAGAATATTTCCCTTCTTATTGATCTTCTTGCCCTTAAGAATATCAACTTGTGGAATAACATTGTCGGCTGTCTCGGCAACTGTATCTTTGACACCATTGGCTTGTTCAGTGACCTTCTGGGCGACCTCATCAGGCGAGAGAATTTCAACACGCCCGATCAAATCACCATCCTCGTCGACGAGTTCTCCTTCCGCGTTGACAGTCTGTCCAACAAGGTCCTCAGGATCTCCTTCGACAACTTTGCCGACAACGTTTCCTGCTTTGTCCTTGATCTCACCCCCCTCGGAGACAGGGAGGCCATCAAGGTCTGCAAGTTCGGGTAGGTTGTTTTGAGCTTCCTCGATCTTGCCTTGAATATCACCAGTGCCGTTTTCGGTAGTTTCCTGTATCTCGGATGTCTTGTCTCCGAGGGTCTTAACAGCTTCTTCAGGTGAAATAACTTCAGCACGACCAATGAGATCGCCATCCTCATCCACAATCTCACCAGCCTCGTTAAGAGTTTGACCAACAAGGTCCTCAGGATCACCTTCAATGATGCGACCGATGACATTGCCAGCCTTGTCTTTGATAACACCGCCATCGGAGACTGGAAGTCCGGCAAGATCTTCCAAACTAGGGAGCTGTTCTTTGACCTGATCAAGTGTCTCAGAGGCTTTGCCCTGGATATCCTTTAAGAGATCAACACGTCCGATGAGGTCACCATCTTCATCGACGATTTCTCCGTCCTCGCCGACAGTCTGACCGACAAGGTCATTGGGGTCGCCTTCCACGACTTCACCGAGAGGGGTTCCGGATTCGTCAAGGACCTTTCCTGATTCCCCAACTGGGAGACCCTTGAGGGCGGAAATATTAAGGGGGAGATTGTTGGCCACGGTTCCAAGAGTATCCTTGGCACCGCCAACAGCACCCCGGAGGCCACGAGCAAAGTTGGTCAGACCTCCAGCACGCTTGAAAAACCCCCCGGTAGTGGAACCCGAAGCTTGAGACTCGTTGTCTACAGGTCCCTGGCGCTGCTCCTTGAGCCCTGCGGTGGGGAGTTCTTCTTGTCCTTCCTCCTCTTCTTCCTCGTCATCCTCGGCAACGTTACCGGCAACATCTTTATCGTTTAATTCAATACCGGTGCCCTGTTCAAGACCCTCATCGTCATCTTCCTCGGTTTGTTGAATGTCGGTATCGGCTTCAGGCACAGGATCGCGCTGCTCGAGGCGCTTGTTCGGTGTGCTCTGCTTGCCAGTTGGGCGAGAGGGCAGATCAGATTTAGCGGCAGCGGTCTTCTCTGCAGCCGGGGTGAGGGTATCCTGAACCTTGCGTTTTAGTTTGCGGGGGGTTTTGGCCTTGGGTGTTTCTTGCTGTTGAACTTTGGGGGAGGAGCCCTTGACAGATGATCCCTTAACGGATGAACCCGGGCTCTTGCCTTTGGTAGGAGTAGAGGGGACTTTGGATATTCCTTGAGAAGACATTGGGATGGATGGTGTTGTTATTTCGGATTCAAGTAAATTTGATGGAGAGTCTAGGGTTGGGTGAATGTTATTTGTCGAGTAGTTTATCCAGGAAAGCGCAAAAGTGAGTAGATCCGCAAAATATCGCGTAACGAGCTCTTTAGAAGTCGTATTTAGTTATCGTCGTTGTTATCGGACCCTTGCATAATAAAAATATCCAAGAGAGCTTCTTGTATTTGGGTAGATATGTTGAGTAATCGCCGTATGGATTATCTCCAGCTTTTTGAGCTTGATAGGTTTTGTTGTCGAGTGTAGTAAGTAAAAATACAACAGGAAGTAAGGTGCAATCAGTGTTGTAAAATTGATTCGTTAATCATGAATTGTTCTAGAGCTTTTGATCATAAATCATGAGAAAGGAAATATAGAATCCTCTTCCAGGGGTAACGTCTCTCCCTTTAAGACATCCTAAGATGACTCCAGGCCAGACCTACGTCATTGTTTATTGCAGTGAAAACAACAGCAGCAACATCTGACGTTGATGAAGTCACAGGTTGATCGTACATGGCAGGAAAGCCAAGCCACACCGCTTCATTGGTCGGTTGACAGGTCGTTTCGCAGCGTACCCGGTAAGACTACGCGGGCTCAGCGAAATGGGAATTGGCTAGTGGGATGCTGTCAGTGGAGCATGACTCAACTTCGCGTCGTTGCCGATTCCGAGTCTATGAGTGGTCACCATGATGAGGCTGGTGTGTATAGAATCGCTATGCAATGGTTCAGATTTAGACAAAAGCTTACTGCGGGTGGAGATCCCCATGTTCCTCAATGGTAGTCAAGCCCACTAGATCATGGTTGCGTCAAGCGTGCATACAATCGTGGAAGGATAAGAAAGAAGCGGGAGCCTATCCAATACTCTGGCAGGGATGCTACTGCTTCTGCCACACGCCGTTGTAACACAGCCTTCGGTTCCGCTGGGGAAAACCAAGACGATGTGGAAAGGTGGATACATGGACCCATTATTGGAGGGGGGATTGTGGCAGATTTCCTTTGGCGCGGCCCGTCTACTTTTCAGGTAAGTAGACTGTCCTTCGAATCAATGAAAAAATAAACATTATTGAAAGTCCTGAGCTTTCAACCTCTAGTTAAGGCTGGTCTAGTAGATGTCGAGGATGCTCGCAAATATGTATGTGGCACGCAGTGGGTGCCCCCATACCGCATCAAAAACATGACAGTCGTTGCGCATGGTATTGTATAGGTACCGAGTAAATAAGTACAATATGAAGTCATGGCCTAGAAGAATGGCAAAAACCCATGTCCGCTAATATCATGGATGTGGGGAAGCCTAGTCAGACCTTGGCGGGCATGACGTGCGCTGACAGCGGTGCCAGTAGCCGTAGTTGCTATTCTCCGATCCGCTGTGATGCTATTATCACTCGCTCATTGGGCGATGCAAAAGTCAATCGAGCGTCTAAAAAGCAACGTTGAGAAATTATGGATGCACAAGGCCCGTGCAACTTAACGGTCTGGCAAGAAGCATCGAGATCGGGACTCCGATTGATGTAAATATAGCTGTGCTGGAGAAAGGCTGGAAAACATCGTGCCCAGCACGCCCACACAATTACAACAGATTCCGTAGCAATCAAGTTTGATTACTAGACACATCTCACGCGAGTGCAATCTAGAGTCGCGTCTCTCCACACGAGAGGTACTGGTACATCGCGTAAAAATCTCCGAAGGCGAGGTGGACCGGGCTTGACGTAATCTGGCTGGCTCTCGTTGGCTAACCGTTAAATTCCTGGTCGGTGCCGATCGCGTGGCGTTTCGTGCTGCAAAACCGGGCAGCGCATGAGTAGCTTCGTTCTAGCTGAGGGCAACGTCAATGGCGTTGGTATGCGAGATTCGATGTTGATGGGAGAAAGAAAGAAAGGGAGAAACGTGGAGGGAAGATTTGGGAGGAAGGAGGGACGCACTGGTCATGTGACCAGCGATCTGGCTCTTTCCTCTAATGCACAATTCACGAGTCGTCTAGCGTTATTGGTTACAATTGGATCAACATCTAGAGGAGAGGAGACAGCCAGCATTTAATTATAGAATATAACTCGAGGGACTAGTGAACTACGTGGGCTTCTCTCCAAACAGCACGCGGGCGTTGAAGATAGCTTTCCATGGATAACTGCAGGTGCATCTATAGACCAACTCTGATGCTGGAGATGCTGCGACCGTGTGATCCGTTATATAAATGCGCATCATATCCCCTTGCGATGGCCCGCCATGCATCAACAACCATATACCATACGTAGGAAAATTCAAAAATAAAGTAGATGTTGTAAGATGTTCTCGATTGACTTTTGCATCTAACTAACACTAATAGAAATTCATTTCGCTCATCATATGCACTCTGTTGAGGTACATAATTTAGAAAAAGGCTAGTCGTCCAAAGCTTTGTGAAGTCTCTCCCACCAGATAGTTCACAGGTTTTAGGAAGGGATCAATTTTCCAATCTTTAAAAGTCACGTCCGACCTTCTTGGCGGTGGTGGAGTTGGCTCCCATCTGCACAGCAAAGACACCACCAAAAGGACCGGCTTTGTTGTTGTTGGAGACCTTTACAAGGCAAAGGTTGCTAATGCCGTTGATCGTGCCGGTGCAAGAAGTACCTGCTGGAATTTGAACAGCAAAGTCCTGTTAAGGAAATTATTAGTCCGTTTTCTCTCAATGTCTATTAAACAAGGAGATATTGTGCATAAATACTTACATGGTCCTCGTTAACATTCCCAGCACGCTTGGTAAGGTCACCAATCATCCGTCCCATCAGGTTCCGCTTGTTGTTAGAAGCAGCAATGTTGCCGTGGTGGCCAGGTGGCTGGGTGCTGACAGTCGCCTGGTTGGCTTGAGACCACTTACCGGTCGCAGTCTCATCGATCAAGGCCTCTAGAGGACCAGCGCCGTCGGTGGTGACAATGTGGTAAGTACCCTGAACGGAACCACCGCTGCTAACCTGTGGCAAAGTATCACCGGATTGCGCCATGGCCTGCTTGAGGTCGCTGAGCTGGTTGTTACCATTCTTAGTGGTGTGGCCAAGGTCGTTATCGGTTCTGATGTTGTCCGAGTTGAAGACGGTGGTATCAACCTCAGTCTTACGGTTGGGGCCAGCCCCAGGAACAACTGCACCCATGATACCAAGAGCGGTTCCGTTTCCTCCAAGATCGCCGGTGATAACGGCAACTTTGCCGTGAGCAGAAACGAGTGGGGAGAGAGCGAGTGCGAAGAGTGCGACTTTAGCATACATTTTGGATTGATCGTAAGTTATCAAAAGTGAACGGTGTTGTTGTAATAACAATGAGTGACTTTGAGTCGAAGGATGAGAAAATGGTTGATTATTGTGTGAAAGATAGAATTGAAAGCTAACCAGTAGCTGAATCACGAGTCAATCGGATTCTGAAGAGTGACAAGAAAGACTGTTCTGTGTTGTTTGATTGATGCTGATGATGAAGAAAAATCAAATCTGATTGTCGAGAATCATCGTTGTTTATATACTTGAAAATCTTCCATTGCCACTTTACTTGGCATACGCCTAATTGCTAGCAGCATCCAAGTTCCTGTTTGAAGCTATTCCCATCTTTCATTGCATTCAACCCCGCCTAGCAACTTGTAACTGTTAACGCACAGTCGCGACAACCGAACACGAAGTCGAAACCTACCAAGTTGGAAAAGTATTGCGAGGATCAATGTACAAGACTCAAGGTGAGGCAGGAACTAGGCAAAAATAGACACTGTAGGGGATCTTGTGTCTCGACTACTTGGGAAGTATCTACGAATACGGTAAAAGGAATATTGGACGAGCTACTAATACCCCTCAACTAGTAAGCGAGAACTCATTTTAATCATTCTACTGCATCTATCGTTGCGAAAAGGCCCCTGCCGGCGCCAAATGTTGCTCGTTTTTAGCCACACTCAGACAATTGGATACTTTTTGTTGAAGCTTACTTTAAACTCCAGAATAAGGATGGGGTTGGTGGCTTGAATTATGCAATTCGATTTGGCGAGCTCTCCTGTAATATAGTCATCATTGCAATCGATAGGCTGTTGTGTGTTGCTGCCACAGCGACCCCTGTTCCGCAAGGTTTCATGTCTGTCTTACCCATGTCTTCGCCAGCCGGTTAGCCGTGCTCACGGCAATGCGAGCTGCAGTTTGCATGTTTTTCTGCCAATCTACTGTGATCATGACATTGCCGCTTAGTGATCTAGCGTCATCCATCAATGATTGTACTCCATCTTTTCATTAGTCCGGTTTAGGGACGCATGCTGAGAAGTATAACCCGAATCTAGACACTCATCTACGGCCACACTTCTACCGTGTGACTTAGCATATCTTAATGACATGCCAAATGTATCACAGGGAGACATGGCACCCAAGCATGAGACGACCAGTTTATTAGCTGTAGCATAATAAAGAAAACCCTTGACAATATTGGAGTTTGGAAATGGGGTGCTGTGCCGGCTTGGCGTAATTCTGTGTCCTGGTCCACGCCAAAAAAAAGAGAGGAAAGGAAAGGAAAAGAAAACTTAAAATAATCATTTCTCAGGTTTAATTTGGTTCAATTTGGTTTGGATTTGTTTGATTTTGAACCAACATGTTTTCGTAGGACCAGTATTGTCGCAGGTTCGCTTCGTCGGATCACAAATGATATTTTCACTCAGAAGTGGATCAGTGTGCAGTTATAAAGCGGCGCATGTAGTCTAGATCCCCTAATACAAAACCTGATCTTTATTTTTTCTGTTCTATGGAGTCCTATATTCGTATAGATATACATGTATAAGGTTATTGTATGATGAGTGTACTCAAGTCTTCCCATTGGTTGGTTTGGATTGATTCATGATCTGCGACCAGTAATTATCTAGTACCTACTTTCGATGTTGCTATCCTCTCTTTCACACCCTTTGAACTAGACTTTCCTCCCCCCTCCCTACTACAATCTATTGCTTTCCCCTGATGACTGAATCTAATTATAGGAACAGGTATAGGTAAAATAAACTGTAAGAGCGCCTGCGATAAGGCGAATTAGCCTTAGATTGGTCTGTCAATGAGTGGTGTGTTTATGGCTTAAAGACTAGTGCGTCGCTTGGGATTATAGGTATTCATACTAGCAGGGAACTCTACAGGTAGTACAACAGCTCGAAATTAAATAGCAACTTACGGTAGATCAATTTCTGTGTGATACCCTGTGAACCGCATATACTCAGGTCCACAGTGCAAACTTTTGACACTGGTTATGTATATATGACTGTTACAGTAATAATAATTGAATGACGAGAAATAGTTAGGCTACAATGTTGTGATAAATTATCAAATAGGCCAGAATGCAGCCACCGTTGTTTAGCTCCCTCCACTAAAATTAGGGGAATATATGATAGGTCCGGAACGTATCTGTATCGATTTAGCTGATACCCTAGGAATGAACCACGATTCTTAGCCATATCAAGCAGTAAAGCTCCCATGCAGTCGCATTGCCCCTCATTTTTCCGTCGTCCAAATCAACTTCCAGAAGGAAAGCCGGATTAGTGCAGTACTCACAGTCGAAATTTGAGTTCTTTTATACACGCGTTCATAAAAATCTTCCTTCCTTTGATATTTATAACTAGCACATGATTCCCAAAGAAGCGAAGATGAATAGAGTTAGCCATGTCTGCTAAAACAGTCTGCCCTGTAGGCGCCGATAGTCAGCTTGGCCCGCGAGTAGCCTTCGATTGTCGCGCTTTTGATTTCACACTTCTTTTTGAGGATATCTTTTTCGGCGCGCTCCCAGCAGCAGTCTTTTTGCTCATCGTCGGTGTGAGAATTCGCTATTTGCAGGGCTCGATAGTCAAGGTGATCGGGCATAAATTGGCGGTTTCTAAATTGGTATGTTGATGTCTAGAAGGTGGGGAAAACACGAGAGGCTGGGAGCAAGGCTAGCATTCACTAACGGCGAAATATCTCAAGAGCCTTCTAGCGCTTCTTTTTATTCTACAGATACTGTTCACAGCATTTGTATTAGAGACGCCTTCTATTCATACCAAGGCATCGGCATCTTCCGGAGTATTAAACATCTTTGCGACTTTTGCAGCCGTTGTCCTATCATATCTCGAAGACCAACGATCTTGTAAGCCGTCGGATATACTTGTCTTCTATTTCTCTGTTCTTGGTCTTTTAGAAATACCTCGTCTACGTTCATTATGGATGACTCCTTCTGTCGAGGCCTGTCAGGGATTGTGGACAGCAATATTCGTCGTGACTATCAGCATTGTGTTACTGGAATCGGCTACAAAAAGCAAATTTCTACGTCCCACATATCTTACAGTATCTTCTGAAGAACTATGTGGATTTTGGGCACGGTCCTTCTTCGTCTGGGTGCTACCATTATTCCGTACTGGATATAGCACTGTCATTAGCATTAGTGATCTACCTCAATTAGACCATGACCTAAAGGGGAATACCGCAGAGGAGAAACTACAGGGCACCTGGAAAGAAGCTAAAGGTCGGCGTCGACTCATCAAGGCACTTTTTTGGGCCTACAGTTGGCCAATTCTCGCAGCTATTGTGCCGCGGGTTTCTCTTATCGTATTCACCTTATGCCAGCCGTTTTTGATCGCTGCGACCGTGAACTGGATAGGATCAGAGGTCACCGAAGAGACTAGCAAGTACGGACAGGGGCTGATTGGAGCGTACGTGCTTGTGTATTCGGCCATGGCGGTAGGTATACTCTCAGACGTAAGAACGGGTTATGTGCTGATTTGACCATTGAAATGTTGCGATAGATTACGACGGCTATCTATAATCATCAAATAAATCGCCTCGCCACGATGATTCGAGCCGGGTTAATTTCTATGATTTATAAAAAGACCACACTACTCAAAGCTAATGAGTTCAAAGGTGCAGAAGCTATTACACTTATGGAAACTGATGTTGACAAAATCATGACGGCTGTCAAGAATTTACACGAGTCATGGGCATCCATACTTCAAGCCGGAGTAGCAATATGGCTTCTTGAGCGCCAAGTATATGTAGCCTGCGTGGTACCGACCATCGTTTCTTTAGGTGAGTTTGCTAACTGAATTTTCGTGTTGGCTATCCTAACCACTCTGCTCACCAATTAACATGGTCCTAGCTTGTGTTTATCTCACTGGCCCCGTTTCTTCTCGAATAGGAGCTACCCAAAAGGCGTGGGTTGAACGAGTTCAACAAAGACTTGCTATCACGTCTACTATGCTGGGGAATATGAAAGCAGCTCAGATGCTGGGACTTAGAGAGGTACTGTTTAAGATCATTAACGACTTCCGGGAGCTGGAATTACTTGAATCATCACGCTATAGGAAGCTTCTAATTATAGTTGCTGCGTTATGTAAGAGAGTCTTACTTCGAAGACCTATAAGCAAAGCTAATCGATTGCAAAAGCCAATGTACCACCAGACTTTGCTCCGTATGCTATGTTCTTGACATATGGAATTATCGCTATCGTTGGGAAGAATCAAACATTGCTTACTGCCCAAGCATTTGCATCGCTTTCTTTAATATCGCTCGTCACTTCTCCTCTATTGATATTCGTGCAGTCGATCCCCAATATCAGGCAAGCATCGGGTTGCTTTGAGCGTATTCAAGAGTTTTTCCTTAAGGATATTGTAACTCCACGACGATCTTGCTTGGCTATTGATGACGAAAATTCGGGTGAGACCTCGCATGAAGGGATCGAGATGTCCTCCATGCCGACGAATAATTCGGTAGAGACGCAATTGGTTGAGTTTAAAGACACAAGCATATCTTGGTCAAAGGACTCCGAAGTCGTTCTACTGAACTTGAATATCAGTATTCACTCGAATAAAGTCATAATGATTGTCGGGCCTGTTGGATCTGGAAAGTCTCTCTTTCTAGAGAGCATGATTGGTGAAACTACAATCCGGCGAGGTACAATTAAAAGCGCACTACTACTGCGAGCTGCATATTGCCCTCAAACGTCTTGGATTATAAACAATACCATCCGCCATAACATCACGGGTGGATCTGATTTCGATCAGAAATGGTATGATTTTGCCGTTTCATCATGCGCACTCCAAGACGATCTGGATAAATTTCAAAATGGAGACCAGTACGAAGCAGGAAGTGATGGGAATTCTTTGAGTGGTGGGCAGAAACAACGAGTGGTGAGTCACAATCTCATTAGAACGACCCTCGAAGCTTGGGATCTGATCAACCATACCTTTTGGAAATATCAGGCTCTTGCGCGTGCAGTGTATTCCAGACTTCCAACCGTAATTCTCGATGACGTTTTCAGCGGACTGGATGCTAGAAGCGTTAATTTTATTACGAAAAGTCTTTTCAGCCTGAATGGCTACTTTCGTAAATCGAAAACATCCGTGATCCTAGCAACGCATAATCGTGAGCCATTATTTTTATTTATTAAATGGACTCATATTAATGAATTGGTGGCAGTAAACCTTCTTCCGTACGCGGACGAGATTATTGTGTTGAATGATGGAAAGATCGCCGACCATGGCTCATATAGGGATATAAGTGCACGTAATCCAGAAATTATCGCTGACTCGACGTTCAAGGAAGAGAAAAACATCACTTCGCCCTCTGAAGATGTCATTATCGATGCAAGTGTTGCTCAAGTCCAACGTCAAGCTAACAATGGGCAAGATGGGAGATTGAAGGAAACCGTGGATGTCCTACGCAGAGATGGGGTCTGGGCAGTATACAAGTACTATGTCCAAAGAGCTGGGCCTTATGTTTGTGCGGTGTATTTTGGCGTGGTAATCGCTCAAGCCTTTACGGCGCAATATGCCAGTAAGTTTTCCTACAACGTCTGCAGATAGTCTTTGAGTTTGAGGCTTACTTCCGGCGCAGCTGTATGGCTTCAAAAGTGGTCAGCCGCGAGTGAAGAACATCCAAATAATGATATAGCAATGTATCTAGGCATATACACCCTTATATTTGCCTGTTCATTCATAAGTTTTCTCATCAGCTGCTGGCAAGATACCAGTCAATGTGACCAATCAAAATGGCGATGCTAACCATGGGTTAGGTTAATACTGATGAAAATTATAACGAATACTTCTCGTGGCCTACATACTGATCTTCTGAAAGCAACCCTTGGGTACGTAACCTGTATCCTTCAGATGAAGATACTAGATTTAACATTCTTCAGTGCCCCCATCAGCTTCTTCCAGACGAACGATAACGGGTCTTTGGTCAATAGGTATTGTACCTATCAAGAGTAGACAGTAATGATTTAAAATTAATCGGCATGAAATAGGTTTAGTCAGGATATCAGCCTGGTCGACAACCGACTTCCTATATATGCATATAACTTCACATCAGGTAGGGACCATTTCCCTAAACATTTGATTGAAATAGACTGAAACTGACTTCAAATGTTTCTGTCTAGGCGTTGCAATGTGCATTGTGATTTTGGTATTTATATGTGTAATGGGTAAATATTTCGCAATAACCATTCCATTTCTCGTCGCCATCCTATGGGCAGTCCAACTCTATTACTTGCGCACATCACGGCAAGTTCGACTGCTTGACATTGAAGCGAAAGCACCGCTCTATTCACAGTTTATGGAAACTGTTGCTGGGGTTTCCGTAATCCGAACAATGAACTGGCATGCTCAATTTCAAAGCCAATGCGAAGACCTACTCAATCGCTCTCAGAAGCCACTGTACATGCTATATTGCATACAGCAGTGGTTGAAACTTGTTCTTGACTTGATAGTGATGGCAATGGCTGTCATTATAGTGACAACAGCGACTCTTCTGAATGGCCAGATCAGCCCTGGTGCTATTGGTGTTGCGTTGACCCTTGTCCTGATGTTCAATGAAAACTTGACCAATATGATACAATCATGGACCCTTACAGAAATTTCAATTGGTGCCGTTGCACGTATTCAACGGTTTGCTACAGACACTCCCTCAGAAAAACGCCTGGTATGCAATCCTGCTCCTTCCTGCCATGAATGGCCATCCAAAGGAGCTGTGCAATTTGCAAATGTCACTGCTAGCTATAGGTGAGTTACAAATCTTCCAAGTATTATCGGAGAGATATATAATATACAAGAGGCTGAAATTTCAAAATCCAGCGAGGACATGTCGCCAGTACTCAAAAAAGTGTCTTTAACCATTGAGCCCGGCCAGAAAGTTGCCATCTGCGGCACATCTGGAAGTGGAAAGACATCATTGATACTTAGCTTGCTTCAAATGATTGATTTGCAATTCGGAAAAATTTTTATCGACGGCATTGACTTGGCGACACTGGATCGAGACGACATTCGTGGACGGATAAGTGTCATCCCACAGGAACCATTCTTCATACCAGGTAGTCTCAAGTTTAATCTTGATCCTCATAATAGAGTCTCCAATGAAATTATAGAATCCTCACTCAATAAAGTCGGCTTGTGGGCTCGAGTTAAGGCTGATGGTGGACTCAAAATGGCCTTTATCGCATCCGACTGGTCCGTGGGCGAAAGGCAATTATTTGCTCTGGCGAGGGCATTGGCTTTACGAAGCCCCATTCTGATTCTAGATGAGGCCACTAGCAGGTGAGTTACAATTTACTATGGCATCCTTCCTGTTTCAAAAAGTTTTGTTCTCTGATTATTAACGCGACGCCAGTGTGGATTGGGAGACGGAAGCGACAATGCAACAAATTATCGACAAGGAATTTGCCGCCAAGACAGTCATTGCAGTTGTTCATCGCCTAAGATTTATTTCCCAGTATGATAAAGTCGCTCTTTTAAAGAGTGGGGAGCTGATGGAGTACGGGGGTCCTCAGGACTTGCTGAATATGAACTCTGAGTTCAAAAAATTGCATGAGTCCGTGCAAATGAGTCGATGAATACTTCTCCGCTACAGTTGGGCTGCGCTATCATTTCGATGACTTAAAAATTCACAACTAGGTGGGCGTACTCTACTAAAATCAGCCATCTTAAATGTAATGCTGTTAATGTGACAAACTATGTCACGTTTCATTTCAACCTAACTTCTCCTCAACCAACTGAGCCGTCTGCAAAGCCTAATAGAGCACCCCCCCCCTTGAACTCTTAACTGGGGTATATTTAGAGCTATATTGGAACCCTGGGGCTTCTTTGATTTTTGTTTCATGTCAAAATAAGTATACTTTTGTTCAGATATAGACGCGCTTCATCACAGAATGATCAGGAACGCTCAGCCGATGTTATAAGTACAGAAATTGTGGCAATAAGTCAGGCTCACACGTTGTTCAAAAGCAAGAGTAAACCAATATTATTTAAATGTTATGAACTACTAAAGTAAATAAAAAGAATGGAAATAAACGGCGTATTCCCCTCAAGTAGACCAGCATCGACGTTTTCCGGCCGTTCATTGATACCGGTCGTGTAAGGTAATGTATTATTACAGATCTAGTATCTGCGTCTTACGGCCGATACACCATCCCCCCTTCTTGTCCCCATTTTTTCTCACCAATATTAAACAATCTGATCTATCAAAATGCATGGTAAAACTTAAACTCCTATGAATAATGGGGCTATTCCAGAAGGTTTTCGAGGATTCGGCGAATGAGAGCTTAATATCTAAAGTACGTATACAGATGCCCTCATTTCACGCTCAGCCTCACGGGAACAGCCCCAGACCATTGTAGTTTTCATGTTTATAATAGTCGAGCTGAAACTCACCCATTCTTGGCAGAAATAGAAATTGAATATAAAACTTACGTCTTGGATATTTTCTTTTCTGTCCTTCGAGTCAACAAATCCATACATTCCTTCACACTATTCAAAGTCTATCCCTTTAAATTCTTTGCCTCCGAGCGCAGCATTATTTCGGGACGATAGAGAAAATGTCTTCTAACTGTACAAAGGTCGGACCTGACTGCCCTGCAGATGGCTCGGGCCTCAGCTATCCTCCCAGTCTGGTAGCCAGCATCATCTTCACAGTTATATTCTGCACTTCTCTCGCAATTCACATGTTTCTGGGAATAAAGCTGCGAACATGGAGTTTTCTTGCCTGTTATATTTTAGGATCAACGTCTGAGGCAGTGGGGTATATCGGACGTATCTTTCTCCATAGTAATCCTTACAATCTGTCTACGTATGTTACTCCATAAATGTGCATAAAGACAAAGTCATCGCTAATTCTTGCCGTCACGAAGTTTCCTTGTGCAAATTGTTTGCCTCACAACGGGGCCAGCATTTTATTCAGCAGGGCTATATCTGTGCCTAGCAAGAATGTATGTAAACTTTCTCATTCCCTTGTCTTTCCTCGATTTAGCTCTAACCCTCTACAGCATTGTAGTTTATGGAGAGAAGATTTCACGTCTACGCCCTATATGGTATACTCGGATTTTTATCACCTGTGATATCATCTCTCTATCTCTGCAAGGTGCTGGAGGTGGGGTAGCTTCATCAGCCACAAAGCAATCGACTCTGTCAATGGGAAATGATATTATGCTTGCGGGGTTAATCTTTCAGATCTTCACCCTTGCCTTATTTGCGATTCTCTGCCTCGAGTTTGTCTGGCGCCTTCGTCGCAACTCCAACAATTTGAAGATCGAGTTTCAGCATATTCGAGAAAGTAGACAGTTTCGAGGTTTCCTCGTGGCTGCTGTGGTTACATTTGTGACGATCTTCATTCGCTGCGTCTACCGTGTTGTCGAGCTTGCAGGTGGATGGAATAACAAGTTGCAACGAGAAGAAACTCCGTATATTATTCTGGAATCAGCGTTAGTGTTTCTACCTAGCTTTTCTTTCCTTTCTACTGACCTCTAACACTTATGTAGGATGATTTCGGTTGCTGTGTTCGCGTTTTCTATCTTTCACCCTGGTCGGGCATTCGGGGATACGTACGACAATTTGCATACCACATCCAAAAGAAATTCAAAAGAAGAAGATGCTGAAATGAAATTAATGCCCCCACCGGTTGGTGCCTAGGGTGTTCTCGTGTGTGAAATCGGTTTAGTGTGCGAAGGAGGGAAGCAATAGACGTAAAGGCCTTTCATGGTCTGTAATTTAAGGTACTAGTTCGTTATAGATATTATTTCGTTATCCTTCAATAGAATTCTAAATTTCCTTCCACACTGATCAGATCCACGAGTATTTGGCGTCTATGATGTCATCTCGATTTCAACTCTAACCCTTTCCCTCCCTCTCTCGTCAAACAGTGGCCGCCGTCTCTCATCAAGTGCTTGGATCGATTCCAGGCCACCTGGCATTTTTCTCCTGTAACAGCCTCTGATCTCTTTCTCAACAGAATCCTCAAAAACGCTTCACAAAAGTATTGGATAGGTCTGAAATGGAATCTTAGTACATCCTACTTTTTACCACAAATAAAGCAGCTTGAATCAAATCAACAACATCTGCGAAAGTAAGTTCATTGTCATAGTATATTTACGGAGCTCTGAGTTTACATAAAGCTTGTTATCATGTATATAGTGAACGAGCTTTTAATTGCTAACATTTTAACTCTGTGCTTACTATTTTGGTACCCAGAAATACATTCCTACGGAAGGTTGCCTTTGAAAAGATGGTTGAATCTAGACAGCAACAACCTCAAACTGAGGATACTAAATCAGGCGAGATGCAGTTATTCCCGAGCTATCGTGGAGGTAATTTAGCTCTAGCGCTCATCGGCCAAGCACGAGGTAAAGAGTTGAATGCTTTTGAAAATCACTTAAAAAAGGTAGTGGATGCATACCGTGGAGCTTTCATACAAGCACTGGTAGCAGTCTGGGAGATTCACAAAGCAGGAAAAAACGAAAAAGCAAAAGCGGTACTGCTGTGGAAGCTACGAGATCGGTGCGATGAACTCAAAAGAATATGGCCAGGCGATATTCTAGGATGGTGGCTGCCTTTGTGGGACTCTAGGCTACTGACAAAATGAAAGATCAAAAGGCGAAAATACAAGGAATATAGGAGGAGATGGACTATTTTCATGACTCGTGAGCCCCCCGAGAATTTCTTTCCCCTACCCTAGTAGTTGACTTAGCGAAATAATGGATTTGCCGAGAATAGTATGATCTCCTAAGGACTAGTAAATTGAGATGAATTTCATTTGTAGTTCCTCAGCACAGTATATTACTACAGAGTATTGCTCACAACGGGTTCGCGCTACTTATGAAGGCTGTATATGACTTGTTCACATCGGTCGTTTTTACTGGCGAAACAAATTGAAATGAAACGTGCTAACTTAGTAGGTTCACTTTTGACCTCGAATCATCTCAAGCAGATAATCCAAACGATTAATACTTCGTAGCCGTCGATGCGGTTCGTTCTTCATCCTATATAACCTTATCTCAGGAGGCTTAGAGTATTCCGCGTCAAAAGCCAAAACACAGCGCGGAAATGGCGGAACAATTCAATATTTATTAATAAGCTTAATCGATTTTCAACAGCTTTACCTTTCTAACGGCCAATAACTCAACAATTATTAAGAATAATTAGAGCACGCACCACCTTGAGTTATTAAATAATTAATTATACATCTTGTCCAGCCTTCTCAGCTAGTTAATAGTCATAGAGCACTTCAATAAAGCGACTTCGCTGGCATGGCTTCGCCACGGTTCTTTCGTCAATATAGAGCGCCTTTACATTTTAAATAAAATGCACACCACCTAAATAGAAAAAATTAACATTAAGGAATCAATTAAAGTCACATTAAGGGTGAGAAAATAGGTATCAAAGGAAAAGGTATAACCTTAAAGTTATATTTTTTAACTATTGAAGTTTATATGGGAGAATAGAAGAAGCAGTTTACTCACCTATTTCAGGCATCGCGCCTCAGCCAAAAAAACTGCGGAGGCACTAAAGGACATGGCATAGACGATAGCGAGGGCAGTGAAATCGTTCATCGACTTACGTCTGAGATACTGAGATAAAAAAAACCGTTAACATTGAAACCGTACAATGTAGACAATTCTTGACTGACTCGCCAGTTCTGGATAATAACCTTCTAGTTTTAAAATCCTGTCATATTTCGATTTAAGTGACATTGTTTTCATATTATCTAAGTAGGTGTTGTGACAGGGGAATGTGGCTCTAAACCTTACATGGCAGAAGATAGTGAGCGTGCAGCATTCCCCTCCCCCCTCCTCCCCTGGGGACGATGGGGGTCAGGGGGTCCTTGTAGGACTTGTCCAATAATAGTTGGCAGTTGCAAAACGAAGACAGGTATTAGCCAGCCTAAGCCCAAAAAATATTCACAGCCAACACAAATCTCCGATAAATATTTCGCAGTCCTTACTGAATTGGGTAAAGTGAGAAGTCCAATGCATGCGTCTAAATATTTGGCACAGCCCAGTGGGATTTAGTTCTATTTTTGTTTTACCAGGATTATGAGAATAATCTTACTTGCATTTGTTCAAACCTTAAGCGCATCAACGGGGAGTATGTTGGAACAGTCGATATTGTCGACTGCAGATGCCTTGAGCTGGTGGACAGATGTGATTGGTGGGTAGATGCCTCCACATATGAGCACTGGATATGGCTAGCGTTGGAGCGCTACGAGAAGGAGGTCTTGGCAGCTGATAGAAACGGAGACAAAAGAGATAGTTTTAGCTGACATGGTCAGTCTGTCTCGCTTGGTCCAGGTCCTGAACCAAGGTGGCTTAGTTGCTATATCAATCAATACAAGAAAGTCGGTGTGAAGACACCCCTAAAGACACACTGCCTCGGGATACATAATTCAACGCTCCCTAGAGTAATTGAGGGGTAGAATGGCCGCAAATTCCAACCACGATGTGGACGGTAATGCTCTGGCATCAAGAGCCTCATCTCAGGAAACGTCTAGCTCTTTTATGGAGCAACGCCAAGCCAAAATAACGACAAAGCCCCACGAAAGACGAAGGCGGCACAGAGTTATTAACTCATGTTTAGAATGTCGAAGGCGAAAGTTGAAGTGTGATAAAGGGGTTAGTGTTGTTCTTGTCACACTGCAGAATGAAAACCATGGTGATTAATAAAATATTCCCAGGAAGTATGTGTGAATTGCCGGACTCATGGCCGCCAATGTATTTACATTTCAACAGCAGCTGGAGACTCTCACCTTCGTCAAAAGCTTGCTCAGGTGAAAGATGCCAGAGACTCACTTGACAAGGTTTTGCTTAGCACCACTGCTGAGGGAGCTGCAAAAGAGCAGCAATCTCGCCGAGACCAGCTTTTGCAAAACTCCAATACGCCAATTGCAAGTGTCGAAGGAGAACTCGATGGCAATGGGGCCGGCAATTCGGACGACGAGAGTTTTCTGGAACCCACACCACTCGCTATTCCAGACGCAGCCTACGCCGCTAATGAAAGCGATGAATTTGATGACCTCGGATTCCTTTTAGGCCGGATGAGGCTGGGGGATAGAGTTGGTGGATTGTATCGTCCAAGAATTGGAGATGAGGTAAGAAGAAAAGACTCTAATATGTTTCATGTTCTTGTTGAATACCAGTCTCTTAGATTGGCCAATCGCTTCACAATCAGTCACCTCGAAGCAAAGCGGCTTTGAAAACAACAAAACAACAAATAAATTCGGCAGCGTCCTCAAGCCGCAATTCCTTGGAGCCGCCGGATGTATTTGCCGTCCCCTCAATGGCTGTAATACTCGGTGCAACTCCATCAGATGGCGAATGGATAGCATTACTCCCCTCAAGAACAGTCTCTGACAGACTACTTGAACATTACTGGTTTTCAGTTCATCCAGTCGCGCGGACACTACATAGACCTACTTTTGCGCAACGTTATGAGACGCTTTGGGAATTGATGGATGCTCGAGCAGATATCTCCGCCTCTCTCGGTGCTATCGTATTGGCTGTCCTGTTTTCTGCCGTCGTAAGTATGGATTCAGAGGATGTTTCCATCCGCATTTCCTCTTCTAAACAAGAACTATGCAGCCGACTACAACTAGGAGTCGAGCTAGCACTCAGTCAAGCTAATCTGCTGCGATCAAACAAGATGGAAACCCTTCAAGCTTTTGTAACATACCTGGTGAGATTTTCCTGTTATTTTTCAATTGAGACTTCTCAAATACTGATTTGATTTCATAGCTTCCAACTTGTCTTGACATATCCCGTGCCCATTCTGCATTGGTTGGCTTAGCAATTCGCTTGGCCGAATGTATGGGGTATCATAGAGATCCTTCTGAATATGGGTTTTCTCCCTCTGAGTGTCAGGTGAGGCGGCTGATCTGGTATCAAATATGCTATCTGGACTTGAAGACAAGCGACACACAGGGACCTCGGCCCTTTGTTCAATCAAATGGGTATTCAACGAAGCTCCCTCTTGAGATAAATCCCCGTGCAGCTTCGTCTTCTCCAACTCCTGGTCCAGTGACAAGATGGAGCGAATTGGTCTTTTCTGCAATAAGATTCGAGTGCCAGGAAATGCAACGCTCTTGTTTAGTCATGAGAAAGCGCATCGATCTCAAGAAATTAAGTCTTATAGAAGTCATCTCGAAGATCGAACGGTTCAATAACGAGATGCACGAAAAATATGATTCAGCCCTAAATGAAGAACCTCAACAACCATTGCAACACGCGGCACGAGTGGTAATGAAACTATTCATCAGTCTTCTCTATCTCGCACCTCTACATCGGTATATGAATAGTGTCACATACAGCATGCCTGACCGGTTGCGCCAAATCGTCCTAGTAAAAGGCACTGAAGCACTCGAAGCTGCTCTAGAATTGGAGACAGCGCATGATCTTCGTCCATGGGCTTGGTATAGTCGTGCATATCAGCAGTATCACACGGCACTGCTGTTATTATTCGAGGTCTTCACATTCCCACTACGAAGAGAAGCAGATCGCATCTGGAGGTGTCTTGACTTCATCTTTGCCGGCCCGCTGGCAAATTTCACAGATCTGCCCGCCCTAGGAAACCCTCCAAAATATCATGAAGTTCTAACTCTAAGAGAAGCCAAGGGACGATATCTTTTATGTGCTATTAGCACAGGGATGCAGGAATACAGCAGCCGGAGAGGTTTAAGGTCACCTGTGACAATGACAGATTCTATGATTCTTGTTTCACCGCGAAAAGCTGGTGAGGATTCTGATCCCAGTCGACCCCTCAATTTCGCACATGGAATGCCAGCAGATATCCTACCACGTGTGGCATCCCAGTTTAATACAAGAGATATTGCTTCCGAATCCAATCCTTTTAACGTCGAAGTTTCATTGGAACAACACGAAGATGGTACGATCAACAATAAAGATATACCACAATTCCTATGGGCACCAGCCCTGGACACACCTATTACACTGCACGCCGGTCACCAGGTTACTTCTGACTTTAGTCATGTTGATACTTCAATTCCCGGACCTGGTTACCTACATCATACCACAGTGGGATCGCAAACTACTTCTACTTCAGCATATTCTCAGCCAGGCTACATCGTAGGCCCCGGGCAGGAAATGCTTGATATCGATTGGGTAAGTCCATGCCCGCTTCAGGTGCCAAGCCGCTGTGGCGTGCTTTTCCTTCCATTTTAGGTCAATGCTAATTCAATATTGAAAGGGATTGTGGGATACAATGTTCCCTCCAGGGGTTTTCGATGGAAATCTCGATCTGTCTGATGTCGATATGGAAGGATATGCTGTTGTTTGACCACACGTCCATTTCCATCTCTTCGAAATATTTTCGAATGTATAGCGTGGGAAATTCCATAATTCCGTTTAACCCCTTGTTTAATTTAAAGATTGTGCAAAAAGCTTGTGGTAATCAACAATTTTAGAAAACACATTAATCTATAATTACTTGCAATCCAACAGTTATGTCAATAAACTTCGAGGCACTCCTCCCTGCCCTTGAAAGAATCACAATGCACTCAACAAACAATGAAAAAGATCCCATCAGCTAACCAGATTCGATGTACTTGGCTCGAACAGTAGAACCAGATATCTAAACGTACCTGTCAAGAAATTCATGCAGTCAGATATTCTAGGCACCAGAGCGATCCTTAATCCAACTCAAAGTTCCGTAAATAGTATAAGAAGTAACAACGGTCACCTGTGGAACAAGCCCCAGAAGGAGATAAATCACCCAGCTCCCGTTTGCGGGGTCATATTTACTAGGAACCGTTTTTACAGACTGCGTTGATAGTGTTTCAACCATATTGAGGTTAAAGCTGTATAGAAGCGAGTATATAACCCTGACGAACAGCAAAGGCAAAATGAGGACCAGCATCATGGATTCTGGAACAAACGACCCTGTTTCAAATCCGCCGTGAGCTCTTTTGCTTCTCGTTTGATGACACTGCTTCAATAAAACAGTACCATAGAGAGTCGCTATAGCCACTAGGAATAGCACCGATGAGACTTTGGAAAAGGTGACACCGCTTTTATAGTCGTCCGCGTTGGTTTCCCCGGTCGAGCTATCCGGCGATCTCTTGACACCGCCGTATATACCCAGAACAAGACCACACACAATGATGGGGTGGATCAGGCGCAAAACTATAGGGATGAATTTTCCTTCGCCCTCGCCATTTTGATTCCGGGATTGCAAGGGAAGGTAAGAGTAGTAGTTTCGTTGGGTCTGGTTACTTTCAACAGCAATATCCTGGTTTCTTGGTGATAGTGGTAGTCGTCGTGATACTGATGTGTTGACAAAAGAAAGTGTCGCTGAGAGCAAGGGCCCAAGGGCAATTTGGTTGAGGATCTGTGATGCAATCTGCAATTTCACGCTACCACCCGTACTGTTCGTATTGCTGCTGTCGAGATAAATAGCAATGGCTGGTCCAGCAATTTTGGCTGGGTGACTGTCAGATTTCTCTTTTATGATGGAGATATGTTTTACTTACCAACAGTAAATGCATTTAGAAACAGCCAGGCTGTTTGTTTCTCCCTTCTAGTGAGACAAAGATAATAGACAGCGAGAAAAGAGACCAGAGGGAATAGCAGAATGTAAATGACAAGTTCGACGCAGGACAAGACTTCGTGTGCCTCCATCCTCTCTACTTCAAAAGTGTCGGAAGATCTATTTGAGAGAGAAGTTGGACCGAAAATGGTGATTTCGCTCTCAACAAATGGATGTTAAAGGGCCACTCGAGCTTGAGGATGTCAACAAGAAACAAAATATAACATCAAGGAACTAAAAGTAGCAATAAATACCAAAGCTCGACACCCTTCCCCCAATTTTAATTACGGTTTCCCTTTTTTGTTTAAGATCATTTTTACATATATTTCGGACGTCGTACGTAACAATACCAGTTCATGTATGTAAGACGGTATCGGCCGTAACAAGTGCTCCCGAGCACCTCCTATATCAATCAATTATTTCTCCACCAACTCTAGTCCAAGTTAAAATATACTTTATATATTTATTTTACGTACATAAAGCTCAATAGCAGTTTCTAAAAGAGGAAATGATATTCTAAATACTTGAATCTAGTGTTTAATCTAGACCCGAGCTGAATGAGGCCGAGCTGTTGATTGTAGGGTTGAATTCATGTTCTGTGTAGCTAGTTTTTACAATATAGATGGAGGAGACTATGTGCAATCATTCTTAGAAGGAATATTTACTTATTTAGCCGAAATAATCCAATTTAAACAGGATCACAATAACAGTAACAGGCTCGGTCTCTCCCTGAAACAACCGACCTAAATATCAATCGATAATCAACCCAACCGCTCTAACTTCTTCTCCAACCTATGACGAGTACGATCATGGCGCCCGCCACCGTGGTGTTTATCCTTCAGTGCATGTTCCGCTGCATTAGCCAACAATGCCCCAACCACACCACCGCCAATTGTACCAAGTGTCCCATGTCCAGATTCTTTTCCAAAATGGTGACCAGCCATTCCACCCTAGAAATCAGAATTCTTAGTCTCGCATGTAATACTATCAAGTTTCCATTTATTCCACCTCCAGAGAGCGGATAAAACAGATGAAGCAATACATACTCCTGCGGCTCCTAGAATTGTCGCTCCAAGTCCTCGTTCTCCATCTGGCTGGGACATTTCAGGTTCTCTCTTGTAGTCCACGGACTGAGGCTGAGTGTAAGGCATATTTTGTCCTTGTGTTGGTTGCCACTGGTGCTGCTGTTGTTCTTGCTGTCGAAAGTCCTCTTGATTGGAATACGAGCTCTGCAGATTCTTCTCCTATTTAGTTCAACATGTCCCTCTGGGTGGTTAAGATGTAGAGCCTACTTACTACTTCATCTTTCTGAATTCCAGGAAAGTCGTTACTACGTTGGGGATTTTCCTGATACCACTGGCCTTCGGGGCCTGTGCTCTGATAATATTCTCGGTTCGACATTGTTATGGATTTTGGAAATAAAACTGCTATGGAAGAATTATAATAAAATAGTAAATTAAAGATGGAGCACCAAATCTTATAATCGGTAATATTTAAACAAAATCTAATTAGACTCGCTCTGTTGCGCATCTTAACGGTATTTGAGTACAACAGTTGTACCCCTATGGCAAGCAATGTGTGTTCCGGGGCCAATCCACTACGGCCGAGAGAGATCCAAAGGGAAGTCCTCAGCACATCGCTTTCGCTAAACCATGGAAAACATGCGATACGGCCGGTATGAGGGTAATTAAATTCTCTCGCGAGAAGATCGATGCCAAGTGTATTGCCAGGCTTCGGTAGAGAAATTAGTAACTGTGCTTTACATGATGGGTGGGTTAATTTAACCAGGTATGATAGCGGCGTCTACCTCGTATTTTTTCCGTTCTGGTTCTCACCATCTCTAGGGGTTCCTAGGGTAGCATGGTGGTTAGTGCCCCTAGATTGATGCCAGCCCCTGCTGAATAGGAGTATATATGGTTGTCTAATTTGTTAGTAGGGCGTAGTGCGCAGGTGGCTGATGAAGCTGAATCCTATAGAGAATAAAAAGCCTCATCTATTGCCATCTTTATTCTAAACAGCTTAATAAAAGCTACGGCATTTTTATAAAGGGAATTGTCTTAGAAATATGAGTTAGGTCCCTCTCTCTCAAGTATGAAAAAAGAGCTGATCTGTTAGTGCTGGAAGACCGGTTGAGAGGTTTCTTATTGATTTTGAAGGGTAATGTATATCCATTTAATTATGGTATTAAATACTGGAGGATAATAAAATAGGGATGAATGTGGAACTCATGTGCCTTGGCTGAAAAATGTAGGGCTGAACCTCTAGAGCTATACCGAGTTAGAATTATTGAGGAAATCGCTTACATGCCAGAGAGCGGAATATTGTTAATGTGTGCTATACATAAATTATATGGGTATATAGATTACGAGGGCAAGATGTACATTGGTAGGATGAGTCCTTCCTATCCATATTAACATTGAAGTTCCGCCGGCCCTCTAGGCTCAGATGCGAGTATAAAATGATCAATCAATCAATCAATCAATCAATCACCATCTCTAGGCAATACTTTTTCGTGTACTCCCCGGTTAAAATAATAGACGATGTTACCATACTTTCCACGTGATTACTTTTTGAAAATGTACACGTATTCGTCAAATCTTTAGCACAATTTCTCGTAGATGATTTTAACTTCAATTCTAATTTATATTCGGAGATCAATCAAAATAAAACGCCGATAATCAACCGTTGGCGCCTCCATATGTTATAGACAATTCTACCGAAATTATTATAAGAATTTCGGCTCGGTTTTCAATGGTAATCATTGAACAGAGGTCACTTATAAGCAAAAGTAGATCCGATTCCGTTGATAAAATTCAAAGAGGCATTGCGGCGACAATCAAAATATATCCCATTAAACTACACAAATAAGAACAGGAACTCATCAATCAGCTCACTAATCATAGTTTTTTGACCTAACTGGGTCTTTTTCCGCGTCCCCAATCTGTTTCAGGAACTTCTTAGCAGCCTTCTCATCTTCTGCGAAAATATGCTCTGCTACCATACGCCTCGGCGTTTCGCCAAGCCACTGAAACAGTGAGAAGTCCTGAAACTTCTCTGCTCTGAAAATCTCAAGCATCTCGATGGGTTCATCGTCGCTGAGGTTCTCGACAAAATGACCCATATTCTTCGGTACAATGCCCACGTCTCCAGCAACATAATCAAATGTTCGCGCATTTCCTTCAGCTGCGAATATCGTTACTCTTGCACGACCCTTTTTGAAGTATGACCATTCGTCCGCGTTCGGATGCCAGTGCATTTCACGCATTGCTCCGGGTTGGATTTTGACATGCGCAGCTGCAATAGTCTTGGAGATGGGGAATATCGTCGAGTCGGTAATGCGAACTTCACCACCAGAAGTTACCACTGGATCTTGAGCTAACATCTTGTGCGTGAATCGATGTTTCGACTTTTTGAAGCCTCGGGGTTTCTCGCCTTCGATTGAATTAGGCAATGACCCTTGAAAGATGTATTTCTCAGAGTCTGGAATAGACTTGAATAACTCTGGTGGTATTCGAAAGTTTTCTCCAAGAACTGACTTGGGGGTATGTGCTGGAAGATTATTAGCGACAAAAGTTTTACATGTATTGAACACGTCAACGAATTTCATGGGGGCTTACCAAGCCAGTCCGTCAATAGAAACGTGGACTCTTCCGAGAAATTCCCATCGTCAAAGATAAGTAAAAACTCCGTGCCATTTGGACTCAACCCTTGGATAGAATGAGGATGGCCAGCAGGGAAATACCACAAATCACCCTCTTCAACATCTTCCATAAAACTGCCGCCCTCGGTATCAAGTCCAGTCACACGCGCTTTTCCAGCAAGCATATAAGCCCATTCGGCTTCGGTATGCCAGTGCAGTTCCCGGATAACGCCTTCGTCGAGACGCATGTTGACACCGGCTAGTTCCTTGCTGGTGGGTAGTTCGCGAATAGTGGTTTGTCGTGTCCATCCACCTTCCTACCCGACATCAGTCTTTGTATTACGCAATACATAAGTGTAGTTTATTAAATACCTCAATTCTAATATGCGAATCGGCAAAACTCCACCGCATGTTTGGCAGCGAACCATGGTCAGTGCTGGGTGGTCGTACAAGATCGGGATTTTGCCTTTCCCTGTCCTTATTTCTCGGACCCATTACAGTAGTACCATCGCCATTGCGGAAGGGAAGAGGCTGTAGACCTTGGCCAACAGAGTCAACTTTGTGATCGTAAGGATCATGGTGACCTGGCGTGAATGGCTTGTTCTCAGAAAAATACTTTGATGGTGTTGATGCGGGGACTCTCAGTAACTGCTGATAAGCCTTATCGGGTGCCGGATATGCATTTCCGCTAGACGTCGTACAGGCCAGGCCTATAATTAGCCATAAAAAGTACCGGCCGATTTTTGGATCCATAAGAGATTGCATGGCGCGGATCGGAAATTCAAAAACTCACTAAACTCACCTACAGTCCAAACAACCAGACCAATCTTCCTGTAGCCATTTTATATACTATTTGCGGATCCGAAATACCCGATTGTTTACGTCAGACATTCTTAGAGGTTGCGCGGCTAAGTTCCGTCAGGGTTTATAGTATTGCCGAATCCGGCACAACGCTGGGCCACCTACGTAAGCCAGCAATCGCCCTGTGCTCAAACTCTGGGATTCGCATAACTCGGCTCAATGTTATTTCGCTGTGAATTCTATTTCTATCCTGTCTTTAGATCTGTTTGACTAGGCTCCCTTTTGTCTCCTGGGTCGACAAGTCTAGTGCTGATGCACTGCAGTAAACATATGTCCATCGACTAATATTTGCCAGTGTGGCAAAGTTTAATTTCACACTTGTGACCTCACTGCTATTCTAATACGCATTGGGGGTTTTTTCTCAGACCCAATGTGGTCGATCGACCTCTCAGTCACAACTACGAATGTTAGCTAGAAAAGTCATTAACTTTCCTACTACCACAGCGAGATAAAGAATAACATCTTAAAGCAGAACTTTTTGTTTCATATTCTTTTAATTCCATTGTCGGCCGAAATATGACTCCAAACAACCCAACACCTCATGAGACTGACAGTCTGCTGGGTACTACTCATCACAGCCCCCGGTCCAAGCGCAGAGACGCTGTCGTACGGCATCTTACAACCGACATTGATCCCCAACATGGTGACATCCTCCTCATATTCTGCTACATAATCACCGGACTGCTTGACAGTTCTGCAGTCTTTATTTGGGGCGCTTTCGTGAGCATGCAAACCGGGAACACAGTCTACTTAGGGCTTGGTTTAACAGATGCCCAAGAAGGGCCACGCTGGATCAAATCGGGAGTATCAATCGCCAGTTTCTGTCTGGGATCAACATTTTTCGCAGCCTTTTATCGCTTTTTTAAGTCACCAAGAGCCCGCTGGTTGCTTATTCTCTCATTTACTATTCAGATGCTCTGCTTGGTAGTCGCGGCTATTATTGTCACCGTTGAAGGATCGACTAAAGGCCCACACTTGACATGGCAGATTCTTGTGCCCTTGGCACTAGTTGCTTTTCAAAGCAGTGGCCAAGCGGTAACTAGCCGGGTTTTGAAGTTTAATGCACTATCAAGTGTGGTGTTGACGAGTCTTTATTGTGATTTATTCTCCCACCCAGATTTTGTATCACCAGCCACAATGTTCCGTACGTTAGAAGAGAGACAGCGTGGGGCTGCTGTAATATGCATGCTTTTTGGTACTATATTAGGGGGGTTGTGGGCAAAGAGTTCAGTCGGGATATTGGGTGCGTTGTGGACTGCGGTTTTATTGAAGTTCTTGATTGTTCTAGCTTGGCTGCAGTGGAGAGGAAAGAAGGCAGCTGATGAAGAGCAGTAACTGACATGTTAGAAGTCAAAAATACGTTTATCCACTAGAATAATAAACCCGCCTCGATATTAGTTCTGCCTTCTACCAATTGACGCATTTTCCTTGGTGTTTTTTCAAATGTTGTTTCATCGCGATTCTTCAGGGTCCGACGCGACTCACACAATTTAATATTAAGTATTCAAACTTCCCTTATATCTAAAATTCTGTGTATCAATTTGTACAATGGAATTATTCTTTCTAATTTACATGTATATCATCACACTTATCAGTCGGCAGGATCCCAGCAGGCACGAAGTGATTTCCGAACGGATTGGTGTAGTACAGAGTCGCGCTACCTTCCCTTTTAAGATCAGATGACATTGGGCTTATAGATTCAAATACTACGCTCGAGACAAAATCAATCTTACCTGCACTCACATAAAAATTAACATTGGTCGGGGTTGTTAATGTATATAGAGTTGTCAGCTTAGTAAAATCACGCTCTAAACAGCGTCAGCAAACTCTAATTAGATGTCTCAGTAGACTCTAATGAGATATCTCAACTTAATAAAACGAAAAAGTGTCATATTCTTGACAAAGACTGATTCATACTTAGTAATCTACACACTAAAAAGTAGATATATTAAACTTTAATTAGTTAGGTTAGTTATTTTAAGATAATGTTACTAATCAAAAAGTTTCAGCTTAGTAAAATTAGCTATTGAAAGATCTTTATTATGAAATAATATTAATTAATATTAGTTTTACCAAAACTGATTAAAAGATCTGTATTAGTTAAGATAGAATGGATAAAGAAAATAAATGGATTATGCACTGGTATTCGAAATCTCAAAGGTAGAAAATTGTTATCAATCTAAGGGCGAATAGAATTTAAGGATTAAGAGGGCTCTCTATGCAACTGGAATCAAACTAGGCTGCTTACTATATAAAAAGTAGGTAAGAAACAGAAAAATATATCTAAAAGAACTAAAAGAATTAAGTAATTAAGACAGGAGTCCCCACTGCCCATTAGCCTCGTCTCCAGCCGCCTTATTAGGCTTAAATGTGTGAATGAATATTACTACTAGGTCACACTTATCAATAGTTAGCTATTAATAGTTAGCATTCAATTTACTGCTTTGTACCCTGTTATTTACTCTCGTGTAAATCGAACAAGCGCGCCGACTTGGTTAATTTCGATTCAGCCTGCGCATTTAACTTTTGTCTTTGACTGCTATCTCTGTCCAGGGCGATTGCCTCGGCATGGTAACAGCAAGCCAGCCGTAGCAGCATTGCTGCGACCCCGAGTGGACAGTTTCCAATCTGAAAGTTGTCTATGGCCTTAATATAATACTCAGCAGCGAACGTCCGAGCTGATACTTTCAGCGGAGATTAAACCTAGTGTCAACGGACTATAACAAGGAAAGGCCAATAAACTGTCGGCTTTCATCATCTCACAAACACCCATTCCACAACGGTCGTTAGCCAGATTGTATTTATCCCTCAGTGATTCCCAAATACTCTCCGCGACAGGAGAATTGAGCTTAAAAATATCATTCTTCAGAACCGGTCTACATTATCGCCCAGTGTTGGAGTTGATGGGTTCGACTTGGCCAATTTGCGGCTTTCGAGAGCATTCCAGCAAAATTGGCTAATAGCAGCAAGTTCAGGGAACAAAATTACCCTTAAAGAGTAAAGGGCATTTTAATTGCTTACAGTAAATCAGGCTTGCTACCTGACTCTATGTAGCCCTGAAGAATTTCTTCGTACTCATGTCTTGTCACAACCAGCTGCGCAAGAAGCTATCCGGGTCTAGATTTCTGCGGCCCGGGCCCACCACGTTTCAAGGGGCATGTTTCAGCGTCGGCCTAAAATCTGGATGCTGGCGGGGCTTTATATCCTCCGGGGGACACGGACCATGGTGGAGGGGGCATCTATGTCTGATATATCTACCGGCATCAGCTCGGGGATTGGTGCCTTGCTAGGTGGTGTTCCGATTGGGGGCTTATAGCTGGGAAATTCGGATGGAAAATAGAATAAAGTCACGCTTGGGCTGCTGGGTACCAACTGGTAAATGTGCGCTATGTCTCGCCCAAAGCAGAAGCTGCCTTACCTAACACGATTTCAATATACAGAGACATATTCTGCTCTCAGAATAAAAGCATTCATAAAATCGATTGATCCAAGTATCGCCACGTATACATCAATTGAGAGGGACAATAGTTCGCTTTAAATTTATATATTTTAGATTTAGCATAAAACTGAGCGATTTTCACCACCGAATGGTGAACTGATGAGCCTCGATCATGAGAAAGCTACATATCATCTCATTCTGTCAATTATATCACGTACTTCAAAAATTTTATTCAAATGTTCAGACTTTGAGGCTACCTACTTGTATGTCTAAATGGAACTTTCGCATAGATATATAATTGAGACGAGAACCTTTCAAAAAGACACAATTGATCAATTTTGAAATTTCTATTTTACAACAAGCTAGTTTCTGATTTATTATTCGAGGTCAGTTCAAACTGCATCAGACAAAAATGAATAAGGAGCTTATGGACTCAATAGAACAGCAAAGTGTGGGAGTTGTCTGCGATGTCATTCTGGATTCATCGCTGTGTCTGACCGTACGAACTAGATCGAAGTGGATATCGGTGATAAATCCTGCTACTGTCAAATGCAGAAGATTGAAGCAACTAGGGAGTCTGCTTCGCTATATTTACTATTGCTAGGCCATTGAATTTGGCTGATAATACGAAGTAAGAAGGTTTGTAAAGCAACATGTATAGCTTATTTTGTTCTACAAAATAGCAGATATAGACGCAAATATGCATCGATGCAGAATTAGATACAAGAAAAAATTCATAATGTAACATGTTTGATGGACTATATTACAGCCCCGTATGCATGACCTGATGCGTACGTAGGTCCGAGCATATATCCAACTCCTTTCATATATACTAGCATGGCTAGACTAGCTAGCTAGAAGCCGAAAAAAAGAATGTGTTCTTTTTTAAGCCTGGGCGGCGAAACCGATCTGGAGGTTCTCGGCATCGAAGACAACGTACTGGGACTTGAGGAAGACGTCACCGAAGATGTTGGTGCCAACGTTACCAGCGGATTGAAGACCACCGAAGCACTGGCCGCCCTGCTGGGCGTAGTTGAGGTACTTGCCGGGGACAGTGGCGGTGTAGCTACCGATGGTGAACTTCAAGTCAGGTAGCGTAGCAGAGCAGTCGAAGACCCAGCCACCTTGGGATTGAGAGTTCTGGGCACCGTTGACCTGCTTGTAGTAGGCAGAGACGGTGGAGTCGTCGAGGAGGAGCAAAGTGGTACCGGTGTCAGCAATACCGGAGATGGAACCACCGGCGCCAGCAACCTTGGAGTCTCCAATGGTGTAGGAGTCGGCGGTGAATGACCACCAGCCTTGGCTGTTGTCAACCTTGGTGTAGGCGATCTGGCCGGTGTACTTGGAGGAGTCGATGAAACCGAAATCGTAAACACCGGGGGCATTGTGCTTCAGGAGAGCAGCGAAGACGGGCTTGGCCAGGGAGTCAAGGACATTGTCGTAGAAGGTCTTCTGAGCCTGGGGCTTAACAGTGTTGAGCTGGCTGAAAGCCAAACCAAGGAGACCATCGCTGGCGGAGTCGCTAGCGAAAGAGGCGCTGACAGTGGTGGCAGCCTCGACAGCCTGTGAAGTGGCAGTGACGTTGCCGACAGTGACAGTGTCCTTGTAGACATCACCGCTGGCAGAGCTGCCGTCGCCGTAGGAGATTTCCCAGGTGGCGCCGTTGAGCTTCTTGGCGGAGGCACCAGGCTTGTAGTTGTTGTGGCCGGAGCCAGCACCTTGGGTGTTGGCAGTGTAGACCCAGCTGTAGATTCAGGTTAGTATCAATGCAATAGAGCGGAGCGGGGCGGGGAAAGATGGCAAAAGTGACGTACAGATCGGAAGAACCAGTGTCAAAGTCAAGGTTCAAGGTAGACTGGCCGACCTTGACGGGGGTGATGTACTGCTCATCATTGCTTGTGGGGTTGTTGGTGGCAGAGCCAGTCTGAGCGGAAGCAGCGGCGGAGGCGACGTGAGCAGGGACAGTGCCACCGAACTTGGCAAGAGCATGGGCGTAGTGGGCAGCCGGGTGAACTGGGACCTTGTTCTTGGGGACGGCAACCTGGTTGACGCTGAACTTGGAGGTCTTGGTACCCTGGAAAGGAGCCGCGGAGACGGCGGCGGAGAGGGCCAAGGCCGAGACGACAGTCTTTGAGTTGACCATTTTGGATATTCTTGACAGCTTCTTGTGATATAAGAAGAGGTTGGATTGTTGATGATGGAAAGTAGTCTGGAGGATGGCGTCCAGGGTTCTTTATATCCTTTTCAGACCCCAGCAGCAGGATTGGGGCGGGAGACTATTCCTTATCGGAAGTGTAAGCATATTGCGAGCCCGTCCGATTGTGCCATATCGCATCATGTTTATCACAGACCCTCATCAACGTCGATCGGACTTGGCAGGCGACCACAATACCACGTCGCTCGGTGCGGAAACCACAGAGTAGCGGACTGGCCGATAGAGGAAGGTCAGTATTGGTGACGGGTCCAATGGGGTGGGCTCGAAGGAGTCAGGCCGGTTTCCCCAGGGCAGAGAGGGCCAGGGGCTAGCCAATTGCTGTTGAGCTGGCAGCATTTGAAGCTGCCCGTAGGAACAGTACCAACAGCTCGAGGCGAACGAAGCACAGAATCTTCCGAGGAACATTCTCCACATGCCAAGTGATGATTGGCATGAACAAGCCGAGTCGCGTTGATGCTTAAATTGCGCCTCCTGATCATAGATTGGAGCTACTGGGGTCAAGAAAGTGTGCCACGGCTGTGGTGCTGATCGCGGTGTGGAAGAGCATGACCGAGCGTGAGTGGGCGGCGGAGGCTGTAAGATCGGCAGCTTATGCATGGCCCATCGGCTTATGCCTGATCTGGCAGGTTGCAGTGGCACGAGTCGCGCGGCTTTGCAGCCAATAGTGGTGATTTACGGCTGCCTACCAGATGATGATCAGCGTCCGACTTGCCAATCGCTGAGGCTGATACCAAGCCTTCTCCTGGCGATGGAGCAGCTAACCGCTTAGCGGAGCTGGCACTGGGTCAAACAGCCGGCTTCCACTTCATCTAGCTTGCCTGGCTGGTCGGCCGCTTTCCTCGCCTTGGCATGGCCGCAAAGCTGGTCCTTAATTTCATCGAGGACAAAACCAGAAATCGTATAACGCATGCATGATTGGTGCGTGGTCTGGTCGAAACCTTGTTTATGAGAGGATTGAGATGCGCTGTCGAGACGTCGTATTCGCGGGTTTCAGGTCTTGGCACTTGCAATGCCGTTCTACCATAGCAAACCTTTGGCATGCCCCTATTTTTTGTTTGGCTGGACTCCTTTTTGGTCGCGACCACGGCACAGGGTCGGAGGGAGGGCGATCGATGCATCCCACAGCCACTAATCGAGACAGATACAACCACAAACCAGCATGAACAATGTCATTGAATTATCAATCCCATGCAGGAACGCGGTGGAGCCGGGTTATCAGGCGGATCCGTGGTAAAAAATAGAAGCACAGAGCCGCACAAGGTATGATCGCGCGAAACGGGGCTTCCCGATCTGGCAAAGAGCATCTAACTGCCACTGCTCTAGGCCAACTACAGCCCAAGTGTCCCGAAAATAAGACGCCGGTTGATCTGGAGTCTGCCGTCTCGTATCTAGTCAGGAACCGTGCACTGAGCGCAGGAGTTGTTAAGCGGACATGTCAAGCATTGCAACTCGCTGGCCCAATCTGATCTCGCAGGGCTGCGGGGTGGCTGCAGCATCAAACCATCCAGCCCGCTTCACGTTGTACTGCTCCCACCTTTTACCCACGTCCTGTCAAAACGCCGCCCATCTCATCGCGCCAGCCTGGCGTCTCTAGCACATGCTGCCAAGCATATAATATTAATCGCAATCAACATTGCTCCTCACTTTCAACATGTAGATCGCAAAGCTCCTCCCATGGGTCGAATTACTGTATATGGAGCCCGAGGAGATGTCGTGCGATAAGCTAATGTGACTCATGTAAATCACAGCATCATGATCGACTACCTGCCTATTGGGAACATTTGAGGCATTTTGGAAGCTATTGACCTTCCAAAAATGATTTATCCCGACTTCGTTTCTTGGATTTTCGTTGCGGCTACAGTCGGAGCGGTTGATTCCTCATCGCTCACATCATGATTATCATTCTCGACATGATAATATGGTTGCCTTGTCGGTCTGTATGAGACGAGAAACGACATTCAGGAGGAGATAGGTCCCCACAGTTCGAATTCATATGTGACCTCATTGTGAGGAGCACACTATCACTACATCGGTCGCTCGCCAAGGGGGGTGACACTGGCTGGAGGAAAGCTTGATCACGCCACGGATACCCCGGCTCTCGTCAATAATTTGAACAATTGCTTGAAATGGAGCTCCAGCTATCACGCTATCAAGAACCAAACAGGTTTCTCTGTATGTAGGGTTCGATCGCAGAAAGAGACTAAAAGCCTAGTAAGAGGACACCGTAGTGGAAGGAGATGGAACCTGGGGGCCAAGTAAATTGTTGCATTTGGTCGGGTACACCGAACAACGGGTCATTGCTAGAGCTCTCTCTATTAATCAAGAGGTGGTTACTAGTAATTCTGGGAAATCAGATAACAAAGAACTATGCGTTCCTGAGCTTCCTAGCCTAGGGATATTGTCATAACCCCGGAGGTTATTTTATCATCTTCGAAAGTGTTTATGCCTTCAAATGCGCCGGTGATTACTCATCGTATCTATGAATAGTTCGAAAGAGGTCGAGTAATGAGGTGGTATCCTTGCACGGTTGACCGAGGTTTGCTGACATGGACCAACTGGACATTCATGGGACCTGGAGAGATATTGGTGAGGTTTAACTGAAAGCGTGTTACTTGCGACCTAGAAAGGAAAGACCAGTCTATCTCCCAAGTCAGAAGTATGCAGCTATACTAAACGTGCGACTCACAAACGCTTCATAACAGCGGCCACAATCCGCAGGGGGCTACGTATGGAGACATTCACCGCAAACTACATAGTCTATCAACCATATGGGAAGCAAGTCTATTGTGGAGTACTGAAAACGATATATGGTGACCTTTGCGAAAGCCATCGAAAGAGAACACGCATATCCTATCTTACCTGCTGAAGCTGGAAAGAAGCGAGGGAAACCGCGTCGCGTAAACAGTTGTAAAGAGATAAACGTGCCAATCGTCCTGCAAGAGATGATAAGATGAAATACGATCGATACTGTAGCGAGTAGCATGCCAAAAACACCTTGTGGGATGAAAAATGAAGCACATAACAGCGGCTTTGCCGCATATTGTTGAGACAGAGAGTGAACAATGCCCTTGCGAATGCTGTCCTGACAGCCAAAATGAAGATACCAGCGCTGCAGCATGCTGTTGAGGGAAAGGAAAAGAGGGACAAACAGATAAAAAGATGGCTGACAAGACCGGCAGGAACGATTGTGGTGACTGGTTTGCCTGTCCCGTGACTGACGAGTTCCCTCTGCTCTCCCCGGTCAACACAGAGATAGATTCATAAAATCAGTTTCTTCGCTTTTCATGGCTTCATTTAGAACCTTCTCCCGGCAACAAGAAGCGATAGACAGACAACCAGTGGATGCCGACGAACAATCCAAGACTTCATGACCAACGCCCTCCTAGTTTAATTAATTCTAAAGATATGGCAGAAATGACAGTGGCTTTAACTTGTTCTCGTTCAACTATCAACAAGCCAGCGTCATATATTCTACTCCCCATATCACAAACAATTCTTACGGCGATCCAAGGCGTGTTGGTGTTAACACAGGTCGTGGAAGAGCTGAACGAAATCTTTCAAGCATGATTGTCGCTAACGATGAGCAAACCTAGGGCGATGATTACTTGAAATCATTTTCAACTGCGCGCTATGTGGCGGTAACTTAGAAGCCGTCACTGCACCTGTGTTATCACTGGCGTATTCAAACGTTGCAAACACAATAGTGGGCTATTTTTCTATGAAGCTTTTCTCTTACTTCGTGTCTTTGCTCTGGTTATCTAGTCTCTCTAGGGGCAAACACTATATAGACCTCGAGAAGGGCTGGTATAATGAGAGGGCCTTCAAGGGAATCTGGATCCAGCCGTTGCTCTTATATAGTATTCCATTGAATTCTGCCTTTGTACCTTTTCACTAGGATAGGGTTTCGAAAAGCTAGTATGCCTGAGGAACGCTGTCAACGGGGCAGTGACCGCCGTCCCAATTCGGATGATTGCGTTTGTTCCCGTTTGTTTGTTGTTCTTCCCAGTTATCATCCTGTCTCTCCATCTCCCTCTCTCCCAACCCCCAACATCCCTCACTGTCCATCTCATTGGAACCTCACAAAACACTATTCTGGAAACGCTCCCCTCTCTTTCTTCAGTCCTCTTCTGTCTGCACCGTCTCTTGGTGGCTTCAGAAATGTCTGAAAGCGCTGGTGGCGATGGGGTCAAGCCGATCACCATGGGGGAGTAAGCTTTTCTCTGTGTCACTGGCTGGAGTAATGGTAATCTGCTCACTTCATTTTAGCCTCGAATCTGGTGGAATGGTCTCCGTGTATTGCGACGGCCAGTTTGTCTGGCAGCTGCCAAAGGTCCTCCTGTCTAAACGGGTTCCTACTGTGAAGCTCAAGACATTGCCTAATGACACCAACGGGCACAGTATCGATGAGCATGCAGTGGAAGCCCCATACATTTGGGAGATTACTTGCTGCAGTCGTGCTGCCTTTCGTGTCTTCTACGAGTGGCTCTACAGTCCAGACGGACGTTTGAAACGCCCTTCTCCCGAAGTAACAATCAACGCCTATCTCCAGGCTACAAAGCTAGCTTCAGAGTATTCGATCCCCAATCTTCTCGAAGATTCGATGAAGATCGCTCTCGATCTACTCTCCGCTGGATCCTCGGAGAACTCCCCGTCATACGTCAGCGAAATCTACAAAAACATGTCTCCAAAGTCTCCTGAGACTGCTACCACCAGTGGCTATTTTGCTGTTTTATTGAAGACTAGCAAGCTGGCCTCGACTACCTTTCGCAATCTTACCGCGTCTCTTCAGATTTCACGTGATATTCTCATCTGGCTGTTCCTTTTCAATGAGAATGAAGTTGACGGTGACGACTACAACAAGGCATTGGGATGGGCCACCAGCAATGTTGCCAAATGGATTGAGTTTCAAGAATGACTGACGCTTCGTTTAAAAAGTGTAAACGGTATGTATGACTGCTCTCTCGAGTGCCGAATCATGCTGAAGCCCCAATTTCGCTCATAGACACACAATCATCACCCCGAACCCCTTCTCTATGATTCAAAGTTTTAAGCCAGCTAGAGATTCTAATTATATGGTATGATTGGACGGTTTAGGAAAAATACGATTGGGTTAGGAGTTTGTCATCTTAGCGACACGCTAGAATATCAAATGGAAGTCTTTCAATCATTACATCACTAATTGTCCCTAAATTTCAAATTCGAGTTTGGTGGCATGTGAAGATCTAAGGAACCTTCATTTACTATGGGAGCATTACTTATCGATGGACAGTTGATCATATATCAAAAATATCCGAAACAGTCACTATTCTACTTCCGCTCAAGAACATAGAACCAATGGAAAACTTCAGGCACCATTGCAGCGGCAGACACAGTTTGACCGGCTGGAGCCTTGAGCGGCATACGCGAGGCGATATTCCAGTGGTCGTGAAGGTACGCGAAATTATCGAACCGTGTGGCCGAGTACGATAGAACAAGCCATACTGCTCCTTTCCGAGTCAGAGATGCGAGATGCAGTCCCAGCAACTCCACGGGTAATAATGTTATAGGGGCCTTGTTCTTATTTCGGTTAATGATGCCTTTGATAATGGGGCTCATTGAGTTTTCGTCGGCAAGAAAATCAAATGTTCGCGGCACTGATGTAGCAATAGCATCGCTAGTGCTCTTATCCACGATCACATCAACTGGTGCAAGCGAAGAAAGAGTAGACAAGACCTGTTCCCAAGAGCACAAGTCCGCTTGCACCCAGCCCATGACGTGGGCAGGATCGCCCTTCTCTTCTTCCACTTGGCGTCCAAGACGAACAGCTTCGGCTGAGAAATCAACATTCTGCGAGTCATTGCAAAGTTAGTCTTAACATGCTCACGCCGTTTCCTGGTGGGTTACTGATGTAAATTTGTGTCTTTGCTCGGTTCCAGGGTGGGTTTGTCATTTCGTGGGCATACTACTATACCATCCGCTCGCCAGCCACGTTGTACAAATGCCGTGCACAATCTAGCCCCTAGCGTGGAGATACCGGGGCCTAGGTGCAATATTCGTGATCTGGATCTGGTTTCTGCGCTGTTTCGCGATTGAGCAAATAACAATGGGTCCTTTTGCTCAATGTGGGAAATGGTGGCATCCAGAAGCACCTCCCCGGTATTCAGCCATTCACCGATGTCTTGTCCAGTGACAAACTTGGCGTCCCAAAATCCTGCGTCGTCATAGTCTGGGGCGCCTTTGATCCTTTTGCCTGGATTGGATTTCCCGTCAGATGAACTTTGCATACTGGATTGAAAAGTCGGACTGTCGCGGGCCAAAAGAGCGGGCGGAAAAATAGTTAGAGTAGCATAAAAAATAGTTGGCAATTTACGAAACTAGACTTAATTAAGGATAGCGCCATTTTAGACTTGTTCCATCCGTATCCTATTAAATGTAGTATACACGATATTGATCACATAGATGCTGTAGCTTTTGATGATTGGAATTCATCCATGACTTTTCGGCATTCACTTAAGATGTCATAATGAAAATGCCATTTCTGAAATTCAGCCCGATTCTCTGCATGAAGTGTAAGCAGGATTAGTACTATTATCTTCAAGATAAGCAGCAAATAATGTGAACCAAATAAAAATGGTGATAATGTAGAAAGTTGAAAGTAAATGAACGGAAATAAATACTTGAATGGAATGGAATAGAACATACTCGGCAGGGGCCCTTTTGCATACAGCTCGGCCTGTTTATCCATCTTCTCTGGCTCGTCCGGTGAAAAGTTAGAAAAAAGCTGTATTGCAGCAGTGCGATCTCGACGAATGTTCTGGACAAGCTCAAGGTGCCTCGGAATGTCTTCAAGAGATTGAATGTTTGAGAGGAAGATACCAAGTGCACCGGCGTCTTCGATTCCTTGGCTCGCACCCTGGGCTTGTTCTGTTTGAACGAGAGCATTTTGTCAACGAGAAAAGCTGACTAGAAAACCACAATATCGTGAGGAACTTACGTGGAAGCATGGGGTGTACTGCATCCCCAATGATAATAGTCTTCCCTTTGATCCATTTTCTGATGGGCGATCGAGTAAGGAGTTTCCAGAACTTGAGATCTTCCGCATTCCTACATTTGATCTAGCATTAATCCCCAGATCAAGGCACAGAAGATTGGCTAGGATGTATGAACAGACCGACATATTTCCACAAGTATGGGATGGAATGTTGAAAACATATCCAGTAGGTCTTGAACGTTACCACCTGATTGCCAGTCTAAATACGCAGCCGGATGTCAGGACGAACTCCGAACGGGATGCACTCCTGTTATTACTTCTCACCTTCACTTTCATTTCCTTTACCCAGTACTGGACATACACCGACAAAGTTCTGTATTTCTCCACTGGCAAAAGTTCAACGATAGCTTCATATCTAGTCATCAATTGAACACTCACTTTCTGCAAGGATAGAATACAAGTCTTCGATCTGGTGCAGTGGCTATTTGCATTCTGATCCTCCCATCTTCAAAAAGAGGCTTTGTGATATGGTTGTCAAGTAACTTCTGTGTTGGTATCAAGAATCGAAAAGCACATTTTTTGACTTCTATCGCAGGAATCGTGCCTCCTAATACACATTGAGCAACGACAGACTCTTTATGTTAGTTTGGCAAGTAAACCAGCTGTTAGAGAAAAAGGAAACTTACATGAACGCCATCTGCACCAATAACCACGTCGTGGGAGACTGTAGTACCATCTTCAAATTTCAAAATTCCATTTTCGCAGTCTACATCTATTACCCGGGTAGCTAGATGTAGCCTTGCTCCTGGGAAACCATCCGATCCGGAGAGTGCAAGCCGCTTGAGCTCGTTATGTAGATCAACTCGATGTGATAAGTATAAAGGCGCATTGAACTTGTTTTTGAAATCTTCGAACGACCCGTGCTCCAGCTCCTCCAAGGTGTGGGCGTCCAATCGAACAAGCTATACTTTATTATCAACGGCGCGTCCATCCAGAAACGATGGTATAATAAATTCAACAAACCCCTTGCGCCTCTATGAAATTTGCGCCGAAAACGTCAAATCCGAGGGCCCGCAATACTGGTGCGGCATTTGGCCCTACATTGATAGCTGCACCCACCTCACTAGAAAAGCTCGATCGTTCGTAGACCTATATGGAGAACTAATAAGCTAACGTGGCGTCCAAAATGCATATTTATCACCGATCTATGAATATTCAAAACTGACGTTGACACGATGACCTAGGCGGCTCAGTGCGGCTGCAGCGGTCAAACCTGCTATACCAGCACCGACAATTCCGATGTTGAGCGTTAGCCCGGATCCATTTCCAAAGCTATGAAGTTGTAGGTTTGAAGTCGCTATCATGGTGCTTATTGATTGAAAATTTTTGTGAATCAGGATCAATTGGCTATCGAGGTTGGTTAGAAGAATGGTTCAATCGCGGTTGCTCCAAGAACCATTTTTGAATCTGAGGAGAAATGGTCACGCTGACAATCCATGCAGACCAACAATCCATGCAGACCGGACTTGCAGGAAACAGCCAACATGGATATATGGGGCTACAATAATGCAGTATAAGAGGTTAGCTCAGATGTCTATGCAACAATATGTGTTCAATTACAAAGCCGCCGCATTCGGTCCCGTACGTTATGGGTCCTCCAATAGAATGTATTCCGGCGATGTTGGAAAGAAAAAGAAAATATTCTCAGGAATATGGTACTGAAATTACACGAGACAGAATAGAGAAGAGTAGCCTGAGCTATTACAATAATGTCGAATGTGTTCAGGAGCCCTTTTCCAGCAACTAAAACATCATAGACTCTACCAACATGACATGTCGTCGATTCTTAGCGTCTATAAATATATTTAGATGCTATACACATAAATTGGCCTTGACACTAATACGAGGATGAGGTCGTAGAGCCGATGGAGCTGTTTGCACCGCCATCGTTCGTCTCCAACAGCATTGCCAGATTTCCAGCAAAAGCGGGCTTCTGCTACTGCATTAGATAATCTCGACATCTCACAAGGTATTGGTAACGACACGTACTTAATTACAGGCAAGTATATGCGATAGCGTGTACGTCAATATTATACCAAATAGATTTTGCAAGTCAAATAGGATTGATAAAGGCAAAGCGAGATAAAGGTTTCGCAGCCCTGACATTTGCTGAAAAATTGGATTTCACGGGACTCACGGGACTAACTGGAAGAGCTAGCTAGAATCGCCAATACTGATTTGCTCGAGACTGAACGCTAGCCTTTGTAAATCCACCCTGTGTCACCACAACTGCAGATCCCCTAGCTACAAGAGAGCCAGTCAGAGTCCTTATAATTTTCTACCCATGTCGATTTCGCTGTATTTAACAGCGATCGACAGGACGTCTGAATGTGTATTCTGAGATTTATGGTCTAATTTTGTGAATACTAATCCATTAATATCCAGCGAACCAAACCTCAACCACCAGGTGGCCTTATACCTCCCTAGAAATAATCAAATCGAGTAAACCCCTACGTAATCATCTATCCACATACAATGGAACATAACTTAACACGAACCGCATTTTGGTTCCATGGATCTCCATTGATGTGTTTCAGACAACTCATGGAATTAAGGGCGTTGTATTTATCGGGGCTCATTGCGCGGAGCTCAACAAGCGGATCCGAGTTGCTACCAAGACGAACCCGGATATTAAGGACAGGAGTTTCGTGCCTCCATCGCACTATGAAAACTATCCAATCAACACAGACACCGTTTTGGTGAAGAAAGTTGATTATTTACTCCGCAACGCTGGCTTTCCAGATGTCGAATAAAACCCAATCCTAAATTGGCGCAATGATACGGCTATTCCAGCGTTGTGCATGTTTCCTAAGGGAACACCTCAAGTCACGGCGGCTAGTATGAATGCTCAGTATAACCCGGTTTTCCACATCAAAATGGGGAGATGATTGCGTGACTTACGCAAAGAAGGAATCCTTATTTGAGAAACTGGTCGCGCTGTGCATAACCTATATCGTTGTCATTGACCCCTCATGACCAAACAGGGCAATTTCCGATCAGACCGGAAACATATAGAGTGGGCTGTTGAATTCGAGAAATCCCTTCTCGATATTGTGACTCATACCAAAGTATTGGTTTTTCATTTCTCTTATCCGTCTCAAAATCTATCGCTTTACGCTTACTGGATTCTTCTTCAGGGTCCGCAGCTTTCGAGCGCCTTGGTCCGGTTGACACACAGCCCAATGTACAAATCAGCACATCCTACAGACAAGCATTTCTATCCACTCGTCGTTATTGCAGGTCTTGTTTCTGAAGATGCTGACTGCGGTGAGTTAAAGGCAGAAACTTGGGAACATCAGAATATATGTAATAGTCAATTTGTATCGGGTAACTCGGAAGTGACAAGGTCTATTAAAATGGAACAGAAGGCTACGTAGATGATGTTGTAATGTGTCCACGCTGAATGAACAAGTAATTGGGCATTTTAGATTTATAGAGATACAAGGGGCTGATATTCTGACGGAACTAGAATCATCCATGTATCATGACTTGAATCCTATTGAAATTATAATCAATTCGGTAAATAGTATTTTGACCGTCTGTATAATTTTTTTCCAGCAGGATTTCCATGCTGAAATCATCTTTTGTCAGACAAGCGGCCAAAGCATACAAAGCCGAATCGGCGCGTCCTCTTTGAGAAATATTATATCATGTTAGTTCTTCCTTCAATGTTTAGACCTTGACCACAAGTGCTCTAGTACGAATAAACATACTTACCTAGTCTTAATAGTACACATTTCCGCTACCATGTGATCCATACACCCGAGCTAATGAAAGATGCAACCAGGAAAGGCAAAAAGAACAAGAAAAGATTAACTTTATACTTTGACACCTGTTCCTAATCATTTTCTATAGACTCAATTTCAACCAAAAGCTGTTTATAAAACAAGTAATAAATACCGTGAAATAATACACCGCTGCTTTATTAAAGTCTTTAGTAGAAAATCATGGTCTCCAACAATGGTTTTTCATAACTTATATAGATTTTCATCTCATCTCTTATAAAGACATTTTCGCGTCATATCGGTATCAAATAGGCTGGCCATATTTTCCTTTAGAGAAGAGATAATGACTGCACTATACATGGCCTTTGTTCCAGATGCCAGGGATACATTATATGTTCTCTGAGTATCACAAGTATATCGGTGACGGCAGTGCAAACGGCTTATGTATTTTGAAAATTCGAAGTCCTTCTTGGCCCCATTTCTATTCTATTGAGCTGGTTGGCTGTATCTAAATTCCACCAATATTGAAGAAAGGACAGTCCTGTAACTCATCTCACTCCATATGTCCACCATCCACAGTAAGTGAAAATAGATGTCGACGATTGTTGATTTTTATGAACACATTACAAGACGAAATGAAAATTGGTTCGACTGTCAATGAGGACGGACCTACACGAGCCACTAAACAGCGAGTAAAATCCGCGCCATCAGACTAGATGCTTGAAGTAGCAAAGCGAAAGAAAAGAATCCGCGTTGATGAGCCTAAGACCTCAACCAACGAAAACTCTACCAGACGGTCGTTAGATCAACCGCCTCGGCAGGAGAACAATGAGTTGGAGGACATTCGAGATGAATCCTCAACTACAGGGCTGCACTCGAAAATAAGTATCACACATTCGAAGAAATGAGGAAGCGATACTGGGTGATCAAGTCAAATGAAAATTTCTTCGACTCTGTGAAAGAGCTGGAATCTCGTCGGCTCATTGTAAGAGGACCGTATGAAAGTGAGACGATTAGGCAGTTTCATGAAGCAGAGGTACACTGGCATGGTTGTGTAGACAAGGTGTCTGGAATCAGGAAGAGGATACATGCAGTTGATCCTGGATGCTTGAACAATGTCTGGTGGTTTGAGGGAGCACGTTGCTTGGAAATGAGGATCGATGAAACAGTAGGCAATACCTCATCAATCTATCAATAGCTAACCCTAGTCACTATTACTACACAAGACGAACGAGCACTGGCTTAGAGCTTTCATGATATTCATCATTGTGCAGGAATAATGCCACTGCTCGACGCATCGTACAGCCCTATCCACAAATGGAAACCGCCTAGGGCTGGCAAACGCACCTTCCCTTCAAGAGAGTGAAGGCTCTCCTTCCCCCACCACATCTCTTCTTTTCTTCTTTTCTTCCCCTCTTCCTCTTCAACCCATCCCCCTCGCTTCTTCGCTCCATCTCCTCGCGCCCCTTTTCATCTTATTCATCCACTATCTATCAATATCCATCCTCTTCATCGATCCCTCAGTATGAGTAACAAGGTGGCTGTGATTGGTGCAGGTATGACGCTTCCTTTTACTACACTGGCCTGACTAACAGCTCAGGTATATCCGGTCTCGTCACTGCCAAGGAGTGCCTCGAAGCGGGTTTCCCTCCCACCATATTTGAAAAGCGTGCCGGTATAGGCGGACAGTGGCGATATGAAGACCCTGATACTGGCCTTGGAGAGACATTCTCGTCAGTATACGACGGAGTTCTTACAAATTCAAGCAGCCCTTGCACTCAGTTCAGTGACTTCCCCATTGACCCCTCTCGATACCCAGACTACCTTGGTCATGAAGACTCTTTGAGATACCTGCAGGAGTATGCAGATCACTTTGGCTTGGAAACATATGTGCGGCTGAATACCGAAGTCATTGGCTGCGAGCCGCTAGATGATGGTAGATGGATAGTGGCTACGGTAGAGGGCGAAGAGATATACGACGCCTTATTCGTCTGTGCCGGGAGAAACAATGTCCCCAAAGGTCTTCCAACCTGGGATGGTTTGGACTCCTTCAAAGGGAATGTGATCCATAGCCATCTCTACCGCCGGCCAACTCCATACACAGGGAGGAGAGTTGCTGTGCTAGGTCTTGGTCCTTCTGCAGTGGATATTGCATCGGAAATCTGCCCCGTTGCCGAATCTTGTTACATTATCACTCGCCGCGGCGGTTGGATCTTACCTCGATACGTTAGAGGGGAGATCACAGAATCGCTTGAAACTCGGTTTCGTGAGTACATGCTACCACGGACGGTGCATATGCGAATATATGAACTTGTCCACCGGTTCGTGATGGGTGACACACCAAATGCCCTTAAGCCTGAACATCACATTCTTCAGGTCAATCCAGTTTATCACGAGGAATTTCTTGACCATGTTCGGACTAGGCGTATCAAGGCACATCGAACGACGATCAAAAGCTTTACAGAGACCGGAATCTCCCTCGATAATGGCAGTGTTTTAGATGTGGACGATGTAATTATCTGCATCGGCTATCGTGTCAACTTCCCATTCATCTCGGCGAATACATACCGTGGCAGTGAACCAAACTCCTTGCATCTCTACAGACTCATCACCCCTCCAAAATACTCAAACTTGTTTTTCATCGGTCAATTCACCTTTGCAGCTACTCATCCGGTCTCCGAGCTGCAGGCAAGATGGGCTGTGGGTGTACTGAGTGGGAAAATCTCGTTGCCGTCAGAAGAGAGAATGGAGACAAGTATCCAAATGTTCGCAAATAAACGGGCTACATTAGTAAGTTTCATGGATTGCTTACAATATATTCATGCTGACAAGGAGAACAGTTTATCAATTCTAGCCGACACTTGGCCGCCATACCGATGTTAGAATACATGGACACTCTAGCCAGCGACATGGGCATCAACCCTACTCTCCACAAGCTCCTCGGCAAAGTTTTCTCGCCTTCACCACTTAGTGGCCTGTCCATGTTGAGACATTACTACAACGGCCTCATCACAAGCGCTCCATATCGTTTGTTCGGACATGGGCGGAAGCCGGATATCGCCGAAGCCACCATGCTACGGCTGTCTAGGGGGGGTAAAGAGTTGAGCAGGGAAGAGAAGAACTTGTTGGCTGCTCAAAGCCCTCTGATAATTGAAACTGATGTTGAGTAAGCTTTGATTCTTGGCTTCTCAGGATGCTCTAAAAGAAAATCATTGCTAGCAGTAGTATTACAATGAACGCCGAAAAACAAAACAATCAATTGAGAGCAATTAATCGTACAGAACTTCCCGGTAAACTTTTCTGGTATTAAACAAAACTAAGAGAAATCAGTAAAAAGTTCAGGTGGTCGTATCTCTCAAAATCAACTGATTAAAGTGTTACTTTTTCTAGGTACTTCAGCCTCATGATTAACCTCGTTAGTTCCTGCGACTGATGTTGTGCTTCCAATTTTCTCCTCGCCTACAATTACCAACCAGGCACAGCGAAAATAATTTCATTAAAACGACTGTCACGTTCAGAGGAATGATTAAGTCTATTTTAAATTTTTTACTTTCTTATATGACTTCCTTCTGAGCACGGTTGAGTTAACCCCGCGTATCGCGCAATATGGGCGGCACCAATTGCTTTGGCATTGACTGTTGCCTGAAGAATCGATTCTACGTATAATTGTTCAGCCATAGTCCCTGAAATTACGAACCCGGGCGCGAACCCGATGCCAACTTGATGACAAAAGTCAAATGAAAGAATCTGGGTACCTATGTATATTCCATTTCATCTCATCCAGTAACGAGTGAGAGACCACGAGATAATATTCTCTATCATGAAACCACTCTGGTGGAAGTTAAAGCAATTATTAATGCAAAAATAGGTCGCATTAGTTTGTCGAAGGCTGCTTCCAAACATCTATAGATTCAATTGAAACACGACTATGGCGAACATGGCAACGAGAAAAGATATTAATTCGAACAATCCTTCTTTAGGCAAATAAAGGAGGAAGCCTTGCTCTAGGCTCCAGGCCGTTCCCGTTATTTCATCCACGGTCACGCATTCCATACAGGCATGCCTTGAAAAAAGACGTTTGGCATAAACGAAGACAACTGGTAAACCTTTTGGCTTTATGATGTTTATGATGAGACAATCCTATTTCATTTTTGATTTTGTAGAATTGGACTTTAAATTCCCTTTGCAGAGCTCCTATCTAAAGAATACAAAGACCTTGTTTGTCTGAACATTGGACCAAAGGGCTTTCTTATTCATTATCAATAGATCAAAACTTCCATGATATTCTTTAAACAGTTTCAACTACACATTCCAGCATGGAAGAGGTAGTTGGTGATCAAATTGTAAATATTTCTCTACTCATCATCTTCTCTAGATCCTTCTGATGCTTCCAGGAATGGGCACAGCACCTGTGTATATAATCAAGTTCACACAAAAGATATGTATAAGGACAGGATTTAGCTCAATCATTTGGCTTTTTTCCAATGCATTTTTGTATCTTGTTTTCCTAGGCTTGCACAAATGCCCATATGTCAATCACAAACACTAAATGTTTATAGAAAATTAGTCAACACCTTTCATGACTTACTCACCCTCTATCATGTGCAGATAGGAGAGTAGAGTATGTTTTTAGGGATTTTCTATGCTCATTCAAAGATTTTGGTTTGAATTGGAAGCTGGTATTAAAACTTTGTCCTTCATAACCTCCATCTAATCAAGGGGGTACGTTTCATTTATGGATACGGAGAGCAGAAGTATTTCTGCAATCATTGCATACTTTTTACCTGTCTGTAAATCCCAAACTTACCAGAACACACCATACCCTTCAGACAACTTGCTGAAATCCTGCTTATTCTTCTGTACCGCTCCTACAATACCTATTTCCTACTCTCTAATCAGAATCTCCGCCAGCCCAAAACAAATAGAAAGCATTCTTCGTTAATGATCTCAAGAGATTTAAAATTCTGAAACAAGAGGCAGAATGGCAGAAAATATGGCTTTGGTCTTGCACACTCCGTCGGCGAATGCCAACGTTTGGGTAAGTTCTGATTCCAAGAAATAATTGATAATCGGGTCTTCCATTCAAAAAATAATGTCGTTATTTGAGCACTTTCTAATATAAAATTTTAGTGGAAAGTGATCTTATCTCAGGATTTCCAGTTCTCCCTCAACCCTGAAATCATCGAAATCGAACACTTTATCAAAACCGGAATTCTTCCACTGATCAATTTCAAAATGAGACCTTTAACTTCAACCAATGCTGTCGGCAACACCGAAGGGCTGGGCATTTTGGAGAGGCTTTCAAGGATGGAAGCCGAAATCGGGCATCTTCAGGTTAGTAAACTCCGGTTAACAGAAATGAACTGGATATCTTCAGACTAATGATACTAATTAACATAATAACGTCGGGAATCTTCAGGTTAACAGTAAAACTCAACAAAACCAACTTTGGAGACAACAGAACGAAATTTCGCGACTGCAAGATGGCATGGGATTAATTCGCGTTGCCGAATTGTTGAGGTATCTTCCTAAACCCCAACGCGACGGCATGCAACATAATGAGCGCAACGATTTCGTCCACGGCGGCGATTTAATATTTGATCTAGAGTACATTACGTCTTGGCCAGAGGGCAGGGTGGACGTGATACACGGCATTCCAGTCGAACGGTCTCACTTGTTAAATGCCTTCAACACTCGGTATGGGCTTCCGGTTAGCCATTTCAGTGGGCAGGACCATCTGTCACCGCAGGCTATCGAAACCATCAATAAGAAAAGCAATTTAATGCACCTCCGTTATTGGAAACGGCCACATCTTCTTGGAAGTCGGGATACCATACTCTCTTACAGTGATTTTATTATTAATCGGTGGCTCAATGGCCCTTATTCAGAAGTCGAGATGGAGCCCTGGTTTAATCATCTCATCTGGCTTTACCAGAACTTTCTTAGAAATGGAGTGTAACAGCCTCTACATGTGTATTCTTTGTCTAGATTCTTTTGTGGTCTTATACCCATTTTTTACATACTTATTTTCAACGATTTAAACCCATCTCATCACTGCTGAGTTTTTCAAACCCATTAACAAAGGTAGTGGCAAAGTGTTATCGAGTAGCTTAGTAGCTTCGCCCCCAAGTAGAATTCCCGATACCCAAAAAGAGAAAAACAAGTACCTTGATAGACACATTTTGAACTCCACTCTGGAGCTCAACCAATAATAATCCGCCGGTTTGTCAGGTCCTATCACACTGTAGCAAAGTAATTGCTAAATGGCGTTAAGACAGGCTCTATTGATACGATTTTGTGATCACGTTTCTTCGGTCTTGAGGCTGGGTGCAATTTAGGACCTTGGTGGTTGAGTTAGGGCTAGAAAGCGAGAAAACGAAAGCGAGAAAACAAAAATGATTGTGCGTTTCCTCCGATTCAAATTGATCCTCTGTATTTTCTGGATATATTTGTTTTCTGATTGAGAAGTAAAACAGCCTGAAACCTGCTCATCTGCTAAGTTACCAAAAAGCGATCACCATGAGCGACAACACACCAAAGGCAGAGAACGTCAATATCAAGGCCCTCCCGGTTACTCTCCTGTCAGGGTTTTTGGTATGGAGAAACTCATGTGGCATTCGTTTCTTATATCTAATAGACTACTAATTCCTCTACCATCAATAGGGAAGTGGCAAGACAACCCTGCTTGAACATATTCTCAAATCAACCGACCATGGCTTGAAGATCGCTGTCATTGTCAACGATATGGCTTCGTTAGTAACCCATTGTCGGATACTTATGAACAAGTCTTCGATGCAATATGGGCTAACTTCACATTATGACAGGCTGAACATTGACGCTGCTCTGATCACTCATCACAAAGTATCCCAAACTCAAGAGAAGCTAATCCAGCTACAAAATGGATGTATATGTTGTACCCTCAGAGGGGATTTACTCTCCGAACTCGCACGCTTGGCTCGATCCGAGGGCTCTGTAGACTACGTTGTGATCGAGAGCACAGGCATCAGCGAGCCGATGCAAGTCGCGGAAACATTTACTGCGGAGTTCAGCTCAGCTATGATGGAGATCGATGTGGAGCAGTTAGACGCAAATGGACAAGAAGAAAGACGAATTCTTATGGAGGTGTAGGTTATAATCATGCCTTTCTGTTTGAGTTATCCTAGAACGAGCTACTAATATTCATGAGTGCTACAGGGCGGAAATGGGAGGGCTGCATAACCTTGCCACTCTGGACACCACCGTGACCGTCATTGATGCCTTCAATCTGTTTTCCAATTTCCATACCCCTGAATTTCTCTCTGACAGATATGGTTCCAAAGAAATTGCACCAGAGGATGAACGAACAATTTCCGACCTAATGGTTGACCAAATTGAATTCGCGGACGTCCTCATCGTCAACAAAATTGACACTGTGAAAGAAGAAGTTCAAGTCAAAATACGTGAACTAATCAAACTTCTCAACCCTGATGCCAAGGTAATTGAGACTAGCTTCTCCAAGGTTGATGTCAAGGAGATTGTGCAAACGGGGAGGTTTAATTTCATCAAAGCGGCCTCCGGTGCAGGATGGTTGAGGAGTCTTCATGAAATGACTATGCTGAATACAACTGATGGGAAGAAACGAATGGCACCAAAACCGGAGACCATAGAGTAAGTCACCGTTCACATTCCAAAAGTCGAGCTATGCTAATTACGGGGAAATAGATACGGGATCAACAACTTCGTATACTCAGCACGGCGCCCATTTCATTCCCGCCGGCTATTTGCTTTACTTCAGGATAAATTCATTCTTCTACAAGGCCGTGAGAATGATGACGATGGTGAGGAAGAAAACGATATGGACGACGAAAATATGGAAGAAGACGAGGATGAAGGCGATGACAGATCAGAGATCGCGGAATTTGACCAGCTCGATCCCCCCGTAATTCTAGCTAACAAAAAAGCCCATCCAGCCTTTGGGCCGGTTCTACGTTCAAAGGGATTCTTCTGGCTGGCCACTCGCGGTATGCAATTCGGAGAATGGAGTCAAGCCGGTGGTATTTTGACTGTCAGTTGCGGCGGTGTCTGGTTCACAGAGCTTCCCCGCGAGTTATGGCCAGAGGATAAGGATGTAGTCGAGTCGATTCAACGTGACTTTTCTGGTGAATGGGGTGATCGAAGGCAGGAGATTGTGTTTATTGGCGAAGGAATTAATTGCGACAAGATCTCAGAGGTATTGGACAAGTGTCTGCTGACTGATAAGGAAATGAAACAGTGGGAAAGAATAATGCGAAACCCAAAGCTGTCCCCAGCTGAAAAGGAAGAGGCGTTAAATGATTTGTGGGAGGATGGATGGGAAGATTGGCCAGATGTTGACATTGTTGACGTAGATGAAGATGAGATGGAAGTCGATACCAACAATGAAGGTACTAAAACTGGTCAAAAACATAGGATCAGTGAGCATATTGGCAACGGACATAAACATCATGGCCATGCTCACAGTCATGCTCACACCCATACTCAAGGCCAAATGGTTAAGGCCTAGATTTGGAGACGGTAATACTACGGTATAAATGAGCGAACATCAAAGTCACCTGCCAGGGAAATGATGGTTTCTAGTTCCGATATATTTTTAAATCAAATATCACATCAAACTTTAGGTTCGTCCCTTATAGTCTGCACCTGGCCACTACCATTGTTGACACCCTCTGTGAAATTCCTCGCTTGCTCAATAAGGGCCAATCTCTGTCTCTCTTCTTGCTTCTTCTCCCTCTGATGGAACCACCGGATGACAAATATCATTAATAATTGTAAGGCGCTAACACCACACATAATGCTATATCCCATCGTAAACTTCGGCGCATACTTGGAGGTATTCAAGATGACGACTGTATCGAATGTTTTGTTAGCGTTTAGTTCCTTATAGCATATAACACTATAGGTTCTTGCAAAAGGAAGAGACAATGGGGCACAAACCAGGGACCCAGGCAACAAACGCCTGTCCAAATGTCTGCGCAACGCCAATGACAATTGCTCTTTCTTCCGGATCCTTGGCACAAATTTCATTGGCCCACGCCTGTTCTCTTGTATCAGCAAAAAGCCAAGCATACATACATTAGACAATGTCAACTAAAGACTCACGTATTGAATAGGCCAGAACCCCCAACTAGCACCATTTAGTAGATACCCAAACAGTGTCGCTCCGAATCCCGGTCCAACAGCTACTATAATCATCCCAACAAGATTGACTATTCCCGGAATCAGGAGAGCTCCCCATCTGTTTCCATCAAAGCCGTCAGATATCCAGCTATATGCCAGTGTGGTTACCAGACCAACCGCTTGGGCTGCAGTAGGAATGAGGTTGACTTGGTAGACCGAGAAGCGGTCGAGAGCCTTAAGCCAAACAGCGAAGTAGTTGAGGGGCTGCGTCACAATGCACTGGAAGATAAGCGCGGCTGTAAATGCATATATCGGCCAATGTGTTAGTACACGCTTGATCTTCGACCATGTGAGGCGAGTAGGTTGTCGACGATCAAAGAATTCCATCCTTTTGCGGGCAAATTCAACCTGATTTGGTTTCAACCAGCGAGCTTTGCTTGTGTATGGATTATCAGGAATAGCGATATAGCCGTAGATACTAAATGGTAGAGATATGACTCCGCAAAATATGAAGAGCCAACGCCACCCAGCAAGCCCCAGGTGGCCATCCATGCCGTTGTAAATGCCTGCTTGGAGATAACCGCTAAACATACTTGCAGCATAGCATGCAGAATAGAAAATGGCAATCCGCTTAGACAATTCTGTAAGCACCGTCGTCAGCCATTTGATCTTCTCATGCGAATAAAAAGCAAAAGGATGAAATCAATTTCATTTCGACATACCCCGAGGCGTGTACCAGCTACCCATGACAGTCAAGACACCAACTGCAAACGGGCTTTCCAAGAAGCCCATAACAATCCGGAGAGCGAAAACGTCTCTCACATTTTGGACAGCAGCGAAGCAAAATGTAATGATGGACCACAACAATTCGCATGTGGGTAACCAATATGACGGACGAACTACGTCTTTATTAGCCGCATGATTATCAAGACATGTTATGTAGCAAGGTGAAAACCAACCTCTAGTCAGAACAAGCTGCGATGGCACTTGTCCAATACAATAGCCGATAATGAAATACGTCGAGAGTAGATTGTAATCTGCCCCTGAGAAGTTAAGATCCTCTTTCATACCAGACACATATGCATTCGCTAATTTGTGTTAGCCTTCTCCTAATTATTAAATCAAAAATGTTGAATATCTACTTACTAACATTGGCCGAGTCCAAAAGTCGAACAAAGTACCCAATCGTAGCCCAGCTCCTATCATACCAGTTAATATACGGCTATTATGAATGGAAGCTTGGAAATGGGGGGATAATGTCAACGAACATAATGAATATGTCAAGTCTTCGGACCAAATCTCTTTCCTCTTTGGTCCGATCTCCGCCATCCCAAATGATATTTTCGATCCGCTGCCATCGTGTGAGCTTTGGCTTAGAGGATGTATGGAGATTCTCGGGATCTGCGTGAGTGCGACCCTCGGCCACCGGGACAGCACTCATTTCGCACCAAGGATATCCAGCTTTACCGATGAATCACCACCTTCGAAGCGAAAAAGCAGAAAATTGGGTAGGTGAGAGCAAGGAAAAGAAAAGAAAAGAATGATCAAGAAATAAAACTGTTGTCTTTAATAGTACTGCTAGTATTATAAAATCTGTTTTGCTATCGCATTACGTGATTGGCGAAAATCGGAGAACTTGAAAATTTCAGCGGCTAGCACGTTACCGGTTAGCGCGGTATCATTCCGTACGTCAATACCCCCAACGACATGTTAGAATCCGAGAAATAGAGCCATTGAAGTTGTTCACTTGGCAATAGGACTGAGAATACTCATTATGATGTTTATTTTACCCTTATACAAGGTTTGCTTTAATACGATCCCTGGATAGTTGAGGGTCAAGGCCGTAACGATAAGAATGCGGTTATCCTCGGCTAAACCCGTCCCGTGCTGTGCTCGTCAACCCCAATTTGAGTACAAGAAATTGCTGCATATACTGTATTAATGTTGTAAATATCTGTATTTTGATATAGATATGCAAGAATAGGAGTCTATAGTGGTGTCTAATGCAATAAAACCAAAAAGCGATCTGCTTACGACGACTAAACAGCGTAGAGCACACGACGCCGAGCGTACATATACAGAGCATTTGAAATATAAATATCGAAACCGACATTCAAATGTTGAGCGATGTCGAAACCAACCAACGTTTGAAGAGGAGCATTCAAAATGAGGAACCAAGAAATTTTAGGATTGAGCACATTTCTCTTCTCTCAATACTTGAAGCAGCAAGGTTTAAATGTGCGCTTAAATACTTAAACACCGCCGCCCTTTGGTTGCAATAGAAAATCCGAATCGTTCTCCATCATGGCTCTCCGTAGTGCCTCCTGCCATTCCCTCTCCATTTTTCCTGCGACATCAAAATTACCACCTTGCCCATTCGAATCCTCTTGAGAATACCCAAGAATACCAAAAGAAGACTGCACGGGACTTTCACACCCCTGCAACCCAATGAAACGACCAAATCTTCGGCGCTTAGTGGCAATGTCAATGGACTGCTCAAAGTCCGTGCCGACCCAGGCTGGAATGACCTTCGGATACTCAAACGTCTCTGGTACTGGAGGCCAGACCTGATGGTAGTGACGAGCTAGATCATCTAATAGCTGGTTCGAGAGCAGATGGTACTCAAGAATCGACTTGGGGGCATCGGGGTGTGGGAGGGCGGTGGTGATGGAGATGAGAACTGCCAGTCTCCTGGAAAAATGGTTCAATGTCGGCTTAAAGTGAGGGTTGATGCTATGCTCGTTTGTTCTGATCATTTTGGCCATTTCTGGTAGGTTTTCTAGGCCTGCTGGCAATTTTTCAGAGGGACGAGGTTCAGTAAAAGAGTCTCGACGGCCGTTCTGGTCTTGGGAAAAGGGTTTTCCACCCATTTCATGATTTTCAAACATTTGAATACCTTTCAAATTTCTATATTGCTGTTTTTTTCTTCAGTAGTATAAGCTGTTGATAGATATGATATTGTGTCGCGACTTCTTTTAGGTTAGTGTGATTGAATGTGGCGCATAGACACGTTTAGCCTAGACTTCTCTATATCTGATCAAATAGTAATATTTATATATGTGTTAATTTGCATCTTGCGAGTTAGCCTGTCTAATCTTATTCACTTAAGATGGAGAGGATAGATGAGCCTTTATAGTAATCGTCCATTGACGTTATCATAGCCACTAAGAACTGACACAATGAAGGTGCTGCAAAACTGGCATACAAAGAAGGAACCAGAATAACGAAATTTGACTAAGAAAATACCTCTCATTGTTATTCAACGTTTCATATCAATCCAAAACGTTAATCAAAGAATTCGTGTGTGCGTTTAGTAGCATTGTATTTTTTGCATACAATCCGCATTCATAGTAAAACACAGACACGTGTCCATGAAAATGTATAATATCACCTGCCAAACAAAGACGCAAAACGCTTAGAAGGAAAGTTTTGGTGGTAAAAAGAATGTAGACAATGCTAATAGGGCATATCCAAATATGTAAACTATGAAGTTCTGGTTTTCCTTTTATCCTTTTACACATTGTCTTGGAAATGCAGAATTTGTCCCTATTGCATCTATCTATCGCAATGGTATGCTGGTTATCTTCTTCTCGGTTGCATCAACCCGAGGAAAGATAGCTTCGTGATGGGTCGTTGATAGTGCAGGCAATCCGACGTACTTATTGATCCAATTAATAACGGAGTAATGCCAGACCAAGGAGTTCTCGGGCTGGAGCACCCAGTGGTTCTCATCCGGGAAGGTTAAAAATGCACTCTCGACGCCTCTCATCTGCAAGATATTGAAAGCAGCAAGCCCCTCCGCGATGGTCAATCGATAATCTAATTCGTTATGTATAATGAGATGTGGTGTTTCCCAGTTTGCGGTAAATCGAGAAGGATCCCATTTGTGCCACTCATCAGGAACCTTCCACAACGGTCCCTTCAAATCAGCGAGTGGGAAGTACTGCTCTTCGCTAGCTGTCTGGGCGACCATGTTAAAGACACCATCATGAGTAACAAGAGCCTTAAATTTGCGACCGAGTGGGTGACCTTGAATCCAATTCATCATGTAGCCACCATATGATGCTCCCAAGGCGACGGCTCGATCAGTATCGACATATTTCAGATTCTGTTTAATATAATCGAATCCTCTTTCGAGGTCGAGGTAAGGAAGTCCACCCCAGCTGCCTTGAATGGCGTCAGTAAATTCTTGGCCATAGCCAGTACTTCCAGTTGGGTTTGGAGTGACCACAACGTAGCCTTGCTCAGCGAACACAGCTGGATTCCAGCGTGTGCTCCAGGAGTCATTCCAAGCAGCTTCAGGACCACCATGTATTAAATATGCCAAAGGATACTTTTCGTCAGGGTTGAAATTAGAAGGTTTGATAACGAATGCGTGAATGTCTGATTTTTCGCCTTTGTACCATATTTCGTCAACCTGAGATCGCGACAAGCCAAGAGCAGATCCACCACGGCTGGCAGAAGATAAGACCTTTGCTTCATCTGGACTCTCTGGATCAATTATTGTATATATACTTGGCTCGACCAAGCTGCTGCTTGAAACAAGGAGTAGGTTGGAGTCTTTCGCGAGGGGAGAAACGCCAGTCACAACACCGACGCTGGTGAGCTTTTTTAAATCGCTCGGCTTTGCTTCCAGAATATTTTCGATTGAAAGCTGATATAACACTCCTCTTCCTTTTTCCTCAACGGTGACAAATAATGACTTGTCGTCTTGAGCCCATGAAATCGAACTTGGACTCAAACTCCACTGTCCCTGCCCATCCTTGGACTCAAAAACCTCGAGGAGCTGACCACTCCAAGGATTTGGGACGAAAATAATGCGATTTTTGTCTGCTTCATGGCCATCCTTCTTCTGGACCAAGAATGCTATCGAACTCCCATCTTTTGAGAGTACTGGGGATGACATGGCACCTTCCAGCCCCTTCATCTGACATACTTTGGCCTCTCGAATGCTGAGGTCAGTCCATGACGGCATCGGGCAGTAGTAAAGAATACAGGCAGTGTGAGTAGCTGGGTTAAGCGCTGGATCCTTCGCAATGAAAGCTACCGCATTTGGGCTGATAGCGAAATGATCGGTACCGCCGAAGGGAGGAATAGGTGTTTCAACGCCATCAAGTCCCGAAACAGCGAGCAGGTTGGTAAGTCCCGAGGCCGCGTATCTCTTAACCTTATCTGATGCCGTTGGTGAAGGGCTTTGTAATAGTCCATACCACAAGGAGTTCTTCTGGGGCACTACATATGAGTCCCAGTGTCGAACCCAAATTGAGGTGTAGTATTTACCACTACTCAAGGGCTTCTTTGCATCTTTGGGATTATAAAGCGTCCCATCGGGATTTGCTTTACCGGAAACAACGAATCCAGTCTTTCCTGGCTCAATTGTTGTCAACTTCAAGTCAGATACCGGCCCCGGCACGGTCCCAGCTGTGTAGGATCTCCCAGGGTCCCGAGCATCTCCAATTATAAAGCTGGTGTTTCCGTTATCCTTCTCCTTCAACCAAACCAGGTAATCCCCATCGTCCAGCCATTGAGGGTTGCTAGCTCCCGCATCGCTCGTAACCACGGAGCTATGGCCGGACTCAAGGTCAATCACGCGGATCTCATTTGTTTTGCTGTGCGACGAGAAGGAATATGTCGTTTGCGTGTATACGGCTAAAGTACCCGATGAATTTGGGACGGCGGGGGAGCGTCGTGGTGCAGACAGTAGCACTCTACGCAACAGTTTGACTGTCAGTGAATACTCAAGGAAGGGAAAATTGAGTTTGGAGTGGCATACTCGGGGGTGAACTTGGCAGCCCTGATAGTCATGATGCCTGGTTCTTCTCTAAACTTTTGACGAATAACGATAGGACGAGGCTGCAAGATAGTTTCTCACAACAGAACGAGCTTCTCTTGATCAGGGTATATAGGTATGTACAGTTAGAGAAAGGCCATGGCTGACCCAGGCAACGAAGTGTAAGTGAGGGGACCTGGCAAGCAAAGGGCGGGGCACGCCAAGTGGAGACCGTCTCAGCCACTGAGAGCCATCGTCGGTGATTTGGCTAGGCCCTGACCGCCTGGAAAGTCAGGCCGAAACTCTGAGTCCCTGTTGCCACTAGATATCTACCACGTTATACCAAGGAACCATGTTGGCCCTCAATATAGCAAAATAGAGATGTAAACAGCACAAACATTAGGATGGGGAGGGATATATTTTGAACGAAAAAACATATTTTAATGTATCCGGCCTGTATCCATAAACTACGCCTTAAGATTACATGAAAGCAATAAATATAAAAACCACTCAATGTTACATGCAAAAATTTCTAGTCTTCAGTTACATGTATCAGCATCATCGTGCTCACTCCTCTTCCTCCTCGCTTTCATCTTCATCCATTCCCTCGGCTGCGGTGACGGTGAATGTTGGATCTTGGTCCACACCAACATAACTATCACTCATTAAGTAGAGCGTCAACTCATGTTCACCAGGGGTCGGCACAATATATTCCAAACGCGTCTCCAGTCGGCGACCAATCGTGACGCGCTTAATTGCAAGAAGGCTCTTTGTCTTCTCCTCGCCGACGACTAACCACCAGTTTTCCATTTTCTTGTTGGGGTAGAATGGTGCATGGACAGAGGTATCAGGCTCCTCGTCCTCCTCGATGTCGCGTTCGACCTTGATCTTCAAGTAGGCCGGATCGCCTGCAGTGATGCTTTCAGGGTCTTCAACATGGAAGTCAAGCTCAATATTTGGGTATTTGTCATTTGTGAATGCTGCGGCTTGGGCCAGCTGTTTATTGTCCAGACCAAGACGTTTGATGAGAGTATTGTAGTCTTTATTCTCAGAAGGATCCATGGCTTCCATAAATTCAAAGATATCATTGATCCTAAAATCAAATCTGTTAGTTAAGGTCCATGATAAAGATTCAAAAGGTACATACTTGAACTCATTCGCCACCTTGATAACTTCGGGAGTAAAGTGAGGAATCTGCTTGAGAGGGCTATCCCGGTCCCACATTGACTGAACAACCATCTGAGACATCTCCATGGCGCTCATTGCATTTAGATGACCTTCTGATGATAAAACGTCCACACATGCACTAAGTAAGTTGAGCACTTTTCCAACAATAACTTCTTGGTCTTTGGCAAGGTCAATCGGTAGCTGCATCCGTGAAAAATGGGCTTGGAGCAGCACGAAGGCCTTGAAATGCGGCGAGTCATAAGCGGGCTCTGACATCTTCACGGGAACTCGCTCGTATACTCGTCGTAAAATGTGGTCCTCGTGTCTACGCATCTGGATTGATTCGAATTCCGTCGCAGATGTGACGATCTCCAAAATACCCTTGAGCTTTGTGCGAGCAGAGAGAGATAGCAAGAATGTCTGCATAGTGATAAAAGAGATATTGTAGTATGCAGAGATCATGGCAGCATTCAATGGTGAGACACTATCATCTTCTTCGTCCAGATCAATGATCTTGGCTTCTGATAGTTCTTTCAACGTGTTTTCGACAAGCTCGGACAAAAATGTGCTCAATCCCTCGTGGCTAACATCAGTAAGACCGTAAAAGCTAGGGTTGGCAAGGAGGCGACGGTAGAAATAGGTATATGTCATCCAATCGACTGCGTCCTGGGTAGAACCAATCGTCTTGGTGCTGACTTCGGTTACAAAGGCGTCGTGAAGGGCCAAAGCAAGACCTGATTCGAGAGGCAAAGCTTCGGCCAAGAATCTCTTATAGTAAGGCCGCTTGGTCTCGGACACCATTAACAAACCGCGTCCGATTTTGTCCTGTCCAGGGCGCGAAGCCTTTCCAAACATTTGAAGGATTTCGCTAATTGGATAATCAATGTAGCGATGCTCTCTGCCTTCAAAGAATTGAGTTCCCATGACAATAACCAAGTGAGCAGTAAAGTCAATCTCCCAGCAAACATCTCGAGAAGCCAACATGACTTGAATAGCTCCTATACTGAATAGGTGCGAAACGATACGTTTGTCATTGGTGCTCAGAGCTTCGTGGTAGTAACCAACGCCATGGGAGATAGACTCGGCTAGCGTCCTTTCGTGCAGTCTTTCAAGTAGAGGAGCAATTTCATCGACATCAGCGTGGAGAAAGCGATCTTCGTTGTCATCTGCGACACAGGCAGCCAAAATGTCGATGGCGGTAGACCGGACTTGTTTACGGCTCGGGACGAATACAAGTGCCGGTTTATCAGGTGAAAGCTGATGAGCTATCGCGTGATAAACAGGTTTTGCCATAGCCATCATGAGTGAGGGAAAGTGAGGTATAGTGTACGACTGGATATGTAATTCCAAGGGAATGGGTCGTGAGCTTGGGCTGAAATTGTAGATAAAATGGCGATTAGCCCCAATCCATTCGCCAATGTCGCGAGCTGTATTGTACAAGTTAGTATAAATAATTATGATGTTGGAGATAATGTGACGGGAGATAAACGTGATTCACTTACCATTTGATAGCGGCACACTCAAACCGATCAACCTCATATCGCTCTCTGTTTGCAACTTGATAAATTGCATCCTGCTGACAACAATTTCATATGTGTAGCCCAGATGTCCACCGACGAGATGAAGCTCATCCGCGATGAAAAGCTGAACTGTTTGAACGTTCTTTCTCCTTTGCCATTGACGGGACAGGACATCCCATTGAACAGGTGTCGCCAACACCAGATCTGCAGACTCCAATAATTTCAGATCCGCAGTCGTTTCTCCTGTTAATTTAACAACAGTCTTACCGCCAGCAACAGGACTCAGTCGCTTATTCCAGTCATTGAACCGCTGGTCTACAAGTTCCTGGAATGGGGCCACATAGACTGCACGACCAGAATTGCCTTGTCCCCAATGACGTAAAAGGGCTAGCTCGGCACATACTGTTTTTCCGCTGCTGACTGGGGCGGCAAGGAAAACTGCCTCGTCGGATTCAAACAATGTCTTAAAAGCCTGGCTTTGAATTCGGTTGAAAGTTTGCCATGGATAGAGACTTTTAAAGTCGTCACGTTTCAATGCTTGAACGGGTACTCGTTGGATGTCAAGCAGAGGCGTGTGAGGAGGGAATCGCTCGGGAAGAATGAGCTTCTGGAATGAGACTGCCACCTTGGTCTCGGAGTGCATCCATCGATCAGAGGTTATATGGAGGAAGTAGTGAGGAGGTATAGGATCGGAGATGGGAACAGTGAATTCCATAATATGGTCAGTCACCTCTCCCTGAGTATATTCACGGCGGAGCATAAATTGGTCGTGGAAAAGAATTTCCTCTCCGTCGCAGTCCTCAACTAGAACCCAGAAGCTTTCTGCAGCTCCGTGTATCGAGTCGTCCCAAACGAAGTTAGGGGTGATGGTGAGCTCAACACGGAGCAGTGATCTAGTCATCGGCTGTACTTGAGCTTGCACTTCGAGACGTGGGAATTTAGAAACTAGGTCGCACACAATTCGACCAGCTTTGGGCATACCAAGGAGCTCACCCATGCGTGGAGGGTCAAGATCAAAATAGCTTGGCCATGGTACGTCAATTCTCTCCGCTTTTTGCATTATGTCGCGTGGGCATGAAGGGAACTGGCGCAAGGGAGTCATTGTCGGCCACATTCGTTTCTCTGCCATTTTGCACAGGTTCAGGGCAGTTTTAGCAACAGACGACCAACCCTTCTTGAGACTGATTTCGAATATAGCCCGGAGTAGCCGACCGGCTGATTGTGTTACGTAAACCATGTCCGCCATCAAGGCCAGGCCTTCAAGCTTCAGTCGAGAAATATAAGCTTGGAGAAGCACATTAATCTTGGCGTGAGGTTCCTCAATGCCTTCTTTGACAGGTACAGGCACCCGACCCAGTAGCTTAGCGAGTTCTAATTTCTCGTCTTGGCGAACTGGGATGTACTTGAATTCTTCACTTAGCGAAAATATCCTGAACAGTTCCACTGTGCTGATACCTGGTTGAAGGTGGTGGTTATATATCTGCATAGAGGTATGGCTAATATAATAATGAGAGGCGACTCGTCCTAGTTCAGTGGACTGGAGCTTGCCAGTCTTTTTGTCATATTTGACCAAGCCAGCTTTTTCCAGTAAAATGGCAGCAGAATGAATAAGATCAATACGCTTTTGCTCCAGAACATCATCTTCGGCGTAATCAGCACCGACACTGTATAACCCAGGTGATCGAAGCATTCGAACGTAAAGATATGTGTATCCGAGCCATTCCATCCCGTCGTTACGGTTGCGAATGTTGCCAAGTACGACCTCGGCATTTAAGTTGTCGGCAAGTTTGCTGATCAACTGACTTTCGATTGGAAGCTGTTGGTTAAGAAGAGAAAGATAGAATTGCAACTCATTTTGAGTGGTGATGATGGTACCTAGACCTTCGGTGTCATACTGCGGACGACCCGCTCTGCCCAACATTTGCAGGGTGTCCTGAGGGCTTAGCTGAACGAAAGATCCATGCTCTGGAGAGTAGACTTGGGTTCCTTTGATAAGAACCGTATGAGCAGGAAGATTGACGCCCCAGGCCAACGTGGCCGTACAGACAAGGACTTGAATACTGCCATCACTGAACAAACTTGCTACCGAATCTCTGTCAGCCAAAGAAAGGCCAGCATGATGAATACCAAACCCGTAAGGGAGGATATCTTTGAGAGCAGCATCGTCAACATTCTCAGCTTCTTCGGCAAGAATCGCCCGGCTTGCTGCATCGCTGCGCAAAATTTGGCCGATTGTTTCCATTTCGATAGACTTGTCTCTGATATACCGAGCGGTTTTGGCTGTCTCTTTGCGGGAATGCACGAATATAAGCATCTGATGACCTTTGGCGCAGTTCTCCAAGACTTTGTTATAGCAAACGTCATTCATTGTTTTCAATTGCTTGATCGCCTTTTTGTCAGTAACGCCGATGAACTCTTGCCTCAATGGGCAGGGGCGATAAGAGCCATCGAAATGGAATAAAGCTTTTGTAGCGTCCACGCGTAAGAAACTAGCCACATCCCTGTAGTTAGGGAGTGTTGCAGATAGCCCGACAATTCGGGTCGGCTCGTCCGTGGTTTCGCTTTGACGTAGAGTCCTGCTCACAATAGCTTCCAACACCGGTCCACGGTCATCGTGCAAAAGATGAATTTCGTCAATGATGAGGAGGCGAACAAGCTTCGTATAGCTGGAATCGGTTGCTTTCCGAGTGATGATATCCCACTTCTCAGGGGTAGTAACAATGACTTGAGTGTCAGCAATTTGCTGTTTCGTCAGTTGGCGATCACCAGTCAACTCGGATACGCGAATACCGTACGGCTCTAAACGTTTGCTGAAGTTGCCGACCTGTTCTTGGACTAAAGCTTTCAGTGGGGCGATGTACACGATCTTGAAGTCATCCAGCATGATTTCTCCAGTCTCCGGGTTGCGGTTCTTGCCAATTTCACGGAGCATTGTTAGCATAGCGACGTTGGTCTTTCCAGAACCAGTGGGAGCGCAGACAAGCATATTGCCATCATCGTGGAAGGCAGTAGGGTAACACTTGGTCTGAATTCGATTAAGTTCTTTGGATGAGCCAAAGCCCACTCGGGCCCAATCTGGGAGCTCGGTCGTGGGAAGATTCTTTTCTCCAGGATCGCGCCTTGATTTGGGAGGTGGCACATGTATTTCTTCGTATCCCTTGAAAGTTCTCTTCGTGGAGCCTTGAGGAAGTTTGACATTGGGGTTAGTCATCAAGTGATTTCCTTGGTCAAATTTCAAAGATTCGAGGTTAATCAGACGAGTTGGCAACAGGCCGCCCGGTGGAGGCTTGGCTTCTGTTGGTTGGGCTCCATCTGGGGCAGCTGGAAGATCAAGATCCATTAAATCCATCTTAATCTTTTTTCCCGGTCGCTGACCTTCTTCTGCAGTACCGGTTCGTCCAAGAATCTGATCCAGTATGTCACGGTGGCCTGCTTCTACCATCTCACTCTCCACAAGAAGACGGGCGTCATTGTCCTCTGCAACCCTTCGCCATTTGGTAACCCATACAATTCTGTCTCGGTTTCTAACCAGTGTCGTAACCAGATCTGGGTGATCGTAGTCGAACAATTCCATCAAATCGTTTTCAATGTCACGAATTTGTCGCTCGCCTCCTTCATCAGTCTTGCCATCGAGAATATCTAAAGCTGATCGGGCCGCCTCAGTTGTTTGATGCTCATCCTGGAAGATCGCGCGCAGTTGTCGTTGTAGCCAATAAGCATCGATGTCACGAACTGGGACAAGATTTTTTGACGCAGCGGCCACTTTGGCGCCTGTCAGTCCGCCACTGTCTAAGATCATATCTTCGTCTTCATCAAGGCCAGTCTTGTCCGTAGCAGCGCCACCAGCTGTGGCAGCTTCTTCGGCACCAGGTCGATCCTCGATATCAGAGGCGTCTTCATCGGATTCATCATCATCGCGTACCTCATCAATGCGTCGGAGAGCACCCTCTTCTTCGTCTGATTCATCAAAAACGACTGCAACACCTTGTCTCTCATCAAGTTCGGCTTCATTCTCTCCAGCAGCACCATCTTCCATATCTTCATCTTCGTCCTGCGCGTCGTAATCGGTGATCTTTTTGCCCAAATTGACGAGCTCATTGAATTCTTTAGGGTTCATTGTTGATCCCAGCAAATCGTCGATTTCCTTTTTCTTATCGAAGTCTTTCATGTTTTCGTCCTTCAGCGTCTCCAAAACGGCATCTGCCGCACTTCGCACAACCTCATGAGGGACATCTCCAAGATGATTGGCAGTCATTGTGAGAATCAAATCATAGGTCGCTCTAGTGGCCGGTGTTCGCGGGCGATATTTGAGGCCTTCGATAACCATGTCAGCTGCTGAAAGAATACCGGCTCCTCGAAGCTGATCCTGCTCCCCGCGCTTCCTCTTGCGTTGTTCGCGTTCTAAGACATCTGCGCCTTCGGCGATAGCGCCTCGTTCAATATCAACATTCCCTGTCGCGATTTTTTTATTTTTCGGTGCTTCGTCGCGAGCGATTCGGTTTCCCATATCTCGTATATTGATCCGACCAGCAAGGGACTCTGGGTCACCTGTAGCATCATCTCCGGGGCGCGTAATAAATCGACGATCGGCTTGGAGAACCAAGTTACTCATCGCCCTAGTAATCATTAGGAACACTTTTCCACCGTGCGCCGAGTGTGTAACTCACGAGTATTTATATTGCGCGACATTGTTAGGGTCCGCCATTTTGGCGACTGATTCAATTGTTAATTTGCTTATAAATAGGTGTTATACTGCTAGAAGGAAGAACAGATTGGGAGACCCAGAACCGCTGAATGAGTGAATGGCGTCACGGTAATCACTCAAGACGTTCTTGTCGCAAGGTATTGAAAACTCTTGCCGCTCAATGTTGAGCTCCGCACCGGTGGCGCGTTGGACAGCTTCGAGCTTCCAGCTGTCAAGCACGGCGTAAATAAAGCTTTCCACTTATTAAATAGTCATTCTCCTGCAGCTAGAATGCGGACAGGAGTGTTGGATGGTAAAGCCGCCGGGGATATATGGCAAGGGAAAGTTGAACGTTGAAAAGACAAACTTGGGAAGGTTCGGGCGGTGGAGGTTTTTGCGATTCTGCCGGTAACGCTGATTGGTGGTAATGGCAGTGTGGGGATTTTCCATCAGCAAAGAAAAGCATGAAAACACCAGCTCACAATATCAGATAGCTGATATGACAAACCATTACCATGCTTGTCCGAGCTTCTCATGGCAGATGGCTAATCAATACGGGCTTTAAATCTGTCGTACTCGGGGTTCCTGCTACTTCTCGCGAGAGCACCATTAGAACGATATGCGCGAATGCGCGACGACGGCCCACTTTTCGAGCTCCATATACACAGACACCAGCAACCTTCACAAGAGGCGCAAAGAAGACGTCGAAAACGAAGTTGAAAGACCTTCCACAAGGTGCTTTGAAGCTTGAAGCTTACGATGATGGCTCCGATGATGCACCTCGTTATCCTACCGTTGTGCAAGGACACAGGAACAACATGGAGAAATTCAAGAACTGCATTGTCCTAACGCGAGTAGGAGGCTTCTACGAGGTATGTTTGCGTGCTGAGGACAAGTGGATATGCTCCTAATGAGAGAAGCTTTATTTTGAGCAAGCAGAAGAAATGGCACCTCTCCTCAATATCAAACTCGCATCGAAAAAGACCAATGCAGGCCCAGTCCCAATGGCTGGTTTTCCTTTCTTTCAGCTAGATCGCTTCCTTAAAGTGCTCGTGCAAGATCTGAATAAATACGTGGCAATTAGCGAAGAGTTTATGAATCCAGTTGAGGAAAAGTCGAAATCTGGGGGACTTTTGTTCGACCGAAAGGTGACCAGAGTCATCACGCCTGGCACTCTGATCGACGAGAAGTTTATCGACACGTCACAGAATAACTTTCTTTTGTCAATATACGTGAATACTGATTTTCCTGGTCCTAAGAACGGCGATGATAGACAAAATACTGCTGCAACTCACATTCTCTCCTCAGGTACCCAACGGGTTGGACTCGCCTGGATGGATTTATCTACGGGGGACTTTTACACTCAAGTCACTACAAGCCAGATGTTGCCATCGGCGATTGCTCGCATTGGTGCACGGGAGATTGTAGCCGACCAACGCCTACAAAATCTCTTGGGGCAAGAACTGCGAATGCTTGTAGGCATAGATGACCAGCTTCTTACTTTCTTCGATGCCCCACAGACTTCCAAACCAATGTCAGAATGGACGCCTATGCTAGAGGCTCCTGTCTCACCAGACTTGGAGTCAATATTCACTAGTGAAGAGGTGGCCGCCGGTTTCAGCCTCCTCGAGTATGTTCGTATTCAACTCCAAGGCGTTGACATGAAGTTACAACCACCTCGGCAGCGACATTTAGAGGAGTCGATGGGAATAGACCGCAACTCTCTCAGAGGGCTAGAAATTCTGGAGACTGCTCGAGATGGTTTAGGCAAGGGTAGCTTGCTTCATGCCGTGCGCAGAACCTCCACGAAAAGTGGTGCCCGACTTCTTCGGGATAGACTAAGTAAGACCGTGTCCCACACGCTTCTCAACAATCTCTAACCAGTCATTCTAGCTTCTCCATCAACCTCTTCATCTGTCATAAATGAGCGCCTAGATCTCGTCGCTTATTTTATTGAGAATGAGGAAATACGAGAAACAGTTGTCCAACTTTTTAAACGGAGCTACGACTCACAAAGGTTGGTGCAGAAGTTCACATTAGGCAGAGGAGATCCCGATGACTTGATATGCTTATCGAGGGCTATCGAAGCCTCTCGTGAGGTTCGTCGCGTATTATCAGACCAGCAAACCCTCACAGGTTCTATCCCTGAATCATATCGTAAAAGTATGAGTGCGTTGATGAACAGGATGCTTCTTGATGGCCCAACAGAGCTTGCAGAAAAAATACTAGCTGCCATTGACGAAGAAGGGCTACAGCAACAGCAGCGCATCGAAGAAAGCAATGCTGCCGAAGCTGCAGGCCTCGCACAAGAAGTTGCCCTAAGTGAAGGTCTCCCTGAAGATATTAATTCGATGCCTAGAAAAGTTCGTTTCAAAACGACCGGTCGACCAGGAGTCACAGTCGAATCCGATAGAGGGGACGTCGACACGTGGATAATGCGACGCGATGCCAGTCCTACCTTAGGAAGGCTACATGACGACCTTGATGGCTTGAAAACAGAAAAAGCTGATCTTACTACCCGCTTGCAAGAACAAGTCGGCTCATCTGGATTGACACTCAAATGGACACCAGGCCTTGGTTATATTTGCCACGTGAAAGCAGCAAAAATATCGCAGCAAGCATTGGAGGAACTCGGTGTGACCCGTAACGTCTCTTCAACAAAGAGCACTCGATCTTTCTATCTGCCAGCGTGGTCCCAATTAGGAGCGCGAATTGATCAGGCAAGGGTACATATCCGTTCTGAAGAACAACGAATATTCGAGGACTTGCGTCGAGCAGTGATTCTTAATCTTGTAAAAATCCGTCGCAACGCAGCCGTTATGGACGAGCTGGACGTCGCATGCTCATTTGCTACCCTGGCCGAAGAGCAGCAAATGGTGCGTCCCATTTTAAACAAATCCACATCACATCGCATCGTTGGCGGCAGACATCCTACCGTCAAATTAGGGCTGGAGGAACAAGGTCGACCATTTGTCAGTAACGACTGTTTTATTGATGATCAAGAGCGTGTATGGCTCATCACAGGACCAAATATGGCGGGTAAAAGCACGTTTCTACGACAGAATGCACTAATTACTATCCTAGCCCAAGTGGGCTCCTTCGTACCTGCAGAATACGCAGAGATTGGCATCGTCGACCAGATATTCAGCCGTATCGGTGCAGCCGATGACCTCTTCCGGGACCAGTCGACCTTCATGGTGGAAATGCTCGAGACGGCGGCTATTCTGAAACAAGCTACCTCTCGATCCTTCGTCATCATGGATGAGGTTGGACGAGGCACGACACCTGAAGATGGAACTGCCGTTGGGTTCGCTTGCCTGCATCACCTGTACCATGTGAACCAATGCCGGACATTATTCGCCACACACTTCCACGCTCTAGCTGATATGTCTGCTGGCTTTGAGAAACTGGGTACTTATTGCACCGATATCAAAGAGAACCCCTCCGGTTCGTTTTCATTTGTGCACAAACTACGGAGAGGAGTCAATCGACGGTCGCATGCTCTGAAGGTAGCTCGACTTGCTGGGCTTCCAGAGCGCGCAATTTCTGTGGCGCAAGATGTACTGCGCGATCTGCGATCCTCCAAGAACCAGTAGAATGAGAACAAAAATAGTCTCAAGCTAAGTGACGGCGCTTGAACAACAACACCAAGATTCTTATCTCGAACTTGATTTCTAGTTTCATATATACCCCCAGCACCAGCGATGTACATTAACTTTCTATTATTTGATACCCTCCTGTACAATACTTGTAACGATATTCTAACACTCTTACAATTTAGACAACTTTTTTATGTCATCTAACAAGTCATCCTCCTCTTCACTCAGACTCTTCAGATCAATTATTATCCCATCCGTAAACGCAGCTTCTTGGCAGTCCTCATCATCGACACCATTAACATACTGCGCGACAACAAAATCAACCCGTCTCGAACCGAGCACCACCATTGGTGCATGCCACGTACCAGCTCCATACGTAACGGCCTGTCCACCACGAGCAACAAAAGCCCTCAGATTCTCTAGATCCGGCGGATTACGTACCAATACTCGAGTTTGCGCATCATTCTCCCCCGGCGTCGTCGCCGCAGCAGCCTGTCCTTTCAACGTCGGCGCTACAATGACCAGATAAAGCGGTTCTTCCTGCTCCTCTTCCTGCTGCGCTACCCCATCAAGAAGAATATCCACATCCCCTTCCCCGTACCCCTGCCACTCGTGGCTTTTTTTATCTGGTTCTCTATCGCGGATCACGCGTTTTTGGCTCGACAGATCTAATGGGATGAACGTCTGAGTTGTGAAGGGGTGACGCTCGAGGATCCGCACATCAAAGACATGGCCCTTGGGATGGTCCTGGCTGGACACGCGGCGCGGTTTGCGTGGGAAGCAAGCAAACATGCTCAATCGAGCTTGTGCGGCTTGCCCACTGGGGCAGGCGTTCTCGTAGCCATTGGCGAGCGGCGTGATGGGGCTGATTTTGACGGCTGAGCCTTGGTTCGCGTGGACGGGGGTTGCGGGGACCGGGTGAGGAAGCTCTAGGGAGGGGAGGTTATTGGGGGCACTGGTGAGATCTCGGGGGAATGGAGTCGATATGACCGTGCCAAAGGGGGCGAAGGCCTGATGCGTCAGAGGTTCGGGGTTGACGCGGAGGAACGGTGGGGGGGATATCAGCGTTGGCGGTGGCATGTTGTTCTCACGCAGGCTGGCTAATACGATTCCGTATGAGCAGGATAATATTGTACGGATGAGGAATAGAAAAGAATCGCAGTTGAAGCTCTCTGGCTCCCCGCCAGGAAGAATGAGAATGATCAGCACTGGTGGGGACCTGCGGCGCAGAGCTCCGCCGCCGCCCAATTTAGCTTCTTCCAGCCCATACCGCATTACACCTCAAGTTGACAATTGATGCGCATTTTTGGTCTTTCTGTGGCCATCTGCTGACACCTCTCACTCGGGTAAATACTTCGGATAGGATTGGCACACGTCAGTCGATGATTAGCCTTATGGTCTCGCTGATTTGGACTGCCACGTTTCTTGTACCAATATACTAATATTGCAAATCATCAGCTAGTTATCTATCAATTAGTGTCGTAAATCCGGCTACTCGCATCAAGGTATCAACACATGCAGTTGACGAAAGCAATCAATCTACATTGGACGTTTAATATCAGCTCAAACCTGCCATATGCAAACGAAACTTGGCTTGGATCACACAACTTCGGAGTTTTCAATTCTTTTGCCGATTCCTCCCATATATCGTTGATGTTTTTCTGCACTTCGGTGACTATATATGGCTTACAGTTACACATAATTTTACCACCAAAGTGGCTGCAATAGCTTCTAATAGAAGTTTAGAGGAAATGGTTTTAAAATTGACCAAATGTAAATGATCGCGTGATCGTTGCACAATATACGTGAGTGACCTCTGTCTTTGTCTAATGCATGCAAGACTACATGTAGCATTAAGATAGCCCCCGATTCTTTGTCACGTACATATTTACCAGTTGACCTGTCAGAAACTGGAAGAGACAATGTTTTGTGGTCTGTCGATTGTGATACAACAATCGTCTTGTACTGCTTAAATGGGCAAGGGATTCATTCTGGTTTATGATATTGTTTGGTTTACATTACCGCTGGATAGCATGGTGATCGCACTTATGCGAAAACTGCTTCAGCGCGAGTACATTGGCCGTCATCTTAACGAGCAAGATTGCTGTTATACGGATATACCGAATGTAACCGGTTCAATGTTGTGTATCTATTAGCAATTGATATCTAATTAATTATGTACTGTTACAGGATACAGCCCAGTCCAGTTTAAAACATTATCTCTGGGGGACAGACTTCAGCGTGGAAGACCGGGTATATACTAGATTTGAGCATCCAACGCAGTGCTTATGTCCATATCAGTCAAGTTTTACCGAAAATTCAGTCTAGACCAGTTGACCTCCAACCCTTGTCACAAGAATACAAATACAAATAAATGGGTCAAAATTGACGAATTCCGCAAGAGCAAATTTCAAGCCAACGGATACTTACATCTTGACAGTAGGTAAACTTAGTCAGCGTATCCTGACCGCTAGCACTCCTTGCTAGACATCATTCTGCAAGAATCCGGTGCAGTCGGTCCCAGCGTTCGATGAATACATCACACGCATTGCAAAAGTATAATATAAGCATGATAGGAATTTTTTGAAGATACATTGACAGGTTGCATAAACGAAATGTTACTCAACATTGACGAAAAAGTTGTTAGATATTTCTTACTCGGTTACTCTTGATACGTATTCGTAATCATCTCCTACTAGGGGCACATTTTCCATTACGAGAATATTGCTCATGAGTCCTTGTTTCGTTTCATTCGGTATCGCAATGAGGTCTCGTAGAAGCAGCCGCTTTGTTGAGGAGTAGGTACTCTGTGCTTAGGATTTGACATAAATAGGTCTGATAATCCGGAATTTCACATTATTTTTGTTCTATCTACTTGCATCTACATGTCAAGTATCAAACAAATGTAAAAGCTCCTCTCTAAATTATTTATTGTTTCCACTTTGTGATTTTCTCTCAAAACCCATCCAACACCATGGTAGATGACTCGATTTCATATGCAACATCCGGCCCATCCAAGCCAAAACGACCATCAACCCCATCAGACACCCACCACTCGTCTGGAATCTCTGATATATCCAAAGGCAACCACGAAACAGCGTCAAATGGACCTGGAGTCGCTGGCAGCCAGACCATTCCAACCGAATTGACTGACTCGGAGCATGAAGATATCTTGATGGTTGTCCAGACCCAGTATGTCAGAGAGTTCTTCTTATCTCTCAGCCTTCTGAGATATGTATCATTTGTTCTATCGATAAGGTATGCTCACTTTATCTAGACAAGCCATAGACGTCAACCAAGACATACAACAAATTGGGTCCTGGACTGCTGTTGCGCACGTATCTAGTGAATCAGTGACTTCTCCTCAGTCTTCACCACTTCATTCTCGGAATAGTTCTTCTATGAGTCTTGTTGGGTTGAGTTATGAGTCTACGTGATATAAAACTGACGGTTTACTTTCACCATCCACCTTTAGATAGGATTTCCTAAGGCATTCGGAGGCGAATGCCCTGATAAATTTTGTGTAGTTCAATATCAAACTCTAGTTATCATTGATGTTTCATTTCCAGTTTATGTAGCATAAATAAACCTATATCAAAAAACCCCCGCCAGATGTGAGTAATTGAACCAAAAATAGACAGGCCACCCACGCACCAGGCGCATAGCAACTTCTCTTTGATAGAGCACAAGAAATGCCTTTCATGTTGGCATTCTAGCTCAACGTCACCACAATTATTAGGATTGTTGTACCATCCCTCATCCATAGCCCTAAATCTCATCTTTCAGTTAAATAGACTACCGAGAACGCTAGTAAGAGCTTCATCTTCACCGGTCTTCCCGCCAGTATTTGACGATGCCGGGCTAGCTGCCGCATTGTTACCAGCTGCTCCTGCACCTTGAAGGGCTGATATGCTGCCAGCATCGGGGTTTGTCGAGCCAGCTCCGTTCGCTGCGACAGCCACTGCACTGCTGGAGGGTTTGGCACCACCGCGACCCTTGCCATCTCCAGCCCCAGCAGCAGCACCAGCAGCGGCAGTGCTGGAGGGTTTGGCACCACCGCGACCCTTGCCATCTCCAGTCCCAGCAGCCCCAGTGGCTGCACTGGCTCCAGCTCCAGCTCCACCAGCACCAGCACCAGCACCAGCACCAGCACCAGCAGCGGCAGTGCTGGAGGGTTTGGCACCGCCGCGACCCTTGCCATCTCCAGCCCCAGCAGCCCCAGTGGCTGCACCGGCTCCAGCTCCAGCTCCAGCTCCAGCACCAGCCCCAGCACCAGCGGCGGCAGTGTTGGAGGGTTTGGCACCACCGCGACCCTTGCCATCTCCAGCCCCAGCAGCCCCAGTGGCTGCACCGGCCCCAGCTCCAGCACCACCAGCAGCAGCAGCAGCAGTGCTGGAGGGTTTGGCACCACCGCGACCCTTGCCAGCTTCAGCCCCAGCAGCCCCAGCGGCTGCACCGGCTCCAACTCCAGCAGCAGCACCAGCAGCACCCTTCCCTTTCCCCTGCCCACGATGCTTCCGCCTCGCATCTAACTGACTCCTGCGTCCAAACACTGGGGGCTCGGTGTACGCATCATCATGGTAAAACTCCGGTTCCCGTTTCGCTGCGACATCGGCTGCGTAGGCGCGCACAGCGTGCGAAGAGGCGAGACTTGACCCGCTTCCCTGTCACCGTACAACCTGTCAGATACCTAGCATAGAAAAGGGGAAAATAAAGAAGAAAACTATAGTATATGTAAAATAAAGAGGAAGCATACTGCGAATCCGCCCCGGAAGTTGGGAACGTCGAATCTTGCTTCAACGCCTGGGAAGGGGGATGCGCTGAGGAAGGTTAGGGCTAGGATGCCAGCGGCTTGAGCGAGACGCATTTTGTATGTAGAAAGAAATAAGTTGGTTCTGACCAGCAGATGATGAATAAATGAGAGAGAATAACAGGTATTTTATTAAGAAAACTAATAACAGAACGATGTGAAAATTGTTAGTGAGGAATGATATTTGAGAATAGGAATTAGCAGGTCGAGGCCGCTTCTTAAATCAACCCCATGGCTAGCTATAGATCCTGCAAATCATATATTTTGAGACAAAATATGTTCAGTAGCTAATACCTAGATAGGTGCATCTCTATACTTGCAACTGTTCCTGTCCCAAGCAAGCCATCATAATGATAATACGCCATATCAACCGCCAACGCTAAGTAAAACGGGACGCGGCACATTTCAAGACGAAACCGTCTCAGTATCGCCGCAAGGCCGAGACTATCAGTTATGTGATTTCGCGGTTTCTGAAAGTAGATGTTTGTATGTTTAGATAAGAATTGTGAGACTTCACTGGTTTTACAGCCTGATTGCAGGGTTGGGTGTGAGGGTTGGCCTGAGACGCTCGACTTGCCGCATTGGGCGGCCTGAAACCCTGGTAGTCGCACGCAGCTGCGGCCCGGATATAATTGCTAGAAAATGTCTTAAGAGCATTGGTATTATATTTTTGGTCCTATGTTTGGAAGTAAGATCTAGCAACCGGCCGAATGTCGATCAGACGATTTTGGTGCGAGCCAAAGCAATATGCATAAGGAAGAACCAAGTTATCAACGAATTATCAGAGAAGGAATCAGAGGTGATAAATGCGATCAGACTTAATGTCTAGGGTTAGCTACTAGAGTCTGAAGATTACTACCAAGTTACCCAATACGAATAAGAATCGAAAGAGTTGAACGTGCATATAACTAGATGTATACTAACCCCAGCCAGCAGGAAAGACAAGGTTCGCCCACAACACCAAACGCCCAAGGATTGCTCTATGCTACAGTTCCTCATTTGTTATGTATCAACAAGTTATGGAATGAGGTCCAGTGGTCAGAATCCACATAACTACACAAATTAGCAAAACATTAAGAACGAAGAAAAGATAGGAACTTACATATAAGTCATACTACTCCTAAGACTGCTGACAATAGTCTCTGGATGCCAGCGGAAGACGTACATAACGGCGGCCCAGCTGAGACTGGCAAAAGCCGGCCATGCGTTATCTTGAATCCTTGTTCGGGTTTCGGGTGAAATGAGGGATGAGAGCGGGTGCATGTTTGGTTCGACGGAAAGTTTGGCGATGGCAAGGACGACGCGAGCGAAGACGTATATGACGATCTGTATGCGGTCAGAATATTTCAATCAATCGGTCATGGTATTGTGAGTTTGACGTACCTGCTGGCTGACGCTACCTGGATTCCGACCGAAGACGATGTATCCGCCGAGAAGACCGGCGAAGAAGGTATCGTATGGTCCTTCCTTTGGTCCGGTTGGGTTCAGGTATTTCATAGCAAACATGGTGCTTTTGTAGACAACGGCAAAGGTGGCCAGATTGCGGGCGTGTTGGCGAGTCGCTTTCAGGACGAGTTTTATCTTTTCGCGGAACCTTTTAACGATATGAGCGGACAAGAACGAACAAACATTCAGAAAAGAGAGCCTCACGTTCCTGATCGGAAAAGAAAAATCATGCTGCGATCGGAAAACCCCCATCAGTATCACCTTGCACCTATTCTCGACGTGTTGGCTTACACTAGAGCATGCGGAAAGCGGACTTTTGCACCATACACAGCGCCATTGCGGGCGGCTTTGAGGAGGGTTAGGAGCGGTTTGAGATCGGGATTTAGTGCTATAGCATCGAGTTTATCCTATCGATTGAAAGAATGCGAGTCAGCGGGGTTTCTATCGCTGGTTGTATCGCAGCACTCACCATGATGGTATCCATGGCTTCCTCGGCAGAAGTCTTGGTCTACTACTGTAGACCAACTCGACTAAACACAATCAGCAAGGCGTCATAAACGAGCCTCATAAATCGCCGGGGTGTTTTCGTAGTCTTCAGGAGATAAGAATCAAGAGCCGGACATGGTAACATTAACAAAAACAGTAGCAATAGGGAGATATCGTGGGGACTGGCACTTGCGCCTGCAAATCAACATCCTCGGCATGTGAAGCTGCCGCGCTTGATTCCGGTCCGACGTCATGACACGTGACCTGTGCCGTGCCCGAATCCTCGGGCAGAAATAACCTTCCGTATCGGTCCAAATACTTAGGGCTTAGGGCTTGCTTAGGGCTGCATTGCAGGTAAATAGTATCATAGACCGCTATTTTGGCGAAACCCCCACCACGGTGTTCTCGCATGGCCAACTGGTTAGAGGCCGACCAACTCCCTTTAAAGGAACCCTGGTCGACTCGCGCGACTCACACCAACCACAAGACCGAGTTTTGCACGACGGATGGGTTCGACTCTGGGACTCACGTCCCCATTATGGCGCACATCATTGTATGTGTAGCAACGGACCGACGCTAGATAGTGTCAAAAACCGGTGTTGGACAAGGTCCACACCAAACATTGAAGACCCCCCACATATAGGACCGGCGAATGTCTTAAGGACAAACCGGTACTGGATCGCCTTAGGGCAAAACGTTAAGATGAAAGCACGTGCTGAATCTGATCGAATCAAGGAATTTACCTGAACATGACCCATCCCGAAGTAAGAAGGGTAATGTGGCTGATGAGAAGTATGATTAGTTGCGTTCCATGTGGAATGCCGTGGCAATTTTTGCCACTTATTTATTTATTACCTTGGCTAAATTTAATACTTGAAAAATATAGGCATTATTTGAAAATTTAAAACACGACTACAAGCCAAACCATCAGTACACAATCCCGCCGTTGTTCTACTATTGTTTCCTGAGATGAAGTAAAATGAAAATTCTCTCCAGTATCTGTAAAGGGAAGCCGGCTATGTATTATCGTAAAGGTAAAGTTGCAACGCTTGTTGAATCTCGCAGTGGTCCCGATAAATCTACTTCGGTCACATGGAACCCAAGCGTCTCTCTAGTTGATACAAAACATATTCTTGGACCTTTTTCCTACGCTATGTATATGAAATTTTTGCTAACCGTCTCGAACTGACTGCAAGTACGCTACAATTGCTGGGAATCTGGAGGTAAACTGAGTGGCCATTATTGACGACATTCAAGAGTCTGTATCCGACGACAACGTAGGTAGTGCTTCGTCTATAACGGCTACTTAATAGATGAACGTGCCAAATTAAGTACGGGGAATTCGAGGCTGATACAGACTTACAGCGTCCTTCCATGTAGGCACACCTCTCAGAACTATACTCGGTACCTTCCTCTCGACATACTAGCGTCATCAATAGATGTACCTGGTAGCAAGACCGCCTCGACCCAGCTTTCAGGTTTTTCTAAATTTCCATGATCGCTGGCTAGCATGGGGAACTTCTACTCGGTCACCCCATCAACTTTCACTGTTTCCGCGCCAGATCATCATTCACAATCTGAGATAAGAGACGCCGGGTCGTCTTGAAGCGAGCTCGGCTTCGCCTTGAAAGTATGGGCATTGCGAGCCACTACAGTGAGACTACCAACTAACAAGTTCTAATAAAAAGAAAATACTAAAGTTTATCATTCCAAAAACCCAATATACACGCGAAGGTTATTTATCTTACATAGTAGTTTCCATATCTGGTGAAATATTAATTATGAGAGCAATGGATTTGCTAGGCTTGGAATATACATACATTCGTATAAATCACCTTAGAGATGTTAATCGAATGCTCTGGTCTGGTGATAAAAAGTAATGGTATTATCAATAAAGAGCATGAGGATTATTTCGTTCCTAACGAAATGCATTTGCTGTTCATTGAACTGTAAAATCCGAATTAGTTCAGTTAAAGAAAAATGAAATAGAGGCTCTTGGTGGTACCTAAACAGATGTGATAATAAAGTATCAAAGCATCTCTACTATTCTACACTGTTCCTGATTTGGTCTACTAGAAATTCAACAATCCTTTTTCTTGTCAATCCATTCCTTTTTTAGCAATAACTGTTCATTTCCCAACTTTCTTTTCAATAGAAATTATCTCTGCAAGGAAGACTGTATATCAAAAATTCATTATACGTGTAACATATGAATGAAACAATTCTGTAGAGACATAAAGAGCGGCGTCTTTAATGCTCGTTTGAAAACCCTGACCGCGTGGGAGAATTGGCTTTGTTTCTTATCCCCACTCAGGCTGAGATACTGGTGAACATCATGGAGAGCAGATGATTTCTTAGAAGCAGTTAATCTGACTATCTTGTCCTGAGTTTTATTCTTCTTCATTCTGCCTATTTTCTAATCAGAAGTTCTTTTCCCTCCATTCTCTCGCCTACTCGTTCTCTATCTCAGAAAGTCTGCTTGCATTTATGATATTTGCTGACTGACTTACCTCATTTAACAAAACTGTTGGAATCTTTTAGAGAAACGAAAGAACAGAGAAACGAAAAAGAGATCACTGGGCTTACATTGAAAGATGGGGGCTCAAATTTCTTCCTCGACAAATGATCAAAATCAAGTATGTTACAAAAAATAACCTCCGAGCTCTGAGTTCTTTATGCATGTGGCAAAAAGCTTGTTCTAATCAAGTATATATAGCATTGGGTGGGCTGTTTCAACAATCTTACTTTGCCGAGTTCTCCTACAGAGAGTACTATCAAAGACTATCTGCGAAACACATTCATTCCGAACGAGCTCATTCGAATACGACGGAAATCGAGAATGGTTGGAAATGATAAAGGTCTTAGCATCGTCGATGTCATCCAGGAAAGACTTGATGCCCTTGAAAGTAGGGCCGAAATCCGAGAACAAGAAACCAAATCTCTCAAAGCTAATATGAAATCTCTCAAAGCGGATATCAAATCTCTCAAAGCGGATAACGAATCTCTCAAAGCGGATAACGAATCCTTCGAAAGCGAGATGCAGCTAATTCGTATCCCTGAGCTCTTACGATTTCTTCCCTCAGGCCAACGACCGGACAATCGCCAAAGGAACCAACTCGTCCATGGGGCAAATGTTAAATTTGACCTTTCATTTCTTGATTCCTTGTCAACAAAAAACTTGAGTTTCTTATCCAATCACAGGCTGCAGATTTCTGATCTAGACAAAGCCTTCAACAAGAGATATGAGAATAATCCCGGAATTTTTCGAAGAGAGATGTCGGACACAATGGGAGAGGTGATCAACATGAGGAGCAATCTTCTAAATCTAGACGTTTGGAAGAGTGTCACTGATCCTACACGTAAAAAAAAGATCAAAAACTTAAGGCGAAAATGCGGTCGTCTTATCAAAAAGTGGCTTAGTCAACCAGAGCCCCAGCCTTACTCGGAAGAAGAGATGCAGTCAAGACTTGACGGCCTCTATAGGGAGTATCATGCTTATGTAGTACAATAAGTGACGAGCGTTGTATTCCCTTGAAAATTAGTTGAGATGATAAATCTAAATCCAATATCAAGTTTGAGTTTAATTTTACAGCGGTCTTGTAACAATTTTAGGCTAGATACATGTCCCAAGCTACAAGTTATGCGTCAACAACGCACCAGTCGGGGACTATTCCAGCCGGCAAGGCGTTGAAGGCAGCAAGTTCGGCACGATCAGCAAACGATGTGTCTCCCCACAGTCGATATAAATATGCAAATGTAAATAGGATCTCCACCACGACGCAGAGCTCTGACCTGCGATGTGGATCTAAACTGCCGAGATATTCGTCGCTCGTGATTGAGCCAGCACTGGTTCCATGATACTGAAAAGTCATATCAACCGCTCGTTTAGCATTGGATACCAGCTTTGTATCCCCATGCATGCGGTACTGCTGTGGCACGTATCGTAGACCTGAGATGCATATTTCAGATATCTGCTAATGACACGAGTGGGGAGAAAACCAATTCTAACCTTGAATAAGATTGACTCCATGCTGAAAGTTTATGGCAGGATTCACGGAAGGGGCAATTGGAAACTGATCCTCTGTAAAGAACTTTGACTAGTCTTGTTCTGCTACGACTCCTCCTTTCCACATGAGGTCCATAGTATCCTATATCAGCGGTTTATAGCCTGCTTCAACCTGCTCATATAACCACTGAAGCGTGGTCGACCGTTCATGTGCCCGAGCCTGACCGAATTTCTGGGTGTCGAATTCATCCCCATCGGTAGGAATAAATCCAGTGAAATTGTCTGATAGCATACAGTGAGCCAATTTGGTAAACCTCAATATAGCTTCCAAGATTCAAGGACGCTTCTCTGGTTCTGCTATGACATGGTTCATCATCCCCTGGAGAATTAAGCAACGGGCCCAGATACCTCGTGTTGCATTGGTCGTCTCGGGGCCGATCCAACCATCTTCATGCTGATGATCGAGTAGTCGAGTGAGAAACTTGTTGGCCTGGTCTTTCAGATCCTCATTGTCGAGGCTATAGGCCAGCGGCACGATGTAATTGTACCAATAGGGAGCCGATTCTCGCAAGGGACTATATTCCTCGGTTCCTCCCATCCAGGTGCTATCTTTGACGAAGCGATAGAATTTGAACAAATGGCCACCCAGACCGTCTGCTGAAAGCTGCAATTGGTCTTTGACCCAACCTTGCGGCTTGATATTTCCCAGAGGTAAAAGCTCGTAGCGCATGGGAACTAGGGACTTCGAATCCATCGTTGAACGATTTAGTGGTGAACTGCGGACGCTTCCTTTTGCTTTACAATAAGCCAACTATGCATCGCCATTCATGCTAATTGCGATTCTTGTTTGTTTATGAATCAAGACGTTCATATTCACACATGACTCCAGCATGGACCTATCGTAATGGCCATTCATGTTGGTGATAAGGTCAGTTGATAAGACCGGATGCGATGCAAACCGGCCCGTTCAGTACCATTGCTACACTCCGGATGGGATCTTATATACTTCATTCTAACAAAGAAACTCAAAGTCTAGTTTTTGACATGGATCTCGGCTAATTTTTTATTGATATGATATTGCCGACTAGTAAGAAGTTGCCAGGACTTATCAATTGATGCCCCATGAAGTAGATAGAGATTCACGACAGGAAATGGTTTTTTGAAAACTTGGCACTGGAGGATGGATGCATTAGAGTTCTGCTGGCACACTCATCGGCATGAGTACCAGCCGATCGACTTATACTTGGCGATCGCTCAGAATGCGATCCTTTCGTTATTTGAATCAAGAACAAGTCGCCCGAGGGCCTGGATATTTGTAATTCCAAAGAAGTTGCTAATATGTTGTACGTCAGACCATATGTATGATCTTGTGACTCGTATTGGCACATCACTATTTGATCTACTCAAAATTTAGCAGGCATTTTGAGGATTGTAGCCGCATATGTATGGCCAACCTAAGTAGAAGCCCTATCTAAAGCACCAGTGTCGTCGGGATATCTAATTTTCGCTAACCCATATTATAATTCCTTTTGGCCCAGTACAGACGTGGCGGAAAACCTCGGATGCCATCCACGCTGCAGATATCAATTGACGTCTTCGAAAATATTGACTATGATTCGGCAACTGTGGGGAGGATTGATCAGTCTGTATTGGAGTAGTGTGTTTTGAATATTTGTTCACGGCATAGGTGAGAAAATATTATCACAATTTAATTCAACGTCAACATCCATTTTAAGGCTTCATCTAGATCAAAGGGCTGGGTATAGAAAGTCTTATTGGGGTTATATATACGTTAAAGGCGGTTATTCGAATGAATTCAGTTTACATATTGTACCCCCGGAACCTCGAGATTATCGAGACATCGGACGCTTGGGGGAAGAAATTGAGGTCCTTTCCTGCACACCTTTTGCCCAAGCATGCTAAAAGTCACCATCCAACCTATCCAGGTCTATCTCTTGGATCTTGAGGTGGTCAACTGTTAAAAAAAAAGGGCTGAAATTCAAAATTAATAGTAAATACCGACAATCACGGGACGTTTTGTTAATTATTCTTATGCTGAATTTCCCTCAAAAACCTGTTTCGTGAATACATGTAACCCATATCATGCATCACGGATAGCTACATCACGTAAAATACCGAACGTACGGCTTTCCTGTCCTTGGACGCAAAAATGGGGATGAGATCTCGAATTTTTGGCAGCCCATTTGTATCAACATTGAATTTACCTTCTCGTCTTTCTTTTCACCATAATGCTAGGACTGAACGGTGGAATTTTGCTGAAATTCCACCCCTTCAGCAGTACTAATAACGTTGATATAGCTTCAGATGCTTTGAGCGAGCCTTGCGCGGTGTTACACAGGTTTTCTTTTATGACTGCCAGGTATGTAGCATCGAAAATGACGGCGTCGCGCCGGAATGTAGGACAAAGCTACTTACCCGCATAACTTGTACGCAGGTGTGATATCTGAGTTACAATTTTAGGCTTTCTAGGCACCATCATTGGCTGCAACTTGCCTCATAAGAGTGCAATGATAAGCCTAAAATTATCTGTTCAATTAGTCGTATCGAATTGTGGTTCTTATCACTCGAGCTTGGCCGGTTCAGCTGCCGGGCTCAAGTCAACCAGCCCTGATCGCAAAACAAGATTGTCCGTGCCCCAACATTACTGATTACTGACTCAGAGCACATTCCCAGAGGTGTGCAACGCAAGCTTTTACCGAGGATGGTCAAAATTTATCTATATATTCGTATTCATCTCCACGAGGGAGCTACAACAGTATCGGTCTGTATACTTAACCGCAATATTGCCTCTTCCAGCATATAGTTCAAAGACAGCCTAATCTAACATACATCTGGACTGTCATCTTACGCAGTTACAAAACCAATCTTAGATAGGCAATCAAGAAATCCATTTTGTTCAGCCCCCCGTAAAGACAACGTCGTGATGGAGAAAATGGCTCACGACAAGGAGAACCAACCAGAGACAGCACTCTCTCCGCACGCCACCGAAACAGGCGACATGACTGACTACTACATGCAACCTGTGGGCAGTGATTCGGGACTGGCTCGGTCGCTCGAATCGCGCCATCTACTCATGTTCTCAGTAGGAGCCTCTATTGGAATGGGCCTTTGGCTGGGGTCTGGTTCGTCCCTAATTGACGGCGGTCCGGCTGCCATTTTTCTTGGGTACTGTATAGCTGGGTCAATTGCCTGGGCGCTCAATCAAGCCATTGGAGAGCTAGCTGTCCTCTATCCCTTGGCCTCTGCTTTCCCGCAATGGACGCGCAAGTTCATCGATGCTGCCCCGGCCTTTACTGTTGGCTGGGCTTATTGGTTTTCGGCTTCGATTACGCTGGCAAATGAACTTCAAGGTGTCGTTACTGTCCTCAGTTTTTGGACAGACAAAGTACCCAAAGCAGCCTGGCTTTCTATATTTCTGGTCGTTATTCTCCTTATCAATGTTTGTGCCGTCCGGGTATTTGGTGAAGTTGAGGCGGCAATGTCCACTATTAAACTGTTTTGGATCATCATTGTGATCATCACCTGTATCGTGATAAGTGCAGGCGGGGCACCAAACCACCACAAGACCGGCTTTGAATATTGGAACTCAATGCCTTTTACCCACGGCTTTAAAGGGTTTCTTTCTGTGATGAGCACATGCATATTTGCCATGGGAGGCTCTGAGATGGGAGGCATTGTTGCGGCCGAAGCCCGCAACCCTAAGAGATCTGTTCCGCGGGCCGTTAATACCATCTGGCTTCGTCTGAGCGCGTTCTATATTATCGGCTCCTTAGTCGTAACCATTACTGTTTCTCCCAAGGACAAGGATTTATTCGGCGGCCAAGGCATTAATGCCAGCCCTTTTGTCATCGCCTTCCGGAATGCTGGGGTTCCTGGACTTGCACACGCCATGAATGCCGTGATATTTATCAGTGTGCTCTCGTCTGGCAATGCCCAAGCATACATCGCTACACGTACTTTGGTTGGTCTAGCAAATATTAACATGGCCCCTCAAATTTTCGGAAAATGTGACCGAGTAGGGCGCCCGTGGGCGGCGATTGTGCTTACTTTTCTCATTGGTGGTGGACTTAGTTATCTCAATGTCAGCGAGTCCGGCGCGACTATTTTTGGCTGGTTTTCTAGTCTCACAGCGCTCTGTATCCTTTACCTTTGGGGCACGATATTCCTCTGCCATATCAGGTTTCGACTGGCATGGAAAGAACAAAAGCGCTCCATAAACGATTTGCCATGGAGGACCTGGACATGGCCATGGGGCTCAATTTACGGCTTGACGTGGTGTCTGCTGCTTGTCATAGTCGAGTTTTACTTAGCTGTTTGGCCTCTTGGAGAAAGCTCAAGTGCAAAGAACTTCTTTGCGAACTATATATCCGTTGTTGCCATTGTTATTTTGTTCATCGCCTCTAAGATCTACTATCGCGGGTCGTTCTGGATCAAAGCAGCGGATATCGACCTAGACACTGGTCGCAGGTATTATGTCGATGATACTGTTGACGCAACAGAACCTCGCAGTAGGTTCAGATTCAATATTCTCAAGGTCCTTGCCGGAGATTCAAAATTTTAAAATTAATTTCATGGACAAAGTCGTTCGGTCGACAATCACCGTCATTTATTTTAGAGTATATGAAAATCTCAATTTCTGTCTTTTAATCAAAATGGTAGCATGGTAGGAACCTATGATCCTTACGCTCTCGTCAATTATGTAGAGACTGTATACATGTAGCTCTATCAAGATAATAGTTAAACTCACCGAGGCTTTCTTTAATTGATTTACCTCAAAGGATAGCGATAGCAAGAAGCTTCAATCGCACATTTTCAGTGCATGGGATTCGAACAAAGTTAGATTTAAGACGATTCCCAGAGCGCCCATGGAAACTTAAACATATAAACAGAGCCTTAGATTCTTCTCAATGTGTCTTAGCCAGCGTCTCGTCTGGTCCGTAGGATCTCCTGATGCACACACAGCGTCTACCCGCTTTGGCTCTTCGAGGCCGATGTTGAAAAAGACACCGAAGTGGATGTCCCTGCCTTGGAAGCCACAAGGTCTTTGTTAGATCAAAGAAACCCCCCCATTCCTTGTTCTGGGTAAATTTCCACTATGGCAACTGCAGTTCGGTAACGTGGCCGGTGTCCTATCCTAGGCCTGCTGCCAGGAAATGTGCGCGTTATGTGATTAGGGCACGATAACACCCGTGACGCTTCCTATTGGAGCCAACTGAATGCTATTTTGGTGCTTTTAGTTTGCCAGGGACAACATCTGAGGCTCTCTTTCATCTGTAAGCTAATATGATATTTGGGGATGAATCGGCTCTACGGACGCTATTAAGGATCAAGGTGCCCACTGAATTAATGCCATAAAGCCAGGCGCACACAACCTGTCTTCTATAGCTTAGTGAAAATTTCCAGACAGAGAAAAATAAATACTCTTAGTTCCATGGAAGGGACTACCGCATAAAACCATACACTGTTGACGTGTTTTAGATATTCATTTCGTCATTGACTATGTCACCTAACAATTCTCTTCTTTCTGCCTACCCAGAGTATTGTTCAACTTTATTCATTCCACACAGACTTATTGAAACCAATATTCGAACGTGATAGGGTAGTTTAACATGTATTCAGCAACCCTTCACCCGTTACCGCCCCTTATTCAGGAGATGCTCGACAATCCTCCAGAGGAACTGTTGATTCACAGATACACTGGGATGAAAGACCTCGAGATTGCCTGTGAGCCAATTGCTGAGAAGCTCGGGCGACACGAAAGAGAAGAGCAGTTAATGATCGTGACACACTTTCCGGAAAAATATATTGAGGATGGAGGAGACATAGTTCGTCGCCGAGTTTACAAATCAACTCGAAAGATGTATTTCTGGGAGCATCATCTGCTTATTCTTCAATTCCGTCCATGCAATCAGTACTGCTGGGTGTCCAATATACTCCTCAACTTCTGTTGTAAATGGGAGTTCGAGTACAAAACCGAGAGGGGGATTCCCAGGGATGATCTTCGCAACGGGCTTGCAATGGTGTATTCGACGTGGCCAGACGGATATTTTGGGCAACACTCGGCAAGGGAGTCTGCTTTGACTGTTACTCCCATGTCAGGGCTGAAAAAGCAATGTGGGACCCAGTCGCGGAGCAGCTCCTCCTTTACATCTCCATCCAATGATCTACTCTTATACATACCCTTCGAAGGATAGCCATCGGTGGTTTTCGAGCATCGGTCTCTGTCAGCCCTTTCCATCAAGTACGCTGACTTTGGGTTGGACTGGTGGTTCCATCGGTCTCAGGGACTTACAAATGTGGTCATTCTATACTATATAGACAACAATAATAAAACAATCACTTTCGAGAGTGAGTCTGCGATACCTATCCTCCGGACATCGATGCGACAAGTTCGGATATAAATTCAAACATCAGCACCTTGACCAACAGGCCAGAGTTGCCCATTTCCTCTTTCAAAAAGAAGCGTGAGAGAAAATACGTCTATATCGTGGGGCATGGCTTCAATGGTAACTCAATCGTTTTCGATTTCGAGATTATGTTTCGCCGGCCAAGGAAGACGGAAAGTGATAAAGATTTGGTATTTGGAGACGATGAGATGGGCAGGTGTATGTACCACATGGAGAATTGGTTTAAAAGAGACAGGTCATCATAACTAAACAATAGGTCTTGATTGTAGTGGAATGTGCTTTAACCTTTGTCTAACTAAATTTTCTAATCTTCAAATATAGTTATTAATAACTTTGAATATTACCGTTCTCTTCTCCTTGTATACATTGTCATTTAAACCTATGGCAATTATTTAAATTGCTTTGTTCTAGACATGTATGTGTTCACATACCTTGGAAGTGCACATATATGATAACTGTTCAGACAGTTCTGAGCGTCGTCCAGTTGCCCTGGCGTTGTGCACACCCAGCGCTGCGCAGCTGCATAAACAAACAGCCTTTCAGTAAACATAACAGCCCCGATTCCTTGTGCTTTTTCCTCTTCTCTGTTTCTCACTCTTGCCTGCTGGTGCCAAATCCTGAGAGCATCCCAAGGCTCTACCATCAAGATGGCCGGCAAAGACAAAGAGAAAGTGAACATCTATGAGGATGAGGATGACACTGCAGAAGAGGTAGGTCTACTTATATGAGGGCTATCAAAGGGCTTGCAATATCTCCAGAAAAAGCTTTATTACTGCTGCTAAGACCCTTTCTAGCGCCAGGACTCTCATGAAGCCGCTCCATCTAGCTCAGTAAGTCCTCTCGACACATCCAAACCATATTCACATTGAGGGCTATCGAATCAAGAAGAGAACAGCTAACGTTTTAATAGCGCGATAGCCAGGCTACTAGAGATGCACAACGCGCTCACGAGGAAGGTGTCGCTCGCGCAGCTGTAAGATACTCCACCTATCCTCGACCAAGACACTCAAGCGGCGATATTGCTGTTTATTTTATCTGCGTAATACTAACATTTTCTCTCACTCGTGCCAGAAAATAACCAGCGAGAACTGGGTAAGTCCTATCCCACGATCCTTCTCGATTAGCTTACATTGCATAGCGAAAGGTATGGCAGTACATCGTGCTAACAAGAAGCCTGAATCAAGCCCGACACTATTCACATCCCTGAGAACATGGTAAAACAGCCATCAATCTGTTTCCTACTAATATCCTCTAGTATTATTGTTGACATTGGCTACTCGATATAGAAACACATGACCCGCGACACTGCAATGAGATTGGTGAAGCCCTATTAATATAAAAACGTTGATAAACAGGAAATGCTAACAGCTCTCAGTTGCTCCTTACCCAGTACAGAGTCAGATTCCTCCCGCCACGAGCTATAGTTCGATGCTAACATTGATTCTTTTCAAGCTGATCGATCCAAAAATTACTGTAAGAAGCCTCCCTCAATGCAAGTATCTGAGCGAATTACTATTGACTATCAATCTTCTATTTAGGCTGAAGCGGCAATTGAAGCTGTAAGAGAACCTCAAAACCTCCATAGTAGAACCTGCACGGAATTTTTCAAGCGCGAGTTGGAGCATTATTGCTAACGAAACAACCACGATATAGCTCAAAAAGCGAGGTCACTGGGTGAGACATGCGGAATTCCATTATGACTATTATTCAGTACTGACAATATTTCCCTCCTAGCATCCAGATGAAAATGGAATCGTAAGTCCAATCAATGGCAATAGAAACCGGTTTTTCTTGCCTCCGTTCTCCTGGCTGGTAGCCGTCTATATTACAAGCCTTGCTGACAGGCTATTTTCAACCACGAAAGAACACTTACCAACCTGAAAAGGTAAGTCCAATTCATCTACCCAATTTCCTGCATGCGACCGATGTGTTTCCAGGTGCTAATTACTCAATTGACCCTAGACTGCCGAGTCCTCCACCTTTGTGAGTCTATATATGCTCATCGCTTAAGACCGAGAATTAGGTCGATTGAATGATGTGACTAACTTTGACGCCTCAGCAGAAAGTAAACGGCAAGAAGCGTTTGGGTTCTGTAAGAACACTTGCCTACAATGAGGAAATTGATACCTGAATGATTGCTGACAAGATATCGAATACCAGCCGCTGAAGGTTTCCGCGCCGGTATGTTTTCTCATAGATGTAATCTTCTCATTTGTATTTGATAGAAAGGGCGCTGTCGCTAACATTACCATCTACACATAGAGAGGGGGTCGTCGCGTAAGATTTGACATGGTATTCCTATACTAAGATAGTAGCTTCAGCAGATTGTGCTAACTCTGGATATAGGAACCGAAAGGACCAGCCCCAGTCCGTACCACAGCTAATTGATCCAGTGCATCGTCAAATTGCTAACTTTTATAGAAACGGCGTAATCGCGGCATCAAAAAGGATCTTCCAGTAAGGGCTACTCCACGTCATCTTCTCATCACAAATAATCCTTACTAACATCTCACTCCCAGCCTCTATCTCCCGCTGGTCCCGTAAGTTTGCAAACCAACCCCAAGACTGTCATGAAGACATGCTGACGACACACTCATAGATGCCTTATAGCCCGGTAAGATTCCATTTCCAATCAAACGAAGCCGCAAAACCAAGAGGCCCGCTCTAACGAATGCCATCAAGACTCGCGATAGGAAAGAACAAAAAAAACGTAGCGCGGGCGGTGTCTTCCCCATTGCCGAACAGGATCTTATCAAGTGCAAGCACTTTGCTGCAACTGAAGCCGGTATACCGATTCGTGTCGAGAGCGGGACCATGATTTGTGTCGACTACAAAGATTATTCCAAAATGGACATTTACGCAATCCATCTAATGCCGGATAGTCCATGCATCGACGACATTGTCATAATCATCTCAAAGTCCAACGTTGCCTTCGCTCGCATCGCAGCAGCCCAGAGTCCTGAGCATGCACTTTTGAATTGCAAACGTTTGACTTCTGCTCTCAACCCTTGGATGGACCGCAGCGAACCTATCAGCGTCTTCGTATTCTGTCCACGAAATGAGGCGGGTGAACCATTTTACATTACTCCGCACAAGAATGACCGACTCAATGCCGTTTACAAGCACTTTCAGGACTTCTCAAAGGGCTCCGGTACTATATTATCTGACTCTTACTTTCCCGTTCCATCAGGTGGCATGTACTGCAGCATCAAAGTCGGGCCATTCGGCGAGGGCAATGATGGCAAGGTAGCTAAGAATGCCAACAAGGCTTCGGTTCAGGGCAGCTCTGCTATGTCGCTCGGAAATAAGAAGGATCTCGACTTCAACTTTGGTCAAAACGTTAGTCTAGATTCCACCCAGGGAAGTAGTCAGGATTACGACCTTGGCATATCCTCCGATCTAAACCTCTGGTTTGACTCTGAAACTGGTCAGGATTGGCTCCAAAACTTTGAACTGGAATCTTTCCAGAATACCGAACCAGAAAATCCTCCAGTTGTCGACTCTGACCTTCTTACACGTCTCGATAAACTTCACGAAATGACTGGGGAGATTGATCAGCCGTGGTCCCAACAGGAGGCCCTGGGCCAAAACAACAGCTTTCCTAGTACCAACCAGAACCATTCCACGGGAAATGGCCAAGATTACATGGACTTTGGGTTTGGATTTGACCAGCAATTTGGACAACTTTCTTCTCTACAGAAATCGAACCAGCCATTTGGACAGACTTTCTCTCTCCAGGAATTGAACCAGCCATTCGGATTTGAATTGTTCGGACAGTCTGCCAAGACCCTTGGACAGAAGTCTTCTAAGGCATCAAGCCAGAAGTACGATGACAATCCCTATCGCGAATTCAATCCAAAATTTGACCGGCAGCCTACTGGACGTCCACGCGTGCTGATTATGGATCGCAACGGCCAGCGTGTCCTCTAATGCGGAACGGAAATTCTGGTCAATTCTGTATTGAAGTTCGCTAATGAATAGCTAGTACAGTATGTAGCCAGTACAGTATGGATGGATGGGACTTTTGTAATGCGGTAATCGGGATCGGAAATGAAGTGTTTTGCGATTATTATGAGGTGAACAGTTGGATTTTCTTTTTCTGGATACACCTGAACGTCGCGTTTCGTAACGTTTGACAGTCTCGGGAATTGTGTATTTAATCAGATCAGAAAATGGAGTACAATTACCTCCGACTTTCTCCTTTTGTTTTTCATTGTCTTGTCTTGCTGACGAATACAGCGGGTAGGATTAGGGCTCGGATGCCTCCGCTTTCCTAACTTGGAAATGCATTCTCTTCCGTGTTGTCGAAGCTTTCCAGTCATGTGCTCCCCGGAGGGCAAATCACCAAAGGGAAAAGCATGATTACTTAAATCTTTCAATTAAATAAATCTGGAATTTTCATAATGTCCTTCTTCACATCCGGTGAGTTGCTGCAGCTATGGCTACATAAGCCCGTGCGGAATGTGAGACGTGAGATGTGCGGTGGCGAAAACTGACAAACGGATTCGTCCCACCAGGTTTGTTAGTCGAGGATTTCTGTGTTATTTGTCCATCATTGTTATTTGTGTTGCTTTCGCCTTGGCAAATATGGGGTATTTGTTTGTTCTGTCCGGAATTTTCCAGGTTATCCACAATAACCGCGCATTCGCGCGTGCCCCCAATTGGAAATCTTTCAATTAAATTGTCTGGCAATAAAAACAAACGAAGTTGAGTAGCATACCGCCTTTTTCACTTCTGGCGAACAATTTTCAAGTTATTGACATGAATTCTCCGTCACAACAGCCCAGAACAAATCACCATCCAGACACATATAAACGGCCAGTGTTATTCTCCAGTGTACACCGTATCCTTAATCTTCCACCAACACTTGAACATTCGAGGTCCTAATCCGGCAGTTAATACTACTTACTCTACGCTGTTGAACGGCAAACGGTATATCCGCCGAATGGCCACCTTTCTCTATCTTGTTCTCGCTCCGACGTGGCAGAAGCGTCACGTTATGGAATTGCCATGGGGGAATCCGCCCGATTGTGACTACATCTTGAAAGAAGAGCTTGCTGATCTCTTTCACGAAAAGAATCCCACCGAGTACGATTATTCACGCTTCTTTGGCGATAATACCTGGTGTCCAGATCGGGTTATGCTACGCCAAGGGATACGGCTCGGGTTGCATTTGTCTAGAAATGGCATTATCCACGTTGACGATGAAGTTGACAGCCCGCTTAAGTCTGCGGAGGCTAACCCAAAACATGTATTTCCAGAAGACCCAGCACTCCATGAGAGGTCTAGAGATGGAGTTCCCACTATAGGTTTCAACAGTCAACAGCAGATGGAGGGCAAAACCATCTGGCTCCGATGCGGGGTACTTTGCGTGGAGCATCCGTTCCCTGATACCCCCAACGATGTCCAAGGGTCGTCAGACGAAAAGCCAATTTATACCATCTCAACAAAGAGTTCCACAGATGATATTGTTACTATTCGATGCAAGAAAGGAACGATATATATGGTGATACCGAGTGGCATTCATCACAAGACCCTTTTGGCCTGGCTGAGGTATACCATGCTGCGTCTCTACGGGAGCCCTAGTACCCATAATTGGATTTGGGAAGAAGATGGCAAACCATCGGCATACGTTGCGTACTTGGAAATCCGTTTGCCAATTTTCACCTCTGTCGACGTAGAGGAGGAGAATGCTTCTAGAACAACTTCCGAGTCGGCCGAGAGCTTTGTCATACGAAAGGGAGACTTTTGCTTTCTCTATCAACTCTTCTGGGAGTACTTTTGCATCAAACGTGGGCTTGTCACCAGCACTATGGGTTGGTCGACAGCCGAGTGGGCGCGGGTGCAACGAGGGATTCTCAGAACCTGGTCGCCGTCGACAGTGGCCAAGAGGTACCGCAATGGCGACCTCCATCTATCAGACTATACGGATATAACGGTGGATGATCGAACTGTACGTAGAAAGTTTTCGATTGTTGTCCCTGGTCAAAATCTTTCACAAGATCACGCTCAAATTGTCAATTAATGTGGAGCCTATCACGTCCGCGTATGCACGTCTTGTTCTTTAAACATATCTAATAGAATATTGGTTTTGTTAAGTAAATATGCAGGTCTTGAGACTCTCTACATATAGATAACTCCCAGCGCTATCATAGCCATAACCCAGAAAGCCTGGCTTGTTTGAAGCGCTGCAGCCGTTCCAGTTTTACCAGTGACAACTGCACCAGCAGATACAGTAGCCGTTCCTGTTGTTACCGTACTACCGCCACTGCCACCGCCACTGCTACTGCCAGCACCAGTAGAAGTAGCTGTACTGCCCGCCGAGACATCGGCACTATTATAAGCAGCCGCCGTGACTGTGAAAGTCTGGCTCAAAGCGGTCCAAGTTATGGTTGCCCCTGCCGGTGGTGTCGTCAAAGATGACGGTCCTGAGGTCGTAGATAGCGGTTGCGATCCTCCTGCTGGTAGGTTTGCTGGGTCAAGGTATTTGCCATTATCCGCAGAACCAATTCCGTACCGCAGGCAATTGCTAGAAGTCAGGCCGCTGCAAGAGCCAATGGTACCCTCATACGCAGCTGCTTGAGCGGATAAATTGGTTAGACCAAGTCCTGCACTGGATGTGTCGGGGCAAATTCCGTAGAACCTTGTATCAATGTTAGACAGAAGTTTTATAGCGTAGCTCAAGGGCTTTCTAGCTTACGCTGAGACAGCAGCACTCCAGGCACAGCATTGACATGTCGTAAGATCGTTGGTTCCGATGCTAGTGGTATATTGATTGCAGGTGTTCGAGACTTTAGCGAGGCTGAGAGTTGCATTGGTCACAACTTCGCCCAGGTTGCAAGAGCAGCCTCCAGGCGCTTTGTCTGGTGCTGGATAAAATGGGATTTTCTCGTCGACGGTGCGTTGTATTTTATATGACGATACAAGGTATTGATATTCGCAAGAGTATGCCTGGTAAAGTTGTCAGCTTGAGTCGAACAGAATCCCCAAAGGAAACTATTCTAGGTCATCCTCCTAAGTACCTTGTTCCAGCATGATCCTTGATAGCATAACATCTTGTTGATATCATCCTGCCAACCACATGCAATGACTAAGTCGTCATTTCCAGCCGCGGCAATGCAAGCCGTCAAGTCTGCTTCAGCTTTATTTAAGCAGGTGGTCATTGCCGAAGAATCGACGCAGCCAGAGGCAGAAGGAGTGGTAGCATTAGCGGCAAGAGTGCTGCCGGCAAATAGAGCCGTGGCGGTTAAGAACTTTTGCATGTTGAAATGATGAGAATTAATTGCTAAGTACGGTCAAAAAAGCAAACAACATAGGAACACGAGAGACAATTTTCATATTGGCAGCCACTAGATAAAATACTTTCTCCAATTCCACAGTCCAAACTCACCCCGTCTAAATTAGCCTTGACAAGGCAGACTTCAGCTACACTTCACACAACCTAACGATCCAATTAGAGCACCTTCATGCTATGGTCACATCCCCCAACCGACAATAGCGATTGGACTGGAATATTAATGTCTCGGGCGGAATATGCGTGGCGGGAGCCGTCGTCTATGAGGCTGCTCAAAACCCTGTCTGATTGGAAGGTTCGCGGTGATTTGGCGCTAGAATCGCTAAGCATTGCTTGATGAAGCTTAGCAATATCCACACGAAGGATGGCGGAGATAAAGTTATTTTATCCGGAGATGCCGCTTTCCATGGCTTACACTCTCAGGGGTTCGCTCAATTGAATGGTTGGCCAACCCATTTAGAATGGCAATTTGATTTCTTTTCATCGGGGGGAAATGTGTGACCAATAGAAGAAATCCACAGACGCCACTAGGAAATGCGGCTCTGTCAATCGGCCAGGTCAACATCATGCATGATGTCCTTTTTGAAAATTGTCAATGATTGTTCTCTCTTGCTTTCAATGAGTAGACTCAGACTTGATTCTAGAGGATGCATCGGATATAAGCGACATGAAATTCAATTTGGCGGACCCCTTTCGTCCAAGGGAGTTCGAAACTGGCTCTGAGGAAAGGTGCAAAGTCTAGCTGGGCAGAATAGGTGAAACCTTCAATCGCAAAGCAAGCAAAAATCATATAGCTCCGATGCTAACGGTGACAGTGTTGCCCATCAAGATGCGCTTATGCTATTGGTTGAGAGCGAGACAGTAGACTTCGCCTTGGAGAAGTATCCCTGTTGTTGAACTAATAGCCACGAATATTGAATTAATGACTCGAAAAAGGTATTAGGTCCCATTTGGAAGAAGTTTAGTGACCTGACTCGGTCATAAGAGAGATTCTATAGGCAGATCATAAAAGTAGCGGCTTCGACGTAAGGGGGATCCGGATAGAGAGACTCCCCCATCCCGATTGAGATATGAAATGAAGCGGCGCACAACCAGTGCAGATAAATAAGATGAGACCATCTGGGGAAGCGAGGGCTTTGCAACGAACCTCGAGCCACAATGGCATCGTTGACAGGATTCCCCATGCTAAATTGGCCGATTCAAACGCGGGGATGCAAGGGATCCGCGAAAACATTACAGCAGGCGTGAAATTGAAGAACAGACCGTGGGTGAACCCCCCGCGTGATGCTTGCATGGGCTGGACGGAGGAGAAATAGAAGGAGTTATTCAAACGCGATGTTTTAAATCAGGCGGTCGTGCCTACCCGGTCTGTGTTCATCCGCTCCTTCCCTCTCGCAGCCTCCATCGCCTGTCATGAAAACACTCACAGTCACTCGTTAATTCATTGAGTCGTTCTTTTCATCTCTATTTTACTTTCTCCATCTTCTACACTCGTTTCCTTGGCTCTTGGACAACCTCCCCATCATGGTTTCGTGTCCACTGAGTTTTCTCGCTGTCGCGGTGGCGTTTATTGGCGGATCTAATGCTGCATCTGCGGACGAGTGGGCTGCGAGGTCTATCTACCAGGTAGTTACTGATCGTTATGCACACTCCTCCACGTCATCCGAAAGCTGCAACATCACCAAGTACTGTGGAGGTACATGGAAGGGCTTGGCCAATAATCTAGACTACATCCAGGATATGGGATTCACTGCTGTGCAAATTTCGCCGGTGCAGCAGAATATTCCACAGGACACAATCTACGGCGAGGCATACCACGGATATTGGCCGCAAAACTTGTATGCTTTGAACGACCGATTCGGTACTGCAGATGATCTGCACTACCTTGTCTCCGAACTGCACAAGCGCGAGATGTATTTGATGGCCGATGTTGTTGCCAATGAGCTTGCTTATGATATAGGAGACAAAAACATGACTGTGTCTACCGAAATCGATTACTCTGTTTTTGTACCATTTAATCAGTCGTCCGACTTCAATACCTACTGCCCAATCGTCGACTGGAACAACAAAACCGAGTGCACAACCTGCTGGCTAGGGCACCAGGGAGTTGCAACACCTAGAATCAAAACATCGGATCCTGAAGTTGCCGCGACGCTGGGAAGATGGATCGGTGATTTGGTCAAAACATATGATATTGACGGTATTCGAGTTGATGGATCCAAGCAAATTGAACCAACTTTCTTCCCTTCCTTTGTTCACAGTGCGGGTGTATTCGCGATGGGCGAGGTCTTTGACGGTACTCCAGAGATCGTATGCGGCTACCAGAATCTTACCAGCGGATTGGAAAATTACCCTCTATATGGCAAAATCATTGATGCATTCACTGCTGGTAAAATGGACGACTTGGTCACAATGGTTGGCGCGATGCGCAAAACATGCAGTTCTCCCCAGTACTTGGTGAATTTCCTCGAGAACCAGGATAATACCAGGTTTGCAAGTTATACAAAAGACCTTGCAGTAAGTATCTGATTGCCTTAAAGAATCCACTTTAACGTTTGCAGTTGGCGAAGAACGCCCTGTCTTTCACGATTCTCAGCGACGGCATTCCTAAGGTGTACTACGGACAAGAGCAGCACCTAAGTGGACAATATTCTCCATACAATCGACAGGCACTATGGGAGAATTCCCCGAGTTATGACAAGTCGGCCGTCCTGTACACCCTAACGGCGACCCTCAATAAACTTCGTAACCACGCTATATCCATGGATAGTCATTATCTCACGAATTGGAGCTCGATTCTATACAATGATGGCTCAACATACGTAACGCGCAAGGGGGCAAACGGTGCTCATATAGTGGCGGTTCTGTCCAATCAAGGACTGCATGGAGGGGAGTATACCCTGGACGTTCACGGCGCCGCAGACCCTGGCACAAATCTAACGGAGGTGACAAATTGCAATAGCACAGTGGTTGCAGGGTTCAACGGGACAATCACCATACCGATGGGTCAAGGTCAGCCACGAGTATACTTTCCGACATTCAATCTGAAAGGCTCTGGGTTGTGCGGTCAGCTTTCAACGCTAATTGCTGCTCCCGATGCATCGAGCACGGCGCAGCCATCGACAACGTCAACATTCCTAACACAGCAAGGGCGAGGTGCGCGTTTTCAGATTTCTGGCTGGTCGGGGGTTTTCGCAGTAATGGTGTTCGCTTTAACTTAGCTTTATATTTCACTGCTGGGGGCCTGTCGCCAATCCTGCTTCTTGTATTATTCCAAATAATTAATAAACTTTAATACGCGTTGACTGATGCTGCGGTGCAACTACCTGCAGCTTCTAAATTACCCAAATTATTTCGCGATGCGGCTGGGTCAATTCCCAGAGTGCAGGGGAGTTAGCTGTTTATCGGACAAAAAGCAGGCCCCGCGTTCGGCCGACAGAAAAGCTTCGATTGCGGCAGCCTCTCTTATCCCACCACGACCGCAGAAAGCTTATGCCCGCCACTTCGCTGGCAATAATCAGACATCAATATACCACCACTGCAAAGCCAAAATGGTCACGGCCGTATATTCCACTGCGTCCGGCCTGAGATACCGAGGTTGGCTGCGTGGCGTCATACTCAATACGCTCAACATCGCTGGGTCGATGATGGATGCATGCGAATATAAAATTGGAGGACCACCCCCAACAACGACGTGTTTTCATCATCATCATCATCATCATCATCATCAAATCTGAATATCCAAACCTCATACTTGAACTTACAACCCCTACTTGACAATGTCGGAAATCCTCATTGGAGAGTTCCTCCTTAAACGTATCCGGGAACTGGGTATTGAGACTATCTTTGGTGTCCCTGGTGGTATGTTCATCTTGTCCGCTTCTTTGATGGAAGGCGCTAATTATACATGTATCAGACTATGAACTCGCGTTTCTGGATCTCGTCGAACCTGCCGGTCTCAAATGGGTTGGCACTCCCAACGAGCTAGTCGGTGCTTACGCGGCAGATGGTTACGCGAGACAGAAAGGCGCCGGTGCATTAGTAACCACCTTTGGTCCTGGTGAGCTGAGCGCACTGTGTGGAATTGGTGGTGCAAACTGCGAGTCTGTGCCCATCGTCCACATTGTGGGATATCCAACCGAGGCGGCTCAGAAAAGCGGTAACATTCTGCATCACACCTTGGGTGATTTGAATTACAAGTACGTTTGAGTCTTGAGGTGGTGGAATGGTGTGCTAATGGGGAGATAGTCACTATGTCAAGATCTCGGACGAACTTTCTTGCGCAACTACGATTCTGCATGATGCCGCAACGGCAGTTGCTGAAATTGACCGAGTTTTGAATGGTATGTTTACTATAAGCAGTAGATTGTAGATTAATTACTAACTATAAAGCTATGATTTACCATTCCAAACCCGTCTAGTATGTAGTATCGCCACCGACAGTCAAGTTCAAACTAACATTCCCATAGCATCGGCATTTCCGAAGATGTTGCGTACAGCAAAGTCCCCATCTCCGTCCTAGACTCCAAGCTTATCCGCGGCCTGCCCTCCAGTGATCCTACTATTGAGATAGGAGTCATTGCCGACATTATCAACAAACTCGAGTCCGCCAGCAGCCCAGCAATTTTGGTTGACGGCGGTGCTAGCAGATCTAGCTGGGCAGCATTCGTTGACCCACTCATTGCTGTATTGAAGGTGCCGGCTTTTGTTACCTGTTTGGGCAAGGGGGCTGTCGACGAGTCGTCGCCATACTTTGCTGGCGCCTACGCTGGCCTAGGCTCGTGGCCTAATGTTATCAAGATGGTTGAGGCTTCGGACTGCATCTTGTGGTTGGGAAGATTGCCGTCTGATTTCAACACGTGGGTTTACATGTACTGATTCAAGGTGATTACTGACTTTTTTGCTTTAGCGGGGCTTTTACTGAGCATGTTGATCTGTCGGCTGTCATCGACTTGCAGCGTTTTTCAGTTGAGGTAGGACGGTCAAGTTATTTTGTTTTCTCACCACAAGGCTAATTGAGTTTGATAGATTGGAGGAACCAAATTCGACGCCAAGATCAACCATGTACGAGCCATTCATCTACCAAACCAAAACACCACTTACAATGCCTAGGTCCTGCCGAAGTTGATTGATACCATCAAGCAAAACTCCATCCTAGCATCACGTCCTTCTCGTCCTCTCATCCCGCGCCCACCGCTCCCTCAAAGCGCAGAATCGGATTTCATCACCCAGGACTGGGTGTGGGAAGTACGCCATCCAATCCACCCCCACTCAAACCCAAACATATCTAACATTACCAGCGCCTGTCGTCCTTCCTCAAACCTGGCGATCTTCTTGTCAGCGAGACGGGAACCGCGCAAGTTGGCGTCTTGAGCACCAAACTCCCTTCTGGCGCTAGTCACTGGACGCAAGCCGTCTGGGGGAGCATCGGTTACGCAACGGGTGCAGCCGTCGGAGCATCCATCGGCGCGAAGGAGACGGGAAAATTCAAGCGTCTCGTGCTGCTGACCGGCGAGGGATCGCTGCAGATGACTATCCAGGCATTCTCGATTTTGAATCGTCATGGCATTGTACCTGTTGTGTAAGACCCTAAATCCTAATACCCCAACACCAAGCATGACGACCATGACTAAACCCCCTCATCTAGTTTCATCCTAAACAACAGCGGCTACACGGTTGAACGCTACTTTTGTGGCTGGGAAGCTATCTACAACGACGTTCCAGCGTGGGACTATGGCAAGATCTTCTCGGGGCTGGCACCCAACTCCGGTGCCAGGGGATACAAAGTCACCTCGCGCAAGGAATTTGACGCTCTGCTGAATGATCCTGACGTGCAGAATGCCACGTATCCGCAGGTACGACCATACCATTCTCATCGCTCTAGGTTCTGACTAATTGCTGGTGATTGTGTACAGGCCATCGACTTTGTGATGACCAAGGCCGACGCGCCGACACCATTGAAGTGGATTTTCAATGGAAAGAAGGGCTGAACACGAAGGTCTCATATTGGGCCGATCCACTTCAGCTTTTGAGTAAAGAAAGCGCCAGCTGGCTAGCATAAGAATCACTCATTATCGAAAGCACTCGTTATTATTGAATGCACTCATTATTATTGAATACACTCATTATAATTGAATACACTCATTATAATCGAATACAATTCATTGTTAAGTTATTGCGAATATCATATGATGGGGACCGTGCTTACCCCTAACCAACTCGTTACACAGAACCGTAAACCAGCACAGCAGTGTCTCAGATCCCTTCAAAGATAGTGTCTCACGAATCAGCAATTTCACGTATTTTCTCCTCGAACCACCCACCATACCCAAAAATTTTTAAAGGCATGCACGGTAACCTATCAATCCCTTCGTTAATAGCATTCCTGCCTTGCACATAGGTATCGGAGTTTCTTCAATTTGTAGTTAGATAAATACCAAAATGAAAGATATTACAGTACAGCCCGGATGTAGTCATGAAATAAAGCTGATGATAAGTGGTAAGCTCAATCCACCTTTGGCCCAGCAAGTTTCTACGGGGACTGTCAGGTTGATAAGAATATTTAGTGTGGCTGTGTCAGCAGAAGGTAATTAACTAGGTAGGAATATGACAAAAAACACAATATCTATAGATCTAGGTATAGTATCGCCACCCCAGCCTAAAGGAGTACAACTAACCTAGATAAGCAGGTAGGTATAGTAACAGGCTAGTCCCAGGGCGTCAGTCCGTTGTGGGAGGAGAAACCAGCTGTTTCGATAATCAATGCCAGGCTCACAAAAGCGGTGGTTCTGGAACGATGAGTCTGTATCAAAAAATCCTAATATTCTAATATATATTTCCCCGTGAATGCCGAGCCTGAAAAATAGCGTCCTGGATGACTTGGTTCAATTTCACGACCAACGGGTTCATCTGCTGCCGAAGTTCTTGGGCTAATTTTGTCCCCCATGGGTAAAACCAGCTCTCATCACAATTCCTTTCCTTGTCGTAGAGGAACTAAATATAGCCGGTTATAACGAAGAGAAATCCCCTCTGGCCTGCTTGTAGCATACAGCACGAATATCTATGTATAATAGAATATTCTGATATAATTGGGCAATGCAATATACTATCACACTAACATAATCTAGTGATATATAGCATAAATACCTACTTATAGAACATTCTGATATAACTAGGTAATGTAGTACATTATTACATAACATAATCTGGTGGCATATAGCACGAATATCTATATGTGGTAGAAGATCCTGATATAACTAGGCAATGCAGTATACTATCACACTAACAGGCCTATACAACATAGTATACTAGCATCCTAGAAGTGAGCACTATAAATAAGTGGACTATATAGAGAATTTGTTAAGAACTTATGTTTGATTGGTGAAATTCTTGAATCCCTGCTAGAGTGAAGGAATAGAACAAAGAAATCAGCCAGGAGACTCATTCATGACAAGAATGCCAAGGTATTTTACCCCACTTTGTACTAACTGACGCAGCTTTCCAAACCGATAGCTGCTGGGTCATTGCTGGCGTATATAATCGTTTACTTGCTCCACACGGAGTTAAAACAACAGAGAAGCCTTTTGAGCTGTCACCAACTATTCTGTTAAACCATTTGGGGAATCGGGAAATCTCTTGCAATAGCAAGTGAATAAATTAGGATGACCATCACACACCACAAACTGTCGCCCGAGTAAGCTCTAACTACGCCGTTTCATTATCAGGCTGACTAGAATTGTTATTATTCCCTAAGGGCGCTTCTCGAAGCTCCAAACATGACTCATCCTGTCCCAGACGCTGCAGGGAAACTAGCTGTTTATGTGCAGAGCGCTTATTCTTTCCAATATCACACTATGCAAAAGCAAATCCGCGTAATAGATCTGAAGACACTTCACCGGTCGTGGCCTATCACTGAGAACATCAGCGCAAATTATCCACAATGGCTCGGTCGCAGTGGCAACCTTATATGGCTTGAATCGTTGGAGAATGGCCATACCAACCTTGTTATTCGTGATGCACGGCTTGAGGATACAGACTATGTAGCAGGCACTGTACCTGGACATATATCAAATCTTAGAGTCACCAACATTCCATATATTGGAGACACTGACGATGATCTAGGATTCGCAGTAGTAGGAAAAGTCAACGCAGACGGGTCTGTCTTTAATCCTATCGACCAGAGCTTAGACGGCAAGCGTACTGGCAGTTCCTATACAGTCTTCCCTGGAGGACACGCAGATTCGCTCAGAAGCCCACAAAAAAATGTTATCTGGTTTGGAATGCTTTCCCGGCCATCAGAAGCACCCAATGGTCGCTATACCATGGGAAAGCTTACCAATTTAATGGAACATTTCAAACTCACGGCAGTCGACTTACGGATTACCCATGGCCAAGAGAAGGACTGTCGGGACTTTGACATCAATTCCTGGACAATTACCTTTGTGGGAAATGACCTTGATAACTTTCAAAAAACCCATTTCAGTTGCTCGTGTTACGTCTGCCCGATGCTTCGCTGGGATGGATTTCCACTGGATGATCTTTACCATGCTTTCAGACACCGCGGTTTAGGAGGTATCATCTCATCCCCTATTTTGAAACCTAATGACTCGAATGTTGTATTTTTATCCCAGAAAACAGATGGATACAATTCAGATAAAAATCGAATTATTTTTGTCCATAACAATCAAACCGGCGAGAACGAAGAGCTTTTCCAGTCTCGGGATGGTGAGGGACAGTGGAATTTGAGTCCTAGAGCTATATCATATGGCATGGATAAATCGCTGCTAATTCAAGTAGAGGAGAAAGGGCGGCGGGTTTTATACAAGCTACGACTAGATAATTGGTGGCCAGAAAAACCTACTCCTGCCTCATTAGAGCTGTTGAGTGGATTCCTACGCAACGGGTCTGTCATAAACGTCACACCGATATCATCCAGCTTGTCAAAGTCCAGATTGCTGGCCTCTTATGATAGCCTTAATCATGGCAGGGAATATATTGCCTTTGATCCAAAATCTCCTGGAATACAGTCTTTTACACCTCCTTATATCAATCTACCCCGAAGTCAAATCGCCGAGATTTGGCCTTCCGGTGCAAACGGTCGTCAAGTGCATACATGGATTGTCAAGCCATCTTGGTTTAGGCCTGAACGAAGATATCCGCTGGCTTTGTTTATTCATGGCGGACCTCAGGATGCATGGCTTGATCGATGGAGTATAAATTGGAACTTGATCACCTTTGCCGAGCAAGGATATGTAGTAGTCGCACCAAATCCGACAGGAAGTACAAGTTACGGACAGGGATTCACCGACGCAATTCGAGGGTCATGGGGTGGATCACCATACAACGACCTCCAGAAAGTTTTTGAACATGTCAAAAACCACCTTAGTTACGTGGATACAGAGAGAGCTGTGGCTCTAGGCCATGGATATGGAGGGTATATGGTCAACTGGATACAGGGTCATGAATTCGGCCGCCTTTTCAAGGCCCTGGTAACCGACAATGGTATTTTCAACATGACAACTCAGTTGGCAAGTGATACACAAGCTCTCCGTCATGATTTCAACGGGTTGCCTTGGGAAAACCCAACCGAATGGCAGAAATGGGATCCCTCACAGTACGCTGGCCATTGGCAAACACCCCATTTGATTGTTCACAACGAGCTAAATTCTCATCAACCGCTTGCGCAAGGCCTGGCTTCATTTCATACCTTACAGATGAGAGGGGTTGAGAGTGCATTTCTTACACTCCCGGAGGAGAATCACCGTGATCAGAACCCGGAAAACTTGTTGCTGTGGTATCGTACAGTGATTAGATGGATGAACCAACATGTCAAGTCTAAAGTATGATCCTTTTTATATACTCATCAATATCTAGTGAATTACAGTCTATATAAGAGAATTTATGTGTTATGAACCGTATCTGTTCTTGTACCAAGCGTGCATCGAGATACTCGTAGCCTCTCATCTAGATAAGAATAGAAACTTCCTTCATCTGCGTCTCAGCTAACCCCGCAGTATGACCAAGTCCTTGCACCAATGGATGCATTGTAAACACTACACTTCTGGGTTTATTTGGCTTACAATCATGCGAAAGGGTTCCGCCTTCACCAATAGTGAAATACTACAGACCTCCGTTATTACTGCCATGCATTTCCGTGAAGATTGTAGATGACTGTCAGCCTCACTTTGTTCCATCAATTCCCTCGTTCTTATACTAAAGGATGAGAATATGCAGTGACTAGCCTCTGTAGAAAGTTGACGTAGGCTGTAGGGCTGACTATATACCGTTCGCCCTCGAGAGCGAATCTGAATTTTTCGGTACCGTAAACGGTTTCACATGACTTATCTCCTCTCATCTACGCTTTACTTTGAAGTGGACCGTCTTGTGACATATTTCCTCATAGAGTGTGTAAAACTCTCAAGAGAACCATCCTGAATCTTGCTTCTCATGTGGTTTTAATTCATATTATATTTCAACCATTAATGTTGTATCCTGAAAACCTACATATGGGGCAGTACACGGAATAGTCCACATGTCCTGGATAAGCACGTAGGATATGCCTCATAAGTAGTAGGCTGTCTAGAGAGGGTTCTCCAAGGGCGACATGGCTCATAATTGCAAATATCTCTTGAGGATCTCTTGAGTACCGCCACACATTCCTAAATCGGACCTAGAGGACCGTTCAGAATTCCTCCAATGCCACAGAAGGAGAACGTGATAGGTGACGCTTGGTACATGATCCAGATTCAGCACCATCCAGTACCAAGGAAACAGACCAAAGATTCTTATCGTACAGTGAATATTTCTTCCATGTATACTTCCTCCCAACTTATTCTACTAGAGATGTATCCGAAGGATCTACATGGAGATGGTCGGACTGCATCTACTCCCCTCGCTGAAATGTTTGGAAGTAGAATTTAACAGGTTCTGGTGGCAGTGATTACTAGCTTGGGTAGTTGGTGCCACCCCACAGATTCAGGATTCTCCCAGTCGGGCTCTGGCTGTCCTTCTCGGAGAGGAGCTGGAGGTGGGGGCATTGAGTGAGCTCTGGAACAACAGCATCTGTGCTAGATCAGCGTTCGAGGCGGGTGTACCCTTCTGGTGGAGGGTCGGCAGGGACCCTGGTGATGTCGTCTCGCTGACATTGTGGAAGCCATGGAAAGGATGTCGAAGTGGGTGGATTTTAGTAGTTTGTATTGGGGCTGTCGGCGATGGGGGGTTTTCACGTATCAACAAGACGTAACACTACTTGTTTTCAAAGAGCAGCGATCACGGGCAAAAGTGCTTGTGCGTCGGATGGTTGAGCGAGATGGACATGGAAGCCATGGCGGCAGGCGAGCATGGTGTTCGTGTGGTTTAAGGCATTGAGAGAAAGCGTTGGATCCGTTGTGTTTGGTGGACTGTGGGAAGGTGGTGCAGATAGCGCCGCCGATTACGTCTAGCCAGTACAGAGAGAAGACAGGATGAAGTTTGAAGAGATGTTCTTATTGCTACATTACGTAGAGACAGGTCTAGAACTATATTACAGACTCGAATAACTTGAGGATTCACTATCAACAATACAACCTCATCTGTGATCCAGTCAACCTATCGGCAACCTTATCCTGGTTACCATGCACATGGAAAACCCATGATAAAAATACGATACGATATTCGCATGTATACAATGTGTGTAGAGAGTTGAGAGTAGGTCTAAATAACCAAGCGAACCACCTTCAGGGGCCAATTCTTCCATGTCCACGGTGAATCGGGCTCCTTGTTGCCGTCAAGCAGCTCCACGCGCAGACCAGAGCGGATATCCATCTCGGAGACAGGAATCCACATGCGCCATTTCCGGCTCCATAGTTTCCAGAAAATGTAAAGCGCGAGGATGAGGGGGGCGGCAAGGTATTGCTGGAAGAAATATTGGACGTCGGGGGACGAGCCGGGGGGCTATGACAGTTAGTATTTGATTAACGTATAATAAAGACAGGGGGATAGGAGTATCGTACCCAGACAGCTACGTAAAATGAGGCAATCAAACAAAGGATGTTCATGCCGAGACCGATGTAACTACCGATAATGCCAAATGGGGTAGAATACGGCATCTCGTGTACGGTATGCCCTGCAGCCTTCCAGGCCATGCGGAAGCGAATATGGGACAGGCAAATAGAACCCCAGACAAAGAAATAACTGAGACCACTCAAACTGAGCAGCCAGGTGAAAACGGTGCCTTCCTGGGCACTCTCACCAATGAAAGCGAGCAGACCGAACAGAATTTGGAGAATGACTGCAGCCAGGGGACGGCCCTTGTTGTCAACCTTTGAAAAGAATCTGGGGGCCATGCCACGCTCGGCAAGGGCTTGGATGGTTCTGGTTGAACCGAAAGTGCACGAGTTAGCGACACTAATGACGGACAGGGTGATGACGACGTTGAAAATCGATGGCAAGGCAGGAATGCCGGCATCAAGAATGGCAATCACGAAAGGTGAGTCCTTGGTGTTTGAAGATGCAGCTTTTAGAAGACGATCATCAGTGTAGGGTACAAGCAAGCCGACCATAAGCAAGTTCAGCACATAGAAGATGGCAATGCGCCAAAACACCTGACGTGAGGCGGAGGGGATCGTCTTGTGTGGAGTTGCCGATTCCGCAGCGGCGAGACCAACCAGCTCAGTACCAGCAAAAGCGAACGCAGCAACGACAAACACGGAGCAAAAACCCTGGAAGCCGTTTGCAAAGGCACCAGGATTGTACCAGTACTTGGCGCCAATGTATCCCTGGGGTCCAGTGCCGCCGCAATCGATGATGATACCAAGGATGATAAAGCCAATGCACGCGGCGATCTTGATGGCGCTAAGAATAAACTCGACTAATCTCGTCAGAATCATTTTCAAAATTTCCCAAGCATATGGTCATACCTTCACCATATCCACGGACACCAAAGACCTGGATAGCGGACAAGACGACCAAGAAAACAGTAATCCAGACACCCACGTTGATATCATCACGCCAAAATCTAATGGTGAGAGCAGCGGCAGTGAGTTCGAACGGAAGCACCGTCAGCCAGGTGATAGCATAGTCCCAGCCAACCGCGAAGCCCCTACTAATGTTAGTTTGATGGTGAATAGAACTTGGGAGCTGAAAAGCTGAGCATACCAAGAAGGATCCACAAAACGGACAACGTAAGTAAAGAATGCACCGTTCACGGGATACAACACAGCCATTTCGGCCAGAGCCTGCACAGTACACAGCAACATAACACCGACAATCAAGTAACAGATAACCTGTTCCCTTATTAGAAAAGCATTGAGCGATTTGGTAGCACACATACAAGACTGGCAGGACCTCCGGTGGCCAAAGAACTACCTGTTCCGACGAAAAGACCGGCACCAATAGCACCACCTGCCAATCAGTCCAGTTAGATGTTGTCTCTGCGATAGTATATCATTGTAGCTCATCCATCCACATACCAATGGCAATCATTTGCATATGACGGCCCTGCAAGTTGCGAGCCAAAGGCTGCGACTTGTAGATGACGCCTTCATCTTGGTCGTACTCTGGGGCAGTGTCGCTGCTGGTGTGGGCCTTGGCCTCGACATCGGCGGGCTCTTTGACGTCCGTCTTCTCCTCCATGGCGAGAGAATATAATAAGAAACAAAAAGAGATGCAGGGAGGGATAGAGGAGGGAACGAGATCAGCAAGGAGGGCTGAGGGCCGCCCTATTTATTTAATTTAAGCCCGCTGCAGCTATCCAGCCATGGCGTGACACCTTGCCACCAGCGTGACATTCCAGAAGTTCCTCCTAAAAGTATAATACAGCATGCTAATCTATCGCCATGCATAGCGACAGTATTGTCGGGGCGAATGTTTATCAGTGTTCTGCTCAGACATTGGGCTGGAAGAGGTAAGGTCTGAGTCTGGGGCGGGAGGGATGCAATAGCCAGGATGGAAAGAGTTTGGATCGCTTCACATGATGGCCCGGACAGGTGCTTCGACCTCGTGGCGTTGCGAGCGCAGGCCAATCACCGCGGCGCGCTCGACTTGGGTAGCCGGTAACTCTGAAGCAATGCTGCAGTCGAGCGGGCAGAGTTAGATGAATCGGCTAGCGCAAGGCTGCTTATCTCTGGCGTCGAGGAGCCAATCCATGGATGGACGCTGCTCATTGCCAATTTTGAGAGCAGGCTTGATTTGCCTAGGGGCTTGTGCTAGACGATGCAGGCTGGGAAGCCGTTGGCAGGACAGAGTTGCGGTTAGCAGCGGATTGCGAAGCCTCTCATCAAGGGATCGAATGCAGGCGTCGAGAAGGCTGTTCTACAGCGCCATTTTCAGGTCTCGTGGTGTATTGGGCGATAATATCATACGCACACACGCGTTGGTGAGTGCGCCTTGGCGTATCTGCCAAGCGCGGCGAGCTGAGGCTGGCAGAGGTAGTACTACCGCCCAGCTTTCCAAGCGATGGCCGCGGTTGAGGGTCGTAATAATCCAGCATTATTGATGAAGGACGAGGTGATTCTTGTCCTGGATTGGATTATCGCAACTTCCGTCTGGAGAAAGCGCGATAAGAGGAAGGCGCGGCCCACCACGCTAAAACGGATTGGCACGGCCCAGATGCTTAGCGCGGTTAGGCCGTATCTATTGGCCAATGGCTGCGTTATGCACTAACTGTATCTAGCAGGTACCGCCGGAGCTCCTACCGTCTAGTCCCTTTCCGGCACCACTAGATAGCGACAGCCAATCGGGCTACCCGCTCTCGGCCAATGATAAGGATCGATCTAGCATCGTATACGCACGCCCCTCTATTAATCTGCTTCTGTGCGGACGTGGACATGCTGGCTGCGACGAAGTTACACCCAACATTTGATTCTTGACTTGCTCTATTTATATTTCTTGCTGCCACGCGAACAACCACTGTCAATGCATGTCAATAGTACATGGATTTCATGCAAATAGCAACTATTATTACCGAAGGTTAGGATCGCCCTGCAGAGTTTGCGCTAGGTATAGGCTTGCAGTCAAATCCCGAAGGGCGGAACAGGCATCAGGCGTCCGTGGAACAGCCAACTTTCTAGAAGCACCACTGCTGCTTCGGTCTACCCCAGATTTTGCAAAGTTTGCGCGCCACGACGAAGTATGTTTAAGGTACTGAAATCATATAAATGCCTCATAAGAGATTAGACTTTGGAGGCGTGCGGCCTGCGTTTGTTGCGTATGCATCAGGCTCTTGGTCACTGCCCAAAAGACATGGCTGGGCAAGCAGTGTGTGAGAATTCACTGTCCGGCTATTATTGATAACAAACGAAGTGCCAGAGGAGCAACGAAGCAGGAAGACGACAGATAGGAGAATAACATTAATATTAAGTCAAATCCTGCGATAACGAATAGTGCTAATAGCCCGCCGTCGATTCGTCTGACTGGCTAGCGCGGCTCCACTGGCGGAAAATTCGCGAAGCTTGCCACTCCCAGCACCAGCCAATCAACCCTCACTGTCGCCAAGCCGCCCATTGATGATACACGGGCTTTATGTAAATACGATAATAATAACATGATAATAATATGATAATAATATGGCAGCTTATGAGGCACGCATGACATGCCCGCATAGGAATGGCCCAGCCCAGGCGGAGGCAACTGCGGCCGACCACCACCTTCCCGTTTTGCCAGATCACTCGGTACAAAGCCAGCAGAGCATCATGTTGTCTGCACGCTTAGTCGGTCCGTAGTCGAACGATTCATTCCTGTCTTGCCATTCCGGCTAGTATCGTTTAGTGATACTTCATCATGCACTGCATGACACGATGTAGCGAGGAATAAGTACAGACAGATCGATTATATAGATCTCGACCCCTTCGACAGCCATTCCTCTGGGGAAAGCCCTAGATGGAGATTCCCCGCGAGTTCAGCATCCTGCCCGCGCCCTGGTCCACAATCTGGTCCAACATGGCCGGTCGAGTATAGAATAATAATGCCGAGCCCTGGTGGCAAAATAACCGCCTCGGCTCGGCGCAAAAAGCATGTTTGTCGAGTTGCGCACTCACGCAATAAGCAGCATCAGCTTCTGGCCTTCTTTTAGGCTCACGTCAGCAGCACGTGATATTAAACCATTTCAGAAGCCCATTCGGATCTCATGCTGCGGACAATGATCATTCCGTCGCATGGGAACGATCTTGATACAATTGGCGCTGACATGCCTCTTTGGTTGGGTAGTTGTGTGTGTGTCAGATTGCAGATCTCAGCTTCAGAGACCTGGGTTTTGCATTTCATCGATACTAGTTCCCATTTGCTCATGATCAAATGAGTTTCGATATCCAGATCACGAAGGATTGTGAGGAGACGGGTTCATATATCAGTCTAGTGGCATCTGTGATGCCAACAAAAATGCGTTTGGACCGAGATGGTAAGTGCGAACAGATGTTTCAATCTAGGTTTTTGCTCATGGATAGCTCTAGTTAGACATGTGCCTAATGGATGATTTTGACCATCTCTAATGTTGTCTTGTTGCCATCGTCGCGTTGTTATAGGAACCTCTTGCTAGTATACGCTGCCGCCACTCTGTGTAACCGGGGACAACAACGGTGTTCTAACATGAGTCAGACCACAATCTCTAAAACATGTCGCGAACTGCATAACGCCATTAAATGTTACACCGCTTATGTTTCAGTGGGCTGAATAGGCGTGGCTTCCATGTGGTGCAAACGAGCGATCGACTGGCTCTAAACATACATTGGCTCAGCGCTGAAGTCTCCCATATTCATCCAAGCAACCCAGACCTGCACAACCAATGACATTCCAGGCTCGTCGAACAATCGTCGCATGGTTAGACTTGACTCGATCTAGGCGATCAGATCTTCACCAACACATCGCTGTGAAATATTCAAGACGAGCTCAACAACACAGCTCCTTTGTTTCACACCGTCAATGGTCCCCTATGATGCGAATATTCATGGGCAGGTCGTGATGACGCTGGAGAATCTAGACTCTGGACATGTCTATTTAAATTCTACGGTTTCAGAAACCGAGGAACTGCTTCAGACACGGCACTTTGAGCTGAAAACCCCAGTTGCTTTGTGGCAAGTACTACTTGCCCAAGAACATCAGCAATTTTGTTGGTTTTGTTCCGCCAACCACCAGTATGAGTCCTATTCAACCACCAGAAGAACGACATATTTGGTGAAGAAAAGGGACCTATCTACTAGAAAGCTGGAAAGTGGGAATCTTTGCATCTATTATTAATCGTCTGATTGGCGAGCGGATGCTTCTGGGCAACATCCAGCTAGCTTTTTGAACCCCATGCTGTACAATCACCTAGAAATGTTTAATGCTATCACAGATGGGTACAGTTTAGGTTGTAATGAAGCACCGGTTTTATGCGGCCGAGGAATCGGACCCTGTTACTGGTCTGGGGACGCCTGACTACACGAATGCGAGGGAAGTGTTTATGAGCCTGCCGTGAAGTTATAATTTACTTTATAATATCGACCCGAAGAGTTAATTGAATTCGTGGACAGGGGGGTTTACTGGAAAGTCTTTGAGAACTTAGACGGATGTTAAAATCGATAGCATTGCACTTCTTCAGCTTGCAAGCGGCAAAAAACCCTGATAAGTCCATGTACTGCTACCATCTCCCAGAAATAACTAGACGAGCCAAATTAGGATTGTTTTGGCAATGTTTCCGGCAACCTAAGCATATAACGAAACCGATAATTTCCATATCCTTTATCATTGCTGTCGGCTCTCGGTGCCCACCGTCGCAAATCAACATCCAGATATTGTACTGTCTCAAAGCCATGCTTTTTGTATATTGAGAAGCCGTATGGTGAGCCTTGGAGAAATATAGGCAAGCCCACGTCATCTGCCAGCCTGTTTCCATACTGGACCAATGCATTTCCCATACCCCTTCGCTGGAAAGACGGTTCAGTGAATAGTGCTTTACAGATGATGTGGCGCCGACCTCGTGTCCAGTGGTTCAGCCATTTATCAGTGTCTTCTTGCACGTAGACTGGTAATCCCGGAGGAAAGTCAAAGTCTCCTTTCTGAAGGCCCGTTTCAGCAGCCTTGGCAGTGACTTTCTCGTCACGCTCGTGGATCTCATCATCTGTTGGGGTATTCCATGATGCCCACGCTGCAATTTGACCAGTCACTTTATCAACCGCCTTAATGTGCTTCCAGGTTGTGTGACCAACTTGGCCTTCTAGCATATCCGTCACACGCTTTTCGAATTCTTTGGAGTCGGCAAAATACAGACCGAAGGCGTTGTCCGGTAGACAAGCCACGACGTGAATATAAGAGAGTCGTGGAATATCCTGGCGATTAGCCGGGAGGAGGTCGAAGGTGGGTTGGCTATTCATGGTGACAGGCGCAGGCGAACAGCAACAACGAGGCTGGAATAGACCTGCTTGGAGGTGTTCAAGCCTTGGATCGACAACAGGATGTCGACTTTGCCACTGTCTGTGAATTGGTATCAGAGTCTTAATAATGGCGGGTTTGCAGCGTAATAATCATTCTTAATCAGCAACACCGTACAATGTCTTATAACAACCCCGCCAGTCGCCGGAAGTTGGAAGTATGCACGGACGACGGTTTTCCAGATCAGCCCGCAGCATCGTGAAGCTAAGGAAGAGGAAGACTTATCGCGTTGGCCAATCACTGTTTACTTGCCAATAGTCACATCTGTGGAAACAATGAAATATGATGTCTTTGTGGCCCGGTATTTTGTCAACTCTCGAGCACATAGACTGATTGTCCTGACAACTTGATAGACGGAATGCATGGATAGAATGATCCAGCATGTGTTTATGAATTTGCATTTTGTGAAAACACTGTTAGATGACTTCTAGAATCCCACCTGGTGCTGCTCTGGTGCTGCTCAATTTAACAAGCACTAGGAATATTTCATACGAAACAATACTACCCCATCATGGGCTTCTAAGATCTCAAACAATTCAACGCACGCATTTTTCATCTGGAGGTTGTGTCGAGATGCCTTCACTCCTTAGGAAGTGAAAATAAACGATGAACAAAATATTATCTAGCCTGTTTCGCCTTGGAGGTTCTTGGCGAGAGGGCGCGCCAGAATCGATGAATGACTCTGTTTGTGACCGCCTGAATGAGGGCAATTCTGACGTAGCCATAAATCACTGGGCGGCAGCCTGGGTGTTCTGGGAGGAAGGTGGTCAGTTGGGGTGTTTCCTTGGAGATATACATCTCAACACACAACGCTATTGGTTATCTCTCACTCCCTCTCGCTTCCTCAAGTGTCCTCTCTTACGACTTCTCTTACGTCCCCTTTTACGTACTCCAAAATACGAATTCTTCAGTTCAAACAGACACGAAATGTCAAAGCAAGCGTCCAGCGACACATACAACCCGCCAATGGGTGGCATCTTTGCCTACATTCCCTCATCCTGTGTGCCATATCTCGAAGTGGTGCGTCTCCATCCGCCATTGCGGATTCCAATGGTTATTTTATGCCTCATGATCGGTCTGGCATATGGCGCCAGTGTGACATCGCCTACTCTGCCCATCACCGAAGTCCTGAAGCGTGCCTTCTATCTCAACACCTCTGCCTTCATCATCACAGGCGCTCTCACATTATTTAGTAACGTGGTCAATGCCAAGTTTGATGAAGAGGATCCTCGAACCAGGTTTCATCCTATTGCTCGTGGCGCGATTAGTAGACTTCAAGTCCTCGCCTTCAGCGGTGCGATGCTTGTTCTAGGCTTGTCGCTGCTTGCGTATCTTCCCGTGAAACCATACATATGGGCCATCACGACTACTCTCACGATGACGGATTACCCCTTTCTGAAGGGTGACACAGACACTCCATGGAGAGATTCAGGCTTTGGATACGTGTTCGCCGTTTGGCAGGGTATGGCGACTGCTGGCTTTTGCATTTTTCCATGGTCATCACTCTGTTATTCCGCAATACATCTTGGAGGGTCCTCCATATCTCTCATCATGTTGCTTCAAACAATTCACTCATTTCATGATGTTCGTGAAGATGCAAGAGCTGGACGCAAAACACTGCCGATATTGCTGGGGCATAGAGCAAAACCATGTCTATTCGGCCTCACGTTCTTACTCGAATCTCAATTGATGGTGCTTGGCTGGCAGAGTGGATTTTCGTCTGTCTATTACCTTTGCTGTGGTGCTTTATTCTTTGTCCTCTCTGCGATGCTGGTACTGGTTGACTTGAGGATACCGGCAGACTGTATTCGGTGGTCGCAGCGTGGGGCGCTTTGGTCTCTCGCAGCTATTTCCTTGGGCATTTTTGCAGAGTATCTCCTTCGTGCAGGGTCGTTTTCTTCTTGAGCTTTAACCAAACCTAAAGAAAACTTTTCAACAAGCAATCGATGATGGGCAACCGATGACGGAATGGGTTACAAACTGATTTGAATTACGAATTCAAATAATTATGTGGAATATCCAATGATCATCAACCATTGACCGCTGAAATGCGGGCATACGACCCATTACTATTTATATTTTTACAACAATTATGGAATGCAGGCAAAGATTACATCTGTTTAGCTTCAGTATAATTAAGGATTCACAGGCCTTTCGAACCTCAATACAATAGTGTGTTCCTTATAATTAGCAGACCACCGACCTCCTAGCCTTTCAAGAATTAAGTTAGTGCTATATCGCAATTCGGTTTTTTATGAAGTAGAATGTAGTCAGCCTATCATATAGATAGTATTCGGATACGTCTATGAAAATTAACATGACTAAACGATCCAATTAAATTATTTCCAAACCCTATAAGGCTGAATGTGCTTTACAGAATTCCTCTCGGACAATAGGATTCTTGATCAGGCTGGACGTTTTAAAAGCCTAATGAGCTGCGCTTGCACTCTCGGCCAGAATAAAAAGGGGCATGGTGTGATAAATCCAGCCACAACGTACAAACCTCACGTGCTTATTTCTAATTGGTCATGTTTGTCGTATTGAGCGATTAGTATACGATAAATACCAGCCTTTGGTACACAAATGTCACACAGGTACCTCTAATCGCAATAAGGGGTCTCCTGGACCAAGATTCCTGTCCGAGATGCCAAACCTAAGTCCTATACCTCCATGAAGGTCATTACGCCTTTATACTCAATTGGAGTATCATCATGGCAACGGATTCGAGCAATTAACAAGAGAGTTTTGGGCCCGAAGTTGCTATTTCCAACTACAAAGAAAGCGCTTTCAGAAATAAATATACGGTTCGGGAGTCGACTACCACGGCTTATGGACACAACTTGGTGGCATTTTCATCAACATCTACACTAGCAGATGAGCCCGCTATTGTAAAAACTGTTCAGAGTAACCAGTATCCTTCAATTCTCGGTTTCCGAAAACCAATCTTCTTTATATTATCAGGACTAGTAGTCCTCGTCATCTTCGAGGTTTCTATTGGCACAGGGCTAGGTGTCGGTCTTTCGAAAAGTCATCAAACAACAGGTATGGTGAGGACATGCTTGTTTTCTTGAACGTTATTGAACCCGAATCACTGAAATAGGCTGGCTATTCTAAATCTAGTTCCACCAGTGCCTTTAGCACTATTATGACCCTCCCAACGCTCTCAGTATCGACCAGTATGTCGACCTCCACGCAATCTACCGTTACCGCTAGCACAACTGCTACACCTGCCATCCCATGTTCACCAACCGATAGGGGCCATCTAGGAAATTATGTCTCAAGAATAAAGACTCCTAGCATAATTTTCTGGACTGAATGTTTTACTGATTACCCAAATGGAGGTCCCGGTGTTTTGTGGGATATGAAAAATGTGCCAGACTTACTGGTCCTAGCAACACAAACTTTTGACGGGCGTATGGATGAGTGTGTTGTCTACAACGCCGGTCTTCCACCCACTCCATCACCGATACCGTGTAACGCTGTGGTATATAACTGGGAAAGCACGGGGTCGAATTGCTGGTTGAAAAATGATATACCAGAACAGAATTGTGTCTACGAATGACACCGCAGGTGCATACATCCACGACTCCCCATAAGCTCAGCCCTTTACGGATAGAAGGATAGAATTACTCCTAAGATTTCGATTAAATAAAGTTTTTTTTCCATTAGGGCTAGACAAAGGGTTTCATTTGTTATAGTTATCAATCTGTTGTATAGCGATACCATGAAGTTCCCGAAATAAGACATGACCGTATCTTGTTCTACTATGTGTGAATCATATATTGACTAACGAATATTACAATCTGGAGCTACTATCAATGCTAGGAACGTGTTCCCAGGCCTCATCAAGACCATTCCATCGCACCCAGCGAAATATAATGCGTAATACCTGCTCATTAATACCCTGCGCGAATGTCACCTGCTCCGGAAGCCGATAATCAGGACTATTCATTCTCTCCACCGAGTCCATGACCATATGAGCAATAGTTAGACATTGCTCGGGATTGAGCGGAAATTCCTCCTCCCCGCAAAAATTACGAGAGACTTGCTCAACGTTACGAATAGCACGGATAAATTTAGCCGTGTGGCCGTCATCATCGTAGCTCGTGGCTCGACTGAATATGTTGTTCCAGTCACCGGGTATTTTGGGTTTTTATTTGAATGCTCTGTCAGGATACAAAGCTGGAGTCCTGCAGGCTGCGTATGTAATGAGATCAGACCAGCCTTTGATCTCAACAAGTCTACATTTGACTTGATCGGGAATCCAGTCTTGCTTTATGAAAACTGTGAACCAGATAGATGCGTTGACAGAGTGCATGAGGAAGAAATCAAACATTTCGACTTTTCCTGGCCGTTGTGCTGATGCAGCAATGTACAGGCTTGAATTCGCCAACTCTGCAACCTTTCGCTCTAGTTGATGTGGCTGTACGGTATATTCCGCGAGATACGGGACTATCTCTTCTTTTGCGCGCGCAATTAGGCCATCTCGCAATTTATTCGGTGGGTCGTTAGGGCGAACGCTGTTTGATATTACTGGATTATCCCGGAGACGCTCGTATAGAGATAGAAGTGAGGGGTTCGCACTAGGTGTCTGAGATGAGCTCTGTTGTTGAATCCTCTCTGTTACGAGATCGCATGTATCTTCAAGCCATCTTTCTGTGATTGCGGCCTGGGCCAATGCTTCAGCGACGATAAGTGGTTGTTGAAACTCAATTCCATAGCCAAGGTGAATCACCGGATGTAGCAGACCTACGCAAATTTTAGTAACTTCATATTCTCTCGCTGCATACGATAGATTACCATCATATAATCTTGCTAGGATATCATTTGCTCTCTCATCTCCTTTGAATAAATACTCCGTCAGCGTTCCTTCAACACCCCTTTCGGCAATTTCAAGGGTGAAAAATCGGAGAAAGTTATTATAATGTTTCTGATTCCCAACATATTGCTGAAACACCTTCGCGTCATGCATCCTATCTGCAATGTCCGGTGACGGCTCATTCATATTGAGTTGATACTGCACATTAGTATCATAAGCTCGTTGCACCTCTCCAGGCGAGGCGCCGAGTGCATATATCGCGAGAAGATGGTGAAGTATGTGGTCTGCCAATTGTTAACATTTCACCATGCTATATCAACCATTAGTTTTTTATAAAAAAGATTAGACATACTATGTAGTCCACGTCCGTGAAAAAGTATATGGAACTTTTCATGATTATGCATCAACAATTCACTAACCCTATCGGCTGTTCTTTGCGATATCCTGCCAGCATGAATATGGCCACGATTATTGACCGCAGAGAGCGAGAGATGTGTTGCAGTTGCCATTGCCGAAGTTTTTGCCAAGTAGTATTTCCCATTCACCCTATTCACCAGCTATCAGGTCCGGGTCCGCTTTTGACTTTTATACACTATACACGACAAATATAATAGACAGCGTCAGTAGCAACATGAAGCGGAGTTGATGATGCACCATTTCCCCGCATGGTTTATCCACCGAGACGGCCCTGCAGATCTTCACGATGTGGGAACTTTTGCGGGGCTATCCTAGCAAGCGCTTTCCGTATACCTTTAAGCGTCAAATTTTTATTAAGCGATTAGCACGTAGTACTTGCATATGCATTTTTCCAAGTAGTCAACCTGAATGCGAAATTGTCCAGCAGTGTCTACGTGTACCCGAATAACTCTGAAGACAGCAGATGTTTATTAACATCAATAGATGAATCCAAGAATCATACAAAAATTACGTATTGGCTTGGCATTGCTGTCGATTGATATTGTAATGAATTTATACAACATCCTATATTAGTTGATGAGTCGAAAAGCTTGTCGACATGTGAATGACCTGTGGAAATTGCATCTACGAATAAACCTTCGCATGGAGCCCAGGGATAATCTCAAGGTCCTTCGGCGTATAGCTGACTTTGCCATCCGTAGTGATCTTTCCGTCCCGGTTACGTCTCTGCTGCTGCGTCTGACGGACTTGAACCCATTGTTCGGTTGTAAGATGCTGCCCTATTTCCGTGAAAGCGTTGGTTGTCCGTCCAAGGCGATTCAACACGGGGCTATTCTGGATCGGATCAAGAATGACATGGTTGTTTGGTCTAGTGACGGTTAGAATACTAATTCCATCTTGTTTCATCAATGTAGGTAAGCTTTACCGGGCGAAATAGAGCACACCTAGTCGATCGATATGTGCTTGATCCTGTGGCGGAGCGTGCACTCGGTGGATGCTTGACTTGATGAACCCACCTGTCAATGCAGTCAATGCATCACAAGTATTGATGGTAATGGTTCCATCTTGAGGTCGGACCCATTTCCACTCGCCCTCGGAATTCAGTATTTGAAGAGCAGCTACCGGCTGTCGGAATAGTAGTGTCACTGTACCTAGGTCCGTATGGCCTGGGGTATACAAGTTACCCACTTGCTCGTTTTCTTTAGCATTACGAGCTGCGTAGTGCATATATCTCAAATGGTCTTCGCCCTTGACATCGTACTGATGGTCACGAACCAGCTGGTTCTCGTCAGGAAGCTCTAAAAGGATGGCGAATAACCGTAAAAGCTTCTCGACAATTTCCGTATGGCATTTCTAAGACATTACGTAATTAGTTCGAGGTTGAATTTTGGCGGCAAAAAGAAAGGAACAGTCGATTACCCTGCTAAAAGCTTCGATTTGAGAAATATGCTCTAAAAGCGCAGAAGGCTGTTGTCTTGGGTGATAACCATCGAACTTCGGAATATTGTACACCTGGACGTTATCTTTGATGCCGTTTGCAAGACTGTGATGATAAATCCGTTAGTATTCCTCGCAGAACCACTAAGTCTAAGTGTTTCTCCGTACATTCGGTGTCCAGCTGGCCTGTAGCCGTTGTACTCTCCTCTAGCCAAGTCGTCGGCGTTATGAAAATTAAGCTTCTCTTCCAGTGGAAGGCTGTAAAATTCCCGACCAAGAGCAAATTGAAAATCGATTTCCTCTTGGCTGATGTTGAAATTCTTTACGTAAAAGAAGCCTGGAAGATTGACGAATAGTCATCAGTCGGGGGTTCATTCAACTAACTAGATTGAAAATCAACTGACCAACATGTTGCACTGCGTGATCCAATTGCTTAACCAGCACTTCTCTTCCACCCGGCTGATCGTACAGGCTCAGATCCAATGTGACGAGTTCGGCCCAGTCCACTAAATATTTGTTAACTCCGAAAAGGATTCTGACACATCATAAAATCCAGACTCACGGTTCTCTTTAGTTACCGGAACATGGTCGTATCTATCGACTCTACTGGGCATTTTGAAATCAAGTGTGCGATGCTATCAATTAATAGCTATGATAAACAGGTTTCACTCAATATTTCGAACGACATTGACAGAAAGGTGGTTGCAAGGTGCATTTGTATGTTCCTTTATTTACCCCACCGTCATGATAACGTTTTGGTAATCAACCAGCGCACGCAATTGTTGCCGAAAATGATACCTGAAGCAGCCACTGACGGCGATATCTTCTCCACCTTATCAATATTAGTGATACTCGGCCCCAATTTATCCCTTTATTTAAAGCCGAAATGGAGGAGGTTGAGACCCACGTGTAACTAAGTTACTACTCATTAATGCTTCATATCCCCTCTTTTCTTTCCCCCCTTGGTAAACATGAAAGATCCACATCCACCTATGCTGTTGAATAAATGGAATTAAAACTTAATTATATCAATGTTCTTAACATAGCTTTAAACGACAAATTAAAATGCAATCCTTAAAGCTCCCTCTAAATTCCCTCGAACTTTTTCTATAGGACACAATTATTAGCAGGGGTGGAATTTGGCTTTTTATAATTTCAAGTTGTTTTTGACAAAATCCAAGGAAACATTTGGATAATGTCCGCTTTCACTAATGTTCAATGCTATAGCCCTAAGTCCATTTTCTTCTATAATTCGTCTTTTTCTCGTAGCCAGGCATTATGAGTTTTTGAAATTTGGATCAATTGTTAGATCGTTCAAAGGATATGTACTAAATCATGGAGCCTTTCGGTTCCTCTTATGATTGAATATGCGGATACCTAGAATAGAGGTTAGTGGTTATTATCTGTATGCAGAAACGGTTGGCGCTATTGTCATATCTCTATTGTTTAGATGGATAAGCCATAACATAAGTTCTATTCCCTAAATCCATGAATTGCTGCCATTAGAGGAATGGTCTTCGGCTCAAAGCTCATACTGCCCACCATCTGTTGGTTTATGCTATTATTATTCCATCAGCTTCGATTGATAATTATTGGTCCCATCAATTTGTACCGATAGACGTGGTGGTTAAGCACACCAAAGGGAGGGAGAAATGAACATACCACCTTCACGGCTCCACTGAAAAGATCTACAAGTATCTGGCACACGCTACAGTAGAATCTTCCTTTTTCTTCGTCCAAGACCACAAGAACGTTGGCACAGGTAGGCTATAAAGATTCAACTAATCAGTGTAATGTCCTCTTCGGGCTAGACGTCAAAAGTCAGTTTCCTTACACAGTATTTAAATGGATGTGGCATGGCTTGAGCTTTTGAACAGATGAAAACAGGAAGGTCAGTGATCAATATCCAAATGTATCAAAAGGCAGAAAGTCGTCAAAGATATGTCGAAAAAGATGTAGAAACTAGGATACGGAGAGGCTGAATCGGACAATACTCCACCTGTGCGTTTCTTATCCTACGGAAAGGAAGCAAGAGCCTCAAGATAGCGGGGTAAGTAGACGCGTACAATATTCATTTTGGTGGGATTGGGTGACTTCTCGTAGAAGGCTGCCAGCCTTGTGATATTTTCGACGCATTTCCGATGCGCGGATTTATTTGAGCCACGTATTCATATTCAGACCTTGGGGGTCTTGGCAAGTATACATAATATCCAATGAAACACGCTTGGAAGCGCCGCATATGTGTCTCAATGAAATGGGAAAATTAGAAACCCATTGTGGGTTAGAGTACAATTTAAGAGGCCTTGGATTGGCATGAAAAGCCCTATATACAGCACTCCTATCCAAACGACGTGGTCTTATCACATCTTTCTGTTTACTTTTTCCAGGCCAACAGGGCTCTGGCATGTACTAGAGAGGAATATATCCTGGAAGGAATTGCAAATTACTGGCTTAAGTTGCAATGTCACAGCCACCTGCTTATACCTTGTAATACATACGTGGTTTAGTCAGTCAGTGGCTATGGAAATAAAAACCATCTGACAACGGTGAGCATCACGAAGTCTGTCCACTTATAGTGTCCGCGTCTTGTACAAACCATACTGAGCACTCTGCCAAAATTCTTGTTATATATTTGTCTTTCAAATCAATCGAAATCAAGAACAATAAGAATAATCTTCTCTAGGCAATAACAATGCCTAGATGTGTATGCGTTACCCATTTCCCCGTTCCTCTTTTCTTATCTGTCCCTTCTGCCAAATCGTGAACCGTACGCAAGAAGAACTTTGGGCTAATATACCAGGGATAATAAAGCCGAACTGCGGGTATATCTGGGGAGTTGTTTACAACAATGTCTTGGGAGCTCTCGAATGTCCATTCTGTGCTCACGTTTTTGAAAAACCTGGTTCGAGCATGTCGTCTCAACGTTCCGGTTCTTGCTGCAAAAGGTACGTACTATTCTATTTTCCCCCCAGTCTCTGAAATCCATATAATTACCTAGCTTGGCACTAATATACTTTCCGTGCGGAGGAAACCAGTGCCTCAAATGACCATTACAGTTATTTCGTGGTTCTAGCGGAGGAAATCTAAATACATTCTATGTTTTTCAAAGGCCTCCATAAGATACATATTGATATTTAAGCATAAAGAATTATTCAACTGGGAGAAAATGCGATGCTGCGATTGAACCACATAGACGGTTTGTAGACTTCGCAGACGGCGAACCAAGATTGCCATAGCTTGAGATGAGCATTGAATGTGATAAATTATTCGCTTCTACCTATCCGGCAACAATATTTTCAAATCAAGGCATATATATTACTCGTTAGCAGAAATCAACAGTTGACCCGAAGGGCTAGCATGGCAAGGCTGCGTGTTGCGACCGCGGCTTACACAGCCTCCATAGTTGCGTCAAGGCTGTAGATTTCTCTTTTTCATCCATACTACCCCCAACTCTTAGCAGCACCATTGTCCCCCGCAGTCCTAATATCCGCCCTCTTTCACTATCTTCCTATATATTCTTTTCTGTAAATCAGATTCATGTTTTAATACGTGCGGCGAAGAATCTGTCGGCTCTAACTTGGTCCGCAGCCATCCACTGAACGCCCGATGTACTCACGACCAACAATGTCTCCACTAATCCCCTTTCAATTGACGAAGATCGACAAGGCTGCCTTGAGACATGAGTAAGCAAGCATTTCCAGCTTCTCTCTTCTCTCTACATATCCTCGAATTTGAGGGCTAACTAACGAGCCCGAAGACCCGATTTATGGTTAAAGGCGCTAGAAAACCTTCCTGTCGATGATAGAAAAGAATTCGATGTTTGTGGCGTAGGTCGATTGCAAATATTAGAAGAAACCCTCGGTTCTGTGAACGAACTGAAGCGGACATCTGTCGATAGGCGCTGGGGAATAAGGTACCATCAAAGAACTATCGTCCTCAGCGAAGTTTTCGACAAGATAGCATTTTGGATTAAGAAATTCAAAGAGGTTGGGGATGTTGCTACTCAATTCGACCAAACCCATGCGTCATTGCCCTGGGCAGGAATAAGATTCATCCTCCAGGTCGCATTAAACAATTATGAGACGATTGCCAGTATGGCTGAGGGAGTAGAGTTGGTAGCTAACCTAATTGTAAGGTATTCAATATATGAAGTTCTGTATCTCAACAAGGACTCCACTATCGGAAAATCGTTAAAGGCCGCGATCACCAAAGTATATGCCAACATATTGACCTATCTTCTTAAAGCTAAAAGATATTACCGTCAAAGCGCTATGAGTAAGTCGCCATACCGTTTATTTGACGACAAAAAGCTGAGTCCTTTTGTTGCAACAACAAGAACGTTTCACCCTCAGCGTCATTGAGACCGGTGGAGATACTATTTTAGGTCTAATAAAGAACATATTTGATGCGGATCAATGTGTTAAGGACTTCATAAATGTCATCCAAGTGGAAGGTAGGATCAGCAAACGCTCCAAATGTTGGCTGATTTCCTAAATTGACAGTTCTATTCAGGCACCGAGGATCTCCGTCAAGCTGTCAACGAGGTCCATTCTAGACTCGATATTGTTAGACATGGTGGGCTAAGATCGTCAGATATTGAGACATATGGAATATTTCCTGAGCTGATCTGTATCAGATGTTCTCGAGCGATTTGACTCTATCTTCAGTGTTCCGAGAACGCCAATTACAGAATGCAGGCACTCTATATCAGACGTGGAACACAAAGTTAAAGGTGATTAAGCCCAGGGCCTATGGGCTTTATAATATGGATCATCAAGGGTGAATTCTAACTCCTAAAAGAAGTTGGACTTGCTGAAGTAGCAAAATGGCTCTCTGGAGTGCCATATAAAACGCATCACCAAATTGAAAACCGTCGCAGACTTGCTGGGACTTGCAGCTGGATACAATACAATCGAAATTTCAAGTCTTGGATACAGTCAACCTCATCAACTATGCTGTGGCTCCATGGAATACGTAAGTACATGTATTTCTTTTCCGTTCCCAAATTCTTGAAATCGCCTTGTAGTCTCATATTTAATCACACTAACTCTCTACCAATCGTTTGGGCTTGACTTCTCAGCTGGCTCTGGAAAAACCATTGTTATGTAAGGAATTCTTTGTCGTATCATCTCATCATAGACTAACTACTACGTAAAGCTCGTCTGTGATAGATAGCTTGGAAACCGCATACCCTGACTCAAATTCATCAGCTCCTGTCTGCTATTTCTATTGTCAGAAGAATAATGCCGAGAAGGAAAGGTCACACCCTGAGGAGATTTTACGAAGCATTGCATCGCAGTTGATCATCTCGGAAGACAATATGAGAGTGCGGAACACAGCTCAGGGGCCTATTCTAAGTCGAATTACCGCCATCGGAAAAGATGAAGTGCAAGCATTCCCTATAGATGAGACAACAAAACTCATATTGGAGGTCATTGAACGAAAAAACACTGTATTTATCATCGTGGACGCCATCGACGAGGTCGATCCACTCCGGCGACACGAGCTTCTTCTCGCTTTAGAGCTAATCGTTCGACAATCATCAAGACCAGTTAGAGTGCTTGTATCGAGTCGAAACGATGGAGATATTACTTCTCATCTGGAAAATACACCAAATGTTTACATCAGTGAGGTCGACAACCAAGACGATATTCGGAATTTCGTTTGCCATAGCGTCGATAAGATCATTGAAGAGAAGAGACTAATTAGAGGGAGAGTCTCAAACGAGCTGAAAAATCGTATTATGGATAAGTTAATCGAAAAGGGCAAAGGAATGTATGATACGAGTTAATACCAGTATTAATTTGCTGAAATTGTACTGCTGCTAACCGTTTTCAGGTTTCGATGGGTTAGCCTCCAATTGGAGAGTATGTGCGATTGCCGCAGAGTCAAAGTCGAGGAAGACATCGAATATCAACTACACAGTCTTCCAATGACGCTTAAAGATTCGTATGATATCATCTATCAAAACATAGCCATGATGCAATTTAGAAGTCGGGTTATTGCAGAACGTACATTGAAATGGTTGTTTTGCTGTCAACGTACGCTCATCTCGCAAGAGCTGATTTCTCTTGTGACATTCGACTTTCCTAGACAACCGGTAGTGGACGAGATTCTAGACGTGTGTTGCAACCTAGTTGTTCTTGACCAACAATTAGACATTTTCAGATTTGCACACCTGTCAGTACGAGAGTATCTCGAGAGCCGACCAGAATATAGTCCAACCAGCGTCCACTCACTAGCATTAGAGACATGCCTCAAGTATCTTGTGAGGACGATGGACCGTGGTCGCTGTCAGTACTGTGATAGAGACACCACAGTCTGGCCTTATGTTTCCATCTACTGGCCAATCCATGCCGAGCTCACCGAGAACCATCGACCGCCGGATCTTCAAGACTGTCTGCTACACTTTATCTTAGATGAATCGGAGGAGTCGGCTTTTTGCTTATGGCTCTCAGAGTGCGACCAGATTAGTTTCACAGCGCCATTTGACGTAAATAAAAGACTGCGTACAGTTTTCAACTTCGAGAACTCCCCTGTTCATGTCTCATGTACTTATGGGTTAACAACTGTTGCAGAATCTCTCCTAATGTGCGGGAAATTTCACTGGGATCAAAAGAATTATCGTGGTGACACGCCTTTGGCTCTCTTGCTAATGAATAATCATTCGGAAACAGCCATCAAGATCTTAAGTAAAGCTTCAATTACTAAAGTAACAGAAAATGACCTTGTTACGGCAGCTCGATTCGAAGGTTCCGACACAAAGATAATGGATTTATTGCTAGATCAAGCTAGCTTAACAGATATTACAGAGAGGGTAGCATTAGCCGCGGTCCAAAACAGAAAGAATGGACGAGAAATCATCGGCAGCCTTTTTGACCGAAGGAAAGATTTGGTTATCAGCAAGGGATTCTTCAAGGAGGCTGCCGGAAATGCAGAGGGAAACGCGATAATCAAGTTTCTCCTCCAAACCCAACGAGGCTTGGTCGTCACTTCAGATGTTTTGAAGGCCGCCATTCAGAATAAAGGTCAAACCTATCAAGTCTTAAAAACACTTTTGGGGGTGATAGAAGACGAGAAAACTACCAAAGAGCTCATCATTATGGCAACAAAGCACGACTGTGGTGATTGCAGTCTAATACAATTGTTCTGGGACCGAGGCTCAGAGGATATGAATATGCTCAATGAAGAAACCCTAAAAGCAGCCATGGAAAACACTTGCGGACCCAGGAAGGTCTTGGAATGGCTCTGGCAAAAACGTGAAGATTTTAGTATCACTGAAGAGATCATCATTGTTGCCGTGAGAAACTGGGAACATGGACTGGATTTGGTACAATTCCTTTGGGATAAAATGGGTGGTTTTAGAGTCACACAACAGATTCTTAAAACCGCTGCGTGGAATTGGAAGAGTGGAGAGAATATAATACGGTTTCTATCAATGGGACAGGAGCTACCAGTATCCAAGGATGTAGTACTTACTGCTGTCCGACATGGTACGAAGGACATCGTGGATCTGTTACTTAATCACTTGCAGTTTCATTGTATTGATGAGGATGTTATCAGAGGCGCTGCGCAAAACGAATTGAGTGGACCAGAGATCATTAAGCTTTTATGGGAACGGCAAGATACCTGTCCAGTCACCGATTACGTGCTCAGAGGAGCAGTTGGGAATTTTGGAAGGGGTATGGAAATTCTACAGCTCCTTCTGACAAAGGAAAGTGATGTGGTAATAACGGAACAGACTATGATTGAAGCCGCATCGAATGAGGAATTCGGGCATTCTATGGTTGGTTTTATTCTAAACAAGACAGACAAGAGCATTGTCAGCAAGGCGATCCTTGAGGCTGCAGCAACTGCAGGGCAAGAAAAGGTCCTTCAACTTCTTCGAAACAGATGTGAAAATTGTGATATGGATTATCTCATGAGAATCGCACGATTTTTCAATGCTGCCAAAACCGGGGATCTTATAGAGGTTCAAACACTGCTCTCAAAAGGAGTCCCTCCAGATATGAGAAACATTAGGGGAGTAACACCGTTATGGCGAGCGGCGTCCTTGGGAAATCATGCCGTTGTGAAGCTTCTACTTGATAATACGAATGTTGATCCAAATGCCAGGTCAATTGGCAATCGCGGACCGATATTTTGGGCATCCGAAAACGGTTTCTCAGATATTGTTAAGATGCTCTTGGAGCACGGGGCAGATCCTAATGTAATAGATAATCACGGACGAACGGCATATTCAGTAGCCAAAGAAGGTAATCATAGTGGGGTTCAAAAGGTGCTCGAAGAATTTGAGAGTCTGCTAAGATAACTTTTCCTGGAATACTCAAACTTTCGAAAGCAGGTGGTTTATTCCACCACTCTTGGTGCCGAAGTGAAAATTTGGGGACTGACTATCTCATCTACCCTTGCACATGCTGAGATAAATTCTGGTTTGAAATCTAGAATTAATGATTGCTATTCGACAGCCTTGAATGAGTCTTTTAAAAATGGCATAGCATCGTGGCTAGAAAATGATGTTATTCTGGAACGGTATTAATTACAATTTTGTAGGTTAGTTAGGTATTGCCGAATAGTCACTTACGTGGTTCTGTATATGGTCACACTTTAGTCACATTTCCTTTAATATACACAGTACATAGTGGTGCGTCGTCTTTTCTTTTTTTGTTGAGTCAGCCACAAGCAATAAGTCAATTCGCCATCAAAGACCTACTATTGGGTGGCTCGCTTTAAATATTTCCAGTTGCGCCTCAAAGAGCCAATGGAAGTTGTCTTAACATATGAAAGCGCTAATACTCGCTCGGCGCTTGTCCAAAAGGTGCATAATTGAATCCCACCAGGCTACACTCCGATTAAGTTAACCCGACAGTTGACCGTCTCCGGGTGCGATGAATTTGATTCCAATATTGACAAGATACCCATTTTTAGGTCCGAACTTAAAGATCGGTATCTGCATAAATGAAGACCCAGCAGTATACAGTCGGATGGATCTGCGCGATTCCGACTGAGGCTGTCGCCGCCTGTGCGATGCTCGACGAAGAGCATCCGCCTTTAGAAGAACAGCCCCGAAACGACAATAACGCATATACCCTAGGTAGTATCGGACACCACAACGTAGTCATCGCTTGTTTACCCAAGGGGAAATATGGAATTGCCTCTACTGCCAGTTTGGTTACCGACATGCTCAATACATTCGAGTCCATCCGTTTCGGACTCATGGTGGGTATCGGTGGAGGGGCCCCGGATGACGAAAATAATATGCGCTTGGGAGATGTAGTTGTTGGCGCTTCGCCGACGCGGCATGGAGGCGTCATCCCTTATGACTTCGGCAGAGCAGTACAAGGGCAAGAATTTGAAATTACGCGCTCGCTGAACTCGCCTCCCAAATCACTATTGACCGCCCTCTCCCAACTAGACACGTTCCATCAGCTGAAAGGCATGGGACGGATTAATGACTTCTTGTCGCGAATCACTGAGAACCCGCGGTTGAAAAAGCGATATGCACGGCCAAGTTCCGATGATGATCGCTTGTATCGCGCAGATTATGTTCATCCTCAGGAAAATTTGTTATGTGCAGCTGTATGTGATACGCACGAACTACAGCAAAGAAAGGAAAGAGATACTCTGCCGGGAGACAATTTTGTAGTGCATTATGGAGTAATTGCTTCTGGAGACAAAGTTATCAGAGATGCTATAATAAGGGACAAATTAAGACAGAAGCACGATATTCTCTGCTTTGAAATGGAAGCCGCTGGGCTAACGGATAACTTTCCTTGCTTGGTTATTCGGGGGATCTGCGACTATTCAGACTCGCACAAGAATGATCTCTGGCAGGGCTACGCAGCAGCGACAGCGGCAGCGTATGCAAAGGAGCTTCTGCACATTATTTCACCGGCCAAGGTCATGCATGAAACCACGGCGGCGATAGTCCAGACTATGGTCAGCAGATCGGAGCATACTGCTACGTGGTCTGATTTTTATCAAGTGGGTGGCAGAAACGTCCAAGGTAGGGTGGAAATACATGAACAGCTATAATATTCAATATTGAATTTCCTAACTGAACAATCCTTATATAACAGAGGGTATACCTGAGCGGAACTCTTCCAATTCATCACTCGGGCACTCTTTGGCTACCATAGATTCGATCCCGGCTCCCCGAAGCGTGCATACATCACTATCTGTGAGAGAAACTCCGTCCAATGAAACATTTCGAGATCCGGAAATTGGTATGTAGCCATGCACTGACGAAATCTTGAGAGAAAGTGATATTGATTGTCGTTCTGCGTCGTCAGTCCGAGACATCAATACCGGCCAAGCATTTTTAGACGACAAAGCCGGAACGCCAGACCTTTTACAAAGATTGACGAAAGCGGAGCAATATTTTTCTCAAGCGCGTACAAAGTTGACACAGAGCCATTCCTCCGACTCGGCGAGTTGTCTCCTCGTTTACAACGGCTTGATGCGGGTGGAATTAGGCAAAACTCTCATCAAATCGAGTTCTCCGTCTGAGAAGAAGGTATTTTTGCGTCAAGCATTTTACTTCAATCAACGAGCCCTTGAAAATGCTCGTCGTATGCCTGATCCAGAAACAGAAGTCCCACGAGTTGAAATGCGAAGAGCTATCCTGGTGGCCAGAGAGACTGAGCTTGATTGTCGGCAGCCACGCATAGATCCTCAATTGATCAACGAGTGGAGAACGAATGCTTTGAAGACCCTGCATGACGCACGTCATGAGATGGTCAAAGCTAGCAATTCCGAAATAGATCGCAAACTCATTGCATGGGCGGATAGTTGGATATCCCGTGTCGTGCAAATCTCCGCGCCTGTCAGTTGAGTATCGTTCGCAGTGAGACAGGCTACATGACTGTGTATAATTAGTAATGATTCTGGTATTACGCTACCTGCTCTATAATCCAGCAGACCCGGTAGGCGCATGGGAGTACAGCTGCGTATATGTTGGGGGATGTGTCGCTGGTACTTGGACTTGACTGACGGAGTCATCGGGAGTAATTTCGCTTCTTGTTCCTAGAAATCCCGACGTGGTTGTAGGTGTGTGATAGGTCGGCCAATTATTTTGTGAGACATGAGTGGTGGTCGCTGGGGGGTATCGGTATCTATCATCATAAACATTATCCTGCCTCGGTGCTGGCTTCTTCCATTTTCTTATTGCTACCGCTACCAGTCCTACCACTATTAAAAAGCCGACTATTGCAACCACAATGTATATTATATCGTCGTGAGTGAGTCCAGAGGAGGATGAACTTGCTTCACCAGTTGTAGATGCAGGCGTAGAGGAGGCTATCGAGGCACCGTTGCCATATGTGAACTCGACTGCGCCTGTTGAAGCAGCGGTTGGAAGGGGGCCACCGAGATCGGCCGCAGATGTCACGGATAAAATTGCATTCGTAGTCGAGCAAGTAAATCCCGACATGGGAGGGTTCGTTCCAATCGGATCATTCCAGTACATTGTCACACAGTGTATATTTGTACTGAGTGTGCTATAAACCATCCATCAGTAAGTCGCGTTGCGAATAATATTCAAATATCCAAATCGGAAATTATAACACACAAGGGACCACTGTTCAAGAAATGCTCACCATTTCAACGTCGAATAATCCTCTTGGCAGGTTCTATCGCATGCGGTTACATAGTACGTAGAGTCAATACAGGCTGTCGGTGGCAATGCGTATGCTAGAATCCCGCAATAATGAACATTTGCCGACGTGAATGACAGGCAACTGATCCCAAAACTGCAGGTGACAGGAGATCCTGGGTCATTTTCAGTTAATACACAGCTTCCAACCCGTTACGAGGCAGCTAGATAGTCGTACCTGTATCTCCATTGACATATCCACATGTTGTTGGTTCGAACGCTTGTCTCGCCCAGAAATCAAGTCTTTCCGCAACCAGTCGCGGATCTGGTGGTGCTGTAGTGGTTGTTGCAGGCGCTGATGTCAAATTCGCCATGCTGCGTCTTTCTCAATGCATCTTTCGAGAGTAAAAATAGAAAATCAATGCAGCTTGCCGCCGATGGCGGAATTGGCAGTTATTTATTACTACGCCCTAAGCATTCTTTAGGAGCCGCCGGCTAGAATCTCCTCGTGTTTATTCAGGGGAAGAGTCGCAGCATAACTCCCACATGGCAGCACGGCAGCAAGCATGCGATTGATTAAGCCAATCTCATGTTCACGCGACCTTCTGAAGAACTCCGATTATTGCTGACAGGAGGGCGCAAAGAGCGGTTCTTTCATTGGAGGAGATCAAGCCCGCAATGTATATTATCTAGTTTCATGCACTTTCTTAAGTTGATCGGGCGTAGTCGCCACTAGCGTGTCCTCTTAACAAATAGGAGCACTCAATAAGCGTATTCGAGAGACGGCGTCGTTTGCCGTTTCTTTGCTTTTCCCAGACGCTTAAGCATTTGGTTAGCTTGGTTGTAGCTGAGGCTAAAAGCTTGACAGCCTTGACCTGATGAAAAGTCATCCTCTTTCGACAGGCAATAGTACTCAGAATCGATTTAATATATCCCTTGAAATTTGGCCTATGGGAAATCAAACGTTATAAGAACATACTCTAATTACCATGTCGTCTGATTGGCGAGACCATTTAGGGCGGTGCCAAGTAATTGAGAGGGGCCTCTACAGTTAAGCTTTATTCAAAAATGGAGACACTCCAGAGCCTCCACCATCCCATCCATATTAATTATGATTCGCTGTCTTCCGTCTATGGGCCACGGAACCAAACTGTGTGGCAATAGAACTTAAAAACCCACAAACTATAGCTAATCTACATAATCTTTTTTCTTCGAACTGGGTCCAATAGTGAAATAGTCAACGATGGTCCGGCGGCATTCTGAGATACAGTGCTGCCTTTCCACCAAACATTCCTCAAAAAAGGGCTACTAGATGAAGCGGGCAGAGAAATCCGTATTACTGCAGCACTAGTATAAACTAGGATATTTTGATAGCTGCTTCCCAAGAAAGCAATCGCATTACTACTATTAAACTGCTCTCTGAGGGAATGCCCGATCCACATGTTGAGATAGCAAACTTTCTAGGGACGTGTTTGCGGTTACTATATATGGTTACTTATCCATTCAATTTCCACACCTGTAAGGAGCCTCCGGGCTATGACAGTCATAGACGGCATCTTGCTGAGGGAGATCTGAAATCAAAAACACGCGCGCGCGCACGTGCACGCAAATGAATGCCAGTCAGTATTTTTGTCAGCGGACTTGCAAGGCACACTGTCGAAGCAAGACAGCCCCCTCACCCGGCATGTCAAAGCAAAATCCGCTAAAGGCACTACAATTACCATTTATCAACATTCATTCTCCTATCTTTTTAGTGTATATTTCAATTAATTGGTATCTGTAATGAGATAAATAGTATTCAAAGGAGATTTATAATTCAACTTTTAAACCTAAAATAGAATCCGCGTTATAGAATTGACTTTATACAAATCAACCGAATAGAAAGTGACGCGCTCTTTCGGATTCTTGATGTCATTGATTAAAATTCTCCATCATTCACTAACTGGGAGTATTATGAATGTAAGGAGCTGCCTAGTTCTTTGGGGGCTTTGATCTCGGCAAAGAACAACAGTTGCATAAATTCTACGTACCAGCGTTAAATTAAATGTGAGATTCATGCGCAAGAAGCAAGAGGCTTTGAATGAGTGCCCTGCCCAGCATCGTAGGACTGTCTGAAGAGGAGGCGTCACCTTCAGAATATATTGTAATAGTGCCGCATGGGTTGCTATCGGTCTTCGGCACATGGATGATTTAATTCAAGGATGTCAAGCAGCTTGTGCTGCCAACAGAGCCCGCAAGGGTATCAACAATCTGATCAATTCCAGCAACCCTTGCAAGTTGCTTTCGGCCACTAACAGAGCCATTGATTCCACTGATCAAACAACCCACCGGATCTTGTATCTCCCCGATCTACCGAGGCAATCGGGTCTCTGCGGTGCCGACCTTGCGTACCGGAAACACGGGAGATGATGTCGTGAATAACGTCTTAACGCGATGAAAGGACGCAATATTGGGGGAAGGAGTCGTGAATATCGCACGGATCTACAGCTGTAGGGCTGACTTAATAGAGCCTAAACTGCTACGTCATCATATATATGTGTATTCCCTTTTCAATTCTCGGGGTACAAAGTCACAGGGTTATTTTTAGAGTTAATAAGGTTATCTTCTGTGGAATACTGAATTAGATAAAGTGTATGAGACGAGCGTTGATGCCTAGAACTATTCTAAGTGTCCCCGCCAAGCGAGAATCCCCACCATCCGAGAAAATCAAGTTACCCCTAATTGGCCCCTTATTTTCATTATTCCCTGCACAACCACTGTAGATTTTGAAAAGTTAATGTATGTAGCGAACCCATGGGGACTCCATCACCCGAAAATCGTGCTCACCCGAAAATCGTGCTCAGCGAGCCATTGAATCGTTCGAGTTGGGACATTTTCCGTCCTTGAGAGCGGCCGCTATGCCTGGCACTGTAGAGTCCGGGGATCAAAAGATTGATGGGCACATTGAAACCGAGGAAATAAGTACCAGAAAATTCTCATGCTTTTTATGCCCTGGCATATCAGAGATCGATCTCTTCATTTCCAAACATAAATTATTTCTGAAAAGTCGTTACAATGTAGGCATGTAGTGAACTAGGAACCGTCGTATTGGCGGACAAGCTAAGTTCAGCCGCACCAGCCCCGCAACCACGCGACAACCGACTTGATGATCTGTTTACTTTTCTTATACTTCATGCGGCACCGACTCCAGGTACTCAAGTAGCATTCGGTTCTCAAAGTAGCCTATATCTCCATCATAATCCGATCAATTGGCTGAGATCAATCAGGTTCACAACAAGTGACAATGGAAGAAGCCTCGGAGTCGCCGCCCCGACTCTTTCGGAAATTGACTTTGCCAGCTCGCCCGACACAAGAATATAATAGTGACAGTGATTCTGACGTGTACATGGATCGTTCCAATCGTCCCCGGAGACGATCTACCCGGGGAGGCTACTATGATAGCCCAGTGGAAAATACATCAGACTCCGAGTCAAATGTACACTCTTCTGACGAAAGCAGCCCAGACCGCTATAAATCATCCGGACGTGGTCGCCACTATCGCGAACGATCAAGGTCTCGCACGCGTTCATTTAAATACAAAGAACCGCGAAGCACACGGCTTGAAAGGAAAGGTATCTATCCATTTCTCCTTCGCGGGAATCAGGACGGCGCGCAATCCTTTACGGAAGATGGCAGCAGCGATGGTGAATTGGGCGACTCAGTCGAATCTGCCACGAAAGCCAGCCGAGTCTTTGAACCCTCGCACACATTGCACTCAGCGATTGATGAAGTCCACTATATTTACAACTCTCGCTACACCGGAGAAAAGTTGTCCTATGGGGGCTTGCAATCTGCGGAGCTTACGACTGGTCAATTCGATGGGAAGAGCTCCAAGGTTCCTCTTTTTCGGTGGATGTAAGTTATCTCTCAATTTGACCGTTTGGGATATATAATAATCATCAATTGAAGCCATCTCAAAGACGAGGATATGAATTTCGACGTCTTTCAAGACCGAGTAGATCACATACCAAATCTGAACATAACGCAAAGAACAGCTATCACCAAATTGCTACGAAAAGTGGAGAAGAAATTCGACAGCCCCCTGCAAGTCGCAGACCGTCCTGTGATTCGTATCATGGAACCCGGATTTCTCCCAACATCAGAATGGCCAGATGATTACGGGCCTGTGAAAAAAGAGGCTGCATCGCCGACTACTGCAACATGGATATGTTTTCCTTATTTCTGTCTTGACCAGTATCAAGGCCTTTTCGCCAATATCAAAAAAGGCGCTCATCCCATGCATACGTTATTACAGATGCGATCGTCATTGGTAAACGAGAAGCGAGAAAAGCAGCAGGCCGTTTGTCAAATTAGTGAAAATTCGAAGAAGCTTTGTTTTCATGTGGGACAGCTATGGTGTTTGATTCTGGATGATTGTAAGCGAGTCAATCCCCAACTACTCGCTTCTCTACTGATTTTTTCTATTTCAGCCCTTCTGGTCACCTGCGGCCGGATGTCGTTTCGTACATTGAAAGGCGAGATTGTCTCATTGAACGAAATGCCTGGACCTAGTTCGTTAGATTCCCCGAGAATCCTGGTGTCTTACGGAAGTTCCGTTTTGTGGATGTTCACTGTCGATGAATGTCCAACCTGGGTTGTACGTAATCATTTCTCTTTTATCCCACTAATATACCACACCTGACAGTCACTGAATATCTTTCACGTAGAGTTTTACTACAAGGTTTTGGCAGTTTCAACCTAGTACATGTGAAATCCTGTACCATGGTCAACCGGTCAATTCAGCTTCATGGCCGCGTATTCTGGAATACGCTACGCGCAGCGAGCAGAGAAATCAAGGCCCCTTGCGGTTATCATTTAGATTAGCTAGGAAAACGAAAAAAGACAACCCAAACTTTATGGCAATCAGCCCAAAGGACTTGGAACCACCCTCCACTACTATTAATACTGAAGGTGAAGGTGAAGAAGCTACAAGTACTGTGCCGGACATTGAATCCACGGCGTCATTGATGGCAAACTTCGCAGTTTTTACCGAGCTAAACAGAAATAGCCAAACAAGTCGCGTGGTCTCAGCAGCTAAAATGGATACCAAGCAGCTACATGAAGATTTGGAACGAATGAACAATTTCCTCACTCACCAGATAGAGCCACACGAGCGTATCGCGTACAAAGAATGTCCGGAATCTTCTCGAAAAGCGGTTTTCGATGAACTACGCGCCATGATAGAGCATGAACAGCGAAACAGAAGGCCTGAGGATATAATACGCACAGAAGCTGAGAGGAGTCTGCTTGAGTTCAAGAAGGATTTCGTCGGGTCATGCGATTATATTTTCAAATTCTTCTTTCCGCCTACGCTCACGGGGCCGGGGACAGGGAAGTTTTGGGGAGCGTTGCATAGGATTATATCTGTATGTGGTCGACGACGTAGAATAAAATTGCGTTTTTGTTGACTGGAATCTAGGCCAATATTCCCTACGATGACATGTCAACGTCTCCAATTCGAGTTCGGCGCGGTAGGATGGGCGGTAGGACGGGTGGTACCCGAGGACCGGATATGGAGGAGTGGGAGTTTGAGCTGGAGAATCTCGTGAAACGGTTCCGATCAATCGGACGCAAGATCATGCCATTCAACTCCGTCATTACGCAGGCAGCACCCGTCGACCGAGCGAAACTAAAAGTTCCAGAGTCGTTGCCCAACGCATGGATTCATCTTGTGATGGCGCTCGTTTTGTATATGGAACCGCGGCTAGGGAACTGGGAGTTGAAGGCGGACGCGACCGCTCTGTTGCTGAATCGAGGGATTGATTCTATGTTGAAATCGATTATCACCTTAAAGCCAATACTCGCCGATACAGTTTTCACACCCTTTGATCTTGCGACGTTGCTAGTCTTTCGGCTTGCGAAGGATGTGACCGATTCGCGGCCTGATATTGAGCAGACGTACGCCCAACATCTCACTATACTTGTTAGTCTCTCATTTCTTTGTACTGCTATTTTCTGGGCATCGCTAACAATTCCAGGACAACGAAGTAAAAACCAAATCCCTAGATCGATCGCACCAAGCCCGCTTACAGCTATTCAAGGAGGAGCTCGCGGCCATCACAAAAACACTGAAAATGCAGGACGACGTGGTAGCAAGTATCACATGCAATGGGCAAGCAAAACCAAAGAGTGATCTTCGTACTTACGTTATTCGTCGTGGTCATGATAAACATGAAGATGACGATATTGTCATTCGTCGTGACTTCGAGGACCGTGGCTATGATAAATATGGAGATGCCCCGCGGAACAGCCCCTACGCTGCGGACGACGCTCTGTTCGACGAGTTCTTCAAAAACAGTCGGCGAGACCCCGGCGGCTTTCGGGAATTTTTGGTTAGGGATCTTCTAAGCGGTATTGCAAGTCGGAAAAGGCGGTTTGATGAGATGAGTGATGAGGGGAGTGATTTGGCGAAATGGGTGAGTTCACGCACTTTCCTTCCACCGATGTCTATTAAATCGATATGAGCAAGGTAAATTAACCAGTCTATGTTGTAAACAGAATCTCGATCAAATCGACACCAACCGCGATCGACAGGACTCTGCGATCTATGTATTCACCGTCGTTACAGTCATTTTCCTACCCCTCAGTACAGTCGCTGGGATCCTGGGGATGAACACGAATGATGTGCGGAATATGGATGTGAATCAATGGGTGTTTTGGGTGGTTGCACTGCCACTTACGTTGATTATTATATTTGCCGGTCTGGTTGCTACGGGTGAACTTCGGAACTTTTTCGGTACTTTGGTCGGGCTCTGGGTGCAGCGGAAGACATTGCTGGGTGGAGGTGGTTGGGCGGTGATTCAAGAAGATTCAGGTTATGACTGGGACAAGAGAGGTGACAGGAGGCGAAGGATTCGAGTGTTTTGAGCCAGTCCCTGGATGGAAATAGCAGGGGTGGTATAGATGCGGATACATCGATGATGGTTGGAACACATATATCGAGTTCCTCCGCTTCGACTACGTGACAGACTATCAAGTTAGTGATACAATTAAAAGTTAGGCGTGATAGATAAATGTAAATTTAGTAACAATGACGACGTACGATATTGAAATGGTTACAACGACCGCTAGAAGATGCGGGTATTATATTAAGGTAGATATATAGATATGTACGTGAAAATGTGAAACGTTGGATCTCTCAGCAATGGAACAATCAGACATGATCAGGATGTCGCAGTTTTGCTCGTAGCATTGCTCTTCTCTCTGGAATTGTAATCTCAATCATAACAAGGTGCGAAACAAACGCTTCGTACGTCCTCGGCTCATGCGAATACGTCCTTGACTCGCGGCCAATTTCCTCCAACACACGACTTCTGATAAATTCAATCTTCTGCCATTCAGCGAAACGGCCTGGGTATTCCGCTTGTAGACGTCCAAGATAATGCGCGAAATCTCGAACAGACTGGCCCCTTCGTTGTCGGGCTGATCTGAATTTCGACTCGGCTTCCTGTAGACGCTTTGGCTGACGAAGGAGTAGGTCTAGAAAAAACCCGTAGAATTCTTGCCATGTGTAGCGATCCGCGCCGAGAGTGTCGGAATGATGGCCCCACTGCTCCCGCATCTCATCTGTTAAGGTGCTCGCAGCCTCTTGAATCTTCCGTGTGTCGTTTATATAATAGCCAGAGTGGTGATAAAAGTGAGCTTCCATTTTGCTCATATACGTTCGAAATTCATTAATGCTCCTCCCACGGTATTTGTATTCAATTGGAGGTCTGGCATGGCGCACCGAGACAACGGACGATGTGGACTCAGAGCGTTGTCTTTTCATTCCAATCACCGAGCGCGAGAGTTCCATAGTCGGAGACCCAGTACCACTATATTCCTGTTGTGTTTCAGCCAAAAGCTGTCGTTCGCGTTGGATACGGCGGCGAAGGTACACGATTCGTCGTTCGCGCATAACATCGTGTAGTTCCTGACGGAGGTATTGGATTTCCGGGTCGCCTTGATCTAGAGCTGCGATGCCCCGGATTTCAATTTCGTCCGATGTTTCGAGCTGATTCGGATGTTCATTATCCCCGTAATAGTCATGGTGATGAGGCAGCAGTTCCTCGATATCCCCCGACTCGTTGAAATCCGGGCCGTCTGTGACAATCTGGATGTTGCTCGTGTCGGATCCCTCGTCTTTGATGGGAGGTGAAACGGCGTCTGGCCGCAGAGACGGCGGGCGGTTTTTGCGTCTTCTCGGCATCGTCTTCGGACTGAAGGATATGGGAGAGTTGAAAGCAGCGTTATCTGTTCAGCTCAAAAAATATGTGAAGCTGTCAACTGTCCACCGGGCCTAGACGCGCCTTCCCCACATCGGGCAGCTGCGCTGTGTCAACACGCTAGCCACGCAGGCTAGTTGATTGACGGGTCAGATATGCAGGGGCGAACGATATCCTCATCTCAGGAGCTCAAGCTCGATAGAGAGTGTAGAGGATGGAGAGTGTTCCTTTCGCCTATTCCTATGAATTTTTTCTGAATGAATCTCTTCGCTTCGAGAGGTGCAACATCAGAATGATCTGTAATACGGGTGACACGACGGTGCAAGAACGTGGAGCCAGGATCCAGTTAGGGCTTTTGTGTAGGGCTTAGCTAGTCCCGCAACGCGTGCAAACACGTCTCTAGATAGCTCTTACCATTTCCACCGCAAGTTCCAACACCTCTCCTCCACTCGCGAATATCAATCTGAGCAATGCCAAGCGCCGTCAATTGATCATTCCATCCATACTCGATAGAGCCTCGATAAAGATCCGACGGAATATCCGACGGAATATCCACAGACATCCCCATGGCTCCAGGCGTGGATGGACCGGTCGCTCTAGTCAACCCCTATCCCGACGTCGCTTCATCCGGGAACCAGATCCTCCGTTCGATCTCTGACGAGTCACAGCATGGACAGGAGAGCAACAATCCAAGTCATATGGTCAAGGTTGAATTGCCTAACGACCCTCAAACTCCCAGCAGTGAGTCCCTATTGGACGAAAACGTGTCATTATTACTCCAGCTTGAGACTTTGAGACAACAGCGCGGAACTCTCGAGGCCCAGTTACAGGCGGCAGAAGAACGAGAAGCAATCCGAGCAGCTATCGCGGAAGAGCACCGGCTTATTTCGATCACTCAGCAACGAATTCAAGAAGCTGACCATAGAGCTGCTTCTGTACGGAGCGAGGAAATTCATGAATCTCGACGCTTGAAACGCAAGCGGTCTTACTCGCCATCTCAAGATCTCGATAACGATCGACTTCCGAGAATTAATTTTGGCTTTTTGCGCGATGGGCACAACATATTGACATTGAAGGGGTTTCTAGAGAAGATAGAGAATTTCTTCGAGCAATACGTCGACGTCTACACAAACGACAGGCGCAAAATCAGAACTGCAACGACGGCTATTGATGAAGGTATCCGCATACATTGGGAATCCTACGTCTTTTCTCGCCGTGATTGGGAACCTAATTGGCATGATTTCACCACCTTTTTACGTAATCGTGCAGCTGATATCAGGGCAATGAAGAAAGCCATCGCTTTGCTCGCCCACTCTCGTCAGTCTCTTAATCAGCCTGTCGTCGCCTTTTCTGCAACCTTGGAAACTTGGCAATGCCACTTTCCTCCACAGAATTCATTTGAAAAAAAAGAAACACTACGGGTTCGTGTCAACAAACGGTTGAAGAAGGAATCGGAGAAACCTAGTTGGACTGCGATCGAGCCAGAATCATACCCTGATTTCGTCTTGCATTTGTCCAAGATTGAGAAATATCTAAAGACCGGCCAACTTCCACAGCAGGGCTGATTAGGTGATTGTGGAAATGGTGGGTTCTCCAGAACACAATTGAAATTAATGGAGAAGACAAATCAAAATCATAAGTCTTCATTGATTCCTTTGCAAAACCCTTACACATTCATACTAGGAGACACTTAAGACTTCTTATCAACCGGTATTATGGGTGGTGGTTCTTCGCCAGCCGCTTTATTTGTGGTGAATAATATACCTAGGATAATTCAGCATTTGATCGGCGCGCATATGCTAGTCTGACTCACTTGCTCTATTCATGTTCGTTGCAACATTGAGCTTTATTAGAATCCACCCGATAACCTGAGGCAGTTCGACATTACAAACACTTCATTCGAGCTTCTATGTCAGGGGGCGATAGAACAAGCACCACGTTTGACCATGACAGATCAAGGTTGGCAGTTGGCCGATGCCAACCATAACGCAAGCGCCATCATCTAATGCCCTGATGGCTTCGTACCTGGCCGCTTTGGAAATCCCTAGTAAGCATAAAAGCATGCCTAGATACAAATCATTATCAATGTTTATTTCTCATGCAAATGAGTAGAGCGTACAAAGCTATCCCTAGAAACAGACACACGATAAAAACAGCAACAAAGAAGCACTATGAAAACGATGTAAGAATAATAGAAGGGAGGAGTAGCATCAACTCTGATCAGAGATGACCAGAACCATATTCACTATTGAGCCTGCGCAGAAGCGATGGGACTATCCGCTGCAGCTATCTTTTGCAAGACTATCCGCTACCGTATTATCTTTCCTAGGAATATACCAGAAACTAGCCTGATCAGTATGAGTACACGATCAAGTCAAATATTTTATCAAGCGTGAGAACAAACATTCACTATCTTCGCGTTTCTTCACCTCCGCATCAAGGGTGATAAATAGATCAAGATTTGCTGGTTTGGTGCGTTTGATGCGTCTAGACATATGCAGTTTTCTCCTTTGCTGTAATGTTAACAATTAGGTCAGCTCGTAAAAAATACTGACTAAAACCACTAGAATATACCCGACACTTTTGGTAGCCATTCGGTGATTCAGTCAAAAACATACTTTGAATCGGTCGCTGTGATCCAGAATTTGGGCCCTCCACCGGGTTTGCTTTCAGAAATGAGTCTGTCACATTCCACAATAAATTCCAGTCCGGGCGTTGCCGCGCATGGTTCTGCTCGTTGATTCTTTCCCACTGGGAAATCGTCCTCCGAGTCTGCAATGGGAATAGAATACTGGAACGGCTCAGTGGCGCTCAATGCTACACCAGCATCTGCTGTTGCTCCATGGAGTCCGTTTTTGAGGCATGTACCATCAGCGAAAACAGGGTGATAGTGATGACAAGGCTTAGGGTTCTCAACACTCGACTTGAGCTGTTGTTTGTGGCAGGAACAGCAGTATAATACATAGTTTTCACAATCAGGACATTCTATAACGAGTTCAGAAGTGGGCCAATCCGACGATTAAGGACAGAGACTGAGCTTTCTGTCAAGTACAATGTCGTCAATTCCATCCATGACCGAAGTATGTAGTGTGAGTTGCTCGATTGATAGTTTTGACATACTCTTTTCGGGGCACTAAAGGCTGTTTGTGAGCGCTAGTCTACTCCAAGCCTAGGGAGTATATTGCTAATGTGCACGCAGCAGGAGAATAACGCCAGCTCCTGGTGGGTCCCGGGGTTAAGGTTAAATACTTGCGTCTCCGCTTTTTTAGGAGGGGGATCGCCGTGTCCAGAACTCAAAAGGTCGTGGCTAGAAATTTTGGTGTGGAATGACTAGACCAGTGAGGTCTTTAGAAAGGGGCCTTAAGATTGATTACTTTCAATTCATGTAGAGTAATTATTACTATAGATATTTTATGTACATAGCGACGAATGCTTTTGCCAGCTCTTAACTAAATCGACATTGCCATCGACTTGGAAATCCAGAAAGCGACTTACTGCTCCATCTGTTCCCTAGTCCCTCTCTCCTCTTGTCTGAGGAACTTGATCGAGAATTCTACTGTAATCACTCCCGTGGGTATACTCCATCTCCAATTACTATATCGAATCCAATCCCATGACCAAATGTTATACGCGAGTATCCAGCGTAGTAGAAACAGTACCAGGATGACGAGTCTAGTATCCTCGTTAATAAACGCACCATCCAAAACTGTGCAAAAAAAAAGTGGAATAAAAACGCTAGATGGATCAATTCACTCACCCAAGCACGAGAGAAAAACTCGCCCAAAACCCCACCAAAATGTGGATATTTCTCGAAAACAACTGGCATGAGGCTATATCACCGTCGTTCGGATAATGCGGATAATGCGAACCATACTTGCAATCATCCCACGGTTTGACAATGTATTCAAAACTTAATAGTGAGAATGTAATCGAGAAGATGATGAAAAAGAAGTCACAGATGAAATTGAACCATAGCCAGATCGGTCGGTTGCTCTTGTAGAGCCGGACCAGATTGAGAAAGCCAATGAATGCAACGAGCACGCACTAAGAGGAAGTCAATTAGCATGATTCAAACATCGCTACATGAGGATATGTGCAATTCATAAGAACTGAGAGCATTGGGAGGGTTGGAATTACAATCCCAGTCAAGGATCCTCCGAGGCCGAGAACCTCCCAATCCATATACCAATCTGGTGGAGAGAAGTTACGACATAGGGCCATGACCACGAGGCCGAATATGAGCACGATAATTGCGAGAAACACGGAGAGCCATGTGAGAATTAGGAAGCGGTTGCGAGACTGTGAGTAGTGTTGATCAACAGGAGTGATGTTGTTGTCGTCTCCCGCTGCCACCGCATGCTGATGGTGCGCCTGTTCGACATCGATTGATCCAGCAAGGAGAGGGGTTGTTTCGGATGCCTCTTCTGCCATTTTGACTGTGAGATTTCTTTTTGTCTTCGAAATCAAAAGAACAAGGGGGAGTAATGGACACCTTTATTTTTAATTTCCCCCAGGCACCACTGCCTTCACAGCCACCACCCGGCGCGTATTTGATTGGTCTGATAAAGCATCAGCTACTGCTCCACCAATGGAGGCTAAGGTAGCTGTTGGAACTCTTTTCATTATTGCTGCTAACTATTCGACAAAATAATAAAATAATAAAATGCATTTTCTGTCATGCGTATTAATAGTAGATTAGGTTGCGAAATTTTACTGATATGTGCTTGCATCATTTCTTCTGATCGCTCTTTTTATCCTTCTTCTCATCGCTCTTTTCGTCCTTTTTCTCATCGCTCTTTTCGTCCTTTTTCTCATCGCTCTTTTCGTCCTTCTTCTCATCCTCCTTCTTTCCACTCTTGCGTCCGTACAGATCCCGATGCTTGCTTTTCAACTTGGCCGCCTCCGCATCGACCATATCCTTCCACATATCCTCCCCCTCATACCTCTCATGGTGCTCCTGCTTTGCCGGGTCCATAATACCCCGACCCTGTCGTTGACTATGAATTTCAAACGCCGCAGTCGTACACATCAACGCCACCGTCAATCCCTGCGCATACACACGCGCTTGCACAATTTTCTGCTGCCCTGTCAGGTATGGATTGCGACCAACGAGGATAAACGAGCCGACAATACTCGCTATCCATGTCACGCCAATAATCTTGTATTTCTCTTTATGCAGAAACTCGAAGACGCGGTCCTTGGTCGTCATGTTCGCGAACTCGTTCTTGTGTATTTTTGCCTCGCGCTCTTCGAGGTATCGCAGGTTTTTGTTCCGTGCAGCTTCGAATGCACGTGATGAGTGGTCCGCCGCGATTATGCCCACGAATGTGCTTGAGGACGTCACTAGGAAGGCTTTCATAGGCAGTGTCAGTGTCCGCACGGTGTGGAAGCGCCGTGATCCAGCCACCACGCCTGCCAATCCGCCGATGCACCCCAGAATAGTGCCCACAGCACCGCCACGGACGACTTCTCTGAAAGGCTCATGAGCACGGTGCACTTGGTTTGTAGGTGAGAGGTAGGTATCTACCGGTAGTGAGCAGCTTGCTCTTCCTTCGTAAGGATCTTCATTCTTGATGGCGGCAAGTTCAATGCTAATTTCTCTGCGCTATAATGTCTCGGAATTGATATACAGAGCAGTCTGAACAGAGAAGTTGTCGATGTTGAGTTGAGTAGAGGTTCAGATAAAGCAACTTGGCGGTATGTACGTAAGTGACATCATCCGCTCGATCCGGCCTCTGAAGCCAATGCGGGGTCAGTCGTGTCCAGACCTTCGACTACATAACCAACCATATTATGTATTGCAAAGATAAGAAATGATCAGTGGTTGGTATCGCTGATACGCAACGTGATAATATTTAGTTGGTTTAATTTAGGTTATGTGGGTAGTATTACCACACATTCAAAAAACCTAAACAATTCAACTTGCGTGATATCCAGAACCAGATCAAAGTATAAGAAAATTATTGCGCCCCAACTCTCTCCTCCGACCACTCCCATAACCTCTTGGCCAATTTAGGGTCATTCGAAAGCTTTGTTCCCGCTTCCAATTTTCCAATTGGAAAATAAAAATCACCACTTTGGACGCTCCCTGCCGTCGCCGCGAAGAGCGTAGTGTGAGACCCAGTCTTAGCATCATACCAAATCCACCTAAAGATCCATCTCGATAACTTGGCCGACCAGTTATTTTCCCATATATCAGTGTCAATAACACCTGGGTGGACGACAACCGCCGTCAATTCCGGATAGCGCGCTGCCAGCTCCTTCGTGAAGAGGATATTGGAGAGTTTACTCTGAGCATAACGACCCCACGCATGCCATGCCCGGTTACCAAAATTCAAATCCTCGAAATTGATCCCTTTCCTATTCCAGAGAAGATATTTGTACGCGATGGACGAAAGGTTCACAATGCGAACATCCTTTGCCGATTGTGCCTGTGCCGCCGTCTGCTGTAGGACAGGGAGTAAAAGCTTCGTCAGCAGGAAATGGCCGAGATGGTTTGTCCCCAGCTGAATCTCATTGCCATCCTTAGTCTTCCCCGGTGGCAGTGCTGCGACTCCAGCGTTGTTAATGAGGATATCGAGTCGATCACTTCTCAATTTGAATGTAGCAGCGGCTTCGCGGACGGACGAGAATGACGCCAAATCGAGTTGCAGAAATTCAACGGAAGGGCAATTTGGCACTCTTGCCTGGATATCCGCGATGGCCGCGCTGGCTTTCGAAGCGTTGCGGCATGCGAGGAATATCTTTGCTGGGTTGTGTTTGGCGAGCCCAATTGCTGTCTCCTTTCCGATCCCGGCATTAGCGCCGGTGATCAATATCACCTTTCCCTCTAGTGAGGGTATGTCAGAGGTGGGATTAAAGGCAGCCATGATAAATCCTATTCGTTGTATCGATTAGAAAGCGTGGTGCGTTTGATGAGGAAAGGGACAGGATAGTTATATACGAGCTTTCTTTGTCTAGCTTTTAGGTATTAGCAATGAAAACTGACAATGAAATAAAATTCAGAATTAATCGGAGAATAAATCGTCAACTGGTGCCTATCGAGGAAACTGTACTGCCTTTATTCCACGTAGCTTCGTTGGGGCTAAATATAGACCCCTCCGTCAAGGTTTTAAGGTCGTATTTGCTTAGGCAAAAACGAAACCGTATCATTATTGTGATAGCTCAGATGCATAACCTTGAAAATTCCTCGTGACATTGAATATGGTTACCTGAATCATCAGTAGGAGAGTGATATCCTATGCATGTGACGCATAAACGCCGAAGAGGATGCAGAGTGAATTCGTCAAGCCCAGTGTTCGAATTATATAAGCGGCCTTTGATTGGCACGAAAGCCTCCAAATGCTTCGCTACGCAGTGTTACTATTGCAGGGTCAGGTTTTTACAAGGCAGGGCCAGTTTTTTACGAGGCAGGGCGTCACATAGCGTTTTTATAGGTAGGTCAATTTTCACGAGGCAGGCTGAGGACCATACACTAACCTAAAGAGGAAATTAGGCGGTTCTAAGCATGTCGACAGCCAATCAGGCCATATTTTCCCGCCAGATCGCGCATAATCTTGCTTATCTGTGCGGAGTGAAGCTCCGCAATTAAGCTGTGGTGAGCTATACAGCATTAAGCCCCCAGGCTGCCAAGAAGTGGAATCATTGCTACTGCCGAGGCGGCAATTTTCATCACATTGGGAAGGCAAATGTCCTCATACGGCACTGAAAAGGCGCACCTTAACGCAAACACCAATAAATAAGAATAAGTCGAAAGCTGAAAACTCTCTCCTTATAGCAGTTATATTATGAATATTTCGGCCTAGTGCCAACCTAGTGTTGGGCAGCCAAAGCGCTAAATTTAGTGCCATATGACAACATTTGCATTCACACTGTAAAGAAATGGCCGCCTCAGCCGTAACAATGATCAACCTGGGTAAATAACGAGTAAATAACGAATTACATTTGATTCGACAAATCATGAGTTTGAGGTGAAGGCTATGTGAGTTTGAGGTGTAGTTATCAGGGGTTTGAAATGTTCGAAGGCGATTTCGTACCAAGTTGAATTAGGCGAAATCATGTTGGCTGGAATTAGCATCAATTGATCAACTGGGTGCCTGGGTCCTCGATATATAAATGTATAATCGGCTCTTCAATGTCGCCAGGGACAAAATGACAAATAAAGGGACTTGAACGATGTTTATATTAATTATAGAGTTTTATTATTAGGCAATTGATACAGAGTCTTGTTATAACATACTTTAGAATAGGAGGATTATGTTGATAATCGAGATATATTTGAAGATAAAAGTGCATATAACCCCTTCAACAACATCAACGGATTTACTTGACCGACTTGACGGTTTGTTTGCTTGGCCCGTGACAGTCGAACTGTCTTAGGCAAGAATACGTGCCGACAGTTTACCAAACCAAACCAAACAAACCCGTCAAATCCCTGTGTTTCAATTTCATCTTTTGAATTGGCGGTAGAGATGGCGCATGTGACTACCGCACAAGAGACATCGAGATCAATTGCATTTCATTCACTCTCGTTCCTATTTCGAAAAATAACCCATATAAATTGAGATATCCTGAAAATTGTATTCAACGTCCAGCTATCTCTGAACGCCCAATTCGTCTGGATTGCACGCGTTCTGAAAATCTCAGCCACCGTGGCTATGCCAAAATGGAAGGCGCCGTTTGCCCTATGTTTTGTTTTTCCCTTGCAAACGGTTACTTTATTATTGCTTTCACCTTCTTCCTCTCCCCATGCTCACTTGACATCCTCCTTCCCACACAACATTTTTCATTTCTTGATACATCTCATGCAGAGTCAATGTCCTACTAAACCCGTCGATAGGAACAACCAATATGGATCAGTCTTCAGCCAGCACTGGTCGGGTTCTGAGCCAAATCATTAATCATATTGCATTGCCCCCCAAGCTACCTGGTCGTCGCGAAGATAACCTTGCTTTTATCGATGAGAACCTAGCAAAACGATTGCGCGATTCCTGCCGAATTTTGAGGGACTACACCCGCGATGAGATCAGTCATCAATGGGATACTCTGTGCAGCATTCTTCAAACTTGTCGGAAGCTGAACACTGGGGGTAGACTGGAGAACTCGAGATTGTTGACCGAGTTTGCTCTGCTTGAGAGCAGACATCTGTTGATTCTTCATGTTACTGAGCAGAATGCTGGACTTTTGATTCGTCGAGAGTATGAGGTCCTTCCGCGCATCATTATCGATTTAGCTAACATGTCTGACAGTGTGGTGGACTCGGATGAGGTCGTTGTCTTCGAGGCATTCGAGGTATCCTCTACCGCAGAGGCAGCCCTTAAAACACCCAACGCCCTGGTTTGGAATTTCCCAGGGTGTGCTGTTGCCTTGCCATACAGCGAATTCCGGCTTGATTCTTTTCAGCAGCCTTTGGCATTTTTCCTTCAACAAGCGAGTGTTGAGTCCATTAAGAATTTTGCAGTTCGTGCGGACAAGGCTGGGTCATCAGCCGCGGAAACACGAGAAACTGTCAGCCCAATTTTGATCACTGACATGCTCATGACTCTTATTGAAGCAAACGGACGCCGCCTCACCCCAATACTTCTGCAGAAGCGTGTCAGAGACGAGGTAGATTGGCAAGATCGTTCAGAGTGCCCGTGGAGACGGAGTCCGTATTGGCTGTTGCTGAGAGTTGCAGTACAGAGACATTTGTATGCACTCTATGGAGCGGAGATCGGACGAGTATACTACAAATTCCTCATCTGTATTGTCTTAAGCGAACTTATTCACGACGCTATTGACTCTACAGACCCTGGACTTTTACAACTACTGAGAGCAAAGCTGTCCCGTCGTCTGACAAAGTTGGAGGTTGACAAAGGCAAAGGCTCCCAGGATCTGCGAGATGCAACTATATCCATGTTCACCACTTTTCGTCCAGTATTTGACAAAAGCCTGGAAAAAATTTCACAAGCAATAAACCAGACCTACGAAGCTTTCAAGCGAAAGGTTCAAAAAACAATCCCTAGAATAAGACGAGATGCCGACGCGCGAGATATCACCCTGTCACTATCAAGCAGTGGGGCTTATCTTGATAGTTTATTATCGTCCTACAGAGCAACGACGAATACTGACTTTTCGCGGCCATTGGCAGATCCATCCCCTGCCGATTTCTCCAAGGAAGGGACTGCAGCACAATTCCAAAATTTCTCGGCGCGGTATTGCGAACTATTTGAATTAGAAGAAGAGGCCAAGGAACTACGCTACGCAGACAAGAATAATCAGAATGACCCTAGTGCATCCTGCATTGATCTGGCAAATAAGATAAACCATTACCTGGATACCGTTGGCAATGCTTACCACAACACCCCGGAACAGAAAAGCGTTATGATACTTACGGTTATGAGGTTGTGGATGCTAATGGATATCAGTGTAACTGAAGCCTTTCCTTTGTTGAAGGCTTACCACCCAGGAATCCATCCAGGGTCCCTTGATGTCCTGCACTTACCGCACTACATTGATATGTTGCATCTCAACAGCATACAGTCATATTTGAATCGTCGCCGAAGTTCGTCTCATGGCCGAACAATTTTCGAAAATCCATCTCAAGGTTGCTTTGCCGAAAGATACTTTGATGAATCAGAAGATTCTCAAAAAATGCACCAAACTCGCGCTGACATTGAATATTCGGCGGAAGGGCTGCGTCTGGCAAAATTAAAAGAGTGGGAAGAGCTTTCGGTCGAATATGAGGATCTCCAGCATCAGATTGCTAGGGCTTCATGTATCTACATTACAGATGACAGATTCGGAACGATACACGATGACAAACACTGCACCAAATGTTACCTTCAGCGTCGCGCTCGTCGCATGAAGATCGGGGTTGTGGAGCATCCCTTACCAGACGACGAGGTTAGCGCAAAGGCTGTCATTTTCGAGCTTCTGTGCCCCAACGCTATACGTGCATATCGGAATGGAACGTGGAGAATCATCGGAGAAGTGGGCCAGCCATCTCGTATTAAAGGGAAAGAACCTCTACAAGCCTTGTTTGACTATGGCCCTCTCCAGCCATTTATCCGTGGGAGATACAAGAGCGGAGTGTCACTTGCTTCTGTTACAAAATCGTTCCTCTTAACGCACTACAAAGAAGTTAGACTACCCATCGATCAAGACAGTATTTTCCTTCCCAATGGATTTAAACTGCGATATTATGATAGTCAAACCGGTGTGTGGACTGGGAGTCAGACATTTGTCCCATCTTTTCTTCACCATTGCCACATGAGTATCCCGGCGACATCCCCATTTCTGGAACTGCAGCAATCTCTCAAAGCAGCTTCTGCGACAAGTGGACCGACTTCATATGAGGTGGTAGCTAGCCAAGGAAAATGCCCATCAGGATTAAATGTCCATGAGTTCACAGCCTACCAAAACTTGTTCGCCGGACACTCGCGAAGGTGGCCAAATATCTTGATTGAACTGGGAGCTTCTAATTTAAACTTCAGTACAGAGGCAACAGCTTTGCTTTTATCGTATCTGACAGTTCAGGCTGGACCAGCAGATAGCAACGACCCACTTCGTGAAGCTCACAAAATATTCCGAGACAAAACATTCTGTGAAACACTGATTCATCAAATCACAAAGCGACTAGAAAATATCTCAGGAAACTGGCGTGAAACAAATTGCATGTCAATGCTTCTGACACTGATACTTCGCCTTTACGCTATAGGCCCAGGAAGTGTTCGTGCCAATGCATTGAATCTTGTTGGAATTGTCCGCGAAACCACTTTTAATTGGATCAGAGCCTTACGTCTGGAGTCAACTAGAACTAATAACTCGGAGATAACCCATGCCGCGTCTATGTATGCTTTTATTGTCGCTCTCATTTGCAAAAGAACGTTTATTTATATTGAGAACAAAATGATGGATTCATCAACACTGTCATGTTTCATTGAATGTTCTATCACTTTACAGGATAACATGATCGGCGATTTGGAAATGCTACCTCCATATTTGTGGAATAGTCTGATCAACGATGTCAAAATGGTTCACAATATGAGAGATAGACTCAGAAGTTTATTCTTGCTTTCGCCGGGGTCTTTGACTACGGCAATAAAATCTACCTGGTTACAGCGGAACGAGGATGAAATGTCGTTTCTGACCAAAATGGAGCCGGTCCAGCACGACTGCAATTGGTGGTTTCGATCGGACTTTCGTGCATCAGCCCATTCTCGTCCACAAACTTTGCATTATCATCTCCTCGCCGGGCATTTGCTCATTGACGGAGCCCCAATTGGAAAATTGCCTTCGCAGTACAGGTCTCTGTTAGTTTTTGAGAGACTTTTTGGAAAGCAGCCAGTTGTTGTGATCCCTTCTGGACTCCCTGGAATGACATATATGGTTCCATTTCCAATGGAAAATCACCAAATCCACATGGGATTCCGGGATAAGCGAGTGTTTATGCGAGCATGCTTTGGGAATAACATACTTGAGCTTATTTCCCCAAGTCTTTTCCATGGCTCATCTGGATTAGACTTGCCAGCCGACTTGATAGAGAACTGTCTCCACTGGTTGAATTTGAATACTGGTGTTATAGAAATTAGAAAAGCTCCTGATATCTGGATTTCGAAATTTACATGCTGGCGGCTGGATGTTCCAAGACGGATTGCCAGGAGGAAAGACAAACACACTTTAGTGGATCCTCGCAGCCCAACATTTGTACGAATTGCGCGCATTTTTAAAGACTTTGAGCCAAGTAACAGGGTTACCATGTTTCAGGCTGAAAAAGGGCTCAATATTGATTTGCGCCGTCTGGAGCTATCTTTCTGGGTTGCAAATGGTCTGCTACGTTGCAGGCAATTGGGTTCGGAAATCGACCCTAACCAGGATGCTGGAACAATGTATGGCCTCCAGAGTAAACTTGTCATACGTGACATCAAAAACCCAAATAAGAGAAGCATACTTGTTCCTTTGGGAGATATAGAATACGACTTGATCGGTAACGATGTCTCTGTGACGGTAAAAAATCAAGGTGATTATGGCCGCTTTCAGATCAACGACATGCTAGGCAGACTCGATTGTCCAGCAGAACCAAGACTATTATATTTCAAGGCCCAGCTACATGCGTACACCTCCCTAGTGGTTCCGGATCCCCTCACTGGACGCACCGGATCTGAGGAAGCATTGCAGTTTTTGAGTTCTGGGATCTGCCAACCCTGGGCGCCGATTAGTCAAGGACCTGCCAGAATCCTTCTTTCGATATCCAGATTATCACCTAGAAGAGGTTCCTATCAGGGACTGCGCACTATGCAGACTGTGGATTGGGACCCAAAATTGAGCACAGACATTCAGAAGGACGAATTCAGGAAGCTAACACATAGTCTATTTGAGAAGTCGAAGATCCTCACTATGTTCCATCCGCGAAAAGGAGGAGACATTTCCACGGAAAACGAAGATTTCGATCTGGAGTGTGACCAAGACCAGTTGCATCTTCAAAATCGTAGTATTTGGCGACGGAGGCTGTATGAGCGGACTTTCGATGTCTGTGCCACCACCGCAGCCCCTCAAGATATCATCTATGGTTCTCGCGATCGGGATATTTCCAGCCAAGCGCACCTCAACGTTTATATCGCAACAACCTTGCTACGCAATTGGCACCAGAGCACATTTTACACTAGTTCTTTGTCATCTATATTTAGTAATTGGTCGAATATTGGAGGATTCGACAAACAATTTAGCGACATACTACTGAGCGATCAATTGAACGTGGACCTAGCTAAGGAATTCGGCGCCTTGGTTAAACTCGGACGAAATAGTAAACGAAACAACACCTACAAACTGATGTTCCTGTTCGGCAGTATATCGTTTAAAGACAACGTCGACATGTCTCTTGTTCGCACTCTGATCTCCTTCGTCACCATTGATGATCTGAAAGTATTAGAGCCTCCCTCATGGCCCTTATACTCGTATTTCCGCCCGGGCGACTTCCCGACGATCTACTATCTGAAGCGGCTGATCGAGCCATGCCGAGTTCCTTACCCAGATGATGAGCGCAAGACTTTCGGAACTTCGCTTCATTCAAAGGTTCGACGTAAACTGGAGGCGGCAGAGCGCGAGTATCAGATAAACGTCGACTCAGACTGCGAAGAGTTCATTGAATCTTTGCTGAAGCAATGGCCATGCCGAGAGCCTGACCTTGAAACACTTGGAAATGTTTTACTGATCGATATTTCTCGTGCTTTGGATATAATAAAACCAGAATGGCTCCGAATGTTCCAAAATTATGAACTGTCCCAATATGTTGAGCGAATCCAAAAGGTGTTGAACGACAGATCAGGCAGTTTCCAAGTTGTAGTACCACCTTACAAGTCGACAGAGGAGATAACTTACCTCACACGATTCCGTGGTAGTGAAGTCCCGGCATTATACGATCTTTTGTCAATGAATGTACAACAGCCGTTGGGACTTGATAAAATCAAAGGACATACGTTCTCCCACGTACCCGACAGAAAAACCGTCAACAGCGCATTAAACCCGGAGTTAATTGAGCTTCAAAATATAATCAAAGAATTGAGCGGCTCTACTTCAACAGTTGAGAGAACTTACGCCGAGGACCTCATGAGGAGTCTGCGTTCGTTGCATGATAAATTTGTGAATGCTACTGACATTGCCACAAATTCAGCTGTCATGCCATACGCCCCAGCCGTGGCCAAGGAGTCCTTTCAGTTCACACAATACATGCAGTCTTGTTTCCATGGTCTGGACCAACTTTTACAAGACGACTATCGGTCGGGATGGCTGCTAAAAGGCGGATTGTGGCCTTGCATTACACCCGTCAATCTATTGAGATGCCTGGCATCTGAGCCACAGAATGGATATGGTCCAGGGATGAAAGAGCGGCTAATTAGGTACGGGGAAGCAGTGACATGGACCCAGCGACTCCTGCGACTGGAAGATTCTGTTTTACGACAGGATGACCAACGTGTACGAGAAGAGATGATGAATACTGGCCATGAAAATTGGGACATATTCGATCATCCACTATGGCTGCTTCTCGAGATCGAGTCAAATATTCTGATTCGTAAGGACCAGATCGATGTTGCTTTTGCTACAATGAATCCCTCATCAGGTTCAAATTCGGTTCTTCAAATGAATATGGGTCAAGGGAAAACATCCTGTATTATGCCTATGGTTGTTGCAGAGTTAGCAGACAAGGAGAAGCTAGTCCGAGTCATAGTGCCAAAAGCGTTACTCCTGCAGACCGCACAGTTGATGCAATCTCGATTGGGTGGCTTGTTGGACCGTCAAGTGCGACACCTTCCATTTTCCAGAAAGACCCCAACCAATGAAGACACTATTCAGACATATAGCAGAGTTCATACGGAAATGATGAGAAGCTCAGGTGTGATGATTGCTTTGCCCGAACACATCCTTTCTTTTATGCTTAGCGGATTGCAAAGGCTTTCGGATGGCCGACACAAAGAAGCCTACACGATGATCAAAACCCAAAATTCCCTTCGAAAGGTGTGTCGAGATGTTTTAGATGAGAGCGACGTCACACTCAGCACTCGTACTCAGCTCATATATCCTTCTGGCACGCAGGCTAGTGTGGATGGGTACCCATATCGTTGGGAGACATCTGAAATGATTTTAAGACTTGTTGCCAGACATTTATGGTATCTTCAGAAACATCTATCCAGAAGCATAGAGGTATACGAGCGGCCGCAGGGTGGGCTTCCTCTAGTGTTCTTTCTAAGAAGCGACGCAGAAGACGCGTTAATCAAATTGCTGGTTGACGACGTCATCCGTGGATACATTCCTGCATTGTCAATGAGAGGCAGAACTGATGCAGATTGTTTGGCAATCAAGAAATTTATCTCAGACCCGAGTATTGACTCCTCCACCAGGAGCAGGATCAACAGAGTTTTCGGAGAACAAGGAAGTGCAAAGCAGACTCTGTATCTCTTGAGAGGTTTATTCGTTCATAGGATACTTTTGCTTACGTTGAAAAAGCGTTACAATGTTCAATATGGACTTCATCCAGATAGAGACCCAATCGCTGTGCCTTACCATGCCAAAGGAGTTCCTTCAGAGCAGGCCGAATGGGGGCATCCAGATGTTGCAATTTTATTCACTTGTTTATCGTTCTACTTCGGCGGTCTCGAAATCCAGCACTTGCGACAAAGTTTATCTCACGTTCTTAAATCGGACGATCCAGCCAGCGGTTATGACAAGTGGACCGAGGGCTCAATGACACTCCCAGATTCTCTCCGTGAATGGAATAATATCAACATCGATGATGAGGTTCAGCTGCATGAAATATGGACCCACTTACGTTTAGACATGAGTGTGATTGACTATTACCTGAATCACTTCGTTTTTCCGAGACACGCAAAACAATTCGATGTTAAACTACAAGCTAATGGATGGGATATCCCGTTGTTTTCGACACGCTCCTCGCCGCGTAATATTACAACGGGGTTCAGTGGAACAAATGATAATAAAACGATGCTGCCACTCACTATCCAGCAACGAGATCTTGATGCATTGTCTCATACGAATGCCGAGGTCCTTACGTATTTACTACAACCACGAAATAGAGGGTTCGTTGTTGCCTCGGACGCTCTTGGAAAACGTATAAATGAAAGGAATATACTAAACCTATTGTACGATTTAAAGTTGAGAATTTTCATTGATGCGGGTGCCCAGATTCTCGAGATGGATAACCTCACGCTAGCGAAGACTTGGCTTACGATCTACAAGGAAGCACCAGCTGCTGTTTACTTTGATTCTGAGAATCGGCCTTTCGTTTTGTATAAGCAAGGGAACAGACTACCTTTGTCAGCGTCATCGTATGCAGACAACCTCAGCGAGTGTCTGATTTACCTCGACGAAGCTCATACTCGAGGTACCGATTTGAAGCTCCCGGCTGATGCGAGGGGTGCACTCACGCTGGGTCTAGGACAGACAAAAGACCACACTGTTCAGGGTAAGTTTCCATTAGCTCATGTTCGTGTACTACAATACTGATTACTCTCGGAAAGCTGCTATGAGATTGAGGCAGCTAGCAACGACCCAATCAGTTACCTTCATCGCTCCTCCTGAAGTTTATCACAGCATTCTAGACTATCGGGAAAAGACAGTCGGACAAAGGATAGATTCCCATGACGTGGTATCGTGGCTATTAAAACAGACTGCCAGTGGAATCGAGCAGATGCAGCCCCTCTACTTTGCGCACGGAATGGACTTTTGTCAGCGAATTGAGGCAACTTCACGGTATCCAAACTTCCTTAGAAGCGAGGGCCAGAGGGATGAATACTTGCGAGTCCTACGACAAGCTGAAAAGCAAACCCTTGAGCAGCTGTACGCTCCCAAGACTCAAAGGTCTGGAAGTCCACTTCTGGGATCAGGAACAGTTAGCAAAGAAATCGCTGAGTTCATAAAAGAACTCAAATCTCGCCGCAAGGCATTCCGGGATTCGGGCTCGGCGGTTCATAGTTCTGCACTCCAAGAGGTTGAGCAGGAGAGAGAAGTCGCGTTTGAGGTAGAGGCAGTCCGTGAAGTTCAAAAGCCGGTTAAGTTCCATCCATTGAAATTCCCTGGTCTACACTCAGATATCGTTCGCTTTGTCGAGACTGGTAGGCTGGCGTTGGAATCAACAGGAGTTGAAAAAGCTTTCATGGCTTTGAAACGCACTTCAATTGGTAGAAAGTACGGTATTACTAGTCATGCCACCAACACGCAGTTATATGTGTCAAATGAATTTATGAGAACCGTCCAGCTCCCCGAAAATCAGCCTAATGATAATCTGATTGTGAGTGAATCGGTTCAGACGCGAAAAAATAATCTGGATAACATGCTAACTTTCTCATAGCGTCCAGTAACATGGATTTTGTGGAGCATTGTCACGCAGAAAGCCATTGTTATTATTCCCGAAGAAGCGGAAATAATCATTCCTCTTTTGCTTCGAAACAACCCCCCCTCTGGCATATATCTGCTTACATATTCCGCCCCTCTCACACGTACCATGGCCCATTTCAGTGATCTTTCCTATTACTCTATCCCATCTTTACCCAGTGGCTGGCAACCGCCTGTTTGGCTGAAAGTCGAGCTGGGGATTCTAGCAGGTAGAGTCTATTTCGAGTTTGATGAATACCCGTCCATTTGCGATTTCCTTGGGATAAGAGTGGATCAGAAGGTCCAGGAATCTACGCCTATTGAGATGTTGGAATCAGTTATCGAAGCTCCGCAAGATCTAATGGAAAACCACTCAAATAAAGATGTAGAGATGATAATCCGTGACGAGGAATCAACTCGAAAAAACCAAACTTTTACAGAGAAACCACTGTTATTTCTCCAAGAATGGATTGCCGTTCGACGTCGTGGCCAGGATTTCACGCACACGCCCATGGGGTATGTGTGCCAGGGAAAACCTCTTGATGCCGACCATCCCTTCTTCTCGAAACGTGAACGAAGTCGAATCGAAAAACCGTCCGGTGCTCCCAGGGGTAACCAGTTTATTGAGCCCGAGACCGTAGAAGATGCCGATGTAGATGATTTCGAGTTGGTGGACGATTTCGATTTCGATGAGGATATGATGGATGAGGACTGAGCGTTGGAGGCTATTCTGGGCGATTTTCTGGGCAGGGGTGTTGGTTGCATGTTGGCTATTGTGTCGATATTTTCAGGTCTTGTAAGATTACAACTTTGCTTTCGTCTGCACTATTTCTGCATGAAGTAGAAGGACTAGATATTCTATCAAAGACATTTGTATGATTTGATTGTTCACCTCACCATACGTGTAACCCCGAATTGCCAGCCACCAGGACCAGTCATCGCGGGGTGTACACTCTCGATAAGATTTCAGAAGGGCTTACAACCCTGAAATTACAAGATCGGTCCGATGATTATCAAAATCAAGATGAAACTGCTGCATTTATTACCGAGAGAAAATGTCGCTCATAGATGATTGATAATGTTATATAGCTATCTATTAAATCTGTTGACAATTTGGATTTTATTACTGATGACCACGAGTGTTTTGTTATCGCAGAAGCATTTAGAAAACGATAGAAAGGGTGGATTTCTAACTGCGCTTGGTATAATTTTATTTATTTGCTTTCTGGATGTTGATAGTTTCTATTACTATTCTTGCAGAATCTAATAAAATCATACAACGAGATATATAAGGAGATGATAAAATGTGATACCATTGATTGGATAAATAAAATTTTTGAATGTATTGGGATAATGCTTAGTATAGTTCCAATCTTGGATATATGTTTTCTATTTAGTGATAATAAGTTGAAGTATATGAAAATAGAAAATGAGGAACTAAAGTTACGTGTGATTGAGGAAGCCTTTGAACTGACTGAAAAAATTATAAAGGTGTTGTGATCAAGTGTCATTATATCTTGTTAATGCTGGTCTAAGAATTATGTTGAGAATAATAGCTTGTTTTATTTTCTATCCTCTCTTGTATAAGCTATTTGGCAATCTAATGCATTTCAGATTGGACTTGGTGGGTAGTATGTCTGGGTTGTGAATGGGTTTTATCTGATGACTTTGGAATATAACTGTAGTGTGAATCATTAAGAAGTTCTTGATGTGTTGTTTTAGGATGCGTATACACCATGTATTGGTGTGTATGATTCTTTGTTATTTCTATTTAAACTACTAGCAATTGAGCTGAGAAAATTTTTAAAAACGATAAAGGGCTTGAGCTTGAGCTTGAGAGGTCTGATAAACGCACTATAGAAGGAAATTTCGGAATTGGCGGTTAATATGTGAAAAGTATGTTTTTATTTGCACTTTATTGTATTTTTTTATGTATGGTACTTTTCATTAGGAGTATTAAATATTTTTTGTCTAATACATATATCTTATCTCTATCTGGATTTTAAAATCTAGGTTCTATAATCTGTACTGTGCCAAAATCTATGACTTTAACTATATTGGAGCAGGGAACTGCTAAGAGCCTAAATCCAGGCTCTTTGACTTGATCCAGGTTCAGTAAATCACAGAAGGGTGCATCGGCCAGGCTAAACCGCGATGTAATTGCGCGCACCTGCGCAAGGGGCAAGGGCGGAAGCGCAGCCACTACCCTACTTAATCTATTCCACCTACCAAACTAATCACCCCTGTATTCGGCCTAGGATACTTTTCGCAGATGGCGAGTGCGGATCTCTGCTTATTACCCTATCAACGCTGGAGGTAGCTCAGCGAGCGTATCAGTACCTAGCATAACGCGCCATATAAAACGGCCATTTTTCTATCTTTATATTTTAACAAAATTATATATAGAGAGTAGCTCAAATTCTAATAAATATAATTAAATATCGTCAGTACTAGTATATTTATATTTTAATAAAAATAAATCGAAATTGATTAAGATTATTAAAAATACAATCACAAAACACAGCCTTCGCATTCGCATAACAGTATGGGGAGAGCTATGACTCATCGACTCCTAGGGAAAATCCCCTACTACCAAAACCTTGTCATTTCATGATCTTATTTGCCGCCTCTTTCATCAACCTCAGATGTTGTATGCAATTTAGGTATGCCACTTATCAATACCACTCTCAGGACAGCGACCACAGTCAACAAACTCGGCCAATACGAACAACACTTCCACCAATCAAACGTTTACACCCGCAAGGGTGAATACAAAGACCGAATATGCTAACCTCATCCATCACCGAGGAATCGTCGTACCAAGACCATTCAAGTATGTACGGCGACAAGATCGACGGGGGCCATACAGTCACAGATCTCCACTTCATTGTAGGGGAGAGGGTAACGATCGGTAGTATACGTGAAGTCGGTACCCATAGCTGATAAACGAGCGACCTCAAACGTGAAGCTAAATTCAGCGTTTTCGTGGCCTAAAATGTGCGTCGAGCTGTTTGCACTCAAAGTCAAGGGGTAAATGTCGTTGGGATTGACGAGCTGACTATCGACACCTATCTCGTCGTAGACGGGGTCTTCGTCATTACTGGAACTATACAGAAGGAGATACCTGGGAGTGAAGAAGAGACGTTCGTTGTCGTTATTCTGGAACTCAAACTGGACGGTTGTCTTTTTTTGTGTAAAAAGAGCAACCTTAAACTCAAGTTCAAAGATAGGTTCTTCAGCTTGGGCTACTGCAGTGGCAGGTAGAAGGGCAAGGCCGGTAGCGATCAGAGTAATGAATTTCATTTTGTGGTTATAGTACCTAAATCGAAACACATTAATCATCATCCACAGCAAGTGTCCTTATATAGATCAAGAGACATTATTAAAAGGAGGAAACAAAGCAGATAGGACAAATGGAGAGTGCGAAGTGCGAAGTGCGAAGTGCGGAGGAAAATCAAGTAGACTGCGAAAATTCTAGCCCAAAGCCTCAAAGGTCCATTCCGTCTATCTTCACCGGTCCAGCTCTTCAATACCCGAGAACTCGCAGCGACTTATGATTGCTCAAAGGGTCCTATATCAAGGGGATCATTCAATTCGACACACAGGAGTCGTGTTGCCGATCATGGAGTAGCATGACCTTGCGGGATTACCCTCCTCAAGCCCCCTTACGGGATTCGAGTGGTTTTTGAGACTAGCACAATCACTTGTAGAGTGGCATTACTACAGCCACAAGTCTATTCCTGGATGATCAAGAGTATAGGTTTGTAAGGTGAAGTCTCTCCACTATGAAGCAAATTAGACACCAAAGATTGACCGAACATGAATACGCAATTTTACATGATCCCTGTATAGCCTGAGAATAAAAAAACGTACTAACAAATGCCTTGTGCCACGCTCCGGTTAGTAATCTAAAACACGCGGCTAATCCCAAGCCGTACAGCGGTGTATGATAGATGTTGGACGGTACTAACTCCTTATCGCGATGTCTCTGGAACTTGTTTCGGAGGCTATTTGCGTTGCCATCAACAGCCGAGCCTCTAGCATTGCGGCCGTGTTCTTCGTTTTTGCGTTTGTGTCTTGCTTTACTTAGGGTGTGATATCATTTCGTATCCAGAAACATTCTTCCATGAGTCCATCCTAATCTACTGTACCGCCCCGGAACAGGATGGATGGCTTGCGTCTGGGTCTATCCGGCCGAGATTTTGCCAGCGAAATGCCGTTGCTGTAGGGGCCGATTTCCTGGGTAACTTTTCGAAATAGTAGATATCTAATTCGAACATTGATCGCGTGGATTACTCCTCCTGCGTTGCAAAGCATCGGTTATAAGACCCTCCAACGCGATCAGTGCCACAGTTGTCTGGGGTTTCTATCCCGAGACGATAGGCTTGTCTCGAGAGGAAATTAACCTGATCTTCCTCGGTGATCGAGTGATCACGAAGTCTGCACTAAGATTACTAATATTGAAACCCCTTTCCTTCAGCGAAACACTATTGCATTGGTGAATATACTGTATTGTTGAGAAACAATTGACAACATGACTGCGTCTGTGACATCATCTCGTTCCAAATGTGTGTACTTCGTACTGTAGACAATGGTTTCCATACATATGTACAGTTATGTCTTTGACCAATCCCGGCGCTGAGCTTATCAGCGGGACCTGACTAAAATGAACCTCCTGCCGCATCGAGCAACCTGTTTTCGTATAAGCCAGAGCGTTTTGCAGCAGAGGATGGCGTGAGCGATTTTCATCCATACGGCTTATTACGGTATCTTATTGACTGGTCACCCCAAACCTTTCGCCAAAACCCCGCGATCATGGAAAAGTGATCATAGCTTTGAAGGGACCGGATCTCTGCAGCCACTCTGTCAGAATAAATATACGACTATAATACCACTAGAAATCCTTACTAAGTAAGGGTTGCGCCCTTTTTGGTATAGTGATTAAAAGTCCGACGCACTCTTATGGCCGCTCCTAATGTTGGCTGGCACATCTTTGAAGGACCCAAACTGCCTCTGTATTTTTTGTAACATTGTTTTATGACTACCTCCAGACTATTTCCAGTTTAAGTTTAATTGCGATTTATAGTATCTCTCCAAAATTTAAGTAATTTGGGACAAGTGGAGGTTTCAAAAATTAGCCGAGGTTGGTATAGTACTTCGTACGTACAGGGTACTGATCGGCGAACCTTGAATTGGGGTCTTCTGGAAAGTACACGAGATTACTCTGTACCTACAGTATTAGCGTTTGATGGGGTTCTCCACCTGTGGCGCGCTATAAAGCTTTGTGAGAATTTTTATGATGCTAAGAGTGGTTTTGAGAATGCGAAATGCGAAATGCGAAGTGAATATGAAATATTTCCGAGTTTTTGACACGTAGAGTTTGGGTCATGGATTGAGCCCATTTTGCCTGCCATCCCAATGCTACAGGCGATATTAATATCAAGCTCGTAGTCTGTTACAATGAGTAGTCTTCATCCTTGTGAGTTATATATCACCGACTATAATCTAGAATGCGATCTGTTATTATTCTCACCCTCTGCCTGGGGATGGCGATGTCTCTGTCAGGCGCTGCGATCCGAACAACGACCCGAATTGCGCAGGGCCCTGCTGCTGTGCCGGGCCCTGCCCAAAGAAATACCCTCCTTGTTACCCTCCTGTAAGTAATTAAATATAAAATCCTAATGGATTAGAAAACCGCTGATTAGCATAGTGTCATTAAAGAGTTACGCTGTGGTATTTTGTTGAATTATCCTATATGCCTAGCACAACGAAGCGCATATATGGGTAGGGGCTTTTGCTCGCGATTGAGGCGAGTCATAGAGAAGGCGACTAATATAGTCGTAGTTTGTTCTACAAAGCACATACGTTGATGATTTTCGGGACATGCACACTTGTCTTCAAACGATTATACTTCTCAAAATACCCTGATTCCAATCAAAAGAAAATCTTCTGCCTAGTAATTGTCTATTCTCCTCTGCCAGTAAGACAGCAGTATTCATTTGGCCACTCTGCACGTTTTTGTTGAGATAGAAATGGAGCCATCTGATGCCATACACAATGTTGGTGTATGGGTAGGTGAAAATATTGGAGAAAATGAAATAATTTATGTATAGTTGCTTTATTTTAGAACATAGGCAGTCCTTCTTAACCCTGGCAAACATTCACCCTCTGGTTGATGATATTTATGCACCACAACGCTCGAATAAACGCAGCTATAGCAGAATTGAAATCCCAAGATCGCATAAATTATGCTGTTACGGCTCAAAAATGGAATATCGACCGCACGCCAATGTCACGCCGGCATAGAGGCAAAATGGGCTCAATCCAAGACGCGAACTCTACAACGTGTCAAAAACTCGGAAATATTTCATATTCACTTCGCATTTCGCATTTCGCATTCTCAAGACCACTCTTAGCATCATAAAAATTCTCACAAAGCTTTATAGCGCGCCACAGGTGGAGAACCCCATCAAACGCTAATAGGTACCTTCATGAGGTATTATCAAGACACGTAACGCAGGATTCGGGCCGGGGCTGAATTAACTAGTCTGGACTCCACCTTATCTGCATTTTTGGGGTCAAGAAATGAGCGTCGAGTTAGCATGAATATAGAGGGTTTAGGCTATCAAGAGGAAAAGACCACAAGCTTGCCCCCGAAATCCCTCAATACGCCTGTCGGACCTTCCTAAACAACGGTCTTGATACCTGAAGAGCCCGAAGAGCCTAAACCTTGACTAGGAATTAATCTCGGTGAGGTTAGGAGCGTTCCCCCGTGAAGGGCGGCAGCTCTTTCTGTTGCAGGGCCACTTATAAAAACCCCCGGGCTGGTCGACGCTCCATTCTCATGAAAAGCGGTATACTTACAATATTTCATCAAGAGGGTTATAGTCAAGGTTCTCTAGCAATGTTTTACACAAGAGTCGTTTCTGCAGCTGTCGCTGCCTTCTATGGCTGCGTGGCGGCAGCTGACTGCCCGCTGTCCATTGCCGTATTGGATACCGCAGACCATGTTGCCTACATCACCGTTACCAACACTGGGAGCGAGCCCGTCACGGTCTTCACGGGCAACACTGTATTGAGCGAGCATCAAACACGCGATGTCATTGTCCACGATGGGTGTATGTTCCTACCTAAATGCGAACGACCATGTTAGGCTGACCTCCTGAACAGCCGGCGATGACCTTCCGTTCGGTGGCATATACGTCAACTACAGGCGCACTGGTCTTTCCGCGTCCATGTTCCGGACTTTCCAGCCAGGCGAGACTGTGACCAGACCAGTTGACGTATCCGGCATATACGACCTGACTGGCATACTGACCGCAAATGTGGCCGCTGTCCAAAGCTTTAGGTATATTGTGGGTGACGATGCGCCCACCGCACTGGCGGAGATGCTGTCTTGCCCGCCGACCATCTCGAACTTCCGCGCCATAACCCCCAACTTGAGGAAGCTTGCCTCAAGGCATGTCGAAGCACGCACCAGGCGCGCTTCTGGAATTGAAATCCAGAAGCGCGACGTAGCCTTCTCGTCCTGCCCCTCGTCAAATATCACAGCGTTGAAAAATAGTGTTGGCCACGCTATCTCCATGGCCACCGCCGCAAAAACTGCAGCAGGGTCTGAGACGGACTACTGGCTTACATGGTTTAAAAATGCGGGCCAGCAGACAAACACGGAAACCATCTACGGTAGTATCGCTAACATACAAACATCTGGCGTGACTATATCGTGCGACCAGTCACAATGTCCAGAGGATGTGTACGCTTACGCCTCGCCCTCCACGAAGACAATCGTGCCATGCAGTTATTATTGGGACTCCCCAGAGTTAGCGTCGAATTGTGCTGGTGACGACAGTGATCGTGCGGGGACGATGCTGCACGAGATGTGTGAGTCCCAGCGCCAGCGATAACATATGGTGGCATTGGCTTAGCTAACGGTTTTCCCTAGCGCATATTTTCGGCACCTACGACTATGCATATGGGCGAGATGCCTGTCTTCAATTGAACGCAACGAGTGCAGCGAACAATGCGGATACATATGAGATGTATGCAGATGGTGTGAGGCTAGGTGGATGTAAGAGGAGGGCCTAAATCGCAAGCCAACTGGCGAGAGAATAGCACGGTAGATCCTATAGAGCCGTAAATGGCCTGTGCCAAAATCAATCAAGACGTGACAAGACTGTATGACTATTCACTTCACTCCCTTAGCGCGTGTTGTGTGCCGTGAGGTCAACATCCCACGTCGGTGATCCAACAACGGGGCGTCGGTAAAGGATGCCGTGGGAGAAGTAGCTAAACAACCCATCATTGGCACTGCGCAGCGGTAGGTTCACCACCATGTTCCCACGCGTAAATACAATCCATAATATGCCCGAGATAGCCCTTAAGAGGGAAGATGGTTGAATCTTAGAGGATTTGATGCTCTGGTGAGATTTTTGAGGGGGGAGACAGATCTGGAACGGCTGTGGTGTAGTCTTCTTTGGTCATACAATCTCTGTTCAACTCCTGTGACAAGCCTGAGGGCCCAGTTATTCGACCTCGATCTGATCTCCTAGACGGAAAAACGATTCCATATGCTCCGGTAGTTGGGTAGTGCGGTTTTCGATTTTATCCATGATGTTTAATCCCAAAGATAGTAGTAGAAAGAGAGGTCTAACACTAGGGTACAGGCTACGTCTCTTTCTTCGGTGTTATAAGTGGCTCTTTATAGCTTGAATCCAGGGTCACAGGGTCTTATGATGTGCTTGAGTTACTGCGTGGAAAGACAGGTGCTTGCACAGTCAACTATAATCCGGGCCACAAATTCTATTTTTTATTTTTATTTTTTATTTAATTTAATTTGATTTACTTTATTTTTTGGAGATTACTCCGCCAAGAATATGGAGAGGTCCTGTGCTCCGTTTTTATAACCTATCTCCACTATTTAGACTTTCACAGATAGCTTTAGGGAATTTCATGTGATACAGAGTGCCAGTGGGTGTCAAATAACGTTTCATATTATGGCGCTTACCGACTTATGGTGTCCCACAGTACGATGTCGGCACCAGCATAGTACTGTCAGAAAGATGATGGCATCGCTGTCGGCGCGGCCTGGAACAGTAATTGAGTCGAAGGGATATATGAGAAGCAACGACGCACTGAAGCGGAAAAATATTGAACTCTTCATGGTGAAACACCCAGACGACCCGATCTCCCAAATTCTTCTCATGAGAGTCAAGCACAGGCTTAATAATGGAAAGAGAATTCGGCACGTTCCGTGAGTGAATGATAATTTAGAATTGAAGTGTTCTAGTACCTTAAGTCCGACCTTCACGTACGTCGAGCGATGTGATAATCTAAGGCTCTAGAATACGCATTCCTCGACGATGCCTACAACAGCGATTGGATCAAAGAGCCTCAAGATATATGGCGATATACCACTGTGCCGGACCGTCGGCTTAGCACACCAGTCCGCTTCAAAGAATCTCTCAAAAACTTTCTAGTACTTAGACGGCCGGTGAGAGATCTAGAAGGTAATTGGGTCACTTATCTAGTACGAGCGTTTCCATTATATACAGCCGATGATATTGGTTATTTGCCTGCTAACAAAGTATGAGAAGGTCTTGAAATTGGATATCGAAATCACGGCAGTATTCCAGCACACAGCCAAAGCAAATCTCGCTTTCGCAAATCAAAACACTCTTTCCCTGCCGCACAGACGCCGCTGCAAAGGCCAGACGAGCGTGCCAATTTTTCTTTGCACGAATAACCGCAGCATTGAGTGGTGGATCTAGAAATTCGGACCAATTGTCAATGGATGTAAGCAGACCGACCTTTGATGCCTCCATGCGTTCTCTCTGTGTATGGCGGCATTTTCTGGGGAGAAAATATTGCGTTGGCTTCATTACAAACGCTGCGACCATTTCAAGAATGTCTAGATCTCCTATCCAGTTTCCCGCTTCGTGCACCGAAACAATAGCCTCGATTAAGAATGCCTCTTTGTCCATGGTTCCGTGGCTCGACGTATCAACTGGTACCTCATAGCCTGTGGAAGAGAGATGCAACGAAGTGCTTCAAAAACTATCTTGGAGTGTATGGTCAAATGGATTGTGGTTAACAACATCCCATGACTCGAGCTCAGCTTCTTTTAACATTGGCTCATCAACCAAAATGATAATAGAAAGGCCGGGCTTTGCGACATTGCCGAGCAGACACTGTATACCTCCGGCTCTGTTTCGGTTTTCTTCATCATGATTGCACGGGTCTATGAGAAGTGTCTGCGATACATATAAGGAATTCCCAGATGAAATAGCGATGGCCTTTCTAAAATCCTCTGGGTCGAGATTAAGAATACCGGAATCGAACATAGCAATGCATGCAAACCTGATGGTTCGATCATAGTTTCTACCTAGCTGGGACCGCCTCCTTGCTTTTTGGTACCATTTAGCAGACGTCAAGGGAATTTTACAAACTGAAAGATTGACAGTAGCGTCGGAGAGTTCACTGTATATAGTCGAGGCACCTTTCAGTGCTTCCAGAGATGTGAAATAGTCCTCATCAGCCCTCCGAATCAGGTATTCCTGGAGCTTATCTGAATTCAAAGGAGAACCACAGAGCAAGGTTGTAATATCCGCTAGAGATAATCTCACGCTCGATGGCGTCCTGGACGAATCAAGATTTTCGGTAAAAATCTTTATTTCATCGTTTCCAAAAAGAAGCGAGTAAGATGATGTCTTGGCTGGAAACGGTCTTGATCCTTGTTTCCAACCAGAAGCAACGGTTGGTGCTACATCAAGGATTTTAGGGACTTTATCGTCATTTAGATGGAAGGCATACTTAATGGTTTGGGTAGTATTCCACGAGTTTATTTCAAAAGACCGAAATTCGTTGTTAATCCAGCTAGCAATGGAAACGAAACCACATGGTTCCTCTTCTTCAACTATGATCTCAATTGATCGACGTAGTTCATGCGAACGGTAGATTGTCGCATTTTCGTCAAATCCTCGATCAGTGTGGCTCACGCTGAAATTCACAGACTCATGATGCTGATTTAAAGTGGGTAAGCCCTTGTGAGAGGACGGCCGAAGCAAAACCCAGCGCTGATGCCGAGGTGACATCTGGTCCGGAAATAGCTGAGGTGCAAGAATCGCAAATTCTATTAGACCTTTCGGACCATGACGCACAATAATAGCTGTAGATACATCTATGTAGAAAGGATGTTCTTTGAAGAAATTGCGCAGGAATGGTATCACCTGTTCATCATCTGGCAACATATGCGTAATTGTGCTCATGTCACTCAAGCCGAATGCCGGAGATGGGTGGAGCGTCCTAGGTGCTAGAAAGGTTGCAAAGCGACGTCTACCTAAATCAACAAACCTTCGAAATTCTTCCTTCTCTTTCTCTCTTGCACGGATGTAGGACTCAGCTTCTGTACTCATCATAGTTGGCCAAAGAAATTTTTCTTTCACTTCTTCTCTTGGGTCGAGGTAGGGCTCATTCTCCGTATTTAACATCGTTGATGACGGGCATTTCTTGTTCTCTTTCAAATCACCTTTGGAACAATGCTTCCCCATGGTGATGAGGAAATGAGCAACAGTTTCAAGATCATGACCTGCATTGCCCCATTGACTTATAGCGCTGCCTATTGCTACTTGAACAAGACGGTTAAATGGGATATGCATAGAGCTTGTGCAGATATTACTGCTCTTAGTCTTGGGTTTTCCATAATGTTGATAATGAGCAAGAGGAAGTGTCCATTGTATACCCTCTTTCGCAGGGTTAGTGTTTTGCATGCCAATCGTAAGAATACCACCTTTTCGTATGAAGGGATCCTTAAAACTGATGAACTCCGTTATACCACCAAGAAATGAAATATCTGGAAATATATGCCATGCTGCTAGACCGACTAACACATCAGGGCTCTGCATTCGCATAGGTGTTCAAGAAACTAATCGATCCATGGCTTTCATGGCACCAGTCCAGAGACGCTAACAACGCTCTCGTATGTACGTGCGGCAGACTTGATCGCCAGTCCTAGATTATCAATGATAAGCAATAACTGCTTTTGCTGGTTAACTTTTAATTTATCGGCAGTGCGAAGCCACTTTAAGTTATGATTGTTAGAAAAGCCAAAAAGTAGAATAGCTACTAACAAACACAACATATAATAGACAGTAACACTTACTGCTCGAGCGCTGGAATCCCAATCCGATATCTTATCACGGCTGAAATCGATTTGTGCCGCTGTTACTGTTGTAATGCTGAAAATTTCACCACGAAGCCGTTCTTTGAGTAGTGTTTGTCTAGTCGTGATCAGTTCCATCCATATAGAGACTGCCTCCGGTCCTGACCAGGCCCGAGCCAGTATACAGGCCAACAAATGGTACTTCCAATGCACCTCTACCAGACGTCACAGCCGCCCAAACGGAGGTTCCGTCAATACCAAAATAATCACTTAACGTCCCATGTTCAGAATGGTCAATCGCATCAGTCATGGATCTCTCGACTATTTCTGACGACCGAAGACCATATCCCCGAGTTAAATGAGATATTTCCGGAAGATCTTCTTGGAACAATATGCCCAATTTTCGTGCAGTCGTATGAAATGAGCCGTCTTCAGCTTGTAGCTTCCTCTTTTTAGAGAGGTGTTTCCCTACACTATGAAACTCGACCGGGGCCTCGATCTTAACCATAGCAAAGTCAATATTAAAGTTTGCCAGAGCTGCAGTCGCTTCTTGCGTCGCTGAAGCGACAGAAAGCGCGATTCTGCCCAATGAGGCCATTTTTTGGGCAACTATGATCGTAACAATCAATTCAGATATTGGGAAGGGAAATGCTAGAGGTAAAAATCTTTTTTTGAGGATATTTAAATGAAAGAGAATATAATACGACACCGGTTTAAACCTGAGGTTTTTATTAATGAAAATCTAGTACTCTGTATAGGACTAATGGAACGTTAAGTGATGAGGTCTGCACAATGGTGAGGCTCTGATGATGAGGCAAAATGTGGTGGGGATTTGGATTAGTTTATTGGGCGGAGTATTCTGCAATATTTCTGGACCAATCAGGTGCTGCCACAACACACCGCTTTCGGATAGAACCCATGGAAAGGCGGTGATCCTGGGAGTATGGAGTTTCTCTCAGCCTTTATTTGAACTTTCTAGTCAGAGTGGGTCCAATTGCTAATGGTTAATATGGTTAGCATTAAATTTTTGCTATGAAGTCATATTTACTAGTAAAAAAATGTGCCTTGACTGATGTTCTAAATTCTTGTCAGTCCTTGACAAAAGTCTCTATCATGTGGCATGCCCCTTCCCAATTCCCTACCTAGGCACAACCAGCACACCCGAATCGGCGCGCTAAACCCAGTGCGGTAACTCACCGTCCCCTGAGACTGCGGAGTAGCAGCGAAGTCGACCATTATGAGAATGTCGTAGTAACTGGAATTCAGTTCTAATTATGAAGGAACTCCGTAGTTAGTTCTAGGCCAGCTTTCTGTATTCCGGGTAATCTAATTAGATTAATCAGGAATATAATGTTACTGTTTAGTAGTTGGGTGGGTGATAACCAGCGAATCCCAGCTGGTTGTTTGTTTTTATTCTTATTTTTTTCTTCTTCAATTCTTCTAATTGAAGTTTACATCTATCCACAAGTTTGTGTCTAAGAGTAGAGCATCACGGGCGAAGCTATGGACGCTCGGCATAAGGCAGGAACCACGGCAGTTTCATCATCAGATACAAGGCACTTTCTTCCATTTTCTATTTGATTTTTAATTTTTTTAAGTATTTTGTACTCGTACATTTTTGCTTGACCAGTTGCAATACACAAGACAAGAAAAGCAGCTATAGTTTGACGTTAGCAACTTCACTTCGACAAAATAGGAGAACAACATAAGAAGATATAGAATAGATCCAAAAAGACCCAGCCAAATAGAAAGAAGCAATAAGACTAGTTGGAAAAAGACGATTCAACGAAGCAAACGTAAGCCGAAACTGCAAGAGGAAACAAGTATAGAAGAGTTGATTCGGTAGGGACACCCAGATGCCGCTGATCACGCGTTCTGGTTAGACAGTGGCGTCTTTTTCCAATTTTCATCGATGAAAAACTTGCCAGTTTTGTCACGCCCTGTAATTTGAGGGAAATCCATCCAATAATGGGGCTTTCCTGATGGCTCCCAAGAAATATTGAGATGACTATTCAGGATTGAGGGTTCTGGAAGGAAGGTAATCATTTTTGCACGTGCGTTTCCAGGCAACAACTGTGAGAATGTGGTAGTAACACGGGTCATGAGTTGTTCGTGCACGAAAATTGCGATATCACTTGTATTGGCGTTGTCACGGAGAGCCTCGAGGTCTGGTGAAAACTGCAAAATTTGCCACTTATGTGCACCGTAGAACGGTGCATTATCATGCGTTAAGATTCTAAACACCAGCATGCTTAAGATGTTCAGTTTTACTTGGAACCTTTGAGCGCAGGCTTCATCGGGTATAACGGGCTGGCGAATAACGAACGCGCCAGCATTGGAGAAGACGAAGACGACGACCAATTCCAAATACTCGGGGTCGCAACTGTAGCGAATTCGAAGTCCATCGACATTCTCGTCACTTGGCTGTAGATTTGTAGGATAGAAATGAACTCCCGCCATGCCGTCTTTCTCAACTGAATAAATCCCTGGTGGTGTTGCAAAATACTCAAGAGCCTCTGAATACTGAAGAGCCTCTGGAGCAAAGACATCTGTTGTATGCCCTTCGTGGAAGGGTTCAATACGAAGGAAAGGAGTCTCTGGGGTGAATTGTTTATATTCCATTTTGGGGTCGGTATTCGGCCTAAATATTTTGAATGGTTTCAAAATATGGTAGTAGTTCTATATTTTGTTAGTTCATCAGATACTGTCCAGAATATGAAGTTCAATTGGGTCTTTCGTCCTGATTTCCTGATTACTTACTTGAAGTGGCTAAGTATATCAGGAAAAGTTATGGTAGAATTGTTGTATTGTCAGATTTAATGTAATGGAGATGTTTTACTACGTTTCAAGTGACTTCTTCACTTTATTTATGTTGAAAATTTATGACTCAGAACGAATGACTGTAAATTATACCAGCATTCTGACACAAGTCGGATGACTAGAAGTATGACTCTTTTCAAAACAAAGAATTTCTATATTATGACTTGATGTCTCAACGAATCCTTCCATTTAACTAGCGCTGTTAAGATAGGAACACGTCGAATAATTCAAATACAAACGAATGGTTTCATTTGACCCCCATCGGTTACACACAGCTATGTCAATGACTTAAAGGCTAACTTAGTATCACTGGGTGGAGGGTAAATCGATAGAAGACTTAAATAAGAACAGAGGTGGTGAAGTACGCACTGGGAAGCAGATCTGTGACAATGCATAAGATGTCTCTCCATCCAAAATTGAGGCTGATGACACTCGGGTCCATATTCAAAGCACCCATGGTGAGTAATATGGAAAGCCTCAAAAATGAGCTCACTTTAAGTCAAGGGAATGGGACTATTTTTCGAGCAGACAAAACGTCTTTTTGTACACAGGGTTTATGAGTAGCGATAGATTTCAATTACAAGAAAGCAGTCCTAGGATTTTCTTTCTGATTTAGTAAAATGAATCACGTAAAAGCATGAAATCAATGTTGAAATTTGACTCTAATTCTAGATCTAATAGCCGCGATAACAATCAGTAGAATCTTTGGACAACCTATTTAGGTCGAAAATGAGTAAGAGTACACTAAGCATTGTACAATGATAGAGGCTGAGGATAAGACGTGCATCCTTTCATGTGAAAGCAACTAGATGACTATTTGTTGAAACTGAGACATTAGTATAAGCGGCAGTACCACCTGGCGAAAATTGCGAAGGTACTGTTCGTACCTTTCCCTAGTTTGACTATCTGGACCCAATACTTCCATGACATTAATATTATACGTAATACCCTAACAAGAATGGCTGCTGGAATGTTGATTTCGCGGGTGAGCGAGACGCGGGTCACGCACCGTTCCTCCAGACATATCGAGTGCAAATTCCATAGCTTCAGTAACAGATTGGGATAGTTCTTATCGGCGATTGATGAGAACAACAGCGAACGACAGCGCTTCAATGAGATTGTAGAGATTAGCTGAGGCTTGAGATTCCAGGAACCGTCTCACAAAGCACTGCGTCACGTAATAGAGTGTGTCATTATTAAGTCGACATTTGACGAGGAAGCAGCGGAGTACTGGCAGGCTCAGATTAATCGATGCGATGGGTGAGACGTTTCTCAGGGTTCACAAGATACTGGGCCTCAGGAAATAAACGAGGTGACTCAGCATTTGCTAGTTTCAGTCTGACCACGGCGTAGAATTTGAAAGACAAGTTGTCGTAGGACCGGTTTATCTCTTCGTCATTGCTTTCTTCTGAATATGGCATATTACCGCCTTTTCGATATGGCACGCTCTCGTTTGCCGCGTAGTGGTTGTTCACAGAGACGCCCTCGGAAACACTGAGGATGGATCCAATCTCGTTGTCGAAGGCTTCAAAACTCTCACGCACAACATACGCAGACGGTCACGGCATCTAGATAAACGTCCCTGTTCAAAGCCCACGCCAGCTTTCCGCGGACTTCATTGGTCAATTCATTAATAAACGTAACAAAGTGGCTTATGCACCCGGCTCGTTCCTAACTGCATGGTGCACCTTTTCGGAGATACCCTTGAAATTTGTCTTGGGCTCCCTCAGGAGGCCTCCAACTCGTACCTTCTCAATGACCTAGTCTATGAAGCCTATCCATTCGAGGATCACCAATACTTCAAGGATATCTCGGGATATCTCTATTAAGGGCGAAAGGTTTCGCAAAACGTGGATACAATAGGTACATGCCGATGATCGAACTGCAGTTCCTGATGCAAAGTAAGACTGTCGAAAGCATGAAAATAGGAGGAAAGCAGGAAGAAGAGGTGAATGTGGGTGAGGCATTAGAAGATGCCCAGGAGTTGGCCTATGCCCTACACCATTTCCATTTCCATTTCCTTTTCTGGTCGACGGCGCCAGCCTAGCAAACTTTTTGTCAGCTAACTAGTGCAATCTAACGCGTCATGAAACGGTATGTCGAAACCGTGGTTTTTACGTGTTATTTTTCTATGCAATTCCTGAGAATTTGCCATTATTTAGGTAATTCTAAATAATCAGTTCCACTAGTAAATTAGATATAAATACTAATATTGTTTAAATTTAATTATTAAAGTATATATTAGTTAGCATATAAATTATATTAACTTATATCTCTAGCTAACATAAATCAACCAATACAAGTCAGTATATATCTCGCATTCATATTATTACAACTTTTCCTTATAATAAGTCCCATTTCTTAAGCCAATCACCTATTCTTCTAATTTTATCAATCATTCTCAATTCCGGATCTTCGATGACTCATCTTGTCTTAGTCTCTGACGTGAGCTTAGAGTAGTGATTCCCATTTTACTATGTGGGTGTCAATGCTATTATCACTTGTCTAGCAATGTATCACAGCGAGGCAATTTCAGGACTGGCATCATGAAACGTTCCACACCATTACAATACGGTACCACACCAGCGAAGTCAATCAGTAGCGGAGTCCGATCCAGAACGGTCGGTCGGACGAGGGCCCACATGATGTCCTAAAGTGGGGGTTGGCGCCAGACTCGTCAATTTCCACGACAACGCGACTGTGCTTTTCAATGTAGTCCTCGGCCATCGCTTTATCATACTATAGAGGCGTCATACATCCGCAACGGTATATTTGCTTGCATTTTATGGCTGACCTGGGTTTCCCGGACGAGCCAAGTTCCGGTCACGTTGAGGTCGATCGTCAGGTACACCTCAATTTCCCCTATCCCTCATATGCATTGTGTGGCTGAGACCATCTTGATAACTGTAGGCTACTGAAAATGACTCTGTATATGGAGACGAACTGTTGGCGATGAAACCACTGTGGTCCGTCGCATTCAAGAGGCTGATGTTCTATAGGTCGAATTATACGACCTCTTTGACTTCTTCTGTATACAACTATCGGAGGGAAAACGGGAGGACATATCATGGTTACCAAGACGGCGGTGAGCACCAGTTGACCTTGAGTAAAATTTTAGAAAATTTTGCAATTGTTGACAAGCGACAGAATACCTCTTTCCCAATGACGAAGATGAATCTGATCGACTTGATATTGTTCACGAAATGACACTGACGATGATGGGCCGACGCTTGTACTTAGCTCCCATTGGCAGTTCACCACGACGGGTGGTTGACCTTGGTACAGGAACCGGAATATGGCCAATCGAGTTTGGTAAGATTTCAAATGTAAAGGAGCTCGGCCGTGCTCTGCTCACCATGGTTACTCTGTAGGAGATCAACATCCATCTGCCGAAGTAACACTCCCCCTTTCCATTCAGAATGAGAAGCGCTAAGCTTTTGTCCCAGGTCCTCGGTGTAGATTTGAGTCCTACGCAGCCCTCATTGTATGATAAACCCTACCCTATAGGAAAGGAGGTCCAACCCGCCCAGTCACTAATGACCCAACTGCAGAGTCCCACCCAACGTGAGATTTCTCGTCGACGATATTGAAAAACCATGGCTCTACAGCCAAGCGTTCGATTTTGTTCACGTGAGGGGCCTTGCCTGTTGTGTCAAGGACTACGCGAACCTCATCCGGCAGGCTTATGAGTTGAGTTCTTGATTCGCTATATATCCTCTCTAAGCTTTCTCACGCTGACGTGATTAGCAATACTGCCCCGGGGCAATGGGTTGAATTTCAAGACTGGGACACCAATTTAGTTTCTGAGGATGGTTCCACGAACAATACCTTCCTTGAACAATACTACAACGTCGTCTTAGGCTCCTTTCAGAAGGCAGGCTACGTTAATAGACCCGGATTACATCTGGAGCAGTGGCTCCGCGACACCGGGTTTGAAAACGTACATGTCAGAAAATACCCAGTTCCATTAGGAACCTGGCCTAAAGATAAACACCTTGTACGTTTCTCGGGGCATCCAACCACTCCCCCTTTTGTATAGCTATTAAAATCCGTTACTATATCAGAAAAAGGTCGGCGCATGGAATTTTTTGCAAGCAGAGTCCGGCTTCGAGTCGGCTGCTATGGCAGTCTTGACCCGTAATGAGGGGTGGTCGAGAGATGAGGTGACTGTGCTTGTGGCCAAAGCCCGACAAGATGTCAAAAATCGCGAGATCCACTCCTTATTCTACTTGTGAGTCATCATCCATCTTGATCGGTCGTTTACTTTGTCCCTTCCCCTTTTCTGCTTTCGTTCTTTTTCTTTCCTTTTTATTTCCGGTGTTGTACTACGTACAACTGACCTGGTTTCTTAGCTATGTTGCCTACGGCCAAAAACCAGGCAAGTCATCATCAGTGGATACCTCACATTAGAAAGGGCAGACGAATTTGATTTTAGCCATCATTGGATATCCTCTATCCGTATCCCGGCCCAATCCCTCTTTTTCTTTTGTGCGATGAGCGTTCATTTCCGCAACGCGGTGGGGCTCAAGGCGATCCGCGACTCCAATCGGCCTGGGAAAGCACGCTTATTCCTAATAGTGCCCGTGCTGGTGCCGGGAATGTCTATCCGCCTTCCGGCACTAATTTGTCGTACCCGAGTCTAGCGCGCAATTAGTATTTAGCGACGCTTTCCTCTCAGGCCGCTGTGATTCGTCAAGTACTGTCCAGCGCAAAAAGATAGTTTCCAGTGAATGGCGAGAGGAGGTCGAGTAACGATGGCAAATTTGGAGCAGTAAGGGACGAATATGGCACTCTAAGCGTCATGAGAATGATCAGGTATACCAATGAGCAACTAGAACTCCTTATATATACAATGTACGACTAATCTCATCAATATGGCGGGTGCCATGGATACCCCTCTAAGGTTTAGTTCGTCTGTAGCAGCCAATCTCACCCGTCCCCCTAAGAGCACTGACCCTGCGGATGAATTTGTCTACGCGTGGGCATTCACGGACCCGTGGAGCATCAGCTTAAAGCCTCAGTGTGACCCGTTGATGCTTCCCCCAAGACGACAAGAGTAAAATAGTACCCATGGCGCAACTATTTCACACGGTTGTCGCGGATTTCATTTCTTGGACTCAAATTCTCTGGTTAGTCCTTGGTCTTGCGATCACGAGGCTCAGCTGGGAATTCCTCTTTTCGCCGTTGAAAGAGTTTCCAGGCCCCTTTGCAGCCAGGTTCACCAATATATGGAGAGTGTTAGCAACCCTCCGCGGACATGTGGACTTTGTTCATATCCAATTGCATCGCAAATATGGATCCGCCGTACGGATTGGACCGAATGTGATCAGCCTCGGAGATCCAAAATTGATCAAAACGATTTATACAACAAATGATCCATGGAAGAAGGTACTCTCTCTCTGACTAACTAAATTACCTCGAACCAGTACTGATGAACGATACCGGGAATCAGAGCGATATGTACCACCCAAATGATGTGCTACTGAACGGGGCCAGAATATCAAACCTTTTCAACACCGCGGACGAAAACTGGCATATGAACCAAATCCGACCGATTCAGAATCTATGGTCGATGACTAAAGTTCTCGAATATGAGTCTCTGATCGATGAAACGCTTGAAAAATTCGTGAATAAGCTGGCGACTAAATTCGTGACTGGATCGAATTTAGGGAGACCATGTGCCATCGACGAATGGCTAGCATACTGTATGGAGTCACATGTCTTCGTATTGTCCAAATGACGGGCTCTAATGGATCATACAGTCGCATGGGATGTCACCGCCAATGTCAGCTTCGGGCGGCATTATGGCTTCATTGATCAGGAAAAAGATGTTGATAATCTCATTAGCGATTCGACGAAGGGCCTGAAGTATTTTGCTCCAGTATGGTGTCTCATTCTTCCCCCCCCCTCTCTCTTCGTAACGAAGCACAGGCTAATATTGTTACCAGGTCTCACAAATGCCATGGATTGACCACTTCCTCGACAAGAACCCAATCATACGGATTGGCCCCAAGCCCACCCTGACAGGCGTCCTATACGCATTTGGAGTCGTTGCAGAATACGGCAAGGATCTTGCAGCACGCCAAACTGGAGAACGTTCTATGAAACACACCTTACATAAATATATGCAACTACGGGAGACACACCCCGAGATCGATGACGCTCAGATTGTGAATTGGTTGATGCTCAGTATTCTTGCAGGTGGAGATACTTCGTCGGCTGTCATGCGTGCGGTTATCTACTATCTTGCCAAATCTCCAGTAGCCTATGGGAAGCTCACGCAGGAGTTGAATGAAGCTAAACTGACTTTGCCGGCGCAGTGGAAGGAGATTCAAAAGCTGCCTTACCTAGATGCCGTCATACGAGAGAGCATGCGACTGAACCCCGGGATTGCTATGGTTTTTGAGCGTGTAGTGCCGGGGAGTGGCTTCAACCTCCCAGACGGACGTTACATTCCTGCCGGAACCAAGGTTGGGATTAACCCGGCAGTGACAAATCGAGATTACGCAGTATTTGGAAAAGATGCAGATTCCTTTAACCCTGGCCGTTGGCTTCAGGGCAGCGACGAGAGCCAGGAGACATTCCATGCTCGACAAAGACAGATGAAGGATGTCTGCGACTTTACCTTCGGAGGAGGGCGGAGGATCTGCATGGGCCGACACCTGGCCACGCTAGAAATCTATAAGCTGATTGCGACTCTGTACAGCTTGTACGATGTGAGTAGAACTTCTTATACTGATGCTACTATGAGGGAAGACCTCGTTCTAACCACAACGGATTCTATTTAGATCAAACTAGTTGATCAAGACCATGAGTGGAAGTATCTCAATGCTTGGTTCGTGTATCAGCATGATATTCCAGTCACAATTACCCGCCGAAACTTCATCAGTTAGGAGAGACTTGAAGTATTTGAAGATACTGCGAATTCATATTTTACAGTTCCCTAATACGATCTAAAACAGAAGAGCAAGAGGAAGATATCTTTATTCTAGTGCTGCAGAACTTGTTCTGTGAAATGTTATATGTCATGTTCATTTTCCGCGGACAGCCTAAATTCTACCATTAGCATGGTTATTATCTTTACACTTACATAACTCTCCTCCATTTCCTTGAGAATGGCCCTTTAGTGCAATTTGTTCCTGTTCCATGGCGGGGGCTTGTGCGCATGGATGCCCAATCAAAAACCCCGACTTTATTTTAATCAACATTCTGTTTTGAGGCGGACGCAGCAGTTTTTCATGCGGACTCCAATCCGTGACCGCCATGAACATTCAAGGTTGGTAAACATAAAATACTGCTAGAAATGAGTCATCGTCATAGTACTATTATAATTCATTGAACCACCCAGAATTGCTCGACATATCTGGCTGGCCTCACAAGTCGGCCCTGCCATCCTTAAAGATTACATAAACAAGTGTCTGCTTCCAACACAGCTCAGCTACTCCCTCAGTGTTGAACAGTAGTTCAATCATTCAGAGTGAACAACCAAGCGTTGGCATTCGCTAATCCTAGATAGATCATATCACAATCCAAAAGCCTCCTCGCTACCTCCATTGTAGGGGACGTACAAAGAAATTGCACTGTATACCTTAGAATGAGAACAACAACAACACCAATAGTCCATACTATACTTGCTCTTCTTGTCCGGAGTTCGCTTGCTTTGGAGATATATGAGATGTGTTGGCGGAAAACCCTATATGCTACTGTGGCGACGGAATGCAATTCAGCAGGCGTACCATAGCAGATCCGGAAGGTGGAAGAGCAAGAGTTCTACGATCCATATTCTACAGGAGGATGTCTTTTCTTTAAATACATGACAGACAGTCATGATACAGTCCTAATTTACGATGTTCCTATCTCTCCTTGTGTCTTGACATCTTTGGAGTTTTAAAGGCCACGGTTCTGCAATAGGGTATGCTCCGTTGGCACCTCCTGGTTTGCCAAAACCACGTATCTCACCTTGTCACCCAACAGACGTGGCCCCAACATACTTCATCACCTGCATCCTTGGGTGGTTGAGACTTTACCTCGTTTTTAGTTGTAGCTCCAGTGTTTTAGCGGACAATTTCTCTACAGGTTGGAGGCAAAATCCAGAAGTTTTACAGGTGATCATTTGTCAAGATCCATATATAGCGCAAGACTGGGTCTTCGGTTCAGTTCGATTCGATTCTGTAGAGAGATTGTTACTCATAATCGAGGATGAAATGCGTCAATCAGAATATAGTATTCTAGAATATTATGATGACTCACATTTGACGGTCAGAAGCAGTAACTTGTACAGAACCACATCAGGCCGTGTTATGGAGAATTGAGAAAAATCGTCATTGGCAGCCATGTTACGTTAAAGAATAATTCTTTTAGTATTTCCGCACACAAGATATATGTACTGCACATAGAATAACTACCTCGTAGATGGGTACCTAGGCTTCCATAGTGCGATCTTCACATGGTCAGATTATTTCAGTTTGATTCTTGAACTAAATTTGTCAAAACAAGTCGCCCAACGACAGAAAACAACGATTAATAGAATAAAATAAAACGAAGTAAGATAGGTTCTATACGTGGTAAAAGTAGCTTGAAACACAGACAGCAAATAACAAAGCTACGAAGCGGATGACTAGAAACAAAAGCAAAAAGGATGATAAGAACTCAGTATATAAAATTCAAAATATAATACACTGAATGTCCTAGATATAACATTGCCAATATATCTAAAGAAGAAGTTTATCTTTATCCTTATAGAAATTATATTAATAATTATTTAAATATTAATATTAAAAATATTGTATTAAATTTTAGTAATAATTATATGTTTACAAGGCTGATTATTTACTTTTTTAGGATTGTTAAAATACTGAAAGTGTAAGACCATTGATGCCTGAGGCTGCAAGGCATTAATGTCATGTGATTTGACAGTTACGTCATGTTCTATATAAAGCGGGTATGGGGATTAATCGCCATAGACCGATTAATATACCAAATGGTCCTTTTTGACCTTGTTGGTTATGGTTGTTACACAAAGCCCTAGCTTACAAGCCCATCACATGAGGATCGGAGTGGTGATGTCAGTGAACATGATCAACCCATGACCCGTGGTAGGCGGACTCTACACTTGAAATGTAAAAAGAATACCAGAATAAAAAACGTCGTGACATAATGAATACGTAAAATGTACCTGTTTGAACCATCTTTCAAAACATCTGGCATGGAAAATATGCCGGCAAGGCATTGGATACACGTCGTCGAGCGGATCAACTATACTCGCCTGTCGGCCGGAAACTGAGCAAGAAGGGAAAAGGGGCGCATACCAGATTGAAATAGTCGTAGTTGCGTCTCTTAGATTATTATCATCGGGCTCTGATTCGTTCCACTTTAGTAATGCAAAGGTGGAAGAGCTGCAATCAGAAAGGTTAATTCATGATCAGATGGCTGGTGCTTTGGGGATATATAATAATAGGATGCCATGCTTTGACTAGTTAATGTATAATCTTGAAGAACTATTTTCTGCGAAGGGATAGTGGTATAACGCATACATTAGAATTAGTGCACAAATAAGTCATAACGCGAGGAAAATTGACGCTCCCTTTTCGCTCAATGATTCAGACTGCGCCTACTCCTAACTGTCTTGGGGATTCATGTGAGCTTTAATTGTGGAAGACGTATACACATATCCGTTGTAGTGGCGAGTCGTCCCAATTCACTTTATAAATTATTCCAAGTCGGATCGAGCATCACCTGTTTCTCGATATCATAAGACTTTCGATTGGTTCAACCGGATACCTGATAAGCTTGATCTGCACTGTATAACATGATGGCCACCAACTTAGGGTAGACAAGATAATATATACGATCAGGAAACGGCCAATGGGTATTTTTCGGCAGTATTGAAAGCAAGCTTAATGTAATTCAATATCATAGCACATGATGGATTTGGTCATTTTTTGACGTAATCAAAAGCCCCAGATCACACAACTCATAACGCCCCAACTATATACCTGTGGACCTACACACTCTATCATTCACCTAAAGTTGTTACTTTCAAAGGATTTCACAAAATGGTTAGTTACAATGACAGACAGTATTGACAAGAACCAGTCCGACATTTGGCTTGTAGGGGGAGGGATTGCCTCCCTCGCCGCTGCCGTGTTCCTGATTAACGATTCTGATGTTTCTGCCAATATCCATATTTTCGACATCCACCCTTCTCCAGGTGGAGGGCTGATCAGCTATGGTGATGACTCCACTGGATACGTTGTGCACGGTGGGCAGCGCCTCTCCTATCATGATAGTTGCGTAGAGAAACTATTGTCTCAGGTCCCTGGAATCGAAGTTGGTGCGTTGCCCTGGAAGAAGCGTCGCAAGCACCAAACCCCTGAGGAAAAGTCTCGGGCTGCAAATTTAATCCGTGCTGTCATCCCGGGCGGATCTGGCCTTGAGACGTTGGACTCTCAAGATCTCGGGCTCACTCTCCATCATCGCTTGGAATTGATCCGTGTGGTTGTTGAGTCAGATCATGAGTTGGGCAATAAGACCATTGCGGATGTGTTCTCCGAAGAATTTTTCCAGACTAATTTCTGGATGATATGGTCAACTACGTGAGTCTAACATCCTATACTGCTCTCTCAGCCCATCACTAAAATTTCCCACAGTTTTGCCTTCCAACCCCAGCACAGTGCAGTGGAACTACGGCGGCACCTCCATAGATACCTTCACGACATTATCAATCGCGACCTCCTAAGCGGTCCCATTGACATGCACTACTCGGTTTATGAGTCGATAGTTGAGCCTATTACCCAATACCTTAAATCACAAAATGTCGACTTCCGTCTCGGGGATCGTGTCATAGACCTCTTAGCCTATCCAGATAGCGACCCAACTACATTTTCCGAAATTAAATATCTCGACACTGATGGATCAGAGAAGATCATCATACTAGATCCTACCGATCTAGTCTTTGTCACTCTTGGGGCTATGGGAGGTGGAAGTGCTCTGGGATCGAACACAGTTTCTCCTACGCTACCCCGCTCCCCAGATGTCAATAATGAATGGTCCTTGTGGTTCAAGTTAGCAGAAAAATCCGCCAAGTTTGGCGATCCGTCCAATTTCTTCCCTGCAAAAAGCGACTCGTTATTGGAGACATTCACAGTTACTCTCAAGGACGACACCTTTTTTGACCGAATCGTTGAGTTGACGCAGAATGATCCGGGCACTCAACCAATCCTATCGTTACCTAGTAGCAACTGGTTTTTTAATATCAGTATCCCTCGTCAGCCCGTCTTTCACAACCAACCCAACACTGTCAACGTATTTTGGGGCTGGGCTTTATACCCAGAAGCCCTAGGGGACTTTGTCAAAAAGCCTATGCTTTCATGCACTGGATCTGAGGTAATGGAAGAGCTACTTGGGCATCTAGACTTCCCAAAAACCGTACTCGCCAACTCGATAACGATCCCTTGTATAAACGCCTATGCCATGTCACCACTGAGGGTTCGACATTACAATGACCGTCCTCTGGTCATCCCCGCATATTCGACCAACATGGCATTTTTAGGCCAGTTTGTTGAAATGGAAGATGAACCTACCGGGAATATTGAGTACAGTGTGCGAAGCGCCCAGCTGGCGGTGGATCACTTTACGCGGGGTAATAATTGCCCGCCGTCGCGAAAGAGTTATCTTACGGAAATTCTCGACGTACTTAAGTAAAATGCGAGAAATTTGACAATTGAAAAAAAGAAGGACAAAAAAAGAAACAGATCTGTTCTATCAGGCGATCTACATTGCTGATCAAATCCGTCAGATGGGGTTATTTAGGGTTATTGTTAAGCAATCAAACCTCGGGCAGGGAGAGGCAGGGAGAGGCATGGGACGGGAGCAGACTGTTTTTAACGCCGACTTTCCCCGCCCAGGACTATCTCTGGAGGCTCACAGTTTTACAAAAACCGAGTCACATTTTATCTGAACTCATATTCCCAGAAAGTGCGCGTAACCTCTATCAGTGCTGTGAAAAAATTAACTTTGTTACACATGTGCTCGCGACGTTCTTGTCTCATGATCTAGACCGATTAGGAAGTGGGGGCACCGAGTTTTCCCCGGTTTAATTATTCAAGCAGCGCCAAAAGTTCTACCTAGATTGTAATTATGTGGTAGGTCGATTGTGGATTTGCGGTTCCCCCGGATGTCGGATATGTCGTATACTATCGCCACTTCAATGTTTCTGTGCTTTTCAATATATTTCGGTGATTAGCACGAGATATGTATCCGTATTAGGCTATACCTGGCACTAAAATCAATCCAATTTACATACAACAATCTTGATCATTGGAGCCGAGAAAGCGCTTTTGACATTTCACGTTGTAAAGGGCCAAGATGCCATTTCTGTCCTATCCAGCTGCGCTACAGCTTAAAAAGGAACTCGGGGAACAAATGCCGTCGTCATCATTCTTGCCAGCGATGACTATCTCCAGAGTATAAGCCATTGGAGCGATACATGTGCAAAAGGTGCTGTATGTCACTGTCAAGAATCATCATCATCGCAAGTTCCAACACCTGACTACAGGAATCAGTTAGCTAGCAAGCTTACTACAGAAACTGACTCAATGCATGTCAAGGGGGCTGTCGTAAAGGTCACCTCGGCACAAGAAGTGTCGATGGTTATCGCATTTGCTACAAAGCAGTACATCCCATTTGTGGTCTACTCTGGAGGGTTTAATACTAGCGGAGCATCGTCGACATATGGAGGAATTGTGATCAGTTTGGAGAACATGCATTCTGTGGCCGTTAACCCGAAGTCGAATACTGTCACAGTTCAAGGTGGCGCGAGATGGGTGGATGTTGATAAAGCGGCTGCGGAACATGGCCTCGCTGTTGTAGGTGCAACGGCCAACCATCTGAGCGTTGGCGGCACGACGTTGGGAGGTGGACTTGGCTGGCTTACAGGGAGTCACGGTCTAATTATCGACAATTTACTCAGTGTCAAGATGGTGCTCGCAAATACGCACATAGTGACGGCATCAATATCCGAAAACCCCGACCTTTTTTGGGCAGTCCGAGGCGCTGGTCAGGATTTCGGAGTTGCGACAGAATTCACGTTCAAAGCATATCCACAGAGAGATTCGGTCTTTGCAGGGCTTTTATTCTTCAAACAAAATGTGCTGGAAAAGATAGTGGAATTTGCGAACAAGCTGGATAAAACAAGGAATGGGAATCAGGGCATGTTCTTTGGATTTACCGACTACATGCAAGAAACGGCTATTGTAGCCATCCTTTTCTACAACGGAATCCAGGAGGAGGCCGAAAAATTCTTCGAACCGATACTTTCATTAAGCCCAGTACGCAATAACACCAAGATGATGCCCTATTTCGAAGCGAATGGTGTCGTCAATGTTGCTGCTCGCGCTACTGGCCGGAAGCGCATAAGCGGCACAAGCATCAAGCCTCCTCTCGATATCGATTTGATTCGCGAGATATACCGTGAATTTGACATGGTGATGGCCAATTATCCTGTCGGCAATTCTATGATGATTTTTGAAATTGTCCCCTATGATGAGGTTGTAAAAGTTCCCAACGATGCAACTGCATATGCCAACAGAGGGCGGTACTACAATGTGGCGTCGATATTCTGCTGGGAGGGTGAGCAATTGGATGGGCGAATGAAAACCTTACAACATTTCATGATGAACAAAATTCGACAACACTCTTTCCATTATAATGATGACGGTGTTGGTGTTTATGCCAATTATGCAGGTATGTTGTCTTCATATTGAAAATCTGCAGATTCCTGAGACTGTTTTTAGGGTACGAGACCAACGCGAAGGAGCTTTTCGGCGATAATCTACCCCGATTGCAGGAGCTCAAAAAGAAATATGACCCCAACAATGTGTTTCGAAAATGGCATGATCTTCTTGTGGAAACTGGGTCAGTAGGATGAAATAGCACAGTCCTCATTATGGTACAAAGTACAAGAGGATAAGAAAAGGAAAAGCCGTGGATGATGCTCAGAGCAGCGGAGTGAACCCGCACGCAGCAGCCAAAATTTGATGTCAAGATGTTTCAAAGGATCCATTTCGGGTGGATACTGAGCCGACACGATGTCAAGTGACATTGCAGGTTTAATGAAAGTCTTACCATTAATACTGTGGCTTGGTTTGCATACAGTGAGGCTATGATGTGCTACCTTAGGCTACTAAGTTACAATCTAGTTAGTTTGACACATCCTACTCTCTCTTATCAGATACAAGACCGCAAGGCTGGAAGTACGCGTCGCGCTGTGTCCTCCCAGGCCCAGTCCAATATAAAGTAGTTAGGGGTGATGCCTAAAGATCCCACTAAAGACGATTTCTGCAAGGCACGCCATAGTGGCCTGCCCAATGGTTCCTTTAACGTTAAGGGACTTTTAATTCGTCATCAAAATGCCGAGTCGATGACTCAAAGCCATTTCGTCGCCGAATTTTAGCTCCTTTTTCCAGGCTATATGTGTAAATCTGACTGGATCAAATCATGTTACGAGGCCTGCTCCATCAAAGGACGGGGTTGAAAACACCTCGCAACTTACCCACTGCTGTTTCATCTTCGTGATAAAATATGAATGGAGGGCCCCTACAGGAATACGTCATTGCTAGATAGGGTGTAGTATCTAGAATTCCCACATACTATTATTCATTTGTAAAGGATAGGGTTGGTAGAGTGTGAATATATAGATTTCCTATATTGAATGAGGCTTCACTGGTATATACCCTGGATCGTAGCTGTAGAACATCGAACGATAATGGAGTTCTAGCTCTAGGAGAGGGCAGTAACGCTAAGGAAGAGGAAGAGGCAATAGTTGTTGAAGCGCCTGTACGAGGATGTGACAGTTGAGAACGGAGACAGAGATAATAAATATATACTCTCTTAGCTTATTTGTCAACCTCTTATTTTAAAACCAGTTACGTTGTTTGTCTATCACAGAGTCGTTGCCTAATTAGGAAATGCCTTTGGTATTTACTGGCTTAGTAGAGCTCTACTATGTCAGTAAATTCCAAAACCCGCTCTACTATGCCAGTAACTTGAACAAGAATTCTACTATGCCGATAACTGGCTCTTATATATATAAAAAAGTAAAGTTAAATCTTAGCTCTATATTCTATGAACTTTCTAGTCTGTTATATTGATTAGCTAAGTTTAATAACAATTTTAGGATACTTTATAGCGTACCTCTTCAGCTGCATCATAGTCTAAGATCCACTTAGTAAAGGCTAGAGTGTTAAACGGCGCATCTCTATTGCCGTCACCTGTATGCCTGTTTCTTTCCTCGCTTGTCAACTCGTCTCCTGGCGCCTTACCAGAGTTGTACAACTGATAGTTCCATGTCGACGCATCCTGTAGTTTTTTCACACGTGGGATACGAAGTTTCTCCCACATTTCAGTGATGTCTGACGTCCCGTATCTGGTCTCAAGCAGCAAGGACAGTACATCAATATCTTCAATGATAGAACTGAAACCCTGTGCCAAATTCGGCAGCATGGCATGTGCCGAGTCTCCTAGCAACACCAATCTCCGCCCAGGACTCGACCATGTATCCAGCGGCTCAAGTCTAGCTAAGCGCCACTGGGAGCATGAATCTGTCATGTGAGCAATGGTGCGCAAGATAGGGTGGCATGGTGCAAAGAAGTTTCTAATAAACCTCACATCTCCCGTCTGATCGAATAGGTTTTGGGCTCTATCTTCGCCGTCTAAATCGTGTTGAACGGAGAACATTATGTTAAAGAGGCGTCGTGCATGATTGTACTTGCCAATGGCATAGCCACCCTCGCCAGCCCACATTAGGCTATCTTCGGAGTCTGGTTTCATGCATATGGACCTGGTCAATTCGCTAGAAGCAAGGATGGCTTCAGGAATCTCTGCTGGGTAGTGTGTAGATGGCACTCGCGTCGGAGTCAGGGAGGCTGGGTCGTGATCCACAAGAATTTTAGGGCGTAAGCGTGAGGATATCCCATCGGCTGCTAGGAGTAGGTCTGCAGTGACCTTGGTGCCGTCTTTGCAAGTCGCATACGCATGGCAATCGTCCTCGGAAATATCGATAATCTCATTCCCAAAATGTACAATCGCTCCGGCCTTGCAAGCTTGGTCGTAGAGAACAGTCTGCAGTGCTTGACGATCGGTCGACCACTCAGGATAGGCTGGGGTGCTTTGCGCAAGATGCAAGAGCTTGTTAGTAAATGCATTACGTGTTTGATGATTTCGAATCGGAGCCGTCACGGCCTCGAGGGCTTCACCCAGCTGCCAACGGTAAAAACATCGCACAGCGTTAGATCTAACAAAGATGGCACCACTGGCTGTCGAGAGTGACTTTGACCTTTCGTAAAGTTGAACGTTATGCCCATTGCGAGCAAGTCGGCATGCTGCAGCAAGCCCTCCAAGACCCGCGCCGGCAATCACAATCCGTTTTTGCCTCTTTGCTTCCATGTTTGATATTAGACAGGAATGAACACGCTGTGCGCATTATCAGGAGCACAGACACCAGTACCGATGAGATTTTAGTGCATTCAGCATTACGTGAAATCAAAGACCAGGACCTGATAGCCTTGCCCTGAAACGAAGTGAAAGGGAAGACTTAACCCGCCAGCAGGAACGTCAGGTGACGGGCTGGGGTGGGTTTGCCCTGTCCCGCACAGCAAAGTGTCCTGGTCGCCTAGTTATTCTATTAGGCTTAGTCAAGCATAATTATTCTATTTGATTGGGTAGGCATGTTGGAATATTTGGCACTAAGCAAATCGGGAAGGGATTCGAAACATCCAAAATTGTGTTACAAAAACCAACACGCATCTTCGAAGCTAAGGACGAGTTAAACTACTTAAAGACAAGCAGCCCTTAAAACAACTAACACCACGATCAACAAATTACCATGACTGGCCATAGCCCATCTGCTATCCATATAGGTTACACTCTCCGCAGAAAATTTCGGGCTAATCAGCCCGAAACCCCGACGGATACACAAATTTCTATGGATAGTGTTTTTCTTTCTTTTTCCTTTAACACAGACTTATAAGGCCTAAAAAATGAAGATAAATATCTCTTATTACTGTACTATATGATATTCAAATTTAGTCTATTAGTGTCACAAGAATCAATAACTCACGACCAATGAATGTTATAGCAGACGCTATTAGGTAAACACGTAAAAAGGATTTGTTATTGAGGACTTTTAGTGCAGTATTAGTGTGTCACTAAACTGCAAGGGGGAAGAAGCTTGAATTATAAACAACTGGGAAACTAGATCTAGATAATTTATACCCAATTTACCAGTAAAACTAATTGCTTATAATTACTTAAATAATAGTAAATTCTTAGTAATGATATAGAAATATAATATGTAACTCTAACGGTTTTGATATATTAGTTGACTAATATATATTTCTAGCAATTAAAGTAATATAACGATTATAATAAGAAGACAATTGTGAGGCCTGGCAGCCGCGAGAGCTGCAGGCTCACAGAGGCTTATAAGCGTGCCAACCCTGGAATTGGGCAATGGCCCAATTACCTCAGTATTACTTTTTGGCATTTAGAGGTTGGCAGTGCCAAGGAGCCTTACAACAATTATCAAAGTAATCAACGATTCTTCTGAGATCGCGGGTCACTCAGGATATTCTGCTAGCAAGAGAGAGAGGTCTGTAAAGCAATAGACGATAAAAGGCTATTTATCACAGTAATAATATTGGAAAAGAGGTAAGTCGTTAAGATACTAAACAGTAGTATACTATTTGATGTTGAAAATATAACACAATCCTTTAGATACATAATGGTAAACGAGTGTATATACACCAAATATAATCATAACTATCATAGCCATTGCTCTGATAGCTATAATGCTTCTTACATGCTCATCATAGCAGCCGCTATGATGGCTATAATGACCATGTGGATTATGTGGCCATAACCAGCATCATAATAATCATAGCAACTAATACTCCTCTAATCACTATAGCTTGGTGAGAGCGTAGCCTTCCGGTGTCGTTCCCACGATAGCTAATTATACTTGCACTAAAATCGGCCGACACTTTTCTTTGTCATAACCCTAACTTAATCTCGCCGTCATACAGCTTCACTGGGAAACTTCTTTTAACAGACAGTATATTATTTGTTCCTTCTATACTAATCCTAGTCTATCCAGTAAGCCGCACATCCTTGACCAACCCCTCAAACTCGCCGCCGCCAATCTCTGCGAGCGGTGCCTCGACCGCAATCTCTCTCCACACAAACGTCTCCCCATCAATCCCCACCTTGGTCAAAAACTGCATTTCGGTCGCCGCCGACGATGAATCACTCTGGACCTTGAAGAATGTTGCATCGCCCTGGCCACTCAAACTCACCTGACTCCAGATATTCAGTGGCAGGGTGTAGTTCAGGGTGTACGGATTCCCGGACGCGATGAGCGTGACGTTACTCACAGTACCATTTCCAGCGAGAAGTGCAGACTCGGGGCCCGAGAAGATCACGCCGGGCGTTTTCTGGCTTGTGGGGAAGATGGAGAAGGAAAGGGTGTAGTTGCGCCCCTTTGACGAGAGCGGGGTTGTGAGGGAACAGGTCGGCGTAAGCTCTAGAGCCCCGGATGTTATGCGACAGTTTGTCTTGCCGTTGTAGTTGTTTCCTGATGTGTCCTGGATGGTGGGGAGGTGTGGTTGGTGGTCAAAGGAGTAGGAGAGGATGGTGGCGGATTGTGAGGCGATGGTTTGATCGAGGTTCTGGCCGGGGATGGCGGCGTGCAGAGTGTCGAAAATGGTGTAGTATTCGTCCTCGACTAGTTCTCCACCCCACTGCTTATCAGCGAGAGCTGGCAACCCGTCGCGCCAGGCGTAGTATGCCTCGCTGTATACGGTGGCATTCGGTCCATAGTCGTTCCATAGTGCGGCGATGTGGCCTAGAACGCGGGGCTCATCACGGGCCGGGTTGTTCGTGGAATTGCTCGTATCGAAAATATTCGGAGCATAAGGCCCACCATCCGGCGCACCATGGAAGACTCGCGTGATGTTGAGCTGCTGCGGGTAGCTTCCAGAATACTTGTTGACGATGTAAAACGCATCGTCGGAGTTAAGCACATCATACCCGTTTTTGATGTAATCGAAATACGGGTTGTCCTCGTAGAATTCCCAATGCTGGATGGACACGTTGGTGGCAATGTTGTTAGTGTAGTTAGTCGAAGGGGGGAATGTGCCCCAAATACGGATCGACTTATTCGCAGCTGACGCCATGAATCCGTTGATCGCATTGACGAAAGTATTATACTCAGACACCAATGCACTAATTTTCAAATCAGCTTCCCATTCCAACAGTACCATCTCAACGACAAGTCAACCTACTCTTTCGTCAACGACGCATCAACATATTCATCTGCTCCGATATGCACCGTCTTACTATGAAACCACGGTAGAAACGTATTCCAAATCGTCTCCCCGGTCGGGATAGTATCCGGGTTAGTGATATTCAGCAATGAAATATCTGTATCAATGCCTAGCTCTGGCTTCCACTGCGAAATCACCAACGCATGTCCAGGCATTTCCAGCTCTGGCACAATCGTGACCCCTCTAGCGGCGCATTCCGACTGTATATCGTCAAAGATATCCCGTGTATACGACTCATTCGCGCGCTTATTGAGCCCTGCAACTGCTGGGTCAGATGATAACAGTCTGAACGCAGCGTACAAATCCAGTTGTTGTTCACGTGAGTATACGTCGACATTGTTGTACAAATTATCGCTTAGATGCACGTGAAATGTATTCTGTTTGTAAAACGATAAATACGCGCACATCTCCTTCAGAAAGGACGCAGGGTAATAATGCCTCCCGGCGTCGAGCATCACGCCTCGAATTCCCCAACCAGGTGCATCGGTGCCGCTGCCCAGCGGGATTTGCCCATTGTTAAGAGCTGCCTGCTGCAAGAGCGAGCGAGTCCCCCACCAAACACCCAGCGGGCTGGCGCCAGTGATGGTCACGCCAGTCGCCGTGACTTCAAGCGTATACCCTTCCGACGTCTCTCTACCCGCAGCATCGAGAAAGTCACTCGCGTTACCGATCGTCAAGAAGATGTACTTTGAATCATGCTCCTCCATCGAACCCACGTCAACACCCACGCCCACCGCGCCATGCTGCCGGTCCAGATACGAGTTCAGATCTGCCGCGAACGTGCTGGCGAATGCATGAAGCGTCGGTGGAATGAGCGTTGTTCCGCGGTTGTCGCTGGAGTTGGCATACTCCGAGTTCACGACAATCGCGCGGGTTTCTTTCAGCGCGAATATGCCACCAGATGGTGACTTTGTGAATGGCACGGTAGGTATGCCCGATAGGAAATCACTTGCTGCAGCGCTGCCAGCGCTAGCTAGGGAGAGGATGATGGAGAGCCTCATTGTCAATCCTCACCTCTTTCCTTACCAATCGATCCCTGTCACCTCGAACTGTTCAGACTATATATACCCTAGAACCGACAGCCGTTCAAAAAACACCACGGTAGCGTCTACTCTACGGCGTGCATGTAGCATTCCGCTCCCCTCCCCGTGCTGTACGCATAACCTCCGACCCTCATGCAAGGAGCCGCGAAGTCGCTGAAGATAATAAAAAAATGCAAGGGTTACATCAAAAAAGGTGACATGGAAGCTTATCTTTTAATCGCACCTGCTAATAAATAGCGGACGAGCCGAAAAACTCTGCGCAAACCGACTAACTCGTAGGAAAAGGTTTAATGTTAAGTTGAGTTGTGAGATGGGGGGGTTGATCATTGTTGACCTCGTGCGGGGTTCCTCCACTCTTGCGCCTGGTTTACCCGGAATTGTTTATCACTGCTGGAATGGGAAGGTGCCGACTACATATTCTTGCATACTCTAGTTGCACAGAGCGGAGAATTTGTGGTTACTGATTAGATGTTAGCTAGAATAAGAGCCAAAATTAATAACGCTCCCAATGAGGGGAAACCCCTTTTGGCGTAGTATTTTTTCAGCCAACATTAGATAGGCATTTTCGTGGTTTGGATTAAATTTGTGATGATAGATAGATTACTTGATATGGCGGTGAATACTACCCGTTGATAAAAGTACATGCGGCATTGACTATGATCAGAAAAATATGGATTTAAACATATTCGTAGTAGCTACGTGTACGGGGATGTGTGCAGGCTTTTACAGCAATAATAATTGACACTCGAATATTAGAACACGAGACATGGAATGCTGATATATAAGAAGCCAATATAGTAGGCGTAACAATCAATGTATGTACATCAATATATATGTTCCAATGTAATTACAGAGAAAGAACAATCTCCTTCAATTTCTGGAAATCAGGTGTACCTAAACCAGTAACGGGGTCCCAGCCCTCGGTCGCGTTCCAAGTAGCCCACGGAATAATACCACCGCCGGGAACAGGCTTACCGCTCTGGCCATCAATACCGTTGCAACCAACAGCCTGGCCAAGGGTGATATCGTTCAGGCCCTTGTAGCCCAAGTCGTAGAAGAAGGGATTCAAGAAACCCAGAGCGGGCTGGCCGGCAGCAAGGCGGGCGTCGTTGAGGAGTGCGATGATGCCAGCCCAGACGGGGGCGGCAGCAGAGGTACCACCGGAGGGAGCGGGCTTGCCAACGTAGATGACTTCGTAGTCCGGGGTGAGACTGTGGGCGGAGATATCGGGGAAACCACGGCCAGCGAAGTTGGTGTATTTGGTGTAGTATTTCTTGGTGGCGGGGTTGATGTGTTGCTTGAGATAAGTCTCGACGGCTTCCTCCTGGTACCAGGCACGAGGGAAGTAGTTGCTGAAACCACCGGAGCTGGCGCTCCAGGCTTCCTCAGGAGTAGCGGCCACGGTACCACCGACGGAGAGGACGTATGGGCAGGTGGCGGGAAAGATCGGCTCGAATTGGGTCTTGTTGCGGCCATCGTTGCTCAAGCAGCCGCTGCCAACACCGAGATCACCGCTGGATTCCAGAACAGTGATGCCTCTGCTCAGACGTTAGTATCATTTCGACAAACTTCCTTGGGGAAACACACCTGAGACCCATCAAACCAATCAGGTTGCAAGTGCGAACGGCGTATTGAAATGGCACAGACTGCTCGTCGTCACCGTACGAGTTGGAGATGACCTGAGGCAGCTCAGAGTTGCTCTGAGAGAGCAGGTATTCGTAGTAAGGCAGGTACGGCTCATTGGTGTCGGTCACGTCATCGAGACTGGGAATGTAGGGGCTGTAGCTCGTTAGCCAATGGTTTTTTTTTTTACCGAAAGTGCCTGCAAACTTACGGAGATCCACCGGTCAAGAACTCGGTGACAGGAAGAGGGTGCGAGATACCAATGATGTTCTGAACATCAAGGTTCGACTCGCCGTATCCTCCAGTAGACGGGTCCTGGCTGTCGGTGGCGTTGGCGATGATGACCTTGGTCCAGTTCTGGGAGGGAATGCCATAGAACTTCTCGTAGATGGCGAGATCGGAGTACAGGGCAGACTCGTTCAAGAAGCTTCCGAAACCGACACGGCTACCGCTCTTGACGCTGGGAGTGTAGTTGCCGACATTGTACAATTCCTTGAGGCAAGATGGGGTGATGGAGGTCTGGCAAGATGCAGCGACCGAGACAGACGACGAGCCAGACGAGGTTGTGGATGAGGGAGACCGCTTGCTCTTGTAGGTCTTGATGGAGCGCTGGGCGCTGGTCTTGCCGAAGTAGGTGGTAGGCGAGATCAGATCAATGTCGGACTTCAAGTCACCGGGGATGGAGTAGCTCAGGGTGCGCAGCTTAGACACTCCGCCGTCGGAGAAATAGTTGAAGTTGGCGCCGAGCAAGCTGTTGGCCTGGATGGAGTCAGTATCCAAGAAGATATATAAAAAGTTCAAAACTAACCTTGCTGACGGTGGTTGCGAAGTTGATGGACTGGCCGGCATTGTGAATCGACTCAATGCCAGCTTCCTTCAGCCAGCTGATGACGACATCAGCAGACGAGTCGGCCGGGCCGAACTGCGACTCAATGTCGGCAGCGTCCAGGTACTGACCGTAGCTGGAGCCACCGGGGGTAGAGATCGACTTGAGCTTGTTCTCGAGCTGGTCGATGTTCTGCAGGGTCAAGGCGATGGACAGTTGAATGGGGGTGTTGGCATCAGCCTTGCCAGCGTGAGCCCATCCAGAGGGCAGCGACGGCAGCGACTCGTGGGTCTCGAGCGCAGCGGCACCAAGAACGGGCGCGGCCAATTGGGCCAGCAGAGCGGCACCAAGGAGGAAATTGCTAGCCATGATGGGATGCACAGAGCTGCGGAACTGGTGGGAGTCGAGATGAGGATGATGGTATCGGGCGGCCAGCTGTGTTATTTATCATACTCAGGAGAGGCGACTGGCGGCTTATTGGCGTGATAACGGCGGGGCTAGCGTTGCACTGTCGTGCGTTAAGTTCACCTGAATATTCCACCATCTGGCGTAATCTGTCCACCTTCCAGAATCTCCAGCTGGATCCATAAAACAAACTCGGCCGGCGTATTGTTCTTGCTTGTTACCGACCAAGCCGTAATATTGTTCTACTCCTATCATACGGTTAATTGCCTCTGCATGCCTATCCGCATACACATCCTTGGCTGTTTCCCCTCGTAATTTTAGACTTCCATTAGCTCCCCCGACACGGTTAGCCTGCCGCCGATCGTCAGGAACAGGCTCAGATCATCCGCGCTGCTTTGCTACTCAATAGTATACCATCCCAACAAAGAGTATACAAAATACTTCAAGATATTGCAGTTCCACGCGAGATGCTGAATCTGTTCAGCAACATGCGCCCCGTCTTACGCAGCATATACTACCATCCAAACAGCGAGCTGCAGATAGCAGGTCTGATGTTTGAGCCAGCACGCTAGGCCGATCTAGCGTATGTAACCTCGCCAATCGTTTGGGGCAGGTCGTTTCTCGGCAGTTGAATAGGTCTGGATGTTTCTTCTCCAACGTTTCGCTTTTCTAGATGATTCCTCCAGGTCCACCACCACCAGATCCGATCGATCGGCAATCTCTATCTCGATTTCTCGACCACTTCCTTTCCTTCTTTTTTCCTTAGATAAGTTAAGCTACGTATCAATGACAGCGCAACTCCAACGATGGGGCTAAATCTCGGTAACACTGTCAGGCTTTAGCTCCACGCTGGCCCCGTAATAATCCCACTTCTACCTGGCTAGCTCGATTTGGCAGGTAGTCTTGCCTGATATTAATAAAAATTACTTGGTATTTCAACAGTGCATAGGCTCATCGGCGTGTTCGATCGCGACATTAGGCAGGTCATTTCAGTAGCGAACGCCACTGTCGGTCGCTTCATCCAGTTTCCTATTCTTTTATTACTGACAATACACATCCTCGCCGCCCAGTGCACGGCCAGAAATAAATAGTGAAGGCGCACAAGTCGAATTTCATCTCAAGGGTTATTGAGAATCCCATAGTAAATTTGAGCATATTTTCCCATTATTCATGCTCAGCGATATTTCATAATACTTTGTCTAATTCTCCTGCGATTCGGTATATGGTCATGGTCAATGCGTCTAAATAAATTTATGTTACACGCGCATTAGTGATAACCGACCCTTCACACCCGTTGGGTATCAAGTATGTACGACCACAATAAATATGAAATATAAGCTCTATGGATCTATATTTTAAATCAAGCATAATAATGAGCGCCACCTTCCCAGAACGGATGTTCTTCCCGAATCCGGAAATTATCGGTACATGCTCTCTGTGCTCCAGCCGAACCCTAAAATAGATAACCCTAAATCCATTACTGCATTGGCAAACCTAATTTATACATACATGTAGAAGCTACAAAACTGGTACAATCCTACACTACGAAGAATTAATTTGCATCAGTCGACCAAATAACCTTGCCCGTCGAATCTGCAACCTCAATCCACGGACTCTCATTCAAAAACGTCAAAACATGCCCTTCACCTCCGGTCCCACTCGAGAACTGCGTCTGCCCCGACACTGTCGTCACAAAATCGCCATCCTGCGTGAACACACACAGGCATGCACCAGGATCACTCCCGCACGTCGACGACGTATGACCAGATGACCACACCGGCACATAACTCCCCGTCGAGGTATTATACGTGACGATATTACTATCACCCTGATACTGCGTCAAGATATCATTGTGCAGCTCCGCAAGCACGCTGTTCACACTGACATTTAGCTCGCCGACGCCGTAGCTGATGGATGAGGGGAGCGGGGCCGTTGTGCAGATGAAGTTTGTGGCGTTTGCATCGGCAGCAATAAAGTCGGATTGGAGGTTTGATGAGCCTGTTAGGCCGGCAGGGTAGTATGCCAAGTGGGCGTTTTCAGTCCATAATGCTTTGGTGGCGGCGCTGCAGGAGTTTGAGTCGGAGAAGGCTGAGTTGGGGGTGTTGACTTTGGAGACATCGTTGCCAGTCACCTATTCAAAAATGAGTACGGGTGGGAGATTGCATTGGATAAAGAAGTGTGGTGTTACCGTGAGTCCGCCAGTCCATCCATTAACGGCAATGGGGAAAGTGATATTCCCACTGAATACGTTATCTGTGATAGTCGCTGGGCCTTGCAAGAATGTGTCATCGTTGAAAGACCACGCATATGCGCCAATAGCAATACCCGCATTGAACAGTTTGTCGCCGGTTATGGTATTATTAGTGACAACAACACCTGCATAACTTCCATCGTAGAGATAGTCGACCATGTTAATTGCGCCGAACCCCGAGTCAGTGGCTGAAGAGATGATTGTGTTTCCCTTGACAGTGGTGTTTGGTGCCCCAAACAACACGATTCCGCCGTCCGTGCTCCCGTTAACCTATTCAAGTCAGCAAAGCAGTGGCCAGTACTGGGGCAAGTGACATACAAAGTTGTTTTCAATTAGCGACCCCTGACACGCAAATGAAATTCCATCTGCCCACTGGCTGATACCCGCAGAGTTGGTGCCTTCATTTCCACATGGACCGATCTGATTATTCATGATCGTCACATTCGTGCACGGGGCAGATGAATCGCCAGATTGCAACAGATGCAAACAACTCCAAGCACGAGCATTTTTGGAAACGATATCCGAAATGACAATCCCAGTGCTAGCTTGGCCGAGTTCGATGCTGGCACCTCCTTCTAGAATACCGCTTAATTAGCATTGCCATAAATATGGAAACCCATGTGTAGATTGGGTAATCATACTCTCAACCAGTCCCAGACTCGGTCGCAATCCATCAACCTGAATATTCTTAATCCGCAGCCCATTAAACCCGTATCCGGTGATGAGCATGCTAACATTGCTGTTAGCGGCAGGTTGAATCGTCGCGCGCGAGTTATCGGTCGGGTAGCCTGATGTCGACAGCTCCTGGTTGTCAGCGGTGAAGCTGATTGTGTCGGAGACGGAAAGGACTGTGTTTGGGCATAGTTGGACCACGGTGTCTGCGCCGCCGGATTTGAAGAGTGTGTTGATTGTTGTTTGGTCGCCGGAAGATATGCAGGCGGCTGATGCTAAGCCTGCAGGGAGGAAAATGAGAATATCCCGCAACTTCATCTTGAAATATTATTATCTGAACACAAGGAGAAGTTGAAATAAAACGAAAGAAAATAAAAACTTCAAGAAGATCCCTCTATTTAATATCCAAACGTCAAGTCAGCTGTTTCAAAGCACCGAGAATTCAACCGTGTGGCTGACAGCCCGTCATCAAGAAACACTAAGTTCAAAAACTAAAGTTTGTATTTCAACTGGATTGGATATTTCTGTGATTAAGCATGTCCAAAAACGGAAAGTGGTCCCAAATAAATGGCGTTAAGGTGCATGGGGCGACCTCCGTCCCACTTGGAGCGGGTTTTCCACGTAATTGGGGTGGGGTGATTAGCAATTGTGCATGTTAGCTCATGTTAATATTTCTGTTAAATAAGGGCATGGCATAAATTATGGTTAATATTTGTATGATTCGAAATTAAATTTCTAACTGGAAATGCTGTTGTCAATCTGCCGATATGCTTAACACTTCCATTGCAGTCAATATATGTTGTTCCAGAATCATCAAAAGTAGAAGATTTACCACGATTTGCCAATTCTCTTCGTAAGAAAAGGTTGAGTATAAAATTAATTCACGGGTCTATCACTCGGAAGTATAGAAATCACCTACGCTTCAATTCAGGCATTCGATCATAGCGGAATATTGCCTTCGCAACGTAGGACTCTGGAAATCCTGCCTCGACAATATAGATGACTATTTAAAGCCTGTTTCATGTCTGCGCTCAGAATGGTGAAAGTTGCCTATGCTTAATGTGAAGAAATCGTCTTGCCAAGGTAATTTAGAAATGCTGAATTACACCCTGCGGCGTCACCACCGCGCAGTCGTATCTAGTGAGGCTATGATTTTCAGGAGCAATGCGCGCAAGCTTTCGAATAGCATGACCCCGAATTCGGACGATGAAATCAAATGCTAGGACAAACAGATCAAAATTGCAATATCCGTTGTGATGTTGGTTTGCACGAAATGTCTGCGATGCAAACATGTACGAGAGGCTAGCTAGTGTTTGTTCATGCTTGGCATACATCCGATATCCGCGATTGTGGGGATTAAGCTAAAGATATATCCGTCCCCGGCCCTCCAACTGATCTTTATTTTTGATGCTATGAGTCCTGATTAAACACGTTCCATATGGTTCTAGACTAATTTTAAAACAGTAGACGAGTATTTTAAATCCTACTCAATAATCATAAATCCGTACAGGGTCTTGATCCCGTAAAATGGGGTTAAGTAAGGTAACTCGGCTCTACCTGAAGCGCGGACTAGCGTCCGCATCGCGAGCCCGACTCGGACTTAATGTGGATTACCGACAATGACGCAGAGCGAGTCGTGAATGGGATTGGCTGGCGTTTATCAGCTTGAATCGCGGCTCAAGTATAAATAGATGGCCAGAAGCGCTGATGAACTTTTAAATCTATATTCAGATAAACAAAATATTAAGCGACAACAAGTTCATTTAAAGATCCAGATATATAAACTACACATCCGCACCGCGACAATCAACTATCTGCTCCTCTACACCAACGACCTCGCAAAAACAAAGAAAAATGGCTTTCTCTGGAAAGGTAGCTCTTATCACCGGCGGGTCCAAGGGCATCGGTCGCTCCGTCGCTGAACAACTTGTCGCACAAGGAGGGAAAGTCGCAATCAACTACTCCTCCGACTCAACAGCTGCAGACGAGGTAGTCAGCAGCCTGGGTGCCGATAATGTCCTCGCCATCAAGGCCGACGCTGGATCCATGAGTGGTGTGAACTCCATGGTCGAGCAGACAGTCGCCAAGTTTGGCAAAATCGACATTCTCGTTCCGAATGCAGGAAGCATGCCGCTTGCCAACTTGGAGTCGTTGACAGAGGAGCTTTTTGACAAAGTGTATGCACTGAATGTCAAGGGACCGTTGTTTTTGGCCAAGGTAAATTTTCTGCTTTGCTCTTTTTAGTATGCGCAAGAGTGTTATCTGACTCGCCACTTTAGGCTGCTGTTCCACACATGCCCTCTGGATCTCATATCATTTTTATCAGCACATCCCTTTGCCATTCTAGCACGGTCATGCCTATCCACCTTGCTTACTGTTCCACTAAAGGCGCAATTGAGCAAATGACTCGAATTCTCTCCAAAGATCTTGCTCCTAAAGGAATCGTCGTCAACGCTGTGGCTCCCGGCCCCACTGCGACGGAACTGTTCATGAGGGGTAAACCCGATGCGATGGTTGAGGCTATCAAGAAGCAATCTCCATTCAATAGGCTAGGGGCTCCAGATGAGATTGCTGAAGCAATTGTCTATCTGTCGGGGACGAAATGGGTTGCCGGACAGACCTTGAGATGTAACGGAAGCATGGTTTAAGTTTATCTGGGGACGTTTTGGATTGAAATTTTATATTTTAATGGTATTAGCTGGAGCATGATAGAAATAACTAATCGAATTTCACTACATATGTATAAGATTTTAGTAATATATTATTCAGCAATAAGAGTTTACATATCAATTGATGTAGAATGGATACATACCTGTGGCCGATATTTTCGTGATCACTTTGCCAACATCATGTCGACCGTAAAACCACTACACCAAAAAGGGGTCCTCTCATTAGTGAGGGTAATTAACTTGGTATTTATTGGCTGACACATCATTAACTATTATTCATTTGTCATCTATTTACTTCGGAATAGGTTTCCATATCCAATATTTTGGTCTGAAGTTAGTCCTTGGTGAAAGGTCCCAGAGTCTCCGCCGATCTCTTCATCAAGTAAGTATAGTACTCTTCAGAAAGCAGGGCCGATCCATGGTCAATGATGAATTCTAGACGATCCGGTGAAACCTCGATGTTCCCCGTGTCTGTCTCCACCTGGTTCAATGAATAGTTTCCCACAGGCGAGCGATCGATTGGTGGAATGCACTCAACCGCCAGTGCGCCTTTGTAACCAGTTTCCTTGAGAACGGTCATGATTTCGGGCCAGTTAAAGGATCCATCACCGGCAGCATGTCGATTGTTGTCTGCTGCATGGAAGTCGATTATGCGAGAGCCGCACTTTCGCATGGCTTCAAGCATGTCTTTCTCTTCCAACGCCAGATGGAATGGGTCAAAAGCAATTCCGCAATCGTAGCCGACCTCATCTGCAAGGGCCAAGGTCTGGTCGGTTCGGTTTAAAAAATAGGTCTCGAAGCGATTGAGGGGCTCGATTCCAACTCGAATGTTTTTTGTCTTTGCGAATGCTGCTACTTCGCGTAGACCGTGAACAACCCATTTCCATTCCTGTTCTGGTGATGAGGTCGGGACCAATTTTCCAACTCGTGCGGGAACAATTGTCGCGATTTCTCCACCCAATGCGGCCGACAAAGCTACCACATCTTTCATGTACTGCACGGTTTCTTGCCGATGTTTAGAATCCGCCGCTGTAAGATCGCGAGTGCCTTGCATGATAGTCACAGCGCCCCAGCATTTCAAGTTGTATTTTTTCAACAACTGTTTCGTTTCATCGATGGGAAATCGGTTGGGTTCGCCTTCGAGCTCAATGCTAGTATATCCGAGACTACTAAGTCGTTTGAGAGTTGTTTCTAAAGGCTCTGGACGCATCCAAGTATGGGACGAAAGATGCATTTTGTAAATTCTTGATTATGGAATAATAGTCAAGTCGTGTCCTAGTTGAACTGTATCTGCAGTTTTACCCTTGGATAATTTGAAAAATTTCCTCGATGTCTCCCCTCTTATAATGCAAAGGGGCCCAAATATACAGTGACGTTATCTTGCGGAACGTGAAAATCCGTTGATGGATGAATAGTTTCCTGTTCGGTAAGCGGGAGATTGCATTCCGATAGGCGCGCGGAAATTCCTAATCCGCTTAGTCATAGACGGGGTTTCTCTTTCCGCCACTATCCGAATGTATTTTCCCCTTGTTTTCATTCTAGCTTTCCTTTAATAAATGCAAGATAAGGACTGCAAAACTCGCATTAAATTTATTTCTTTGTCTTTCCACTTTCATATTGTTCTTTTCAAGTCTAAATCCTTTTGTTGACCTTGCGATATGTTAGCTGAAGGGTCGCTGGCTTCTAACGGGAAGCGTAAGAAGCGCGTTGGAACTGCCTGTGATTTTTGCCGACAAAGAAAGGTATTTTTTACCCAATGCATAATTTGAGAAAATAAGATCAAGAATCATTGATACCTGTTTTATTGAATTAGTTAGGATGTGATAATGCGAAACCGAAATGCGAAAATTGTCGAACCCAGGGCAAAAGCTGTATATATTCAGAACGCATGAAGAACATTAGGTAGGAATCAAATACTTCGTCAAGCGTATAATGTAAAGTAGTTGCTAACTGTGCATTTAAGACCTACTAATACACAAATCCGGCGTCTGGAAGAAGAAAATGCCCAGCTTCGCAGGTCCCTCGCAAGGACGAGATCGCAGATGAATGTGGAGCGAATGCCAGACACACAGGATCGCCAGCAAAGCATTAGTGTCCACGAGGAGAATAACTCAGTCCATCAGCTTCGTCAGATGCCAGTCTCCCGGTCAGCCCCAGACCAAGATCAAGCCTGTTTTTCAACTGGAGACCGTGAAGTTCAATTCCACGGGCCTTCTAGCGCTATGTTTGATGAATCCAACCAACAGGCGACAGAGAGTTTGACTTCTGGTATAACTGCCGACCCATTGCAAAGGTATCAACTGCTGGGTGCCTGTATAAAACAACGTACGCAGTGCGACCTATCTGAAACTTTCGATACTTTTGCTGAATTCTCTCTTTTTTTTAGGCCAAATGGAACCTATCGATTTGGCTGCAGGCAAGCTTGACTTTGATGGTCTGGACCCAGAATCAGGAATGCATCTTCTGTCAGTTTTCTGGAGTAGACAGCATGCTTCTGGGTCAATTGTCTATAGACCAGCCTTTATGCGCGACATGGCCTGTAATGGCCCATACTTCTCTAAATTACTTTTGAATGCTATATACTTTGTGGCGTCCAAGAACGCAACTATGGAGGAGTTTCGCTGCGAAGTTACCGATGGCCCAGTCAGGATATCGCCATTTAGACAAAGAGCAGAGAAGCTTTTGTACAACAACGAGTCAGGAAATCCATTGAAAGGTGATATCACAACAATTCAAGCTTTGTTGATTATGTCCGATGCGCTTTTTACGTGGTGTGACGAACGAAGTCTTTCATGGTCATATTCTGGACTCGCAATGAATATGATCATCGGACTCGGAATTCACGTTGACAGTCGCATCCCTTCTGCAAAGAATCGGCTTTCCGCAGAAGATATAGAAGTCCGACGTCGACTATTTTGGGCTGCTTTCGGTATTTGTTCACTTTTTAAAGGTCGAAAAGTTTATACTCACTCACTGAACGGTTATATCAGTCGCAGATAAAGTTCAATCAATCTACCAAGGCCGCCCTGTTCGTATACGCGAGGTAGACATCAATGTTCCTATCTTCTTCATGGACGATTATGAAGAACTGGAACAATTCAGCGCACTATCCTACGATCTGGAGGAGTCTCCAATCAGCATTACAACACACAGTGTTTCCGTCTTCGAGCAACTTTGCAAACTCAGCATCATCATGGAAAAGATAATCTCCAGTATTTATACTGAGAAATCCCGTTTGAAAGATCCCAATCACCACCTAGGTGTAGCAAAATCTCTGCACGCAGAGCTAAACCGCTGGCGTAATGCGTTGCCGGATCATTTGATTCCGAAACTGAGCAATCCAAGCAGGCCGTCATTGACACCTCATGCTTTTTCATTGATGTATATCCTTATCATTCCTAGATACTTGATAGAGCCCCATTGCTGACTGTGGAACCATGTAGGTCCGTGTTCCACTCCCTCGTCATATTACTCCATCGCCCATTCGTATCCGATGGACACATTCGTTCAACCTCCGCCTCTGTTGTCCGTGACTCTTTCGCAACATGCGCGACGGCCGCTTCTGAAATTGACGCAACATTACGATTATATCGACAACATTTTTGTATAATGGCAGTACCATATTTCATGTCATACGCTACGTATGTCAGTGCGACAATCCATGTTCGCATCGCGGCGCAGAGCGGACCAGGATCAGAGGCGTATCTTTCTCTACAGCACTGTTTAGATATTTTGTCCTTGCACCAGAACGTATGCCGTGCGCCTCGAAGGGCGAGGCAAATCCTTGTTGGTTTGGCTCGACGATTGAACGTTCAAATCAACGATAAAGGTAGCTTAGGCACGGGGGGTATTCAAAATTGCGGTACTGGAGACAACGTAGATACCATGACCATTCCAAACACCCAGGCTTTTGATAATGGCATTAACTTTATGGGTTCTGATTTAGATATCGATGCTATCATTGAAAGTTTTGACTTTGAACGCTCGGGAATAGCGAATTTTTCTTCGGCTAAACAGTTTGAACAGAATACTTACACTGTATCTGGCGAGAATCAAAATCCATCGAATGATCAAATGTTGCTGGAGTCTGACGAGCTGGGCGGTAGCTCCGAGGAATGGCCGTTTTACGCTCCTCTTTTTGGATTTAGCTCTTTGTGAAAAGCCAATATAGAGTCCTATAACTTTAGAGAATATTTATGTTCATATCCTAGAATTCATCAATCGTAGCGTTTAATTAATGATATTATAATAGTGTCGAATGTTAATCACTGGTTTTGAGATTTGTAAATTACATAGTATCACTCGACATTGAAAATCTCGTGTTTGTCTGGAATATATTCTTGGCTCAAATACATCTATGTATAAATAATGGACATTGAATTTTAATAATCAATGTTCTAAGATAATTGATACTAAACTAGTAAACTTATCACTTGATATGTAGGTAAATGCATAGGATACTAAAAGAAATATTGTTGGAAAAGAACTATCATAGGCTATTAACGGAAAGAAACCGGCAAGTCGACATTATTACACTTTCATTATACATGCTTCCTTCGTCAAACAGTAAAAAATGCTATCTAGGCCTTGAAAGCAAATCGTTCGTAGACCACTTGCTCAAAAGTACGTATCAGTTCCCGAATTTGGTTGTCCGCGTTTGGCAAGACTTGGGTTCCAAAGATTCCGCATACTCCAGCTTCGCGATCCATAAACTACATTCAATATCAGTATCAATCCCGGCCACTATGGTTAGAATATTGAGAAGACTTACCCAGAATAAATTAGGCATTCCGCTCCAGAACAGATATCCCTTTCTTCTCCACGTTAAGGATCCAGCATCAACATCCTCCAAGCTAAGCATACCACCTAGCCCAAAATCATATTTCACCTGCGGAAACTCGCCGATAAATGGTGGCGCACCTCCTGATTGACCTTTGGGAATGTGGTCGAATAGGGATTGTAGAGACTTTTGCGATGCTGGGGTGAGTTGTGGTTTGAACATCATCTCAGCAGTCTCCGGCTTCAAAATCTTCCCGTCGTCTGCAAGAATGCTGTGCAGGACTTTGATGTAGGACTGCATTGATGTTGCAAGGCCTGCGCCACCAAGCTCTTCGCTTACTGCATCCAACCATCCCGACGACCCATTATCTGGGACTACTTTGCCTTTGCCATCTGGGACGGATGGATCTCTCAAAACTGGCGTCACTAATCGGGATTTGAGGTTTGGCTTGTCATTCACGAAAAATGTCATGTCGTTGATTTCGAGGGGTTTAGCGATGTTCTGCTGAATGAATTCTTCTAGACTCGTTCCACTCAGACGGGCGACAACTGCACCAGCCCAGTCAATAGCAGCCGAGTACTCCCAAGCTGTTCCAGGCTGGTAGACAAGTGGAGCAGAATAGCTGTCTTTAATGGTTGTGAAGGGCGGAAATGGCGCTTCGCCTTGAGATTGGTTGTATTTCTGGAGAAGCGGAGACAAGAAAGCATAGGAGATTCCGGATGAATGAGACAGCAGTAGTCTACAATACAGTTAGCCATTTAATCTAATGATCTTTCGTCTAGGCACTATGCCTACCGTAGAGTAATTTTTCCTTTCCGCTCTTCAAACACCGGCTCACTGCCGTTCATTCCAGTTAGCACTTTCAAAGCGCCAACCTCTGGAAGAATGTGAGATACGTCGTCGTCAAGGCCAATCAAACCCCTTTCGACAACTTGTAAAGCTGCAATGCTAGTAATAAGCTTGCTAGCGCTGTACAGCCTCATCATGTCATCGGCGGCTATGGGTTCTGCATCTTTGTCGAGCGATCGTCGTCCAAAGGACTTGGAAAAGACGATCCCGTTGTCCTTAGTCGCTGCGTACAAAACGGCGCCGGCGATGACGCCGTCGCTGACTGCCTTTTCAAAAGTGGTTTCGATAGAAGAGGCCATTCTCATGAGATTTATTTGTTGGCGATTTGAGAACTTTATATTGCACTTCTTAGCTCGAAGATAGAATTAATAGAAGACTGGATAGTTTTTCTTTGTTTAGAAATTATTCTGCAAGGGGTAGTCTACTGGTGTTATATACTACTTTGTCCAGGTGCCAAGTTGCTATATCAAACCAGCATCAAGATACTGCGGAAAGTCAAAACCCGCGAATTTGTATAGTATTTGAGATATGACGCCAAAATATTGATGATTTTCAATTTGTATGATGCCGACGCGGAAGATTTGTTCCGTTGAACCGGCGAGTGCGGAAAGTCTTGTTCCGCATACCTCCACAAACCAACATTACCTTTGAAATTGGGGGATAATTGGTTTGTAACAGAATTTTGGATATTTCTAAGTTTTTTTATTATTTTCTATGCGCCGGTCATCAATTTTTCCACAACTTGGAAAGCGGAACAATAGTAAATAACTCGATACCCACCATTTAAATGCGGGGAAATCTGTTAAAAATAACAATAATAAAAAGATCCGCGACTAATATTTTAGCGCTAATGACTGAATGTCCATATCTTAAACCTTCGAGCACCTTAAGACTGGCTAAAACTCATGTATGATGCATGCATCCAAGAAAAATACGCCGTGCAAGAAGTTTTGGAGTTTCTATGTTTGTTTGCGTTGGTTCGCAAAGGTGAGCATTATACCGATAACGACGCCAAACAATCCAGACCGTATTCGAGACTAGCGTAGAATAAGTAGAGGGGTGTACAATGAAGTATTATTAATAGTCCGGAATATTATTCAATTTTGGGCAATGTACTCCCAATTGACATTGGTTGATTGACTGGACAGAACGAATTTGATTATGGGGTTTCAATGTTTGACCTTGATAGCGAAAACAACTTTCCTCTCTGTGTGTTTGCATATGTATATAACTGCTCCATTAATTAAATCTATGCATTTTATGCAATCTAGCAACCGCTGACAAAACATTCTCAGCTGCTATAGTTAGGTGTTGAGTCCTCATCTCGACGCCAGCGGTGTATAAGCACTACCCCGCATCCTTTGTTTAGCATTTTGCTCTCGAGAAAAATTTCAACACATCTCACCTTCATTCCTACACCACATTCTTTACTCCTACCAACAACATGCATCAACTCCAGGGCGGAAAACCCGATCTGATCAAACAGCTGCACAAGGATCTCGCACGAAAATGGCGGGTACATGGGTCACGGGTAACGCAAATTTGGCGTTCGCTGAAGCAAGTGCAGCGTGAGAAGGCAATCCGAGCCGGCGCTGCACGGCGAGAGGTTCTAAAAGACCCAACCGACACGTCACTGGGGAGCATTTACAAACTCATACCCGAGTGGAACATCCGCGATCTCACGAAGCTTGGGTCGGATTACCTTCTTGATATTTTGAGGCACCGTGCCACCACCTCCCTATGCGAGCAGTACGCCGAAGGTGCAAATGGGGAGCCGGGTGACGCCCCGTTTATTTTCAATAGTATGGAGGTTAATAACCTCCGTCATGTGAATGAGTTCAAACATTGCTTTACTCTGTTTATGGACGAGGATACATTCGGAAAATCTTATAGCGCGAAAGATGCCGCGGCTTACCGTAAGACATTGTCTGATTTATCGTTCGCTGTGGAAAAAGGAGTTCTTGTCCCGCAGTCAACCGGAGAGTTAATATTGGAGAGATTGATGTATCTTTTGCAGGGGCTCAATATTGTGATTGAGGATATTCTCGAGGCTGGCGCGTCCGAGTCGCAAAAGGCAAAACCAGCTGCGAAAAAGTCCGAGGAAGCCACACGTGCTGCACTTTCAAATCTTTCACTTGGTCCAAAACAAGAGAAGCCTTCTTTGCTAAGCACAATTAATAGTGCGCTAGATCAAAAGATCTGTCTTGAGGAATATCTGCAGTTGTGCCGCACATCGCCAAGTTTTCTTGCGAGTGCTGTCAACTATTGGTTTTATAGTAGGCCAGAGATGATTCCAGACGAAAAGGGCCGGGTTATCCCAACGACCACAGATAAATACATCAGTATATCAGTATTCGAAGCTATTCATAATGCTATCACTGTTGCTGCGACTTGGGACTTCATCTATCAGCTGCTCCAGATTGTCGAGAAGAATCCCCAGAATCAGCTCTACAAAACCATCCTTCTGCAAGAGCTGTCAAACGTCTGCAACTTTGAATTCGAGCGCGTTCTGAAGCAATTCAAGCGTTATGTACAAATACACTATGGCCAAAAGCATTTCAAACGCATCTCAGGCGTATACGACAACGGGGTTGCACGGGTGAATCTGAAGACCAAGCCCGAAAGCATTATGATGCAAAACCCACAGCTTCATCACAAACTCCGTCTCTGCCAGCCGAAGACTGATGTGACTGCGGCTGTAACCTGGATTCAGAAGCTAGACGACCTGCATCGATCTCATCCGGATACGGAAATTGAAATGCTAGGTTCGGAATCTGAAGCCTTTGGCGATATAGCCGTGACTGCAGTATTCATTCAATCATTATCAAGAGCTGTTTCCTTGCCTCCTGCATCTGCTAAGAGAGGGCAGATGTATATTTCAAGGTTAAAAGCCCTGATGGCTGAACTTGATCTACTAAAGACGGAGGTCGACCTCGCCGATTTTGCGGCTCCAATCGATGGTCTCACGGAGCCGGGCATGGCTGAAGAGGCATTGAAAACTCTAGACAAATTTACTCGCGAAAAGACGGGCACTCAAATCGGATTCCTCTATGAGGATCTGAATGACCGCTGTTTAGCCGATCTCGAAACATATTACAAGTCGATCAAGGAATCATCCGGACAGCAGCCGAAAGTCGAAACATCCTGGCCACCACTAGACGGTGAAGCTGTACCTAAAAGCTTACTGGTCCAACAACGAAAGGAAAAGAGCAAAACGCGCCCACCACATTCATCCGTGTACAACATCAACCCGGACACCACAGGCTCAGACACCGAGACCGAAAACGAGGTCCCCCCACCACCAGTCTTCAAAGTCAAGCAACAGACGGCCGAGGTTTTCTCTACGTTATTTTCCAAGGCGGATTTGCGAGGCTCAGTCAACTGGGATGCGTTTACAGGCGCGATGGCAGATTTGAAATTCTCCGTTATGCCTAGATACGGTTCTGTTTTCGCATTTTATCCCTCGGAGGATATGAATGTGCAGCAGTCATTCACGGTTCATAGACCCCATCAGTCCCGAATTGAGGGACATATACTGCTTAGGTTTGCGGGGAGGCTGAAGCGGCTTTATGGGTGGGATGAGAAGTCGTTTCAAGTAGTGTGATAGGTCAGAAGCAAAGATGATGTGATACATGCATCCTAGTTGATTAAATCCGGTCTTAGGATTCTATTATAGCTAGTGAACCAGAATTTTTTACGCGGAGTTTTTTGAGTAGCTGTTTCACAACATCCGTGTTGTGTAACCATGGAATCATAGTTATAATTAATAAAAAATCTTGAACTTGTTTTTCATATATGCACGGCATATTGCCATAGTTTACTTTATTATTCTCTTACACTAGTTATTACCAAAATATTACTATGATAGAAAATATGACATCTCTTACAATACGACAAAGTAGACGTTTGCCATACCAATAGTTGAACGGAACTATAACTAGGTCACACGCATACGCACGGTCAACTAGCGACAACTTTCAAATTCCTGTTTATATCCGAGATTATATTCGTATTCCCTATGCGTAAGTTGATGATCAGAGGTCCGTAATAACAATCAGCTTACATATAGCTTGCCCCATCTATACATTACAATCTACAAAAAACCTACCTCATCACAACATGCATCACCCCCCTTCTCCCTACTCTTCTTCCTTCCTCTTCTCCTCCTCCCCCAACACATCCTCTCCGCAATCCCCGACTCATATCAACAATGGGAATCCGAATTCCCCACCTGTGCATGGCCATGTCTGGATAGTTACTACGATTCGCAAATAGCTAACAAATGCGGCAGCAGCGCGAAGAGCAGTAATAATCCGGTAGACGTGGAATGCATTTGTCGCGCGAATGACGGTGACAACAGCACGGATACGGCAGCAGCAGCAAAGGCGTTTGAGACGTGTTTGGCGACTCGGTGTGCGGAAAGTAATAATCCGACTGTTTTCTCGGATGCTGTGGGTGATAGTACGTGTGTCATAGTAAGAGAGGATTGCGGGATGATGCGGTTGACTGTGATGTAGTTGTGCCAATGTGTCAGTGGGCGGATCGTGCGACGGGGAGGAAGCAAGGTGAGGTATCTCCCTGGATGGTGTTGAGGGGATAGTATAATGATTGATGCTGGGATAGGTACGGCGTCGCTGGAATCAGTTAGTCTGTGGGTTGGTGCTGGCTGTTTGGTCGTGGCCGGGGTGTTTCTGGTTTAGCTGGCAATCAGTCAAGGTGTATGTCCTCATTACCCCGAGAGAGGCATGTTTTCTATACTAGGGTATGCTTCGGCAGATACGAGCATGAATTTCAAGACATCACGCGACCATCCATCCATCGTACAGTCGTTAACCGTGTCGCACGCGAGTATCTGTCGGGTTCCAGGCCTTGTACCACAGCACCAACGAGATGCGACAGCGCATATATATAACTAGGATTGAACGTGACAGAGCCAGGATGAGCGATGTAGTCGCAACAAGCTGTCCGGCCCAGATGGAGATCGCCCGAACAAACGATGGAAGGTGCGGCTGACAGGGGACATCAGATTTTAGCCTACACAACGCGCGTCGGCCGCAGTATTTCTCCCCACACAACGGACACTTAATTTTCTCCTCACTCGCTGAGTATTGAACATTGATCCGAATATTCTTTTTTTAGAAAGAATAGTGACTTGCTGGCCTGGGGATTCGACAGTGGTATATATTTTAGCATAGGCCCCTCTTGGCCTGTTCGCATGTAGTTGGTCAGACCCGGATGCTCGCGGAAACCAAACACACATATCATGCCCCACGCCTGAATAAAACCTGCCAGATCCCCGGAATGTGATGCATTTTGTTTCAGTATTGTCATCAGTCCTTGCTTGGATGGTATAAGGAATGGTTTATTCTGACCCTTGAACTTGTCTCTTCGAAGGTGGTTGCAATGAGAGGGTCGCTGATGAGTCTAGAGTCGCGATTGCAAACATGCAATCGCTGATTCTAGATCGCGTGATAACATGCGAATAATTAAAGCGACAAGGGAAGCGATAAATGCACCTACCGTGAATATCTTACTTACGGGGATTTGATCTACCTACCTACTGCCAGAATGTGATACCGACTTAAGACTGTCCCATGATCGACTTTATACCAACAATCATCACCTGAATACTGGCCGCACATTGGTCGACCGGGAGAAACAAGCAGACTTGAGAAAGTATCGCCAGGCGAATTCACTGGCGTTTGCTTCTGTTGCAGCAGATGAAATGAAAAGGTGTGTCAATGACCATGGAACAAGCTGAATCGATAGTTTCGATTTTTTAAATTGAATTTGTTGACACAGGGTGACGCTAACAACTATATAGCAATTGCGGTCTGTGTCCGCTGGACGGCATCTCGGCGTGTTGAGAGACAGTTAAAAGATAGATATGTCATTGCCAAATCCCAAAAATGTCTAGCCTACTGTCACGATCTCGCAGATTGATGCAGGAAATTATACGACATAGAAGTGGATGGATGACATTTTAACATCCTTGGCTACGAGATCAAGGACTCGCCCAGGACGGCCAATGCGCGAGGCCTAACCACTATCCTCTTCTTTATACGACCACACGCAGGGACTAGTGTACGCGAGATTCCCATATACTCAAGAATACTACGACTCGTCTAGCTCAGGGCTATGCCGGTACCGTTTACGAATGAAAGTCACGACACGATAAGACCAGATCTTGCGACGTCCCATTAATTTCTAGCTATCGGGAATGGCGGGGCCACTTCTGTACGCCTGTATTCCGTCATCGCAGCACAAGGGCTGGGCTCGGACTGGGATTCGCTGTGCGGCCAGAGTCGGAGGATCGGAGAAGCGTCGGCTTCTGGGATTGTTCTCGCTGTGGAAAATGGCTGCTTGGCAGCGCTTGCTCTTGTGATCGCAGATATCGTTCAGTGTTGAATATTAACCGTGATTTTAATATTTATCACGGTCTCATTAAGGTGGTCAACTTCAACGACGGCGGACCAATCGTCATTCCGGAACAGCACCACGGGCCTGAGATCCGCCGCGGCTAGCCCACATGCGGCAAAGGGACCAGCATTCAAGCCACGGCCAATTCGCGGTGTGCATGGACCGTTGTCATCTCACTCATTATTCTGTTCTGTAGAGCTCGATGCTGCTCTCCTGCGAGGTCGATGGCGAAGAGCGCTCAGTATCTACTGATCCAGACAATCAGCTATGCGAGGATGAGCATTGTGTATAGTGTATACAATGCAGACTGGACATGGGATGGTACAGGTTGGAATAGGGCATGGACTTGTGATCGTCGAATATCCCATGGTTCGCCGCGCTAAGAGCGCTGTCCGTTGTGTCCATCCTTTGTAGCCGCTCTTGACACCACGCTCGAGAGGGTATCGCACGCCCATGTGCCGCATCGCGCCCTCTCAGTGGTCTGCCTCCAGAGCTATACAATTGAGCCATCGTGACCTTCATATCATGCCGGCCTGAGATGATATACACTCGCTCATCTGCAAATTTGTCCTAGACGACTCTAACCTAAGCAGGGTCGGTCACGCACACGAACCTCACTTGGAGCCCCGCTGCCATCTCGAGCTATGAATTCGGACCTGCCATTTGACTGGATCCCCGTTGAGGATCGCATCCTCGGGGTGGCAGTGGGTCACAAGCCTCAGAAGAAGCTCGAGGGGCATGTTTCAAGCCGCTAGCTCCTGGCAATTATTGTCATGATTCTTTCTTAATCCAGCTACCCCATTTCTCCTTTTCGTCCTGCTCAATATCACGTTTTTCTTTGCGATTGAAGGACTGTGTGACATCTGCGAAAGCATCGACGCAAAATGTTGAAATGGCTGTCGAGATGTGTGCCGGGGTTGAGCCTGCTGTTCCTCGTATGCTTGCTCGCGCTGGCATTTCCGGAGGCCACAACTTGGATTGCGTATCTTCCATACCCTGGAAAAGGGCCAGTCGTGCCACCTTCTCAGGATGACCGACAGAAGCGCAAGTTAGCCCTCTCGCTCGCCCAGAAATTCTTCATCGGCTACACCGTTTTGATTCATTGCAATGCCTTGACCTTCACCTTGCGGCTGGGCTGGGCACTTTCACAGATGGTCAAGCAAACTCGTGCCCTGCTTCGTCGTCGTCCTGCTACCAAGTCTTTTGCTAGCCCTAGCGGATCCAATTCACCGCTGCTTTCCGACAGCCCGACTCTCAGTCCCAGCTCGACGTCTGAACTAGACCCGAAGAGCTTCGATCTCGGATCGCTGGAAGAAGGTGAGGATGGGGAGGTTGTGCATGCCATCATCTTGCCAAACTACTCCGAGGATTTGGACACATTGCAGACAACCCTGAAAGTACTTGCCAGCCATCCGCGGGCTGCCACCCAATACGAGGTACTGCTTCCAAGGTCCAATATCTATATTCAGCACTAACAAAATCAGATTTTTCTTGCTATGGAGCAGAAAGAGCTTAAAGCCCCTGAAAAGGCGGTCACTCTGATTTCGTCCTTCCAAGGTCATTTTAAAGACATCTGCAGCACCTTCCACCCGGCAGGCTTAACGGGGGAAATCAGCGGAAAGAGTTCGAACGTCGCCTGGGCTGCCAAACATATCGTACAAACGCATCGATCTGACGAGCAAAGCGTTGACCCAAGAGATGTCATCATCACTGTCATGGATGGTAAGAGTTTGATTACTACGCCTTTGAATTAGAAAACTGCTCACTCATCACTAGCCGACACACATCTTGCACAGGATTACTTTAATGAAATCCGTCGCCTGCATTGGCTTCATAACACCGTTGCCGATCACGCCTTCTACGCTTCGCCCATCATTTTTGACCGCAACTCGAACAATGTCCCTGTTCTGGTGCGCTGTGCCGATCTTTTATGGGCATTCGCTGGTTTATCTGCCATGTACCCTGGTTGTCCTATTGTTATCCCGACCTCGGTCTACTCTCTCCCCTTGTCGCTGGCTGAAAAAGTTGGCGGCTGGGATGGCGACCCGACCGCAATCGGTGAAGACATGCACATGCTCCTCAAGTGCTATTTCGAAACTGGCGGTGACGTCGTGACTCATGTTGTTTTTAGCCCGGCTAGCCAATGCAATATTCAAAGCAGTGGCGATGGCAACTGGGGTCCGTACTCTTCAACCCTTCTCGCGCGATACCGACAAGCCTTGCGCCATATGTGGGGAGCCCTAGACACCGGTTACTCCGTCCGCCAGAGTATGGGCATCGCCAACAAGAAATCCCAACGACTTAGCCTGAAGCCCCGTCACATTGCACTCTGCCATCTACTATTCGAAGCCCACTTCCTCCCTTGCCATCTCACCATCCTACTCATCTTCTCCGCCATCTACACCACCTACACTGACCCCTCCGAAATCCACCCCACAATCGCCTGGGCATTCTACATCACTGGTGTCATCCGTGGCGTCTCCTTCGTCTCCATGAATCTGTGCATCGCGCTCTACGACCGCTGGCACTCTCTCTGCGTCACCACTCGTGCGCGCGACATGGCCAAAGCCGGGCTAAGCGACACTGGCTTCTCCTTCCGCGTCTGGTACCGCCCACAACAATTACTGGAACGAATTGCATTCCCTGTCGCCGGCACAATCTTCGGGTCTATCCCCGCGATCCACGCCGAAATGTCGCATTTCTGGACCGACCGGTTGGTGTATCGGGTGAGCAAGAAACCCAGCTTTTCATCGCCGATCAACACACCCGAGATTCTGCCGTTGTAAAGGTCGGAAATATTGTATAGGGTGTGATTTTACTACTGGAATTATTGTTCCGGCTGGACTTGTTTTTGGTGCGATTGGAATGCTTTCAGGATAGGATACCTACCATGCATGTATGTGTGTGTGCTCCCGGCTTCGGATAGGTGCTGTATTCAGCACTGGCATGCATTTATAGATTTATGGGTTACGAGAGTACTTAATAATGTTAATACCAGCATAGATCAATTTGACTGATAAAGGAAAGACCTCCTGACGCACGTAGTTGCATCTACTCCAAAAGACGAAACAAGGTCAGGGAGTCCACGGAAGATCTAATCCAGCTCTCCAGAATAGGAGTCAAGCTTGCCCTTCGATTAAAAGATGACCTTGCACGCTAATACACTAAGAAGACCATTGCTAGCTGGGCCGCAAAATGACCCCAAGTCTACGGGTTCACACCTCCTGAGAATACCTGGTCTTAGGAAGACTTAACTTCTGTCTTTCTCGGACAAGCCCAAATCTGCACAATGGCCCACTAATAAATGCTATTGTGAGGCCTTGTGAGTACCACGGGAAACTATAGAATCAACCAATGGGTACGGCGCCTCTCTCAATTATACTGATTCCAAGGCATACTTTCAAGATATTATTATCTCTCGATCAATATTATTTCTGCACTAAAACGTATATATATTCTCGTGTATTTTGGCGTCTATCTAATTCAAAGAAGTCATTATTTTGGATCATCAAGCTGATTGTGCAATCTACTATAAACAATCATGTAAGAGGTTTTCGAAAATAATGAATCGGCCCCAACAAACTTAAATGCTCCATGAGTAGAGAAAATGTGGAATTCTAGATAGCTCAACTTCAATTGCTAGATAACTCGGGCTTAGTCGACGCAAGAAATCCCTTATATTCAAGGGTATTGAAAACAATTGAATCTACATTTTTCGTTTATCTGATAATATATGATAATATTCACAGGAAGTTTCTTTGATATCTATAGGTTGTTGTCACCTATAATGTACGGACAGTGTATAAAGCTAATCATTTGTTATGGAAATGTGGCAATTAAAGGATATGTGCTTCCCACCTTATGGGCATTTTAGAGATCTTTCATATTCTTGGAAGTCTTTGAGAAAGACTAGATGTGAAGAATAATGAGTGCTATAGTTTCATTAATCTTATTATGTTAGAGCTATCATTTCCGCAGGCGATATACAATCACTCTGGAGCGACATGTTTGAATTGTCAAATAAGTTGGATTGAAGGCCGTAATGCTATAATTCATATTCAAAATTGCAGATTGTGTCAGTCAAATCTTAGTTTTGCAATTAGTGGGCACCGCCCGATGACTTCTTTAATCTTCGTTTGCATTTGCCTGCTTCACTTACCCCTGACCTTTCAAATCCTTTTCTCTATTCCTTGAACTAGGGCCTTATGGCTTTTGGAGTATTCCAAAGCACATGATTTAATCCTGGATAAGGTAAATTCTATTCAAATAGGTTTCAAATCTATTTGCTCACGGTTTGAAATACAGAGATCAGATGAAATTTTGGACGAAGGCCTCAGATGAATTTCCTTCCACACACGAAGTCAAAATTAGACATCCATCACTATTTTCTCCAGCGAGCTCACTCTCAACAAAGAAAGAAAGAAATTTGACCCCAGCCACAGAGTATCCCAAGGGCTCATCTTCATCCATAGTGACTGCTATACTTGATACTATCATGGACTCCCTAACGCCAGAATCCGACCATTCGTCTTCCCGCGCAAGGATAGAATTCGTCGACCTTATTGCTGGCCCTCGCATACTATTCCGCAACATGCCATTTAACCTAGGCGTGCTCATTACCGAAAATGGCGAATTAATTTGCAGTGCCGCACACGTAAACCTTGCACTGTACGTTCATTTCAGTGGCGGCGAGTACGCGAAAGAATCGGGACGATACACTCTGGAAGTGGGTGGGACAGATCCAGCTACGCACTACGTCTTTAAAGATCTCAATCTGAATGAACTGCCGCCGCTTATGCTGCGATCGCCGGAAATGGAGATTCGGTTCAGAGTGTGTTTGATGGCGGAGATGGTGATAGAGGCGGTGTTGGCACCTTATCGACTGGTTAAGGATTCAGAGTATGCGCAAATGTATACGAGGATCTCGGATGGTGATATTTGGATGGATATGATGACTGGTAAGGAAGGTCTAGTTGACTTGGAGATTACTAAGGGTACGGAGTATGAGAGCGACGATGGTTTTTTTGGCCGAAATGTTATGGGGGTAGGCAAAGAATTGATTGACTGGGCATTGGAAGTGTAATACGATTTAATAGTTTTATTCTCGGTCTGTTTGGTTCCTGAGGGAGGATAGTGCAACGGCAGTGATGATTATGGGTTACGATTTGACGACTTCACTTGGCAGGGTTATCGAAAGAAGTTGAACGGTCATACGGGCGAGGTTCTTTTTAGGAGCATTTTAAAAACTATTTCAGATCAAAAAGAGCTTTCCAGCAAGGAGCCTTTTCTAGTCTTGAGCTTACAAGGTTACTAAGTAGACTATGTTTCTACCCTATAAGAGGCTTGTCCCAACCCCATGAAAGCTCCAATCCTACCAGCTATGCCAATATGTCATATATGTTACAAGTTTGAATATGGTATTAAGATTTCTGCCTTTCATCTTCATTTACACCAGGTTATATCGAATCTATTAGGTGCCTCGAGCACCCCACTTTGGAAAAGGCACGCCGACAAATACTACCCAGGTAGCTTAGTTGTTAAATCTCACTATATTTTTCTGGTCACTCGCACTCTCCCACAAGATCCAATTTAGACTTCTTGAGAACCTCCCATATATAATACCAAAGGTTGAAAGACCATTAATATTGATATGGAGAGGGCTCCTATACCTCATCCCATCGATTTGATATTTTATTATATTAGATTCGCAGTAGACCTGGCCGAAGGCAGCAATGTCGTCGTGAATGATATGCCTAGCCACTCGGTCACGTGTAGTGCAAACGCCATTATTTAAAATTTCCCACCCCTCCTTCTTGTATTTCTCCCCAGTCCAACTTTCAACTCTATTGCTAATCAAATTCCACGTTTTGAAAACAGTAATATCCGCGCTATAAGTACAAAACCTCGTATCACCTAGTCATCTGCTTTGTCAAATCGCTTTCATCATTTCAACCTGCGGGACCTGAGTCGATGCTTTCGGCAAGTTTCAATTAATACACCACACCCATCTCATCCGTATATAAAAACAACAGCATGTGTCCTGGTAATATCCAGGGCGGTGTGTGGTTAGACCCGCGGCACCAAGAATGGAATATCCTGGTTCCTGGCCTCAAACAGAGGCTTGTAGTTCGACAACTATATTCTAGAGACCTATGCAAAACTCGTATTCTGTTCCAGCCGGAAAATCAGTGGAGTGCGTGGTATAGACTCGTCAGGAACCACACCCCAGAGCCAGCAATTCGTTCATTACCTCATTCTCCGCGAAAACTGACGAGGTTTGAACTCCTTCCCACAGAAATATTATTAATGGTTATCAATGATGCTTCGCTATCTGATGAAGATCTCATGAGCATTGGTCTAACCTCACCGATCTTCTGGTATTGGATCATCCATTATATCTGGAAGGATACGAACAGAGAGATCTGGTCTTTAGCGAATCTTCCGATCGCTTGTACGGGCAGTTACCTCGAAGATCTGCCAAAAGGGTTCGTGGAGAACGACCTTCTCGTCAACTCCGTCCTGAACGATATATGTCTCTGCTCTAGTGCACCTTTTGAACGAAAGGCCAATTGGGCTGCTTTCACTACATATCAACCTATGAAACCAACAAGTTACATGAGGTGGACGATGGCATTCAACGGTAGTCTTTCAAGGGGCGCTGGTATACCTGCCAAAATGTTGAAAAAGCTGAGAAATGATTTGTCATCCGCTTGCTCACCATCTCGGGTTGAGAAGGGCGCCAAGAAGACTTGGGTTCTTCGAAACCTTACTGAGAAGGAATACCTACGCTGCAAACCCCCTCGGAATAGCCTTAAAAATAGCTCTGCGTATGTGGACGAGGAAGCCCTACGTATCAGCATCGACGACATTCTGTTACTCAAGATAATCTGGACACGTTTTCCTCCATTCGGATATCGTAAAGGCTTAATTTTACATCATCCTTGGGCTGCTCATGCCTTTGATATTATTGATTTGGATCCGCGTGAAAAAGATGAACTTGATCGGGATCAGTCTTGGAAGGATATTACGAACGATATAATTAAGGAAATGGGAAATGCTGCAAATTTGACTCTTCGTGATGGCGCTACGAGCCTTATCAGATAGGCCATCGATGCACATACCGCGGTAGGTACAGCTGGGTCAAAAACGTGTAAATTGAAATGCCTCACACAACACCTCCTGGATATCATTATGACAATATTAAAATAAGCTTTTATTCCAACTTAACCCGACCAAACTCATAACGTGTGAAAATCCTTTCTTTCAACCCGAATCTGCAACTGGGTAGTCTTGACAATGTTATTATTATGTCCCTCAGCAACAACATCGTCATCTACCAGTCGACAGCTGCTCATGATTTGGCTGGTCGGCCTTTCCGGTTCCTGCAACTCGTTCCATCTATCGTTCTCGATACGTGAGCCGTGCAAATTATACCCTTGCCTAGAGTTGTATCTGTTGGTTCCGTAATTATACGATCGGTACGACCTATTATAAGTTGCCATCCGAATGCAAGGGAAAATCCCCGATATAATAGGCTGCAGAGCGGGCAAGCATGCACATATAATTCCGAGGTTCGATTCGATTATTGTCCAAATTGATGATGAGATGCTATTCCATGTTATATCGTGGTGTGAAGTGGCAATATTCAGGCTGCTGAGGCGTAGGATCGAGGTTATGCAGACACTTTACTCAAATTAGCCGATCGGGCTAGATACTCTTTGATAGTGAACGTACAATATGCCAACTGCAAAAATCCCACACAACAATATCTTCTGTTGCGTCGGGAGCTGAAGTTTGACGATGACAGGTATAGGCAGAAAAATCAAGACTAGGTCGCTGAGGATATTGAACCCGGCATTCAAATACCAAAATGTAGTCATGTTGATACAAGTTCCCTCCTTGCTATGGTCAAAAGCACGCGCAACGGGCGTACACTGGAAGATACTTGACATGACCGTTCCAATGGTGAAGGCGATGACAATGGCGAGGCATATTTGACACGTTCTTTGGAACCACCGCGTCACGAAAATTCTGAGGTATAGAAAAAGAATGCTGGTTTTTGTCAAACCGAGGTTGACCTTGTATAGGAGCTGTGCAACAAAGTAGACCTACAAGACAAGTTTGTCAGATATTGTCTCAGAATAGACAGTCCACGCGTGGAGGGTCTTCCTTACCTTGAGGGTCTTGGCAATTATTTGTTTATCTTCTATCTGGTCGATGTGCTTTCCAAACGCGCCCTCGCAAACTGGTAAACAACGTCAGTGTTCGTAACCTCGTTTTCAGAGTTGGAATTCGATACTAAGAAGCATCTGAATTGAGACCACCTCGGCAATCATCTATATACAGTAAGTCTCTGTGCGACAGGAATCGACATCAACCAATTAAGTTAAAGCTTACCGAGGAGACGATGATTACCCAGTCATCAAGTCCCAAAATCCCTGAGAACCATTTCCGCGACACGAATCTGGCCAAAACGACAAGTGGTGTCACAACAGCAAAGACTATTGACGGATATACCAGTTTGTCAGAAATATCGGGTATATCGCCATAGTGGCTTAGAAGCGGCATCCCAGTATCTTCTCTAGGTCGGTTCGCTTATATCAGCACACGTGAGGCATATCTCTATCTAGATGGTGAGATGGAGATCTTGATAAATAATAACATTAATCATGAACGGAGGGAAGGGTTTCCGCCTCCTAGAAAAAGAAGTGTTGTGAATTTACATTCTTAAGGAAAAGCTGATCCCCTGGCTGTCTTGGATTATTAATTTTATTTAATTGGGCACTCAAGCATACCCTTGACAATCGCATCGTGCTGGTCAAGTAGAACGTTGCATCACATTGTTGGCACGTAGATTATCCGACTTCTTGTTGCTGTGCCGCAAATACATCATAATTTTCGCGATATTTTGAACTTAAAATTTCCACCCGCCTGAATTTCATGGATCAAGTGTAACCGAGATAAATTGGCATCCATTTAGCTCATAAAGTAAGAGGGAACTAACAACACGACGCGTGATTTTGTGGTCACCATCAAGTGAGCCGAGGAAACCCTCGATGGGAATCGGGTCAATCTATCGGATTTCTGGTTGGTTCAATACTTGGTTTGTTAAATTACCAAGTCAAGCGTATATTGCTACACTAATTACAGCCAGTGGGGATTGTCGCTGGTATTGGATGAGCCTGCATCGCTTGTAAATATTTCCTTTTTCTGTGCTACTCTTGGATTAAGAGGTTTGACATCGGTCAGGACGGTGTTGGGTGAATTCGGATTGGGAGAGCACAAGATAGTATGAAACCGTGAGCATATTTCTCTATCGATCTGTGTCTGTATGAAGTGATGGTACTACTCAAAACATCTCACTCAACGTTCATGAAAGCAGTAATCCCCGCCAATAACACGCAAATCGGGGGTTCAACGGATCAGGCAAAAACAGATGCGGCGCAGCACTAGCCAGCAAGGGTCCACGGAGCGCTTTCCGCTTTGATGCTCTTAGCAAGGATTATGATGTTGCAGTTTCATATAGCTAGCTGCATGATCCAAACGGCCTTCCATTTCTAGACCTCATAGGCCGGCCTACTAAACCGTTTCTTCCATCGGCTCGGTTCCCCGCGCGGAAGAAAATTACACAGGTTTTTTTTTCCCTGATAGACTTGTCCATGCTTAATTTTTACTAGGCAAAAACTTTTCGTTCCAACTGGCTGGGCCTTTAAAACAGATATGGACTGAGTCGGGGTTTATTTTCTTTATTCCCTATTGCTTGCATCACGCTGTTTTGTTGGGAGTCCTTGATTTGCAGTCCAAAAATTGTTGAAAATGGACATAGGTACCAAACAGCCAGATCAGGAAACTAAGGACCATGATGGTGATCTAGAATTCTCCCAGCGTTTCACCGAAGATCCTGTTCTCATCAGAGCTATCCTGCGCAAAATTGACCTCCACCTCATGGTACCGCTGTGGATAATTTTCGCATTTGGTTTCCTCGATCGCATCAATCTGGGGAATGTGGCGGTACTCGGGATTGTCCCGGAATTGAAGCTGGGCAAGAATGGCCTCAATATCGCTCTGCAGGTGTTCTTCGTGCCCTATATTCTTTTCGACATCCCCAGTAATATCCTGCTCAAGAAATTCCGCCCGTCAACGTGGATTAGCATTCTGACATTTTCATGGGGTATGCTTAATGTTTTATTTTTTTGGGCTGTAAATATGCTGACACCAGTTTCAGGTATTATGTGTATGTGCCAGGGGTTTGTCAAGAGTAAAGGAGGTCTCATTGCTTGTCGGTTCCTCCTCGGCGTATTCGAGGCAGGTTTCGTGCCAGGATGTGCGTATCTCATGTCCATGTATTACCGCCGTTATGACTTCCAGAAAAGGTTTTCCTTGTTCTGGGTCGCTGGTCTGATTGCAGGAGCTTTTGGTGGCCTTCTTGCCTACGCTTTGTATCATATGAACGGGTTGAGCGGCTACTCTGGCTGGCGATGGATTTTCATCATTGAAGGGCTACTTGCTATCGCTGTTGCGCTGCCAGCCAAATTCCTCATCGCGGACTGGCCGGATGAAGCTAAATTCCTTACGATTGAAGAAAAAGAATATCTTCAGCAAATCCAGTCAAACGATATCAGCACCGGAGAGACAGGAGTGGCGCAGATGAACCGTCTGGACGCTGCCGCCTGGAAACGTATTCTGACAGACTGGAAGGTCTACGTAGGGGGCTTGGTGTATCTTGGTATCACCGTGTCGGGGTATGCAACAGCTCTCTTCATTCCTAGCATTGTCGCGTCTCTGGGCTACTCTGGTATTGAGGCTCAGGTCCACAGTATTCCAGTCTGGATTGTCGCCGCTGTGGTGACTTTTGGCGTTTCCATCGCGACTGATCGTTTGAAGCATCGCTATGGATTTATCATGTTTGGCGTGGTGTTTGCGAGCATCGGATACATTGTCCTTCTTTGCGAAGAACCCGTGAATACGCACGTCCGCTACATGGCTGTTTTCTTTGTGACCGTGGGCTGCTATATTGTCCAACCTGTGGCCGTTGTATGGCTTGCGAATAACTTCTCAGGTCACTACAAGCGAGCCGTTGGCCTTGCTATTCAGATTGGATTCGGCAACATTGGCGGAATAATCGCAAGCAATATCTTTGTTTCGAACGAAGCGCCGCGGTATTTCGTTGGTTACGGCGTTTCACTCGCCATGATGATATTTTGCGGGATTATGTCGTCTGTGTATGCGTTTGGTTTAACTGTTGAAAACAAGAGGCGTGCTGAAGGCAAGCTTGATGATCGTTTACAGCTAAGCAACATTGGCGATGATGATCCTCGTTTTCGTTTTACTCTCTAGAGTGTCGTGCTACGACAACTCCTACCAGATATGACTAATTTCTCCGGTAAATACATGTTTATCAACGCAGCGCGGTGGTTGTTTCAGCCCTTCCTAAAACGGCACTAGATATAGTGCAAATATGAATTGATACCAAATATTATTAGATGGAACGAAGTTTGTAAGCAACTTGCTCAAGATTTAGCTTACTTGAAAGATTCAAGTTTCCATTTACGCATTGCCTTCTTCTAGTAATGTGGATAGAGGGGTTTCTACGCCTTGTATGAGGGTAATATTTTCAAGAAAAATCTATCCACCGTATCAATTGATTCTGTAGGAATTCTTTTTATTGGATGGATACTTCTCCCGCCTTTGACTTATAGACTCACTTTTTGTAGCTTTATTTTTGGAAACAAACAAGTAAATAGCAACGACCATATCAACTCGAGCAGAATCGAAACAAATAAAACCCTGGTACAAAATCACAAAAACATGCCGTTAGTTGTCCAGCAATATGAAATAGCCTGAATATCAAACCACCCAAAGCATTCGTCCAATTAACAGGAGACAAGGATATAGCTTAGATTTGGAACATAAGAGAATACATCAAGAGATCTGAATGACCAATTGCCTTTGTGTCTGGAAAAATCAGGACCGTCATCCTCTCAACAAATGCAAAGTCATTGATTTTAACGGATTAGACTCACGCTAGGCTCGTTTCCAATATGACCCCATGGCTTCGGGTATTCTTTAATTCGACTGGTGGCGGGTGGCACATTCAAGTAAAAGAGTTTTGATCTCCAGAATGTCTTATTCTTCCACGCCGTACTTGTAGCACATAAAGTCATATAGTAAATGCCGCTTTTCAATAGATTATCAGGGTCACTGAATGCCAACTAATCGGGGTCCGTCGATTGCAATGCGGCCTCTCTTTCTATGGTGGTCCGAAAACAATAGACCATCATATGGAATATCGTATGTATAAATTGAATCTTCCTCCCAATCTTTTTTGAATTCTTCTACCGACATCTGCTTCTCTTTCTGGACAAGATGCACCTCCAACACAGGTATGATGCTGCGTGGATGATTTCGATCGAATTGCATGATGATGGTGATAGAAAAGAAATCAGTGATATTCATTGTAAATTCTTCATCTTTTGCCTCAGTGGCGAATACGGGTATGCTGGACCAAATTGTTGACTTCTCCGACGCCACTTGCCGTGTAGCAGGAAAGGTGGTATATGCGGGGACTGCCATCTCAACACCAAGTTGTTCAGCCTGGAACATTGTCTCTTCTACTTCCTGTTGTAAAAGGAAGATCCAGTTGTGGAAGTCGTCATTTTCGTCTCTTTCAAAAACTATGGGTTTTCCAATGTTGTGACCATTTTTGATGGTTCTGGCCTACACGTTACTCACGGTCAACAATTTTCCTCCCATTGTTCTCGAGAACACACGATATTTTTGAACCCATTAGCAGAATCTAAGTAAATTTACTTTGCGATCCCGTAGATTTCTGTTTTGTGTCCAGCCAAAATGCTCCCTTCCTCCCATAACATTGCCCGACTTTGAGAGAATTCATTATGGCCTTCTGCTGTGTAAAATACAAGGCGATCTCGGTCCAATATTCGATATTTGCAACTGGTAAAAGGCGGACCTTGCAAATCCATATAGCACCAGTTTCATCAACACCATACTCGCTCAGAGGTCTTTTTTTCTTTTCGAAAATTACTCGCCGGCATCGTCGCTGTTTACACTCGAGCAGGATCGAGATCGTGACAGGATGAGATTTTCCTATAGGAAGCTCCACCTTATTTTTGACAGGTTTAATTTTCATGCCCAGGCTGACTGTTTTGGCTGCGTCATATTTCCCATATGATGGATTGAATCCACATGGGAAATCGCATTGCACAGGAGGGAGCAATTCTGTTTCAGGATGTTTCATTTTGGCAAAGAATAGGTTTATGAATGTACCTGTATCGCTGTTGTACCTTCTAGGTAGTAGTTCTGAGTACCGAAGTGAAATTTTTCGAAGAAGATAATTCTAGAAAAAAGCCGTTGGTTTATATGTCTGTTACACTCATACCTTGAATCATGTACGTCGATTAAGAGTCAAGCACACCATGACACATGCGGTCTTGATAATCTCCGATTTATGAATTAGATTTAATTCGGATAAAGATCTATGGCCTAAGTGCCGAACTGGTGCTGGTTAATATGTGGCTTGTTGAAGGTAGCACATACTAATATTATCACCTGCTTGTACACCAACTCTTTCTACTGGCTCACTTACATCGAGCGAAGAACTATTATTGATGCAGCTAAAGTATGTGGATATATTACAAGTAAAATTTGAAGTATCGTTAGATTCTCATATGTCTTCTGTCGTTTTTTATATATATATTAGGTTGTCTAGTACGATATTGCTACAAATACAATATTTGAGCTGACAAATAAATTTTGTGCCAGTCTTGATAATTCCCAATAACTATTTTGGGAAATTGGACCCGAAATGCTATTCCATTGAATAATTTCTTTAAGCTCATCAATAAGAAAAGTAACAAAGTTGAGATCTCTGTGGAAAAACAGGGAATACATTCATCAACTGCCGGACCTGATCCTAATATGGAATTTAGTTCGGTATTCTCCAATACATTGGAACCTTGTCAAACATCAACCCAAGTAGTAGGTAGAAAAAGGAAAACCGACTATAGATCGCCCCTGCAGTGCCAGGTTACAATTTCAATGGTCTATGCAAATTGCATTATGAACTGTCGATTCCAAATTCTAGCACCGACACGAGCATGTCCATAAGGAGGCCTAATACAAAAGAAAATACATGTATTAATCTATGGTAACAAGACTCAACTCCTAAACAATTAAAAGGGTTAAGAAAAGAAAAGAAACGAAATGAGGTATGACAGTTGTATGTCTGAGCATATAAGTTATTCCACCGCTAGGCACCAGCAAATATCCAGACTTCATCGATTATTTCTGAGTATTGTAAGCGATCTCTTGTTTAGGAGAGACAATGATCGTTCCGGAATACTTATATTGATGTAGAGCTTCTGTGCTGCCTTTTCTGCACATTCGTAACATTTTTGAGGAGTCCAGTAATGTCATTATTCAATATTCATAGATTGAAGGAATGAATGACTTCGATACGCTCTACGTCTCCATCTTTGTCACTTTCGCGCCACTCAGTCAAGATTTCGAGGTGGGTGAATAAAGGATCTTGTCCAGCGTTACTCCTTTTTGTTAGACGCCATCCCCATTGATTTACGTATGATGTTAGGAATGGAAATAAGGTAACTCGGATGTTATGTTTCTTTCCAAATTTGGATACAGCTTCCAGCAAACCAGAAAGTACCTCTTCATGTCTCAGGTAAATATTGATCGGACGTATGAAGTATTTCCCCCCTGCTGGGGTTTCCATAACCCATCTCCTTATATGAGTCTCGTCCAAAGGCTGCATCATCGTTAACACTTGTATTGAAAGTTGAGATGGATCTGAATATCTTTGGAGATCAGGATCCTCCCGTATACGGCCATACTGATATTCAAGAAAGGCCTTGATTTCACTAGGGCCATCACCTTCAAAATTTTCGTGATAAAAGGTGGTATTGACGGCGCTAGTAAACAAAATCCAAAAAGAACGGTAGTCCCCTTCAGTGTATCTGGCCATGCGTTTTCTCACAAAATGTCCCATAGGTTTGTCGAAAACCTTTGTACTCTTTGTTATGCCTTTCAACTGAACTCCGTTCTTTGCGACTTTTACTTCAGCCCTTTCGAATTCTGCTATACAGAATCTCCTGGCTTCAACAAATTCTCTCTCTTTTAACAAATATATGAGATGTTCAATATCACGACTAGCAGGCGGTCGATTAGCAAGTGGCTGGTAATATGCACCATCAGCGGTGGCTCCTGCTCCTTCACCCCCCATTGCAGAAGCTTGGCTACCAGACTGATGTTGGGAGTGTGGCATTGTTTCACGTCGAGACGGTTCATTTGGCAAACAAGGAAGCCCCAGAGACTGTATAGATGGCAGAGCCTGACTACCATCATTTAAAAGTGGCGGCCCTGGACGATAGTGTCTCGAACTGGTATTGTCAGCTGGGGAATCCGCATATGCAGAATACTGATACCCAAACTCATGCATAGGCTGATATCCGGACTGATGGCGAGGCTGGCTTCCAGGCTGTTGGTGAGATTGATACCCAGGGTAATGGCCAGTCTGATAGCCAGCATGTTGACTATACTGATAAGCAGAGTTATTGTCGCTATAACCACCTGAGGTTCTCTCAAAAATATATCCCCCAGGTGGTGCAGGCGGCCAAGGTGTTTGATTCTCAGCGTTTATCCTTCCGATTGGTACGCTGCTTGTAGTAGACATAGCACTTATACCCTGAGTTACATCTGTGACTGCAGGGTCTTCATCTGTGGAACGCCGTCGTATCTGACGATTGCCACTAGACTGTTGATCTGATGCTGGTCTCTTCTTTCGATCGCTTCTATGTCGTCTACTAGACATGGTGATTTGCCCTTGAATATAAGGTAGATTTTCGAAATAGTTGATAAATTAAAGAATATGCCCGTAAAGCTGTTCCATTTTATAAACGGTAGTTCTGAGTATCAAATAATATTTTGGAAGAAGATAATCCTACAGCCATGCTGGTCGTTTATATTTCTATGTTTGACTCATATATCGAGTCAAGTCCTTGCATATGAGAGTCAAATACACCATGACACATCCTATATTGAGAGTCATTTACTTATGACTGAGCTTTGATTAGGCTATAGAACTATTACCAAGGCACAGCACTAGTGCTGGGTATTATGAGCATCATTAAAGATAGCACATGCTCACTACTGTTACCCTGTTTTCTGCACCAAAGTCTTATTTTGAGTCGCTTACATCGCGTACAGAGGTAATGTTAGACCTGAAAGTAATAAGTTATATGAAACGTTGGAATAAATCAAATTTCGCAAACTTCTTTACTTTTTGGATATGATACATTCCCATTTTACAACATTGTTTCATCAGATAACAAAATAGGATGATAGTGGAAAAATACAGTTGCCTTTCATCTAAATATGCATGAAAATCATGTTATAAACTAACCATTTCAATTTCTAGAACCATGAGGAGCATGTCCACAAAGGGTGTTAATACAAAAATCAATCTGTAATCAATTTATGGCACCAAACTCCAAGCACAAGAAGGCTGAAAGGGGTAATAATATATAAAAAGAAAGATGGGATGTGTTTGTCAGATCTGAGCATTTCAACACCATATTCAGCAGATATTCAGATTGTATGGTTTATTGCTTGGTTTTGAAGGAGATGCTCTGAGCAAAAGAGGTATCATCCTCTCCGCTCAATATGAGACTACAATAACCTATTTGACGGTCGGGCTGGTATGGCAAAAGAATGAATGGCAGTCACAGTCCTCGTCTCTCTAGTCATATTGGCTTCATCCCATGATGTTTCAACTTGGACGTGGGTGAATAAACGACCTGGTTCTTGGGTTGTAAGGCGCCATCCCCATTCATTATTCGTCGATGTAAGAAATGGAAATAGGTTTATTTGAATATCTTTTTCCGACCCAAAATTAGATATGTCCATTAGAGGTGTGACCAAATTATTTTCGTTGTGAAAGTCAATCTCATCCAAGGATATTTTTTTCAGGTTGGCAGGATTTAGAAAGTTCATGACCTGGGTCTTAGGGTGACCAGTCGCGTTCTTTCTCATCCCAAGCAAGACTTGCAGTGAAATTTGAGATGAAAGCACGTTTGTGTCAGATTCACGAAGCAACTCATCATAAGCGTTTTCAAGAGCTGGGGTGAGACTGTGACCCCAGCGGTGGGCCCCAAACTCCCAAAAAAACACCTTTGCCTTTCTAGAACTAGTAAGAATGACCCCAAGAGACCGCGGGAAACCGTATTTCTGGTGATTGGTGTGGACGCCCGGTCTAGCAAAATATTCCATCGGTCCACTGACTTCACCACCACTGACTTCACCGCCACCACTCAATTCTTCCCACCTGTGGTTTTCACCTGCAGGCCCTACGTTAGCCTTTACGAGCCGCTGTAAACAAAACGTCCTGGCATCGCGCGGCCTTCCCCGGTTGAATAACGTTATGAGATATAAAATATCATTACCAAGAGGTTCTATATTAGGCATACCCATAAGACGACCATCTTTTAAAGGTGGAGGGCCCAAAGGTGGAGGGCCCAAAGGTGGAGGGCCCAAAGGTGGAGGGCCCATAGATGGAGGACCCATAGATGGAGGGCCCATAGGTGGAGGGCCCATAGGTGGAGGGCCCGTAGGTGGAGGGCCCATAGATGGAGGATCCATAGGTGGAGGGCCCGAAGTAGTATTGTCAACAGGTAATCTCGCATTTGCGGAAGACTGATGCCCAGGCAGTTGGCTTGACTGTTGGCTTGAGTGATACCCAGGCAGTCGGTAGGAGTTATATCCAGGCTGTTGGCTTGACTGTTGGTGAGAGTATTCAGCCAGTTGGCTTGACAGTTCGTATTCGTAGGCGTAATATGCAGGCAGTTGGCTTGACTGTTGGTAAGAGGGATATCCAGGCTGTTGGCTAGACTGATAACTAGGGTTATTGTCACCGTAACCACCTGAACTTCTCACAGTAACATCCGCCCCAGGCGGTGGAGGCGGCCAACTTCCTTGGCTATGGTATGCTGCTTCGGTGATCTGTGCTCCGCTTGTAGTAGAAATAGCACTTATACCCTGAGTTACATCTGTGACTGCAGGATCTTCGTCTGTGGGACGCTGTCGTATCTGACGATAGCTATCAAACTGTTGACCTAATGCTGGTCTCTTCTTTTGATTGCTTCCATGTCGTTTACTAGACATGGTGGTTTGCCCTTGAATATAAGGTAGATTTTCAAAATATTTGATCAGATATGAGAATGAAAAATTGTCATGAGAGTGGTACAGTTGCACATTCATTGCATTCAAGGGAAAACTAGCTCTTTAAATACCCTACGAAGGTGGTCTATGATTCATATTTTGGGTTAGTATATAATTCATAGTAGCAGTCATTCTACGATTCATTGGCGGATTAATATATGACTCTATCAAGGTGAGTAACGGTGCCTTCTAGAGAAGACGACAAATTACAGGTAATTTCCTTGAAATATCTTCTTTATCTTCTTCTACGGTTGATCAAATGACGATTCAATAACTACAATAATTGAGACGTGGAGTTATGACTAATAACATCTGGTGATTTCTTTGTTTCGTGGCCCCAGTGGAAGAATATGAGTGTCCAGCTCCTACTTGGCTACACCATACATATTGATCATTTTCAGACCTCATCTCAAATGAAGGCCCATATCTTCGGCAGATATGTAATCATTCATAATATGTAGCAATTTTCAAGTAGTTACACATGGCACCAAATACGTTTCGATCCGCGAATTTTTAAAGGAAGAGTCATTGGCAGCAGCATCTGATGTTGAGAATCCTTCGTCATATAACCAACTCAGAATACTGAATCTCCGCAGTGCTCGGCGGTACGAACCAATGCCATGTTCGTGAACACTGGACATTATCCATCTCTAGTCATCATGTTTCTTTGTTCTTTTGACTCATTTATTAGTCAAATATCAACATCGTTTTTGGCCATTGTTGATTCACGCTTCCTCAATATTGGCCCATGCCGGCAGTATTCATTGAGTCATTAAGTGAATATAATGGGCAATAAAGGGCTGACGTCGATTCTCCATGTATGAAACAATGAGTGACTACCCTTCTTACAGCTGTACACGGTGACGAGCTGACAGAACATTCCAGGGATGAACTTGAGGAAAGTTCATAATACCTTATTGGGCGATAATTGTCATCCCATTCCCAAACTCTCTCTTTCTTCTTTCCCCTTGTCTTCCACCCGAATACTAGCCATTTCACTTAGTTGGCACGTTTTAGGGCTATGTGTACTCCACAAATTCATCGTTGTGATGTAAAGTCTACAGCAAGAGTGACCTCAAAGCAATGTCATTAATCCCTAACACGCTATTGTTGCAAAGCACTCGGTAGATACTATATTATTGGGGAAATATTTTTACAAAAAGTAAAGACTCATCTGCAGTTTTCCTTTCCTCTTTTCATTTTAGAATGAAGCTACAACATTTGTTCTTACACATAGTCCTAGGCGTCATTATGTTGTCATTGAATCTAATTTACTATCTGTAGAAATCGATATGATATACGTTTCCCTACATAATGATGGCCAAACTTTATGTCTCCGTACAGTTCCGGTCATCGAAATTTGGAAGAGATTGAACCTGGGAGGCGTTCTACCAGTTGACGGAAGTTAAATTTTTACTATTCTAATTCGTTCTATAATGTGGTTAAAGGAAGAAATTTAATAACTTCGCAATTCTCTAATGAGTGATAAAATATCATGGCAGCGACAAATGATACGGTAACGAACCCGGAAATATTGAGTAAGCCCGATTGGACTGAAGTAAACGACTGAGTCCCACTATTCCTTGATTGAACCGGGGGTCATTTGAACAGAGTTGTATGACTACTGCGTCGAGCACGAGAAAAAGCTTGGCCATCACTTAGCCAGGAAATATTGTTAGAAACATTGGTAATCTCTAAGTGAAGAAACTCCATAAGGCAAAGCAGACCACTAAATCATTGGATAGGCTTCAGACCGCGGGATGGGCTTTTGGATCAAACGTTAATCATCATCAATGCATGGCTGGCATAGAACCCAAATTTGTCAACAAAGAGCTGGTCAGTACCGGTTATTTTGCTATCTCAACCACCTCTCGGCTTTCTTCCAAGTATACCTTTGGACTATCTATCAAATGTTCCTTTATACAGAGCAATCTGGGCATTATAACAAAAGTAGACATTTGAGTGAATTGCTAGCCATCTGCGCTCATGGAGTGTCACTTCAGCTTGACAAGGTCGGCAACATACAAAGTCATGGCAGATAGTCTAAATTTAATGTGTCGAAATGAATACACAATATTGCATGGTTCACAAGCGCCATCAAAGTGCTTTGTACTAGGGATAGACGACAAGACTTTTGGAAAGGCAAAGATCCAATTCCGGATTGGCAGGTCCAAGAATTGCAAGAAAAGTTAGGGCTTGGTTAATGCTGCGCTCAGTTTTTTTCATATGAACGAAAAGGATTGCCCATTTTCATTTTAATGAGATAAAGTAAATAATAAAGAGAAAGCTCCGACTGAAAAGCTCACTAGAAAGCTGTACGAGGTGAGAACGGAGGGCCTTTGGACGCCTAATCGGTTCCCGCGGAGGATGAAAGTATGGTACGAGTCCCGAGTCTTTCCAGTATCCCGCTTATGAGTTGGCCTCTTCAAGAAGACCAGAATGAAAGCCTGCTCATGGCGATTATGCACCGATCCTACCGCCGTCGGGAAAGAGAGTGCTAGAATGGATGCGGGTCTCGAAGCCGATATACGAAGCAAGTTGATCGAAATTAATGACGGATTTCATTTATGCACGAACCGCATATCATTTGTACACGTATGTACAGCTATGATCAGCAGGAGCCAGAGGCACGCGAGACAGTGCACGGACTATATTATGAACCGCACGACGAGGCCAAGAAGAGGGGATATGGGGAATATCGAGGGCATGTTCAACATATAGGTAAGAGATCCATGTTCCGTTATGGAAATGTTTGTCCTTGACTGATGGTATCTAGATCTGATTGCGACTGTGAACAGCTTCAACGACCACGCTTACAATAAGTTAGTTGAGAAGCTTGGGGTGACTCCTAATCGAATTTATATGACGCAATCGATCCCAATGAGATTTCCAGGAAACAAGGCACCTGTCCCTGGAGATACCGCCGCCTCCGAGCCACCCCAGCCAGCAACACTGGAGGAGGTACGACTTAGGGTGTCCTATACAGATTTCATCAGCTCTGTCGCTTTAAATTGCATACTATGACTATAATTTCGAGTGCTTAATAGGAACCCGTCGTTTACTCTACAACCTAGAATGGCATTGAATACATCATGATTTGAGGCCACCGTACCATTCGGTACATTGGCGGGAAATTGGAGACAAACTAGACCCCAAGCTCCAGCAAGCATGCCGCTATATGGCATATACAGGCGTCTAAGTAGTCAAGTTACATGGAGATAAGCCCTAACCGTCAGCAAATCCTAAAATGGTAGTGGGCTTTTAAGATCAACTATCCATGCGAAGATAAGGTAATCCATTGAATACTAGTTTGAATGGAACAAAAATCAACCCTACCCGATCTCATGCCCTAGGATGGCAGTTCGGTTCTTCTTTTCGACGACATTCTCCAATTGACCGTGCATCCATTGACACTCGTCTATGTACTAATAAGATATGATGTAAAATTTCGTTCTTTTCCGAAACATCCGTTCAACTGTAGCCTGGGATGCAGCAGTTCGAGCTTGTAATGTACCCCGCCGGGTTGCCGAAATGGGTTTGCTGATGCGGCTGCTGACTTCGGCAAAGGATTTTTTAAGCGTTGAAGGCCCGAGGGACCATCCGAACCACACTTTGCGGTGGGCCCTGCCCCCACTGAATCTCCAGGGGCCGCGCAAGTTTCAGAGCCGTCATAGGCTAGCATACCGACGTGGTGTCTCCATTGGGAGTGCAACGCCAATCAGTTTGGCGCCGCAATGTGTATCACCAATATGCAGGAGAATCAGGCACACCAATGAGCACGTATTATTGGTGTCGTGTGAAACAAAGAAAGGAGGAAGAGGCGTACATAAAACTGCGTCTGTGACTCTAGATGTACATCCCATTCTCCATGAGGCTTCCCTCGCTTTGTCCTCCATTGGACACTTTTTCTACCTCTGTAATAGACAATTGTTCAGCGACAGACAGTGATGACACTCTCGCTCTCTTCCTACGTTGTCTTGTCTTTATCGACAGTGTTGGCTGGAAACTGGGCCAAAGCCGACTCGTTTATTCCAACGGTGTCTGGAACACCACAGGAGCTGGGAAATGTAACAGATCCGACGATCAACCGCGACTCATGTGTATCAGCGAGATTCGGTAGTCGCATGTTATGGACATGTCGCGATTCACAACCATACGACTCCAACGGAACACCCATACTCCCCGTTTATTCAAGCTCAGCTTCATGGACTGATTTCAACGACACCGGTACGCCGACTATCCAGAGTACCATCCAGGGTTCCGATAGCTCACAGATCGGCCTGCTTTGCTACGGAGATAATAACGAACAACCCTTCTTTCCAATCACTACAAGTGAATGCAATGACAATTCTGCCGGTGGATGCCCGGATGGAACACGTTACGCTATTTGGCCCAACAGTCCGCCACTAATGACGTTTGGGGATCCTTCGACCGGATCAGTGGTTGCATACACGTGGATTTTACAATCTCATATCACTTCCAATCTTGCCTTGTTGGATCCAGATCCTCCGACGACTTTATATCAGATTAATTACAACGGCACGGCAGGCTCTTTGAATTCCACGGAGCTGCCTAGCGTTGTTAGTGTGGACGATACCTTCTGGAAAGCAGATCAGATTCCATACGGTACGTATGGCGGCGCTGTTGTGAACGATACAGCATATCTATACGGCATGAGCACCGCTGGCACGATCGGCCTTGCACAGGTGCCCGCCGACCAAGTCAGCAATCAGACCGCGTACCAGTACTATGTGAATAATGCATGGACAAGCATTGCCCCCGGAGTGAACGACACAGGTGTTGATATTTCGAACGCAGGTGCCGGCGGCCAGGGTACATTCTACTACTCAACAATCTGGGATCTATTCGTATGGATTGGGCAGGCGGGCGAGAGTATCGCTGCCGATTTCTACATCACGACTGCCCCTGCCGCTGAGGGCCCGTGGGCTGAGCCTGTCAAGTTCTATTCAGGTGAGAGTAATGGGATGGCGTACTCATTGCAGGCGAATCCGGGTTTGGTTAGCGATCCCAACGAGAATGCAATTTACTTGTCGTATACTGTCAGCACTGATGTTGGGTATTATACGCCATTGGTTTATGTTCAGTGGGAGTAAATATTTTTAGAGGTTCTTGCATTAGATTTTGGTTGAGGATTAGATTTTTTCAGGGGGTTAACTTGTATATGGTTGGCGTTATGTTCCCACTGGTGAGATCTGTGGCGGAATTTGTAAATATTTCGTTCATGTAACTAATAGAGATAAGTCGTCAAGCATACAATATATGATCATAAAGCAAATGAGTTTTCGACTAAGCCACTCTAGAGTTGAATATGTAGGGATGAAGTTTTGTATTTCTTTTCAAGTACAGGATTTATGCATAAACGGTTTCACGTGTATAAACCAGAATAAGAATCGCTTTTAGCATACCCTGAGATTCATATATAGTCACAAGAATTCTAATTAGGCTTTGGTACAGAAAGCAGAAATTCAGGGTCCCAGTCTTCAACGCAGAGGTCAGCGGTCGAAAAAGCCTCCCTTACCATCGAAGCAGAAGGCGCCATCATCAATGAATCAATGTCTATCCCCGGAGGAAGCGACTGCCCAGCTTGATTAACCTGCAAATCCAATTGAGAATGAGTCGCGCCGGGTGTCCATTCATTGACTTGCCGGTGTAAGCGGCGCACACGAATCATCGCAGCAAGCGCCACAGGATCTATACTGTCTACGTTCTCAAGAATTTCTGACACGAGTGAGAGCGTTTGAGTAAGCTTTTTGTTCTCTTCTACTCCAGCGGAATGGGTGGTTAGTCTATAGAGTAGGGTAAGTGCGGCGCTCCACACGACAGAAGACAACTCTGGATGGTCGGCAAGGATATCGGTTTCTAGGGAAAATTGATGGCAAATTCGAATGATTGTCACGGCGTGATCAGTCAGTTTATTTATTAGCTTTTCCAAAGCCTCGCTCTTTTCTCCCTGTGGTTGTCCCACCGTGACAATAGGTCGAATCAACGTCACAATCGCATTATGGTAATCAAGCTCGAGAAATATTTTCTGGTTCTGCATCCAGGGTGGCGCGTATAGGTCCAATTGCAGTGAAGAAATCTCCGAGGATAATGCCGGTTCGTTGCCGGTCCGTGGTAGTTGGAGGCTATGTGGAAGACCGCGAACCCACTCGCCGAGATTTTTGAGCTTCTTTTCCAAGCGTTCGGCTGTAGATATCTCATCACTCGGCATTTGCGAGTCATGGTTACCCAGTTTAGACGGAATGCCGCCAGTATTATAACTTTCCTCGTATAAATTTGATGAAATTGACCGCACAATGGTACATAATTTAGCCGCCTGTACAATATAGCTGAGCCATGTCACTCCAGTGGGAGATGTGTATGGCTGCAGGGCCGCATTGCGAGACGTATTCATGTCATCCGCCGGTAGTCGACAGTCGGATATATCCAGATCCACGAGCATTGGTCGACCTAGCTCCATCGATATCCTACTGTCTATTATATAAAGAGACCACCATATCCGTCTGCATAGCTCTGCCTTCGTTATAGTTAGACAGTCTGGAGTGGGACTCTCAGGAGGGTCACGGTGCAGACCCAGGCTGTAGGCGATTCGCACGGCTGTTCCTAATACATTATATGCAGCAGATAAGCGAGAGGTGCTGTGTAGATAAATAGCCATTAATATCTGGGCTTGTACAGTAAACGTCGTTGGCATATCAAGTTCATCGTCTATGAGTCGTTGACAGCGGCGATAGTGCCACACAGAGATCGCATAGTCCGTGGTTTCTCGTAGGCTATGCCCGCTAGGTGAGTTGCCGAGGGATGACTGGCCTAGGATCTGTTTAGATGCCGATGCTTTCGCCAAAGCACAAATTGCAATCATAATATCTGCCAATGATGACGGCGCGCGAGATCGTTGTACTGGTTCAGCCGAATCTGGAATCCATAACGACTCAAAATGGGCAGTGAAATCTCTTTCACAAATAATTGGTAACGACGGATGATGTAAATGCCAAAATTGTCGAATATATTGATACTGCTGGGCTTTTGAAATCACTTCACTTTCGAGGATATTCCCACTACCACCACCAAGCGCGCTCAGCTCGGAAAGATCTCTAGGTTGACGACATTTGATGGGGATCGATTTCAGATTTAGGAAGTCCCACAAAGGCGATTTTTGTGGGTACGAATTCCAGTGATTAATGATGCGGGTAATGAATCTTTCAGTCGACAAAGTCCCAAAGTAGTCGCATTCGTTGTTTTGGACGTGGTGCACTGGAGTTTTGGGCCACGCAAATCTCCGGTTTTCAATAATATCATTCCATTCGATAATAGCGTATTGGCTAGAGGGTGAGTCTAAATTTGAACTCGGCGGGGTTACAACACTAGCTTGGGATTGTGATTCTTCCAGCGTTCGAATCTTCTCTTTCAAGGCCGATATTTCCCTGAGAAACCATCGTCAGCGAGTACGAGATGACCAGCATACCGGATATATACATACATCAAAGCTGCTGCCAGACTCTTTGGTTCACTGGCGCTTACAGGAGTGCGGGAGCAGACCCAGTTCCGGCTTATGCATGTTGAGCAAGGTGTGTTGTCATCGCACTTGCTGCGCTTGATGCGGCAGGTTTCACAGGCCCGCAGAACCTGGCGACGCTTTGCTCTTGGCTCAGCGTCTTTGTTGTTACTGAATTCTAAGGTTGAAAAAGTTGAAAACATAGTAACACAGCCTGGAACACACTCACGAGAAGAATCTTGGGTTGAGAGTTGGTTGGCCTGATATGATAGGTAAATTATTTGTAAGCAATGTGGTCCAATCAGGTTCCGTAGCCGCTCTTTGTCAGCCAGCTCGAAGACCCCATTTTTCTTTGCTTAGTCATATCCTTATTCTGGAAGCATACCAGGTGGGCAAAAAAATGTTCAGCACTGGTCATTAGCATAGCATGGCGAAAGGCTACCAATATGTTGCCAGCTGCTTGCCGTCGTACCGTGGTCGATACTTGATTTTTATGCGGGCTATGTGCAGGACTCAGCCGACTAAGTTACGCCACTAGTTACGCCTGTCTAGTGGGTTTCGGAACTAGGCGGTTGATCCGGGACAGTTGAAATCATATATAGAACCCTTGGAACCTTGGATCCTATTATTGGGATATCAATTCGTTCTAGAAAGCAGCATACTCGCCTTGGAGAAACATTGGGGTTCTCTATTGAGACCCGAATTTACCATATACCAACGAAATCCTCCAAGCCCCCTCTAGCTTGGCAGTCATGCAGCTTAAACACGGCCAATTACACCAATGTATAGCGAGGCGCATTGACGAGGCTAGCGACAAGGCTGACAACAGAGCTGAGCCGTGCCTCATATGTGGCAGCTACATGACTACTGAAACTTATGGTCGTCGGCCGGCATTAAACACATTTCCTCCTATTTGATAATTTCTATTGCTACTCGTGTTTATACTCCAAATCAGGCTGTGGCTCTCAGTCGTAGCGAAGTGGACATCTTTCCACGATGAATATGAACAGTCTTTCGCATACAGAGCAAGCTGAGACAAGTTTACCCCGCTCGCCAAAGCGACAAAAGATTTTCCACCATGGCGGTTTGTCTACCCGACGGCATGATGATTATACCATCGCCTGGGTTTGCGCACTGCCTATAGAGATGGCTGCAGCTCGGGCCATGCTGGACGAGACTCACGAATCCCTACCTACGCATGTAGACGACTACAACACCTATTTACTGGGAAATATCAAGCAGCATAACATTGTAATTGCGTGTTTGCCACTTGAGTATGGAACAAACAATGCAGCCACTGTCGTGACGAACCTAAAGCGAACTTTCTCAGCAATCCGCGCGAGTTTGATGGTCGGGGTTGGTGGCGGCGTGCCAAGCAAAGCTGATATACGCTTAGGCGATGTCGTCGTCGGCACAAGGGTGATGCAGTTTGATCTTGGGAAAATTGTCCCAGACGGAAAGTTTCAGCGAACAGCGATCCCTAGGACTCCCCACTTGCTGCTTGGGACAGCTGTGTCTGCCCTTCGGTCAAAACACGAACTAGACCCCACTCAAATCCCATCTATTGTACAGCAGAAGCTGGAGGGACACGTCAAGTACGGTCGCCCAAGCTCACCAGATCGCCTCTTTGAAGCGACGTATGATCATGAAACTAGTTCAACAACTTCTTGTGATGGGTGCGACCATTCAAGGCTAGTGCCACGAGGCAGACGGATGTCATACGATGTGAGGATTCATTACGGCGCAATCGCTTCAGGAAATCAAGTCATGAAACACGGCACTACCCGGGACAACGTTGCTCGAGAACTGAATGTCATTTGTTTCGAGATGGAGACTGCTGGCCTGATGGATATTCTCCCTTGTCTCCCAATTCGAGGAATCTGCGACTACTCAGATTCTCACAAGAACAAAAAATGGCAGAGGTACGCCGCAGCAACTGCGGCCGCTTACGCAAGGGAGCTTCTCGAGGAGCTACCTCTGACCGAAGCGCATACAAGAGTTAGTTATAGTTCAAGTAAGTTTAATAGTCTTCAGAACATCTCTGGCCCAACCCTGCTCACTAGACTGGTAGATCAGTGTTTATCGCAGGAATACCGGCAAGCCTTGTTAGATTCCCTTAGTTTTAAACAAATCGATTCCCGCAAATCGACCATCGAGAGCGCTCACCAAAAAACTTGTCGATGGATTCTCAGCCATCCTGACTACGAGGCATGGCTTGATCCTACCAAATTGACCCAATACCATGGATTTTTGTGGATCAGCGGCAAGCCTGGCGCCGGCAAATCCACCATCATGAAGTTCGCATACTCCACCATGAAATCAAAGGCTTGCAGCAAGAATGCCACCACTGCTTCCTTCTTCTTCAACGCTCGAGGTGAATACTTGGAAAAGTCCATCATGGGGATGCATCGTTCGTTGCTACTTCAGCTGCTTGTAGGGTACCCTGACCTTCAGACTGTTTTGGACGACCCCAACCTTGTCTCCCAGAGTCAAACTGGTTGTCCATCCTTGAATACTCTCAAAGGCCTTTTCAGTAACGCAGTTGCCGCTCTTGGTCAACGCTCTTTTACCTGCTTCATCGATGCTCTCGACGAATGTGATGAACAACAAGTTGTTGACATGGTTCAGTACTTCGAAGACCTGGCAGAACAATCCACGGCGAAGGGTATTCCATTCAGAATATGTTTTTCCAGTCGACATTACCCCTACATTAACATACGACAGGGGATCCAATTTACACTAGAGGATCAGTCTGGCCATGCGGAAGACTTAGCAGCTTACGTCGCTAGCCGCCTCCAAATCAAAAACTCAGCACTGGTCGAAGAACTACGACCCCAACTTCTCGGTAAAGCTGCTGGCGTTTTCATGTGGGTCGTATTGGTTGTCAATATTCTCAACAAAGAGTATCGACGGGGTGGGCTGAGCCTGAGAAAGAGACTCGCAGAAATACCGACTGATTTGAGCGACCTGTTCAAAGACATCTTGAGGCGTGACAATGAGAATATGGAGGATTTGTTGCTTTGTATTCTCTGGATATTGTGCGCAAAACGGCCTTTGCAACCGAAGGAGTTTTATCATGCCCTCTGGTCTGGTTTGTCACTGAAGAATCTGGTCGACAGCCAGATTCCCGATGTCACCGTCCCAGATAACAGTGAAAAGTTGAGCAGATTTAGCAGATATGTCATCAGCTCTTCAAAAGGGCTTGCTGAGATCACAAAATCAAAGCAGCCAGTAGTGCAATTTATACATGAATCTGTTCGAGACTTCCTTATCAAAGACAGGGGTTTGCAGGAACTGTGGCCTGACCTTGGATTTGACTGGGAGAGCCCAAGCCACGACAAACTCAAACAATGCTGTGCCTTCTACATGAATCACGGCTTGGTGCGTTCCTCTGTTAGTAGGTTGTTTTCACAGTCCCATTTAAATATGCGGACAGAAATTTCACAAGTTTACCCGTTTTTGGAGTACGCCAGTCAGAATATCCTCTACCATGCCAATGCTGCGGCAAATGTAATCCCTCAAGATGAGTTTCTATCTTCTTTTCCGATTTCTAACTGGATTAATATCAACAATGTCTTCGAGAACTTCAAGGTTCGACAGTATAACTGGGATGCAAGTTTCTTTTACGTTTTAGCAGACAAAGGATTTGCTGAACTCATACGTACAAGGCTCAAAAAAGATCAGGAAATTCATGTTCATGGAGAAAGATATAGGTATCCGCTGTTTGCCGCTTTGGTCAATAGTAACAAAGACGCTGTTGCTGCCCTCTTGAACTTGCCTTCGAGCCATTATGATGGAGTTGACATTACCGAAGGACTGAGCTATGGTAAAGATTTGAAGGAACACAAATATCGGACACCTCTATCTTGGGCAGCCCAGGAAGGTCAGGCAGGCATTGTCAAACTACTTCTCCAGACAAGAACAACCGTCGATGAAATGGATATGGGAGGGCGAAACCCAATTTCGCGAGCCTCGGAGAAGGGCCACGAGGTAGTGGCTACGTTGCTTATTGACAGGGAGGCAGATGTCAACAGCAGAGATAAATCTGGAAGAACACCGCTTCTATATGCTTCACGTAATGGCCATGAGGCAGTGATAAGGCTGCTTATTGAGAGGGGGGCAGATGTCAACGCTATGAGTAAATATGGAAGGACACCGCTTCAATACGTCTCCATGAGTGGCCATGAGGCAGTAGTAAGGCTATTTATTGACAGGGGGGCAGATATCAACAGCAGAGATAAATCTGGAATGACACCTCTTCAATACGCCTCAATGAGTGGCCATGAGGCAGTGATAAGGCTGCTTATTGAGAGGGGGCAGATGTCAACGCTATGAGTAAATATGGAAGGACACCGCTTCAATACGTCTCCATGAGTGGCTATGAGGCAGTAGTAAGGCTATTTATTGACAGGGGGGCAGATATCAACAGCAGAGATAAATCTGGAATGACACCGCTTCAATACGCCTCAATGAGTGGCCATGAGGCAGTGATAAGGCTGCTTATTGACAGGGGGGCAGATGTCAACAGCAGATATGAATCAGGAATGACACCTCTTCAATACGCCTCAGTGAATGGCCATGAGGCAGTGATAAGGCTGCTTATTGACAAGGGGGCAGATATCAACAGCAGAGATGAATCTGGAAGAACACCGCTTCAATACGCCTCAATGAGTGGCTACGAGGCAGTAGTAAGGCTTCTTATCGACAGGGGTGCAGATATCAACGCCATGAATGAATATGGATGGACACCGCTTCAGCAGGCCTCAGAGAATGGCCATGAGGCAGTAGTGAGGCTTCTTATCGACAGGGGTGCAGATGTCAATGGCAGGGATGAATGTGAATAAACACCACTTTAATGGGCCTCGGGTGCATTTTGACACACTAGTGCTTCACTACTACATTGTTGAAACCGCTTATTCTTTACGTTGATGAATATATCCTAATTGAATAAGTTGCCGATCTAAGTGATCTCAACTGGATGTCTGGCCTAAAAGTCGAAGAACATAAGATTTTGGAATTATCAACAGTCAGCCCCCCAGGAAGCTTAAATTTGACCTGACATAAATTGGTGTAAATACCCATGAAAGGCAGAAATCTTAAAGCTATATTCCAACTTTTGTCATATTAGTGTAAGTAGCAGTTTTTCAGGCTCCTTGTGGAAGTTCTCGCTCAGTGAAACGACACCACCAGAAGCGGCATCATGACTCTTGAAACTGCTTGAATTCTATCTATACTAAATATGACAAAGAGGCAAAAAATGGCTGAAAGGGAAGGAAGGTAAGGGGGGAAGGCAAATTGATATTTACATAGGAGGGGATAAATCGCCCGTAGCACCACTGAACCGATGCAACATATCATCGACAACTTCCAGACTGACCTTTCGGGTTGATGCCATCAGCTAAAAGATGAGCTTGTCTTCCCACAGGAAGATCACCACGTTTAAATGAGAACATCAAAGCTGAGGGGTTTGCAAGAGCATTATTCTCCCCGAAGAAGAACAGATCGGCTCGCTGTTGCCACTCGGTGAGAAACCACGCTGTCAAAGCGCGTATCAACCATTCATTTTGTTCCGTACTTTTAAGTGATGCCAAGATCTAGGCTCACGAAGGGCGTTGCTTGTATATAAAAAAGCACCATCTATATCTGATGACTATCTCGATTCGGGGCTTCACAAATCGAGTTCTCGGCAGCTAACTCTTGCCTATAAGTGAAGTAATTTATACTGGTCATCTGGGAAACATCAACATCCACCTGTGGACCATGTTTCGTACTCTTCATAATGCCCCTGTCATCGAACGGCGGAGGGGAAATTGGCATATTTTTGCGCCGTTTGAACTTGGTCCAATACAGGAAACAACTTCCTCCTGTAATGGCTGAAACACCAAGGCCAATAGCAAGTCCAATGCCTATATATTCTCCTTTGGAAAGAGGTATTACACCACCGATCGTCGAATTTTGAGTGTATGTACTTCCTGTGGTCGATGCTGTGGTCGATGCTCTAGCTGTCCATGTAGAAGAACATGACGGTGCCGAGTCAACAATATGGACGTACTGCGATGTCGTAAAGTTATGATCTGGGTAGACAATCTCAAAATAAAACTTCTAGCCTAGAGATAAGTCAAAGCCGTATTGCTGGACAGACCAGTTTATGGCTGAGATTTGGAGTTGATCTGCTGACTTAGCTGATCGAAGTTAGCTATTGACGAACCACCATTAAATGCAAAAGAATTCGTATTAAACTTGCCGAATAATTGATACCGGCCGTTGCCTATGTTTACTTCATTTTGTTGTAGGACGATGTTGTAGGCGGCATTGTTGCTTATCCATTCCAGCTGTTGAATTTCGCCCAGATACCAGGTATCTGTCCACTTAATGCTTGGGCCTGGAGGGTACACCCAATTGTCAGCTCTAGTCAGGGACGACCATAGGATGAGGAATAAGGCATTAAGCGTTAGACCCATGATTGTGGAAAATTGAACCTGAGAGCTTCAATGTTCCTAGTACGAAAATACAAGACCGACGATTTCATTGTCCCAGGTACTTACTAAGTGTCGCTCAACATCTTTATAAGAGAATTCCTAAACAGGTACTGAAGAATGCCATTCCAGCCACATTACGCGCCAGGGAAGATGTGTTTGGATTCGCTAATTCGTTAGCCTTGACAATAACTGAGGCTCAACTTCTTAGGACTATCATTGGTATATGCCTTATGGTATGGGGTACACTGCAGCGCATGAACATGAAAGAGGCAATTGAACAAATAGTACCGTAAGAAGATCCAACATAAATAATTATAGGATAGAGGGGGCTATTATTAGGCATGAGAGTATTTTCAGGATCTGACCGAATGAATCAAGCCGAGTTTGAAAATTACCATACTTATTTCCTCCATTTAATTGGGTTGTGTCCAGCCAGCCTAGATCAACGGCGATTTCAATTAACGCAGACAAAACGGTTGCGAGTTGACAAGAACTATTCATTAACTTGACAACCATTCGTTAACTAGGTATAATCGACTGGCTCGTCACTTACAAAGAGTCGATCGGGAAGTGATATTTATATTAGTCCAATCAGAAATTTCCCGTGGAAAACCCCCCAGGGACGTCGCCCTCTATGGATAGCTGCATAACCTGTTCCTGAATTTACTAGGGTATTGCATGCGACTAGCCTCACAGATTTGACAGTTTTTACTATAATTTATTTACTGCGTTCAATCAATCTGATTCCAACGTCGCAAAAGGCACTACCAGGCTTCTTTTCTTGTAGCCAATGTTAAGCTATTTTGGGAATTTTCAACAATCAACGTGTTACTAATCTTAGTAACGATGTCTAAGCCGTTCTTTCTATTGGATAATTTCCAGACTCCTTGATATTCAGTGAAAGAAGAATTCGCAGCATCTAAGACTATACGACCAAACATCTGATATCTTTAAACGGGTCATCACTTGGCAATCTACTAATACAATTTATGTCAGAAAATGTCCAAAAGTGGAGAGACCTCTTTAATTCTTCGTTTGCTGATTTGCTGGCCTTTGTGCAACAAATCAGGACCCTCTATTTGAGGACTGTAAACAATAGACGAAATGAAATGTAAAATCGCTAAGGGCTATATCGCACGTCTCTTAGAAATAGTATTAGGTACATATACTAAATAATAGATGTAGTCTATATATTGGTCTCCCTGGTGATCCTAGGTAAAGTTAGTTATACAAGGATTTAGTTTAATAGGCGCCACAACTCGAATAAGTCGAGGCCAAATATTGCGGTAGTCAGCCTTGTCGGTAAGAAAAGCCCGAAAAAGAGTTGAAATGAAACGCCTAGGCCATTTAATTTTAACTGGGCATATTTTGTGGAACCACAAAGTGTTATTCAAAAAGATGTTGACTGCCAGGTACTGGACCAAGTCAGGGGTAATTTTTCTTTGTTGGACAGTTAACATTTTTCCGAACTAGGGACATGATTCTTTCAATGTTATATTAAGTCCTGTTTATCTAATTCAACTACTTCTGAGGTTTGACATACTCGATTTGAAATGATTTCACAAGGCTAATCTTTTGAAAGTTTGCAACGGTAGGAGAAACCTATGCCTTATGTTAAAAAAAGGAGCGTTTTATCACACTTGCAACTTGCAACCAGCAACTATCAGCGCCGCGGAGAATTGGAATTCAGGGAGGATCAGCTGCACAGAAGGTATAATATATCTTAAATATTAAGATAACATTAATCGACATGCCTCTGTAATGCTCTAACAATTTCCCAGAGTGGCCACAACTTGTGCGTGCCCGGGACTTGACTAATTTTTTTTGGACAAAATCTAGAAACAACCCTCATGATATATGCAACTACCTCTATCAATATTACCAAGGGATCTATTATTAATTACCACGCAGCCTATCAAAGTTCGTACACTTAACTAGTGCAAGCTCCAACAACATTGAGCTTGACCAGGTGCCAATGTGTTAATGAACATAGGCTAGCTAAATGCTTAGAGTGGAATTCGGGGCGTATACACATAAGACAGGGTGAAGAAGGATGGCTGAGGTTTGAATATTTTGAATATCTTAAATTTGAAAGTCTCCCCAAAGTCCAAATAAATATCCAATTTTCTCCCTCTAATACTCTTGTTTTGTTCTATACAGTCTCTTTAATTTGTCATATGTGGTTTTTCTTTACCTTTTCACCGCTGGAAGTATTTACGGCCTCCCCAAATTTTTCATCGATATCTTTTTTCATGTTGACACGATGTAAGAATGGGGAGCTGTTTAACATTTCTGTAAAACAAGTGTATATACAAACGTTTCCTCTCGCTTTCAAGCCTAGACTTATAGAAAATAACGACGAGGTTCAATATGGTGATACGAATTTAATGGAAATACGCTGGTACCACGATATTCGGCCATTGTCTATAATAACCCAAGTTGATACTCGTAGCATTTCAATTATCATGGACACAAATTTGCATTGTACTGTGGATTGACTGTCTTTAAAACCAGTAGTATCAGCGTGGCACCACTAGGGGCTCCAGACGATAACATGGAGACCGGGCAACCTCAAGCCGCGGTGTGACAACAGTCTTTCTCGATAACAGTATGAAATCTGGACTGGTCTGATAAACTTTGGCCTGACTTTGGCATGGGAGGGTGGTGGCTGATGTGGTGGCAGTCTGGACAATCGCTGCCAGCTAGGTCAGGAGCCTCTTAGTAATAAAAATAATTGATAATTAATGATAATAATGACGGTGATTATGGTTGCTATTTTCCGTTGGCGGCACGTGATTGCTAGTTGATAGTCGCTCCTTCCGTGTGACCAGTAATACAGGGACAGACTTCTTTTTCCCCCTCGAGACTTTCTTCCTTTATTCATTTTATTGTTTTGAACGACCTAAATTACGATCCTTATCCCTGTACGCCCTGTCGTAGGGATGCCGCCACCTAAAAAAGGAATGCAGTTGGACGTGTAACAATTTATTGATTATTATCGCTCGAACCATACTCATTCGGCTCCCCGAATGATGTTGCGACCAGACAGGTCAGCTACACGTCTCCGAAGCTATCCCCTGCGTGTGTGGTCAGAATTCGAATGATCTATCGGTCGTCAAGAGAACTCATTGCCCAATCAGTGTTCACCATCATATCAACCAGCGCGATCAGGCCACCAACCGCAAATTCAATCGACCGTACGACGCGATCGTAAGTGAGACACATCCTTTCCTTCTGATGCCAAGTTTGTGGCCATCAAACCTGACGGCTCTCTGGACAGTGGCTTTTACTTGGTAGGGCCAAGGCGGTGCGACCAATAAAAAAACAGCCGAATGTGTTGTCAAGTGCGGGGGTGCCATGGTAGATGCAGCTGTCAGATAAACAACTTGATAACTATCCCGGCCGGCTCAGCCGGATCGACTTGACTGGCCAGACAAAAGTGAAAGTTGGCAGTACCAGTCATCGTTGCAGAACGGTCCAGCTTGCAATTGGCTCAACGGGTGCCTGTTCTGGAAAAGGTACGCTAATGTGTCTCACTTTTCTCACGCTCTGAGCGGCTCCCACATCCATCCTCATGAAGGATGTCGGATCTAGGCGATTATCAACCTCAAAGCACTGGTTCTGGAATTGGATTTAAGGGTGGCAAAAGTGTGCTCGAGTTGATGAGATACATTCCCTTGGGAGGAAGGGAACAAATCCTTCATCGATAATCTAAACAACTGCGATTTGGCCTGCGTGGCTGGCCGTCGGCGAGGTGCAGTTAATTAATGACAAAACCTTTGCTACAGAGAAATATCAATCTCGCCTGAAGCCGGTTATAGATGACATGGAGTAGAGAAAATCTGGATCATTGAGGTCATGTCAATATACCCACTCTAGGTTCTATCCAATCACCTGGGCATGGACACCCATGAATTCTCTCCACCAGTCATTCACGCAGAGCCGCATTGTCCAATCAAACAAATAAGCATGTCTCAGTCACCGAGATAGTACCAGTCCGATGTGCATGGGTCATGACGTCGTGGACGCTCGGATATACTGGGGCTTCCCATGGCCCATGTCGCTAGGGACTTGGGCATAGTCATGGTGGGCGCTCTTTACGGATGTATATAATGATGAGGGGGTGACGCGAACGAGACAATTCTTACTCTGTTGAATTCTGGGATGTACATTGCAGCCTAGGACCCTTACGTTCGCTTGCTAGTATCTCAACAACACTCGTTCATATAGCCACAAGGTCCATACATCGAAAGAATCTATGAAGGTCTATCGCCTCGACGTCCTGTTGGCCTTAGGGCTTGCTGCGCTGGTAAGCGCTCGTCCATGGCCTCCTCCGCCTGTAACGACTCCATGCGAGACCACCACTATAGCTCCTCCTCCGCCTCCACCGGTCTCAACCCCCTGTGAAACGACGACAACTGTTCCTCCTCCTCCGCCGCCACCAGTCTCAACCCCGTGTGAAACGACGACAACTGTTCCTCCTCCTCCTCCGCCACCAGTCTCAACCCCGTGTGAAACGACGACAACTGCTCCTCCTCCTCCGCCACCGGTCTCAACCCCCTGTGAATCGACGACAACTGCTCCTCCTCCCCCTCCGCCAGTTTCAACACCAAGCTCGACGCCTGTTGTTCCCCCACCGGTGTCAACTTCTACACCTGTCGTTCCTCCGCCGGCATCAACAACCCCATGCGAGACAACTACTGTAGCTCCTCCTCCACCTCCACCAGTGTCAACCAGCACAGCTGCTCCTCCGCCTCCGCCCCCTGTCACCACCAGTGCGCCTACCATTGTCATCAGTACTTCAACGGTCACTGTGACCACGCCGTGTGAAACCTCTACAGCTGCTCCGCCGCCGCCACCACCACCACCACCACCACCACCTCCTCCTCCTCCTCCTCCTGCACACTCCACAACTGCAGTTGTCGTACCTCCGCCAGAGATTTCCTCAGCCTCACTGCCTCCTGCACAATCCACAACTGCGGTGGTAGTACCCCCGCCAGAGAGGTCCTCTGCCCCACCAGCTCCTCCCCCGCCTCATGCGAGCGAAACAACCCATTCTACAGCGCCGGCTCCTGTTCCAGCTCCTACAAAGACGAACCCCGCTCCTGTGGTTCCTCCTGCAAGCACGTCTGCCAAGACAACCTCTACAAGCGCGCCCCTCTCCACCGGAGCTGCCTCTGCAGTGTCGGTAGGCTCTGGCAGCGCCATTGCGGCTGCTATCATGGTCGTTCTCGCCGTCTTCTAATAAGCACCGACAATCACGGTACAAAACCTGCAAACTGTTCAATAAGAAGCACCAGAAGCAAGGAGAGGAAGGACATCCTATTGTCTATTTTTCGTATTGGTTTCATGGGGAAAAAAATGAGGAAGAGAAGGCGACGATAATAATAATACTATCCTTAATTGCGTCGGAATCTGTTTCTACTTATAATAATTAGGTGATAGGACCTAGATCACGAGAATATCGATAGTATCAATCATTCACATTCAGTCAATACAATTGATAATTCTCTCCATTGGCCCACTCTGAACTAATTGTTCTAGACAGGCGCTGGTCGGATGTAACCGCGGACCCTCGATCAAGCACCGGCTCCGCGAGTAATTCTCCGATCGAGTCCGCATGCATATACACCAACGCTAGCCTCACTCCAACCATTGTTTATATGATCAACCAATTGATGCAAGATGACATTTCATAAAATCAAAAATCGTGAGAAAATTGCAAAGAAAATGTGTAAATGGATTAGAGGGAAAAGTGCATTTACAAAACCAGGGAACACGGAAAGGAGTCCAAAGCCGAGGACGGGTACAACAGTGAGTAACGAACACGGGAGCTGCCGTGTTGCCGTTCGCTGGTCAAGCTCGCTAATGGCTGGAACTGGACCCTCTATTTTAGCCTGTAGTGCTTCGGATGGGACGATAGCATCGGATGGTTTTGGTCCTCTGAGTACTGCAAACATGGGGTATACACTGATCGCTAGTATGGGCACTGATTCGCCAGATACACGAGCGCCCCTCATTTTCGCTTCGTTGGATGCGCGGGCTCCATCAATAATGCGTGATTTTAGGCGACTGTGGATTGTTTTGGAGCGATTTGATGCAGATCTCGCCGGACCCGCACTCACCTAGAAGCTAGTGTGTGCAACGTTGGCTTTCCTTTTCCCTCCTTTGCTTGGCATGTCGCCATTTCGTGCCTCTAGCAAGGACTAAGGTATTGGCTGGTCAAGGATCAGCGACCGCGAGATTTTTCTGGAAGATCTTTTGCCAGTAAGCCGAGCCGGCAAATAATTATCGAGTCGATTCTCATTCTCGTCGTTTGCTCTCGGTCTCAACCCTACAGGATTAAAGTTGCGGCCTGCAGTTAAGCTTCTTTCTAATGTTGTTGCTGTTCGGTCGTCTGTTTTGATGATCTGAGTCAGAGACGATCGGATCGGGTGAATTGCCTCCCAGGTGAGGGGAAAGAAAACAACGACAATTGAGCATGGCCGACCAAAAGGAACTCGATGCTTCGGCTGCACAACAAGCTGCCTTGGCCTCAGACAGCGAGGTCGATCAGAAAGATTACACCAGACGGCTCTGGGGTATTCCACTGCCTGTGTATTTCGACACCGATGTCGAGTCCGTCGTCAAGCGTCGACTCGATATTTTTCTTTTGTGAGTGCGCAAACAGCATGAAGTCGCAATCGCGATCGCAACTGGAATTGGCTGATCGCTGTCAGGATTTACACCGCGCTGTCGATGTTTATCAAGAATTTGGATAATACTAATATCTCCAATGCGTATGTTTCGGGTATGAAAGAAGATGTACGTATACATCCTCGCCAACCCCGGATAGAGTCAGTGCTAACTCGTCCAGCTGCACCTGAATGGTAACCAATACAACTATTTCTCCACTTTCTACAATATCGGTATTATCTGCGGAGCCGGTAAGTTCTCAAATTCACGATTCAAAACAAATATTAATTAATATGCAGTCCCCGTCATGTGTCTCGCAACTTACATCCGCCCTTCACTCGTAATGCCCACCTGCGAACTGTTCTGGTCGGCGTTCGTCATGGGTATTGCTGGCGCCAAGGACTACCAGACGGTGTACGCGCTGCGTTTCTTCGTCGGTCTGTTTGGAGGTATCGCCTTCCCAGGGTTTGCGTGGCTGCTGGGTGCCTGGTACACGCCGGCCGAGCTGGGGAAGAGAATGGCCGTGTACGAAGTGTCGCAGAATGTCGCGGGCATGTTCAGTGGGTACATCCAGGCAGGACTGTATTCGCATATGAACGGGAAGGGCATGGCTAGCTGGCGGTATGTTCATTTCTTATCGTCTAGTCGTGCGTGCCTCGTGAGTGTTCCTGACTTGTGTCTAGTTGGTTGTTCATCTTTGATGGGATTATCTCTCTTCCTGTTGCGTTTTGGGGATACTATGCTATTCCTGATCAGCCAAGAGACTCGCGTGCGAAATGGTTGAATGAAAAGGTATGTGCTTCATCGTACACCGTGAAACATGCACTAACAGACGAAGCAACGCGAGCTTGCCGTCGAACGCATGGATCGCGTCGGCCGGAAACCTATTAAGAAGGTCACTTGGAAGCGCTTCAAGAGTATTTTTGTGACCTGGCACGTCTACCTTTTTGTCGCGTGCTATGTGTATGTTCCTCCTCCAGTATACGTTCTGCCCACATACTAATTGTACCAGCCTTTACGGCGCGTTTTCCTGGGGTGACGGCTACTTCAACTTGTGGCTCCAATCGCTCAACATCTACAGCGTCGAGAAGATTAACGACATCCCCACTGCCGGCCAGGCTGCTGCTGTGGTCAGCTCTATCGTCAGCGGTGTTCTGTCCGATTGGCTTGAAAATCGTCCTGTGGTGATAATAATCGACATGGTACACCTTCCCCTACCCTCATCCCGCGGTACCCAATCCCAGACTAACTAACTCCCACAGATAATCTGCCTCCTTGGCAACGCCTTCCTATCCGTCTGGTCCGCTCCTACCGCACTGAAGTTCGTCGGGTACATCTTCATCACCACCGGCCTCCCCGCACAATCCCTGACAATGACCTGGCTCAGCGAGGTATGTCAGGGCAACGCAACACTGCGTGGTCTGATTGTATCTATCGGCAACACATTCATCTTCGCCCTGACGTCGTGGTACCCCGTGCTCCTATTCCCCGCCGTCGACGCTCCACATTACAAATACGGCTATCAGATTTGCGCAGGCATGATTGGGCTGGGGGTGTTGAGTGTGTTTGCGATTATCTATGCGATTCGGCTGGATTTGAAATCGGGCAGGGCGTGGAGGAATGATTTGGGGTTGCTAGAGTATGAGAAATGGGTTCATGTTAATGACGATGATGATGATGATTTACCTACGCATCGCTGATAGATCACTTCTGCCTTTTCTTTTCGGGAAATATAACAGAGCAGGCGTTGGTGGTCTTCTCAGTCGATTTCGTGGACATACTGTGGCGTTTGAGGGTTTTGAGGTGGGGTTAGCTGTTAGAAGAAAGCTTGAGATTGCATTCGCTTAAGCATAGATCAACCCAGCAAGCGTTCTAGAAATTACCTCAAATGAATTGACGTCTCCCATGCATGCGAGGTCTGGCGGTGAAATTAAATATTTCCTCAAAGACCCAAACCGTGTCGATGTACGTACGCTTCGAGTCAGTAAGCTCTCTTATAATAGAAAAACGCACCGCGACGAGGCTGTGCTGATTTCCATCTAAAATGTAGTCCAAAGCCATAAAAAGTATAAAAAGTCATGAGCAACAACAAAATAAAATAAGAACAACAAGCATGACGTGGAGTCGATCGACAGCTGAGAACGGCAGGCGGCGCGTATACCCTGTTTTGGGTAAAGCCGCAGCCGCACGTGGTAAGCAGCTAGCCCTAAAAATCATATACGGAGCGCAACGGAGAGAGGCAGTCTTGTTGTTTGGTAGATATTGTCATTAAACTATTCATTTTATTATTAGTAGTAGTATTCACATGGCGAGACGGAACGGTACTAGGCCCCTGGGTTTGGATATAAATACTGGGTGAACTCCAGACAGAGCAATTGATCAACCTACAACATATGTGTCCATTGAAGGAAACAAATTTGCAAGATGTTCTCCTCACGTTTTCCCCTCTTTCAGCTCTCTCCTGTACTCATTTTTGCCGCAGCCGCTGCTTCTTCTTCGTCCAACGCTTCAACTGTCATTCAATGGGGTACCTGTGTTAATGACTTTGAGAGCACACTACCCGCGGACTGCGGAACCCTGCTTGTCCCGCTTGATTATACCGAGCCATCTTCAAATGCAACGTATACATTGGAGCTCCTTCGTATCCCTGCTACGGTGCAGCCAGCAAAGGGAAGCATCGTGCTGAACTTTGGCGGTCCGGGAGAAGCTGGGCGGTCGACGGTGGCGGAAACAGCGATTATCTTGCAAGGGTATGTATACGGTCAAGTAAACATGTGCAATTCGTGGCTGATATATTCATTGTAGGCTGTCTGGTGGACAGTACAATCTCATCTCGTTCGATCCTCGGTACGAATATTCCAGCCCACTCAAATCCCTATTCGATAAAACATACTAATAATATACAGTGGCACTCCAAATAGCAATCTTCCTTTTTCCTGCTTCGACACAGACTTTGCGCGACAAGCCCAGGCACAAGGCCAAAGCCTTCCGGATATCGACAACGAAGAAGCATTGGCCAAACTATGGGCGCGAGCAACTATTGACGCGACTGCCTGTGCTAAGAAACAGAAAACCACGGGAGAGCTCATCGGCACTGCCTTTACTGCGAGAGACGTGTTGAGTATTGCCGAAAACCTTGGCGAGGATGGAATGGTGCGGTATTGGGGTGAGTTTTCTTACATCTAAGGTGAATATGGAAGATAAACTGACCTGAGTCTATCCGTGTAAGGTTACTCGTATGGTACAACTCTAGGAGCTACCCTAGTGTCCATGTTCCCCGAGAAAATCGACAAAGTCATCTTAGACGGAGTGCAGAATCCGCATGAATACTATCATTCATATGGGTACGTCTCTCCAGCCTTCCATCAGTATTAAATTAACCACATCTATTTCTCAGCGACATCGAGGAATGGGCTCAATCAGACCAAGTCTTCTCGGGAATCTTCACCAGCTGTCTCCAAGAACCAGACGCCTGCCCACTAGCCTACTACAACCCCACAGCCGCCGAACTCGAGAACAAAGTCTGGACCCTTTTCGACACCCTCAAGACCCACCCCGTCCCCGTCGGAGATCTGATTGTGGATGAGAATGTGCTGCATGGAATCGTCAGTAACAGCCTCTACAGCACCTCTAGCTGGAAGAATACCACCAGGGCCCTGGACATGCTTCTCACGGGTAACATCGACGAGGAGCTCATCCTCAATCTAGCCAGCGCGGTGGTTCCAGTCGACCAGGCAACATTGCTAGCCGCCACGTCGATTTATTCTCCGTTGGAGGGGATTCACTGTTCGGACCGCGCTGCGCGTGCGGGGACGTATGAGAATCTCCTTCCGACTCTTCGTGAGCTGGCAAATACGAGTAGGATCATGGGACGCACGGATATGTCTCTCAGCATGGTGTGTGCACAATGGACCATTGACCCGAAGGAACGCTACGAGGGTGATTTCCAGGTCAGTCCGGCGAATCCGGTGCTGTTGATTGGGAATGCGTATGACGGACACACACCAATCCAGTCCGCGCGGAATGTCAGCTCGGGGTTCGAAGGGAGCGTTGTGCTTGAGGTTAATGGCTATGGTGTATGTTTCCCTCTTCTTTTCGCTCTCAAAAAATGTTTCTTTGGACTGACTGTATGTAGCACTCCTCCCTCGGTGTTCCGTCGTTATGCTCTCTCAAAACGCAGGCGGATTACTGGGTTAATGGCACTTTGCCGGAGCCGGGCACTGTCTGTCAGCCTGAGAGCGCGCCATTTTCGGAGGCTAGTTGGTTGGAGGTTATCAGCAAAGCTTATGGGGCTTGAAATGGAATACGGATTGTAATAGATGCATGACTCGAGTAGTTTTCGATTCTCCGGTTGTCTTTACAGCCTATGTTTTATATAAATCGTTGTTGAACTGAATCATATGCAACACAAATTATACTAGTTTAAGCCATGTATACGTCCTAAGAGTATAACTCCAGCTTACTTATCCTCAAGCTGCATATCACCCAACTTCTCAAGTGCCACGGCCTCAGTAATCAATCCCGATGTGTCTTTAACCCGCTTGTAAATCAGCACAAGCACAAGCAGCATCGAACCAGCTAATAGACCCCAATAACTGCCAAACATACTCTGGTAGCTAATACCGCGAGCATCGAGATTGAAAACAATAGCTGCACCCATCGCGCCAAACACCTTATAAAAGGCCGAATAGATCGACAAAACGAGCGGGTCATTAGAAAGAGCACCAACTACCCACCACGCAAATGTTTGCCATGCGCCGTCCACGCATCCATAAAACACAAAGAGAGTGATGTATCCACCTGCTCTTGACGAATCCGTCACATCGATGAGACCACCTGGAGGCGCTACACCACGATGTGATTCACGGGCCGGAAATACACCTCCGATAAAGACTGCATTCAGCAGGATAAACAGCACTGCCCAACCCATAAATGCACGGCGCCGCCGACCACCAATCACCTTCAAATCAAGGAACATGCCCATGATCACTGCCATGACGAATTGGCCAAAGTCAAACCATAGGGACCCGAAAGCCCGGGTTCGTAGGTCGAAATAGTAAGCATTGTAATCATTGCTCTGGTAGGGGATGTACCATAGCCCGGCAAAGCTGTACGGGAAGAAGAGGATAATCCACGGTTCGCGTTTGACGACGAGAACGACATTCTTTAATTCTTGAAGGAAAGTCGTGTTTCGGGGGATGAAAACCCTTGTTCCGTCGTTCCGGATCACACGTGATGGGTTGGAAATGAAGCACGCTACCACGCTACCAAGGACCATGAGAATGAAAAGGGCAATGTATGTTCCGTCATTGGCACTGCCGGCGGTTGTAACGCCCCAGTTTTCTACAGTCGGTATTATCGCGCCGATGACGGTGCCGAAGAAGGACAGACCGTAGAAGAGACTGATGTATTTACCCTTGTCTTTCTCCATTGGAAGGGACATGATGAGAGATCCTTCTGCCGTCCTACGTAAATTAGGTCAGTCTGTCAATAGCAAATATAACGAATTTTTATCTACTTTAACTTACCAAAGAAAAGCTGCAGCAATACCACACATAGCACCGCCAAAGTACACAAACCCCTCGTTCTTGTTGTGGTTGTAGCTCCAAAAAGAGGCTGATAGAAGCGAATACCCAATACCTCCCGTGGCGAGTGTAATCTTCGGTCCGAGGAAATTGACTACTGATCCAGCCGTGAGGGCAAACACGCAGAACAGGCTGTACAGGATAGTGTTGGCATTGTTGCTGGTCGTCGGGTCGACCTGGCCACCACCACCGAGCGCAGACAGGACGTTAAACATGCCCACCACCAGCAGGTGGACACAGGATATAATCAGGCATTGCACGATGGGTGATCTATATGCTGGGAAGACGATTCCGAACAGTCGATAGCCTTTGGGGGGTATGCCGAATACTCCTTCTTGGGCGACGACGGCCGACTCGTCGAAGTCAGGTTGGTCTTTGACGTCCTTGCCTGTTGTTTCCTTGATATCCATTTGGAAAAGGGCTTTATTGTAACTACCAAGACAAAATATTGAAGTAGTAAAGATGAGTAAATAAATTCAAAACAAGCGCTTTATACACGCAGCCGAAGTAGGGAAGACGAGATACGATATACCCACGTTTCCCGGTATCCAGTCATAGAACTAGCTAATAACTGCCATTTGGCCGAGTTTCTGGAGTGAGATTACGACCTACTACCTCGTACGCCGATAAGCACGGTTATCTACTATATCATGACCAGTGCGGATTCTTACCGAATACAGCATACTTTCAGAGAAAGCGTGGGGTCTAACGCGGGATGATGGCGCAGGACGTCTTGCGTGGGATGAAATTCGTTACATCGATTAATGAGATGTTGCATGTGCCCCTCGCTGCAACCAATAGCCTTGCGTATTATAACATCTATCTAGTATCGCTAGTTTTTATACGTCTTGTTAGTCGCAGATTATAACACTCCTTCGAAAGGAATTGTCGGGTTTTCTGCAAAAAGCGTGAAAAAGCTGAGGAAAAAAATAATGGATATTTCCAAAGCCAAATTCAGCTTCCAAGGCGAAACACACGATGGAAAGCAACCACCCATCAAAATCGCCTTTCTGGGCACTCGACATCCGCACGTAATGTATCGCTTTGCAGTCCTCGACAAAATTGGTGGGTTCGAGTTTTCCGGTTTTTATGAGGAAGAGGACGAAATTGCCACAGGAATCGCTAAGAGACTGCCACGTTTACCACGCTTCAACAGCGCAGAGGAACTGTTAAACACAAATCCGGATGTCGTCATGATTCATTCCTTGGACCCGGATGTGCCTCGATGGGCTCGTTTTTCTATCGATCATCCTGCTCCTTTCAAGGGCTTGTTTTTGGAGAAGCCCGGTGCGGCTGATCCAGTTGATTTCTATAAATTAGCTGAAGAAATCGAAACAAAAAGACCGGGTCTTGCGGTAGAGCTAGGCTATGAAATGCACTATTCAGAAGCATTAGACTTTGCACGTAAAGTCATCCGAGAAGGCGTTTTGGGAGATATCACCACGGCACGATTCCACGGCGGTTGTCCGTCAGGTGCTGGGATGGATCTGTGGCAGTCTATTCCGGAAGACCTAGGTGGAATAATGCAGACAGAGGGCTGTCACACCTTGGAGAACGTTATTGACATGTTTGGAGCCCCCGAGCGAGTGGTTTCCTCTATCCGGAAACTTCCCGAGCGACCACCACACCCTGTCGTCGGATGGATTCCAGATCTATTTACAGGAACTGTGTCAACGGGTAAATTTGGAGTTGGCACTTTACTGTATGAAGATGTTTGCTCTGGAATTATGGAGTACCCGGACAAAACCATTGTTTTGGATATGACTGCTTGGGAGCCGACAGAGTGGTGTAATGAGTGGGCAATAGATGTCTACGGGACGAATGGTTCTCTGCACGCTGTGCCGGACTATCCGGTTGCAACTTTGTATTTGCGTGAGGCTCGGGGTAGTTTCGCTGCAGGAGAGACCAAGCTGTCGACTGAACTCCCACACGGCACCTCCAACGTGCCCTCATGCTATCGCAGACAGTTTAAGTCTCTGTTTACGCGGGTCCGAGGAGAGCAGCCAGAGGATGGGTGTTGCGATTTGCAAACGAATGTGCAAATCCTAAAGGTTATCGATGCTTTCTACAAGTCGGCCAGTTCAAAGCAGTGGATAGATGTATAGGCAATGGTGATAAATTCGAGCTTTGATATCTCATAGATGTAAATAAGCATTAAAAGGAAATACCACGTGAAGTGCATATCGTCGACAATTTGAAAACAAATATGCTTATCAGTACCCACACGATGGGATCTCATAAGATATCACTAGACATAGCCAATTTCTGAGGCTCTGTTCAAACTTGCGACAACGCCATGTTTGCTCTGAAGACTCGAGTCAAGCCTGAGCACGTTAAGAAATCTTAGCCCGTGTATAGTTCTAAAGAGATGGTTAGATCTCCCCATTCCCACATCTAGATTCTTGACTCATTACGCTGGAATCTTCTATCTAACTGCGACTATACATTCAACCCTCGTATCAATATTAAGGCCAGTATCTCGTCCTTTACATATGTAGTAGACGCTAATATGAGCTTTATCTTTGTCGCTAATGTTATCGAATCTCCTCTCGTTCTCTTTAGGCATACCTATCTTCGCAGTCAGGATGAACTTGATGGAGTAACTACTTATGCTATCTCATAATTATACGACGAGCCCGTGTCGGTTCATGATACTCCATTTGATGTCAAGGATATCCTGACGTTGACTCCGCTTCTGCACCCCTGGGTGTAGGATCACGCTCTAACGCGGACGTCACCCTGACGCGAGTCAACGAGAATGTTTCTAAGCTTAAAATTAAAATTTAAGCATATGGCATTCGTATTGAATAAAAACACATTTGCGTATTGTAACATACATCAGCTCCAGCTTATTTTCCTCTAGGGAACGCCTCTGTCAAGTAATTGAGGTATCTAATTTAGATAGAGAAAGAAAAAAGCGAATGGTTTGAAAATAGGAAGACGCTCGGTGAAGTGAGTACTGACTTTAGATAGAATCCTCCATATCCATAGAATCCTCCTCCACGGGATCAAGAGAGATAGACTGTTCAGTAGGAAGAATACCTTTGTGCGACCTAGTAGATACAGACGAAGGGGCCGAGGAGCGAGATTCCTGGCCGCTACGAGCGGATTCATCATCTGTCTGCTCATCATTCTCGTCTTCAAGCTGAACAACCTGATACCCTTCGCGAACAAACTCCATGTCATCGTCAATCGGTTCCACAGTGTCTTCTGACTCATAGCAAATGCTTCCCGACTCAATATCTGATTCATAAAGCCCAGCGAGTGCCCTAAGACCATCTCTCTCATCCTCGTCATCATCATCATCTTTTGGTTCAGCAGCCCCAGCGATGGCACAGGCTCTCTGTAAAAACCACTGCATTTCTAAAATGCGCAAGTCTGGCAAAGGGTGTGTATCGGGATTATGAGTTCGCATGATGATACGATCACCTGAACAGATGGGCTCTCCTGTGCGAACATTCCATAGGCCAGAATCCCTCGGCCGCTCAGCAACATAGAGCGATGGGCGCACCTCAACAGGGATTGAGATTGACCGGCTTTCGAAATTAAAGGCTAGCCAGAAGAATTGCACTTCTAGCTCTTTCTTGTCCGCAGATATTGAGATTGGTTTCAGAGCAAAGTACGCTTTTCCTAAATAAGCGTGTGCAGTTGGGGATAGACACAGCATATTGTAGCAAGCGTCTTGATAAGCACCATTCGGGAAAATAGCGTCTTCCCAAGACTTGACTCGCTCTTCCGTCCAAAAGCAGCGCAACAACGACCAAAGGCTGCCAGGAAAAGAACTTGGCTGAAGTTTACGTAGACTAAATCCGTAGAGATGGGCAACCACCATGGTAGTATCCTTGGATAAAACGCATTTTTCGTCATCTCTTTTCTTGCACTACTAATCTTCAGTCAGTCAATGAAAATATTAGAAAGTACTAGAATGAGATTATACATCAAGTTTCTTTTGTTCGTCACGCTTCTTTATAGCCTCGTCAGAGACTTCCATTTCGCCTACAGAACGCTTCTTTCCTTTCTTCTTTCCTGCTGGCGTCGTCTGCGCGGAGACCGGCATAGAAGAGGTGGTGGCAACTGAGCTTTCTAGATAGTCGCCTATGGTTTTTAGGGCAAGAGTCCGCGTCAACCCTATATTTATACAGTCAGTGAGGAAATTGGAAGAATAGTGATAAAGATAAGGCAGATATACAAGTTAGCGGGATTTTCTCAACTGAAGAACTAGCCAGTAAACCATAGCATTGGACACGTCGACTAAGATTAGTCAAAGGAGTCTCTTCAACAAGTGCTTTTAGGATGTCTATGTCTGCAAGCCATAGCAAAGCTCTAGCTGTAGGTAGATCAGCTAATCCTACTAGTCCCGACATGTGTTGTATTAGCTGGGCACGATCAGGATGGTCGAGCTCTTCCTCGACAATGGATGCCAGCTCAGCAGATGAGTCAGGAGCGGCACTGGCAGCGGATGAATACTGGGCAATATCCTCCCCCTCCATCTTCAGACTGGTGATACGAGAGGTTGGTGATATGACAAGTTCAGGATGGGAGGATCAGAACTGATAACTTTAGTCACTGAGATGAATGAAAATGGTAAGGGTGAGGGGATAGTTGCATGCACGAAGAGTGAGAGTTGCGAGGAAGAGGAAGAGGAAGAGAGGAAGGAACAAAGAAGGGGAAGACATAGACCGGGCAACACGTGACTGACGACAGGCAACAATCTCTGACGTTTGCTTGACATATTGAATAACACGCAATGATGAAAACCAAATAATTACCGGTAAGACTGTACTATAAGAGTCCGTTCTATTTAGACCAAACAAGTCCAATTACTCTCTGCTGGAAACTAGTCATGAATTGGGCCATAAATATCAGAGGAGACTGGGAATTCTCGATCGTAATATTGGAACTGTTAGCATCGAAGATTTAACTTTTAGCACTTTACAAAAATCTTGAAAGGAAGCCCAGAATGTGTTAAATATGACAATAAATGACCAAATTTCGATATGGTCTGTGTGGTTCCTGCTCGGATACTATCGAGGCGTTGCGTGATTACGTGCCACTCTCTTATTGAATATTGTGTTTGGAATACTAATATAGAAAGAGCGAAATCTCTGTTTTCCACCCTACTATTCACTTGCAGAATGGAGATAAGTTTAGATAAGAACATACTCAGTCCTACTAGACTAATTAGGTAGATGCTATGGCGGATAAGTGAGAAGTATCGGGCAATAACTCATATTATTGGTATCAACTAGCTATAAAACTAAGCATGGAGGAGAAAAATTAAAATATAGAATTCTTAGTCGCTTATTTGCTTGTGTGTAAATAATATGATTCAGAATCATTGCCACCTGTTACCGCCGCTATCCCCGAGACAGACTAAATCCGGGCTTATTCCAACGACGCATGTTTCTCCCACAATACAATTGCTCAATCGCTCCTCCAGAGGAAACCCAAGTAAGGCAGACGGTATCCACTTTATATTTTAATAAGGGTGGTCACTATAGCTGAGTTGTATGCGCACATTAGTGCTAAAATTATTCTTGTGTCTCCTAGAGATTGCAAGCGTGCGGCTTAACCTGACATACAATATTCAACGGCCAATATCGGGCTTTTGTTACCAGCAACATGCCATTCGAGTTTATTGATAATAACCATCCATTGATTGACCGGGCGGCAAGAAAGCGAATTCGCAGCCATGCTGCTTTAGGGAAGAATGTGGGAAGAAAAGTCATGCGACCATCACGAAAGAGCGCACAGCGCGTGGGAGCCAAGGTCCTTCCGGGTTTGACATACAAACCAAAGAGCATAAAAATCTCAAATACGAAAGCATACGATCGAACATTGGACGATGTTTCTGAAATCCAACGACAGGTGGGAGATGGTTTACCAGTTCTACCCGTTCCAGACGGATCTCGAAAACGTGTTAGACAAGGTAAGCATAGCCGCCCATCCATTCACGCAAACATCTAATATTGGAGAATATCTTAGTTATGGCTTTTTTTGGTGCACCTCGACATGTTCCCGCTCTAACCAATGCGATGGATCCTCATCGCAACCCTGGCTCGATCTGGGTTGAGCTAATGTTTGTAGATGAAGCATGTACGTGTCCGCCACCAGTTTCTGTCGAGCGTCACTAACGCGCCACGTAGTTTATCATTGCGCTATAGCATTGTTCTATAGGACTATGCATGATCTTATTGTAGAGCCAGAAGATCCACTACAGGCTGCGCAGCATCTTTCACGCACCTTCCGCCTAGTTAACCAAAGAATATCAGAAGATACCAATGTTTCAGATGCAACTATTGCAGTTGTGCTGATGCTAGTACAATACGAACGTCACGAAGACCGACTTGAAGAAGGCCTGGTCCATCTCAGAGGGCTGCTGCGAATGATTGAGTTGCGAGGCGGAATCTCGCAGCTGAGAAAGAGAGGAGCTACTTTAGCAACCAAAACATTTCGGTAAGAATTTTCCTATAAAACTAATTTTTTAATACTGAATTTTTATATCAGAGCCGATCTAGATTACTCTCTTTACAGGGGCACATCAACACAATTTAGCGTTGATGATCTACTCGCTGACGCTGACCGCACGGTTACTATGGAGTTACGTCCATATAATAGTAGCCTCATACCCAGGACTCTTCAAAGCTGTTTACTCAAGGAATTAAGTTCCGGTCTTTGGAGTGTTTTGCAAGATGTCACGACCTTTGCTCAATCAATCAACGATGCTATTAGCGGACTATCACCAAAGCTTGATTGTATCGCGTATCATTACACACTCGTACTTTTCGGATATCGCCTCATTAACATCAGGTCTCTTAATGCACCATATCTTCCAAATAATGTTGCGAACACGATTCATTTAGGTTTAATGGCATTTCTGACTACATTTTTGGTGAAACTGGACCACTCAAATTCGGAATACCCGATTCTATACCAATCACTTCGATTTATTTGCCAAGTAGCCTCCTCTAGTGTTCAAGACGAGCAACAGGTTCGCCTTTGGGCGATGTTTATTTCATCAACTTCGGTGTTTACGAGGCCAGATGATTATTCATGGCTCATTCCAATAACGGCGCAAACGATGAGCTTCCTTGGTCTTCGCACTTGGGAAGAAGTATATCAAACGATCACTGTTTTTCCGTGGGTCGATGCTCTTCACAACTCTGCGGCCTATACACTTTGGCTTGAAGTATCGTCATTATCGTCGTCGTCATCATTACTCTACCAGAATTGGGACGATTGATTTCGTGACCTTGCACAAAGTCGAGTTAATTGTCAATTCCCCTCTCATATGTACGGAAAATACTCTACTCATGTTGATAATATTTATTCAGAACTGATTACCCGGAGCTGAGACTACTCCACATAAATCACTAGCATTTAACACCACATATTTGAGCCTAGCCAAACATGTATAAGTACGGCGAGGGAATTTATTCAATACAGCATTACAGCAGAAACAACTTTTCCACACAACCAGGCTCGATGGTCTCCAATTCTTTGGCAATAATGTCCCAGATTTGCTTGCCATCCTCATTTGCCACCCAGCTGGGCACCTTGCCACTATAATTTGCATCAACAAAACATTTCAAATCTTCAGCAAAAAAGCTTAGTCTAACTTACTCGGCAATCGTGCAACTACTAAGGTAGCTTCCGTGGCTATCCTTGCCTGCCAAGGCACCATGGAGAAGCGTTCGGCTACCGTCCTCAGCTGTCCGTCCGTACCTTGCATGCTTCTCAGCGAGTTGCTGGCGGAACTCTGGTGGCGCATTTCTACCAAGCTCGGTTTTGCAAAGACCCGGGTTGACGGTGTTAATAACCACTCCTGTGCGAGACACAGGCAGCACAGGTGCGAGATATCGAACTGCCAGAATTTCCAAGAGTTTTGTTAGGGGGTATCTGCTCGAAATAATGAAATGTTAAACCCTTTCCAAACAATATAGAACAACTAGATGTTGCATACGTTGCCATGACCGGACTCGACTCATCTTCCATCTTGGTAATCGGATCACTCTTGATCGTATTCCAGGCCTTCTCAAAATCGAAACTCGCTCCACTCGAGATAATAGAAATATGAGGCAGAATACCAAACCTCTTTGCATCGGCGCTCATCCTCGGCAACAAGAGCACTGCAAGCAAGAACGTGCTGAACACGTTTACAGTAACAGGCACCAAATGTCCTTCAGCAAGCACACGCTGGGCCACGGCCACCGCGGCGTTTTCAATAAGGGCATCGATGCGGTCGAGTTCCGTGAGCGCTTTCTTTGCGAATGCTTTCACGGAGTCGTAGCTCGATAGGTCGATGAGCCAGACAGACGCAATGCCAGTCTTACCAGTGGTGTTCTCGATATCGGCCTTGGCGGTCTCACCGGCGCTGATGTTACGGACGCCCATGATCACTTTGGCTGAGCCGGCTGCGACCAGGCTTCTAGCTGCCTCGAGGCCCAGGCCGGTGTTGGCGCCGATTACGATGAACGTGCGGCCAGAGCAGGTCTCCGAGGTGGCATGGATGGGGAGGTTATGGGGTTGATTGGCGATCTCAACCTCAGTTGAATAATGATCCTCCATGATTGAATGAAGGAGTTAATATATGATAAATGAGTATGAATATGAAAATATTAGAGTTATTTGCGTGGTTCTTTGTCTGCTTCGAAGCAGCTCAAGCTCGAGAGTTTCGGCTTCTCTTTATATCCTGCGATCCTGTTTATTTGCGGATTTAAAGATAAAATCCGACTGAAAAAAATACTCGTATGATCCAGATCTTACATGAAACTATTCACAGGCCGTCACTTTTCTTGCGCGTCGTTGAATGGGAGAGAGGTTTCCACTTTGGGAAGGCGAGCGGGACCAGTCCTCGCATTGCTGGCGAATAGACGGGCAGGACAATCGGTGTGTGGGACCTACCTGAACTCTGGTGGCCAATGGGAGAGCTCCTTCTATAAACGGCTAGCGTCAAGATCCTCCCAGTATTCTATGAAGTGATGTAATCAAGTCTTGTGGATACAGGAATGGGCAAATTACCGCTTGAATAAGAACATGCAAAGGCTTACTTCTTTCCTACATCCAAGAGGAGTTTATAGGTCTGAGAATGAAAGACTGAGCCGGGAGCTTGATTCAAATGACAGTAACCACAGTCAATTCAGACGCGTCACTCTATCTAAATGTATGGCTATTGGGCTGCTTCGGCCGTGGCAGCAAATGCAAATACACTTCCACGCGGCTCAAATACTTTTCGTGGGGAGGTCACTGGTATCGATTCCGCTGTTTCTTCATTAGGATAGCCCCAAGCGCCACCTCCAGGCCTAATCACAAGTTAGCAGCTAACTACTGCTCAATATGTAACTGTCCGTCCTAGGGATAAATCACTTACGTATGAATAATGATACGTTCTCCAGGCTGCACATCAAGCTCCATCTTGCCTCCAATGTTAATCGTACGCTCGGAGCCGTCGACTTCCTTTCGGATATACAGGTTCAGCCCTGGTTGACCAGCTTCACCATCTGCCATGCCATAAGGACGAGTGACACGCCTCTCACTAAGCATTGAAACCGACAAGGGGACTCTGAATTCAAGCTCTCTAATGGATCCGTCACCACCGTTGAACTTACCTTTTCCACCAGAGTCTTTGCGGATTGAGAATTGCCGCAAAATTACTGGGTATCGCAACTCATAAACCTCAGCATCGGTGATACGAGTGTTGGTCATGTGGCAATGAACTGCAGAGGTACCCTGCCATGAAGGGCCAGCACCTGATCCACCACAAATGGTTTCGCCTACACCAAATCCGGGTACTTCGTTGCCATCTTTGTCCTGCCCTCCCATCCCGAAGGATATGATATTGCAACAGCCTTGTGATGCGGCACAGGCATTGAAAGCGCCTAGAACAACATCTGTGATGCGCTGTGAAGTGATAGGATTTCCTGCACAAACAGCTGCCATTCCAGATGGATTGAGAAGAGTTCCACTCGGAATAATCACATTGCACGGCGCCAGACATCCCTGGTTTAGGGGTATATCGACATTTATCAAGCACCGCAGCGAGTATATGATTGCCGAATGTGCAATAGCTTTGGGCGCATTCAAACAGTTGAAGGTCTCACGGCCAGTGCCGGTAAAGTCAAAGTCGGCAGACCCAGTCTCATTATCTATTCGGATTTCCAGTCGGATTTCTGTTCCATCGTCCATGAAATCTGAAAATCTCAATGGTTTTCCTCCGGTTTGTTTCCCAATTGTTTTGAGATATTCACGAACGGCAACTTCGGCATTATCTTTGATGCCGTCCATGTAAAAGTGCACCACTTTCAAAGAATTTTCGTCAACCAGGCCGCGAAGAAGCTGCGCTCCCTTTTGATTCGCTGCTATTGCTGCTTTCAAATCGGAAACATTGTCATTCCACGTACGAGTGCCACTACATCCTGCATATGAAGCTGGCTCGTCATACAAGAACTTGCGTACAATGTCTTCGTTGAAGCGATCTTCAGAAACAATTTTGAAGCCCATAGTCATAGCGCCCTCTTCATACAGCATTTTGCTATTTGAGGGCATTGAGCCTGGTTGAATACCTCCGATCTCGGCTGTTAATTATATTAGCTGCCAATAATGTTCGGAGGTTGTTCAGTTCGCTCACCATGGTGACCTCTCGAAGCCACATAAAATATTATTTCCTTTCCGTCTGTATCCCACACAGGTGTTATTATTGTGATATCTGGTAAATGAGTCCCTCCTGCCAAAGGATGGTTGGTACAGATGTGGTCGCCAGGCCGTAATTTGCCTGAGTATTGTTCATGTTGATACCGAACGGCGTATTCCATGCCTACATAGTGTCAGCCAAAAATGAACGTGTTCTCTACAGATGATATTGAACTGGTAGTAAAGCTTACTTCCAAGGTGAACAGGAACATTAGGTGCATTAGCCACCAGTTTTCCATCGGGAGAGAAGACAGCACATGAGAAATCAAGCCGCTCCTTGATATTTGTCGATACGGACGTCTTTTGAAACATACGGCTCATTTGATCTGCTACCGACATGAAGCGATAGCCAAAAACAGAAAGACGAATTGGGTCAACAACGAGAGTGGACTCCCCGCTATCTTCACGCTTCTTCTTCGGAGGCACGTTCAATATAACGTGTCGTGACAGAATTTTTGCAGTTGCATGCGGCTCAACAACAATTGTTTGCGTTTTGTCAATAATCATGGCAGGTCCACTGATATGGCTACCGGGACTCAAATTATCCAAAAAGAAAACAGGAGTAGTGACATATCCGACGCCAGAGAAGCACACCGTGGTAGAATCGTCCTCCTTCTCCTTGCCCACAGATACCATTTTAGTAGCCTTTAACTCGGCCTGTGGTGCTTCCGCAGGAACTGATAACGATTTGCCAACCCCACGCACTCTAACATCCTCTACTACGATGGGACGACCCGGGAATGTAAAAGAGAACTCTCTTTTATGTTCTCGAATGAAAGCCTCGGCAAAATTGCCATCCTCTGGATCTAGAATCATAAGCAGGTTGTCGGTTCCCTGGTAACGTAAATTCAGATATACTTCGTGATGGATTTGCTCTTTAGGGATTTTTTCAGCCTCCAGTTCTGTCTGCACTTTAGTCTTGAGGATTTCGATACGGTCACGGAGGACTATTAACGAATTTTCATCTAGGAATCCCGAAGCCGGCTCCTGAGCCTCGTGGACAACATCTGCCAATGCCATTCCGTATGCAGAAAGAATAGACGAGTAGCGATGGATAATAACAGTTTGAATTGATAAAGACGAAGCAATAGCACAAGCGTGCTGGCCTCCAGCGCCCCCAAAACAAGCCAAATTATGGGCAGAAGTTTCGTATCCACGAGCTTCCGTAAGTGCCCTAATTGGCTTTGCCATTGATTCATTGGCAACTTCAATGAAACCGAGAGCAATTTCTTCCGCCGATTTTGACTGACCAGTCTCTTCGTTGATCTGTTGTGCGAGCTCAGCGAATTTCTTTCGAGTGATCTCCACATCAAGCGGCTCGTTCTCATTGGGTCCAAAGATTTTGGGGAAATATTCAGGGAGAAGCCTGCCTAGGAACAAATTTGCGTCTGTCACTGTCAGTGGGCCACCTTTTCTGTAGCAGGAAGGTCCAGGGTGAGCTCCAGCAGAATCGGGACCCACTACAAAAAGACCATGTCTCCAGAATAATATGCTACCACCTCCAGCGGCAACGGTGTTGATGTCAAGTTGAGGGGCCATGATTGTCACGCCAGCAGTAGTATTCTCGAATGTGTGTTCGAACTTTCCATCGTATCGCGACACATCAGTACTTGTACCTCCCATATCAAATCTAATACTATAAGCACTATTGCCTTATTACAACGAAAAATCATTGACTTACCCTATGACAGGAGTGCCGTCTGCCGGGTCAAAAGATGTACGCGCATGTCCCACGACACCACCGGCTGGTCCCGAAAGAATAGCTCGAAGCCCAGAAAATCTAGAAAAGTCAGTTATCAATCCCTTTGCTTCTAAGAGATTTCTCACTTCTCAAAGTTGACTAAACCACCATCACTCTGCATAAATTCGCATCGAGTTTCATTAGACCGAAGACCATCTTTGAACCCAGATCGGAATCCATCAATATACCGTCGAATTACAGGAGTCAGATAAGCATCAGCGGTGGCCGAAGCGCCTCGAGATGTCATTTTTATCATTGGAAGAAGCTGGCTCGAGAGTGATATATTCGGAAATCCAATCTCCTTTGCAATGCGTTCTACAGCCAGCTCATGATCTTGATTGCGGTCAGTGGGGCTATAATGCTAGAAGATCATCTAGTGACTTACCTTGGAATGTATACGAATGCACCAACACAACTGCGATTGAGCGATAGCCCTTGTCATATAATATTTGCAAGTCGTTCCGAACCTTGGCTTCATCTATCTTTTGTAGAACTCGTACTACCTCTCCGCTTACACCACGAGTCAGACCTGGATCCGACTCGAGAGAAGCTGCAAGTCCATTGCGATCCGGGGCTGGGTTTTGCTGGTAATCTTCAATAGTCACTCTTTCATCGACCTCAATCACATCTTCGTATAAAACGTCCGGTCGTCGAATATTGAGATCAAACAGATGAGGCCGGGATTGGTTGCCAATTCTCAGGGCATCTTTGAACCCTTTGGTAGCTAACAAAGCAACCCGGTCACCTTTGCGTTCCAACAGTGCATTTGTTGCAACAGTAGTTCCCATCCGGATGCTAACACTAGAAAAGTCTGTTGTGTTCAGCTTTTGGTTTCGTGGGAAACTTTTGCCTGTCGCCTGTTCTAGGATACGGCGTATACCCTCAATAGGAGCATCGGCATAGTTGGATGGATCTTGAGACAGTAGCTTAACGACAATATCATCCTTTCGTCCACCGATAATCCCAAGGCAGTCAGTAAAAGTACCACCTCGGTCTATTGTTCTCAGTCAGTCGACATTCCAGCTTTTTATTTACAGGAGACCACAAACCAATGGCTATCTTGATATTTAAACCGTCGACGTCGACATCTAGTTTATGAGGAGCCATGATGGTCTGTCACAGAATTTTGACCTCATCAACTACAGGTTGGTGCCAGGGTGTTTTCAACAGCCCCATAAACCACAGTATTATATCTCTCAGGCGGCAGTCGATAGAATTGGGGACTATCGAATGGCTCTTCCGGCGAACCGACCGTGTGTGCAGTAGGCAGGTCGAGTCGAGAAGAGAAACATCCTGGAGTCATCGTATACGAGCGGGCTCAGTGATATCTAGACTCATTCGGCCAAGCCGAAAATGGGGAGCATGCATCATCCCGCGTGTTATCCCAGCCAAGACAGGAGGGTGGAGAAGCGGGGCAATCCGGAAGTTGCTGCACGAATTCGAAGCCATAAAACCCCTGGCAGACGGTGGAACGAGAGTTTAGGTAGTTTAGTGTGGGTGGAGTTTATCGACCGCGTCAAATCTGCTTAATGACGGGGCGGGTCCCCCTCGGCTTCGCTACGACCTTCCCAGAGCCGTCACCTGATAAGGCCGGGAGACTGTCTACATCGCCAGAGTGTCAATGCTCTTGACATGGCAACGCCAGGCAATGGCTTATATCTGCATGGCTGTCTTCAAGACCCGGCTGATGGAGAGCTGTCCAGGGTCTTTGCGAGATTTGACTTTGCAGAGTCACTGCTTTGGTTTTGCTGATTCAATCCAAGAGACCGCGACAGAATGAGTGCAAATAGCGACAAGATGTCAGAGATTACAAAAGAGGGGCCTAAAGACCTGGAAATTGCAAAGGTCGGGGAGGTGGTTGACAATAACCACAGAGAAGACGCAGATGTTGCTGCCAAGTTCTTGCGCGAGCTGGACCCGGCCGTGCTGGCTGAGCCCATCACACCGACTGAGGCTCGCAAGGTGTTGTGGAAAATCGACTTGATCATGATTCCCATGATTATGGTCACTGTGGTCTTGGCCGCTGTCGACAAAGTCATCATCTCCAATGCGGCCATCTACGGGATGAAAACAGATACCCATTTGGTGGGCAATCAGTATTCCTGGGTCGGTTCGATCTTTTATTTTGGATACTTGATAGCTGAATATCCTGCCGCATTTGTCATTCAGCGGTTACCCATCGCCAAATTCTATGCGGCTTGCATCATGGGATGGGCAATCCTCTTGATGTGCACGGCGGCGACTCACAATTTCGCTGGTCTGGCTACAACTCGGTTTATCATGGGCATGCTTGAATCCGTCACTTTTCCGATATCCAGCATCTTAACAGTCATGTGGTGGACTACTAATGAACAGCCTATTAGGGTTGCATTTTGGTTCAACCAGGTAAGAAGACCTGCCATTACACGAGTTACATCACTAATGTTTGAATAGCTGTCTTCCGTCTTTGCCGGTCTTGTGAGCTATGGCATTGGCCATACGACAACTGGTCTCCATCCCTGGCGCCTGTTGTTCCTTGTTTTAGGAGCTTTCACGGTTGTTTGGTCTGTGATGGTCTATATTTTCCTTCCAGATTCACCTGTGAAATGCTGGTATATGTCTGATCGAGAAAAATACGTCTGCCTTGAGCGTGTCAAGGATAACAACACAGGAGTTGAAGATAAAACGATTAAGCTATATCAAGTGCGAGAGTGCCTCGCAGACCCCAAAACCTGGCTCCTCGCGTTATTCTCGCTGGCACAAAACATCCCTAACGGAGGACTAGTAACTTTTGCTGCTATCATTGTCTCCGGACTAGGCTACTCCTCTCTAGTTACAACAGTGCTAGGAATTCCAACAGGAGTGTTAGCCACCGTCTGGCAACTTCTGCTTTCTTTCATTGCTTCACGTTTCCGAAACACGCGCTGCCTAGTCATTGCTCTGTCCAATCTCGTGCCTATGGTCTGTGCCATTCTGATGTGGAAATTACCTCGAGATAACAAGCACGGCCTTTTAGCGGCCTACTATGTCTTCTACACCTACTGGGGCCCGTATGTGCTGTCCACGTCGCTGCCAATGGCTAATACTAGTGGCCACTCCAAAAAGCTGACTATGAATGCTATCTACTTCCTGGCCTACTGTGTCGGGAATATCGTCGGCCCCCAGCTCTTCCGCTCATCTGATGCGCCGGCTTATTCCCATGGATACGAAGGCCTTCTGGCGTGCTTGGTTGTCGCAATTGTCTCTATTTCTGCTTATGGGTTTTTGTGCCATATGGAGAATAGGAGACGTGACCGAGAACACCGTCAACCTACGGAAGTCGCGTTGAATGCGTTCTCCGACCAGACTGATAAGGAGAAGAAGGATTTCAGGTATACTTATTGAAAACTATATTCTACTTTCCAAGCTGATCAGCTTTCCGCGATTGACCACAATGTCAACTGTACACTCTGGCTTTACCAATTAATATTCTGGCTTCTAAATAAGAGTGTTGTCCATGTAATTAAACAGAAATATAGCTAAGTCAATCAAAGTAAATACAGTTTGAAGAACATTCTTATACTCCACACTGGCCAGCAGAACACCATTCTATTTGTAACAATATCAGAGCAGACACCGTGCGTGATTTAATTGGCCGGTAGTATACTACTGTCAGAAATAATATGCGACTATAATACTACAAGAATCCTTCCCAAGGGTTGCACCCTTTTTGGTATAGCGGTTTAAAGTTTGACAACTACTGTGCTTTAGGAAGGCCGGAGCGATGTACACACAAGCACATCCCACGCAGCATCCACCACTTAAACTCAAACCTCCAAGTCTCGGGGCGAAACCCGACAAATCGATTCTACCCCGCACGACAAAATACGTACATGATACATAGTTAGACTAGCTGCTATGTGTGAAACTCCCCACATTCCTTATTTCTTCTAGGCTATGATTTCTTATCTCTTACGTTTAGTCACACTTGTAGCTGCGTACTGATTAGTATCTACTAGCTTCTCTCTGCGCCAAAGGCAGCTTGAGGCGACGCAAGCGAGCACATTCGGGTTTGCAGGATGTTGGTATGATTGCAAGATCTTCCTCTTCCTATGTATTTATAGGGAGATGTTAGTATTTAGAATGGGTGTGACCATCTCCGCTCTACGTTTTGAGTCCAGACAATCAGTTCGCGGGCGCAAATTCCTCTTTTTCCTATTTTGATATTTCAAAATGCACCCTGACACTCAAATCCTCATCGTCGGTGCCGGCGCCTTTGGCACCTCGACGGCCTATCACCTCTCACAGCGAGGCTACAGATCCATCCGCGTGCTCGACCGCTACCCAACGCCATCACGCGAAGCCGCGTCAACTGATATCAGCAAAGTCATTCGCAGCGACTACAATGAACCGCTGTATGCCAAAATGGCTATTGAGTCCATCGAGGCGTGGCGCAGCTGGGACATGTTCAATGGGCTGTACCACGTCCCTGGTTGGATTCTGAGTGCAAATAAGCTCTCAGTCCCGTTCGTCGAAGGCTCATTTGAAACCTCCAAGAAACTCAATGTCCGCGGTCTCGAGCGTCTGACCCCAGATCAGATCCGTGCTCGGCTGCCGCTGGTGACGGGGGGATTGGACGGGTGGAATATCAATGTTTGGAATCCAACGGCCGGGTGGGCGAATGCGGGTGAAGCGTTGCATCAAATGGCCCTGGCGGCGGAGAGAAGTGGTGTCGAGTATGTGACCGGTGACAGGGGGTATGTGCAACAGCTTGTCAATTCGTCAGGGGTTTGCAGGGGCGTAGTTACTCTCGACGGATCGGTGCATAGGGCGGATATTGTTATCATGGCTGCTGGCGCATGGATGCCTAGTCTGATCGATCTCAAGGGCCAGTTGACTGCCAAGGGCCATGCTGTTGCTCACATCCAGATGACTCCCGAAGAGACCCAACGATACGCATCACTCCCCATCCTTGACAATCTTGAACAAAGCTACTTCTTCCCGCCGCAAAAAGATGGTGTGTTCAAAATGGCCCATAGCCAGTTCATCACCAACACCACGACGAGTCCCATATCTGGAATCACGACTTCAATCCCGCACACATTCACGCAATCGCCCGCTGACGATCTGCCGCTGGATATTGAAGCAACGATGCGGAGGAATCTGAAACAGGTGTTTCCAGAGTTGGCACATCGTCCGTTTTGCTATACTCGGCTGTGCTGGGATGCTGATATGGCGGATCGCCATTTCCTTGTTACGCGACATCCCAATCATCAGGGGCTTTATATTGCTACGGGAGGCTCGGCTCACGGGTTCAAGTTTCTGCCGATTATTGGTAAATATGTTGCAGATCTGATAGAGGATAGGCTTGATGCAGAGATTGTGCGTCATTGGCGATGGCGGGCAGGAGAGGATGTTAATACCAAAAACCTGGCGCATTTGGATCCGGAGCTGGAGTTGGATGACCTGGTGGGGTGGCGTGGGAGACGAGTCCGAGAGAGTCAGAGAGACAGTATAGCTAAATTATAGACAGCTACTACCTATATAATTACATGCTAGACACAGTCACATAATAAATGGCAATAAATAGCAGTTCTTGAATACAAAGAGTCTACATCTCATGTCTCCACCTATATTTTACGCCTGTGATTGGCTCTTTTATGCAGTCAATAATTGCATTTACCCCGCATCTCTAAATCTTAATTAAACCAATCATACTATGTCTTAACCTAGGCAATTCCCCGATTGGCCAACCACTCTTTATCAACGCTCCTTTGATTCCAGCCAATCATCGATCAACAAACAAAGATAAGGCCCCTCCTGCTCCTGCCTCGTGAACTTCTCCAGCTTATTCTAGCCTGGGAATAAGATGAGAAAGAAACGCGCTGGTACTGCCTCAAGTCTCAGCTCGACATGCCCTCTACAATTTCACGCTCGAGGTCGGGATGCCGAACCTGTCGCTCGCGCAAGATTAAATGCGATGGTAAGTGCAACTCTCAACTCCTCCCAGACAACAAGCATAAATACAGTGAGTCATGCTTATTTGTTCCAACAGAGCAACGCCCCGTCTGTCGCCATTGCCTCAAGAGCAACGTTGAATGCGTCTATGGGCTACGCCTTGTCTGGCATGAGGAGTCGCTCTCCAAGGGCATGTGTCATGGCCGCCTGGGTGTCTGGTCGAAGAAAGGCCCACTTGGTCGATCAAACCAACAGCAGCGACTTCAGAAGCTAGAATTGAGATCCGAGTGTAGAGTTTTTGATAGGGCCAATGTTCGCTCGACAGAAGAGAAGGATAAGAGGAGTGTAACGTTTTTGAATACGACGGAACATGATGTCAGGGTTTATCTTGAATATGAGGGTTTTGTGGAGAGTAATGAAGATGAGGACCTTTTAAACCTGCGACCACACTGCTCGAAGCCGATAGTCGTCGACCGCCATGGGAAGAATTTCTCAGAAATGAATCGATGTGCTGCAGAATTAGGCCCAGTAGCTCACACACCGTCGTCCTCGTTGAGAAACGCCCCGCACGCATTAGACTATGACTCTGCTTTACTTTCATATTATGAAGCAGTAGTCTGCAGCTCATGCACGCTATTAGATGACGCAAGTCATAATCCATATCGACATTTGATTCTTCCCATGGCCCTACAGTCCGAAGGGCTCTACCACGCCACATTAGCTGTCTCTGCGCAAATCCTAGGCCTTGCAGAGCCCAAGTACCGATTCGCCGCTCTCAATCATGGACATCAAGCATTAAAATGCCTGATAGTCACCCTCAAACGCGGGAAATGGTCTAACGCGGAAATAGATGAGATATTAGGCCTTGCCTTGATGCTATGCTGGTTCGAAATCACGGATGGCTGCCGTCCGTCTTGGGTTATGCACCTGAATGGAATCCATGCCTTGATAATTCGATACCCGCAATTGTTCAAACGCAGCACATCTGGTTTGTATCGTTTCTTTAATCGCTACTTTTCCTTTCATGTGGTTCTGGCTCGCACGGCTTTTCGGGTCGAGGATGATCTTTCATTGCCGAATGCAGTGTCGGACTCGTCTAGTCTAGCAGTTCTCCATAACGTCTTGCGCGATAGTTCATCAATATATCACGGCGGGGATGCAGCTTGTATTGAGGAGAATCAATTGTGGCATTCAACTTCAGAACTGAAAAATTACGAAAATTCCATTTCAATATCCGAATCAACTGACTTCCTATCCTTCACCATGCCACTTGAAGACCTGGACCAGATCGACTCGTACATGGGCTTCAGTAACTCGCTTCTCCTACTAATCAACGAGATCGCCGATCTTGCCTGGAAGTATCCATCGAAAGTTGAGATAGATTCCGACATAATTTCCATTCGCAAAAAGGTCCAACTACTACGAAATTCCCTCTCAAATTTACAACAAACGCCGCCACCATTATGCACAAACATCAACTTTGAAGAATATCCCAAAAACATAGAAAATCCGACAGATTTGTACACACGCACAGTATCCGAGTTTGAAGCCATCGCAGAAGCAAACCGTATCGGCGCTGTTCTTCTCCTCCACGAAGTCTGCTCATCGCGCCTTCAAAGACCAGACGTATTCGGTAGCGATGGGGCAGACACCAAATCAGACTCCGTTCGACGAATACTCGAAATAATGCTTGAAAACATCAACCGCATGAATCGCACAGCAGCTCTCCCGCTTTGGCCGCTATTTCTTGCTGGATGTTGTGCAACTTCAGAGGAAGATCGGATTATAGTATTGAGGATATTCGAAGAGACTGAAAAGCCGAAAAGATTTGGTGTGAGTTTTCTCCTCCATAATTCTTAGTGTTTTATATGTACTAATTGGTATACCTAGAATATCACTCCAGCCAGAGAAGTCGTCGAGATGATCTGGCGCCAACGAGATCTCAGCGTGCAAGATGACCGTAAGAGACGACTGTCAGCTGCGGCGCGGCGCTTCGGGACTGTAAATTCCACGAAATCTAGCTACAATAGGCCAGGAGCGTCATCCACGTGTCAAAGTCAATACTCCCAGAGCACTGCTCGACGGTGTGGAGGGATGTTCGAGTGGGAGCGTGCAATGTCGATGATGGGAGGGTTGAAGCTGAGCCTTACTTGACTTACACGATGAGGCATACCACAACTTCAACTATGTGAATCTCGAAACTCCGCTACTACATGCATACTGACATACTATTATATATGCAAATGTAATATGACTGTCAAATTTCTACAATTGTCAATAATAATATACCTTGAAACGCGTCACCATCAAACACGGTCATGTCCATCATTACTCGTCCACGCAAACACCGACATTTGTCTTTCCCCCCTCTCCCTCTCCCTCTCACCTCTCGGAAACACTTCTGTCGTCGTCTCTGTCAGCGAATGTCGACTCTCTTCATCCACTTTCACTACAATATCCGTCTTCACCGTCACACTACCACCGCCAATCGTCCTTCTAGACGACGACGGTTTAATGCTATTTCGTGGTAAAAGCGGTATATCTCGGGCACGAACAGCGAAGGAGTCCTCGTTCTCGTGACGAATCCTCTCGTTGACAAAGTTCTTCTCATCCTCGGTTTCAATCTCCGGTATCGACACGAGTATGTCGTCGGAATCGTGCGAAGGGCCGGTTCGGGCTTTACCTCTGCGGTTGTTGGAGTTGCTGTTGCTGTTTTCGTTGTTGCTGGAGTGTGAGCGGCTCCAGGGATATCCGCCGTATCGACCCTCGCGGCGCATATCGACGAAGCTGCGAAGGAAGAGGCGGATGACGGGTGCGCAGGTTGCGATTAGAATGCTGTAGTTCTCGATTCTGGAACTAGTCAGTTTGGATGCGGTTGTTTGGAAAGGGCGAACGTACTTGACCCAGAGAACGAATGAGACAATATTATCTAAATCGGGTCAGTAAAGTGATATCAGGTCCATGCGAATCGATTCGTCTTACAGGTGAAATCAGCTCTGTCGCCTAGCGATTTAAGCAGCTAGTCGTATCTATCAGCGATCGATTCAACCAAGTTCATGTACAGCTCGAAACTCACATAAGTCTTGACAATAGAGGCTGCTCCAGATAGGAAAAGAGGCCTAGAGATATCAGCCTGCTGAAGCTGACAAACAGAAAACATCAGTCATACCCACAGAGCGTCATCGTCTGCCATATCCGACGCGACCTGACACTTGAATTGATTTTCTTAAACTGCGCCCAGAACGACACGCCGGGGTTCCGTTCGAGGGTCTGAATAAAGAACTGCCATAGCTCAAAGGCCGCCAGGCAGCCTAGGTACAGGTCGATGACAGTGTTAAATCCTATATTATCTATTCAGTCGAGACTTCACCTCGCAGAAGTGGTAAAACAGCTTACCTCCTTGCACAAATCCGATGGTAGTCTGCACCTTTGGCGATTGGCATACCACCGATCCATCAGTCGGAAGAGGATCCCACATATAATGAAAGTACTTTGTTCGATCGGCCTATACAGTAATGCCGTGGTTAGGAGTGAACGAGCAGTCAGACGGGAGATGTGTGACTCACAGCCCGGTACGGATTCGGACCGCATTGAACCACAATCTGAACGATTGTGATCGAGTTAACGACGATTTGCACAATCATGCAGATGATAATGGAAATGCGGAGTCGGCGATTGCTATTCGCGAAGCACGATAATAGAAACCACATCATTCCAGTCCGTGATATCATAGCCGCGGCAACAGCTAGGGGATACATTAGCGTAATACTTTCTATTCGTGGCAGTATATTGGACTATACCAGCTGGCTGGGAGGCGAAATCCCACTTTAGCGACATCACTCTCTGCTCTGGAGTCAAATAGAAGAAATGTCGACCGAGGCCCCAAATGTAACTATCAAGCTGAATCAGTCAAGAAACCGAATCTGGTGTGTTGATATATACCTGTGTTGTATCAATGTCATATGCAGGACATCAGCCGCATATCCAAACACAAAGAACCCATCTTCTAGTCCCCAGACTCTGCCAGGCGCAGAGACTTGTGGTAGTGCCCATCGAACCCATGCTTTCATTGCCAGTCTGAAAATCAGCACAACGCCGACAAGACCTGTTAATGCCTGTATATACAATATTAGACAAGACACGCCGTGTGGGTGTATACCAACATACCCAACAAGCCCTAAATGTGTCGGTTCCTTCTGAGGTTAGCAATACTCGGGAAGATCACTGCCGACGGACACACTTACCGATATTGATATCGCCTTCGTTGGGGGGAGGGATGTCCATCTTATCGCAGCCGGTGCAGTCCTGGGTAATACAAGAGCAGATATTGTGTCAAGTCGAAGCTCAGTTCAGTATACGACTCGTGGTTTGAATGTGATAGCGGAATATCGTGCTCATTTATTTACATCGGGCATGAAGCTTGTCGACAGGGATATCCACGGAACACAACCTAAGATAGGAAGATATTTAACCTGAAGATGCAGCTGCGGGGTGGTTCTCCATGAAAACGAGTGCGAAAGATCGAATTTGATATCGCGATGTGTTCTATTTTATCTACAGACGACTAGAGTTCAAGAAAAACGAAGGGAGAACCTTGACCAAAGCCCTGTCTGGAAAAGACTGCAAGAGAAAAGTAACGCAGTGGTCTGTGCTATTCCACAGGACAGACTCGACGGGCTTCTCCGGAGCAGTAATGGGGTATTTGGGTAGAGTCTAATTCTGCCGATTCGAGTGATGTTCCTGCAGGAGATCATAAAACATTACAGAACGCGATATGTCGCGGTAAGCATCACTCAGAACCATCACATAAGTTTGGTAGGAAGACAACGAATAGCATGCATCACAAATTCTAATTAGCAGATCGCTTATTGTATGGAATTTTGGAAGGTCGGCCTAATTTTTCTTGTTTCTTGTTTCTTTTGTTTTTCTTCGTGCAACAGTGATCGGAGAAAGTAGCGTGGACTTTTTTGCCTTGCAGAGCTCATTCGGCAGAGACCTCGCACAAACTCCAGTATCCATATTTCCTGTATTGAGCCAATCTGCTCTGAGAGTCGGAGTCTGCGCCGACGTGAGGAATGTTAGCCCAGCAAGGAGTGCGTGCTTGGCAGATGCAAGGGAGGAAGTGATGATTCTCAAGAGTCGATCTCGTGACGCTACGAAATCTGGGTCTGCCAACACGTAGTAGCATTACCGATTAGGATAGATCAGCTATTGCTATCTAGTTAGCTATTCGGCTATTCAGTAAAAGGCATTATCATTGGCACTATTAAGTCAGCTGTAACTGGCGACGTCGCTTGTCACTCAAAAAAGCAGTGATGTGTTGAGTAAATCCCGGACAGCCCGGTTAGATCGAGCCGGACCGATCAAGGGATGTGTCATACAGCAACACGCCAATCCCACAAACTAGGCGAATCAAACGCTACGGGGGGAGAGAAAGAAATTCCGCGTCAGTCAGAAAATCAAAATAATATAGAAAGTTGGCTAGCAGGCAGATAGGGCTCTCTAGTACTGCAAAGACAGGCGAAAGGCTTGAATTTCGGAGGCTTCGGAGGTCCAAACACAGGCACAAACTGAGAATCTGCAGAGGGCTCTGTGAACTGCCGATAGTGTGGATGATCCCTTGCAGATCTCACTACGTGTCTTTTTTTCTTTTTTTGTGTGTGTGTCTAAACTCACATCGCACATTTTAATTGGTTTCCAACGACAAGTTAGTTTAAGATAGTTGGAGATCGATTTTAAATTCTAGCTTCATGGATGTGTTGTTAATGCATGAATTATTGCATGGTTCTCAACAAGACGAACTATATTCCAGGCAGAATATTAATTACATCGGCTCATCCTTCCGAATAAATTCTGAGTTCGTGTCTGTCACATTCGACATAGATACTTTGAACTTTAAATTTTCGGGTCACAATTAGGGCTTCACCAACCATGCTACTGTGAACAGCGGGATTCTAGTAGCAAGCAACAAAAGTCACGCCAATCACATTCACTGATGTGAAATAATCCAGGAAAATGTATTCGTATTTTTCTTGTAAAGATCATATCATGGATCACATCGTATAATCAATTCGTGAAAAATAAGCTATAATTTCCTCATCTCAATCAACCCCTCTCCGACCTCAGGATACGATTCGAAAGTCACTTTAAGACCACTCAGTGCAGCCAGTCGCTTCCATTCCGCGCTGGCTCGCAATCTCCCACCGTACAACGTAATCATCGTCGCATGCATCTTGCCATAATTCTTGTTCTTGGTGAACTCATGAATGAGTAGCCTCGAATACGGCGCCATCGCCCGCGAGACTTTCTGCATAAGCTCTAGAGCGTCTAGATCGGGCAAATTATGGAATATATGGGTTAGTGAATAATTCAAAGCACCCTGTACAGGCTGCGGGGTGTCTGTCTTGAAGTTCCACTCCATTTGTGTCACCCCAGGCACACTTCCAATATCTGGGTTGAACTCCTGTAACACCAATGCAGATGCTGGGAGATTAGGATAGGCTTCCTTAAGTTCTAACAGCATTTCTCCTCGACCACCACCAATATCAACCATGGCAACGGGACTCTCTCTTCCCGACACTGCGGTGTCGAGATCATAGCCAAAGGATTTGACGCGCCCTGGCATCTTACCGAACTTACCAAATTTGCCCTCCATGAATTGGTTGAAGCTGTCCATGCGGCCCTGACGAGCCATGATAGAGTATGTATGCTCTTTAGCTAGCTCAGTCTCACCCAGTAGCTGGTATCCATACTGCGTTGGGGTTCCCAGCTCTTTGAATGGGTATTCAAAGTTGCTGTCCACTAACTTCCGCATCAAAAAGGCGGCAGCAAAGAGAGGCTCGGTTGTGCTAGTCAACTAATCAGTTTTCACTTTATGGAAAACAGCGAAAGGAGTATAGTTGTACAAATGCAGAGCTCCATGCTGGGCTGATGGCATGTGAACCATGTGCTGTGTGATGCTATTTGCTGCGTAGATATCATCTTCGACCAGCTCAACCAGGCCAATTCCAGCCATGGCAAAAAGGGTGTCATCTTTGAACGTTAGAACATCTTCATGCACACGTGTTTGATCGTTGCAGCATACGTGTCAGCTGGGAGCCTATTAGAGTCAGCATTGCTTTCATGAGTGTCTGTCTGTACAGAGATGCATACATAGTGGAGCACATTCCTTGTCCTGGGCGCTCCGCCTGTGATTACACGCATCAGTGATCTCCTGCGACGACGCGAGCTTGCCTATCTCAACGAGAGTGCTGAAAAGATTAAAATAAATCGCAACAGGGACGAAACCCAGTGCTGCAGGCTAGAGACGCGTAAGTCGAGGAATAACAGAGAGTCTAGACAGCCGACTCACAGCAGTGACTGTTGACGCGAGAACTGCGCCGGGGGGTGGTGAGTTGGGCATTGTTGCTAAACTCATAATCTTAATCAGTTGCTGACCAAACTCTGATTATTCGGTTGCTACACGTCTCTTATGAAACTCCGAGCAGACTCTCTGTATGGACCGAGCGTGTTCGAGACTTCGAGGATATCCTTGCCAAGGGAGCCGCGTGGCATTATGCAAGGGGTATCACCACGCGAAGACTTCTGACTTCGAAGTTCATGTTGACAAATCTTGGACGGGCTTGATTCCCTAATGATCAGTAGTAAACTAATTTTTTAGTCCATAGCCCGATTGATTAAGCGTATCAGACAAAGGCCTTGGGCGTGGTTGGATATTCTCGCAAATTCCCATCCACTCACGATGATCGCTCTCAAGCTCAAGAACGCGACTCCCAGCTGAAAAAGGCTAAAGTTAAGATACCATCCTTCGCCTCAATTTTCGAAATTAGCCCGGTGATGGGGGCGTCGATCCGGCATATGTGATAGGTCAATCAAGGGCGCTCCCAGCCCTCCGCAGCATCGGTTCTGGGGGGATCTTTGTTGGTCCACTCGGAAATCCTCCAGCAGCATCTTATCCTGATCCTGGCTAATTTCAGGCCCTGAATCGCGACTATCGATTCTGTGGCAATAATCATCCCACCTTTTTGGTACGCGTCGTCATGGTGTCCAAGTTCCGCTAGTTGGTCGGAGTCCGGTCTGTCCATACTCCATTGTCGTATCACAGCACAGGCCACCCAACAACAACATGATTTTCGTACATTTGTCATATCAAAGACGCATGGGCAGAAGTTCTAATTCCTGAGTCAGTAAATTCTTGGCAAGCATATTTCCTATGTTTAGACTGCGGTGATTGGCTGCACTCGGAGATAGGCAGACCAAACGATGGACAGAAAATTCAACATGCATATACCCTGTACTACAACCGTCATCGCAGGGACGAGGCATATAAGTCTGGAATAGACTTTAACCGGGGCCAACTTCGCGCATCAGCCCAGTAGGAACCCAGTTAGTCCTGAACATCCCAACATGCTACGATGATACGACCTCTTCGTATACGAATGGAAGGACATGTTAGCGTCCCAGCCCAGAGCCGCGTCTAGATGGTTCACTTCACGCCAAAGTTTGTGAAACTTTGCGAAGCTTTTTTCCCTGTCATTTTTTCCCCGTTTTCTGATAAATCGACGCTGTCACGACTCGCATTAGTCGTGACATATCTCGCTTTGATCGATCTCTCTCCGCAGATTGGCCCATATCCACTGTCGGAGAAAAGCCATGTGGCATCGGGCGAACTGATTTGGACGCATATATCCCTTGCCATGTGGTTTTTGCTGGAATAAATATCGCTGATCCCTTGTTGTTCTCGCCCATCTGCTATCCAAGAGACTTATCCAATATCCTCCGCATTGGTCCAGATCAGCTGATGGCAAGGAAGACTTCCTGCTTGGATAGTTGTACTAGATAGTCATACGGTGGTCGCGTCTCTTGCACATTCACTGTTCACCTCTTCATCCGTTGTCAACACATTCCCCGGTACATATTACTTGTTCTCCGACGCCATGGCAAACAAATTATCTGGGACCAAGGCCGACTACACAAGTCCTCGAATCAGCCAGAGTGCGCTACCGGAAGATGCTGAGCTTAGTGAATGGCAAGCTGCTCACAGCGTCCAGTGTCACGATGCAGTCGCAATGACGAACCCTCGGCACTGGAGCCTCGCTAAAAAGCGATTGGTGTTTGCTGCATTGATCTCCAGTTCGCTGCTTGCTGATGGGTATGACGATGTCCGTCCTCTCCAATAAAGTTTAATTTACTGACACTGGCTTGTAGAGGAATGACATGGGGTGCAACGCTGGTCGTCACCCAGGCTATGCAGTGGAACATCAGCGTGGATCATTCCTCAACCAGTTTGAACTATGGCATTCTGCTTCAAGGATTTGGCGGTATTTTTGCTGTACCGCTCATTGAAGCTTACGGGAGGTAAGAAAACTCATATTCAAAGATCTCGATTCAATTTTTTTCTGATTCAATGTCAGGCTTCCGGTGTGGTTTTGGAGTCAGGTAATTACCATGTTCATGGTTCTTGGAGCAACGCTATCTACATCATGGAGCGTTTTCACTACTTTTCGATCGCTTCAAGGCTTGTTTGGCACTGTTCCCCAAGTCGTCGGGCTCCCCATAATCTACGATATGTACGAACCAGAAGACTGGCCTCGTATGATCAACATCTGGTACACTCTAGTCCACCATAATACCACGATATAATCTAACCTTCCACAGGGGAACCACCTTTCTTGTCGGACCATTCATCGGACCTGCACTCGCAGGCTACATCCTCGATGGCAGCCACAACAAATGGGACATCTCCTTTGCAGCCCTGACAGCACTCTACGGCTTTTCCACTCTCCTTATAATCCTCTTCGGATACGAGACCTACCACGCAAAACGACTTGCCTTCCCCCATTCATTCCGGTCTCGGGTCTACTCGCTTTTCGGCATCGGCAATACCAAGCTCCCCAAATGCGCCACACTAGCTACTGAGTCTAAAACACTACTCAGGCTCATTTTCAGACCCCCTCTCCTTCTCCCTGGCATTGCCACAATGATCAATTTCTGCTGGCCGATCGGAATCACCACGACAGTCGACACATTTCTCCATTCCCCGCCCTACCTCTTCAACACCGTGCAAGCCTCCTCCATGCGTTTTGCTGGTGTCATTGGGGCGCTAAGCGGTACATCCCCTTCCCATTAATCGCAAATCACAACATGTATATAAATCTAACTTGTAATCCTCAGGATATGTCTTTGGCTACTTCTTCAACGACTGGATCTACAACCACCACCTCCGCCATCACCACCCCGACACCGCTCACCAGAAAGACCCGGAAAACGCCCGATCCGAAAACGACAGCGAGCACAGCGGTTCCATCAGATTGTCCTCCTCCTGGCGTGCCGAGTACCGACTGCACGGCGTCTGGTTCCCCATCGCCTGTCTGGCCCTAGGCCTCGTCGTATACGGTCTAACGCTTAACTTCGCCAAGCACTGGATCGGGCTTGCGTTTGGCTGGATAATGGTAAATCTAGGCATGATTGCGACGACAGTGTAAGTAGCTACCATCACAGGTAGTATACTATACTTGTGTACATCTGCTAATATCTTTGTTTTAAAAAAGGGCAATAACGGCCTACGCCCTGGAAAAATTCCCCTCGCATTCGACCTCCGTCAGCGCGATTATTAATATGTGGCGCACCTGTGGCGGCTTTTCGGTTGCTTATTTTCAGGACGAGTGGATTAAGAGGAATGGCGTGGGTGTGGTGTTTGGTATACAGGCGGCGGTGGTTGTGGCGGGGCTGTTTGTGACTATTGTCCCGATAATGGTATTGGCGAGGAGGAAGTAGAAGATACTGCGCTGTAAGGGTGGCCAAGTGGGTGTTTTGATGTGGAAGACGAGGATGGTGGTGTATATAGTTTGTCGTTTGAGGGGGCTGACTTCATCTTGTAATTTATTCAGGGCTGTGATGGGCATGTATATGAATTGACGTGAATTAGACTATTGAAATATTTTATTTTATCTTTATGACTTCGTTGTTTAACTTCTTGCAGGCTGATTGAAAATATTTGATTAATTCTAAGATAATCATCTTTCCCATCCCAGGTAATATTGAATGATAGATAGGATTCACTCTCAAATATACGCCAATAAAATAATATGCGTCAAATCGAATATTCGTTATACATAAAATAGAAAGAATATGTTCAATTAGAAAGAAAAGACAAATCCATCACTCCATAAGTATGGATTATCCATATAATTTCGCAATTTGTTTGCTTCAGATCATTCCGGTGCAATTCCATCTTTTGGATTCCCCTGGAATGTCTCGGGGAAAAACCCCGGTGGAGGCCAGATATCTGCAATTGACATGGCCGTAGGTAAAACTAGAGGGCGTGATCCGACTAAGCGATCGGGGTCATGGCAGAATGCTTGGAAGGTGCTGTCGTCCACGAAACCGAACTCTCGGAGACCCTCTTCACGGCTATTTGCCCAGTCCGTGGTGTCAAGATATGCTAGCTCTTTGAATATGGAATCGAGATCGTTTGGGGATGATGATGCCTCGTCCGTCATGTAGGCTCTTCCTTGGCCGACGCTAAATCCTCTGGGGGCGGTAGGGAATCGTTCCGTGGAGTCGGGGATAGTGGGTTGGAGGCTGGTTGAGTCTGGTGTTTCGAGTTGGTGTGGTCGATGGTTGAGAAGGTGAGGGTCGGATGGTGGTGGTTCACCGCCCATCAGCTTACCGAGGATATCAGCTGCTCTTTGGTCCTGGCTTGCGGTGTCCATGGTTGCGGGGAGAGGATCAGTAGGTGCATTATAAATCCCTCCTTGAATGGGAATGTGGCTAGAACCCCAGTTCGTAGCTGGGTTATGCCTGCTGTCCGCTGATGTTTGGCTAGGCTCGCGCATGTTGCTATACGAGGGTACCAGTTTGGAGTCATTAGTATAGTACTGATCCCCGATGTCAGAGGTTCCAATTGGCCTCTGTTGCTTCGACGGATATGTGCTAGATGCGTTGTAGAGAAGACTCGAGAGAGAATCTCCCAACGCTTTGAAGACCGGCCATGGAAGACCAAATTCAGTAAGTTTCTGAGCGAACATATTCATCCACTTTGAAACAGGGAATCCGGCCGTTTCTAATTTCGAACGTACGGATGTCACCGATTCAATAATCGAGCGCAATGGAAACTCAAATAACGGAGGAAGTCCGCATACTTGAAAGTTTTCCATGTGCTGTGAGAGGACATCAAGGGTGCGATAAAGGATCTTCTTGATGCCCTCAAAGATAGGTTGAGAATTGCCTTGCATGAAGTGGCCCTGGTTCAGCTGTCTTACGTAGAGGAAGAGCAGTGTTGCTGCGTAGACAATATAGAGGTAGCTCTGGTGGGGGAGAAGAGCCGAGGTGTTTTCGACATGATCACTCTTGGGGCCAATTAAATGACAACCTGCTGGAAGACGGTCATCCAAGGCCGTGAGATCTATAAGTATTTGTTGAACAAACACCTGGGCGTTCGTCGCCTGGGGGAAATCCCAAGCAATCTTGTTGAGGACGCTAGTAAGCTCAAACAGACGATTGAAGCAACTGAGAGCCAGTAGAGGGCCGCGATGAGGTGCATTTATGCTCTCAAATGCTGCTCGTGACGGTAAGACATCCACCCAAGAATTCCATTCCTCGAGACCATCTTCTTCAAGACGCCCAGAGGAAACTACATCATTTGCTCGTAGACATGGAGATCGGGAGAGGCGAATGGAAAGGATAGAGTCGATAATGAAACATCCCATAAATGCCGCTTTTCGTTGCCGCGCATCGTCTGAGCGACTATCTAAATGCTTTGCCAACTTCATCGCTTCTGCCAATCTAGCCGCCTGGCCACATAACAGCCATGCAGCAGTCCAGTCCTCCAGCCCCACGTTGACCAAACTAAGCAATAACAGAGCCTGTATATGTCCGAGGTCGAACTTTTCTTTCTCCGAAGGTATCAGGCTTCGTGCGACGGAATAGAATTCTCTAGCTTGAGCCAAAGGGTCATGTATGAAGGTCCCATTCATCTGAGTATTCCTATACTCTTGTCCTGTTGTATAGCTTAATATTGCCCAGAGCGCAGCGTGGTCTCCTGAATTCGTAGTTTGGTTTCCTGTATGCGATGCCCCATTTGCATACAAGTAGGATGCGCGCAAAATATTGTGTTTTGGGATGATTGGAAACCATGGATGGGTCTTTGAGAAATACGTCTCGAGCAATTGAGGCGCGTGAGATGGAAGCTGCAAGCTCTGTACGGTATTCCTCTTGTCTGGATATATCGGCAAACTGCTCTCCGTGGCTGACGACAGCCTCTGCCTCTTAGCCATTGGAGATGGTGATATTGGATCAACAACTCGCGGACCTTCAACTCCCACCGCATCCGCACCACGTCCAACACGAAACCCCCATCGACTCAAAGCTCCATAGTACGCGCCATCGTCTTCCTCCTCCCGCGGCCTCTTCGCCGGCGATTGCGTCTGCTCCAGCTCTCCCGGTGACAACATTTTTTCCAATGCTGCGCATACCCGACTCGATTTCCAGGCCTCATGCAGACTATCCGACGAACCGTCATCCGTCCATAGCGCCATCAATCGCTCTCGTCTTCCCTTGGCCCGCTCCGTGGCCCCCAGCATCGTCAGCATGGTATCTTCAAAGCCTTCGATGTTGCATATCGACAGCGCCCATAACTTCTCCAGTCCCCGCACATAGCCTTCCGGTAAACCCCGCTTTCTCGCATTTGGGTCGTACGAGCAGGTCAGCCCCGATGCCTGACACGCCGAACAGGTCGGTCGGATTCCATCGCATTTGTCTTTCTTTGTCCGGCAGCGATCGCATGCCCGCGAAACCCTTTTGCGACGAGGGCCTTTGGTATCCGCGCCCTCATCCATCGAGGGTTATTTATAACCTCCAGCGCATGGCAGGTTCGTAGAGTATCCAATTTTTCGTTTGGACAGAGTTTGTGATTCTTTGGCGACTTCTAGAAGTTGGAGGAGTTGCAATTGTCTACTCGACAGCTAGAGCGCCGGGAGGGGAAGAAACGGGTCTGATTGCAGTTGAGACTGATGAGATCGTACAAAGGTTTTCGAGTTATTTCTCGCAGGCACGTAAGGCGCGCCGAAACTGTGCATATGTTTAGGAGCTCGTTTGCAAGGAATAGAAGAATAGAATGTTGCATAGCAGCTATTACTGAGAAGGAACGTTCCGCAGAGTCTCGGCAGACAAGTACCATGGGGCTTTGGCTACGGCAGAGTACAAACACCACACCCGCAAGGCCGTATTGTCTTGTCATAATATTCTTTCCACTCGTATTTAATAAAAGCCACGCACCCTGTATTGTAACATACACTCCAAATTACGCATCAGAGCCGGTTTGATTTCCTCCCGGTTATTAACTAGAAACACAAGTTGGAAGCATCATATCAACAACTACTTTTGTATTACGGCTAGCTTATACTATTTAGAGAAGCTAAGTTTTCTAAGAAGAACACTCTTTGAACTTGAGGCACAGAATATCAAAATGGGTAGAGCCATGCCCAAGTGATATATATTCGCCCGCAACCAACAAGAAGTATCTCGGTCTATTTCAAGACACTGCTTACAGGTACATACTATCGACCACCATGGCCCCTCTAAATATCACCGCATTTGCAGAGGCCTGGACAGCCCTTTACGCACACTTCAATGCCATCGGCTATCTTCCTTCGAAATCCGTGGTCTATCCCCCATTCTCACCAGCTCTGCCACTGGTGCATGATTCTATCGACCTGCATCCATTAATCCTAGAACTGTTACCAATTATTCCACATCCTGTATCGTACGAGGTATCGTGCAGTTTCGAGGTTCTTCCGAATACTCAGGCGGTGCCGTATACTGAGCATACCAGCCTGCAGCTTTCCCGTGACCCGCTCAAGTATTTTCTCGATGGGATTGTGGACGAGGAGTATGTGACAAAGGAGTTGAGCGCGGAGGAGGTTCTGTTGACTACGCAATTGCCGTATGGCCGGTCGTTGATTCTGAACGTTGGTAGTGGTCAGCTCATACATAATATAATCTTTACATACGACTGACAATCCACAGGCACACTAAGAGAATACTCTACAAGCGAATATCCTCCCGTGCAAGAGGACAAATTAGTAGTACCCGAGGATCCCTACGATTACCGCAACTGGCCACAGCTACCTGCCGTCGAGACTGTGTGGTCGTATGTTCGCAAGTTTGAGGGTCTGGAATGGATTGCATTCTGCGGTGATGTAGAGGGAGGGATAATTGAGAGCTTTGGTCATGAGGTTAGAATGATGTTGTACACTTGAGTGCGCAATTAGGTTTGGCTGACGAAATGTATAGCATCCAGAGCTCAAACGAATCCTCATCGACGAGTATGGCTGGCCAGACGCGTTTAGGAGGGATGATTGGATTCGAGAGAGAGATGGTATACACAATCGATTGGTGAAGGAGTATTACGCGCAAGACGAGTATATTCGGGAACGGATTATAGAATATGGTATATATGGACCAAACGAGCGACTTAATACAGGTGAAGCCGCGTTGCTGTATGATATGGCCAGATGGAATAGGTAAGCTGTATTTAATACATCCAGGGTCATATACAATATACAAGCGGTGGTAGGTTTTAAAATATGACAATACATAACCAACTTACGAGATGAGCTGTGTGGTCCCCCGTACCCGGACCCCGAGTCTCCGCATTATGGAACGGTCGCTTGGTTGACCTGCTAATGAGTAGCTAACAACAATACTCTCTCTTACTCGGGCATGTTTTGAATATAATAAGTTCAATAGAGCTCCTTGCCGCCGATTTAACTTTATGGATAGGCTTAGGCTAGGTTTGGCTTCTATCTGAATGGAGACTCTGATATAATCACCATACCAGTAGATGGATGTCATTGCGGATAAGGACTTAGCCAGCTACTGACACCACATCTGATGCGACTGGCCTTGTTCCTTGGCAAGGAAGCACAAATTGTTCATAGTCAAGACTATCTCAGGAGCTCTTTAATCAAATTGTATTTCGGATTGTCGTGTTAATAATGGAATGGTCTGGACATGCAGGGTATAGGTACCAGAGCGCAGTGGGGCGGCAAAAGTTTTAGCCCATCTTACTCGCCAGACTCGGAGTGCCGCCTTCCCTGGAACAATGGTCACACTGTCACTACGCTGATATAGTACGAGCACATCTAAACGAAGAGATATATGCTGCACCCACTCATGACAGACCGTTTCATGAAACCATGAAACGCAGGTGATAGATGTGATAGATGTGACAGATGTCTCCAATCCCACTGCGCGCAACGCCGGCCGCCAAGATGCATGCGCCTATCTCCAAACGGAACTTCAGTCCAGATGCCTCGCTGGTTCTGGTGGGTATTCGAGGCTCTGGCAAGCGGTCTCTGGGGTTTATTGCTGCCGCCGCCTTGAATCGCAGATTCATCACAGAGGACTATTATTTCAAGGAAGTCACTGGTCACACCCGCCATGAATTTCTTCAGAAGTTCGGAAGCCATGAGTTCCAGCGCAGGGATATTGAGGTGCTCAAGATGATGCTCAATAATCACCGCTCTCACTGCGTGATTGAGTGCGGCTTGGGGAGCCTGACTCGCGTGATTCAAGAACATCTCCGCCAGTATTCGCAGACTAATCCTGTGGTGTATCTGCTGCGAGATATGGACCAGATTCAGCGGTTATTGCGGCTGCAGGACTCCTCTGCAAAGCGTCTTGAGAATGGTGACCCGTACCACCGGACCTGCTCGAATTTCGAATTCTATAACCTAGAAGAGAATGGTGCGCTGGGTTTGTCGCAAGATGAAGACTCGCCGGACCGACGTTCTGTCAACTATTCATTCAAGTTGAAGGATGCAAAGGAGGATTTTACACGATTTGTTAGATTTATTACTGGGGCCACGACTACTGATCCTGGATTTGATTCTCCCTTTGTGTTGCTTGAAACGCCGCCTGAAAAGCGATCATATACTCATTCTGTGTTTGTTCGACTGTCCTCAATCGACAGTGATGAAGTTGATCTTTCGAAATTAGAGTCTGGGAGTGATGCGATTGAGCTGTGTATAGACTCGTGGAACCCTGACGCTGTCAGTGCTGTGGCCAAGCATGTGTCGGTGTTGCGTAGGATTGCCAAAGTCCCCATCATCTATTCAATCGACATTCGCGCACTGGATATTGACCCGCATAATTCGCAGTCAGAGAACACCCGTGATGTATACTTCCAGATCATCGAGTATGGCCTGCGCCTCGGAGTTGAGTACCTGTCCATCGATCTCGGTCAAGACCATACCCGACTAGTCCAGGTTGTACAAAACCGAGGAATGACGAAAATCATTGGACATTATATGCTGGAACCATCTTCAGGTGTTTCTTGGGAAGACGACACTTGTCTATCAATCTATTTAGAGGCCGAGCGGTTGGGCTGCCAACTCGTGCGAATCCTGCGTACCGCGACGACGCGAGACGACAATGACTCTGTCCGCAAATTCGTCGATCGCATAAAGTCACTGTCAGGCACTCATCCGCCAATAATTGCATTCAATGTGAGCTTGATTGGGCGGAGCTCGCAGGTTTTCAACTGCAACCTGACCTCGGTCACTCATCCTGCGATACCACGCCATTTACAAAAAGACAACGACCCCCAGATCACATCCCAAGACGCCGTTCGCGCGCTATGCCAGAGCTACATTCTAGACCCGCTCAAATTTTTCATCCTCGGAGCCAGCGTCGCGTATAGTATCTCCCCAGCCATGCACAATGCTGCATATCGCAGCTGCGGCTTGGAGCACGTCTATCGTATCCCCGATAAACCGTCTGTTGCGAATCTAGACGAATGGCGACACGACCCTCACTTTGGAGGCTGCAGTGTCGTCCAGCCTTGGCGAGTCCAAGTGGCAAGCCAACTGACCTACAAAAGCCGTCACGTCGAAGCCATCGGTGCCATCAACACAATAATGCCATTACGTGCAAGCGCAGACGGGAATATATACCCGCTCCTCGAACAAGCCAGTCGACGTAACCAAGCCGGACGTATCGCTGCCTGGTGGGGGGAGAATACGGACTGGATCAGTATCATGGTCTGCCTGCGACGCAACCTATCGCCTCGAAATGCCATCAGTCCTGTCAGAACCACCGGCTTGGTGATTGGAGCTGGCGGCATGGCACGCGCCGCCATATACGCGATGCTGCAGCTCGGCTGCCGCAAGATTTTCATCCTCAATCGGACGCTCTCCCGTGCAGAAGAAGTTGCGCGGCATTTCAATTCGTGGGTTGCCGCTGAACACACCGAGTCCGGGGCCGCGGTGGTGCGTGTTTTGCGCTCAGCCGATGAGCCCTGGCCCACGGAATTAGCGTTCCCATCGATGATTGTTTCGAGTGTACCGGAATCAAGCGTGCAGGACCGGCCACCGGCAAATTTTGTCATGCCTGAGCAGTGGCTGGGGAGTCCAAGCGGCGGAGTTGTTCTCGAAGTAAGCCAGCCCCTACCTTAATTTCATAGTTTATACCCATTGAAGTCTGCTACTAACGATAATGACCAGCTAAGCTACAAACCATTAAACACGCCCCTGCTAAACCAACTCCGTCGCTACAGAGCCGAAACCGACTCGCCATGGGTTCTTGTTGATGGTCTCGAGATTGTCGCGGAGCAGGGATTCGCGCAGTACGAGTTGATGACGGGTCGCAAGGCGCCGCGGCGGTTGATGATGACTGAGGTCCTGCGCAATTACGTTGCTGAGGACGGGCCTCTGGGGGAGAAGACGATCAAGGCGCGGTTGGAGATGTTCACATAATATCTATTATACCATTTCTATCATATCTATTTGCATATACGGCGTAGGAGGTCTGGGTTGTATATAACTAGACAATAAATCATTCACAATAAATCTATTGATATCATAACAATAAATAGTAATAAATAATAATAAGCCCACAAGAAGTACCTGAAGATGGCCTGGGGCCGTTCCTAGCGTGCCCTATTCGGGTTAACTGCTGGGGCCGCGAGTGATTAATCAGTGCTTAGCGTTGGTTATCATCTGATCGGGCGCCGTGAATTATTCCGACGACCAGTGTTCCCTCCTCCTCCTCTGTGCTTCAATGTTCATGTTCCTTTCAGCTGCCTGCTCCAGAATAATGAGCCAGTGTTGACTAGAGATCTGGAATTTCAAGTCGGCATACTACTCAGGAGAGACCAGCGATATAGACAGACAAGCATTCTGCAGGGAATAGTCAGAGAAGACCTGACAGAATCAGCTCTGCGACGAGTATGCACATTCCAGATCCCAATGCCTTCGAGGTATCTACGACTGCGGCGGCGTTGAAGAAGAGGAAGAGAGATGTGAGAAGTGGGTTATGGGGTGCAGAGAACATTGAGGGGTAAGTACCTTTTCTTGATTATATTCTTATCTATATTTGATATATTGGCATTCCTTCTAACGATGATACAGAGGCGTCCCCTTTCAACTTGATTACCAAGATATCAACATGCTCGCTCCTACGCCACGCTTCATCCCCGAATCACAGTCCGCCGCACCCCCTCGACCACAATGGCTACAATTCCAACAACCAAACGCCACATCAGCAACACAAAAGAAACGGAAGATCCTACAACCACACTCAACACGTCCCCCCCAACCCAACATCCGCCCACACTCAAACGGCCATACTCAAAACCTGCATCTCGACCCTAAAAAACCCTCGCCGCCGTCCCTCACCATCCCCTCGTTCAACAACCATCGTGACCCAGCTTTCTCGGGGACAGACGAGGACCTGGTTTCACCACGCACAACCACATCGCCAGAAAACGCCCTGACACCACGGTCAACCATGCCACCGCCCGTGCTTAGGCCGTGCCATGTATGCCATCGCAAGCCGTCAACCAAAGTCATGCTCGATGCGTACGCGGACTGCGAGCTGTGCGGTCAACGCGCCTGCTATATATGTCTACGAGAATGCAACTCTCTAAACTGCAGCAGCATCTCCGACGCTGCGAATGAGTATCAGGGAAATACTGCGGGGATTGAGATTAGACGTGACGATGGGTACTTGCACACGCGGCCCTCCAATGGGGTTTCAGCCACTGTGCCATCGAGAAAGATTTGCTCGTGTTGCGCGGTCGAGGGACTGACGGACATGGGCGAGGAAATCGTCTGGTGTTTGGACTGTGTGCGGCGGGAGGAAACGAATCAGCAGTAATATCCTCCTTCCGAATTTAAGGGTGGGAACGTTCATGTCCATATTCTTTGGCATTAGCATGATAGACCAGGATAGACGCGCTCGATCAGTTGAGATTTGGTCGGGCTGGTTTATCCTGGGTTTACACGAATAGGTAATTCGCATGATATCACGACAGTTGCATGGTTGCTTGAGCATTATCCAACTTTCTATTTTTCATTCGTTTCTGGTTTCTTCATCTAGTTTCTTCTTCTGGCGTTGGTTGGATCGTTATATAGGTCACTAGATTAGCAGATTCTATTATACAGTATTTATATTCTGATCAAATCAGATCCATCTTTATCAATATGCGCTGTTCATCAATGCATTCTCATAATATACACGATCCGATCAATATGCATGCTGGTACATATACACAATTTCCAAATCTAAGGAGCGATGATGAATGAGAATTTTACCGACCAAACCTAAACGACGCCCTCGCATACCGCCACAGACCACGGAGAAACCCCTGATACTCGACCGTCTCCTCATCACTACCCCCCGCAATACTACTCGTCTTGTCCCCCGTACAGAAAATCTCGGTCAACCGGACCTGCCACGGCGGATAACCGTCGAGTTTGACACACGGGCCGAAAATAATCAGCAGATCAGGCTCCGATTTAACAGGGTGAAAGAGATCGGATGGCAGCATCGTGACCGTCTTTTCATTATTGAGGTCGAGAGGCGGAGCTGACTCCGAGGGCTGCGAGGTGATGTCGGTGATTTCCGCGTCAATCAGCTTCGTGCTGATGTCGTCCGGTGACAATTTGCCGTTTTGGGCCATTTCAGTTAGCGTTTTGGTCAGATCGACGAGCGTCTCGCGGCCGTCTGCCGAGGAGAGGAGGAGGATCGTGAGAGAGCCTGGTTTGGGCTTTTTGGTAGCAGAAGGATCGGATAGAGAAGGACAGTATGCGCCATGGTGAGGAGCGAGGATGCGCAGGTGTGGTTGGTTAGCTGGGGAGCCATAGTAGAGCGCGAATTTATCTGCAACGGCGCTGTGGAGGGCCGGAATGCATGATTTCAGTATCCCTGCAAATCAACGACACGTTAGTCCAGGTCCAGATTTAGTAGTAGAGGAGGATACCAACCTGTTCGTTCATACACACTCAACACCGGAATCCCAGCACACGTCGTCCACGCCGCCAATTCGGCAGTCTCGTCCAGCAGCGTGTGCAATGCGTCCTCGTCCTTGCGCAGCTTCAGCAGCACGCTCAGATGCTCCGGCAGACGGGACAGGCTCTTGACGTCCTTCTGGATCAGCTCTGGCGTGCGGTGGTGGTGGTATGTGATGGCCAGGATGCGGTCTGTCACGGCGGCGATGGTCTGCGAAATGCGCATGTAGAAGCCCAGGCAGAGATGGATGAGGACATAGATGACGCGGTAGACTTGCGACTTGAGGAATTTGCGTATGGGCTTGGGCTTGGGTTTCTGTTTCTTGCTGTTTCGTCGTGACGGCCCTGAGCTTACTGCTGCAGGCGTTGGGGGGGGAGGTACGGCTTCACGAGCTTCTCGCGTTCGGCCGCTGTGAGCTTTGTGCCGCGATGTCGGGCATCGTCGCGGAGGAGGTCCGCGTCTTTGGTGTATATCATGAGTTTCACAGTATGAGTATGGAGTAAACAACTGAGCTATTGTTGCAGTGGCCGTTGAGCTAGTGTAGTGCAATTAGGTGTAGGTGTAGTGTGGTGTAGTGAAGTGGAGCTAAAGTGTAGAAATAGAAACCAGATCATCATCCGTAGTAGAAACTAGAAAGTGGCTGCTCCGCCACTTAACAACGTCCTTAAACTCTGACCACGTTGGTGCCGAGGCAGGTCGGCTGCCTCCGCACGATACTCGGTTGCCTGTACTATGGTATAATTATATACTGTATGTCGAAGATTGTATGGAGAGCAGAGATGGGATGGCGCTGATCAGACAGATCAACCATCAGACGCTTGTGCTTAGCCTGACAGGTTTTGGCGCTATGATACCACTATACAGCATTAGATACTTGTATCAGTTGCGTAGCAATATTCAAGCCGTAGATCTAACTCCTAGTAACAGCTTCTTAACGTAGAAATAAGCATCACACTGTTAAGGCGAATGGTTGGTAAAGTTGAAGCATAGCGGAAGGTGGCTTGGTCTGCGACCTTCCCGACTCCGCACCGCACCAAGTCGAGTCTCACCATGACATCTCACCACCACCAAGTCACTAATCAATGCTTACCCACGATACGATTGGCAATTGATTATCCAGAAATCGGAAAAGAGAAAAGAAAAAGATATATATGCCGCCTCCATGATGCCCGAGAGCTCGTCCACAAGCTCGCACTCCCACCATCCCTCGCGCACCCTCTACCCCAAAGGCCCAAGCTTCGACCTCGAGTACTTCTCTGGTCGCGACTACATCGTCAAAGACTTCGTCGAGTCCCTTTCTGACGGCGCCATTGCCACTCGCCGGTCTGCCGGTGGAGCAGCTGGCGCCAACCAAGCCTTCGACCCGAAACCCCTCATCCGCACCTTCGAGCACGCCCAAGGCACACTGAACGATCTGCTAGGCGATCTCGAGATCAGGGAGAATGAGCTGTCGGCCGCTGTCCGCAGGGCAGAAGCCCAGCATGCACAGAACCTCAATACCCTCGGCCGCAAGCTGAACCACACCATCGAGTCATTTCAGAAACTGGATACCTCGCTGAACGGCGCTGGCCTGTCGAAAGCGACGGATGGGAATATGGCGGTGGAAACTGGCAAGAGACTGGAGGAGCTGGACCGGCAGCGGCGACGGGCCCTCGATGCGCATTTCCTGATCGAATGCTGGGACGAGGTCAGCAATCGCGGCGATATCACGAAGCTAGAGACGCTGCGGAGGTCGGGCAACAGCGAAGGGAAGCTTCGAGTGGCACATATCGCCAAGCAACTGCTTCGAATCAGCCAGAGACTCGATCCGAAGAGCTGGAATGATAATTCAAATGGAAGCTACGGGAATGGCGAGTTGTCGCCGGCGCTGAATGGCAATGGTGGTGACAATCTGCCGAAGAAGAATACGAGGGAAATCATCGAGAAGTTCTCGGAAACGCTGGAGAAGGATCTGCTGAAGCAGTTCGATGACTTTTACCGCAAGGCGAATTTTGAGGGGATGAAGGAGTGCGCGTCTGTGTTGAGAGATTTCAATGGAGGTGCCAGCGTCGTGGCGCTGTTTGTCAATCAGCATCAGTTCTTTATCGACAGGAGTCAGTTGGTGACTGAAGAGGTTGGCGGGGATGCAGAGACGTGGGAAAAGCTCGCGGATCCAGACACTGACCCGCCTGGCGTTGAGCCTAGTTTGCAGTCGCTGGTCGACGATGTCAAGGTGGTTGTGCAGGATGAGTCGGCAATTATTCGTCGCGCATTTCCGTATTACGACGAGGTCTTGGGCAGGTTCCTGCAGCGTGTCTTCCAACAGTCAATTCAACAGAGGCTTGAGATGGTTTTGGAAAAGGCAAGCGAGGTTTCGTCCCTTGCGTTTCTACGCTCACTGCAAAGCTCACGCGGCTATCTCAATACGTTGGTGGATGATCTGAAAGCTCATGGTTTGACAGAAGCCCCGGATTCTATCGCGTCTCAAACTGCCATCTTACTTGATCAACAGTTGGAAGACTTATTTGTCCCGTACTTTGTTGGATCTTCTTATATTGAGCGAGAAAGAAAGAATCTAGAGGAGCTTTACGCGTCCTTGCTCTTCAAATTCACAGCCTTCCATTCGCGACGAAAAAAGACTGCTACTACATTCATGGCGTCGTTGGCAAAAAGTGGCAGCGAGCTGCTTACCTCTGCTAAGGAATCGTATATCTATAGACTCGACTCATCTGAATCCACGCCTACGCAACGCCAGATGCTTTTGAGGGTTGCCGGGTTGAAAGACCCCGGTGATGTAAGTAAACCAACAGAGCCGGAGCTTACAGAGCAGGATGGGGTGCTTTCTGTGAGCTATGCAAAGCGCATGCTTAGATGGCTAGCTGAAGGTGTTGGACGTGGGCTGGAATTGAGTGTCAGCAGCGAGACGCCCAAGGATGTGTCTTCACTTCTGAGCTTGCTCCTGACGACGATGGGAGAAAGCTATGTCGATGTTGCGCTCGACGCCGCTCTCGACGCTGCTACTGCACAGGAAAACTCCAAAACCGAACCAGACTTCACATATCTTCAAACTCTACGAGGAGCTATCAGTGTAACGCATCTGATGCTGACATGCATCAACACGGTGTTGATTCCTCTGGCGGCTAATAATGTGACCACCCGGCGAGAGATGGAGAAGAAAACGAATTTTGCTGTTAGCAGGGCCGAAGACAAAGTCAATGCAATTGAACAACGAACAATCGACGTTGCCTTGGTCTGGGTGGGCAAGCTTTTAGGAGGACAGAAAAAGAACGACTTCCGACCAAAGGAGGGTGACAGTTCTACGGCGTGGCTGGAGATGCTACAAACCCCGGTCAGTTAAGCCAGTATACTTACTTAACGATTACTAACATTAAAATATAGACCTGCGAGGCCATCTGCACTTTCCTCACTCAACTCCACAACACCGCATTAACATACATCCCGTCCAGCGGCTCCAATCTCCAAACCCTCTTCACCGAACTTGCCCTCGGCGTGCGCACCCAGCTGCTCGAGCACTTCCGTCGGTTCCAGGTGAACGGGCCTGGCGGGCTGATGGTCACCAAGGACATGACGCGCTATGCCAATCTGTTCAAGGAATGGGATCTCGAACCTGAGGCCAAGTCGGCCATCGACACTCTCCTCGAAGTCGGCAGTCTGTTCGTCGTCGGATCCGAGGCTCTCCGCGAGAAACTGCGCGGTGGCCAGGCCAGTGGCAGCACTGGGAATACCGGCGCTGGCGCCGCTGGTCGTCAGACTGGCTCGAGCGCGACGGCAGATACGAGCGGCGCTGGGCTGTCGGTACAGGAGATTAGAGCGTATGTGTTGAAGAGAGTGGACACGAATACGGTGGCGATGCAGAGTGTTTTGAATTCGTTATAGCTATTCTCCTTGATTGGTTTTCCGTGTATATACAATATACCCTTGTTTGTATCCCTGAATTATTTTACTTTTGGATTTTGGATGATCTGATCATGCAACAAAATGTTATACATGTCACGCTCTATGCTACCCACCAATCCTCTATTCTCAACCTCTAATATCAGCTGGAGGCGCAGCCCGACCCACGATCTGCTCCAGCTGAGCAACCGACTCTTGAACCTCCTCCTTGGTGGGCAAGTTGACAATCAAAAGGTACAGCACGTCCTCCTGTAACACCCTCTTGACCACTCCCAGGGCCATATCCGTGGCCGATCCCAGCGGCGTCTTGAACCCGAGCCGCTGCTGCGTCACCGCAAACATCTTGTTGATACCTGGCACGGGCAGAAGCTCAGATCGGCTGATAGAGGTTATCAATATCAGTATCAACTACATTATTTTCATATGATTATTATATAGATCTTTGATGATTTGCAGTATGGATAAGGCCTTGAAAATACTCTATCGTGAGTCATACAATGGTAAGAGTATTCTTCTGTAGAATAATTGATTTCACTCTATAGAATAGAATATGGATATAGATGTATAGCAGTTCTACAAAACAGATGGATATCCCGCAAACGAGCATAAATCATCAACTTGATCCTCTTCTCAGATTAGCGTTTATTGATCCTACAGCACGCCGCCACTGTCAGTACTAAGTAGCACTGTCAGCGCGCAAATTAGCGGGCCAGCAGACCTCAACATAGCCACCGACTATTACGGTAAAAATAAACTCGGCCCTCATGGAGAACGCTTTAAATAGATGATTTGAATAAATTATTATGAGATGATAGAGCGAATGAGAACCGCGCGGAACGAGACTCGAGGGGGCTTTTAGGGCTCGTTGCGTGGTCTTGGCATGATTTTTGTCCAAATGCGGTAACTATCTTCATGCCTTCGCGAGTTTGTACAGCTTGATTAATTTCAGCCTTGCAGAGTACTTCGAGGGAGAGAATATATCAAGGCTTATCTTTGCCTTTGAGAAGCAGACTAGAAGAACATCTCTAACACTTAACAACAATTAAAACAGTCCGAAATAAAGCAACTATCTCGATTATACAAGATGGAGAACGGGCAAGTCGGTAAGACTTCCAGTTCCTGCAAGTTTTATGTTACAAGTCCTGACATGTCATGTCTAGTCCCCGGCAGCATTTATGTCTACGCTCCCAACAAGATAGCTCCCATCGTCTTCACGGTGCTGTATGCGCTTTCGGCATGCAGCCATCTCTGGCAGTGCTGGTGAGTATAGACGAGTCTACTATGCTTCAACACCAACAGATCGTATCAGGCGGTTCAAGGCTTGGAATATTATCGGGCTGCACCCATTCTGCGCCGTCCTATTTACTGTCGGCTATGCACTGCGCGAAGTCGGCGCTTTTAACTACTACCAAACTTCGCAAACCTTGATCATATACATCATGAGTCAGGTTTTCATCTACGTAGGCCCGTGAGTCTCCTCATCAACTTCAACCCTAATGCTGTATACGCTGACATGGTCAGTCCGCTTCTCGAACTGGCAAACTACCACGTCCTCGGGCGGATCTTCCACTACATCCCCTTCCTCGCGCCTCTTGCGCCCAGTCGAGTGCTAGGCATATTCGGCGCGGTGATGATGCTCGTCGATCCAGCTCGATGACGAGGAAGCACTCGAGTCTCTGAGCCCGCTGTACCGCTATGAATGGTACTTTTACGTCTTCAGGCGACTATGATGCTCGTTAATTCGCTGCTGTGGAATGTGTGGAACCCCGGTCGTTATCTGCCGAGCAGCTCCCTTGTTTCTCTCGCTGAGGACGGCCAGACGGAGATGATCACCGAGGAGCTGGATGACGAGCCCCGTTGCCAAGGTCGGCCGTATGCTGGTGCAGATCGTTGCCTGGAGTTCTGCAGGCCGCTTCTTGGGAAAGAAAGGGCAGGAAAGGCGGAACAAGATTGCGCTGGTCGGTAGGCTTGATTGCTGATTAATGTGACAACGATAGATATAATTTATAAGTATTAAGATATCCTAATAGAAGTAGAATCATACACTATTTATCCTAACTGTCGACCTTGAAAGATGTATTTCAGCCAAGTTAGAATAATAAAAATTGAATGTTGAATAGAATAAAAAATATAAAAAAACGTCCCAGAGTGTCAGACTTGGACATTTGTTTTGACAGTCAAAGTCGTGGTTTCACAGAAACTAGTGTAGTTCATGCAATGATATTCTAGCGTCTGGTGGTAGCTCCTGTGGTTTATCAGCCGGCGTGTATAGCTCATGTGGCATATTTGGCGTTGATTCTTGGTATTCCACAGATTGTGCCACATGCTGATTTCTTTTGGTCCGCCGATGGCGACGACGGAGCAATATAAATATCCCTGCAAGGAGAACAAGAGAGCCTACGCCAGCGCAGACTCCGATGGCTACCTCGGCCCCGACCGATAGTGCTGAATGCGTGGCATCAGAAATTTGTGTCTCGGAATTCGAAGGGGCTGCTGCCGTTGTTGTTGACGTTGTTATCGATGTTGGTGGTGTTGAAGATGTTGTGGATGATCCCACAACCCAATATGTAACGAGGCTGGAAGGAGCAGGCGCAATGAAAGACTCATTTGTGGGCGACTGGCAATCTCGCTCATTGTAATTGCCGCCACAGCATTTCCAAAACCCATCGAGACTGTCATAAGTGATATCCGGTAAACCCGTGTCCGCTAAATGCGTGGTTAATATAACCAAGAGGGTACCACACGAATCTCCCACTTACCACAGCGACTCGCGCACACTGACCTTGAATCGGCGTCCGAAAATCCTCCATTTGAACAGCCAGCAGAGTAGTATCCGCTACCACCACCATCACTATGAGTGTTGTACGCGCAGATATTGTTGGAAAGACACGAGTCACCCTGGGCGCAACAGGGGACTACCGGGTTGGTCTCGTTGATAGGTCCACATGGGCTTGAAGGAGGCACTGACAGTATGCTTGACGGCCAGGCGCAATGGTATGTTGACATGGCTGAGGTCTTCATAAACGGGAAAAAAAGAGAAAGATATTTTAAATAATTACCTTGAGCGGAGGATGTAGCCGTTATTGTTAAAAGCGTAGACGCTGCGTAATGACTCGGCAGCCAATTATGATCAGTTCAACCTGCGACTATACATAGGTCGGCGCTTAGAGAATCAAACGTGCCGAAGGACCGCGTCAGAACAGAGATCTGGCCACCTACATCTGAAACCAATAACTAATTACTAGTCAAGGCAAATAGTGGCCGAACAGGGCCGACAGATAGTCAATGCGCAGCAGAATTTACCAATACATTCGGTGTGGAATTTACTCTTTGTAATCTAATAAATTAAGGGTCTAACAAATTAAGGGTTCGCTCCAGTCATACGAGATGATAGGCAATTTGGCTATGACTAGTGCTTACATAGTACTGCTCCCTCACCACCCCACTTCTACAGGAGGCTGAGAATGAAGCAAATCGATTGATATATTGTGTGCTGATCAAACATGGCGAATAAACAGTCTGAAGCGTGGACCAAGGTGATAGATGTGATACGGGCATCATCAATATACTGTAACTGATTTCTCAAGGGATAGGTCCACCGTAAAGATCTAGATCTAGAAACCTTGAAAACCTTCAACATACCATGGGAGTGGGACCAGGTAACGTCAAGTATAATGCATAAGAAGATGCAAGATATAGAACTGATTATGGAATAAGACCGATCCAGGCTATATTATTATCAAACAATTCATCCCGGAAGATTCTATGCGACCACTGTTCGAACATACTAGACTGCTACGACAAGCGAGAACAGCACCACCGGCAATTCAACGCCAGCCTGCTATGTACATTGACCTAAAGGATCAATTTTTTGAAGGACCACAGGACTATTCTGGCCGAAACCGATTGTATGCATCATTCGGGGTCGTCGAACCAATAATCACTGTTGAGAAACATGCTGGCAAATTACACATTTCAGCGAGATTCAATTTAGAGACCACCATTTTGAATTACAGTTCCCACAAAAGGTCAGTACCTCCGCTACATTGACTGAGCGCAAGCTGAACTTTTTTTTTGTAGCGATGGACATGAGCTTTTCTTTCATGACGTCTGTCTTCAATATCTCCATGATTCAGCCGACGAGACTCTCGTCATGACGCCGCAGTCCGACGCATCGGTTGCTTTCAAGGTCACCAGAAGCTCGGAAACGGCAGTCAATCCGCAGGTTGGACTCAACTTGTCCGCAGCGCCAAGTGGGAATGTTTCGCTGGGTTTGACGCGATCGACTGGTTTAACGGTAGAGTATGCGGTAGGCTCGTGGAGTTTGAGTGCCCACCATATCAGCAACAGTACTACCCTTCCTCATTCTATTGTGTTTATGAATGGCTGATATTGGTATAGAGTCGACCGGTCAAAAGCTGCCGCGCTATCAGTGGTTCTGGGCTGGTACTCACGACGATACCAAGCGACTGACACCTGATCTGAGACACACTGTGACACGACATGTTGTTGTAAAGCGGATCATCCCTGCCAGTGGATTCCCACTTGGCATTGAAGGCTACAAACAAAAGGAAGGAAAGAGACAAAGCGGGGTGTCGAAGATACACTCGGAAATGAGTGAAGGTGACACTGAATCGGGAGGGGGCAAACGAGATCTCGACGAATCCGAGACTACTCGGCGTCTTTTAAGAGCTCTAAAGCGGTATTTTACTTTTAGTTTCTACGTACAGGTACCATCACTTTTCTTTTTCTTTATTATTCACCTCTCAACTCGATTGTTGTAGCTAACGAACCAAAAGATTAGAGTGAAGAAGAGATATGGTCGATTCCATCGACTCTTAATACTAAGTTTCAACGAGGTAAAAGCAGGTTTTTTGAAACCAAATTTTGCCCGCCGCTTCGATATTCGAGCTCAATCAGACTGGTTGAAGGGTCTAATATATGAAGGAATGAATCCGAGCACCGGCCCTCGCGAAAGGTCGCAGAATGAAGCATCGGGTATAAACAACGCAAATGAGCCCGAGTCCGACCCATTGGAGAAAAAAGAACCTGATAAAACGTCTGAGAAGGATGGGGACTCTGACTCGAATAAAGGGGGGCAATCAGATTCTGAGGGCGGGCATGATTCTAGTAATACAAACGGAAACCCCGAGCCAGCGCCGTTCGAATTCCCGTTGGGCGAGACTGTTGATATTGCAGTCATGCTTCATGAGCTAAGAGAACGAGTATATTCCTACGTCCTGTACTTCCTTATGAATACTAATAATGTGAGATAGAACAAGGGAAACTGGGACGCTCTTCAAGGCAGAAACTTGGTGGATGTCATGGGTCGTCAACACTTTCGACCACTCAAAACAGTAGAGTCGGTGCGCCTCGTGGAAATCGAGAGACGGATGGAAATGGAGCGGCTTATGGTTGCTCAAAAGCGCAAGGAGATGGAGAAAAATGAAATGCGCATGCGCGAAAATATAGGGAAAAACACTGCTCAGAGAGAATTTCATGTTGAACGGCGGGAGAGGCCGTACAAGCAGGACATGGAGATAGTTATTGATAGAGGAAGGGAGATGGCGATGGAAAGAGAAATGACGAAGAGAATGGGCAGAACGAGAGAAATACAGATTGGAAGAGGCCCTTGAAATTTACTAGTACAACTATCTTGAGTAGTTCTGCTTTCACTTTGGAGAATGAGAAATCTAAATGCACGGAGGGGGGCTTACCTCTCGCCTGGCGATATGTGTGCTACCACAACTTATAACTATCCCTATCTAACAGTTGATCTATTTGTAGAATAAAAATCGAGGTCTAGATGAACCAACTGAACCCCTCAGCAGAATCAGGTATGAGTGTAGTAAATTGACGTGCAGAAGCTGAAACGACGATGGCAACTTTAGTGTCTGGTTGATTAACGCGGCACGGTATAATTCGTGGGTTAAGACTGTATCCCGACTAGGGCTGGGGATCCGGCGCTTGGAGATATAGCAGTTGGAACTTGGAAGTCCGGAAAAAAGCCGGATTGGTGATAGGAGAAAATGGGAGCGCTGGTTGGTTGGATAGGTGTTGTGAATGGTTCTTCGATTTTACGGGTTGAGCCTAAATGGGGGCGAAAGTATAATAAATAAAAAGCAACACGGGAATAAGAGCTGAATCTGAAAGCTGAATGTGAAACCAAGAGGAACTGATAATGGAGGGAATGCAACATAGTCAGCTCAATTCGGATTGTATGACTGTAGATTGCACGATTGTATGGATTGGTTGGTAGTGTTGGGTAGATGTTGGATATCGATACCGTTCTTTATTCCAACAATAAACGATATAATCAGTTATTATACGAACGGTGAATCGCCGATCAGATATCAGTCAAACTTCGTTCTAGTTCTTACAGCAGAGTTATGGCTACATGTACAGTAAGAGACATCTACCAAATGTCATATCCGATGAAACCGATCAGTCACATTCTCGGCGGATTTCAGCACATGTACATGTGCATGTGCTATCACATAGTAAGCGAGCTTGACAGCGGAGTTTCCACGTCACAATAGCATTTGAGTGGGGTGAAGGTTATCATGAATAAAAGCAGTCCTTTGTCCAGAACGTCGCACATGCAAGGGGTAATTCTCCGTCAAGGTACTCCGTAGACAAAGTGGACGAGATAATAACCATTATTGCCTGAATGAAGCGAATCGGAGTATAACGGCAGATTATTGAAGTCAAGGCTATCAAGCTCATGCGCTTGTCGGCTATCGCGTGGCTGTCATCGCCATTGTCTTCCACTGTCCTGACTCCTGGCTCCCGACTCCTGACTCGTGTCCGAGGAACACATCAAGTGCGTGCACAGTCCCAACGGTAAACGTCAGCCTGGTCTTAGCCTCGCCTTGTTGACGGCCGAGCGCGACAGGGATATTTCGCCGCTGTGCAGGTATTGGGTAACTAGCGAGCTACTCCGAAATTGTGATAGAAATCAATCAATCAATTCCAATGTCGCCTGCATGATACCATGGCCGAACGGCTTCGCGAAATGAATAGAATAGAATATAGAATATTCCGTGATGGTCAAAAATAGCACAACCCCTGAAAGTCCTAAACACGGCGATACTCCGTAGTATGAATCCTGATGATTGTTGAATGTTGATTCGTAGTCGGTCGTACTGTACGGTTCAGAAAGCTTAAGCAGCGTCATGCAGTCAGTCACGGAGCTCTGTGTGCTACAGAGGGTGTCACAGGAAATACAGCTAAAGCAATTCTGTAGGCACTCCGAAGTGGAACGGTCTGGATCGACGCCTGGTTTGGGCAACGATCGTCTGGCTAAGGAATAGCATTCGGTGCCAACATCAATCACATCGCCAACAGTTCACCAAGCTGACACCGACACGGTGGCGCGATTGACTAGAGCGTAAATAACCATACGCACAGCCTGACAGCTGCGATCGTCCGCGGCATGGCATGGCATTGGCAGGGGTGGCAGTGTGCGAGGCCGAGTTCGGGGTGCATGCAGGAGGTGGTCCAATCTCCGTCGCACACGCCCGATCGCCGTCGCAGGGCAAAACTGTCGGCCGTTACACTTGCCGCCGTCAATATTATTCTCTTCTGTACTTACAAGTTATAAATTAATGGTATTCATTGCTCGGCTCGCTTGCCAGCACCCACAAAGAGATGTTATTTGGAATAATTGTGATGACCATGATATCTCACATCTTATCGTCCGATGACGACGCAGTACTGGTCGACTACGTCGGCTTAGCAGCTAGCACAGTTAATTAGTAGACACAGTGGGGAAGCTTTTAACAGGCTGACTAGATGACAGCCTGCTCAATGTCAGGCCCTGCAAGGGATACTTGCAGCAGTCTGACTGGACGACGTTGACGCCAGCACAGACACTCAAGTCCCAGTCTATCACTATCCTGTAGTAGTCCGTATATCCACCAGAGGGATGATCGTTGTTCATGATCCAGAATCGATACACGATGCAGGCGTGAGATCCGAGCAGTGCTGCCAAGTTGCAGGCTAGACTGATAATTATAAAATTATCAAATTATATAATTAGTCGAATCCCAGTCCTAGTATTTATTTTTATATTAGTATTGGTTCGTTTCCCTTTCCATAGTCCAGGCGATATCTCCATAATTCCATATATTATTGTTGCTTCCCCCGTCGATCTGATATCGAGTCGAGTCTTTCTCCACGACAGCCGGTTGTTGGCTGATTGACACGACTGTTATCCATTGTGCAGACCGACTATTGTCTCCGACGCTCTATTGAGCGACTATCGACTGCATTGTTAGTGATATTTACTATTGAATCGATTGTGTTGATTCGCGCAATGCATGTCCTCGCCGATCCCTTCGAAGACGACTTTGAGTCTCTTCCGCTGGCAGTGCGCAGAAAGGTACCTCAATCTCCCCTATCTATCTGTCTATCTATCATCATCGCCCTCATCCATCCCGTCATCCCCTGCATCGAGCTGCGCGAGATCGAGCATATTCTTATTGGCAGTCTGATCGCCGGCACGCTAGAAGAGGCTAACGGGCTAGCCCGGTTGGCGAGTCCCGTGATTCGCCGAGCCTCTGGTTCTCCTGAATTTGGGCTGCTCTACCCACTGCTCTCTCTACTGTTCTCTCCACTGCCCTCTCCACTGCCCTGTCCACCGCTCTCCTCCCCTCTCGCTACGGAGTCACTAGTCATGCACTGCCTGCACCATCGCTTGCCTGGCTTGTCCTCTGTTGGTCAAGCATGCGGTCCGGCCCTCCGACTAGCTGGAGCTCGCCCGCGCTGGTGGGTGAGTTCCTGGACCAGACTCGACTTTGCACTCCAAGCAGTAGAGGGCCCCGTTCCCTCGTGTTGAATGCCTTTTGATGCCCTTTTGGTCACCGCCACGCTGCTGCATGCTACACCCTCGATCGCCCCGATTCGTCCTTGCTCAGTCCTGACTCTTGAGTCAACTGTGAAGTTGAACTAACGTCCACGCTATAGTTTTTCTCAAATCTGGAGCGTTTCCGCTTGGAACGCATGCGACTAGCTCAAAGCCATCTTCCACGCCAGGCCCAGCACAACCAACGCCCTTACGCAAAACGGCCACTCCACAGTCGCCACCGTCACGCTCGGACGGTTGCTATAACCAGTCCCTTTGCCTCGAATAATCATCGCAGAAAAGCCTCCCCTCGTCTGAATCGTGCCGACCATGCATTATTCCTAGACAACGACTCCTGGCAATGCTTCCACTACTTGCCCCCCAAGATCCAGCAATCCCACTTCACCAAGGAAGAGCAACTGCTCCTGCAACGGATCACTCCCGCCGGTGATATCGTCGACGCTGCCGACCGCGCGCTGCTGAAGTTTGAGCAGAGACGCCGCCCCGTCCTACAGGCGCACGACACTTGCTCCAACACACGCAGGAGGTCCGCGAGCTCATCCATGGTCTTGTCCTCCACGCATTCGACAGACGCCCAGGACTCGGCAATCGACATGGACGAATCAATTCTGGACAGCTTCAGGTGGCTGGATGAAGACGACCTCGATCTGTCTCTGGACAACTACCACAGGCATGTCGCCGAGACGGCACTCGCCTCGCGGCAACCAAAGCCCTCCACTCCCGGCCGGATTCCTTCCTTCCGACGAACAATGTCCTTCAACCGGAACCGCAATTCCACCTTCATCGGTCCTCGCACCCTGACTACAAGCCAGTCGGCTACTGTGCCTTTTGCTGGCCACAGCCGTCGCCCATCTACCAGCCGCCATGTCTCACACCGTTCGACCTCTTCCATTGACCCAGCAGCTCAATACTACCAAGATCCAGAGGCGCGATTGAAACTCCGAGTCTACCTTGCGTCGCCGCAGAAATTCGACGAAGCAATCGAGTTTGGCTTTCCATCGCTGGAAAATAAGGAAAACTTGCAGCCCACAGACCAGTCCCTCGACTCTAAACGAATATCGCAAATATCTCAATCAACTCAAGGTTGGACCTTTTTCGACGACCAGGCTACGGCATACGACCTCGATTTGATGAGTGGGAAGCTAGACCAGAAAAATGTCTCGAATAATAGTGGCCCGCAGCTGCGCAAGGTTTCCACTGAAATCCGACGGCCCCAGCCTTTGCAGCCACTACCGTCAGGGAATACTGCAGCTGGCCGGCGCCGTGAAATGACGTTGAAGATGACGCTCACACGGCCTGACTTGCGTACAGCAATAGACGATTCGCAGGATATCGACGACCCGCTTCGTTTGGCGGACCTGCCTCCGCCAGACGAAGTTGCCAACTTCTGGGACAACCTCCCTGAACATCAGGGCGTGGTGAAGAAGATGTGGCGCCGAATCTGCGGTCGCAAAGACTGATCCATCAACTGTATTATCCTCTTATATATACCTCTCTCGATTCGCCAAAAACTTTGCCTTCGTGTTAATATTGTTATCAAGTGGTTTCCTTCCACACTTGTATTTACTCTAACTTTTTGATGTACCGCAGTAGCGCTGCTCATATACCCTCTTTTGTTGTCTCATAGCGATCACCACGACTGGTAGTCATTTCACATTGATTAGCGATATAGACTGATTAAGTCCAGCTTTCAACATGATCAATAGAATCTTTATCAATATTACTACTATTAATTTATTTATTTATCCATGTGTAAATGCAGGTTAGCCAGAAACTCCGCTGCCGACGTAAGCCCTCACGTGACTGCCCAGGCTCTTGCCGGAGCTTCAAAGCTGTCCATAATGACACAACTACAACTACAACTACAACTCCATTAATATCTGGCCAAAGAGTGCCCCTCTCCTTTTATTCTTTACTCCCCATTATAATATCATATTAGGTTTTCAACAGAAAGACTCTGTATTCGTGTTACCTTATTCTCTCTAATATCTACTCTACTCTGTCGAATTCTAGGCCCCTAGCTTCCAGGCTAGGCGCCAGGGAGAAGATCGCCGCGCAAGCTAATCGATCAATCTATCAACTCGTCTTCACACCTTCCTCAGATGCCGGTCCAGCAATAGCACAGTTGCATTGCACAGTTGCGTCACCAGCATGATCTGTCCGTGGTTTCATTTCGCTGCAATACTGCTGCTGGCAGTAGTCTCACAGCTCGGCGCCGCAAAGTCCAATGGACCAGAAATAGCCTCGAAGGCGCTCGACGCGCTGCCGGGGGTACCGTTCTACTTTAAAAACTCCGACACTGTCCTCTTCCAGAATCTAGAGACCAGAGAGGTGTACCGCTCCCGCGACGGCGGCGTTGAGTGGGATGTTATCAAGGATGAAGACGGGGAAACACTGGTTGCCGCGCGATGGATCGAGCTGCATCCGTGGGACAAGCAAAAAGCGTATATTGTTGGCGAAAAAAGTGGCCTTTATTGGGTCACGACTGACCAGGGAGAGACGTGGCGGCGTTTCCAATCGAATGGTGGTCCGTCGCTCATTAAATCGGATCCGTACATCTTCAGCTTTCATGGGAAGGATTCCAGTAAGGTGATTTTGCATCAGGCTGAGTGTGCGGGGTATCACTGTATCGAGGTGGCGTTTTATACTGTGGATGATTTCAAGACGATCGCGCCGCTGAGGCAGAATTCGAATGGCTGCTTGTGGGCTGTTGGGACGCCTCAATTCGCGCCAGATGTTGCTGACGAATTCTCCGACCGGACGTTCTGTATTGTGCATGGACTAAAGAGCTTCTTTCCCGATGACTGGCGGCTGGTACAATCGGATGACTTTTTCAGCGATAACGATGATGGGCTGGAAGTGAAATTGAATAACGGGCGTCCTATCTCCGGTGTCAACAACATGGCGTCTGTCAAGAAATTCTTAGTGGCCGCTGCTAAATCTCAAGGCACTGATGAACTTGCCATGTTTGTTACGGATGATTCGCAAGAATGGCATCGCGCTGAATTCGGGAATCACAAGATCGAGCAGGACGCGTATACTGTTCTGGAAAGCACTAATTACAGCATCCAAATCGATGTCATGAACACGAACCGCGAGGTTCGCATGGGTGTCCTCTTCACGTCTAATTCCAACGGCACCTATTTCACACGCAATATCGAGCATACAAACCGTGACGAAAGGGGTATCATAGATTTCGAAAAGATTGAAGATGTGCAGGGTATTGTGTTGGTCAATGTGGTGGACAATTGGGAAGAGGTCGAGAAGAAACATGGCAAAGATAGGAAAGTTGTTAGTAAAATCACATTCGACGATGGACGGACTTTTCAGCCTTTGACTGTCAAGGATGACCATTTACATCTGCATTCCGTCACCAATGAGAGGAACCTGGGTCGTGTGTTTTCTAGTCCTGCGCCTGGGATTGTCATGGGAGTGGGAAATACCGGCAGTCACCTCAAAAGCTACGAACATGGCGATCTCTACGTCTCAGACGACGCCGGTCTGACCTGGCACAAGGGCCTTGACAAACCGCACAAGTACGAATTTGGAAACAAGGGCGCCGTCATAATGGCAATTAAAGACGATGGCAAACCAACAAAAAAGATCCAATTCTCTATCAATCATGGAAAAGAATGGGAAACTGCAGAACTGCCTAATGAGATCATTCCCTACTTATTGACAACTACTCCAGACTCGACGAGTTTTAAGTTCCTTCTTGTCGGTTCCGACAAAAAGCAGTGGTATGTGTTCAGCATCGATTTTAACGGTCTCCATGAACGGAAATGTGAAGAGAACGATTTAGAGAAATGGCCAGCCCGGTTGAACGAGGAGGGGGAGCCTGATTGTCTCATGGGCCACAAGCAATTTTACTACCGCCGGCGGTCGGATGCGAATTGTTTCATTACTGAGAATCTCTTCCAGGACGCGAATCCTATCTTCGAGCCATGCACATGCACTGCGGAAGACTTTGAGTGTGATTACAATTTTGTTCGCTCGGAGGATGGGAAGGAATGCAAACCGGCTGTCCCTCTGGAGACTCCTGCGGGTGAATGTAAATCGGACGATGCAACTTTCAAAGGCCCTTCAGGCTGGAGACTCATCCCAGGAAATGCCTGTCTTCGCGAAGGGGGCGAGCAGCTTGACAAAGAGATCGACAGGTCATGCAAAGAAGCCACCAAAACGCCATCAAATGATGCTGCTGAAATTACTTCTCAGATCACTACCTTTGAAGCCGAGGCGTTCGGTCAGCATTTTTACTTGGAGCGAGTCAGTAGTAGTGGAGGACATGATGAAACGATCGTTATGCGGACTATCGATAGCAAGGCCTGGCTTACTCGTGATCACGGAAAGACTTGGGAGCGGATTCTCAAGGATGGTGCAAAAATTCAAGAGATTGTCCGTCATCAGTATATAAACGATGTCGCCTATTTCCTGACTGACGACGAAAAGCAATATTTCACGGTGAACCGTGGGGACACATTCGCTTCATTCTCGGCGCCGGCAATGAGGAACTTGAAGGGCGAACCTACATTGTTCTTTCACTCAAAGTTCAAAGATTATTTAATATGGACTGGCCCTGACAACTGTAAGAAGAGTCACTGTCCGAAAAATGCTTATATCACCAAACACCGAGGAGATCACTGGGATATTCTGGCGCGAGTCGTGGAGAAATGTGAGTTCATGGCCAGGGAAGACCGGAAAGATAGCGACAAACTTGTCTTCTGCGATCAGTACGAAAATGAGGAACCCGATAACAGGCGCGTCCTTACCAGAAGCGTGGATAATTTCTTTGCTACCTTCGATACACCGGTAACTGATATTGTGCGGTTCGCTACCATGTCGGAATTCATCATTGTAGCCGCGCACAATCCTGATAACCCCGACTCTCTCAAGGCTGATATCAGTGTCGACGGCAAAGAATTCGCCGATGCTGAGTTTCCGTATAATCTCAATATCCCGGTGCAAGAGGCGTATACGGTGCTGGACAGCTCAAGCCATTCGATCTTTTTGCATGTCACCGTGAATATCAAGGAGGGTCAGCAGTATGGCTCAATCATTAAGAGCAATAGCAATGGCACGTCTTATGTCTTGAGTATCAGTGGTGTCAACCTGAATAAATATGGTTATGCGGACTTTGAAAAGATGCAGGGACTGGAAGGTGTGCTTCTAGTCAACGTTGTCGACAATATCGAGGGGGTGGATAAAGGAGACGAAAAGAGACTGCGAACCATGATCACACATAACGACGGTTCTCAGTGGCAGGCTCTGCCGGCCCCGGCGAAGGATTCTGAAGGCAACGCTTATAACTGCGATGCAAACTGCGCTCTCCACCTCCATGGATACACTGAAAGAAGTGACCCTCGCGCGACATATGCATCGGCATCTGCGGTTGGCCTCATGTTTGGCGTCGGCAATGTTGGTGAGGCGTTGGGAAGTAAGGCTGACGGCAGTACTTTCTTCACCAAGGACGCGGGCATCACCTGGAAGGAGGTTAAGAAGGGTGTTTATATGTGGGAGTACGGTGACCAGGGCTCAATTTTAGTTCTTGTCGAAGAACTCAAACCCACACGAGTTATCTACTTCAGCATGGACGAGGGGGAGACGTGGGAAGAATACCAGTTTTCTGACAAGGACGTGACGGTATCGCGTCTGACTACTGTGCCGTCGGATACGTCGAAGAACTTCCTGCTTTGGGGCAGACTGTCTGACTCGAATGGATTGGTGACTGTCAACATCGACTTTAGCAAACTGCGCGATCGGTCGTGCACCTTAGACGAAGCCTCGGGTGAGAGCAAGGACTTTTACTTGTGGCAGCCGAAACACCCTTCTCAGAAGGAAAACTGTCTCTTTGGGCATGTCGAACAGTATCACCGCAAGAATCCTTCGGCGCAGTGCTGGAATGACTGGTCTGATCCGCACGTTCATAGCATTGCACACAACTGCTCGTGCACGCGAGAGGATTACGAGTGGTAAGCCCATCCGACCCCCATCCATTCTAGAATATCCTTCTAACCTATTCACAGTGACTACAACTACGAACGTAAATCTGACGGAAGCTGCGAACTCGTCGACGGCCTCCCCAAGCCCGACGCAGTCCAATACTGCCGCGACAACCCCGATGCCGTGGAATACTGGGAACCCACAGGCTACCGCCTCATCCCTCTGACCACCTGCACCGGCGGCAGAGACCTGGTCCGCCTCGTCCCTCAGCCATGCCCCAGCCACGAAGAAGAATTCGAGCGCAAACACGGCGTCAGCGGGACCGTCATCTTCTTCGCGATCATCGTCCCCATCGCCATCGCCGGCGCCGCGGGCTACTGGGTGTTTACGCGATGGGATGGCAAATTCGGCCAGATCCGGTTGGGCGATGGCGGCGATTCTGCGGCTGCGGTGTTTTTGTCGCGCGACTCCCCGCTCATTTCGATCCCTGTTACTATCATCGCTGGCATTGTTGCCACCGTTAGAGTTCTCCCGCTGCTCGCGATGAGTCTGTGGAGGAGTGTCAGTGGGTATGTCCGAGTACCCGGCCGTGGACCACGGCCGTATGCGACTCGCGGCGCGTTTGCGGCGCGCAGAGGCGACTATACGAATGTCGTGGATGACGAGGATGAGTTATTGGGTAACGACGATTTTGAGGATGAGGAGGAGGCGTAGCTTTATTTACCTCTCATTTACCTACATTTCTTTATATTACAAATTTAGCTGATATGCATGGCGATTCATTATTTCCTTCAAATTCAATCTCAATTTGGTGTACCATCGATGTTACTATAAGCTGGAGTTATTAGGTACCGCATTGACATGCCTACTAATTAGATCCCACTTTAGATTAAATCATCACATACCTCTCTCAAACCCTTAATTAAAACCCACATTCGAGCTTAAACACCCCTCGCAGAATTCAAATCATCCGGCCCAAATGAATCCGGCAGAAGCTGTCCCAACCAAAACCCCTTTAGCATCCATACACCTCCCCTTTCCAAAAAAAAAGTTATAAAAAGTAAGTGTATAGACTCACCTCGCCAATCGTAGTAACCTTATACTTGCCCTCCGCATCATACATATAAATCGGAAAACTCGGTGGCGTGAATTCGCGCATACTAAATCACCCTCAACACACATCCTTCCCTCTTTCACTTTCCCCATCTTTGTTGGAGCGTAGGGTTTACAGGAAGGGGAAAAGGGGCGGTTTTCTTACAACTGCCGACACATCCCGCATGGACTCGCGCCTGGTTTTGTATCTGTCGCTACGGCGAGGGCTTTGAAGGAGCGGTGGCCGTTGAACTAACCCCCAACCATACCATTAACATTCATCACGGCACGGCACGGCACAGCAGAGCACAGCAGAGCACAGCAAGATGGGATGGAGGAAGAAAGAAAGGGGGAAGGGGGGGGGTTACAATAGCCGTCCCGAACGCGACACGCTCAGCGCATACGCCGACCGGGTACGATGCATTCTCGATGTTTGCGCCGGCGATGAATGTGCCAGAAGTGGTGAGGAGGCAGGCGCCGACGTGGAAGTTGGAGTTTGGGCCTATCTAATAATCAGTACATGTATTTTGTGAAAGTAAGGGTAGGGGAAGAAGACAGACAGTAAGCTTTGGATTTGGCGGCGATGGCTTGGCTGGAGAGGGTTTGGAGGTCGGCGTCGGAGAGGGCGTGGGCGGACATGTTGGGCACAGATAGTATGTAATTAGTTGGTGTGGTTTGGAGGGTTTAAGGTGAGGGGTATGTAAAATTAGAGGTTGAGGAGGAGATAAAGGATAGGCGGGGTCGAGGCGGGATTGCTACGGTTCAAGTATGTGGTAGGATAGTATATTGAATCACTCGCTATTTATATAGTCTATATCAACGCCAACACCGCCCATATGTCATGTCACTAGCTCGTCAGTAGTTTAGATTTATCCGATATAATGGTTTAAGCCTTCGTAAATCGAGAATATGAATGCCGAGCTTGGGGCAGACCGCACAACTGTAATGCCGCAGCCGCGATATAACCCCTTCAAGCCCTGTTGCTGCCAGAGCGCTTTTCCAACACCCCAGAAAGACCGCCGTTGAGAGGAAAGTGAGATGTCTTCGGTCTGCATGCGGGATTTGATCGTGTCCGCCGGGTAGAAGATGAAATTATAACTAACCCCAGCAGCGGCTCCGGCTAGCATTTGCTGGTATAGTGGAAGAGGGGTAGATACAGGTGCCTCCTTTGACGTCTTTCTGAACAGCGCTGATACGCCTTCATAACTGCCGAACCAAGCTGCCGACCCTCCTGTTTCTCGTATCAGAGTCCCCATCTGTCCTCGCCAAAGCCCAAAGACTCCATTGTGACGGAACACCGTTGTGATGATGGCCAGTGGGCCAGGTTTACCCCCCGCTGACGGGACTTGCATCTTACATTTCACCAGTTCAATTGGGGTAAGAAGTATAGATGTAAAAGCACCAGACAGAGCGCCGCTGATCAATAGCCCGCTCAGCGGCAGGCGCTCCGAGGACGAGTATACCGTCGACTGCAAGACGTCCTTCGCGACGCGGTAGCTGAAGAACAGACTACTGTTCTCAATAGCCGCGCCGGTCAGAGGAGCGCTGATTCCGCGGTACAAACTTCGAAAACCGCCCGTCTGCAGCGACTGGCGGAAACAGTCCAGCGGCCCGCTATATCGAAGAGGCACACCGTCTGGTTGCGATTGAAGGCGGACTTTGATTGTGTCGAATGGGTACTCGATGCACTTGCCCACTATTCCGGCAATCTATTCTGTCAGCAGAGACTCGCTCAGCAGAGCATACTACTTACCGAGCCATAGGTGATGTCCTTGAGAGCGCCGACGCCAGGGGCCTGAGGGAGGGACGTGATTTCGACGGGCATCTCATCGCTGTAGACAGCCGCCATCCGGCAGAGCGTCTTGGATGCTCTTGCGGTTGTAAAGAATAAGTAGAATTAAGGTCTATCGGCAGAACATTGCATAACATCAACACATTAACACATTAACACCGCGGAGAGCAGACTCGACAGACTCGAGACGGTCGAGGACGAGCAGGAGAGATGATGGTGATGGCGGGGTGGTGGATCGTCTTTATTTATTTGCGGCGAGCGAATTGTCTGGGCCAGCCACCAAGGCTGTATGAGAGATTAAACGGAGTGCACTGCCCGACGGCGCTGCGCTGTATTCGGCGGGGGTAGCATCACATGCGGGCGCCAAATAGACAGACAGAACGAGACATGCAGATGTCTAAACCTGCACGAAGCGACAGGACAGGCGGAAAAGAGGAGAACACGACCAGTCGATAATATTAGTAGCGATCCGCCCGGTGGCGCCTTCCGCTTTTTTTTCTTCACCGCCTGCTTTCATAGGCTGCCCGGCGTTATGTGCCGCCGAGATCCGCTTATCTGATCGCGCTAAGATCAGAGAATTTCCTCATTACTCAATCCATTATTAACAGTTAACTTGTAAGTTATGTTATGGCTTGACCACGCCAGGAGTCACCTATTATAATCTTTCTGCAACAATGTCGACTGCAGCGCCTGCCTCCGTGGGCATGAGGAAAAATGGTATTCCCACTCATCTTCCAGACAATCTCTTCAGACAATCCTAACAAGACGCTGCAGGGAAGAACTGGCACGCCAGTAAAAAAGCCTTCCGACCCACTGCGGGCCTAAAGTCCTATGCGAAACGAATGCAAGAACGAGTCGATTACTCAAATATGAAGGAGCGGGAGAAAGAACTGAGAGACGAGAAACAAGCCGACCGAGAGGTATGTCCGGCTTAGAGTGAATGCTATGGGGAGTTTTTGTCTGACATGATTGTGCAGAAACATATCCAAGCCATCAAAGACAGGAGAGCCGCCAAGGAGGAAAAGGAACGGTATGAGAAGATGGCGGAGAAAATGCATCGCAAGCGTGTGGAGAGGAGAAGGCGCAGGGAAAAGCGGAACAAGTTGCTTAATTCTTGAGAAGTACAGAGATATGAAGTGCTGGGTTCATTCATTGTTTGGAGTTTGGGTTGCTATTTGCTATTTGCTATTTCCTTTCCCTGGAAGGATATATCTTATACCCGTTTTTACGGCCTTTGATTATGTCGCATGCAATAGAACGCATATTCTGCACTCTATGAACTTCCGCTTGTACTCGAATGGAAGTGAATGGAAGTCGAAATAGAAAATACTGCATATTGACACATTTCACAGGATTAATCCAGCATTATCACGGTGTACTGTATATTCTGGCTTTCCTATGGTACACTACACTCTCTACATGTGTGCGTTTACTCAGCATCTCGGCATGTGATCTCAACCCGCCAGCAAACCAGTGCACTCCTTCTCGTGTACTATATAATAGCACAGTTGTAAATAACCTCGTCCCCTCAGTGTTATAATTGAGTATTGAGTATTAGTATTAGAATTAGAATCAGTATTGCTGTAGGATATAAGATCTACGTGGTGAGACACGGCGTCATGGCTAGCATCCATATAGCCAGCCGCAAGCTCCACCTTCACCTCACCACGGCCATCAGCAAGAACCAAGAACCAACCACCACGAACCCCCCCCCCCTTTGCCTTCACCCTCGCTTTCGACCGGCGATGGATGCCTCACAGAAAAACAACGAACCCCAATCATCAAACTCGTCCTCCCGTCTCTCTTCCTCCAAATCCTTCCCCGTCCATTTACATCATCGCAACCGCTCCGATGTCCGTCCCCCAAACGACACCGCTACTCCTGCTACCACGGAACGACAGCACTGGTCGCGCAGACTATTCATCGATACATCAGACCTCGAGTCGGACAAATCTCGAGGTGGCGACAACACAACCAGTAATGGGAAACAGCGGCATTCCAAGCCTCGCGATCACCACCGTATTCCGCGCGCCGTGAATCAGATTGCATCCGCCGGTGGCGCCAGGAATCTGCTGCCTACTAGATCGTTTCACAAGGCCGGTGACAGGGATAGGGAGGCTGCAGATGGCAATCTCTTGAAACCATCGCTTACGCATGATTCTTCGCGGTCTCTGCAGAGCTCCAGGTCGACGAGTGCGCACAATGCGGACGCGGACAGCAGAAAGGGGAGTCTGAGTCTGGCCAGTGATCTGAATAGGAAGCTGGGTTGGACCACGCTGAGAGATATCAAGACAATGGACGATTTGGAGGAGGTGAGGAGGACGAGAGAGAAGGGCGAGGAGTATGTTACTTACCCCAAGCCGGTTCTCGACTAACATGATCAGGTTTCTCCGTGCAAAGCTATCTTCAATGGGCTTGTTGGCAGCCGACATCACTCGACAACTTGACTATACATACTACAACCTCCTCGAGCGAGTGTCAACGCTATATTCTACCATTCGCACCTTTCAAGAACTCATCGACTCGAGCTCGGCTTTACAAGACAATTTCCAGCGCGACAACGCCAACATTGAGTCAGACATTCGCAAACAGCTCGGAGATTTCCAGAACTTCGATCCTCAAATGCGCAGAATCGATGTTTTGGAAGATCGCATGAGCGCAGGCCGTAATAAAATGGAGGCTCTGGGAGACCGGCTTGATGTGGTGCGCAGGGAGATTAAGGCATGGGAACGCCGCGAAAATGAGTGGCAAGCACGCGTCAGTCGGCGGTTGCGCATCTTCTGGGGCGTGATGGGCACGACGATTGTGGTTCTTGTTATTGCGTACGTGGTACAAAAATGGCCCGCTGAAATTACTCAGTCGGCTTCTGAAGACCAACCTCGAAATGCGACACACATTTCACATAGCCCCGACCACTTTCACATGCCTATCTTTCCTGGGCCTGAATCCTCATCTTCCACAACGCCATTGCCGGCAGGGGAAAGTTCTGAAAGCATTACAAGCAAATATCAATCCACGAGCAATGACCCATTAAGACTATTCGATGAGCTATAACGACATTTCATTTTATACCCATTATAATACCGCTGCATGCAATTTCTCTCACCATCGTCTCGTCTCTTATCACATGTATTATACCACACCATCAGCCATTGTATCGATATTTTATGATCGTATCAAGTAGCAGCCTTCTTCTTCTTATCCTCAATCATCTCAATATTATCCTCCGGCACCTCCTTTCCATGCACGTCGACCAGCCAATCAAACAAATCATCACTGACATCGCCCTGCACCGTAATCTCCTCCGTGCCGGCCGCCGACTTGGTCACGGACGAGCCCGTCGCGAATTTCTTGCCTAGTTCCTTCGCCACCTTCTTCAGATCCAGCCCATGTGCCTCGAGCCCTGCCAACACCGTCACGAATTTCCGTTTGTTTCGCTCTACACGCTTGATCTGCACTTTTGCGGCTGCTTTGCGTTCGGCGTCGCGTGTCTCGGCCAGCGCTGCTTTGGCTTCTTTCTTTGCGGCGTCTTTGGCCGCGCGCTCGCGCGCGCTGACGGAGAGCGTGGAGAGATTGGCGTTTAGTGCTTCTGTAAACCAATATCAACATCACTATCAATCTTATATTTTACGTCGGTTTTTGGGTACGTACCCTCAGAGTATAGCCGCTCGTGTAAATCCGGATGACTCTTTTCCAGCCATTCTTCGCATTTCTTCGACGTCCCGCCGAATTCGCAGTACTATCACATTATCAACCATCTCTCCTAACAATATCGCTAGATAGTGAGGGGTATCTGTACCTCGGGCGGTAATGTGCATACTGTTAAGAGTCAACAGTGTAATTTCGAATGAGGGGTAAGTCCACAGCGAAATAAAAGAGAAAAGGGAAGAGAAATGCTTACCGCCGCAGTATGTGATATGTCGAGCTCGCGGCTCTAATGGGGCTTCTACATCAGCCATGCCGCGGGTTGATGTTGGTAGTGTTCAGTGTTGTCAGGACGAGCACGAGCTCTGTGTGGTTGATCGACAAGATTGAGGGCGCTCATATTGCGGGGTTCTTCCGCGCCGCAAGGACGGGCCAATCAGCGAGCTCGAGGAGTATAAATCCGAAATGATTACATGTGATGTGATGTGATGTGATGTTATGTTTTATGTTTGTTTTTACTTTTAATGCGTGGTTTTAATGTCTGTCATCCGACTGCTTATTCCAGATCATCACAATCGGGGCTCTCAATTCCGTGCATTTTCGTGAGGATGGCCGTTGGTGGCGAATCAATAGAAATAATGCTGATCAGCATATGCTTACTGTAGGAGACTGTAGGATGATAGTCGGGACGCACGCAGGCAGTTGATCTAAGATTGACAGTCCACCCCGAGTAATTCCGATGCTAAGATAGAACTCGAGGTGACTGTCCACTATCTACTTTCAGTGTCCGGCCTGCCAAGATAATAATAGTAGTAATAATAATTATGCTAGTTAATTAGTATGGTTGAGTTATCTGGCCTATGTACTCGTTATCGCAATGGATAGGTAATGAGAATGCTATCAGGACGCTATCAATTAGTCATGCTTTCGGTGGCAGGGCTGACGGATCCATCATATAGCTATACGAATACTCTCGGCTCGTAGGCGTAGGTTTATTTCTCCTCGTTGACCCATCGGTGGCTTATAGGCTTATAACGCCTGATAAGCCTTGGAGAAGGCCAGCAATTGGTGTCACCAATTGTGAAATAAGCTTTGCTATGAGCTGTCGTCATGAAAAACGCCACGGGGAATTGTAAACCAGATTGTGTGTCGGATTCTATTGTTAGTGTTATGTGGGTCGGTGTGGTATTCACTAACGGACGCAGAGTGCAAGGATGTTCGACTTTCAAGCCCTGTCGATACGCTATAGGCATATCCAGAGGGGCAATTGGGAGGAGGTGACATGCATAGACGACCGTGGACATGTACATGTACATGGAATCGCTGTCATGTCATGTCAAACTTGCATGGCTAGTGAAATGATGCAGCATCTGTGCGAAATTAGCATCATGTAGTAGTATACGGCTAGCAATGCGGAGACATCTAGACATATAGCCAGGCTGGACAGGATTAGTCGCGAATTAGATATTGCAGCTACTTTCAAACGTTCACTCGCACTCAGTACCAAGGCGAACGACTACCGCGTGTCAAGCAGTCACCCTGGCTTGTGAGTTGGGCGATAGCAAGCGGGGAGAAAGAGGGATGACAGCGTTGTGTAATCGAAGATGTAATAATAGCATTGGCGCACCATGTTCTCCCCGGATGAGGGATTCGCGATGGCAGCGATAGATGAGGTGCAAATGCAAGCGATGTTATTAATATTAAAATCGGGCAGGAGGCACCGTTGGCCCCACTGTTCACGTGGACTGTGCGCTACAGGGTGCTTTAGCTACACGATGATCCCTACTAGTATTATCTTCTTCCTATTCCATCCTCCGTACTTATTATAGTTGCGCCTATATTTGCTACTAAATTTGCTCCTATATCTGCTCGAGGCCTGAGCATTCAGTTAAGGCAACGCAGACGCTTGGGCCGCGCGAGAGAATAATAATTCTCCTGCTGTTATTCCTTTATTCGCTCCAATCGACAGTTCTCCATGTCCATACAAGGGTATCGCTAACAAATCAACTGGATCATATTTACAATTAATATCAAGACTAATACTTGATATATAGTAGATATACTGGATAGTGATGATCTTCGCCGGAGCGCTACCCGTCCAGACCATCTTCTAGTGCCCACTCAGATGCAGATCGCCCGCTCACCGGGTCCCTACCTCGCTTATCGCCATAGCGCAATGATGAAGCAAGTACTATATTAATTTACAAGGCGTGTGCATTAGTCTCAGACACAGACACGCAGCCTCAAGGATTCACCACAAGGGTCTACGGTCTATAGTCTAGGGCCTGGGCTAACAACAGCTGTTGCACACTTCCGACTTGCGCGTAGTCTGCACGTTGCCGCAGTACGAGGTCGATTCACGTACGGATCCGGCGATTCCGACGACAAAGCATTGTCTAGTGTCTACACATACTCCATACTACATAGCACCATTCCAGTGAGCAGAAAGCCAATCAGCTGGCGCCGCCGACTCATGGACGCGTTCCTTGTGGCTTCTTGGGCGATAAACTCTATCAACAAGGCTCGTATCATTCGTGTTTAACTTCCGGTGTAGAATGGTCCGGGAGCCTGGACGTTGGTCAGTGGCCTGGGGCTTGTGGAGCCCCGGATTCGCTGAATCAATGAATGCTACATACCGGGCATTTGATTTGTGTATTCTACCATTCCTATCAGTGTCAAAGTCTGGTAGTAATACTGGACAGCGTTCCGAATGGGTACCTTCACAAACCCCGCCAGACCAGACCCAAACCCAGACCAAATATGTTTACTTCCACCATTAAAATTCTGAGAGTGACCATCATAGGATAATCGAATAGTAGGGTCATAGAGTAGTAGATTCTCGACTCCGCACTAATCTAGAAAGCGAACAATCGCTAGACTAACAGCACTGCAGCAGTGCCAACTTTCCCACTTCCAACGGTCTGGCCGGGGCGAAACGGCTGCAGCCACACGCCGCTAGCTCTCTCTAGCCAGATTCTGCGGTTACAGTCAGTTTGCTGTCCTGCTGTCCTATTGCACCATTGACGGTACTTACTGTGCTTTGTACCTGTACACCACCGAGCCTGGCCCTCGCAATGACAGGAAAGCGAAAAACGAAAAGTGAAAAGAGAAAAGAGTAAAGAAAGAGTGCACTGACCCGGCGATCACCGTGCACTCTTCGCTGCCCATTATTGGCACCCGCTAAGCCGCACCCAGCCTAGGCGCGACTTATCTGCGCCAATCACCGCCAACTATTTCTGTCTGATCCTTCTTCTCCCTTTGCCTCCACCCCAATCAGTCGATTCGTTTTTCGCAATCAGTTCGACTGTTACTGTAAGAAAATACCTAGCTCAGAGGTCGGCCTGCTTCCCGCCGCCAGTGGCAAAGCAATCGATCGTGCTGCACGCTCTCCTGCAGCCGTGTCTTACGCTCCGGGTTTTTTTCTACATCAGTCTCTTGTCTGGCAATATATCTTCGTGTGTGTCGGCTGCTTCCGAATCCATATATAATTATATGTGTGTCTATTTCTGCTCACAGTATCGATCTTTCTTCCATTGATTAGCGCCATTCATATTGAGCTCTTTTATCACGCCTCGCCTCGCCTCTCCTCCCAGTCTCTGCTCCTGTTCCTAATCCTGCTCATCCGCATATAGGAAGCTGAACCAGCATTAATGAGGAAGCCAATGCCGTGACTTGATCATTCTTAGGCTGTATTTGCAGCCTTCCTGCAACTCTGGCAATGACCGCCTTGCTTCCGTCTGAAGCGGACGACCCGCTGCGCTCACCCAAGATCCAGACCTATTTCCTCGAGAACGAAGGAGGCTTCTTCAAAGAACCTATGCCCGGCTACTATGAAGCTGAATACCCTAGTTCGCCGCCTTCCACAAGCTCTAGCTTTTCCTCCTCCCCTGTCTTCCGTGCTTCCTCGACTCCTCCGATCTATACACCAACTTTGAGCAGTCTATCATTGAATGGGACCTCCGATAAGGAGGAAGATGACCTTGCATTGCCAGCATTCGATGCCGACGCCGACTCTACTCCGCAGTCAAACCCTGAGCCTGTCATCTCCGGTAATGCGAACTCTGATGCAGTAGATCCACTGCAATCCCACCCTAAGTACCCAGGCGCGTCGCTGTACAAAACCTCCAGTGACGACTCGTCCATAGAAGAAGAGCCTGACCGACACGTGGATTATCTCTCCCACGAGTGGCGAGAGGAGGATATCTGGGCGTCATGGCGCTATGTGGTGTCCCGGAAGGATCGATATAGCAATGGTGTCAGATTGGAGAATGCATCGTGGCGCACGTGGGCCAAGTCGAAATATGAGCTGCAAACCGTGTTGCCTGAATCTCTGAATTGGTTGAAGGATTGCGATGTCACATGGCTCTATGGTCCTTTGCAGACTGAAAGTAAGCTGCACCCAGCGTCCAACAAGTCGCCGCCACCGAGTCGACTGTCATCAACGAATTCTTTCGTAGACCGAAAGTCTATTTTGAAGAAAAAGACCGCATCAGAGGCTATTCTCCAACGGTCACTATCCCAACACACGCTCTTGAAACATGCCGGAGCTATTCTGCAAGCACAAAAAGCTGAATCCAATAACCGCGGAAGACCTGCCTTTGCACGAGCCACCTCAGATGTCGGAGTCTCGTTGAGTCGGAGGTTAAGTTACAGCCTTGACTCGAGCCATGTTACACCCACAAATTCAACATCGTCCGGCCTTATTTCACCTAGTGAAAAAAGACACATCCATTTTAACAACGAAGTCGAGCAGTGTATTGCTGTCGAGGCAAAGGACGACGAAGAACATGCAGTCGACCCGTCGAGATTCTTCCTCGGAGAAGAAGATGATGATGAGGACACAGAATCCGATGACGGCGTTGTGATGATGAAGCAAGTCAGTCCACGACTCTTAAGCAGCTCCCAGGGCACGCCTAGGAATAGCTTCAGCAGCGAAAGCAAGACCATTGCACCCCTCCCTTCCACCACTCTAAAATATAGAAGCGACACCCCCGAACCACCATGGTTTCAACGCAACCAGGGTAAATCTGTTAGCAACGAGAGAGATCTATCCCCATCGCCGTCAATAGAGACCTTGCGGCCATCACGCCCTGACTCTAATTTCCTGCTTGATGATGATAGATATTATCAAACGAGTCACTCAGACTATGACTTTCCACCTGATCGTCCATGGTTTGTAGATCCCAAGGACACAGACGAGCTGGATCGCGGCGGTGATTTACACCTGACCCCCTCCGGCATGTTCATGCCTTACGAGGAAGGCGAGGCCCCTTCTACCGGCGTCTTGGGCCGAATCGTTGACACCGTCAACACCGCCCGAGACATTGCCCACGTCATATGGAACGTTGGCTGGCGGCGGTGAAACTTCATCAGTTTCTCGTCCCTCTCCTGAGTGAGCACTCATACATTGACATCCGATTCTTTGTATATTTCACTACAGACCCGTTTCTGGCCATTTTAGCGCTGCTTTTTATGAATGATGATACTCAAAACATGTGCGGGTTATTAGGTTATTAGGTTATTGGCGTTGGGATTGTGGGTATTGGGAACGGCGGCTTTTGTCTTTCTGTTGTTTGCAAGATATGCGTCATGATACGGCGAGTCTCTTGAATGCAGTGTCCGAATGGGGAGGTAGATCGGCGCGCAGGCTTGAGAAATCGCCCTTTTATTGTTCAGTGTACATACATATAATCTGGAACAGACGAACGTAAGGTGTTCGACTTTAATTCACTACATTATTTCATATTTTATGCGTATATGTATATATATATATAATATTGTAATATTGTAAATGAATAATAAGTACTGCGCGGAGTTGATAGTGGATCCGGCGCGGAATTATCAGCCCTGCCCCTGACCACTGACAGCCACCTTCCACATCAACACCCATCGAGGCACCACGACCATCAATTCAACGCTGAGGAAGTCGGGTTATGACCGGCATGACCGCACTCTACTTGACTTGACCTCACTCACGTCCGCACCCTATTCAGACTGCACAATCCAGCTTGGCACAATTATATGTGATCAATCTGTGCGCTGTTGATCAATCACCATGGAAGGCCTCAATCCATCCGACCTGGTTGAACGCCTGGGCAGCGATGAGGACTCCGTGCGCAAGATGGCCGCTTTCAAGCTACAGGGCAGTATCGGCGACCCTTCGTTCGCAGACATGTTTATTGCGGAGGGCGGATTGAGCAAGCTGCGCTATCTGACACTGGTCACCACTGGAAACACTCTGGCGTATAGTTTAACGAGTTTCGCGCGCTTGCTAGAGGTCGATAAGGGGTGGGATTATGTGGACGAGGAGCTTGTGGAAAGGGTAAGAATATGAATTAAGTTTTATACTTTTCGTACTGATGAAAAGTTGTGCAGATCGTCTATCTCATCGTTACGCACCCTCTGGTCAATATTCTTCGTGGAGCCATGTCAATGCTTGTCTCGATCGTCTCGCACCCGCATAACCCTAGTCGAGCGTCCCAGGCCGGTTTGTACGGATTTCGAGCGCTGAAACCCGCGATTTCAAAGTATCCGCAGTTCTTAGAGATGCTCGTCAGCAGGCTCTCATCGGCCGATCATGCGCTGTGCGCGAATGCATTGCAGTTGATCAACTCATTAATGCGAGACTCAATCGCCAACGACGAAGAATCCGAATGGCCAAAGTTTATCAAACGTTTGCAAGACCTAGGTGTTATCCGCGCCGTCTACATTCTGATGCAAGGAAGCGCACTTCAGGACCACGCTCACCCGCTGATCGAGTTTCAATCGCTTACCAAGCTTCTGCTGCGGAAATGGAAGAATGTGGCTGTGGACTTGGAGAAACCGGATCACAGGAGAGCGCTCAAGGGTATTCATATCGCCAGTAATCCCGAGAAGGCTCGGGACACTAGCTCTGCAAATGGTGACGAGCTGAGGAAATCTCGCAAGCATAACCCGGAGAAGTGGCGACGGCTGGGATTTTATTCTGAAAGTCCCGCGGGGGAATTCTATGAAATGGGCTTCTTGGGTATGATGGATTTGACAGACTACGTCAGGAAACATCAGGATGAGTTTCAGAAGATGCTGTTAGAACAATCGGCAAAGCCTATTGAGCAACGATGCCCCATTGCGCGTGCCTCACTCGCGATCACGGCCGTTTTGTATGAGCATTTTGAAGTCGAACGATCAGCTACAGATGACGCCAAAAACTATCTCGTGCTTGAAGCGCGTTCCAACTTTGACAAGGTCTTTAAACCTCTGCTTCTGCACTGGTCGCGTATCCATGTCGCTGCTCTGCATGCGTTCTTCCGTCTCTGGAAGGCTACAGAAGCGGAAATTGTGGATTTCGACAAGATCGTTGAATTAGTGCGCATCCTCGTGGAATCAGTCGTTGGCGCGGCACTGCGTACAAAGGATGTCCAGGATGTCGAAGAAGAGCTGGCGGCTTTCGAATACCAGCGTCTTCGCGAGCTGCAGATGGAGCTGTTGGAGCTGACGTACGAAGATGCTTGGGGCCAGCACTTGCGTCAAGTCCGTGACGAACTCCAACATGAAGCATTGCAGTTTGTCAAGGAGCAGAGGATAAGATGTCTTTTACAAGGAGCATGGTTTCCCAACGAGACAGGTTCATCCAAGACCGACGTGTCGAATGCGGCCAAGACGGACTCGAAGCGGACTCTAGCCTTCAAGTATGTCCAGCTCTCACATAACCGCAGATACCTCCACTTTGGCGATTTCGATACTGCAGACGATACTGTTCCGTCATTGGACACTCTTCCCAGTAAAAGTATCTTCCCTCCCTAACCCACCATAATTATCGAAAGATACTAATTCTAAATCAGTCGACCTCTCTATCGTCTCGTCAGTCGTATCCAACGTCTCCGCCTCCTCTGACGACTCCTCAGGCTCCACGATCAAAACCCTCCCTCACCAACCTTCCTCCTCCACGAAAATCACAATTCACGGCTACGCGCCCGCCTCACCACCGACATCCGGCAACACAGCCGCAGCCAAACCCCCTGGGCACACTCGCAGCGGAAGCAAGACGCAGAAGGAAATCCCGCTGCTGACGCTTCGTCCACAGACGCACAGCATCGCATCCGAATGGCTAGATGGGCTGCTGATGCTGCTAAATCAACAGCCTATTACTTCGGAGACCAGTAAGCTGGTAAATCTTATTAGTAACTATGGCCTGAAAATCCGTCTGCTGAATGTGCGTTTTGATGATGCTGCATTTGCCGGTGAGCCCCCTACTATTCCGAGTAGGGAGGGGCTTGATGAAGATTATTATTATGATTTGTTTGGCGGTGCTTAGGAATTGGGGGGGTTATTTTTGTATACATGTGCCGGTTGTTGTCGTAATGGAGGATTTATACCCTTGTATTAAATTAGTCATGTGAATATGTCGTGGATATTGAACTATCATTACTTAGTATGTTTTTCGGTTTAATATATACTTGAACAATTTAAACGTCAAACCCATATTTCATAGTTGATCCCTCACCCTTTTGTGCTTTATCTATTTCATAGCTGTAGCATCACAACCAGTATTCAGCTAGTTTTCATCTGACAACTTAGACTATGGTGTCTTTATAAGAGATGGTAAAAAAGGGAAGAAATCCATTGAGTCCAGTAAGAATCTCCATGGGAAGCGGCAAGACATAGAGTCTGCCAAGACAGACTAGCCTAATTGGGCTGCCCGCAGTGCACTACACATGCGGTGAGCAATCTCGGGGGGGGGAAAAAAGGCCTTTTTGCCAGAATTACTTCTCTTCCACGTCCCAAATACCACGACGTATATCACTAAAAGCTACATAAATAAAAAATATATAAAAATCTAAAAATAGCCCGATGCGGGGATTGAACCCGCAACTTTCAGATATCCTTCGGAGATGGTAAGAGTCTGACATTCTACCGATTGAAATAACCGGGCATGCTTGGTTGGGGAAGGTACCATAAACTCGATATAAGTACATAAATACAATTCAATTAATGAAACGCCAGCCTCCTTCATCTGACACTATACTATGCTAGCTGGCGTCCTAGGTAGTATAGAATTGGAAGGTATATCTATCGTAGCCATATAAGCCCGAGCTACTATAAGGATACCCTACGAAGGCAGACATACTGTCACGACCTTGTAAACTGGAGTATTTGCTCCCTAATCCGCTGCGCCAAAAGCCCGGAATATTGAGAATAGTGAATCCTCGACACTATTCGCTGATACAACTAGTCAGTACTAAGGGCTGCCGGAATCGTCACAGGGACTAGCAAAAAGAACCCTAATATAACAGAAAGGTACTAGCTAATATAACAAACAAACGTTTCGAGGAGTTATAAAGCCCTAAAATAGATTAAGATTCTAAAAAACAACTTTCCCTGGAAATTTAGAAAGGAAAGCTTATGAGTTCGGTTATAAAATTTAGAAAAGTAATAATAGCTCAAGATATGAGGCCGGACATCCCTCTTAAAAGAGCGCCTGGTTCAGATAATCCGTCGAGTAACAGTGGGAGTAGCGAGCATGGGTGTAAATACTGTGTTGTGATGCGTCAAAGAGCAAGGCACATCCTCCCCTCTTGGTTAAATACAATAGATTTATCGGAAGAGAAGAAAAAACCGTCTGGTGGAGACCGAAATCACTTTTCTGTGGGCCCCACTGTTGTCTGCATTGACCTTTTATAGCGATTTAGTGTTCCCTGTTTTCAACCAAGTACGCCCGGTTATTTCAATCGGTAGAATGTCAGACTCTTACCATCTCCGAAGGATATCTGAAAGTTGCGGGTTCAATCCCCGCATCGGGCTATTTTTAGATTTTTATATATTTTTTATAATATTTGTAGAAAATACGTCCAGGAATCAATGTAGTTAGGGAGGATTAGGTCGCTGGCTGCGCCCGTGGGCTCCGGCGCCGTGGCGGAATTGGGTCACGTGACCAATAGGCGCTGTCGGACTTTTTACGCGTTAGAACAAATTGAGTTTAGTGCCAAAATTCGATTGGATTCAGATACAAGCCTGAGTTGCAAAGAACTCAACTATCTAGACGTATTTATATGCAAATTTACACTAATATTTGTCAGCAGGGGTAATGTGTCAGTAACAGATTTGTGTCACTTTTTAGCGTAGTGTTTTATCGCGTTATTCGTAACTTTGGGTGTTTTGAACCTATTCCCGATATGCTTAGTGCCAAATATTCCGACAGGCGCTCTAAGGAAATGCGCTCAGTGTTTTGTTTATGTACAGAAGCAGCAGAGTCTAGTAGCAATACTCCCTAGGCTATTACTGGCAAATTCCATTAACATGCTCCATTCTATGGCCCATAATCTGGCCTATTTCTGACAAAATTTATGTATTCTTTCTGTATTTCTATCCTAATTGGTTGCTATCCTCCTTGTCTAGTAGAAGTCAGATGGGAAACTAAATATTTTTTTCCGGTTGGTGTTACAATCTCAGCCTTGCATCATGGTGAGCCTGCCCTTTACAGCGTGTTTAGGCTTAGCCAGAACTCGTGCATTGTTAACGGGTGATACGTTTCTATGTAGGTGCAGAGTTGTGGAGGGAAATGCGAGTAGACTCTTGGATTCTACCACATAAAATTGTCAATCATTTAAGTCATGTAACTAACACTCTGATAATCATCTCCTACTCGATAGACTAAATACCTAGTTCTTACGCCCTCACCCTTGACCTCCATTGATACTCCTTCATTCTGCTACATGTTCGAATGATGCCCGTCTGAATCTATCATTTCGTAAAAGTGACTGGGTGATTCGGTTGTCTTTATGGAAGCATAATCAAGAACGCAATTAAATCTCAGGAGAGTTCCTAGGAAAAGAAAGATCGATAGACATTGCAAGTAAAGAGAAACGATGACAAAGAACCTATAGCCTGACACTAGCAAGAAAGCAAACACATCATAATAGAAGTTCTAACAATTCCCCTCCCCTCTAGTCAAAAGACTACTCAACGTCTTCTAGAAGAAAACACCATGGGTACTCCACATACATATAACACCAGACGTCAGGAACGAAAAGAAAGATATGGTTAGAGAAACTATTATGCGATGGACACATCAGGACTAACTTGTCGAGAGAACTTGAAGCTGTTAAAGTGAGCGATAGCATAAGTGCCATAATGATTCTTTACCCAAAAATTCCTCTTTGATAACAGATTCCCGGGTAGCGTTTAGAATCTCCTGGGCCTTCGCTATAATAGGCCAGAAGAGCCTTCACACATATTTTCGGACTTTCTGAAAAAGATTCCCTCGAACTCCTTTCAGGCCTCTGTCCATTAACCAAGTCTCCGTCACTAATCGCTCTCACTAGCAGCGAGGGCGGAGGTGTAATTGAGATTTTCTCGCGCAGTGTCCTTCTGGAATTTTCTCGCTCTGTTGCCGCCGTGCATTGAACTTGGTTCCAACGTACCCATTAAGGCTAACCTGGTTTCTTTATTGTAGTCGGACCATCTGTCATGAAATGACTGTAGAACTTTCCGATCTACATATGCAAGGGCTGGATTCACTGGGATGAATGGTGATTTCGCACGTGTTACTCTCAAAGTCGCTTCCCTTTGGTTACAGCCGTCGCAATTCGCCTCTCTGATCACATAGAAAGTGGGGTTGCCTTTAGTCCATCTTGGAGTTTTATCCAATGACTTTGTGTGACACTTAGCACACATTGTCTGGATTTCCGAGGGATACTTGTTGTCATCCTCATTCGCTGTGCACATGTAAATCTCGAGGCCAAGACGGACTGCCAGTTGACGGGGTCGGGAGAGCTGGGCCGCTGAGTGCTTGGTATATTCGTTTTTTTGCAATCGTTGTTGGTACTGCGAAAGTGCCTTTACTACCGCTACCGGGACATTCTGGGTTTTTGCATCGTCGTTCGTGCACGATATAGCATCCTGGCATGTTTACCGCCCAGCGAGGTTTGTCATCAGCCTTAACAGCAGGAGTCCCACACTGCTCACAGACAAGCCCCGAGACTTTCTGTCCATCAAACCGGCTATGAAAGTTCTCTTGATGCTTCCCTTTGATAGTACTGAGAGTATCCCTCTGATGGACCAATATTCTGCGAAAAAGGTCATGTAAATTGTTGGGTTGACCTTGTGCTAAGACTATTGGCGTAAGGTACTTAGCTACATCAACAAAGTTTGAAATAGAAGATTTGGAGAAGAGAATTTCTTTTTGTCCCACAAACCAATTCAATACGGGCTCAGGCAGATCAGTTGGGGTTTCCCAACTAAAGCTGTCCGCTGGTTGGCATGCCTCCAGAGCATCCAGAGCAAATGGAATAAGATTTCGTAAGGCTTGATTGCTATGTGGAAGTTTAGCAAAATAATCATGCCATTCTCCACCTAAAATAGAATCTTCAGTTATAGATTCCGAGGCATCTATTTCTAAGATGGTGAGCTGGAGAGGCTGTAGACCGGCGAGTAGAGCTTCCAAATGAGCCTTCATCTCTTTCGTTTTAGCTCCAGGATGCACTGTGCACCACCACAGCTTCTTGAAGTAATAATCTCGCTTCCATATATGAAGCATACCCGACATAAGAGCCGCTGCCTCCATGAGCTTGTCCTGCTTGGCAATCTTTGAAGGATTGCGATGACAGTAGAATATATGATGTGGATGGATTGCGCAGAGCATAATGCGACGAAATCTATATCGAGGGTCAGCGTTCGCGTGATTGCTCTCTTTTGAAAGCAAAATAACAACATCTTTGAAATCACCCCAGAGGGGCAAGACGACAAATTCTTTCGTTTTTATTAGACGTTGTTGGGCCTTAACACCATAGACCAATTCAACTTTGGCCCTCATTGAATCTGATATACCATTTGTAAAATTTTCGTGCGTGTTCAATATCTGAGAATGATATTTCTCAATGGCTTCAGATTTTGAGTCGCCACGTCTGTGTACATGATCGAAAAGTAGAGTCTCGTTCTCATAGGTGTTGCCCATAATCATCGCGATACAAGCATTACTCGAATCGGCCGTTACACCATTTTCAGGGTGTACCGTTGTCAAAGACGACTGATTGAGACGGTGAGCTATTGGAGAATGTAGCGAACCAGATGGCTTCACAAGAAGGGCAGGTGATACATCTTTCTGAAGGGCTGTTTTCCAGATATGGCGCTCTTCGTTTTTGAACACCTCAAATGAAGCATTGAGATCTACAATCGGATATTCACCAAGATCTGAAAAGGACATATTAGTAAACCAGCACTAAAACCAAATTGAGAGAGACTGATTATCTTACCGTTCATATCTCGGCTGTTCAATGCCTGGAGGTCTCCCTCCACTTCTTCAGCACGTTCCTGCAACTCGAGAGGTGGCCGAGGAAGTACTAAATCCTTCAAGACGACATACCGGCCTGGGAAGTTTTGTGACCGAATTTTTGAGGAACTCTGGATATACTCTGTGTCGTCTATTTCCATTGGCTGATGATCTTCGGGATTTTCAATCTCTCCTTTATTCCTTTTCCTTGGATGTGACTGAATTACGGAGGAATCTTGAGTATATTCCACATCGTCTATATCCATTGGCTGATCTCCGGAATTCTCAATCTCCCCTATCTTCCTTGTCTTTGGACGTGACCTTTTGTCTGCATTCTGGACTCCACGAGATATTGTCCGTACTTCTCTAGATATGTGTAGCGAGGCCTGTTGCTGTTCTTAATTCATTATAGTAAATTAGTAATATGATTTGAATTATAAGAGTTGAAGACGACGTACCTTTTTTTCCATAGTCACAATCTTCACGTAGAAAGACACAATTTGCACAGCGGCCCAGCTGTTCGCCTTTCAGCCGGATGCATGCTACGAAGGGGGGATCCACAGTCCTAGCTTCTGTCCTCTTTATTTTTTCTGTATCTTCACCCTTACAACATCGGCACGGCTCGCTCTCAGCGATACCATGTAGCTGAATAGCAGTAGCAACTTTAGCTACGTTCCTCATAACTGCAAGAGATTTGATCGACTTTAATGACCTGAAATCGATCATTCGTCCAGGAGGTTGCTGATAGTTCGTACGGATGTATATCACATCTTCATTGACACTGTCAGCCAAAATGGCATTGACGAATTCTGTCCGTTTCTCAGGTGGTCCGGCGAGCAGTTTTGGCCATTTTTCAATCAGTGTTTTCCAGGTTTTTCGTACCATGTTTGACAGTTATGGAGAGGGAGCTGATGGAGAAATTGATCAAATAATATGATGTTGTCTATCTCCCCGAGGGTACTGAGACAGATGAATAGCTTCTGCCAACGCTTGGATCCTGGAAGAATGTCAGTAATCCTAAGAGGTCTTGGATTTTGAAAGTTGTTTTGCTTCTTATGTGCTTCTTATGTGCTTCTTATGTGCTTCATAAGTTCACCGGCTTCCCTTACTCAGGTAGAGCAAACAAACCGCATCGCTCAGCTGACAGGAGAGCAGTCCACAATCCCAAAAGAGTACAGGCTGTTTGCTTCTTACTCACCAATGTTTCTGCCTAAGTTGCAGTGCCTTGTTTATTGTTACGATTCAGGGACGAGGATTCAGAAAAGTTCGTAATTAATTCACGAGACGAACTCTAGAGAGAGAGAAAGATGACCCTATCTACTTAGGGGTGAGGCCCAGTTTATATAGACTAGATCCCATACAGCATTTTGTCAGAATCCATGAATCTCTGCAGTCAAACATTGAGTACACAAGGAAATTTCGCTGGTACAAGGTGGCGTATATAATTCCGCTCCCGTTAGAGGCATCTTGATCCTTGTTTCTGGTCCCATTGTTTCGTTTCCACGAAACCGGGAGCAGTTTGATGAAACAATATGTCTTTTGCCAGTGTCTTCCTGCCAAACCATGACGCCAAACAATCAGGTATTCATTGAGATACTCCTTCCAACTTGTTTCAGAATAGTAAATCTGATACCAGTCGTCCAAGACAGTAATACTTGAAAGTTAATGTTGATGGTGGTTGATATTGAGTGGAGCGCGGCTCTTATCGATGCAGATCCGCCCATTGTCAACCAACATGCATCCACCCACGCCCCCAGCACACCTCTTCAACCAGCCATGTAGCCGCACCAAAACCCATCAAACCAAACAATGAACTCCCCTGCCTCTCCAACTGAATCACCACCATGGCTGCCCCTCCTGCCAAAAGGCAGCGTAAGCTGGTCGTTTTATCGTCGTCCGACAACGACGAAGAGACGCTCTCGTTCGACCACAGCAGAAGCCCAACCGCCACTAGTTCTGCGGAATTGGTATGTAATTTACCTATTATATATTACTTTTTATGAATTGATAGCTTGGTTGGAGCTAATTCCCTAGACCAATTCCAGATCTCGTCGCCAGCAATCGTCGCCGACGAAATCGCCGGCGAAAACACGCGCTCGTACGCAGAAATCAGCTTCAGCTTCAACTACTACGATGAAGAAGAGGAAAGAGAGGACGAATACAGTAGAGACATCACCGCGATCACTGCATAGATTTTTCCAACCGGCTACGGAGGAGCAACGGTGGTCATCGAACCGGCCTGCCGCTGCCGTTGCCGCGCAAAAACAAAAGCTAGAGGTGGACGATGCGGAAGAAATTGAGGATGATCTGATTGAAGATGATTACGGCTCTTTCGATGAGATTTTTGAGCAGTTCAAAGTCAAGGAGAAAACTAGCACTGTGAAGATATCCGAGCAACAGAAGGCGAAGGTGTCGCTAAAGAATGGTGGTGTTGGACGCTCTTCGCGGCCACAGAGGAGGTTTATTCTGGATGGTGATGAGCAAAAGAAGGGTGCAGCCTCTGGGAATGTTGGACGGAAGGAACTCGGTCAGATTGATAGTAGGCCCTGGCCGGAGAGATATGCGCCTGTAGATATTCAGGAGTTGGCAGTCCATAAGAGGAAGGTAGCTGATGTGCATGGTTGGTTATCAGCTGCCTTCTCCAGCGAAAATAAGCATGTGAGACACTTTCTTTCTAGGCGTTCTATATTTAATCTATTTAAACTAATGATGCCTACAGAAGATTCTTGTTCTACATGGCCCTGCGGGATGTGGGAAGACAACAACCATTTCGCTATTATCGCAGGCTCTAGGCTTCTCGATTGTGGAATGGAAAAATCCAGTCGACACAGAGGGTGCGGATGGGAAGTACACTTCCCTAAACGCGCAGTTCGATGAGTTTCTCAACCGGAGTGGTGGCTTTGGCAGCCTCGACTTAAGTGGTTCTCCCACCATAGAGCCAACGCAAGGGTCAATGCCAAATCGGATTGTGTTAATAGAAGAATTTCCAAGTAGTATGTCTTGGGGATCCTCTGCACTTACTCCCTTTCGGACTTCGTTGCGTCGGTACCTGGCATCACAGAGCAAGCTTGGTGATTACAACTCAGCTGACGCTACACCTCCGGTTGTGATAATCATCTCAGAGACCAGGCTTGCTACGAACGCTTCGATATCCGATAATCTTACCATGCACAGATTACTTGGACCGGAAATATACACCAACCCAGGCACCAGCACCATCGAGTTCAACCCTGTGGCACCTACTTTTATGCGCAAAGCGCTTGATCTTGTTCTCAAAAAGGAAGCTCGGCATTCCATGCGAAAGAGAATACCAGGACCATGTGTTCTCAAGAAATTCTCTGAACTGGGCGATATCCGTAGCGCCATATCTTCCTTGGAGTTCTTCTGCTTGCGAGGAGATGAAAACGGTGGCGATTGGGGAGGGCGAGTCGCTGCGAAAGCGAAAAGTTCGAGTCGAGCAGGCGATGCTCCGCTCACCCTTATGGAGAAGGAGTCGCTTGAAATAATTACGCAGCGAGAAGCGAGTCTGGGCTTATTTCATGCCGTCGGTAAGGTGGTTTATAATAAAAGAGAAGATGCGAGCCTTCAGGAACAACCTGACTTTGTCGCACCTCCGCCGCATCTGCAACACCTGGAGCGTCGGAAAGTCTCGTTGGTTTCGGTGGAAGATTTGATGAATGAAACTAGCACCGATGTCCAGACTTTTGCTGCCGCCTTGCATGAAAATTACCCTCCGTCTTGTGATGGGCCATCCTTCACAGACTCTCTTAATGCTTGTATAGAAAATCTCTCGGACAGTGATATCCTAGGCTCGGAATCGAGGCCTCTTCTGTCTAGTAGCAGGATGGGCGTGGGTATGGCGCGGAGCCATCTTCAAGGATACGGGGCCAGTGTCGACCGTTTGCGACAGGACGAAATCAGTTTCCATATTGCTGTGAGGGGGCTTTTGTTTTCTCTGCCTCATCCCGTTCGAAGACGAGTCGAACAAGGCGCTTCCGGGAAACGGATTAGCGATGCGTACAAAATGTACTTTCCGACCTCCCAGCGGCTATGGAAGGATATTGAAGAAATGGACGGTCTTATTGGTATATGGGAGCGGCACTTTCTGGACCCTACCAATATCCAATCGGGGTCGAATACTCGATCGGCTGGCGTCGAGTCGTGGAAATTCAACCAGATGAACGTGACGTCGGCTGCAAGGGGTTTTGAAACCAACCAGCATTCTGAGCCGATAAGGTCAATGGTGTCTCGGGAAGAAGTCTTGCTTCACCAGCTCCCATACTTGTCAATGATATGCAGCAGGGCCTCGCAGACGCGAGGCTTGGATAGGAAGAGTCTGGGCAGGATTACGCAGTTTCAAGGCATTCGTGGTCCAAGCGACGATATCCCCGAGGATCTAAATGACAGTGAGATGAACGCTGTCAATGACTGGTCTACAGACCCCATGCCGTCTACGCGTAGGGCTGGTCGCCCTGGTTTTAGAAGCTCGAAGACAACCACAGATAATAGTCCAGAGATTCAGGAAGCTGTCGAGAACTTGCTTCTGAGCGATGATGAAATTGAGGATTAGCGAGCTGTGCAGGTTTTGCGGCTTTGGTTATATCTGGATGCTCATAATGTGCGATGTTGTCTGTATTTCGGAGTTGGCTGCTGGATAAAAATTGCCAAGGCATTGTTGGTCGATTGGAGTGGCGCATATTCGTTCAGTTTATAGAATAAATATAGGGTATATTCTACTTCGATATATATTAATCTCTAGCTGTCAATTGGCACCAATTGAACCTCGAACCCCCACATTTACTATAATTGAGATATAAACAGATACCACCCATCACCCCAAGAATTTACGTTTAAACCAGTTTCAAAAATTTATCCGAATAAATTATCCGAATAAATTATCTTGTGTTGTACATGATTTCCAACAATCGTTGATGCAGCCTCAATTGGGTCTTACAAGCCACGTTTTATCAGACGCCCCCAAACTCCGGCTGCGGACAAATTGTTCGGCCAAATTATATCCCCAACCAACTGTACAATCCGCATTCTCCATGACATGATAGATGCTCAGTAGTCATTGGGCTATTACTTTGAATTGTCTTCTGAGGGCTAAGCCTCTCATAAACCATTTCTAGGCTCTATTTCACGAGCAACGTGATCGGAGCGCAGAAATGTCGTTTATAGTAAGTTCGTCCGCCCCGACAACATTCCTCAAAATCGAGAACGGAAGAAATGGTCCTCGCTTTACCGAACTCCGCAAGCTGATTCTGTTTTTTCTCGCGTGTTCTAGAAAAATCACAGAACTCCAAATCATGGATCAGTCGATATGACAGGTATAGGATCACGGAGGCGGCGCGAAAGCGAAGTCGCGACGACAGCCCACTCGACAATCAGGATGGATAACGTGATGGAAGAGAAGCCCGTGGAGCCATTTCCGGAAGAGAAGGATTGGAAAAGCGTCATAGTTGGTGTTGTATGTGGAATATTGCCGAAATGGGTTGATGCTGGCGTTATAGGCCTGTTGATCTTTGGAGGCTGCTGTGGAAATGTACGTCTTCAACATTTCATCCCATTCACCGCAATTCTAGCTGACATTGGATACTAGGTATTTGCTCTAGAGGCAATCATTAAGTGAGCAATCTATCCACCGAACATACTGGAAACATTACTGATATACGGCTCTTGACGGCAGAGATGAACCAGCTGCCGGACCTCTGATCACCTTCGTGCAATTCGTGACTGTCTCGCTGTTCACTATTCCAAGCTTCCTGTCCTTGTCAGCAGGACCTCGAGCTTTCTACCTCAAGTCTCCGATTATTCCACTACGATCTTGGACTATCTACACTATATTCTTCGTGACCGTCAACCTCCTAAACAACTGGGCCTTCGCATACCGCATTTCTGTTCCACTACACATCATCCTCCGATCCGGCGGCCCAGTCGCTTCCATGCTCATTGGGTACTTATACAACGGTCGACGGTACTCGCGCATGCAGATATTCGCTGTCCTCCTCCTGACGTTCGGTGTGGTGGGAGCTGCATTGGCCGACGCCGAAGCCCAGGGCAAAGCTATGAACATCGAAACCAACCTGGACGAGTACGACAGTAAATCCACTCTTCTCTTCGTCATTGGCTTCACCATCCTCGCTTTGGCAATGCTTCTATCCGCCTTCCAAGGCGTCTATGCCGACCGCCTCTATGCTGTCCACGGAAACACCCACTGGCGCGAAGCGTTGCTCTACTCGCATATGCTCTCAATCCCTTTCTTCCTCCCAACATACCCCCAGCTCTCTTCCCAATTCCGTGCTTTCATGGAGTCATCCTCCATGCTGTCAAGTCTGAGCTCGATACCAGGGCTCGCCGACAACGGGCTATTCGCCAACGCAACAATGCCACTCACTACCGTTCTCTCTGCCGCAGCACCAACCGTCGTACCATCAACACTCGTCCAAACCACAGCCAGCTCTGGGAACCTAGTCGATCAAGCTCGTCAATCCGTCGGCGTCTTTTGGCTTCTCTTCCGAGGCTCGGGCTACGCACTCGTCCGCTCCATGCTCGCAAACACACCAAATAAGATCTTCTTCCTGGTCATCAACGCGCTGACTCAGTACATCTGCATTCGCGGCGTCTATCTGCTCGCCGCAAAATCCTCGTCTCTGACCGTCACCATCGTACTTAATATTCGCAAATTGGTCTCGTTGTTGTTTTCTATCTATATCTTCGGCAATTCGCTGGCGACGGGCGTTTTGATTGGTGGGGGTTTTGTGTTTTTGGGTGGTGCGTTGTATGGTGTTGCAAGTACAAGGGCGAAGAATAAGAGCGTCTCGCCGGAGTATTTGCAGAAGATTAATGCTTATCAGAATAAGGTCAAGGTTTAGGGTGAGGAGTTGTTTGTTTGGGATTTGTAATAGATGTCACTTTGTACACAAGATCCAGTTGCATTTTTGATACATAGGTGTATATATAGAGAAGAAATGAACAAGACATCAACATAAAATTAAATTTCGTAGATTGCGTATTTAGCCTACATGTCAATTGATATCAACGGGCAGGTTTGGTTATTCCGTTGTCATGATATATTTCAACATAACGAGCTAGAATAACGCGATCTATTGGATACAATATAATATAAATTCCAAGTGACCTCGCAACACCCCGAGAAAGTGGAAAGAAGAGACTATATGCATATACATACATACCTCGTGCGCTCAACTCCACACGAATTCCTTGCTATATTGATACAAACGGCGAAACCCTGTCAAAACAAAAAAAGAAAAGAAAGAAAATTGACAGAAGAAAGTGATTAGAAGTCTATAGTACTTCACCAACAATCTTTGCCGCCTCCTTATATGTTTCGAGCAATTTCTCGCATTTCTCGCGTTCTGCCTTGATTCCGTCGTCCTCGTAGAGAAGATCGCTAAAAAGTTCTTCTTTGTAGAGTTCGCTGACAAGTCGGTTTTGGACGACATCTTTGCTGTGGTTGACGAGGAGATGCATGACGGCTTTCGGCACCTGGTCTGCAATGGTTTCCCTTACGATGTTGAAATACGACGAGATCAATCGTCGGATCAGCTCAGTCTCCATGACCTCCCGTTCAGTGAGATTGGGTTCAAGATTGTCGGTGGGCTGATGATAGTTGTCCGTGGTTAGTAATAATATATAGAAATATAAGAAGAGACTTACAAATTGAGAAACCTCGTTTCCATATTCAGAAGGTGTAATGCCGTATTCTTCTTGTACTATCGCTGGTGAGCGAGGCTCCCCACGGCGTATGCTTTGACTGATGCTGGGTTCGGTAGAATGACCTCGTCGATTCTGCGCTGCGGTCGGCTGGGGAAGGGGTCCTGCTGATGGCATGCCTTCCTTTCCAAAAAAATAATTCAAAAATGAATCACGAGCTGAATTCGCAGCTCCGAATACTGGAGGAGAACCTGATTGCTGTGTTCCGTTGAGACCTGCCGCGAAACCGTCCGCCCCTCTCGAAACATGGGGGGACATGCTCCTCGCTGCAGCATTTCCACGAACGGAAAGGTTCTTGAGCTTTTGATCAGGGGTCTGATCCTCTTCTTCTTCGGCTGTTCCGTTGACTTCGCCCAACTCCCTAAGTCTCCGTTTCTCACGCTTCTTACGCTCTTCTGCTAATACAGCTTTCTTTTCCTGCTCTTGCCTGGTTTGTATAACTGAAGACATGGCCGCCGCAGCACCGAGGAAGTTGGGGTGATTCGTATTGATGTAAGCCCTCTGAATGGCAATGAGTGACTCGACATAGGTAGAGCATGGGCCGAGGCGCTCGCGAAGAAGATCCGACACCACTTCGATGAGCTTTCCTTGTAGGCGAGGGAAACGAGACAACTCTTGGGACCCGCATGTATGGCAGATCTTGATCAGTTCCTCATATACCAGCTCTACACATCTCTGGCTGGGTATTTCAAGGAGTTTTATTTGCGGTTTAACTAGCAGGTCAAAGGCCAGTTCTGGAACAAATAAGCTGGGGCGAGGCCCAGTGGAGTTCCGTATGGCGGTTCTAATATCGTACGTAGTGAGGTTGTGTGTTGGATCGACAGTATCCAAGGAGTGGCCAAAAACCGAGTTGAAAATATAGTAAATGCGTGCTCCGCCACAGAGCTCCTTTGTCGATATTTCCGAAGATGTACCATCGATGGACGAAATAAACGAAGACGCAAATCGAGTCATCAACTGTAATATCAAAGAACCCCTGTGCTCTTTGCCGCTAAATTGCTTGTTCCCATAACTAGCCAGCTCCTGTTGAGTCTGGCCCATCAATGTGTTGAGCCGAGCTTTGATATCGGGTAACCGATCTCGAATATGAGACATCAAGGTCGAGTTTAGTGTTTTCGCGAGGAACTGTGTTCCGCAGCGAATTGCCATATTTCGATACGCAGGGTGATGCCTGAAAAAGTCTGCCTCCGACTTCAAAGCTTCGTCTAACGGCTTGCCACTTTGAATATCTTGCTGAGATCGGTTGACGACACCAATGAAACCCAGCTTCAAAGGGTATACGCGACCGGAAAGAATATCTAGAGCATTAGTTCCATGATCCATGAGATCCAGCTTTGTGAGAACGCCGATTGTTCTTCGGCCCATAGGGTCCACATGGCGGGCCAGTTTCAAAGCTTCCGAGTTGACCAGATCAACGTTAGCAGGAGACACGGCGAGGATAATACTGTTCGGTTTTGCAATATACTCGGAAATAAGGGTACGGGTCTGCTTCTCGATATCGGATGGTTGATCACCAATGGGTACTTTTGTTAAGCCAGGCAAGTCCACCAGTGTCAAATTTAGAACATGAGGCGAAAACACTTTCAAGTTGATGGGTTGGCGGTTGATTCCTTTGTTGCTTCCAGCAATTCGCGCAGTTTCATTCTCAATCTCCTGTTTCACCTGAGCAAAGTCCTCGAATTTTCTTCCTGGCAAATGATGGAACTCAGCCCATTCTCCAAATTTCGCGACACTGCTTGCAGTATGCGGGATGACTGCAGGGTTGCCGTCAGATTGCTCGTAATTTTCGGCGGCGACATTGATTAGTTGCAAGATTAGAGGACGCCTTGTTACAATGCCGCTGCCTCGGGGTAAAAAGTCACGACCAACGATATTTTCAAGAACTGAGGATTTTCCAGATGACTGCGAACCAACGACGACCTGTTAAAGCAGAAAATGCGGATCAGAAAGAGGCACTGATTAACTACTGTCCATAGTCGCGATAGGACAGGAGGGGACTCACGATTTGCGGCAAATCAAGGGAATCGTTTCCGATGGTGTTGAAAACCAAGTCCTGAAGCTTGTTCACGGTGACGAGGAGGTCGTCACCAAGGGCAGCCATCGTGCAAGATGATGTAGGAAGCCAGGTGCACCACTCGCACTCGATCACTGCGTGTTGTTCCAGGGACAAGAAGACTGCAGACGAGTCTCTGATTAGCAGCTGGCCCGAAAATGGGTTAAGTTGGCAGGGACAAACAAGCCGCGGCCGGGAGGATGGCCTACTTGGTTAGCTTGGCAGGACAATGCTGCGCGTAAACGCACAAGCAACAACAACGACGACACAGCAACAACGAACCACTTGAGTTAGAGGCGTCTAGGGCTGTTGGCGTCGGTTCTAGAATCTATACCAGGAATCAAACCCTACACTACGTAACCAGCTGGGAGTCGAGAGTCGAGAGACAGGCATATTCACGTGATATCTGGAGCTGTTTCCCCAGCTTCCCAGCGCCACAAGCACAACTCATACCTAGATCAGTTCCAAGTGATCTACGTAGGTGGTTCGCAAGTTGCAGTCGCTAATGTTGGAGGAGAGTTTACACAGCCATCAGTGCTTTGGTGTCGCTCAAGCCATGCTCTATATGACTCAATCTGTAGCCCCCAGAAAGCTTTGATACACACCGTCTCATATTCCATACATAGATCCTCAAACATCCATAGGTAAACTGGGTAAAATCCATTCCAATGACTTTGTGACTCGCGACTACATACCACTAATAATAGCCCGATGACGGCACATATTGTGACCCCTCCTAGGTGATGCCTAGATTCTGGGGTTTGTAGACGATGAAATACTATATACTATATGCATATATATGTGCAGGCATCTATGCAAAACTTTTCTGCAGTTCCTAGGACTGAGCGCAAGTAATATTCTTATTGATTGTCGCTAAAGCTGCGCTGCTGGACGTTGCAGGACAAGTCCAGGCTCTGACGTACCGCACGAGTCTGGTTGGCGGTACCGTGCGGTCCGCGCCACATTTCAGCTGCCTGCTGCGTATTCCGCCCACCACTCTCATTTCCCCCATCTACCATACTTCTTTCTCAACATAACGTACAGTACGGCGCCAAGCCCGTTATATCTACATCTGCTTTCTGCCAGGCGCTCTCACTTGAACCTAGGGGTGGTTGGGCGTCTATATCCGCTTGATTGAAGTCATTTGTTTGTTGCGGTCAGCTTCCCCACAACCCAATCCAAAATACCAACTCGACCCAAGCACACAACTCAACAGCTGGTTAACTTGAATAGCTACAGTCCATGCGATAGAGCTCTCCATACAATCAATTGCTCCCATGTCTTCCCTCAACCTCTCCACAAACGGGCCGTCCATTTCGAAGAGTTATCAGTCCGTGGTCAGTGCTGTCCCAGCAAGCGTTGCCGCTGCTGCATCACCAACCTACGGCCAATGGGCGCTCTTCAATGTGACCACACCGCTTGTGAATGCGTTCCAGCCAGACGCCGGGAACAAGGAGAGTGTCCTAAAGGTTCAGAGCTCCGGGGGTAGGTCGTCACGATTGTTATGTGTGCCCAATTCATCTGACTGACTCTTATAACACTTTTAGAGGGTGAATTGGCAGATCTTGTTGAGGACTTTTCGGAAGGAAAGATTCAATTTGCCTTTGTCAAAGTCAAGGACCTGAACACTGGTCTTCCCAAGAACGTTCTTATCGGCTGGTGCGGAGAAGGCGTACCGGAAAGAACAAAAGGCTACTTCACCAGCCATCTAGCCGCAGTTTCTCGATTCTTCCAAGTATGCCTACCATATATAAATCCAATGCGTGCTTTGGAACTAATTCTTGTTTTTTATACATAGGGCTATCATGTGCAAATCACTGCTCGCTCGGAACAAGATCTGTCCCCGGATGGTATCCTCCAGAAAGTTGCTGATGCCTCTGGCTCCAAGTACTCGTCTAACCAAACCGTTCCCCAAGCGGCTCCATCAAAGCCTCCAGTAGCTACAAAGCCAGTTTTCTCGGCTGGTCGCTCTGGTGGATTCGTTCCTCCTCCCGGTGGGCGTCGAGTAGCTCCCCCTAGGAATGATCCGGTTGATGCAGATGGGTGGGGAGCTGATGCCCCTCCAATTACAAGAACTCAACTGGAAAAAGTGCCTTCGGCTTACAGGCCAACGAAAGTTGATATTAATCAGTTGACATCACAGAAACAACCCGAGTCCCGCTTCAACCAAGTTTCGTCCGAACCCCGGGACGACGTCGTTAGGGGCGGATATCAACCTATTGGAAAGGTAGACATTGCAGCGATCAGGCGAAAAGCACGTGAATCAGGTCAAAATGTTGACGACCGACCCACTCCTGTCAAGGGAACTTATGAGCCAGTTGGGAAGGTTGACATAGGAGAAATCCGATCTAGAGCGCAACAGCCCCGAGATGCCCCTGTACCTGAACCTCCTGCCCCCGAGCCTCAGACCGAAGCCAAGACATTATCTGAGCGCTCTGCAGCATTCCAGTCATCGGAGCGCCTCACAAGTCTTCCGAAGCCCAAAGTCGCAAATCGAGTTGGTACGTCTTCAAACTTCACTGGTACCAAGGCCCCCTTACCCTCAGAATTCGGACAAAAGCCCGCTGCTACTGCTGCTCCAGTTGGTTTGGCAAGCAAGACCTTTGCGGACGAAGGTGGAAAGACACCAGCGCAGTTGTGGGCTGAGAGGAAAGCAAGAGAAAAGGGTACTGGTGCCGCGGCTCCTACGCCAAGTTCACAGCCAGTAACTACAGACCTGTCGGGTGATGGCCAGTGGAGGAGCTCGTATACTGGAAAGAGCTGGGCTCCAGTACAAACCACGCATACTGGACGATCTGCAACCAGCAGCACTTCTCAACAGTTTTCAAGTACCCATGCTCAAGAGGAGGAGCCAGTGACTACTGCTGTTACGTCTGAACGCAGTATTGAGCCTACACCGACTGTTCCCCCACCTCTGGACAATAGCAACAAGCCAAATGCCGGTCGCGGTGTTCCTTTGCCTGGATTCTCTACGGAGCCGACTGCTCCAGATACTCAATACGAGGAAAAGAGTAAACAGGAAGTACCACCGCCTCCCCAACAGCCTCGATCACCTACCCCACCAACACCTCCAGTCAGAGAAACCTCCCCAATCCAAGTTGCCATGCCAGTCAGCCGCACTGCTCCAGAAGACCTGGTTCAGGATGCCCACGAAGAATTGGATGCACCTCCTCAACCTCTTCCAATACGCAGCTTGGAACAAGCTGTGCCAAAGGAAGAGGATCTTGAGGACCCGGCTCATGACACTGGTCGTGCCACTGCTGAGGCGGCTGCACATGCTGCCGCCAACACAGAATCTATTCGTGCTGTGGTTCTGTATGACTATGAAAAAGCCGAGGAGAACGAAATTGAGTTGAAGGAGGGCGAGAATGTGACTGACATTGAAATGGTGGATCAGGACTGGTGGCTGGGTGTGAACGTTCATGGCGATCGCGGTCTATTCCCAAGCAACTACGTCGAAGTCGTTGAGCAGAGTCCGGGAGCTCCTGAGCACGAGGAGATTCAGCCTCCTGTAGAAGAAGCGGAACCCGAGGCCGGTGATGCAGGTGGTCATGGTCATACTGCAACAGCTCTCTATGACTATGAGGCTGCTGAGGATAACGAACTCAGCTTCCCCGATGGGGCGAAGATTGTGAATGTTGTGAGTAAAGCCGTGCGCAGCTCTTATAAAAATAAAAAGACTAACCAATGCGCAATAGGAGTTTCCAGATGAAGATTGGTGGTCAGGGGAATTCAACGGCCATGTTGGTCTCTTCCCCGCCAACTATGTGGAGTTGGACAAGTAGTTTCGCTTCCTCGAATTGCGCGCTCATTCTTTTCTTCCGATACGTAGCTGCATATTCGATGGTTTTCCTATGAATGAATGTAACATGAAGTTGTAAATTCATTGACCACCAGCTAGCTGCCCACCAACAGCGGTTTTGTATCGTGCTTCTGATGATTTGTGTTCAAAAATGACTGTTTGTTGAATATACATGATATATTTTTGTCGCAAAAAAGGCAATCCAGTTAACATCCCGGACATAGCGATAACACTCAAAGTCTATCGATTCAATAGAAGAAATAAATATCTTTGTTGATAAATTTGAAATGTCATGTATCACATGACTCACACTTCAACTTGACTCGGCGAGTTTTAACCCTATTGGCTAAAACGGTGAGGCTGACCCCCCGCTCTCAAGGCCGCAATAAAAGGCTTTCGCATGTTTTGGTCGATAAAGATCATTTATCCCAAGGACCTCTCAGAGGTATTACCATCTCATTCTATCTTGATTATTATCGAGTACACGCGCTTTTCTTTCTTCTTGCTGTTTTAAGTAATATACGATGACCTCTACGCTCTTGTTTCTCCTGCGCAAACCAAGCTTTGGTTTCTTACCAGCCTAGGCCACCAACTGTCCAGGGAGCATTGCAAATATCATTTCGTCAATGGAAAACGAAATTTCCTACTCGTGATTTCCCCCTCATATCATCCTCAAGCAGTTCATACTCGCGTTGCATTTTTGATCTTTAATTGAACCGCTTGCATAAGCTTATGGCTCCAAGCATATTCCCTTCACTTCTTTAAGAAGTGGTGTTGAACTTAATGTAGGCCTTTCGAGGACTACAACTCTGTTAAGTTCGTTTTTCTTTTCATTTACTGAAATTGTTGAATTTTGAATTTCGTCAAACCATACGCTTGTCATATGGTTTGACTGTTTCTGGATCACGAAGCAGTTTGAATGCGCTTGGTGCATCTGCTTTTTATGCTTGCAAGACACAGTCCTGGTCACGATTCGAATGATTTCAAATGCTACCGAAATTATGGAACAGACCAAAGACCCATCACTTCCCAGGGATTTACCAGCTCCGGATCACTTACCCCAGGAAGATAGTTCATTCATGAGTTTGTCCATGGCAACGCACAAGGACTCCTCCACGTCAGCATGGAACTCAGGACGTAAACGAAACATTTCTAACCCCAAGGATGAATCTGCTGTCGACTCTATCCCCAAAGCCCATATATTCCAAAATCAAGGAGCTTTCGAATATGACCAGGAGAATTTCGTACCTCACAAAAAACCTAGATTAGACTTTGACAAGACCCCGTCAGACAGCACCCATTTACCCATGGAAGTGTGGCAGCATGTCTTTTCGTTCCTGGATCCAAAGACTCTTGGTATACTTCTACGCGTTAATAGGACTTTCAACTCTTATCTTGCCTCTAGTGATATACATCCAGATGATACCCCTACCTACGGTGTTTTGAGGCCTGTGAACCCAATGTCTATCTGGTCCAAATCCCGGAGGTTCTTCTATCCTGTAATGCCGAAACCCTTGGCTGGTATGACCGAACTAGACATGTGGAAATTGATCGGAGCAACCAGTTGCCAGTTCTGTAAAAAGAAAGGTTTAAACAATTCATCACCAAGATCTGCCTCTCCTTGGGAACGCGGGCCAGGCCTGGACGGAGTCCGTATTATTTGGCCCTTTGGTATTAGAACGTGCTCACAATGCTTTTTTGCACGAGCGAAAAAGGTACGTCACCTGATATAAATGATTTGATCGATGCTAATATCATTTGTAAGGATGTGGATGTTATGTTATCTCCATTACCTACTTTTCTTCTAGAAGGTCTTGTATTTGTTCTGATGACTCCATCCATGCACATGATACAACCCATGATTCTACGATCTAGACAATTTCCTCCTGGTTTACAAATGGACAAATACTACCACGACTCTGACATCAAAGGCCTCTTGGAAGAGTTTGAACGCGTCAAGGCTTTTGGAGCGGCGACTCTTGAAGAATGGACGAAGGGATTGGGAGGCGAGAGACTGAGGAAGACGGCACATATCGCCCGGTGGGAACAATGGGAGAACAGCGGCGGCCTACATCATATCAAACCTCAATTTAGTACACCAATTAACTGCATCCCACTAACTGGATCCAGCTGCCAACCGGAATACCGCGAGGGTCCAGTGGTGGAAAGTGCTCCATTATCTCTAACGCACAAATTGGCCGACAAGGAGGGATTTCCGTCTGGTTCTAACCACCAGGATGACCCGTCTCCGGAACCAGCTCTCAATTTGCCGCAAAGCCGCAGCGAGCGACGTTTACGCGACGTTAATGAAGCTAAGGCTCTACGAAGGGTAGAAATCGAACGCCGCTGCTTAGAGTTGAGCCCGCCGTTGACTGCCCAAATCCTTAGCCATATGGACTCCTTTTTAGCGGCAATACAAATACCACATACTTTATCTGAGAGGGATTGGGATGTTTTGAAACCGCGTCTGATCTCCCAGCGCGAAGGAGCGGAAAAGAAAGAGTCTGACCGTTTGAGACAATCCCAACTACTTAAGGTCAAGACCGAAGAGCGTCAGCAGGAAGAGGCCCAATTGAAAGAAGCAAAGGCATCCCTAGATCATGAGTGGGATGAGGTCCAGCGTCCTATTCGCGATGAATTGAGTCTTTTTGCCGAGGACTTCATTAATGAAAACTGGCAAGGTGGGAGTTTGCTTACTAAAGACAAATGCGCCCAATTCGCTGCCGATGTATTGATGCATGTACGGAATAAGTTTTGTTCTCGTGTGCAACAGGAAGATGCCGTTGCTCAAGCCTCTGGGGTTCCTGTACAGGCTGATTCGTCAAGTTTGCTGCCAGCCCGCAAGTTGATACTGGAGAACATGAAGTGGGTTTTCGACAATAAAATTAAGCCACTCACAGAAAAACATCAAAAGGAGTTGTTTCTGTGCAATGGTTGCGACAATAATCTTAGATTTTACGGCTTTGAAGGAGTGATACAGCATTATGCAGCTAAACATACTACAGCTCTCAGTCGTGGAAATGTAGTTGTCTACTGGCGCGCTGAATGGCCTGAGAAGCCACCATTTCATCCTAATCCAAATGCCGCCAGGGCTCTCATCCAAGCAAGCTCACAAGGTGGTTTCGCTCAGACCCATGGCTATACTGGTCAACAAAATACAACAAATTTATATATGGCCACCCCGGAACAACGACATCGCATGCTATCAGACGCACAATTTCAATCTCCTCGTTCGTTTGGACATTCCCCATATGCCTATATGCATGGCCCGTTCCAACCGCCGTCACCGAGAATGAGTCCCTATTATGCTACGCCTCACTCTAACTATGTTTTTCCCACAACATCTGCCATGACAACGTCTGCGTACGATCAGTCATCGATGCGCAGCCCGTCTCTCAATTCTCATCCTTCTCCGGCTACCTACCATTCACATATGTCACAGGCACTTCATGCATACCCCTCACCAGCATATGGCCCTTCTTCACTTTACTCTCCAGGTTTACACAATACCTCTCACGGCAAAGGTTCCGGGGCTGTCTCGCAGTACATGGATCCTGAGCGCATGGATAGTTATCAGAATCAACTCAATGACATCGCTCAAATTTCTCGCGATGTGTGGAATGCGACATCTGGAATCAAAGATCTTCCAGCCAGCATTCGTGCATTTGTGCTAATATACCATGTCATTCTGACCGGCAACCGTCAATTCAATATTGACCCTTCCATCACACTCTTCTCGGATGGGCTCAATAACCATCCTCAAATGAAGCCGATGCGCAACCTCAATGGCCTGGTCTGCAAATGTTGCGCAGACAAGGAAAACCGGGATGTGGTCAATTGTCATTCACCAAAACCAAAGCTATATAGCCTCCCAGCTCTTATCAGTCACTTCCAGTGGACACATATGGAACACTCTAGTCCTAGGTTTGGCACGCACCAAAGTAAAGGCGACTGTGGCTTCGACTGGAGAACAGACATGATTTCTCTTCCTAGCGACTCGTCTATAAGATCATCGTTACGTACACCCGGTATGGACGATTTTAAACTACAGATCATCCTGGATGCCCTCGAATCAACATTCGCAACTCCGTCTACCCTCTATTCACGGGCGGTTGAACCCATTCGCTCTTCGGCCACCTTACATAGATCTGACTTAGAATCTCGATCGAATCCTAGGCCTGAGCTTGATGATCTAAAGGGGAACCAGATCCATGATTCCGATCCATACGCAAACCTACCAAGAAGGTCCATAAATACAGAGTCAGATATAGAAAACAGGGCCAATCAGTCTATGCATGAAAATAAGTACTGTGAGGATCGGAAAACTCGTTTCTTCCTTCGCTCTCCTCGCACGGTCATTAAGAGCGAAAATGAATCTACAGATTCTGCCCTGATGGAAGTCGACCAGCAGGAGTTGTCAGGCTGTCCGAGTTTCCATCAGATTAGAAGACGTGATTTCCGCAGCCCCCAATCTCGATTTGTTAGATTACCTGAGAACGACCTCCAGATGAGGATATTAGAGCCCTATGAGGAATCTCACCCGCTTTCATCGCTCCGGCCAAATTCGCGTCCTATTAATCATCGATATGCCTGGTTACCATCAGATCAATATGATGTTGTGATGTCAGATAATCAGATCGATGCAAAAAGACCGAGTGAACCTAGCCGCTATTATTCTCTCGACGGTGGTACCGTCTTGAAAGATGAGGGCCCCCTCACTACATACACAAAGAAAGATCATATTACAGAAAAGCAGGGCATAATAGGACCATACCCCGAAGATTCTGCTTCTGGCCAAGAGCAAATTGTTTACGAAGGTGAAGAATATCAGGACTCGAGGACAAACTCCCAATCCTCTCGCCAAACATATCATTTACAAACACTAGAAGAGCCAGGTTGGCGCCGTGCTTTGGCAGGCGATGATATCATGGAGCACAGCTTATACGCTCCTCAGGCAGAATACGCACCAAACAGGGCTTGGAAACGAAGGAGAGAGGTCATTCCGGCCAGAGAAATTGAAGCTCGTCGCCAGAATCGAGCGTCGGGCTCGCCTGAAATCAGTTATGTACCGGTTGGACGGAAGCTCTCGGGTCACTTGGATGGAAGAAGGCCATCTAGTCGGTTCGACAGGTATGAAGCTCAGCGGTATGAGCCTCTCTCGTCAAGCTCGAGGTCCTCGTCTATCAAGGACGGACCGCACTCGAGTTCGCATTTTATTCGCGACCAGCAACATACCCAACCCCAGGCTCCGCGCTATTACATCGAAGAGTCGGCTCATCCGTATGCGATACTAGGAGCTAATCAGTCCTTTACACCAGATGTGAGACGCGATGTCCATGGGTACACGAAGACCTTTGGCGGTGAGCAGGCTTACTATGACACGACAAAGGAGATGTAGTCCGCATCCCTATTACATGATAATAAAACTCTTTCCGCACATATGTAAATAGTCAACGAATGTCACGTCCTATACAATACATTAATATAAATACTCAGCCGGATAAATAGCGAAATAGGTTTCCAGGCTAGCTGGAGAGCGGCCTCTCCACTGAGCAGACTAAAGGGGAGCAGCGCAATCCCCACATTTCCGGATGGACTCAATGAGTCGACTGTCCGGTCATACATATGGGGAGATAGTGAAGGGTCATCATCACATAAAAACCTCACGTATATGCCTTTTACAGTTGAAATTGATAATTCTGCATTGTAAATCTGCATATATGGGGCTGGGAATGAAATGTGAATGAATGTCTTATCACAAGTTTTGGTTCATGGAGCAATGAACATGGACATAATATTAATGGTTTACATGTAGTCACATAATAGTGAATCAATCATTGTATCGGTCATTTATTTCCTACATAATATCCACCCCGATAACACACTCGATTGGGTGCGAAGATAGAGATGTAGTCTTCTATTACGTGGAGGAGTTCATAATATCATATTTTGCACACTGTCAACATTCCCACTTACATAAATACCATACAACATAAAGCAAGACACTCAGGTTGCAATAATCATAAGGTCATTATTTTTTACTTCAAATCTATATACCAATGTATCAGTCCAAACTTCAACGACTCGCAAATCTATCACAGTACCCGATAGCAAAACTATTACATGCGCCGAGGAGCATGCACATTAAATTGCCCAACTGCCCCTCCGTTCTCGAACACCCCATGCATCCAGACTGTTGTTGCTACCAGCCATCTCCGGCCGTTGCCTGGCCCATTCTTGTATGTATAGTCGCAATGCTGACCATCGTATGCATTTGTCAAAGCTCGTTTTGTCTTTTTCCGCACCTGAGCGATCAGGTACCCCAACATAACCCATAGGGTCCGTATGGAGATCATCCTTTCGAAGATCTTCGATGGAGACTCCCGATATCTTACTTAGTTCATGGTCGTAATAACGTGCCAGAGATGGGTACCCAAGAGACAAGTAATTATAGACCTGAGAGACAAAGCCGTCATTCAACTCGAGTTCTATCTCCTTCTCAAGCCCCAGCATCTTGTCTATATGATCGAAGGAAGACTTGTTATCCGAGGGTGTTCCAATCAGTTGCGTATTGGCACTGGAATTTGCCGCATGATTCAAGCTGAGATAAGACTCGCCATCAATATCTGTCCTGGGAGTGACAATCCCAGGCCTCATCATAGACGGGTTCAGCATATTAGGCTCTTCGTCCTTCCGGCACAGGCCCATCCACAACCCTATCCCCTCTTCATTTCCACTGTATTGATCATTAGTCCAAAGGCCTGTTAATTTGCCATGACATGTTTTCCCTGAATCTTGAATGGAGTTAGATCCATCATCATCCTCGCATGTTGTCCCCTGAGGAGACGTGCTCATTGGGAAAACAATATCATAGCCTAGCATTGGTGGGCTAGCAGCGTGTCGCATTTTCGCTAAATCGGGGTCTTTCTGCCAACCTCCTAGAAAAGGTCTCTGTTCATGATTTGCTGGTTGTCTAGCTGCAATGGCAGCAGCCGAAAACCTTGATTCACGTTCTTCATTGTTTTGCTTTCCATGATCTTTAGATTCAGCCTCCTCTTTATGTCGACGCATCTCCTCTAGCTCCCAGGGTAGATCAGTTGTAGATTCGCGCCGAAAAATAGGACGTTTTGACCTATGTACAGGGAAGGCAATAACGTTTCCATCCTCGTTATCAGAATCTTCATCCCCATCTATAGCAAAATGGGAGACAGGTTGGTGGATCTGCTCATTGGGAAATGCAGCCAGAGCTTGGTCCCGAAATTGCTTCTCAGCGCACTGGGCTGCGAGTGACAGTAGATAGCTAGAAAACCGCTCATCGCAGCTTTCCCTGGATTGATTTCTCCTCGTTGACAGCCTTGTGCCATCTTGAGATGATGTAGATGGAGAGGTTGATAGTGAATGTAAGTCTGAGTCGTCAGAATCTTCGCTACTATTTGAGGGAATGGCAGGTAGGTCTGGCACCCGAAAAGAGTGCTGCCTGCCCTCTTGTCGCTGCAGTAGGCTCGCATAAGAGAATCGAGATTCCGTTGGGATTGAAGGTGTATGTTCCTGAGCAAGTATAGGGCTATCCGATATTTCAGAAAGCGGACTGGGTTGAGATCGATCCGTGAAGTAGGAAGAACTATCCGAAGAGCTAGAAACGTCGTCATGTAAAGAACCAGCTCTACGAAAGGAACGTTTCTCCGTTTCGATTAGTTGGGGAGTAAATTTCCTGGGAGCGTCTCGTGGAGCAGTACTAGATTCAGGCATTCCTCTGACTGGCCGCATTCTGGTGCGTTTCATCAGCTCAATGGGTTCAGGATGAAACCTTCTCATAGGTTTTCCTGCCCTCCGATCTTCATTTGATCCCTGTTTAGAGGTTGTATTTGGTAATGATTGTTCCGTGGTTTGGATTTCATGGGAATGGTGAGATGCTGTCCTGTCGTTGACATCTTCGTCCACTCTTAATCTATTCTTTTTAGAGGACCTAGAAAAAGTCTCTTCGGGCTGTGGTAGCACTCGACGTGTTTTTGCAGACTGTATAGTGGGGTTATGCTGTCTGATATGATCGTCAACTGCAAATTCCCAAGATGGGACGTTGGTAGCCGGCTCATGTGGTGTAGGAGACGTGTCTGAAGCGGTAGGTTTTTTTGTCCTGCTCGTTCTAGATGAGGTTTCCAGAGGTTCTGGTTTGAATCTGCGCACATTTTTGGGTTCATCAGGCTGAGGTTTATCCATCTTTCTGAAATATAATGCATGCGACGTGTGCTGTACAAGAGCATGGGGAGAGATGGTGATGGCTCAACTTCACTTGCAAACAAAATCGTCGTGAAGAAATTCCTCAGAGTACCCAATCATTATCAAATTAAACAAGTGTAAAGTTATGAAGAATTATCACGCCGAAGCTACGATAAAGTAAGTCAGCTTTCATCCATGCCACTGAAGTTATGAGTAAAGCAAGCGCAATTGGAAGCAGGGGCTGTGAAAGTACTAGTTCTCATGATACGAGTCAAGCAGTAAATCAAATGGAAGAGACATCAAAGACGATATCAAACAAACCCCCATTGTTCGTATGCAAGGATCGCTGATCTGAGCGGGTCAACAGAAATGGTATCCGCAGAGGGGGTAATACCTTAAGACAGCCAGCATTGGTCACTAAGACGGGGTATAAAGTGTTCAAGCACACTTATAGAGGTGGTGAGCAATCAAGAACAATCAGACAATAGATTGTCTTTGTCAGGTACATCTACATGTGTCAATATACTAACTGCGTGTTCCAAGGATCGCTCTAGTTCCCGGTAATTTGGAGTGAAAGGAGACTTTCGCGATATCGACGTACCTGATAAAGAAAAACTTCATCCCATAGCACATCATGGAACCAACAGAAACCAAAGCCTGAATAGCAAGAGAGCTAAAGGAAGGTGGTCATCGCATGTATGAATCATGGTTCTGGTATGGAGAAGATGCGGTGGGGCAGCAGGCGAAGTCATCTGCCACTCACATGCCTAGAATTTCCGAGCTGGAAAACATCACATGATGTCATTTATTCTACAGCGGACCACCATATTACAACATCTTGCAGATTACAAGATTATATCGAAATCCTGTGCTGCATGACTTTTCAATGGCTTTTAATCCCTGCATTGTAGTATGACTTTGGGCGAAATCGTATCCTCAGTGTATTGATGTCGCTTTTGTGTATTATACAATCTTAAGTGTTCCAGCCAGGCGTTTATAAATATTTACCTCCACTAAATCTAGATCCATAATCTGAGGCCCGGTTCAGCATCTCCTTTCGATTTGCATTGGAGACGTTTGTAGGACCAGCGATGTCTTTCTCTCGATCAAAAGGTCGTGCACTCGGATCATCCGCACCTGGACTTCGTTTCCTTTGCTTGTGCCTCTCATATAATGATGGTTTCTTTTCTTCGCCCTGCAAAGAGGGATGTTAGATCGTCCGTTTAGAAGTTTCATTTCCGAGTACACTTACCCTAGGCATCTTCAATTTATCTGCAGTAGTGATATCAGCCCTGTGTGACTGTGCTTTGGTGTCTGCCGAGCTGCTGTGCGACTGTATTCCCAATATCTCATTCTCCAGCCGCTGCTTCTTTTGAGCTGGGCTCTCCGTCCAAGCCGAGCCTGTGCCATCTGTTGTTTCAGAACCACGAGCAGATCGCCCTGTCATGAATTTCCGGTTTTGCGCCGGTGCAGAACGTAGGCCTGAGACCCAGGAGTCTTTACTGGGAGGGACAACCATCCATTCGTCCCGTTTCCCTGGTTTCGAGGGATGTTCTTCGGGTAGACCTTCTTGAGGCTTGTTCAAGGAGGTTTGGTCATGAAGTTTCGTACCAACCGATTGTTTATGTGTCGCTGGTGGTAGCTGGGGCCCAAAATCGTCGTCGCTTTCTTCGGAGTTGTCATCTAATGTGTTTCGTTCTTGAGCATTATTACTGCTATCTGCACGAATATGTGGAATAGTTGGTCCTATGACTCGTGGACGCTCGGAAAGGCTGTCATCGATTGTTGAATCTTCACGCCCTCGTTTGCGCTTCTCACCAGAACTAAGATCTGTAGTCATTGGTTCTGTAATGAACCTTTCCAGTAACTATCAAAAAAGAAAGCCAAAAAAGTGCAATAAATGAACATATAGGGGATGGTTTAATACGTAAGATTGAAGTGGAGAAATAGCACAATTTCAGCTGTTAGTGGTAGATCCCATTAACCTGTTCTAGCTAGCTTCCACACTATCGCTGCTATATAGAGTTAGGCTCTAGCCTATAAGATCTTAGAGAATAAATATAGTATTTATATTATACTATAATATAGTCTAAATGATATATAATAAAAGAGAATTAAGTTAGTTTATAAATAATTAATGTAACGCCCCTATTCGAATGTACAGAGGTTGGTGTTGATTCTATATAGTGCACATAACGCGGGCGCTAGTGAGTCACGTGTCTAGAGATATTACTTATAAATACTGGACCGAATCCTTATAGTAAAAGGGGATAGTGAATAGCTACTTATACACAGAATACATATTAGTGAAGCCTTATTCGATATAAAAATTAATATATTTATGCTTTATTAATTCTAGCCTTTACAGTCTATTCACTCTTATATTAGGAAGGGCCTATTTATATTAATTACTATATCTAAATATCAATTTTAATCTTATTTGATTTGCCTAAATTCTCTGTCTTAGATTAGCGATTTAATCGACATACTTATAGCTGAAGAAGGATCTGCTGAGACTTAAAAAATAAAGAACAGTAAGACTGAATAAAGTAATCTTACAAATATATATTTAGTTAATATTGTTAAAGATATGATTAGATAATCAATTGAATCTAAATAAAACCTTAATAAATACATATTAAACAAATTATTTATTATAATATCTAAATAATTGGATTGACTAGAAGCAGATCTTATAATTTAAAAAATATAGTAAATGAAATAACTATGTATTAAAGCCCTTCTTTAAAGGGCTGAGATATTAAAGAGCACTCTAAATAGTGACTCTTTAGAATAGAAAGAATAACTTATAGAAATAGAATTGGCTTCTTAAGAACCATCAGATGCTTTAAATATAGATCAAAAAAGATCCTATATAGAGATATATAATGATAATAAATTCTTAAAGATAGATCTTCTAATCTTTAAGAGAAAATCATATTATAAATAATAGATGTTTAAGAACTATCTAAATATATATTTCTAAAGAAACTATTGATTCTTTGATAAAGAAAATATCTATAAATAAAAAATTCTAATAGCTATTAATACTTTTAAAAATAATATATTGAAAAAATAAGCTATTTATTAAAAAGATAATATAAAACTCAAAGATATGATGTAAAAATAATTTTAAAGATTTATAATAAATTTAGTTAGATCTATAATCTTAGTCTAATAAAAGATAAATTCTAAATTTCTAACAGTTTAATAATAAAAGAATTAGATGATAACTAAATTTAATATTATCTTTTATAAATAAAAGAATTATTTAGATCAGTAATATATTAAATTCTAAAAATAAATATATCTTTATAATAAGATTCTTTTAGTAATTTATAGAAAATTAAATAAATATTTAAATATTTTAAAAAATTATAAAGATTTTATATTCTATATTTAGATTATTAAAGATAGTATATTAGAAAGATAAATAGCTTTAAAATAAAATAAAAAAAAGAATAAATTATCTAAATAAAGATATAATTTATTAGACTGTAATATAAACTTAAAGTTAGTATAAAAAAAATAATATAAAGAAAAAAAGTATCTTTTTTAGACTAAAAAAGATCTTTAAAGTAATAAGAATTTTATAAAAAATTTAAAAAAAGAATACTAATTTAAAGAAAAAAGAAGTTAAATGTAATTACTATTATAAAAAAAAATATTTAGAGAATAAATATTAAATTAAAAATCTATATTTAAGATTAAAGTACTAGAAATAATTCTTTAAATCAATATTATTAATTACTATAGTATTAAATATTTATAGGAGCTAGACTAAAGTAAAGCTCTATATCAAAATATATATATATATAAAGATAATAAAAAGAATTTAATAAGTGTTAGCTTTAATAGATAGTGGTATATAAAAGAACTTTATAAGCTAAGAATGAGCTATGAAATATTTATATTATAATATTAGAAATACAGTCTAGATATAAGCAATTGACAGTTATATAATTAGTATCTTTAGTAAAATATTATTAAATATTATTACCTCTGATTTAGAAGATAAAATAAAGTCTTTTATATAAATATTTAGTATTATAAATATAAAGAAATATAACTTTATACTAGAAATGCCCTAATATGAAGAGATAGATCTAGACATTCAATATATAATTAAATAATGGTACTATTGTCAGTATAATTTAGATAATAAAGATTCTATATGTTGCTATTACACTTTAAGAAATAAAATCTAAAAGTAGAGTTTAAAAATAATTTTATCTCTAGATTTAATAAAGATTGAACTACTAAGATTAAAGGTTAAAGAGATTTTAGTTTAAAAAGTAATATAAGAAATTAAAATAGAATACTTAGTATTTATAATATATATATTATTTAGAAGACTATAAAGAGAATTGATTCTGCTAGTTTTAGTTTGAGATTTAGAATTACCACTCTATATATAATAGTATTTGAATATCTTTTTAGAAAAAGCTATAGATATACTACTATTAAATATAGGATATAACTATATTATTAATTTTATTAATAAAAAGGAGCTATTTTACTGTTTAATATATTAACTCAGTTTAAAGGAATAAAAAGTTTTATAAAAATATTTTATAACGAATATCACTAAAGAATAGATTTAAGAATTAAAAAGCCTAACTAGAGTTTTAATCTTTTTTATATTTAAGAAGGATAGAACTCTAAGACTATATATAGATTATAAAAATCTTAATATAATTACTATTAAAAATTAATATCTATTATCTCTTATAGAAGAAATACTAAATTGATTAATGAATGTAAGAATTTTTATTTAGCTAGATCTATATAATATATATCATCAAATTTATATTAAGTAAAGAAATAAATAGAAAATAGCTTTTTATATTTATTATAGATATTATAAATATATTATAATGTTATTTAATCTAATAAATATCTCTATAATGTTTTAATTCTATATTAATAAGATATTTAGCAATCTATTAAATATATATTGTATAGTTTATCTTAATAATATTATTATCTATTTATAAGACTTAAATAAATATAAAAATATATTTTAAAGATTCTAAACTATCTATATTAGTATAAGCTATATATTAAATTAAGTAAATATATATTTAAAATATAGATTATTTTATTTTTAAAATTTATAGTAAGCTCTAAAGAGATTAATATAAAAAAGAATTATATAAAGATTATTAAAAAATAATCTAAATTAATGAATATAAAAGAGATATTTTAATTCTTAAGATTTATTAATTTTTATTAAAGATTTATTAAAAATATTTAAAGATAATAGTATCTCTTATAAATTTAATAAAAAAGATTAAATAAAAGAAAAAAGATTTGATAGTAGACTAAAAAATAAATAAAAATTTATTTTTAATAATAAAGCTAAGGCTGTATTTAAATATTTAAAGAAGCTCTTTTATATTATATTAATATTATATTATTATAATTTAGACCTATTAATTCAGATAGAGACTAATATATTAAATTTTGTAATTAAGATTATCCTATATTAGTTTAGAAATATAATAAATAATAATATCTAATCATATTTTCTTCTAAAAGCTAATAGAGTTAAAGCTAATTATAAAATTTATAATGATAATTATTAGCTATTATAGAGATATTTATACATTGATAATACTATTTAGAAGATAATAAAGAATTAATATTTATTCTTTTAGATTATAAAAATCTGAAGTACTTTATGATTATAAAATTCTTAATTAAAGATAAGTATATTGAGCTAAAAAGCTCTTAATATTTAATTTTAATATTGAGTACTGACCTAGGATATAAATCTTGTAGATATATTGAGCTACAGATCTAATTATATAAATAGAATTATGAATCTATATACTCTACTGTTAATCTTATAAGAAAAGCTTAGATACAGATTTTTATAAATCAAAATCATATCTTAGAAAAGAATATTAGATCTAAATTAATGATTAGTATTATATATCTAAAAAATAAATAAGAGCTCTTTATATTGATAAAAAGGAGATTTAAAGCATTTAAAACACCACTTTAGAGAATAAATGAATTATTGATGATATAGAAGATTAAGAACTCTTAATGCTATAGATTATATTAGTAGTAGTTATATAGTCTAAGATAATCTATTTAGATATAAGTAAAGATCTTATAGTTATTATCTATTGCTATCAGCTTTTAGATATGTGAGTAGTAGCTATTAAAAATAATTAATCAATCTAAATTTAAAGATTAATTATTTAGAATGATTAATCAAAGAAGATAATCTTTTTAGATTTAAAGATATAATTTATATCTTTTCTGACTATATTTTAAAGTAAGAAATATTATATATAAATCATAATAACACCTAAAATAGTCATTTTGAGATTAAATAAATCTATGAAGTAGTATAATATAAATATATATAGAATAGAATATATACTAATATTGAGTACTATATTTACATATATAAAGTATATTAGTATATATATATTTCCCAATATTAAGAATTTGAACATATGGTATTCCTCTTAAAGATCAAGATTTTATAGAAAATTATTACTATAAATTTTATCATTGGTCTACTAAATTTAATATAAAAAGATTAGACATACAATACTATTTTAATAATAATTAATCTATTAACAAAATATATTATTTATAAATCTATAAAGATTAAGATTTTAATAAAGAATTTAGTAATCTTATTATATAATAATTTAATTTATTACTTTATTATACTAAAGTATATAATGATTAATTAGAGCATTATTTTTATTTTTTAATTTTAGAAAATGCTTTGTTAGTATTTAGAGATCTGAAAAAAACTTTTAACAATCTATTATTTTTAAATAGATAGATAGATTGAATGATAAAACCAGATCT